GCTTGAAGTACTGAATTATGGAATTTTCAAATCGAGTATTTGTAAAATGCTGTCATTATCATTCCAATCCATTGATTATTGCGTATTTATGGACAACACAGCTGGTAAAAACAAGCTAATTCCCCCGCAATATCAGGGCAAATTGGCAATTACAATCTGTCAAGTACAAAATTTATATGACGGTCAAGGTATAATATATCATATTCGTTCCATCATATTTTTTTAATTTAATCTTTTAATATACAAATATCCCTAATTGTTACTGCTGGTTTTCATGTTGTTCTTCAAAAGAACTGCAAAAAAAGCTGAGAAAACTAATATGAGGGCCTTAGAATATTAACTAAACAAATATATATACATTAATTAAACTGAAGAAAATGACAAAAAGCAGAACAAAACATGAATGGTTATTGACAAATGAAAATCGAATTTATAATTTTTCTCTCTGTCTCTGTCTGACTATCTGTCTCTCACTCTCCCTCCCCCCATCCTCTCTCTCTCTCTCTCTCTCTCTCTCTCTTTGTGGGTTTCGATTTTATCCATATTTTTTCAAATGACTTTATTCATCTATTAAAAACTATTTCCTCCTTTCCTTCTCTTTCCCTTTCTATTCTATTATTGAACTATGTATAACTTTTATTGTTCTCTCTTTCTTTTAGTTTTTTTTTTCGACCTTTATCAATATATCAAATTTTCTTTTTACCTGGATATACCTTTATTCTTGAAAAGTATTTTATAATTCCAAACCGTCAAAGTCACGTAATTAAACCATGAAATTTACTTATAGGCCTATAGATGTTTTTCAATCCATCTTACTTCTCTTAACTTGCACTTGGCTAGATGGTGATAAATAGTTGCTTAACTTTGGCATTCCCCTGACCATAAAGTGTTAACTTTGCATATAAAACCGTAAATGGATGTATAATTTAAAATAATAGAATTTATATAATAGTTAATTAATAGATGTGTCGTCAACAGATTAATTAACCATTTTTCTATTTTCAATACAACTTATTCCATAAACGCGCAACTAACGGTTAAATGAAGAGAAAATTACAAAGCCAATTAAGCAGATTCATTGGACCTTGAAAGAGTACACAATTTTAAACTAGAATGTTTATAAAAAGCTTTTGTTCTTTCTCTTTAAAATTATAAAAGTGAATAAAATCGACAACAAAAATTCGTAACAGTTTTATTTTGACCAAATAGAATTTTCTAATTAAAATATTTTGTTAAAAAAAAACTCGTCTTTTTTGTCATTTCTTTATGTTTTTATTAATTTTTATTAGAAAATGTTAGAACTCTAATTTTTCAGCTTTCCAGTAGCTTTATAAAAGAAATATTATACACAGTATATTTGTACAGTCTATACTGTACATGTATAAAAAACTGCCACGCCCCATCCACCGAAAATTATAGTTGTTTTTTCTTTGAATAGCGAGATACGTAAGACTATGAATAAACCAATAGTAAATGCCGGAAAAGCGCAGTTTCAAAGAAAATAACGCCACAACTAGTGAGCGCTTATCACGCAAATCGTCTTCACCGCTAATTAAATCGACTATCCAGTTCGTTTTATAATTTAGAACGTCAGAGAATATAAACAGAAAACTGGTTTCGTAAGATTTTCCGAAGTTTTACAAGGGCTTAGGCCTATAGCGTCATTTAGTAGGTATTGACCTCTTTTTTTTTATAGACGGCTAGAGAGGTCGATGAAGAAACGCTTGCAGAACGAACTGCACATCTTTGATTTCCGATAGACACTTTTCTAGTTTTCTATTATTGTTCATATATCTTTCACGAAGGATGGTATATGCGCACAAATTTCGTTTCGGTTAAATTCACTTCTGGAAGGGATTGAGGACCACTATTATCTTTTTATTTGAGAAGCTATTTCAACGCCATCTTTAGCCTAAATAAGTCATAAGCATTTAAGGTTCGTTTCAGTTTTAATGGAGTAAGAATCTCCCTTTTTTCTCGTTATCTAAAGAAATTTAAGGCGGAATAGGCGGAAGAGAAAAATCAATTTAATCACGATAACAAAGGAGATGATCGCAAATACACATATAATTAAAAGCTAATCCTTAAGTACAATCTCTTTTGTCTCACATTTTTCTAGTATGGACCGAGTTACCTATCCAGGTGACTAAATTAATATATATTTAGATATTACGAATATACACACTATTTTTGGGAAATTATTCAAGGATTAATCAATCTATAAACTCTCTCTATATATATAGAATATAGACTATCTATGTACCATGTATACACTATGCATACTGTATATTTTTACATATCTGTATACACTGTTAGATTAGTTACAAAGCTAATATTAATATTTATTAAATATCATAGTAGAACAATTGATTTATTCAGGATTTTTCTCTCTGATTATCGTTTCTTATATATATATAACATCTTCAACTAGATCAATCTTCTTCAAATTGATTTCAGGTTCTTCTAATTTATATTAATTGAAGAGAAGGGTTTTAGTTTGGACTTTTACAAATCTTAAGTCTTCAAGGTCAATTGCTCTATTTGTCGGTGTTTGTGAGTGATGTGAGTGATGAAGATAATGTGAGTTAACGTATAAAAATCAACAAAACGTTTAGATATAAAGTACTCTGTACATAGAATATTTTTTCTTATAAAATATTATAATATAAAAAAGAAATACTCATTAGAGAATTTTACAGTCGTTTCTTTAAGGGAAAAGATTGTTACTTAAGTGGCTAAATTAAAAGTTAAAGAGCACGATAATTCAATTTTTAAAATTGATAGCTTAAAATGGATTGAGGATGTTAAAAGAGCTACTGTTCCCTTTAGCTAAATTATCGTTGAAAAATGTATAAAGGGAGATTGTTGATGAGCTAGATGACTTTGTGATATAGGAGCACCCTGGGATTGTGAAAAAGTTCCATATAAAATAAGAGCTGTGCTTAAAAAAAAACAAGGGGAGAAAGCGAAATAAAGAAGAGAACGTTGTGGCAGTAGTAAGTTACTACATACACAGATGGAAAATCTAGCCCTAGGAAATACCCAAAGTACCAAAATTTGCATATATTCTCCTATTAGAAAGCAGAAATTGGTTAATCATTTCATATAAAAAGAGGTTTGACGGTTAATTGAAGATTGAAAACTTACCAATGTTTCGTATTCTTAATATTATAATTTATTGTAAAAGTAGAGATAGAAATAGAATATTAATAGATCTTTCTTTCCAAGAAATTTTCCATACGACTATCTTATATATTCTCTATTGAAAATACAAATTAATAATGGTACAAGATGCTAAAAAAAAAGAAATTCTAATTAAGTCTATAATTGTATAATAAATTTTGATTCTCTTCAGATTATAGACAAGTTCTTTTTCTCATTAGATGCATCTTGATAAAAGAAAAATATGACTTTTGTCAATTAGTCTCATTATAGCTCAAACCCTTGTTTAGATATTCTGAGTTTTAGCATTTTTGTGGAATATTTATAATGATCATAATGTTTAAATATAGAAAAAGATATTTATATCTATATTTTGTTTGGCTTCTGAATCCCTGAATCCTTCCATCTGTTTCAAACCCATTTGAGTGTATGCTGGAGAAGACAAAAATATAGAAAATAAAAAACAAACACAATACAAACAACATAATCAAGAACTCGAGATACCTTTCAAAGGCGTCCAAAAAAGTACCGAAGCTTTTTGCTATATACTAATTTTTATGAGTATAAAAAGAAAGAAGAGAAAGGGAAAGACTTAATCTCATTTCTATGGGATTTTTTTTCTTTTGTTTTTTTTTGCTATGTAAATATTAGAGGAAACAAAGAAAAAAGTCTGTTGTTTTATATATCATTTTTTTCCTACCTATACCTTCATTTCTTTTACTCTCTTTCTCTCGCTCTCTCTGTGTCTCCTCTCTCTCTTTCTCTATCGCTCTTAGTCATTGGCTCTGTACATGCTTTTGTCTTTAAGAGTATCTTTCTCTAAATTCAAATTTAATAATAGTCTCCTCATCATTCTCAACTTTCTCCTTTCCATTTCGTCAGCTTGGAAATTGTTTTAGACAATTGAAGTCTACGTTTAATAAACAAAGTGTCAGATAAAAGAGAATTCTTCAGTTTTATTTCATACGTGTCATTCAAGAATTATTACCTATATTTTATTAATTTTGTTGATGACGTCATACTTCTGTTTTAAATGTGAATACTTTTATTTTAAATTGGACTGAATGAATAGCTAAATAAGCGTATACTAGTGACGCGTCTAGCGACTAGATAATGGACAATGTATTGAGAGTTTACACTTCCAGGTGTCACACTATGAAATGGTATAGAAGAAAGCATGAAATAGAATAGGAGTAGCACGTATTATTTCATAATAATTTCTCCAATATTTCATAGTGCTAAATTACAAAGTTTAAAATTCAATCGATTTTTACCTATTGATAATGGATGTAGTTGATTATTTATTGTGTACTTAGCCTTAGGATATACAGATATGTGAATTAAAGATATTCATTTACGTCATACATTCATATATACACATTAAAAATACTGTATATATATATGCATATATACAAAGATGCAATATATTAATATATGTATATATACAGTATATACTGCATACACTTATATACACAGCTAGATTTTTAATGTAAATAGTCCAACTTTTTCTTGTATCTATTTATTCAAGTAAAGTTACATACTAAGAGGTAAATTTGTAATTGGACGCTTATCAAAACTGTACTAGTTACGCCATCTATCCGATAAAAAATTGGTTGAAGCAAAAATGGAAAAGTTCTGAAAAGGCGAGTAAAGGTAGACGTTAAGAGTGGAAGAAAAATTACACGAGATCGATATAATCCGCCCGAATTCTCCGCAAACGCCTAATTCCAACACGTAATACAAACTCCAACGCCGTCTAGTCTTAAAGTCTTAAACATATATAATCGTCTATATACAAGGCGTCTCTCACATTAAATCGTTTCATTTGCTCCAAACAGGCTAAAAATAAGTTTGTCATGTTAAAAATACTGAGGGAACTGAGCAACGCTGAACCGGATACATTGCAACAAAGAAAAAGAGGAATGCAGGAGGTAGGGAAAACTAAGTTTGATGTTGTTTGTAAAGCAGCTGTTTAGGCTAGTTTTCGGGCGTCTCTGTTTTTTTTATGTTTACTATCTAATTTGTATACGAGGGCGTCCGGAAAGAAGCGTCTAAAACGGTCGAGCGCGTCAGAGGCTATCAGTAAGATTGCAGACATGGAACGAACTAGTTTACTCGCAGTAAGGCGATATTTTTTTTCCTGTTGCATTCTTTTTCTTCCGTAAAATGTGTTGTTTGTCCATGAACAGTTTCTATGGTAACTGCACGGTTTCTTTTTCTTGTTTATATATGTAACTTTTAAGTTTTGCTCTTAATTGTAACTAAATAAAAGTTTTAGTAAGCAATTTAATAATATAAGCAAAAGCTTGGAAATTTCATATTGAATAAGTGATAAAAGAAAAGATTTATAAATTATAGCATTTTAATCTTTTAGAGTATTCTCAGAAATTAAGTATCAATACGAAAGTATAGATGTATATAAACTACTGATAACCTAGAGGCTAATACGAATTATTGGATGATAGATTCATAGGCCTAAATGAGAGGATATTCCAGTTGTTGAGTCGAGATAGCTTTTAATAGCAGATTATGGCCAACGGACGACTTAATTCTTTTAGTTCGTATGGGATTTTTCTTATTGATTGTTTAGCATACGTTATTTTTCGGCAATAAAGGCTCTCATTAGGAAGAGAATTCTTTATTCAATGTAATTGCGAAAATTGTTCGATTTTTGAGATGAAATTCACTTTTTACAGTCATTAAACATCATACTTATTCTAGGGAGATACGGATGAAATGGACGATAGAAGAACTAACAGCACAAGAATCTCAAAAAACAGAAAAGCTGCCGTCGTCCCTAAATTTATTATTCTTCATTATTCTCCATTTAAAGCTGTGTGGGATTGGATAATTCTATTGGTTGTGCTATATACTGCAGTATTCACACCTTATGTAGCAGCATTCCTAATTAACGAAGATGAAACGAGGAACAAACTCAACAAGGATTCCGGTACTCGTGATGCCCAAATAAAAAAAGCAGATCCGCTTGTTTTAATTGATCTTATAGTAGACGTCCTCTTTGGAGCTGATATAATTATAAACTTTCGAACAACCTTCGTTCAGGACGGCGAGGTCGTGTCTAATGCTCGTAAAATAGCTGTTAACTACGTGAAAGGGTGGTTTGTCATAGATGCTGTAGCAGCTATTCCGTTTGACTTGCTGCTCTTTGGTTCCGGAAGTTCGGATACAATGACAATTACAGGTAAAAATATTTGATTTCCCCATTATACTGTATAGCAGATTCATTTGAAAATTACTCGATTTTCTTGTAAAGTAATTAATACAATTCTTTAATTTACGATATTAGGCGTTTTAAAAACTGCCAGACTACTACGTCTATTGAGGGTGGCTCGAAGGGTTGATCACTATTCCGAGTACGGAGCTGCAATGCTGTTCCTTCTTATGGCTACATTCACTTTGATAGCGCATTGGTTAGCCTGCATTTTCTACGCAATAGCATATTTTGAACAAACTAAATTAAATGAACCTATTGGATGGTTAGATACTTTATCGCACACTATGAATAAACCATACTCAAATTCTAGTTATACAACTGGAGGGCCAGATATTAGGACAAGGTATATAACTGCCCTCTATTTTACATTTACAAGTTTAACTTCCGTTGGTTTTGGCAACGTTGCTCCTAATACGAATGCTGAGAAGATCTTTTCAGTTTTTGCAATGCTACTTGGTTGTAAGTATATACCTAATTTCTTCTTTTTTTCTTACATTTCCCAGTTTTATTCCATCTCCATCTGGTTTCTCTTTACGCATGTTCACTAAATAGCTCTAATATAAAAGCAAAAATTAGTTAGAGAAAATGATCCTGGTGTGAGAGCAAAATAGGGGAGATAGCGAGAAAATACTGTATTGAATAGTTGAATTGAATGATACAATAAGCCTGAGTACTATTCGAGCGCGTTGGGGCTAATAAATGATAATATTTATTTAAGCTCCTGGTTGTTTACACTCTGGATTGTCTATCGAAATTGATTATTACGCTTAAAAGACTGGACAATACCCTATTTCCTTTAAATGTTCAATATAAAAAAAAAACAATTTTTCTTCTTTCAATTTAAAAAGTTCCCAATCCATAATTTTCCTTGTTTTTTTCTCTCCCTCTGTTTTTTTTGTTGTTTTCCTTCCTCAATAAAATTTATGTGATTTAAATGAATTGAAGAAGATTCTTAAAATAATTATACCCCTGTTTCTTTTTACAACCTTTTAACTAGATTAAATCTTAAGCGATTACCTTTTGCCGCTATTTATCGAGGGTGAAACATTTTATTATCCTTCATTCGTATTAAATTCTTTGCTATTAAGGGGGAGAGTTATTAATTTTTTATAATAATAGTAAAAAATAAAGTTAATTTATGTTTTAGATGTATGAAACATCGAAATTTTACCGTAAAAGTGGTAATAGAGCCGGAAAGGAGGTAGAGAGGGTGACTAGGGGGGAAAGATAGAGGGAATTATAAAGAGAAAGAGATATAGGTAAAAGAGCTATGTAAGGGAGAGGGAAGGGAGGGGGGAGAGGGGAGAAAGGATGTTAGGTTGATGGATAAAGGAAAAAAAATCGAAATATAAAACTCTATAGTTTTCCGTTTTATTTTTGTTACAGAAAAAGGCATATCATTTTCTTAAACAATTATACTGCATTTTCTTTCATCTGAACGTATTTTAATGTTAGTGTGAAGTATTAAAACTTTTGGAAAATTCTGCAATATTTTTGTAGGCCTAGGCGCATACTTTAAAGAAATATTTATTGACCAGCAGTAAAGGGAAAACGATTGAATTATGTATTCATATAGCCTTAGGCTATATTAAGCAGAATGTAAATTATTATATCCTGGAAGCTAAACTCTCAATCAAAATATGTTAGCGATTTAAGAATACAAATTTTTTTCGCCTACCTTCATTCTATATTTTAAATTATTCAACGGAAATGCATCGCATCTCCTTTCCGCAGCTTTAATGAGTGCCGCGATTTTTGGTAACGTTTCAAGCATCATGCTTCGACTTTATCAAGGAACAGAAGAGTATCGAGAAATGTTAACGAGTATCAAGGAATTTATCAATTTTCATCATATACCAAAACAGTTGGCTAATCGTTTAATAGAATCCTATCAACATACTTGGAGCTATACGAACGGAATCGATATGAACAGCGTATGTATATCAGTCGATCAATGCCGAAAATTTCCGGCCGCCCCTCATTCTATAGCTGATTTACTCCTTCTTATACTTTTCTTCATTCATTCATCCTTTGTTTACAGGTGTTGAAGAACTTTCCCGATTGTTTACAAGCCGACATTTGCCTTCACTTAAACAGGAAGTTACTGCATAATTGTGCTGCATTTTCTGCAGCATCACCCGGTAAGACGTCTCTATTAAAAAGAGATAGATTAAACGAAGGATTACAAAGGAGATATTAAGGAGATAAAGCGTTAATGAACTAAATATATTTGCTAAATATTAGGATTGACTTTTATAACAGATAAAGAGGATATAGATAGAATTCTAGGTAAGAGTAAGTCGAAGAATTCGACATGAAAAACAAATTTCATAGTCGTAAGATAACGAGGTTTTAGAGCTATAAGAAAAGGTAAAAGAGCCCTCTTTAAAATATAGTATTTTTTTATACAAGGTATATAAAAGGGAGATTTTACTTCTTGATGCCTATTGATACGAATTATCAAAGAAAAATCGCCTGTGGAGGAACAATATGTATTTAAATATGCCTACACGATTTACTTTAGCTAAATAACATATAAATAGTATCATAGAAACTAGAAGAGAACTAATTAACAGTACAATTAAGGATGTATACAAATTTTTTTAAGATTATTAACTCTTATGCGAAACAAGTTTCTCATGAAGTCTCGTTTTCGTTTACGGATAAGATTATTGTTTTGGGTATTTATACTCGCTTCAACGATTTATTTCTATAGGTATTGTATATACCTTGATAGAAATTACATAATACATACTCTATCCTTTCTCCATAACGAACAAATCGATTATTACCATCTATTCTTGGCTCTGATACCTCATTCTTCTTGATTAGCGCCATCTACCTATAAAGCTTGAAAGAGAATCTGTTGTTTCCCCTTTTTCCAGGGAGGCAAACCTTCTTAAGATGATGAAATCATTTTGCTTCTCTAATCAAAGATTAATTAGGACAAACAATTAATACTAAATTAACGATTACTTAATAAACAAGTTCTAGAATTCACGCTGTACTTCTCCTTTTCATCATTTGTTCTCCATCTTTTATCTCTATATTATTAGCTTCCAAGACAGAATTTTATTCTCCCTACTAACCCTTAAAAAAATAAAAGGTTGCCTTCGGGCTCTGTCTCTCAAGTTCAAATCCACCCATGCTCCGCCCGGCGACACCCTCATCCACCCTGGTGACATTTTGGAGTCAGTCTACTTCATTGCTCGGGGTTCTATAGAAATTCTAAAGGATGATGTTGTTATGGCCATTCTGGGAAAGGATGACATGTTTGGAGAGAACGTTAAGAAAACTTGGCAAGAAAGATCTAAATCAGAAATTGGTAAATCTAATTATTGCGTAAGAGCCTTGAGCTACTGTGATCTTCACAAGATCCAGTTGGATGATTTAAAGGAAATACTCTACGTGTATCCAGAATTTGCCGGCGACTTTCTCGACAAATTTCGAGTCACCTTCGATCTAACTGACGTAATTGTATTACATACATTAATCCAATGCTTTTATAAAAAATATATCATTTTTATTCAGGATAAATCCTTTGGTTCTCCGTTTCTACAATTAAATAAGACAATTGATGATGAAACGCTAAAGTTTATTCGCCAGAAACGACCTCGTTTACAATGTCGAAGTCCTGGCTCTTCATTAAATGCAGGGAAATCTCAATCTCTAAAGAAAGACAGTCCTTCGAATCACGTTTCACCAAATCCAATAAAATCCGAAACCGAATCATCTTCTCCTCCTCCTCCTCTTGTTTCTCCAAGCACCGAATCTGACTTGATGGTCATAGACGAAAGACTCGGTAACCTTACAGCTAGAATGGACGGGTTAGAAAAACGTCTATTTACCACAGTTGATGATATTTTAAAACTGTTAGGAGAAACGCCGAAATTTCAGGGTGTTTGTTCCGATCCTAGACCGAATAATATTCAGTTCTCGTAGGTGCTAACATGTTTTCTGTTTCTTTTTTTATTATTATTCTAAACTGCTTAAGAATTAGGTGAATTAAAGAGAAGAGAAAAAATAACGTTAAAAAAAAATAGAAGAATCTACCAGAGATCTTTTGATTTTGATAAGAGATATAACACATTACTAATAAATTAAAAAAAATGTTACTATTCTCTCTAGTATCTGTCCATCTATATATCTATCTAAATATCTATCTGTCCTATTAATATCTCTCTACTTTCTTTCTCTATACAATGGTTGATGAAACAAGAAAATTTATGCAAAGCTATGCCAACTATTAATAAAAGTTAAGATATTATATTAAACTAGTTTATATTTTTTTTAAATAAATAAACTGTTTTAATATCAAATGTTAAATACTATTTATTGTATATACTGTATTTGTTTATTAATGGCTTATTATACTTATATTCATATATACTATATATACATATATATATATATATATATATAGGAGGATGGAGTAAAAACAACGTTAAGACCTAGTCAAAAGACCATTTTGTATTAAACTTATAGCAGTTGGAATTTTTGAAAGTTCTCTATAATCTTGTTACGAAGAATTTTCTTTTCTCTTTGTATATTAGGATTGAAAGAAATCTTCAAATAGGAAAAAATATATGAAGTTGTAAATGATACACTAGACAGTCTTAGACGAATTTTACAAGTAGCTTATTGCAGAGAAAGAAAAGGTCATACTAATTAGAATGACCTTTACCCATTTGGATATAAACTAATTCAATTATTTATCAGAAACTTTGATAATATCCGTAGGATGTCAAATCATAATATTGATGTTTAACCTTTGTTGAAATATCAATATTAAAAAATATTATCTGTTTATGTTTTAGGATTCTTTTTGCAGATTTGATTACAACTAATTAATTGGAAATTCTTTCCAGTAAACATGACCTATAAAATAAATAAAGACTTAAAAAATGAGATAGGAAAGATAATAACAATTCTACTCATCGTAACCTCAAATTTACGTTTAATTTATCTTAACCGATAGATGGAGTTTTCAACAGTACCTTATTTTTTATGACAGTTTTAAAACAACAATGATTGATTCTATCTGGTACATTGATCATATATCAAAAAGTATAAATTATAGCACTCATTTGACTGACATACATCAATCCAAGGCAAAGGCTAATAAGAAAGACATATAGTACAGTATCAATAAATCGATTGGAAAAAAATGTAAATAGAGTATTAACATTAGGATCACTTATTTCACAGACAGCATTTCAAGATGATTAATCAACAAGTAACCATTTTTTAATTAATTAAAGCAACAATATCAACAACAACAACACCAATGACGAAGGAATCCTTTGGCATAGAGTATATGCAGTATATATACTAGTATATCTATATATATGTATTTCTCTATATCGAACATAATGCATTTAATTAAGGAGGTATAATACAGTATATATATTGATACATTAGTTCAAGTACCTTACAAAATTACACAAATAGCATATATCTTATGGCGTTACCTCCCATTATTGATTCATAGTCAGCCCCTCGATGACAATCCGAAACCAATTCGATAAAACTTTATACGACGACCCTGAATTTCGCTATTCATATATAATATTTATCATACGAATGTATTATCTCAAAAATCCATTATATCAAAAGGAGATGATGAATACAATGGAAAAACTCTAATAAAAAAAATAGCTTTTTCCTCGTCTATTCTCCAGGTCAATGTGTCTGAAGAGTAGAAGATAAAATGAAATTATGTACTCTATTATTCATATTATTCGTTACAAAAAGAAACAGTTTATAATACGATTTGTAATATTTCAAGGGTAGCCGAAACTATTTTTGGATTGTCTTCGTTTCACTTAAAAGAAAACCGCAACCTTTTATGTTGAAGGATGGATCTGAGTACCAGAGCAAAGTGGACTTAACGTTCCTAATTATGTTCTGGAATAGAATCTCTTCAAATAAAGTTAAGTTTTTTTTATCATATATATAAAGCTTCCTATAGAGATAATATGTATATCATTATTCTTTTTATTTTATTGTGATTAAACGAATATTTCTTCTCTTCCTCTCTTTCAATCTCTTATGAAATTAACATACTTTTTTGAATAAAACATGAGTTATTGATACAAGTTATTTATAGTTCTTTCTAAGATATGAATTTACACTACCATTTCAAGTAATACAATAGAATAATAGATTAATTTTCTTGTAAAACAAGTCTTTTTATCTTTTACTATTAGTCTAAATGAACGCTACAAAGTTAAATGGAATCTTTATTTTCAATTTCAATATGCAAACAAGATATTATTAATACTTTACTTACTTTAAGTAAAGTATATCATACTCTTTTACTACCCTTGCCAAGTTCATTTTGCCGAAGGTCTCCAATTGCCGCTTTCAATTATCAACTCAAGAGTCTAAATAAAGTTCTTGTTTTTTTTTTAGAAGTCCTCGTGTTGTTATAGCAACAATAATATTGAACAGAACTAAAAAAGAAGTGCGTAGATGCAACTGGCTTTTATATATACAGTATATATACTGTATATAGTTCTAGTTCCCTATTATATAGTTTTCTTTTATACTATTTAACATTTATCATTTTATTAATTGTACCAAAAAAAAATGGCACAATATATCTATAACTTATATCATTATTCTTCAAGTTCCCTCCCGTGCTTTCTCCTAAATGACACCAGTAAATCACTAAATCTCAGTGGAAAAGTGTCTAACGTCTCAAAACTATTCCACGAGACGAACATTCGATTATTGCTCATAAAGATAGGAATGCGACAAAAATGAGAAAGGATATAAAATATTGAAGTATGTCTCGAACTTTATACCTCAACTTTTAAGCTCTGAGATATGGAATTTACTTTTTTTCCTTTAGTAAAAATAGCAGAAACCTCTTGGGAATTTTCAATATTCAAAAGAAAACTTGAATATAATTCAATTATTTGTTCAAGTAAGAAAATTTATAAATGTATATACAGATATATACAGTATTTGTATATTCACACAAAATCTTATGAAAAAGACTATCTATAAAAAACCAGATGGCACCACATATGTATGAATAGTAGCAATACGCCATCTAGAGAAATATGATACAGTGAATAATTTAATAAAATGCAATCGACAATAAAAAAAATTCTAGTGGTCAAATAAACGAGTTTTTTTTAGAAAGAGGAAAAATTTCTATAGTCAACGTAATTAAACCTATAACAAGTTTTTTTATATTATATTCTATATATTCTTTTAATGAATATTCATTAATAAAAAGAAACTAGGTTTATGAAACTTTTTTATTGATTTATATGTGCAAACTTTTGAAAAGGATTTGCCAAAGTCGAAATAACTATTGAAGAATCGGATCGGCCCGCCGGTAAGGAAATGCTAGAACGGATATCAATCAAAATTGAAACTAGGGGCTGAAGAGAGAATGGAATAAATGTTGCCTTTGGAAGGGGCAGTTAGAATTGGATAAGGAAGAATAAAAGATAATGGGCGGGGCGGTAAATGGGGCTCGAACTTCACAAATGACTTTTCAAGCTAAATCTTACAGCTCATTTACATAAATCGGAATAAACACACTGTATAGAGTGCATAGCAAATCGCCGCAGCAGGTGAACAGGTGTTCGCGCAAACAGTTCGCTAATCGCCCTGCGGCAGAGATGAAAAGGCATGGTGTTAAGGGCAATAAAGGGATTAAATTTATTGTGTCTTTTCAAACTTTTACTCGTTATTCGCGTGTCAAGTTTGATATTTAGGAAGGAGAAAGTGTTGGACATAAAAAAGGGTAGAAGAAGGTGGATTAGCCTCAGGGATGGCAGTTGTACAAACACGCATTTTTATTACAGATATATAGATAAATAATTACCATATATGTACCGAGTACACATAATGAATAAATGAGTATTCATAAGATAAAATATATTATAAATTCAAGTGAAGGTTTGTAGAATAGGACAAAATCTTGTCAAGAAAGAGTGGTACTGCTTGTAAAATGCAGATCATTTAATGGAGGAAGTCTGCTGCTTAATTGCGTATCCCAAAGGATTCTAATAGCACTGTCGCTTTTGTATATTTTTCATACACATTCCGATTGTAAAGTTGCGTGCGACGGATTTTCTTTTTTATCGATAAAAACTCCCTATTCTTAGCTACTGCATGAGATACAATCTTTCTTTATTAACTAGTCTCTCCCTCTCTGTCTCTTCTCTCTCCCTCTCTCCCCCTCACTCACTCACTTACTCAGACATATACTTTCTCTAACAGAGTTTTCTATTCCGTTTCCCTTTTCCATATCGATATTAAAGCTGTTTCTTTTCGGTTCAAAATAACCTTGTTAACTGCAAGAAATTCTTCTGTGGAGAGAAGACAAATTTCTTTTTTTCCTTATCCGTGTTTCTCTCGATATAATATATGCATATGTATATACACATGTATATATACTGAATGCATTTTTACTATATAAATAGAAAGAAAATAAAGAGGAGGGAATACGTAGAGAAAAGAAATCTATCGTCAGTTTGACAGGCGGCAAACAGCAAAGTATATAGAATTATCCTGGGCGACGCCTCACCAACGTCAACGCGTCTATAAACGAGCATCATAACAAGGCCACTCGTTCCGGCGGGACGTCCCGCTTTGCCGTCTAATTCGGCGGCGTTTAAGGGCGATTGGCGATTGAAGTCACGGCCGTTACGTCATCGAGGCGTCACTTTACGAGCGCGTGGACGCTACTGTCTAAGCGATAAACGTCGCGATAAGCGACGCCTCGTCGACGTCTAACAAATCTCTTCCGAGAGTCGTTTAGCTGCATCTATCGAAACCGCAGTTTTTTTACTTTCTGTCAGAACCGCAAAGCGTGGAAATCTGTGTTTCTTATTTTTTTTAACGCTTTTAAACCTGTTAGTTGCCTCTTTATCAAATTAATCTCCAATTAGATATGTTATTTTATCCTTACGGCTAGACTGGTAACCTATCATTTTATTCGAATATTGTGTTTATTTATGGACAAAGCCAAACCAATAAGAATAGGTTGTTTTCTGAAGAAAATTCCTTCGAAAAAGAATCATTCCTTTGGCGATATTTAGGTCATTTTGCTTAAATTGTTCCGAATTCCTGGCTCATCAGGAGCTTTCATAAAATTTAGTACCGCTATATCGCAATCAACAGTCAGTCAATATTTCAAAATCCCCCTTCCTCCTCCCCTTTACCCTTTTTCTTTCCTTCTCTTTCTCCTCCCCCACTCTAAATATGATCGGGTCCTATAAATCCTTTCTCTAATCTTATGTATCCCCTTCTCATAGTTCAAAAGCTTTAAATTCTTTTCCTAATTATGAAGAAAATTCCCTTTTAATGTCTCCATTTCAAAGATATTATAAAATCAATAGCTAATTTTGATTTTCTATTAAAGGCAGACAATTCACTTGTCAATTTCTATTCTTGGACTAATAAGTTAAGAATCACTAGCACCAATGAAGCATACTCGATGAAAAAGAGACCAAGAGGGAGTGAGAAGGTGGGGAGTAAACAAGATGAAACAATCGTAAACTATTCTCGTATACAAATCTCTTCCGAGACTCATTCCGAGCCGCAGCTGGTCAACGCGCCTGATTGCGCTAGCGACGCCGCCTCGCCATATTGTAACGCCCCTAACGCGCTTATGTTGCTAAAGTGATTGGCGACGCTGCGCCAGATGGGTCCATTGTGTGCGCTTCGGTCGAAAGAAGAAAACAGCATCGAATGCCTCTCTTAAAGTGGTAGAGCGGCAGCCCAAAGAGAGGGAAACTTACGGTGAGCACCCAAAATAATGGGTACCAGTTCCCTGCTTTTTTTTAGAGTATTCTTGCTAAAAAATCGTGCCATATGGCCGCCCAACTCCTTTAGATGCTTTTCAACTTGCATACTCTCCACCCCCTTCTTTTTTTCTATTCTTTCAAGGATCATCGAGCGCTTTCAAACAGATCATTCCCCCAGATTAAGATATATCTCGGAGGAACTTTTTTTGCCATATTATAGGCTTATTTCAATAAAAATAATAAAATGAAATCGACGATGGGAGAAGTGATATGGCAGACGTTTGTTGGATTCGATTACGTCACGGTCTTGGTTGTTGTGTAATCGTATTAGGACATTGGCTGTCACGTACAGAGCGATTTCGTTTCTAGCCGATTTATTAAAGATGCGTGGTTTTGTTGCAGTTGGTTTATGTATTGTACTTAATCGGTTAATCTTAAAAATGTTTTTCTATAACTTATCGTTATATTTTTGAAAAAGCTGCGTATAATAACTAAAATAACTAAAATTCCCTTAAAGTAACATTTGTTGTATGATTTGAATAGAAGGATGGAATTTCACAATGGAAAATTCTCAATTGATGTCACCTTTGTGATCAAAATTTTTCAAACCCCCGTGATGCTGAAGTAAAATGGGTTACTATAGTTTATTGACCTGTTGACCCATCCAATTCCTGACCCGACCAGGTACTCGACCCCTTAATCGATCTTTTTGATATGGAATAAGGCATATTAATCGTAACAAATAGCAAATGAAAGAAACTCTGATAAAGGAGAAATAAACGTCCCTTTTTTTTATTATTCTATTGTTTCGTTTCGATCGCTTAATCCTGTCAATAAGATTAGCTCCGCTATTCGATCTTTTTACACAACGAAATTCTCCTAATTTTAATGACATCATGCCAAACCGTTGACTCGGTGGCATTTAGTAAATCGTATAATTTGAACGTCTCTTTATGTCATCTCCACCTCTTTTACAGATTCAATACCACCCACATGAACTTCTTACCACCTACTGATTGGGCGTTAATGTTTCTACTTTCCATTCAAAAGACTTTAGTTATATACGACAGATTCTAGAATATCAAATGATCAAAACCGTCTGAGTTAGGGGCAAAGAACAGATTCTGTCTTTATAGAATTTCCTAACCTTTGAACAAATGGGAGAACGTTCAGGTCAGCGTTTCGGTCATCTTGAATTACGATATTCTTTGTGATAAGTCTTAAGTCCATTTACCTTCCAGTCCTGGTTAGATATCGAATGACAGCGTTCAATCTGTTCCTCTTAACTATCGGAAATATCTATTTCCATACTCTTGAACGTGACATCTTTCAATGTCAAACTGCTACGCGTTATTTATCAAATCTATTAGGTTGAATGGAAGATTTTACGGTGGATTATGTAATATTTCATTTTTCTTTGTGCTGTCTTACTGCTTCAAGGTTCCATTGTAAAGTAAATTAAAGACTAGAAAAGGGAAAATGGAATAAGCTTCGGTCATCTCGGATATCCTATAATCTTACGCGTTCATCCTACCGAAAGACAGTTTTAATACGGTATAAAAATGACAGAAAAAGAGCTGGGTAAAGGGAAAAATCAGGGCAGATGTTCGGTCAACAGCTCCGTCTGGTGGCACTCGCGTCTCCTCCTTGGCCGTCAAACGTCTTCCAGCAGTCATGTCAACATCGCCAGACTCTCCACTTTTCGACGAAGAAGAAATTAGTGTTGATGATATTGACGAACAAAAGCAAATTAAACCAGGAGCACAGAAAACTGTACGATTAAACATAAACGCCAGGGAAAGGAGAAGAATGCATGATCTGAACGATGCCCTAGACGAACTGAGGAGCGTTATACCTTATGCTCATTCACCGTCCGTAAGGAAATTGAGCAAGATCGCAACTCTACTACTAGCCAAGAATTACATACTAATGCAAGCTAATGCCCTAGAAGAATTGCGCAGATTAATCGCCTATATGAACGCTGGAGGCAATTTCGGCCATCTCTCCCCAACCGGAACTGATGGTAACGTCTTCCCAAATTTCCCTCGTTCACCGTCGAATGCCGCCTCGACCACATCGCCATCGTCAAGTTTCGCACCTGATGTTAAAAGACCGAGAATGGATCGAATTGACGTCTAACATAGTCTATTTTAAAAAGAAGAGAGAGAACGTTTCAAAAAAAAAAAACTTTTCCTTTTTTCGAGAGAAGTTTGTCTTTTCTATATTTTATGATAATTAACATATGCATATGCATACAGTATTATTCTAACGAAAAAGTCTGCATTATATACTTATTCGTTTAAAAGAACTCAAATTTTCATTACTTCATATGTTTACCGTATAGAGATTAAAACGATTCAAGGTAGTTTGGTATTTATTTGGTTGTTCTTTTTTCCTCTGTAATATAATATGTAAATTACTTGTACAAACAAATGTACTAGTTGATAGTAAAAACAAAATTATAACACTCGACTTCCCAACATTCTGACTCTTCCAGCTTCTTTTAAATAGGATTAACTAGAAAATTCCCCTTCACTATCCTCCTCCTTCTCCACCCACCAAATCGCCTTCCCCCCTCCTATGATAAGGAATTCTCTTTCATTCGAAAGGAATGGCACCAGATGTGGAGAGGGTCGGAGGATCAAATTTACTTGTTATATGTAGTATAAAGTTTGGAGACTATGTATCATAAATAGAATAGTTTTTGGATAAGGAGGTAGGAATTTTTCTTGTATTGAAGCAATTTACCGAACATGATAGCGGTGAAACGTGAAAGGGTGGGCTTACTAAATTATGTACGAACAGGCTGTCGTTATCGGTTTGTACGGGAGATAATCAAATGGATTTGTGGGTCTAAATATTTATACGTCAATGATTAGCACCTAATAAAAACAGGCGTTACCTCTAGTCATTATAGTTCAGTTATATAATTGAATATAGTTTAAATATCTTATTCGTCGCTCGTTACCTTCCACGAACATTTTTGAACGAGATGGAAACGTTTTTGATCCATCCTCTTTTATACTTAAAACTGGTACAAAGATAATCCGTATATTTATAGGCTTAATATTATGTATAAATGGGATTATTACGCAATCTAGGAAAGATGAAAGTCGCGAATTTTCGGTCTGTTGGAACCTTATGCACCACACACATAATAGCGATTAACTTAAGATTATACTTAAAATTATTAATTACGTACATGGCTAACGACATAAAAATCCTATTTCCTACAATACCTTAAAGCATCGTATGAGGGAAAGAATGAAAATAATATAGAGTCAAATGGAGAGGGCTAATATAGGAAAATAGGAAAATATATAGGCCAAAATTAAATATATTTTAGATTAGCTTAATATAACCTAAGGCGGTGTTTCCTTTTGGGAAGATAAAATGAAAAATTGAATGAAATATCTAAACACAAAAAAGAGATAACTGAGATTTTCTCAAACAAACTAAACATAAATAAACCAATATATATATATATATATATATATATATATAGATGTATCCGAGTATATAATCGATATATATATATATTACCATCTATGCACTATATGTTTGTACCTTGTATTCTATATTACAAACTTTAAGTTTATATTATCATAAATCTGTAAAATAACAAAATTAGGTCAATAAATAGACTAAATTAAGGATTTTTATAGAAATTAGCTTTTCGAAAAATTTGCCTACAGCAATTATAGAATGTTAATTAGAAGGCTGTACAGTTTGTTTTCTCTCCCTCTATCCTAGTTTGTCTTCTTTTTTGTTTATTTTACTTATAAATGAAAAAAAAAGGAAAACATAGATGATAAACTTATTTTTAAAGACAGTCTGTGATTGGCGACACTGCAAAGTTTGCCCTAAGTCATATTCTTATGTAACTAATAGTAAAAAACAAAACAAGGAACAAGTGACGACGGAGAAAACATATAGGAAAGAAACATTTTTACTTTAAACGAGTTTTTCCATTTTTGCTCTATTGAATAGCATCTTTTAATCTATTTCTCTTTCCTGTCTTAGTCTATATTAACATAACAAGAGATATTTTATGTAAATTCATATGAAAAAGCTAAAGAACATACTGTATAGGCTAAATGGGAGTTAATAAAGCAATTCATGTATGCCCCACAGTTAAAAAGACATAAAAATATGATTTTTATAGTAAGAAAACCCAGCCTCAAGCGATATTTTATATATAAATATAACGAGGCGTTAAGACGGGAAATCGTATCCTTTATCAATGTTACATTTTATTTCTTTTTCCATACTATATGATACTCATAGGATATATAGGCGTCTCTATCTACGTATTGAATGGCCCTGAATTTTTAAAAGAGAGTAAAAAAAGAGAAGAGGGTGAAAGTGCCGCGCGTCGCTCAACAACCTTAGCGACCTCTATTTTCAGCTAAGTTAGAAAGTTTCTATTGGTGGAGAGAAACTGCGTGTATTGTTTTTTAGTACAAATAATATACATTATACATATATTATTATGTATATTACTATTTTTATGAAGGAAACGGTATTTTTTATAATATAGTCGAAAATAAATATGTTTATAGAAAATAATTTATTCAAAAATATAGGCCTAAATTTGTCAGCTTTTAATTATAAACTTCATTTTCGTAGTGATATGTAACAATAATACAGTTAAAGCGCCAGTTTCGGTAGTCTATATAATATAATCTGTATCTATGGACTAGTCGGAAGCTTATAAGTTCGATTGCAGATTGTATCGAACTGGCGAATGCCGTCGCTTTCTAGATGGAGACAGATAGACTTGATTAGACGCCGCGCGCGCGTCACGTTGCGCGTCACATTTATCTAGTTCGTTTTCGATTCGATTTTTTCGAAATTGGACTCGAGAAGAGGATTTAGCTAAGGTTCAGTTTTTAAAGCGCATGCGCATCAGGGATACTTATGAAATAAATTAAAGGATATTCTTATAGAGATTTTAATAATCTAAACTAAAATTATCAAAATGGATGAATATTCATATGGCTATTAATTTTATTCATAGCTACAGAAATAATAACGCTATTTGCAAATTGTATCTGCACACGCATATGTGATATAACGAACTATCAAGCAGATATACAGCACTGATTAGATTCTTATCTGTTATAACTTTGCTATTTACCGTTCTCCTGTTTCCTCTTAGCTTAGTCTACTTATAGTGGAGGATTATCTTAATAGCTTGTTAGCGGAAGAATTGGCTTAACTTAAGTAATCTTTATTCAAGATAAAATAAATGTCAATATTTCATTCCCTGCTTCCATCTCATTCTCCGTTTCTGTCTGTTTCTCAATTTTATTTCTTCCTTTAGTTTCTCGGAGAAAAACGGATGACGCAAACTTTAAGTTATATAAGAATATATGATAGGAAGGAATAAAATGAGTGAACGAGAATGAGTGAGTCTAAAGGAAAAAGATAAACAAGAAAAAATACAAGTCAATTAAGTAAATGATATTCCAAGATTTTTTTTCAGACGTTCGGGGATTTGAAGAAGAGTCAGCTGTCGTTATATGGAAATGGGAGATGGTGTAAATTCGGGAATATAAGAGAATGTGACAAATCCCAATATAATGTAGAAATAATTATTGTCACAAGAGCTTACGCATACTCTAAATCCTATATATTTATATATGAAAAAGAAGAGTTGGCATGCCCCGAATGCATACGAGAATTGAACAAAACAGTAAAGAATAATATGGGCTAGTTTATAAAAGGGTCAGTGAACACTTTTTATATATTTTTTATAATTATTCATGCTTTTTTTATACACAAACATAAAAGGTATTCTTTTTTTAGACCGTGACAAATCCTTTTTGAATTTGTTCCATGGACATATGGCAATTTATTCAAAAAAATTCTTTTTTTTATCAATTTTCCTTTCATCCTTCTCCTTCATCTTATCCTTCCTCCTTCATTTCGTATGCAGAGTATACAAGTTTTATTGCAATTATGACAAGAGTTATTTAACACCAATTAATCAATTATTTGTTCTCTTTTTATCTTTTCCCCTTCTCTTTCTCTCTCGCTGTGTTCTTTACTCATGTATTTTTTTCATTTCTTGCCAATTTCTTAATCTTCTGTGTTCATTTTGAACAATTTTCTTGTTTAAAAAGAGTAACATATCGTATGACTAATCGACGTGAGGGCGTCACAACGCCTTAAACATAGCGTAAACAAATTTCTTAGCGTTGCTTCAAAAGTCCTTATGGAAGAATAATTTTGCTTTCTCTACTATATCTTCTTCCAAATCTAAAATATTTTAAACGATAGTTGAATAGAAATGTTTAAGATAAATAATACTTTCTTTTCAACTAACTTGACATAATTTTGGAAATGAGAGAGAAAATTGCGTAATATTATTAACGTCAATCATGTCAAAATGATTAAATACCTTTTCATAAAAAAGTAAGAAGGAGAGGACATTTGGAGTTGAATATGTTTGATAAGATATTATAAAAAGTGAGAGTTAGTTTGTTATAGGTAGTTTGGAAGTAATGGCAGTTAGGTGTGATGAAAGCGGCCTATGTACTTGAAAATACAAGTATGAAAATGAACGAGTTAGAAGAATAGGTTTGGCTGGAGAAGAAAAGAATGGCAGGTGAAAGAAACTGCTCAAGAATGAAATAAGGCGTAAAGGCGACGATTTTAGGGGCGAATAACAAAAGGGAACGTTACGCGTGCCTTACGCGAATCACGACCGTCTCCTAAGGGACGTCCGGGCGGCATATGGCGCTTTTTAAAGTGCTGCTCGTCTTTAAGATGGGAAAAGGATGACAAGGAAGATATACACGCATGCGCGACTCAAAATACCTATACACTCCCTTGATACCGCTTGAAGAAAGAAGTGAAACAAGGAAGTGAACACGAACTAGGAAGAGGAAGAGGATGCGGAAAGGGAAGCGTGGAATTTTTTCCATTCTTTGAAGGATTACGTAAAAAATATGCGACGCGAAAATCCGAATCGTAATCCGATAATCTGCTTAGGCAGACAAACGGTCCCGTCATTCGTCTGTTTGGGCGTCGAAAACAATCGCGTTAAAGCGTCCAACTGCTGTCTTTCTGTCTTTTTTCACTATTCTTATTACATATTACCTTATTGTCCAAAACCGTTTTGGCCATTCGAAAAAGATGGAAGAGCATTGGGAGAATTAGTTAATACCTTAAAACAATCCTTCCTTCTTCCACTCAACTGAATATATATTATAATTTAACACAAGACTGATAATCGTCGACGTGCCAGTCAGTTAATTCACTCTAAAATAGGCCTATATTTTGAAAAAAAAGATTCTCCTAAAAACTAAACAGAATAGAAAGCCATCTACTTTATCGAATAAAAAGAAGGGGGAAAAACAGGAGAAGAGCGGTAGTATTTTTGAAATAATTCGATTTCTAGAAACGACGCCTTTAATTCTTCGCTACTCAGATTTCGAAAACTTCCTCTCTCAACCCCTCTCATAATCGGTCGACAAATCAAGATGGCCGCCGGCCGCAATCTCGCCCTGCAATGCTTCATCAAGCGTCTAATACAAGACGGTTCGAGCGACGCCTCATTGAGTCTAAACCGCAATCGGTCAGTAAATGGCCGGTCTAGTCGCTTTATAATATATGTGTTTACTTCGGTGGGATTTTCCGTCTAACTCAAGTAAGGAGAGGGGGGATAAAGAAGATTAAGTACAGTTGTACATAGACTTATACATATTACACCCTATCTACATATAGTCCTTAGATTCAGCCTCTAGCCCTAATGTCTTGGGGGACACTATCTCAGATAAGCTTCGGCGCCTCGGCAGCGCCCTCTTGTGCACTTCTCATCAATCACACACGTTGAACGTCCCTTGCGGACCGGCGTCTCTGTCTGATTGCGTTTGTTTTTCTCACTCGCTTGCTTTAGTGTTGATGGGCCCGGGCAGAGACGCCGTTTGTTAACTCAGCTTAGGGATTGCAAGACAATTGTAACAAAACTCTCAATAAGACTCTAATGCGTTAAATCGCCAATGATCTGAAAACTAACTAAATACAGTTCCATATTTCATTTTTTTTATACTGCAATGTCAGTTAGTGATAATTATATTAATATTGTTATTAATAATAATAATAATGATAATAATAAAGAAAATAATAATCTAACTTGACATGAAATACCTCAAGGACAAGAGAAACGTCATTAAGAGATGGTAAAAATGTCACTTTGAAAGAAACATTTTTTTTTCTTCTCTTATTTTTATTAATGAATAGATTTAGGTCTTCTTTGTACTATATTAAGATATGCCTTATTAGTTCAGCGCCTTTCTTTCAGTTAGAATTTGGGTCAGTTGAAGAATAGAAAATATTGGAAGATTGTCCGTTCCTGCGTCTAATAACTGTAATAATAAATAAGTTTTTCGTTATTTGATTTACCATGAAATTGGCTTTCGTATGTATTTTCGTATGCTTCTAAATTAACTGCACTCAAGCGTCTGTATTATGTAATTGACCCGGAAGAGCCGACGCTCATAAACGTCTATTGTAAAAGAGTACGTATATTTTTAGTTTCTTCCTGTTCTATAACACAGTTATTTTTAGCACGTAATATTAGAAGTCACAGAAAGAGGATAAGATGCTGATAAGGGAAGTATAAAAAACAATATACTTTTAGTGATGTTACATTATAGAATTCCAGGAAACTCGGCTAAAAACACTATTTAAATAGGAAAATGGTATTTGTATTTTACAATCGAAAAATCGAAAAGTTTAAGTCAACTAAAGATATAAATAAATCTGTCTATCAAAAGAGTAAACAGATGCCTGTTTCTACCGTCAGTTTCCGAATCGTTTGCACATCTATATCTCTGATTGACTACTATTTTCTTTTTTTAGCCGACCGTATATAAATCTCTATTTATCACTTTTATCCCTCTTACTCTGGAAAATTTTCCGCCCATCCAAAAAATCAAATTAGCTTTAATATAACTTTCCAGGAATGAGTAGGCAATTGATATCTCTCTGTCCTTCTGTCTCTCTATCTCTATCACTTTCTTTTCCGAGACTGTTTAGCAATTTTATATTACTTTTAGAGTATTTAGTCCCCACCCTCCACTTACTGCAGACAGAATGGAATTGCGGTTTGTCAGATAGCACGTTGATAGTCCAGCTGGAAGAACGATGCATCATTCGTTTCTAGTGATAAAGAGAATGGAGATACCATTGCTAGTAGTGTATCATTTCTCTCAGAATCTGCTTTACAGTTTATTTATTCTGTGTAATATTGTGAAAAAAATTAACTCTATATGAAACTTGATTAAATTAAGTAATACATCAATGCCGAACATGAATCTATCTACTTTGGTCCTAGAATTAGCGAATCTTTTGGGACAAAAGAGTGAAAGAGATTTTCCAATAGATTTAATTCTCTTTTCTGACCGAAATGGGGGTTGGACTCTTCAATGAAATGAGAAGGAAGCGAACTAATGCATAAAATAGAAAAAATTCGGGGTTCATAAATCATGCACCCAATCAACGTTTGTTTCACGCGCCAACTGCAACCGTTTCGACTGCAACAGCGGCGTCTATTTTCCGGCTGATGAACGATGCAGTATCGTACGTCATCGACGCCTCTCACGCGAAGATATAGTCATTTTTCTTCTCTGCTAAGAGATTTGTTTAGCTTAGTGTTTTATACACTATCAAGTTGATTCTCTCTTTATCGAAACTATTAAAACTAAGTTAACAAAAACTAGAGGGCGCTGTTCGATATTTAGAAATTTTTTAAAGAATCAAGAAAAAAAAACTGCAATTTTGAAAGAAATCAGTAATTTTGTATAAATTTAACCTATTTAAATATTAATAATAACAATTAGAATACTTTACTTGTTATGCTTTATAAATATGAGTTATAAATCCAGAAACAAAGCGATTAATCCAGAAGGTGGCGTTGTCTTTTTGCGAATATCTATTTTGTATGGTGTATTAAAACTTTTAATTTAAAAAGATAGGTAGTAAAATGGTATTTCTTAATAGTTAGGATGCATAAAAATTTCAACTTTACGCCTAATCAATAACATAATTTATTAATAATTACGTTGTTTTTAAATATAAAATTGCAGTTCAATATTACTTTCAAACCTACAAAAATATTGAATATTATAACTATTCGACTGCAAAACGTTATTTTATAGTACAAAATTAACATATTAGAATCGTGTATATAAATTATGTTTTTTTAAAATACATTTCATTCTTAATACAAATGATTGAAATAGACTAATTTTCTATTATTAATTCAGTTATTATTCTTTTGTTATACCAGTAGACCGTCTATCGAAACCAACGACTGTAAATATTCAACACCGTTCAATGGATACCAAAGCTGTAACAGATGAAAAAAAAGAATTGTAAAATTTTTAACTGTATAAACAGCCGGTGCTAAAACCTTTTACACAAAAATTTTTATATCCAGTTGGCTCCTGGAAACTTTTAATGGCGTCGAAAAACGAAAAGCAAAGGTCTAGAAAGAAACCAAGGTCCCTTTGGACTAGGACAAAAGACTTCTTTTTATGCAGAAATACCAAAAGTGACGGTTTGTATTGTTTTTTCTTTATTTTTAATAAATATTCTTCCATATTCCATCTTGTATAAGTTTAATATATCACGTTTCCATAGTAATTTTAACTAGTAAAGTAATAAAATTATATATTGCATCGTCTTTGCTTAAGATTATAAACTTTCCTTCTTAAGGTCGTCTTTTAGCTTCTTACGTTAAAATATATGCATTTTGCAAATGAAAAGAGAAAGAGAAATAGAGCGAGAGAGAGAGAAAGAGAGAGAGAGAGAGAATCTAACATAGATAAAAAAATAGAAAACGAGGCGCCTGAAAATATTAAATAACTTTTTTGTTTCGTCTAGTCAAAGTTTTGAATAGACTGTTGTTTTTTATTTTAATTTTATAATATTCAAGTTAACAAGCTGACGCTTTGCAAATCAGAGAAAAAGTATATATTGTACTATATACAATACATTGTATATATAGTATATATAATGTGTATTATATATTTTTGATGTTGATTTTCAAAACTGCCCAAAGGCTAGTTCAATGATATAATAGATACGAAACATATAAGAGTTTTTTCAATGATGGGCGGTAATAGTCAAGTTTGCTTTTTATCAAACAGCACCAGAATGGAAAGACGTCCAACACGAAATGAGAAGAGTCCCATATGCATCGGTTGTCGCCTTTGCAATGTGCGTATCGGGAGCCGTTATCTGTTGCGTTTGTCTGTATGCGGCCTTTTCATACATCGTTATGAAATTTGAAGTTGATATGTAAGAGATTACTATCTTTTGTTACAAGCGAATAGATAACTGACATTTATTTTTTAGGGTAAAAAAGATTGTCTGGTTGGTTATGTTTATGCATATTGGGGCTGCTGGTTGGTTTTTGTTCCTAGCTATCTTATTTACGGGTCATACAAGGAAGGAGGCTTGTGCTCGGTGTGGGGATAGTATGGGATTCTTTGCCAAATGCCAGCATGTATTAGCTATTTTAAGCGCGTATGGCTTACATTTGTTATGGCTAATCTTACCAGCAATTTTACTGATACCTGTTGTGATAGTTACTGTATTTGTAGTTGTCTGTGGGATGATCCCTGATTGTTTTAATTTGTCCGATTACGGTATTAAACCCGAGCACATGGAAAAGTTCAACCCAGCGTCTGTAATAGGAGCAATTAAATCATTCGATCCAGCTCATGTTGAGACTGCAGTTAAAGAGGCATCCAAAGCTGTTGAAAAGACCCTAACTGAGGTTGAAAAGAGCGGAGTATTAGATAAATTAATCACCCAGTTTGAGGGGATGCTTCCTAGCGAAGAAGAACTCGATAAATTGGTAGATGACGTACAAGATGCTATAGATACCGAGCAGTGGCAGGCCATGGTATCGGAAGTAGGTGATAAGTTTGTTGGAATGGCAAATTCTACATTGAAACAATGGGATGAAAGTCGGAATCCTTTAGGAAACCGGCGGAGGAGGGACTTTGACAGCTATAGAGAAGAGACACTGCAGGAATATAAGGATTCTTTAACTGACAATTACAGAGATATGCTTAGTAGAGGAGAGGCAAAAGTTATTGAACTTTCAGATAATACATTTAAGCTCGTAAGAACTAGCGATGGTGAAATTTTACATATGAGTGATCATTATTTGAAAACAGCAGAGGATTTTGCAAACGAGAAAGCAGAAAAGATAAAATATTACAGAGATACACTATCAGAAGAAATAAAAGAGCTAATTAAAGATGGAGCTGCAATAATCTATCCAACCGAAGGAGGAACTATAAAAGTCTTAAATACAAAAACCAATGAAATAATTGATGAAAGTGAAAAGCTCTTTCAAACTGTTGAAGAATTTCAGGAAGAGCAATTAAGAGAATATAGGCGACTTTTACCCGAAAATTTAAAAAAGTTTGTTTTAGATGGAAAAGCAAAAATAGTCTCTTTGGCTGATGGTTCTCTCCAAGTTGTTAATACCGAGAGCCAGGAGATTTTACATAAAAGTAAGTCTTTTTTAAAAACTGCTGAAGAGTTTGCAAAAGAGAAGGCTGAAGAACTGAAAGACTTTAGGAACTCCTTATCTAAAGATCTAAAAGACTTATTGGCAGATGGCAAGGCTGAAATAGAGACCATGAAAGATGGGTCTCTAAAGTTAATTCATAAAACTACAAAAGAAATTCTAAAAAAAAGCCAACACATTCTTAAAACTGCATTGCAGTTTGCTGAAGAAGCTAAAGAAAATATTGAGAAAGAAGTGAAAAATTCAGTTGAAAAAATGAAGGAATATCAAGATGCAGTAAGAAAAGCTTTAGAAGATGCTCCAAAGAATATACAGGAGATGATAAAGAGGGGAGAAGCTCAAATCGTTCCTCTAAAGAATGCTACCTTGGCAATTATAAAAAAAGGTTCTAAAGAAGTTCTTTATCAAACCAAGAAATTATTAAAAACGGCTGAGGAATTTGCAAAGGATAAAGTTGAACAGGTAAAGAAAATTGCTGAAGATATGAGAGATAAAGCCAAAGAAACAGCAGAATTAGCAAAGAAAAAAGCCGAAGAAGCTTGGAAAAAAGCTAAAGAGGCTGCTAACGCATTAAGGATGGAGGTGGATGAGAAGGCAAAGGAATTAGCGAAGACAGCTGAAAAAGAGGCCAGAATAGCAGCCCAAAAAGCAACTGAATTTGCTGATGTAAGTCCATCCTTAACCTAATACTTAATAGAGAAAAATACTCTCTGTATAAAACTCCATCTATCGGATAATAATAGTATAAAAAAATTCATTCTTCTCTTGTTTATTTTTTTAGACAGCATTTAAAAAAGCTGCAGAATTAGCTGGAAAAGCTGATGAAATAATTGAACGCGCAATGAGAGAGGGCGTAAAATGGGCTAGACAGGCCTTAAAGGATAGTAGAAAATTAGCAACAAGCTTTCTAAGAGGCGCAAGAAACGCTGCAAGGGAAGTTGGCAGAAACGCTAAACAAGTAGCAAACGTTGTTGCTAGAGCCAAAGATGAGATTGTAAACGTTTACGAAACATTCCTTATGTTAGCTCAACATTTTGGTATTAGACAAGACGGAAATAACACTAACACATATTGTTCAGATGCTAAAGTGTTCTTTTGTGCCAAAGTTTGTATATTTATTTTGCATTTATTCGCTTTTCATTTTAGTAAGATGGCGCCACTATACAAAAATAGCTTTGTTATAGCAGTAATATTTTACATTTATTTAAAAATTAATTTATTAAAGACGATATTAGAAAAAGTATTATAATTTTTCTAAGTATAGAAATATTAGTTTGGTTCTTCAATCTATTTTTTAAACAGTTGAAAAGTGCTCAAGTCAACTTAATAGCTGCTTTTATAGCATCTGTACTAATTAATTTAAGTATGGTGCACTTCCTTATGTGTATGGGAGCTAATTGGGTCCGAATAAAGCGAGAAAAAGAAGAGAAGACACCCGAATTTGTTGAAGATTTACCAGAGAAAATGAAATTGAACGATTTTCAATTATCTCGAACCGGTTCATTTGTACATGTGTACAATAATTCATCCCATGCTTGATAGTATATAAAGAAAAGTCTATTTACTCGTTCATAATCCCTATAGTAATTATGTTTTTGCTTGTTTTTACTAATATGCATATCTTGTAGGCGTATAAAATATTTGATATAGAAAATCTTCACATTATATCAAACAATAATATATATAAAAAGTATATATATTTATAAATATACTATATATTACTATATTATACCAATATGTACGTATACTCATACACTCATAAATGTAATATGTTCGTATCTTTACCAGGTGTGGGCGTTTTTTTCACCTGATCACGTGATTATTGTGTGTATTGTTCTTTTTTTCTAAGGAAAAATATTTTATTGTAATCTTATCTCGCCAAGTTGTTTTCCCTTTGATATTCTCCATCTACCTTGCTGAGCCATGCTAGAAATTTAGTTTAAGGAAGAAAACGGAAGTCCTTGTTTTATTAATTGACTTCAATTCATCTTGTACTGCAATAAAAGTGGATAGGGACAGAATACTATGGTTTTAGAAAGGTTATTCAGCTTTTTTCCAATCTGTAATAAGGGAGTTGTAGGAAGGAACTAATACAATTTTCAACTTAGAAAATCATAGTACAGTTGTACAGTTCCAACTTAGCTAAGGGCTATACAGAGTAGTAAAATTATATAAAGACTAATTTGGCAAAACGACAAAAGATTCTCCGTAGGATATAGTCACAGGCCGAATGATTTTCAAATATTCTCTTTGTGGTTTAAGGCACGAACTACGAAATAAGACAAGGCTCAATCCCTTAAATCTAATAACATTAATATTATATTTTCCGTACTAGAGTAGTCGTATCACTTTATTTTTTATTTCTTTCTTTTATTTTAGCCCCCTTTACTTTGAGCTCTTTTTCTTTTCCCTCTTGCTCTCTTTACAACTAGAACTATAATAATTGTAGTTTTTTGTAAAAACATTCCTGCGATAGAAGGCATATTTCTTCGTTTTAACAGCGGAAGTGGTAGAAAAATGTATGATTTTAATGGTAAATAATCTATTTTCTATTGTAAACTTCTCCCCCCTCCCCTCCCCTGATCTTAAGAATAGATGTCAGTTTCTTACGTTGGATGACTGACTATGCTTTTCATATACAATGCGTTGACCCTAATTCTAGGGTGTATTGCGGTATGGAAATCGTCCGGATGTGAGGGAATACATATAAATCTCTTTGCATTTTACCAGGCTTTACAGATTCATTCAATTTTTCTGCCACTTCAACATCTTTTTCCCTCTTATTTTTCTGCGAATAGAGAGAAAAAAATGAGTAGAAAACAAATTCTGATACGTTTTTTAGAGTTGACAGATTTTTAGCAGAGATAAGAAATAAAACAAGTTAAATGTGTTAACCACAATTGAAGATAAAAGAAGAAAAACATATGAAATTGAAAAAAAAGATGAAATCTAATAAATAGGAAAATCGATGAGAAGCTTGGAAAAATATGTCAATTTTTTTTGAAAGTGACTAAGAGACTATTTACGGCAGATTTGCTTGTATATTAAAGAACTACGTGATCAGAATCTTCAGGTTGAGTTTCGCTTCGATGAAAGAATAGATAAGAAAAAAAATCTAGTTAAATTGCGAAAGACCAAACCATTATTTTGCTTATTTCACTAGCGTTTTTTTTAGACGTTTCAATATTAATACCACCAGAAGGCTCTACCTGATACTTTATGACGCCCATCCACTTCAAATGGTACTTTCATGAAGATCTCTAAATACACACCGGTTTGTGGAATATTCATTACTCTTCACGAGAGAGAAACGGTAAATAAATTGCACATATTTCTTTGTTTCAAGTTTTATCTATTAGGTTTTGATAGAGTGATTTATACATAATAAAAAAAATCAATAAAATTTCCACCCCTTTTTTATGCTTATAAAGGAACGCAGGTAGGCCTTTACTACAATCCCAATTCCAATTAAGTTCTAGGGTAGACAACTATTCTTTCCTTTTCACCAGCAAAAAAGAGTATTCTATATATCAAAATATTTTTACAGGCTTCTGCAATTTTAAAAAATATTCAGGTGTACTTGGTATATATATATATATATATATATGTATATCTATTTGTATATATTTCCAGAATACTGAATATCCAGTATTACAATACAATATATATATATATATATAGTATATTTGCAGAAAATACCATATATTTATATATTATAAAGTTAGCTTGTGAATAGGGTAATGTTAGTGTGTATGAAATGTTTGTAAATACATATTTGGAGTGACAAAAAAGGATGGGAGAATTTATAGAAAAGTATATCGAATTTTTCTATTTTTAGAATGATAGTTTTTACTTAATTAAAATAGAGAAAATATTGATTTGATGAACTTTAAAATTATTCTCACTTTCCCCAATTATACATTGAAACATGGGGCAATCTGTCATCCGAAACTGCCAAGTCGAGCGTGTAATAAATTAAAACCGTTTGCCGAACTGCAAATATAGTCGTCAATCGGTTCTCTTCACTCGTTTCCCTATATATTTCCTCTATGCCGCAAAAAGGCAATAGAATTTATAGGATTCCTTTAGTTTGAATTAATTGCTTCCTGCCTCCAATCTTTCTACTTTTATTCTTTCCCAGTTCTTTCTCCTCCAATTTATATGTTACATAATTCTTCTTATCCCCAATTTTCCTATTTTCATTTATTCCAATTAAAGGTAATTTCAAATAGAGTTGAGGCATTCTAATTGTTGACCTACTTCTTTTTCTATCTTCCTTCTTCTCCCCAGCCATTTACCATCCCCTTAGGTAGGTGTGATGCACGAACTCTGACTATACCAACAGTCAATACTAATATTTACCATTTCTTTTTTGTATCAATTTTTCGTTCTCCAACTTATTTTCCCATTTTTTCCCCTGCTTAAACCTTCTATTATTTCAGCTAGGCGAGAAAAAAAACCGATTTCCCTACGTCATCGTAACGTGCCATCAAAAGCCTTAAGAATTTGTAACTTGCAATTGTTGTTTACACTTCAATGGAGAAGCTTCTTTCTTTTTAAACTATCCTTTAGCTCTCAATTCTTTTTAAGTCAATAGAAAAAGATATATGTGTACTGTATATATATATATATATATATATAAATAATATATAAACTATATAAAGTATTTATATATTTTATTAATAGAAAATCTAATGTTTTTTCAGTCTTATTAATCTCCATATAACAATATATAAATTGTATTTGTTGAAAAATAAAGATAATAAGATAATTTACACAAAAAACTATAATAATAATAATAGCATTATTAATATTATTAGTCTAAGTAAACGATAAAATCATAAATTGTATAAACAGTATTTTTGTCATCTTTCAAAAAACATCGTTAACTTTATGTGACTTATTAATAATTATATTGTAATTTATAATTAGACCAAGATATAGCCGTTGCCCACGTTTTCTCTCGTGCACGAATTCTCAAGTTGAAAGGAATTTGCCGACATCTTCACGATACACTTCACGGCTCAACTGGCATATTTCAAACAAACTATCGGTCTATTATTTCCTTTCAGTTGTTCACTGTATAGTGCGTAATGAAAGGAAAATTCTAGTCAAAATATCGGAAATGTTTTTAGCTTAATTAAATACTAATCGGTTTCATTTTTGTGTTTTTAGAAAGGTACTTTAGACTGGGTGTTATATAAAACAGAAAGGAGTAAAGTCTCTCTAATATCGTATTTTAGAGCTGTAACTTTTTAAAGAAAATATATAAGCTTTCTCATTCTATAAGTATAAAAAAAAACAATTTTTTTCATGTGATCCCTGACAAAAAAGGTACGAGATAAGTGACAATAGAACTTGTGAAGGCAGTATGAGTATTATAAAATAGCCTCTTTCGTTTTTGTTGTTAATAGCGCAAACAGTTTCTCTAATTGAAGTATCCTTTCATTAATAATAAATGCTAAGTTTTAAAACCATCTCGTCTCTTATAAAAACGATTGTTGTATTTTCTCTTAAAGAGTTATGGCAGACATACACAGCTTTTGACACTTTCATAATTAATTACAGATGACTTTTGTGTAAATACTATCTATGACAACGTATTATCACGGATGAAAAGGTGGCTAGACTTCCAGTAGACTTGATCTAGAACTTATCAATTTATTTTGCCTATAGAAGGCGCTCCAAAAAAAGTTGTTAGACGCTTCCAGCCTTTTCCCACGCGTTCAATTGCAATATATTTTTTCACGTAAAAGCGAACCGTGGTAAAAAAAAAAGGGTAACTTGGCCTAGTTTAAGGAAGGGAAGACGTTTTGCCATTTTCCTACTTCATTTCGTACCATCTTTTTTATCCTCTTCTCTTCCTAAGCATCCTTCATCATATTACAAATTATTGGAAGCCATGAAGTAATTTAAAAATTTTTCAATTTTCCCTTTAATTTTTATATTAATATCTTGCTGATAATTTTGGCATTTGCTGAAGAGTAAATGACCTTTTTTGTGAATATTAATTACATGCAAATTATATTGATGAGAGGGATTAATATGAAAATCAATTTTTCAATGGTACAGGCTTCGTCTGTTGGGAAAAATAAGAATAAATTCATTGTGTGATTAGGACTACAAAGCCAGCATAATACAGGTAAGTGAAAATATGTATTTGTTTTTTTTTCTGTACATATAATTCTTCCATACGTATATTCGTCTAGCGTTCCTTCGAGTACCCTCTTACTATTACCGAAGCGTCTGTTATAATTGATCAAGTCTTTCTACCCTTCTAAAACACTTTTCCAATTTATGTATTTCATCCAATAGTTTAATTCCACCTGTCCCTTTTTTTCTGGTCAATTCCCTCCTCCTCACCACCCTTATTTATTTCCATGCCTCTTCGATCTGTTTTCCAAGCCGCCCTCCACAGAGTTCCCTTCTAAATAAGCCGAAACGTGACTTTTTCGCCGCACCACCAGATGGCGTTTTTCTATATACAAACGACGCCGTTTACTTTGGCCCTTCTCCCGCCTAACGCAATTACGTCGATCAAAACGTTCGATCGACGCTCGACGCTGTTATAATAAACTAGAGTAAAAATGTTTTCTGTTTTCCAGTATACAATATTCTGTTCTTTTTAAGACGCTTACAACAGACATTGACAGACAGTAAGATAGGAAAGCCAATCTTGCTTGTAAATATTCCTTATCTTTCCGTTTTTTAAAGGGTGATTTTTTCCATTGGGGGTTAGTTTATGAAGAGGAGAGAAAAAATATCATACACTTTGCTTAATGAAGAAAAAAATGGGGAAAAAGTTGATCAAATTTTCTTTATATCGTTAAATACATCTCTCATCAATTATTCTACTTAGGTTTACGAAATCTTTCAGGTTTGTTGTCTTCAACTAAGTTTTATCTAATATTCTTTCATCTTCAAAATGTGTTAGTCTATGAAAATAGTTTTATCTTAGCAAAAAAAAAAGATATATCTTCAAGCAGCAATTTGTGCTCAAGAACTCAAAAGAGAAGGTATAGTTCCCAATACGACCAGAAAACACAAGTAAATGGGGAAGTAAAGGAAGAAGCTCGGTTGTATTTCAAATAGAACCTTTGCAAGCTTATATTAACTTCCATACCTACATTCCGAATTGGTTTTTTTTTCTTACTTCCCGAATTTCCTACCCTTTTTAGACAAAAACGACTTTGAATAATCTTGTAAAAAAATTTCTGTTGTAAAGGGCCAAGAGAATATAGAGAAACTCTTTAAGGAGGGGCGAGAGAAGGGAATCAGCGGATCAGAGATCGGCTTAGAAATCTTTTTTTTCTTATTTTCTCTTTACTCTTTACGATATTTCCAGTCTCCCGACTTTATCCTTCGAATAATTCTCCCTCTTTTTTATTATACTAATCCGGCCGCTGACTTGCGTATTTTGAAGGAAAGGTCTGTAGGTCGGCAATAGGGGAAGAGTAATTACTCTACAACCGAACGAACCCCTCCTCGTTACGTCCGTCTCCTTTTCCCATACTTTTTTATACAATTTGTTTGATTCTCGTTATCGTTTTATATACTATAGAAAGAATTTCAACATAATACTAATTACATCTTATTAACTGATTCGATCTGCTAGGAAATACGTAGAGTATCTATGTCAACTTTGATCTTTCCAGCTCTCTCCCCTCTCTCTCACTTGCTTTCTATCCATCTGCCTGTCTTCCTCTTTGTCTTTCTGTCACTATCCTTTTAAAGGAAACAATTGTTTTAGTTTATGGTTGAGTTAATAGAATTTTTCCTTTTATACGTACGAGAATACGCCGCCCCTTTCCTTCCCTCCAGGCCTTTTCCACTTCTCAACCTCTTCTTTCGTTTCTCCTTTACTCCGCCCCCACCTATCTTTCTTCCCCCTCCAACTCACTCTTTCTCTTTCTCTTGAGCATTTTGAAATTATTAGTTTGTATGCTTTAGAATTTAAATAAAGTAGTGCTTTAATTAGTTCAATAAAGAAAGATATTAGAATTAAAAAGTAATTGGTACGCCTCTTTCTTCTTATAAGATAAATCTATTTTCGGATAAACGCAGAGCGGATAGAGAAAGGAGAATGAGTCGAAGAATAAATGAATGAATGAATGAATGAGAAATGGAAGGAAAATATTCTAATAAGAAATATTTTTGGTAAATTCTGTGCGCATGCGCTCTAAATTCCTAAACTGTAAAGAAATTTAGCTAAACACTCAAAGTTATATGTTTTACAATCCAATATATTTGATCTTACGATAAACGAGGAAAGTATATATCTAATCCTTCTCTTGCCTTCTATCGTTCTAATTAAATGTTCTACCCGTCTCATCACCCTTTCCTTACCCATGATGCATCTGCATCAGATGCGCCATCTAACGACTACTACGTTCAACGACGGGGCGTCCACCCAGCTTATTGCTTATAGTCAGCTTATTATATTATTTATCAGCCAACTGTCCATTGATCGTATTGTAAATAATGTATGAATCTCGTTTTGAAATAATTCTCTACACTGTGAAAAAAAATTTTTTATAGGCGGCGGCAGGCAAAATCGAACGCGTTTGAACGAGTTTGTGGAGCAGGCGCCGGCAGGGCGTCGAGGCGTCATTTCGAGCGGCGTCATGTCGAAGTACAGTAAAAAGAATCAACAGAAAACGATTGAGGTTTGTATCTTTATGTCTTTTTGGTAATTACTTAAATTCTAACTTTAAAACTAACAAGTTAGCATTCATTCGTTGTTTTAACAATGTATCAATTAAGAAAATGAGCTAAGCCTTTTACTGCTATTACTTAATTTTACGTATAAAGAAAAGAAGTGAGAAAAAAAACAACAACTGTAAATAACGTCTAATTAGATAGTCAATTGCAACGAGTAAGGTTTTATTTAACAAGTAAAAAAGTTACATAAGCTCTTCTCTATTTATCAAATTTCTCAATTGATTTAACATTTTTACCAATATCGTATTGAATAGACGCTCAGTACACATTTTTCATAAATATATATATATATATTTCCCACGTATAGATGCTTATCAAGAAAGTGGTCTCTAACATATCTGCAATAACTTTATTAGCTTGTAATCTTTTTTTCTTTTTTTTTTTATAAAAAAAAGATATTTCTTTTAAATTCTTTTCTGAAATTTCTTTTAAAAAAAACCTATAATAAATTAATATAAAATGAACAAACTCTTTCTATACATATGATTATTGAAGTATGTATAGAATTGTTTACTTATTGATAAATCTGTGTTTTTTTTGTTGAACGAATGAAACACGCTGTTAAAAAATTGACTATTTATTATAAATGAAAAAAAGAAGAAGAAGAAAGAGAGTCAAATGTCAAACTATAAATTTTTTGTATAGGTAAAGGCTGAAAAAAAAGGGATAGATATTTAAAAAAAATGAATGATGGCTCCTTCTAAAGCATCAAAAATGAAAACCAACCAGCAAGTTTCCTGTTTTTGTCATTCTATATTTATATGTCATACAATTTTTTTAATGCGCCTTTCAAAGTTGGTAGTGGAAGTTGAAGAGAGACAGATAGATGGGCAGAAAAAAATATTTACATTCACTTTTTTTCCATAGTAAACAAATGTTATATAAAGAACTGTGTGTGTGTAAGTTTTATCATCATATTTTTGAAAATTCAAGAGAATAGAAACTTTTTACTTTAAAGGTCAAACTTAGAAAAAAAGATTTATAAACAAGGAATGTTAGATGAACGGAAAAGGATAGAGTGACGGAGGGAAGGGGAGGGGAGGAAGAAAATAAGGGAAATTGATATTGTCCACGTTCTTTATATACGATATATAAATATATAAATACAATTTTTTAGTATCCTAAAACAATTTTGTGTAAGCAATTAGTGTCCAATTGGTAGTATAAAGATTGGCGCGCTTTTATAACTTAGCAGTCTATAATCAAGTAAAAACAAAATAAGCTGCCCTTTCTTTAAATTGTTATTGCAACAATAGAAATCGTTTCTTTCTAGATTTCAAAGAGAAATTTCAGTCAATATATATCGATGAAAAATTTTGGTATTCAATTTTTTTCAACGGTCTTGTCAAGTTAAAAAAAGAACGGAATTATATATTGAATATAAGCTAAGGACCACATTGAAATGAATATATGTCTATACAGTATATATATATATATTTACTCTGAGTAGAGTGTATGCCTTATTAAACTGCATCATAATCTAATGGTTCCTTAGCTGACTGCTAATTAAAGAAGGTCCTTAATTAACAAAAGTGAATGCTAGTCTGGAGAAAGACACAGTTTCCCTGCTTTTTTTTTTACTTGTTCGTTCTGTTTCCTTTAGTCTTTTCGCCTCGTAAACTTTGTCACTGTTTTACTTTTTGTCTTACATAAACTCTCCTGAGCTTCTTTTAAGTTCTTTTTGTTTTTATTCTAGGTGCACAATTAAGTCGATAAAAAGTAATTTATATAATTTCGTTCAGAATTTCTAGCCTACAGAGTTCAAGGTGAGAAAGAGAGGTTTCGGATAAATTATCATTTTAATTAATTCGAGAAAGAAGCAACTAATCACGCAATAATTACGTGGTATAATATAGGCTTAATATTAAGCCTCTGAACAGGGAGAGAAGTCCGTTAAAAATAGTGTAAAAAGTTTGAATTAGGCGCCATCTGTAATCGATATATCAGCCTAAGTCCAGCCCGTATTATTTCTGCAAAGTCAGCTTAGGTTAAAAAACTGCAAAAGCTGGAAAAATTGCAACCGGAATGAAATTTTCATCATATAAAAATTTTTATCCTGAAAAATTCCTTTTTTACCCTATGAGAATATATTCTTTATGATTACAAGAGAAGAAAAGGGAAAAGTAATTAAATCTATTCCGAAATAATAATAACAATAATAATAATGCAGTTAATTAAGTAAATAAGAAAGGCCAAGCATTGGAAATAGATTATTAACAAAGAAAAAGATCATGAGATAATCTTGATCATTTTTTTCAAACATTATTCCGCCTTTTTAAAGTATTTATGAGATAATAATACTGCGAGCATATGATTAACGTTCAGAGTGTCCGGTCTAAGGATCATACTTAATATCAGATTATATTTTTCATTGAATATTATTATTTATAATGACAAGGCATTTATAAGCTATTTCTGCATTGTGAACCTTAAAATATGGATTTTATATTATATATTCTAATATGTAAAGTTAAAAGATGTATATTTGTGAATGATGCTGATTTGTTGTAATAACAACAAGGCAACATATGTAATAAAGATATGCAAAAATATTATTATAAATGAACAAGTACAGAATAATAAAACTCTTTAGGGGATTTCTTAAAGAATTTATTATAGATTTTGTTTAGTCTAGAATTTAGGTTGTATAACAACCGATTTCTTAGTAAGTAAGTTCTATAAGTAAGCTTATACACATAGAAATGTATGTTTTATAGACATAAAACTACGCTAATTTAAACATATGCTAATCAATATTAACAGTCTACATTACATTTTTATGAATAAAGGGATAATTCGAAATTTTTACCCTTTTATAAAAATTCTTAACTATATAAATATATTAAAATAAATAGAACTTTTATTATGTTAATTCTTAATGGAATTTGATAATAAAATTATATTCATAACAATTCAACTCTCTCTCTCTCTTTTTTCTCTATTATTTATGATTATCTGTATTTAAGTAAATGGATCATAGATTTTGTTTATTTATGCAAATTTCAAACGTATTTGTTAAAACAAAAGAATATAAAATATTATTTGTTTATTTTCATTTTATATCCATAAGTTTTTTTCTTCTTTTGTTTTTCATTCTTTCAAGGTATTGTTATTCGTTTTTTTTGGGTATAAAAATAAGACACCTTCATTAATATTCATAATATTCGTCTTTTTGTTTTTACATGAACTCTTTTCAATGAAAAGACGTATTTTACTTAGCAAATCAATATATTGACTACGTAAATGAATACGTTAAAACTTAATTATAGTGTTCTATTTTTTACCATTTTTTTAGTTGAATCTTTCAATATGATGACATCCACGATATAGGCTTAAAGGATTTTTTTATTATATTTTCTTTTATCCTTTCCCACAACGCACCACAATAAATAAACTACAAACATGTTATCTATGTATTTCGTAATAATCGTTTATTTTCCTTAAATAATTAATAATAGACTAATCGCTAAATTTACTCACGTTTACAAAAGATGATACGCGAATAAACGGCTGGGTGAATGAATGAGAACATCAATGAATGGATGAATCAATGAATGAATGTTATAAGAGAAAGAGCAAGAGAGAGTGAGAGTGAGAGAGAGAGAGAGAGAGAGAGAGACAGAGAGAAAGATACAGTGAGACATAGGGTAGAAATAATAAATTGCATTTGTTGGTATTTTAACGAAAGACAAAAAGAGGATCAAATTGTCGTTATTATTTTTGTTTTTGGCCAATTTTATCTGAATATTACGACGAGATTTCAAACCTTAAATAGCTTCATTAAAAGAGTGATACATTTACGAAGAATAATCATTTAAAATAACTTTAAACATAAAAGTAATCGGAACACATGCATTTGTATTTTAGCAATCAGGCTTTATATGATTATCGATATATAATTGGGGAGTCTTAGTTATGCTCGTCGAAAAGACGCTTATATTTTTTGCTTGCCCATAATATAGCAACGTACTATATATACAGTATATATATCTTCTTTTTCATTATACTGTATATATATATATTTATATATATATATATACTGTATATAAGTATTTATCCATCTCTATCTCTATCTCTATCTCTTTTGCCATGTTTTCGTTTTCCCTGTGGGAGACAATTCATCATAAAGAAAAAAGATTTTTTTCTGTTTTTCGAATCGATCTATACAGTTTTCGATAATTCGTTAGAACAACTAGTTTTTCAGAATTGTCGATTAGCGTCAGTTGTTTTATTTATATCTTTAGCATCCATAATTAGCTTAATGGGAGAGTCGGGAAACACTGTTTTTACCTATTCATTTGTAAAACATGTATGTAGAACCATTAAGTCTATGAGTAGAATAGAAATTGTGGTCTTAATTTCTGCTTTTCACCCTTGTAGGACTATCTTGCTCATTTGGAAATTACTGAGGATGAATTGAAAGAATACCGAGAAGCGTTCAAATTATTCGATAAAGACAATAATGGTTATATAACAACGAAAGAACTTGGAACAGTGATGAGATCCCTTGGTCAGAACCCTACCGAACAGGAACTAATCGATAAAATTAACGAGGTAGATGTCGACGGAAGCGGAACTATCGACTTTCAGGAATTTGTTGTTATGATGGCCCGTCAACAATGCATGGGAAGGGAGGAGCTAGAACAGGCTTTTCGAATATTCGACGCTAATGGTGACGGTTATATAGATTCTGCTGAATTGAGGCATTTGCTTACAAACGTCGGTGAGAAATTATCCGACGAAGACGTCGACGAGATGATTGCGGAAGTAGACGTCGACGGAGACGGGAAGGTTAATTGGAAGGAGTTCGTTCAAATGATGTCTCAGATGATGGGAATGGATAATCCGTTAGAGGGCGACGACGGTAAATATACTTCTTATAATCTGCGGCTTACAGAGCAGTTAGGCAGGTACATCTTTGCTGATTACAATTCTTTCCATTCATTTGCTCACTGTCTACCCTCAATACCCATTTATCGCCTCTTTAGAAGCAAAAAAAAAATTAAGCGGTAAAGAGAAAAGAATTGTATTCAATTTTTTTCACATTATGAAAAAGAGGATGTATAAAAGAAAGATCGATAGGAATAGAGGCAGGAAGAGAGAGGGGAAGGATTAATAGTGAAGTTGCGCATGTTGGTGGCATATAATATCTAGGATGATTCGAGCTGTCATCAAAATTGTTGGCATTTTTCACTCCTATCTATTCCCTTTATGCTTTCTATAAAATTGGCAAATATTAACGTATAATCGAATTTTTTTAAATCGCTGATTTCTTATGGGATAAGCAGATTATACGTTCGACCCTCAAAGGGTGCTAGTGAAGAGTAGAAATAAGAGGGCAAAGGGATAAAAGGGAAAGAGAAAAGGATATTAAATAATGTAGAAAGAGGACGAACGATAATAGTTAAAATTTCTATGCACCCAATTTACTTCAAATTTCCCGTCGTTAAAAGCAATAAAATGAACAATAGACTTTTAGCAACAGATGCTATTCGTCCTCTAGTCCTTGGCAAAGTGAATTTTTTACCCATTCCGGAACAGACTTAAAAGCAGTTCCCAAAAGTCCAAATATTTAAAATTCCTAAAGCATTCGTAATATGTAGTTATTTTCTCGATTTGGCCCTCCATTCCCCGTTTCAATCTGTTACCATCCTCTTTTAAAGTTTCCAATCACGGATTACAAACTATCCGCCCCCTATTTTTATCTCTTTCTCTCTCTCTCTCTCTGTCTCTCAGTCTCCCTGGCCAGCTGATCACCTCTTATTATCTTTTTCTTTTTATACAAGCTATTACGTTTAAGAAATGACAACATTAATCAATTAAAAATACAATAAGTTTTCTTTCGCCTTGTAAGTTAATTGTTTATATAATTAATGGAACTTTCTCAGAAATATTGTTTATATAGTTTAATTTTAATTAAAAAAAAGGAGTTTTTTCAATAATTCAAGAAATATAGAAACTTTACGAGTAGTTGAATAATTGATATTTAAATACTTTAGAATGATTTTTTTTTATATTTTAATCTCCCTCTACCCCTTTCTCTTATGAACATATTCAACTGTAAAACACTACCAATACGGAACAGTAATAAAACCTATTTCCCCGTGTTATTATTACATTTCCTCCTCAGCAAACTTGGATAATAATAATAACAATATTATTAATAAATCTTCAACGAAAGATATTTTTAAATAATTTTTTGAAAATATAAAAAGATTAAATAGATTTTCGTCTAAATCCAGGATATTACAGTCATTATCGACCGTCTAAATTATTGATTTTTATCGAATTTTTTTCAATTAGAGTCTCTATAAATATGGTCAATACTCGATTAACGCCATTTTAACAGGAATAAACATAGAGTGATGTTTTAGGAACTGGAAAATAGAAATAATTTTTTTTTCCTCTTATTTTTTAACGGTTCAACAATTTCCATTCGCATATGTGCATGGTTCTAACTCGTTTAACCAATTTATTAATTTTAAAGGCAAGGTCAAGAAGAAATTTAGCCTTGTTTTATCGATTTCGTGTTCCACTATTGATTTTTTTCCAACACAGATTTTTTATACATCATGTTATAAAAGAGCTTATATATTACTACTACTACTACTCCATTTTCGTATTCTTTACCTTCTCTTTACGTTCTCTCTATCTCATTCTCTTTTATTTCGCTCCTTATCCGGCGATATTCTTTCTTAAGATTTTAACTTTTCAACTCTGTCTTTAGCACCTCTCATCTTTTCTTTTTTAGCTAAACAATATATTATTCACAAAGTCTGTTCTTAGTTGATAAAGGAACATAAATTCTGCTAATTAGATTAAGGATTTTACCAGTCAAGACACAGTATAACTTCCTAAATGTCTTCAATATTGGATTAAATGCAGTCATCTTGACAACCACATTATATAGACTATCCTAAATAACTCTAAAGACAGTTGTGGGTGGATGATTATTAGATATTATAGCTAAAACTCCCGGGGTGAAAGATGCATTACTTAAAGAGCTCTGAAAATGAAATGTTTAACTTTTTTTTAGTCCCTCATATCTAATAGGAGAAGGGGAGGGTAACATACAAGACCGATTGGAAAACTAAAGGCAGCGGTAAAGAGTGCTAAAGAAGGATATTATAGCCCTCTAAGAATAGGCCTAATTTTGGCTACACTCTAATAATAAGAAAGAAGGGGAAGTGAAAAAAAAAAGAAAGTATTTTACAATAATTCTAGAAGCGTAAATGTTTTTTGAAATAAATTTCAAGCCTTCGGCGAGGAAGAATACTTAAAGAAAAAGGCTGAAAGACACGTATCTAAGCATACTAATTATCAAAAAACCGCTAGGCCTAAAATAAACAACTAAATAACTATCCTAAGTTAATTATCCTACAACTGGAAACGAATAAATTTCCTTTTCAAGAAAAAAAAGAGGGCATTTTTTTTAAATAGAAAAGTTAAGTAGATTGTTAATTATTGTTTGTAGTTAATGAGAAGATAGGAAAAATATCTATACAAAGTAAGCTTGTATATTTCTCTTTTACGCCCAATAGAATTAATTTATAGTAAGAAACCAATTGCCAGCTGCGTAATTTTATTTTCTTTTTCTTTACTATACAAAGTTTCTAGTAAAACAATTTAAGAAAATAAGTTGTAATTAAATTTTTGTTTAGTTAAGATTCTAGAATAACATTGACGAAAAGAGAGGAGGAAGGGGGTGGTATAGTAGGAGAAGGGCTGTGGGGGGAGGTTTAGACGATTATCTTTTCATGGAAAACTAATTGGAATAAATCGGTTCAATGAGATTTTATTTTTATTCTTTATTAATTAAAGATTGTAGATGATAAGGAGTAAAATTGAACTGTTTTCAAGTGATACTTACTCTTTTGTAATTGATTATTCTTGGGAATAAGTCGATACAAAAGCTATATATTGGTTTTCGCTTTTAATAAAATTGATTGTCAGAGGGGAAAAGTAAGCATGTTAAAAGTAGAAATCAACCATAGAAATTAGTGTATCATGTCAAATTGAAGGCTATGAAATTGATATACCAAGAATTTCACACTGTATTAACGTATGGTAGTTAATCAATATCGGCTATATCGCCTTTGGAACGCAATATCCGCCTTTCTCCTTTCTTTCTCCTTCTATCTCTCGCTCTTATTTTCATTTTTATCCAATTTTAATTATCTTTATCGCTATATGTTTTATATCTTCTTAAGCGATCTAATTTTATTTCTATATTTAAAAGTAACATTTATTATTGAAAGAGAAAGAGCGAAGAAGATGACAGATAGATAGACAGAAGAAGAAGGAGAAAAAAGGAATAGAATAAGTGAGAAAAAGAAAATAATTGATCATAGATCTTTCTTTTGTTCTCTTCTCTGATGTTTATCAAAAATTTAATAAGATCGCATGGTCGATAATAATTAAATTGATATTGGTTATTCTTTTTTCTGTTTCAGAAGTATATCCGTTAATAATTTCTCATCAGGTCAAAAGATACTAAACAGGGAACAAGAAAAAAAATAAGGGAGCAAAAAGTAGCCTGAATCGTTAATCAATTATACATATATGTAATCTAACAAATATACTTTTTTTATCTCATAGTTTCATTGATCATAATCCAGTTGCTTGACCCGAATAACAGATAATTCTTGTATTCGTATAAAGTATACAATAATACAATTAATTAGGGAAATATTTATATGAAAAAACAATGCAAGAAATTAAACTAAGAGGATTTTTATTTAATTCTAATAATTGTAAATATTTCGTAACGCCAACCGCCTCTGCTCTGATATATAATTCAATCTCATCCCCCTCAACCCCCTTTATTCAATTTTCTTCTACCAAGCCTTATTATTAAATTATCTTCAGCCGCAGCGGCCGCGACGCCCAGTCAGGCGCCCACAACATCGAAAAGTAAAGAAATGCCACGGAAGGCGAAGGCTAAACGGAAATAGGGGAAGACTACTGCTCATTTTGACCTCGAATTGATCAGAGATTCGATTTTTTCTTCTCGCGCTTCTGGTTCACTCTGCAGCTATTATCATTACTGTTATTATATTGGAATAATTTTTGGTTCTTTTTCTTCTTAAAATTACTCTTTCTTCTGCAGATTATGCATAGCACGAGTATTTTAACAAGTCAAATAATATCTTATATATATATTTTATAAAAAAGCGTTTCTGCAGTTTTTTATGATGAAATAAATATATAAATCTATAACAAAAACATACAGCGACATAATATTGCATATTACGAATAGGCATATGTCATAATAAGCTATTATTTGCACACATTTGCACATTTATTCATGAATATACAAGTTTTGTACCCCCCTCTATCCTTTCTTTTATAATTCTTCCTTTATATCCTTGTCCCTGCTCTCTCTCCCTCTCACTCTCTCTTTCTTTCTCTTTCTTTCTCTTTCTTTCTTTCTCTTTCTTTCTCTCTCTCTTTCTCTCTCTTCTTCTCTTTTTCTGTTTTTCCCTACTTGTTTCTATAATATTGAAAATTTGTTCATCGATTCCGATTGTTTATTCGTTCCATGTTGCTTATATGTACATAATCGCTAGAAAGAAAAGTTTCATATTTCCTATAATTGTATACATTTCCCTATAAAGTACTAATGAAGGTAAATAGTTTGTTTTCTCCAATAGGTGGCAATGTTAGTCAAAGATCTCATAGCTTTTTATTCGACATCTAGTATCTTTAATAGAAAATACTAGTGTTATTTGATATTTATCCATACAAGAAACGTAATGACGTTACATATTTACTTATTTCCTAACGGTAATTAGATAAATTTCTAAGAGTAGAATTCTTAATTACTAAGGACAATTTCATTAATTAGGACATTAGGTTAATGACATAATAAAACCAGCCTAGTTTGAATAAGAATGAACAAATTACCAGATAAATTAGCAAAGGAATATAGCGTTTAAACTAATTGAATTATGGATGCCCTCAAAGTTAGATAATTACACATTAAACTTGTAAGAATCATATTATAGAAGACAACACTTTTCTCCCTAGTTATCTTTACAATTAATTAACAATCGTCATATGTAACAAATATATTCTCTATTCTTTCTTTTCTAAAGGAGAGATGGACATAGGGAAAAGCGGAAAAGAGGAACTAGGACAGAGAACGAAGTATGAAGGGTTAATAGTAAATCTTTGAATAAATATTGTTTGCTATAACATTTGATATCCATTAATACATTTCATAATTCAATTTATATTTTCCTTATACAGTAATAAGTATTACGTTTGCAGTAATTTTCGAATAAATTTTACAATATAATAGCATTTTAACTCTACAGATGTCACTGTTTCTAAATTTTTCACTCCTTTTCTTTTGTAATTTTGATAATAAATTTATTTTATACATTGCTAATTAATTAATAATTAATTAAACGATTACTATTTGTTACATATCTTTTTTTTTTGCTTTAACATTGTGAATAATTTTGAAAACGGTTGAATACTCAATACTAGATACAAAGAAAATCTGTTTCAATGGTATTAATCACTTCAATTCATCTTTCAATTATTTATTCTTTATTTGATTACGTTTGATACCTATAAAACGAGTACCTAATTTTTAAATGCTATATTTAAAATTCAATAACATTCTATTAAGAAAACTTTGCCAAATATTTACAAATATATTAAAAGAAAAGGCAACTCCCTTATACCTTTAAACTTTTAATGGTTTAATATTTTGTTGCAAATGACCTTTAACATGTAGATATTCGAAACACTGTTAGTAGTTATCAACCTTGGTTAAACTAGAAACAACATTCTAGAGAAGTATATTCTATAAGCATGGAAAAAAGTTCTCACTTCAATCAGAAGCCAACACGACAATTAACCGATTGTACCTATGAACTTAATTGAACTAAGACTAAAAAAAGGATGTTGTTGCATTTAGATATTTGCCAATTGATAAGATAAAAGACCACTTAAACTTAGGTTTTCTTTTCGATTTATGAAAAACCGTTCATTCTTGTATTAAGAATTTAAATTCTATGCTTTTTCTTATATAACTCCATTTTTAAACTGATAATGACTAATATTTATAAAGAAAGCACAAGAAACGCTAAATGTATTACGTATTAAAATTTATATATAAATATTTAAAAGAACAAGAACAATATATACGAAATCTCGTTTATTTCAACTATAAATAGACCTACGTATCTACTTTTATTCAATTCGAAAAAAGTGAGGATAACTGTTATTTGGAATTCTATATAAAGTATTAAAAATGTATTGATATAGCAAAAATTTTCTAGTTTCAGTACGTGATTATCAATTTGCAATCGCATTATAATTAATGACAGAAAATAGTACCAGATGGGTAAGAAAGATTCTACGGATAAAGCGTAAAGAGATACGTTCTAAAAATAGAATAAGAATTGTTTGTCATATTACAAACAGGTGAAGACGAGTGTACTCTCTACTCAATTTACAAATAGTTTTAAAGTTATCAAGGAATTGAAGGTCGTTTATGGCTAAAATGATCTGAAGTCCTTGGCTTATATTTTAAAAAGTCTTATTGGTAGTCTACAAAAGATTAGAATAGGGATATCTATTATAATCCTTTCTTCTCTTCTAGTAAAAGATTAATCTCTTCATAAAAAATGAATAATAATAAATTACAATTCAACGGTTTAGAGAAAAGAGCGTCTACTAATGAACGTTCTATCTACTCAAAAGTTAAGGATAACCTATCGATTTAAAGTTTTACTAATAGTCTAATGCAATGTTCAATGCTATAAATTCTTTATGATTTCCTCTTTTTATTAGCTTCTTAGCGAGTTAAAATTACATATTTCGAAATTAAATGAAATTATAAGGAAAGTATCTTTTAGAAGGCAAAAGATAAAGGAATAAAGATTAAAATTAGCTTTCTTTCTTCTCTTTCTTTCTCTCTTCACATGGTCTTTTTCAGATTAAATACAATAGATAGTATATAGAATAGAATATTTTTTATTTATGAAAAAAAGGTAATTGATTTATTGGAAGCTTCTACAGAAATGATTTTAAAGAGATTTTTTTTTCGTGGTATTTTATTTTTCTTCCATTTTTTTTCTTCTTTTCATTCAATGTCTACTCATTTATTATTATATATACAGTCGTCCGTCTTCTGTTCTATAAAGTTCTAAAGTTCACAATTCAATCAGAAGAGAAAAGGAAAAGGATAATAATATCCATTGAACTTCATAAATGACAAAGGATATAGTCGGTTGTTAGTTTTGATCAGTGCCTGCCGCTTTTCAGGTTGTTAGTCTTTCCAGGAAAATTCTCTCTTTTTAAGGACTTTTTTTCCCTGTGATATTTACTTATTCATTGTTTAAATGTATTTTTCTTCTTCAAAAGTCTTAAGTCATTTATTATGTATCTTTATAAGAAAAAAAAGAAATATCTATTTAAGTTGCTTCAATCGAGCTTAGTAGTCCTAGGATATTTAAGTGAATTTTATCTAGTTAAAATGGTTAAAACTGACTGTGTATATACTGTATATACAGTATATATATATATAACTTAATTGTATTTGATCATATTTTTGATTATGAAAGAAAATATTGTCATTAGTTTTAAAGAGTAGTTATTAAAAATATATTAAACAAATAGATATACATACTGTGTATATATTATTTATATTCAAACAACATAATATTAAATGTTCGATAAAATCAGAATAGGTTGCATTTTTTCAAAACTCATTTGTTACTTCTTTATATATATATATATATATAAATATATATATTACTTTCATAAATAAATAGAACATTATTTTTTCATAAATTACAAATATGTCATTTTTTTCATTCTTGTATTGTATGAATGTGGGCATTTAGTATGTCTGTCTGTATTTTTTTTCTTTCTTTTGTAGGCTATCAGCTTTAGAATGTGTTTATATATTTTACATCGAAATGTTTCCTTCTGATAAAAAAAAAGGAGAGTATAGCTAAATTGAAACTAGAAATATTTTTTTTTTTAAAAAACAAGAAACAAGAGTTACGAAGCTATTTCAGTTTCAGTGTTTGTGAGTTTGGACCTTTCAACCGATATAGGTTCTGTTTTGAGAATGCTTTTTCGCATTAGAGATTCGTCACCTCTCACATTATCCTGAACAGTTTCTCCTACTTGTTGTACATTTGGCTTCTTAAAGCCATTCCGCCGGATATCAATAGTTAGCCAGGCGTATGCAGCACACGACAGAAATAATATAGCAGATGTCAAATACAATTGAATGTCAATACAACCTGTCCATCCTGCGATAAAATATAGTGTACTACTAGCTAGGCCCTGAAAGAGGTGAGATGATGCAAAAGCAGCTGCCGTCTCTCCTTCTCTAAATATTCTTCCAATTAATGCATTTAGCTGCGTATGATAGGCGTGTTGACCTAACGTACCTAACCCACCAACGAGGAAGAAAATCACATAAGGATGTTGAGGTTGGGGTTCCCAACAGAACCAAGCAATCATCATCGTAAATAGTATAACAAATGAGGTAGCAAATTGTATGTCACGATGTAGCCATTTTCCTAGATAACCACTAGTGTATGAAGCGATAACAGCCAAAACACCATTAGCCATAATAACATAGCCTACTTTATCAATACCAATAGCGCATGCAATCTGTAAAATATTAAATCAATAGAAAATAAAAACAGTAAAAGAAGCAAGAAAAATCAATGAATGTTTATTTGTAAACAAATTTTTAGAGTAATACCGGAAATGATTAAACTGATGATAAAAATACGTTTTCTTAGCTATTTTTAGAATTTGAATAAAATATAATATATTCAAATCAGTTCAAGCAATTTAAAACAATAAATGACCTGCATATGTCTGGTAGACCACATAAAATCGCCAGGAGAAATTTGAAAGAGCTGTAGGTAATTTTTGAGAAGGAATTTTTCAAAATATCAAATTTTGGGATACAGGGATTGTATGCCTCTATTGAAAGGAGGCTAAATGCAGTAAGAAAGGCAAAAGGCATACATACCAAGTATTAAATTTGAAAATTTTATCATTTACAATCATTTGCCTATCTAAAAATGTATAAGTAAAATAAAAAAAGTACTTTTGATGGACCTGATTGATTTGTTATAATTACTTAATAGCGGTCTAAATTGATAGTATTGTAAAAAAAAGAGTGAAAAACTGATCATTAAAATATAGATATTTTAAAAAATTTTGCCTGATGCCTCATAAGTCATCTCTCTTACAGAAAAAATTATTCCTAACCATAAACTTCATTTGTAAATCAAGATATTTGGAATTTTAGATATTTTTACTCTTGTTATAATTACTTAATATCGCGACTGTAATAATCCCAATTTACTCTTCAGCCGTTTAAATTTATTAATAAGATCCTATCATATCCTATGGGAAGAAAATTATCATACCCTTTCCATTCCTCCAGCCCCTACACTAGAAATAATTATATCATAGAAATATAAAAGCTTGAAAAAGAAAGGATAAAAAGGGCAATAGTTAATAACAGATGTCAATGCCTTGATATGTATAGCTGATAAAGAAAAGATGAATTAATATTCAATTTGTTCCTATTAAATTACTATAAAAGTTTTAAAAGCATGGTTTAAAATTCATTAATGAATTTCTTTAAATAGATCAAAAAAAATTTATTTATAACTATAAAACCTCATATTTTTTTAAAATAATAAGTTATTGATGTTATATGTTAAATTTGATCTGATAGTTCATTTACCTCTGTCTCCTTAAGCCTATTCTGACAGCTTAGGGTTCACATAAATCATTCGTTTTCTCATTAATCATAACGATAAGTTACAGGGGGTATTATTACAAAAAAATAATATATGAATAAAAATCTTACATTCTTTATAGTCGTTGGTATTATTACCTTTTCGATTGAAATATGTATTTTAATCGATATATGAAAATTTTGATATTATTTTTGTCTAAAAACTACGTTATATCGGTTTTCTTTTCATGATTTATGCTAGTAATTGTTGATGACTCAATGATTTACCTATTGCACCTACGTAACAACAGCGTCATTTCCTAACAAAATACGATATACACAATAAACCTTTAAGCCTACCCTACTGATTAGTAACCATCTAATCTTTATTAGTGTGTAAAAATCCCTTGCCGTCCATCTAGTGTTTAGATAACAAAGAGCGTATCTGCTTAGTTACATGCGTAGTAGAAAAAAACACACGCAAGGACGTAAATAGACGCTAAATAGAGCACTATATATATATATATATACATATAGAGAAAAGATATTAGTGTATATGATTATGTATCGAAATACCTATCTTATCTTAAGTTTTGTATCTGTTTAAGTTTTTGTCTTATTTTTTAAGCTTAAAACATCAAAAATAAAGCAACTAAATATTATTTTCTTTTGATGTCAATAATATAGTCCTAGTTTCTTCACCTCGCCTAAAAATAACAAGATCGTAAATAAAAGAGAGACCGTGCCAGTATTAACGTACGATTAAGGTGGACGTAGTACCGTTTTAAGAATAGATCGATCATAAGACACTCTTGTATAGGTGTTTTTTTTTTTTAAAAATAATCATAGAAATAATAAAAATAAAGAATCTATTTGATTTTGCTGTTTTTTTTTAGCTATTTTTATATTCAATTAGCGAAACTATACCTATAATTATACAGTTTTTTAGTTAAAGAAATTTAAGAAATCTTCTTAGATTCTGGTTGAAAGTTATAAGATTTCTTTCTGATTCAAGTAGATATCCTATTAATAAACTATACTAGGAAAGACTACGGTATAAATCACACGATATACTACAGTATAAACAAAAACAATTCAACTTACGTAGGCTTCGGCATACGCTGATCCAAGAAGGGCAAGAGGGAGAGCAAGCAGTATGGACATTGGGATTAGAGGTATAAAATCTTTTGAACCAATCATTTTGAATATTGATATAATTTGATTTTTTATGATATGTTTGATAGGCGTTGAGTTTTCACTTCCTTCGTTTCTTCGTTCAACATTTTTCAATCCAAATACGGCAAGTAGTAGGCCTAGTGCATTAATAGCCAGAAAACAACCGATAAGCAGAGTAAGTTTTAAATCTCCAAACTCCATGTTAGACTTCTGTCTTTCCGAAGAGTTTGGTTTGCAGTACTGAGCTCCACATTCCAGTACTGAGGACGATATTGTGGCATTAGACGAAGTGGCCTGTTCTGGGGTATTTTGTAGTACAACGGATGAAATTAGGTTACCAAATATCAAAACACTATTATGCCGAATCAAAGAGAAATGGTTGAGGGAAATGATTTAGATTATAATTGACATAGTACTTTTCCAAACATGCCAAAAACCACATGATTAGCATTCTGGAATATTTTCTTTTAAATATATCTGATTGAAATAACAGCAATACTGTTATACTTATAAAACTAAAAGAAAATGAAAGGAAAATCTTTTTAGTTTGTGTGAACTTTCCCTATTAAAGATTTTCTCTCTCTTTTTCCTTCCTACTCTCTTTTTTGCTCATTATAAAAGTACAAATGGAAGAAATTTTTAAATACTCTTTCACTTAATTTACTAAAAATTAAAGATAAATCTTTTAAACTAAATCACTTTCCTCGACATGACTGTAAAAAATATGCCATTGAAGTGCGATAGGGAACCTGAAACTGCTTCTCCTGAATTTTTCGAATGTTCAACACTTAACGCTGTCACATAAACTCCTTGGGTTGTCCAGAAAGGTCCCGTTACAAAACCAAGTAGAGCTGCCGCCGGTATTAAAGTTTGCCATTTGCCAAAAAAATTTGATGTAATAAATATGGTATGTGGTATAATACATAGGACTATCGTCCATTTTGCAGTTGCTAATCGAACCAGCAAAGGTGACCAGAAGCAGGAGAGGAATTTGCAGAAGTATAGAACACTGATCGCAAACAAACCTTTCTTAACATTGATAGAACTTTGTAGAACTTCCAGTGCTGTATAGGCAGTCATAACCAAAAGATAGACCCCGCTGATAATTGCCAGAGAGGCGTAAGGAGAAGACATGTTCGGTTACCAAACGTTTCAAATTTAACAAGTGATAGCAAGACATTTTATAGGAAGAAATTCCGCTAAATTAAGCGCGGCATCTGCCGCTTTTTACAGAAATGGATTCAGCGGCTGACTCTATTTTTTTCGCTATTGATCGACGGATAAGGCGCGGACTGCATTCAAGACTGCGCCATCTTGCTGTAAAATATTTACGCACTTAATATCCAGAACGCCTTCTCTCGGTTTCCCTGAAAAGTTTTCGTATACATTTATATAGATTTTTTAGTCCTAATTCAATGAAACAAATTGTTAATTAGTTGAAAATTTAGATAACTACGCAAAAACAAATGTAAAATCTAATTACAATTATAGAGGGTTATTTTATTAAAGGAAAACTGCATCGCTTGTCAGATCTTATTTCAAAAGAATCGAGTGGCGTTCCAAGCGGTTAGAAATGATTACTTCCCCTTTTGTATTAGGGAACAGGAAAAGTTGTTGCTTTTTTTATTATTGTTATGATTATTATCACATAAACACAGCATAATAAAACAACATTATTAATTTGTGATAGATTATAAGATGTTTATGCAGAAATAATGTACATTTCACTGCAAACGGAGGCGGAGGGGGTGGAGATCTATAAGGTTAATGCCCTATATAGTCTTTTTTAAAACAAGTTCTAAATAAAACACACGCACTTATAGTATAGATTAAAGATATTTCTCCTTCAATAAGATTATAAATTAGAATTTTTTCATTCAAATAGAAGCAATTATAGCCCTAGTTAAGAAGCCATTGAAATAGGTTCAATAACTATTTATTCTTAGATTAAATCCCTACTATGAATACTATATGTTTCTTTATTTAAAATATATAGTTTCGCTATATAAAGTACATATATATATATATAACAATTGACTGTCTCTAGCCATTTCCCCAGAATAATAATGGTAAAGTTTTCAAAAAAGGAATCAATCACTTTTTTACTTGTAGTCTAGACGACCAACTATTTAACATTTGGCCAATATATTAATATAAGCCTACTTAATAAATGATATATTTTTCTATTAAATCTTAAAAAATAACAATAGATGGCTACAAAATTAAAAAATTACGAATGGAAAAAATAATAGCAAAATAATTCTGAATGGTTTAATTATTAATTAAGATACGATCTTTGTTCTATAAGAACAAAGAAAACTTATTATATAAAAAAAAACAGCCACCTACTCTTTTCTCCTAATAGTGAAATTCTTATAAAGAAGATATTCATACATTTTATATAGAATTAAATAGAATTTCACTTGAAATTTCTATTAAAATTCTTATAGATTTACTTGTCTATATATAATTAAACTATTACGACTTGCTGAGCTATTAATAAACGAATAAAAATGTACTTACAACTAAAAACTTGCAATATTTTATATTTTAATCAATTTAATTGCTAAATATAGCATTAAAAAGACAAAAATTGTCTTGTATTCATTGATAAAAAGAAGAAAAATATAGAATATTATAGTAAATCATATATTGATCGAAAATAATTTTTAGCGACATCTGTTCTCTTTTTTTGCTATGTTTTTTTTTTAAATTCAATTTATTACCTTTATATTAGCAATTTAACAGCTATTATAGTATAAAAATTAAACTATGATCATTTTTCTCATCTATACCAATATAAGTATTTAATTTAACAATAAAATAATAAGAGAATTATTTGCAAAAAGGGAATCGAATTCTTTTCGAATTTTCCCGCTAATTATTTTACCATTTTATTGTTTATATATATTTTTATTCACTATTGAAATTCTTTTTGTCTGTATTTAATGAAAATATATTTAAAAAAATTTTATACGACTTATTTGTGATTGGAATATCCAATGTTTACTTGGAACTATTTTTCGCGTATTATCAAAACAAAGCGTATTAATATGACCGTAGCACACCTACTTTCATCTTTGTCCTCAACGTTATGATTCAACTCGGAAAAACGTTGAAAAAACCAAGAAATTTTTATCGTATGGACGAAAAACTGAGTGCATAAGATGGGAAACTGTTTAAAGTCTCAAACACAAGATGATATATCTTTACTACGTGGTAGCGACAGCCACGAAACGTCAGATTCGAATATAGGACCACCACCTCCATACGAGGTTTCGTAATCAGCTGTTTTATATATTTTTTTCAGATAAGAAAGCTTCAAGCCACATGAAAAGTACATTAGGAATAAGATATTTTATAGTAGTAGCTAGTTATTTATATAGAAAGTTAAATTATATCACGAACAGGATGAATAACAGGAAATTTACATGATGTTGAAAATATTAGAGGGCGCTGTCAAAGTCGAATGACAAAAATATTTTTATTATTTAAAACATATCTGAACTTGTAAATTAATTTATTTTCTTTTGTTTATAGGAAAGTGTGCCGATCTATTATCCATCACCCAATGTAAGTAGGCCAGCCAGCCAACTGACAGAAGATGAACAAATAAAGATAGCAAAACGATTAGGTCTATTACAACATCTACCCACAGGTGTTTATGACGGTTCGGATAAGAAAGGAAAAGAGTAAGTTCAATTTTTTAGCGTGAAGTAATCAGTTTGAGTTTTTTATATTTTTCAAGCTTAACATACCAAATCGATAAAAATTCAATTGTAATAACATAAAATTTAATAAGAAGGCTACAGTTTCTTCGCTGACGTAAACAAAACTTTTGAATATTTAAATTTACTGTATTTACATCAAAAAGTCTATTGGATTTTATATACCTACACTAAGAATACTATTACAAACGTTTATTTAGTAGTCTATTTATAGAATAGTTTAGAATGACTTTTGCATGTCAAGGATATTTGTTTTTTCTTGTTTTTCAAATGCTAATGCAGTCTTATTTTTCAGATGCGTAATATGCATGGGAGATTTTGTACTAGGCGATCAGCTGAGATTTTTACCTTGTCTTCATACTTATCATAGAGAGTGTATAGATGACTGGTTAATGAGATCAGCCACTTGTCCATCCTGTATGGAACCGGTTGACGCAGCTCTTCTTTCTACATATGATACTCAATAAACTGGTAAACTTGACTGAAAACTATTAAAAACCATTCCGGAAGTAGTAAGCTTCATATCAACTTTAAAACTATCTCTGATTAATTTGTTTTAAATCTTTATTTAAACAAAAATGAAACTGAAAAAAAATAATTTGTTATTTTGATTATATCAACTTAAAGGACAGACACAATTAGCTTTGATTTACAACAAAATAAGAAATGAATATTCGTAAATTTCAAAGTCCTTATTGGTTCTTATGGCCTAGATATATTGAGAATGAAAAAGTGTCAGAAAATAATGAATATATTGCTAAATTGTTTATTTTACTTATATATCTTTTAGCTATTATTTTTATCTTTACTGTGCGTTTGACTGATTGTCAGTATTAATCTTAAAAAATTCATTTATAATGCATAATAGTCATTTTTCTATTTAACGTGAATTATATATATTTTTAAATAGTTGTGTTCGTGTAATCTGGTCAAAAAAAAAACTACATATATATGTAATATTGTACCAATTGTGATAATATCGTTGATTTGAAAATCATCGAATATAAGAGTTAGAAATGAATATTTGCCATGCTTTTTTTTTATTTCAGACGAATAGTATTACTAAAAAAAGATGGAGTAAACACTATACAGTTATAATATAATTCGATGTTAGCGTCATTTTTTTCTTTCTCCCGCAAGCTATGACGTCATAGTCAATCTAATTTCATATGAAACTTGTATGCTTATTCCGTGATATAATCTGAAAATTCTTCCGAGGAATTCCAGGAATTTGATTTCTTAGTATTTCCTTGTTTAGTTAAACTAGACTGTAACCTTCTCAAATAGAGAAATAGATGCTTTTATATCGTTAAATAATTAAGAGAGAAACATGGGAGATTATACATTTCGAATTTTATAGGATTAAATGTAGGTAATTATTATTCTATTCAGCTTTGATTAGATTCTAACTTGCAATTAAAATTCTGATCATTTCTGCAAGTATCTGCGAATATTTGTCCTGCAACAGTAATGACGTAGAAACACGTTTTTGAAAAATGAGCATGATACTCTAGAGGCGTTCTGTCAGTATACTGTTTCCAATTTTTCAATATTAAACCACAAAAAAAGCATTTAACATTATTAACCGAATTGCAAAAGAATCCAGCTTCTGCAAATTTTACAGAGGTATTATCAAAGGAGACATCTTGAAATGTCTCTAAACGGCTCTTAAATGTTTGATAGTTAGGTTCATCCATCTCCTCTTCTAAAAAGAAAATAGATGTTAGTCTGAATTCGTTTCATATAGAGCATAATTGTTGTAGCAATAACAAAAATACTAAAATAAGATAGTATATGTATGTCTTTTTTTACAACAACAATAGTAATACTATCCTTAGATTTTACATTTTATGAGAATATAATAGGTTAACTGGTAATGAGGATATACTAAGTAAAGAAATATATTAAAATCTATTAAATTCTAAAGCCATTTTATCTAATCTAGTTTCGTTTTTAATTGATTTAAAAAATGACTCATTGTCATCATTTATAAATTTATATACAGTATATATATATATATATATATACGTAATTGTTGTTATACCTTTTACTCCATATATATAGTCATTTTTCATTAAAATTTCAAATTTAATTTCATCCAATTTGCAGTTTTCAACAAAGAATTTATAACCTTTTAAATACATTACAAAATTACAATTTGTTAAATGTTGCTTCCAAATATCTTCGTAATACGATTTCCTAGATGCTCTTTTCGAACAATAGAAACATTTGATTAATTCTTCATCTTCATCGTAATAAAATCCAGCTTCTGATAGCTTTTCAACACCAAAATAGCATTTTATATTATATTGTTCAATGAGTGCAGAATCTTGCTTTTTTAAGTAGGATTTTTCTTTAATTTTTGGCAATTTTAAAAATGATTTTTCTCTTATAAAATAGTCAATATATTTAGCATTCTCAACAGTTGTTAATCTATTCGCCAATCTTTTAAGTATGACGTCATAGCCATTAGTTAAATCTCGCTTTTTATCAATATAGCCGGGTGTCTACATAGGAAAGAAATGACATATTAGCTAGAGAAAAGAAATAAATATAGACTATATTAAATGAAATTAATTAACTATAACATATGGATGACGAAGATAATTTGGCAGTGATAATTATATGAATATGAGATAGGGAGAGAGATAGAGGAATTACAAAGATTGTAACCTACCTACAAGATATAAACGATTACATATACTTAACTTTGTAGCTAAATGCAAATGCATAGTTATATAATAAGTATTTGTTATTAACTATTTAACTGCTTTGTAATTTACAAAAGGGTAAAAGTATTTAATTAATTAGAAAATTGATTAATCCGTTTAATAGATAAATATTTAATACTTGTATTTTTACTTCTTTGATATCATTTATCAATGACCTGTGTTGAGTGTAAATATTTCCTTTTGAAATTCGATATGTGACATAGCACTTCTCTTACGATTTGTTTATTAAACATGATGAAATATAATAAAACACGAAAGAGGGTGGGAAACTACTATTTGAATAGTATTACACAATATATACAGTACATATACTGTATCTATTATTATCTTTCGAAGGCTATCAAAGAAGTGAATTTTTTTTATTGTTTTGAACCATTGTTCACACCAAACATACTAATATATTTCAATGTATATTGATATAAAAATGATAAGAGAACAAAGACAGCGTAGCATTTTTTGTCTTGTCTTTATGCTGGTATTTAGTAGTTTTGATTTATCTCTGACGATATCTATTATATTGTACTAATAAAGTACCAGAGTTGTTTATATACATTTTTCATAGATATTTTCAACTTAGATTATCTTTAATATACAAACCATATCCAATAAAGATGTATCCTCATTCCAGCTAGCCTTTTTACTAACTCTTTGATTCAATATTTCAAAGTTTGAATCCTTATTTTCATCATACGACATTTCAAGCGCTTCGGCATAGAGACCTATGTCGAAACTAATTGATCTTCTCTGATAACGAACTTCATCTTCACTACTTCTAGACATTTTCTTTTCCTAACAGAATGTATTTGTAAAGTGAAAAATCTTTAAGGCAATAACATAGTTAACCTAAAATGTTAAGGCCTAGTAGTACACCTTTTTTTTACAGTTGACTTGACAATAGTTATGAGAGAGTGGAATGTTATAATAGGAATCATATTTTGTTATATAATCCAACATAGTTTGTTAAAATTTACCCTTATAGAAGTTTAAATATTGACAATAAAACCGACAAGTACCCTCTTAAATAATTCTAATAAACTATTCACTCTTTATGGTAATTTTCAACAGAAGAAAAAAAAAAGAGAAACTTTCTCTTTGCATGTAAGGACGTTGCCCAGGAAGCAGGTATAACTTTTTCCCTATCTTCTTTTTACTTTTAGAAATACTTTCTTTTATCACGTGACTTTTTGACAAGCGACTTTAACAATTCTTGATATATCCAGGGTTGTTAATCATTTTATAATATAGAAATATAAAATAGAATAATAATAATAATTCACCAGACAAACGTTATGAATGAAAAGTATATAAAGTGTTAAATTTCAACAATATTTCTAGAGTATTATGTTATTTAAAAATAAATATAAACTATATAAAAGGTAAAGTTAAATATTTCTATTAGATTCAATTTTAACATAAGATAAAATATTTTTTAAACGGTTTAATACATTCATACGTATATACAGAAATTTCGTTATTTATATACTCTATAGATATTTAATAGATAAATAACAATATTAATATACCTATTTTAAATGTTCTTGTATTGTAAAATAGAGACTTTATAAGTAAATTATTATTGAAAATTGGATAATTTTATCGCAATTTGAAGAATAAACACGTTAGACGGCGCTCCAAATGGGTTTTTTAGTACCTCTTTTTTATGTTCAAGACTTTTGTAATAAACTAATAAATATATCAATTAATTTTTTTTATCAATAAGATAATTCAACGTTTCTTTAAAGGCCAATGTTTAATAACTTTTAAAAATTTTATAAGCACTAGATGGCATTAGCTATATTTATTAGTCTTACAATCACTAATCGTCTGTTTGTTGTGATTATTTGTTACAGAAATACTATTCTCAATTTTCAATTATTCTTTAAAGGCTATTCATTTTATAATTAAAATTATTTGTTTGAACGATTATGAAGAAAAACGCTGTTAAAGTATCATCTAGTCAAAATTTAATAAAGAAACATATGTAAAAATCCTTCTATGTGTTTACTTTCTATTACTATTGTTTTTTTTTTCGTATGATTTCATTCAATATTTCAATTAAAATTATACTTTTTTCTCTTTTTTAGCTATTGATAACCGTTGTTAAAGCTTTTAATGAGCCTAGTAGAATAATGGTTAAAAAACAGTACTATATTAAATAGGATGCTTTGTTTGATACATAGAAATATTTTCTATCTAATAATGAAAATTAGTAATTTATAGCGGACTGTTGGATACTCCTTTCCGTATTCCGGTCTTTTATAAAAAGTCTAGTTTGTTTTTTTTCATTTGAATAATAAACAATAATACAAATAAAAAACAAGAATATATTATATTTCCCGAGAGGAGATATATAGATTATAATGTAGACAAGTAACGTGTCAACTTATTCCCCTTCTTCGCTTTTCTCTTCTGAAATTTTATGTATCATTCATCTCTGCCACGAGAATATTTTAGAAACATCGTAAAAAACACTTTTTACATCTTGTCTAAACGTTCTCATTCTAGCATAGTAAACATAAAAGTTAATTATATTATTAAGGAATGATATATGGTAAGTTAAGGATATCCTCAGCTTTTTAAAAGTTCCAACATAGCCTAACAAAGCTGGAATAATCACAACCAAATATACAACAAAAACATAGAAACAAGTAAACATTTGTTTAATCATCCTTCTTTCATTTCTTCCTTTAGAATCAAAACTTCCATCTCCAGTGGTGTCCACCGAATTGGTACGGATTGCTACTACTCTTTTACGTTTTCTTAAAAAATAAAACATTAAAGCGTATAGAATTATTGACGTTATCATAACTGTTGCCAAAATGAAGGCTGTGCCATAGTTAACTAACTTTTTCAGAGTGGATTTTTTCTCGGCATAATTGTAACATACATACTTTCCTGAGAAAGTAGTTGTTTCACTACCAACTATTCCTCCATTGATTACAGTTATTATACAATAAATTATAATAAATAATTTCCACTTATTCTTGCTTATTGTCATAAAAGGTTTAGTTACAGCACAGTATCTTTCACAAGAAATTGCCAAAAGTGTATTAACTGACATACTAGGAAAAACTATCTGAAGAAAACTAGTAATACTGCACATAAGTTGGCTTCTTATAGGAAATATATGGTTTTGTATGTCTCTATGGAAAGATAATGGAGCTGAAATTAAACAAGATAACAAGTCCATCCAAGCCAGAAATCTTATAAATAGACCATTATTACCATTGGTAAAATATTTTATTTTCTTAGAAAATATTATTAGAATCAAGATGTTTCCAACTATACCCAAAATTAAAAAAGCACCATACATGCAAAGAACAAGTATAAGGATATTAATTTTTAGTTTATAAAGAAAAGCAAAAGACTTTGCAGATTCAGCATAAATCAATCTTGTACCATTCATGATTATTTTAAGACAAAAGGTATTTTTCAGTTATACTTCAAATAATGTCAAGTTTTTACGCTGAGAAGGAATTAGGAAGCTGTAGAAGTATATCTGAAAAATGCTTCAGATTAATCAACATCAACATCAATTTTTAAGACAAGATTCCAATATATTTTAAATGGAACAATGTATAATTTGTAAATATGGATACGAATTTTCTACTTTTAAAAGTACTTGTTTAGCGAAGAAATGTGAAAAATTCAACCAGTTTTTATTTAATAGTTGAAAATGATTTTTCAATTCCTCAGAGTACTCTTTTTAATATATTAGTATAAATACGTAAGACTTAATAGAGTATTAGTTCATATAACTTACCATTTATTGACTTACTAATGACTGAGGTTTTCGAAACATTCACAAGAATGTATTAATAATAGGTGAGTAGTCACGTGCTTTGCTGTAGAAAAATAGTTCTTAAAAGCTTTCTTCAAGATTAGATTTTACTATCAATATAGTATTGTGCATCTCTCACAAGAGTATGTTCATCCGCAAACATGTAAAAACGGTAAAAAATGAGAACAAACAAGTAACAATAAGAAAAGTCGTTATGAATAGAATACTAAGGACTTTTTTTCTATGCTATTTGTATTAGAAAGCTAATTTCTATATTTTTAAAGCAAAACTTTCAAAAAATGTAGAGGATTAGCTTATCAAGTTAGAAAATAATTACTTAGAGAATTCTGTTTTCCTTAAAAAGGGAAATTAATCCTCTGTTTTGTTTTACTAATTAATGTTATAAATAAACTTTTAATCCTTTCTAAATGGTTTCCCTAGATTACTAGGAACTTCTATATTTACTTTTTGACCTCGGTATTCTCTGCTTCATCTATTTCTTCTTTTCACAAGCTTTCAGTTGTTAATTATGAACTATAGTAGGAAAATAAACAGTATATCCGGTAGGTGGTGTTAACTATTCACTTGTTGCTTAACGGATAGTTATCTATATTACGACATATAACCCATTCTGAAGATATATTTTGGATTAGATAATGAAAAAAAATTGTGTTAAAGTGCTTTATAAATCTTATCATATAAGAAATGAAAGTAAAAACTGACAATAACCATAAATAACAATACTTAACAGATATGTTTCATAAAATCATAATTAGGAATTTAATAGTATTAAGATCTTTTAGTAGTTTCTTTTTAAAAGTAATGTGCAGTATATTAATTTCATATTTCAATATGGAAAAACGTTTATTCTCTACTTTTTAAGATAAACACTTCTAAAAGGTTTCTTTTTACCAAAGTAAAAAGTTATTTACGCTCATAAAATGATAAATTAATAGAAAATAAAAACCATATCTAGGGAGAAAGAGCTGTTGTTTTCTTGCATGTATCTTTTACTTAACATATATTAGTACATATACTACTGCTTATATATAGTACTGTTTGTTGATAATTAAATAGTTAATTTGCTTAAAATATACTTTAATAGTGAAAAATTACATTTATTTAGATTATGCAGTTAACAATAACTAGGTCAAAATAAAAATAATATATAATTTAATTACAGATTCTCGTCATGTTTTACTTTACATTTCAGTTGTACAGTCTCTCTTTGAGAAGATATATTATACTTGCTGTATGGAAGAGTTGAGTACACATATGGAACATCATTAAGTTAAGGAAATTTAAAATAAACTCATCCAAACAAAGTAAATATTGAAATAGTAGTTAAGCTGATAAGAATCATTTATTCAGAATTACTTTAAATGTCTTATAATTTAAAGATGGAATTAATTATCCGGAAAGAAGCTTGACATCTTCATAAGGCCAGAATACATCTAATACATACGTTTTTACAAAAGGATTGATTTACATTGATACAATTTATACTTTTGTTATTAAACTATAAATTATTTACGAAATAAAATATTCATAATATAGATTTTACTGAAAATTTTTAAGTTCAATACGTAATATTTTAATCTATAAAAAAGCAATTTTTACTTGCAAATTGATATTAATTTATTGTCATCCCTTTATATTATAATATACCCCATTTCAAACTCTTCTTTTATATATACATCATTTTAATAGTTTTTTAATATTACTGTTCAAGTATTAACGAATTACTATTTCATGATTTTTCCCTAAAAGAATATTACTGATGATTTTACTGATAATAATAGAAAGAATTAAGGCATGATGTAATTTTAGATTTTTCTCCCTGACTGACAAATTACTTTTGAACACTTTTTTCAAAGATTTCAAAGAGAAATTATAATATTACATGTGTTGTGATAAGAATGAACTTTCTTTAATTTTTAGCACAGATGGCGCCATCGGACACCATGTGGTGGTCTTTGTTGAGTTCAAGTTATTTTATTTGAGTCTAGACTACTTTTGTCAGGTTTACGAAGGACTAACTACTTTAAATTAAGTTTTAAATAATATCTATGCTAATTTATCGTTTCAACAAAAAAATTGACATTTTAGTATATTCACGTGGTGTGGCTACATGATCCATTGTAGAAAACTTTAATAGAGGTCACTAGCGACATTACGCAAGCACGCTCCGAGACTCATTCAATAATCATTGTGAGTGTAAAGAACCAAGAATGGCAAAGTTTTCAATATCTGGAGAAGATTTAGATGAAATTGGCGAATTGGACGGCCGTAACAAGTCAAAAAGTCGTTTCAAAGTGGAACAAGTAACAGAAATAAGCGCCGAAGAACGTCGAAACTCTTTTTCTGAAAGAATGCTTAGCCATGCGGCAAAGAGGGTACATGTTTTTCATATTAAAATGTTTCTTTAGATTGCTATAATAATAAGTTTCTGTAGAGCAAATTTATGAAAATGGAGATTAATATATATTTTAAGAACAATGGATTTATTACGCCTGAAAATTCTTGTTTTATTTACAGAGACTATTTACTTTTTTATTATATATTATGCAGACCCGTAGATGGTAAGAGAAATGATAAAAATTATGACATAAAGCAAATATGTATAAATATGATTATCAGGTTCAACGGTACCAACATAAATGATTAATCAATGTAATTTTCATTCATTCAGAGTCAAGTTATTTTTTGACAGAAACTTATTATTTATATTCGATTTTATATTTATTAATTTTATAATTTATTGCTATGCATAGGTTATATTGAGTCAAAATAGGCCTAGGAGAATCTCTACTAGCTCCTCTAGTCCTCCTATGTCACCAAGCTTGAATATGGATTCGTATGATACTGGTCATATAAGATCGGCTAATTTAAATACTTTAGAGACTTTACCACACGTGGACCATTATCGAAATTTATTATCTGCCGGTAATTTTAACATGAAGAAACGGCCTACTCTTCTCGAATTGCACGAAATGCAAGAGGATTATGAGGGGGATATTGAAGGCGCTTTATCAGACGAGAAGCAGATGCAGGTGGGAGGAACTTTGATAAAGCATTCAAAAGTGATAAGATGTCGTAATGAATTGCTCTTCTTTAACAGATAAAAGCACTTAATGGGGAGGCGGTGGCAACTGGCGGAAAGCACGATCCTAAACCACTAAAATTTGGTTGGATTAAAGGGGTTCTAATAAGATGCCTTTTGAATATATGGGGTATGATGAAACTTTATTCAAGTTTTAGACCAAAATTCAATCTAATAATGATGATAGTAGTCAGAAGGGATATATTATAAAAAACTAAATCATATTTTCAATTATCTATTATCATATCAAGCATAGTGCGTCATTGAGTTTACTACAGAATCCTATTAGCTTAATCGATATAGTCCTATATAATAAGCTACCTTTTTCTTATTTTCTATTGATTTATAATTTCTATTTCTTTAACATAAAGATTATCATTTGTAAAATCTAAATAATTTCTCATACCATACTTTAAAACAAAGCGTTTTTTAATGAAATTAGATACAGATCGATTTTTTGCCTGCAGGTGTAATGCTGTTCCTTCGTCTCTCTTGGGTTGTCGGTCAAGCAGGTATCGGCCTAAGCGTGTTAGTTGTCTGCCTCTCCTGCGTCGTAACCATATTGACAACATTATCTATGTCAGCAATATGTACAAATGGCCAAGTGAAAGGTGGTGGAGCATATTATTTAATATCGAGATCTTTAGGGCCCGAATTCGGGGGTGCTATCGGTTTAATTTTTTCCGTTGCAAATGCCGTCGCTGTTGCAATGTATATTGTGGGGTTTGCCGAAACCATACGTGATATGCTAAAAGATAATGATGCCTTGATGATAGATGAAATAAACGACGTACGGATTATAGGCAAGAAATAAAACTTACATCCAACCATCTTTAACTTTTAAATTAAACAATTATTATGTTTCATAGGCTTAATTACTGTCTGTTTTCTACTTGCTATTGCGCTAATTGGCATGGAATGGGAAGCCAGAGCTCAAGTTGTTCTCTTAGCTATTTTATTGGTAGCGATGATAAACATAATCATTGGAAGTTTTATACCGCCAAATGATGATAAACAAGCAAAGGGATTTTTAGGCTATTCTTCGGGAGTTATAAAAGAAAATTTTAAGCCAGATTTTAGAAACAATGAAAATTTTTTCTCCGTATTTGCCATTTTCTTCCCTGCTGCTACTGGAATATTAGCAGGAGCTAATATTTCTGGTGATTTAAAAGATGCTCAAAAAGCCATTCCAAAAGTATGTATCGTGTTGTATACGTATAATATCTAAATGATTTAATAAATTTTGTTTTTGGGATTTTATAGGGTACACTAGTGGCAATTTTGGTAAGCTCTATATCGTACATTGGAATGGCAGTGTTAGCTGGTGCTAGCGTCGAAAGAGATGCTATAGGAAATCTGAATATAACAGAAAATTCAACAAATTATTGCCAGGAATTTACCTGTAAATTTGGCTTACAAAACGATATGCAAGCTATGCGACTGATTTCTGCATTTGGTCCCCTCGTTACAGCTGGAATTTTTGCAGCAACTCTATCTTCAGCTTTAGCTAGTTTAGTATCAGCTCCAAAAGTTTTCCAAGCTGTTTGCAAAGATAAAATTTTCCCATACATCAGTATTTTTGGTAAAGGTTATGGAAAAAGTGATGAACCAAGACTTGGTTATATACTTACGTTCTTTATCGCGGCTGGTTTTATAGGAATTGGTCATTTAAACGCAATTGCTCCTCTCATTTCCAATTTCTTCCTCATGAGCTATGCTCTTATAAATTACTCGTGTTTTGATGCGTCCTTCGCAAAAAGTCCTGGATGGAGACCAGCATTTAAATACTATAACATGTGGCTAGCTCTTTTCGGAGCAATATTATGCCTGGCTGTAATGTTTATCATTAATTGGTGGACTGCTCTTATAACATTTTTTTTAAACATATCTCTATATGCTTATGTTCATTATAAAAAGCCAGATATTAATTGGGGTAGCTCAACACAGGCTCACGTTTACAAGAATGCTTTAAATTCTACTCTAAAGTTAGTTTCTGTTTCTGAGCATATAAAGAATTATCGACCTCAAGTTATTGTGTTGGCAGGTAAAATTTACTGATGTTTTATGCTTTTTTGGCTTTTTATCCTATGTACTTAATTTTACAAAAATATGTTTTTGTAGGTCATCCCCTTTGTCGGCCAGACTTGGTCAAATTTGCAGCAACAATTACGAAAGATATTAGTTTATTTATCTGTGCAGATATAATTCTTAACGAGAAGAATTTAACAATAGACCATACAAGAGGAGAATTAGCGTATAAGTGGTTCTCTAAGAATAAAATCAAGGCTTTTTATAATTCGATAAAATCTAACTCCTTCCAAAATGGAGTTACCGCAGCTTTGCAAACTTCTGGCTTAGGAAAACTTAAACCAAATACGCTACTCTTAGGGTTCAAAAGAAATTGGGTGAAATCGTCTCAATTTGATGTAAGCAAATTGTAATTATTGATTTCTTTTATGCTCAAGAGATATTTTTTATAAGGTACACGAGTACGTCAGTATAATACATAATGCCTTTGATCTACGTTACGGAGTCGGTATCCTTAGAATTGACGAAGGTTTTTGTTGCCAGTCAAATGCTATCCATTTTGAAGAAGGTATAAAAATTTTTTAGGTTCAATTTCTAATTAATTAACAATTACTAAGTATAAAACTGATTAAGCAATCTTTAAATTAAATTTGGAAATAATAAGGAAGTAACGTTAATTCATTTAATTATACAGAAAATTCTGATGATGAGAAAAGTCCACAACTAGAAAAGAAAGAATTAAAGGAACAGTCCCCCGAAAGTAGAAACAATCCCAAGCCTGATTTCCCATATCATTTGCATACTGATCGGCGTATGAGCTGTAGTAAGCATTCTAACCCTTCGCTTTGTTATAACCTTTTTCTACCCATAGCTGTTTAAACCTCTACAAACACTGAGATTTGACCAGTCGTTTGTAATATATGTATTCATAATTTAAATGTCGTTGATTTAAGTTTGTTTCCATGATTTAAAAAATTTGTTTTTCTTCCATTTAAAGGGCCTCTTATAAAAGCTTCAAAAAAACATGGTACTATTGATGTTTGGTGGCTTTTTGATGATGGAGGTTTGACATTATTAATTCCGTATCTACTATCTGGCCATTGGAGAAATAGTAAATTAAGAGTGTTTGGAGCGTCTTCGAAAAAAGGAGAATTGGATAGAGATCAAAGAAGTATGGCTACACTATTGAGCAAATTCCGTATCGATTGTGCATCAATTAAAATGATATCAGATATTGGAAGAAAACCGTCAATTGATGGGTAAAAAATTGTTATCAATTGTATAAATTTTACTTAGGTTCCATTTGCTCTTTTCAGTATTGATAGATTTGACGATTTAGTCGCCCCATGGATATTGGGAAAAGATGAGTCACCCGTTGAAAACCCCTGGAAAGTATCTGAAATAGTTTTATCAGCGCAAAAAGATCGAGTTCGTATATTTAAGCTCTTTAATAAGTATTATTTTACTATATGTCCATCGCTTTAGACCTACCGCCATATTCGTTTGAGGGAAATTCTCCAAGAGCATTCTTGTAACGCAAATTTAATAGTAATGTAAGTGTTTTTCCCAATAACATTATACTGTATATTTCAAAATTTATGAATGATAATTAACACAATTCAGGACTTTGCCAATGCCAAGAAAAAGTATTGTTCCATCAGGTCTTTACATGTGTTGGTTAGAGACGATAACGAAAGGCATGCCACCTATTTTGCTATTAAGAGGAAATCAAGAAAGTGTACTAACATTTTATTCTTAGATACTATTGAAATGTTGAACTTGATTTAACACTTTTTGATTGAAAATCTTCGTTTTTTATATATTTTTATATACTAGGCCATTTTTGTATTCTCGCTATATTTTATATATATATAATGGTACTAAAAGAAATTTACTTTTAAAATGTGTTCATAGGTCGAATAAAGACGTTATACTTGAGTTACTTTATAACTCTTGTTGTCTACAACAATCATCTATTGATTTTCTGTTTTCAAAGCTTTGTTCAAATTATCGATTTTGTTAATTTACCGTTAATTTGTTTGTTAAATAAATAATATGTTTTAATTAAATAATTGATGATAGATACCATATTGGGCTATTATATATATATATATATATATATATACTATATATGCAGAAAAAATCATTATGCACTTTGAAATTATGCATAAACATTTGAAAATCAATTATCAAACTTATTCAAGAATATCGTGTTTATGTTAAAAAATGCTGATTATATAGAACTTTTAAAGTGTTTAAGAGATATTCATATTTATACTATACATTAAAAAATATCCTAAATTAACGAAATTTTTTTAAAAATGTCAAATTTCCTTCTAGAAAAGAAAGTAAGGATTTTCTTCTCCTTTTTCTCTCTCTAATATTTAATAGTTTGTTCAATAAGGATCTTTTCTTGTATACTTCTTTATCGTCCTTTAATCGATTTGATGTAAATTTTTTATCGTTTATTGGCTTATTCTCACCTTTAAATATAGTTCTTAAATGAATTGGAAACGATACTTAATCTAAAAATGTCAAAACTAACCTAAATCATTAAAAGAATATTGATCAAGATCGGTGATGACTGTGTTATTTAGTGCAGATATGTTCAAATACTCTTGGACTTGAGAAACTGCACTAATAATACTTTTCCGTAATTTTCTCATATCAGTATGGAAGGCCAATTTACTGTACTCAATGTTATATAGAGAACTTCTGCAATTATCATCTATATAATTTTCAATTTTGCTTACTCTACTGGAGTCAACTCTGACTTTCTTTAAGAGTTCTTCGTTCTTTTGAGACAATTCTCCATATAAATCATAATCGTTTAAGAACATATTGTCTTTGCTAACATAATCCTTTTTAAATCTTCTATACCTACATGATCTATTTGTTTGTTTACTCTCGCTACTCTTTCTGCTAGTTAAACTTTCGTGACTAGTTTGTTTTAGTACTAAACTATTTTGCTGATCATTTGGAGTCTTTATTCCTTCTTTATTTATAACATCAGTTTTAGACTTTTTTTCTGAGATAATTGACTTTTCCATATTTTAATTTGAAAAACAAAAAAAATAATTTAATGTAAAGTTAAAATATTAATAATTTTAGATTTTTGCTGGTAATGATATATTTAGAGTGTTTTTTTGTATTATTCATAAAGATAATTTTAAAATTAGATTAAAATATGACGTATTCTTTAATTATCTATTATAAGAAGCATCTATCTGCAAAAAGAAAAGAGTAAATTAGGGGAGCTATCGTTATTAATCTTTTTCAAATGATCATTCCAATTAGTTACATAATTTGCTTGTATTTTATTAAAGCAATACGAATCTTTTATACTTTAAGCAATAAAATGTTTATTATAATATGTCTGTATTTGCTATTCCTAGTTAATAATAGTTAAATTTAAAAAAAAAAATAATTCAAATTAAGCGACGAAAACGGGTAGAGATAGATTTGGAGTGTTTTTCGAAGAAGGATAAATTTTTATTACTTATTATTTTTTTCATTTTTATTTACATATATCATTTGGCAATTAATACGATTTCAATCTTAATCATTTCATATCCTGGTATTGAAATGTCTATTGGACTTTCCAAATCTCTGAGTTATGTAAGTAAAGCATAATTAATATTAACAGCTAGCTATTTTATTATCGTTCAGGTCAGATGTTAATCAATCAGCAAAATTAGCAAAGAAGCGTTACATCACACCAGAAGGAGAAGAAAAGGATTTTTATTGTTGGATATGCAACCAGTACGAAGTTAATGCAATATGCACTTTGTGTCCACGATCTTATCATAAGAAATGCTGCAATTTATTTGGTCAACTTCCAGATAAATGGGTATGTCCAGAGTGTGATTTAAAAATAAAATCGGAATGTTTGGAGACCAGAAGTGAAACAATAGCAAATTTATCAATTAAAAAGCTAGCAAAACTCTTAGAAACTGCCTTAGATAATGTATTTGCAGCGAATTCGAATCTAGAATTAAAAGAGTTCATTACACCAGTCGATAAGCAGCTGATAAAAGACTATGATCTATACGTTATTCAACCAATGGACTTTTCTCTTATTAGAAAAAGAATACAAAATTTTCAATATACTAGCACACATTCATTTCTAGCTGACGTTAAATGGATTTTACATAATTCCTCTGTCTATAATGGTGGTAGGCACAATTTAACTTTGATCATGAAGAATCTTCTAAAGCAGCTCACTAAAGAAGTAGCAGAAATAGAAATATGCTTTGAATGCTATGAAATGTCTAATAAGAAAATGGCAAAGAATTGGTTCTGCGTTCCTTGTGTAAGTATTCAAATTTATAAATATAGCATAAAAATTCCCATTCTTACATTTATTTTCTTAAGCCTATGTTATATATTATTCCGCATTTAGTGACTATAACAGAATATCTTTTATTAATTATACTCGGTCGAATAATTTTTTTGTTGAAAATCGCCAGATGGCGCATTATTCTATAATTTTATATATATATATTTTTAAACTTATAATATTAAGGATTACTATCGCTTCTTACAGAGTAAATTACACACGCTTGTTTCTGCTAAACTCAAGGGATTTCCGTATTGGCCTGCGAAACTTTTGCGAATTGATAAAGGGCAAGCAGATGTTCGTTTCTTCGGCGAACACGACAGGGCATGGGTTCAACTAAATTCGGTATATCTTTTAACTAAACAAAATTTTACGCTCACTCCAAGCGAAAGGAAGCTACCTTGTGCTGATAGTCTTCTAAGAGCAATCGAAGAGTTGAACGAACACATTAGAATTATTGAGCAGTTGATTGGAAAATTCCTATACGCCGAACCAAAAACTCCTTTAAACGCAGAATTTGATTATGTTCAGGTAGAGATCAAAGAATATCAATTTATCTACTTCTTTATTAAAATTACCATCTATAATTGAATGTTACTTTCGGTATCTCTTGAAATTAATTAGTGAATAATATATGAGGAAAAACAGACGTCGTCAATAAAGTTTTAACGAGTTTTTGTTATAAAAAGTAAAACAAATATTATCAATAACGACGATCTTCCTCTCTTTTCTTTAGGTGGAAAAACGAAAGGATAATAGGAAAAGAATTATAGAAAATGGTTCAAGTGAGGAGAGGGAAGTGAATGAAAATTACGATCATAAGAAAAAGAAGCCTAATAATGAGTTTGAACAAGTTCCGTCTTTAGGTGACGACGAGGAAGTACATTCGAGTTTTTTAGATGTGTTACTACAGAGAGTTTCGAAAAGGGAATCAATCGAAACAAATCATATCGAGAAAGCTGAAAATACATCAGAAATTGAAGAAAATGTTCAAAGGGAAGATGATAGACCACCCCTATTCCATAGATATAACTCTCTATTGAATGAACAAATGACTGCAACACTAAAAGCTTTATATGACGATTTAAATACAGCTTATAGAAGAAGAGAAAAGGCTCTAAAGCAAGAATTTAATAGAGTCTTGAAAAATGTTCATCTACACCATCAGAAAGTTATTGCTAAATTGAAGAAAGAACATGCCACAGAGATAGAACGTCTTCAAAATAATACAATGGAATCTGACGTTGAGTAAATAAATTAATTAAGCTAATCAATCTTAGATAGTTTCATATAATTATAAAAGAAGAGTCATACACGCATATAAATTTATATATACTGTATATACATATTTATTGTAAAATGTTATATTTGTTTGCATGCTACAGGACAAACTGATACTTCTTTGTATGTTATCTATAAGAAATTTTTCGATGTAGTGTCTCTACTATAGTTTATGTATTTTAATTAATTAATGTTATATTTTTGCGAATTTTGCCCTTCATTTACTGACAAACAAACAAACAAACAATAAAGGGTTTTTTTCTATTGTTTCCGTTCTTTTCGTATTAAACAAAAAATATATATACAACATACGCACACTTTTATCACTTTTATCATTTTATTTCTCTTTAAACATAATTAATCTTTAATTAACATCTTATTTAATTGATTTAACATTTTGACAAACCGTCGTTTAACCTTTTTAAAAAGTAACAGATGATAAATGAATTATTTACGCTATTAATTTTGTAAAATTTCTAATGTTACCGTATTTGTTATAGTAAAGTTAAGAGATTTTTTTATAATTTATTTATAATATTTTGAACAGCTCATTTAAATATTCATAATTAATTAAATTTTGAGTAAAAGTTTCAATTCTTTAATATTATTGTCTACCAGTTATCTTTAATTACACTTTCAATTCGTTCTTCTACTCGCACTTACCATTGCAGAATTTTTAAACACCAGTTACAACAATAAACGTTTTGTTTCGTTTTAGACGTTTCACACGCCCCCTTTAAAGTACTCACGACATCTTTCGAACAAAGGAAATGAGAAATCAACACCCACTTTCACACCCGGCCGTTTAGCAACTACAATCATTAGCGCCTCGAATTTTCCATAATAGACAAGCAATTAGACAGTAAATTTGTCTGACCTGTCAATGGCGAACTAATAATTTCTCTGCACGTAACAATGAAAATATTTAATAAATAGGGAAACGTTGGATAATTGGTCAAGGCATCTTTGGAAAATCATTTGGGCATAATACATATATTTAAGGTTCTAATGAATCCTTTGTGCCTGATATTTCCTCACCGAAGGAAAGGAAACTTGAAAAACATTAGAAATTTTCGTTTCCAAATCGTTTTTTTAGATCAAACGAATTAACTCCGTTGGAATTACTAAAGTACCCATTAAGGTATGTAATAAGAATGTCTATAATTAAAGCAAAGACATTCCGGTTGAAATGGTGTACTCAATTCATCATAGACCTTTGAAAATTGGGCGGCATTTGGTGGATAGCGTTTATGCTAATATAGGCACGTCCGTGCGGACAACTTTGTATGTATTTACAGATCATTGATTATCTTTGAATTAATTGTCAACCTAAAGCGGGGAATCAATTGTAATACTCAAGAAATAGAATACTCCAACTTCCTGCTGGATTAAGAAGAGAAAGAAGGAGGAGGAGGAGTTGTCAAGTTTTCCTTCTTTGTTTAGTCAACTTGTGAGAGGGAGAATCCCCGAAAGTATGTAATTAGATCGAAAATCTGTGGATACACCGTTTGGTGACCAATTCGTACCGAACCGATAATTTCATGGCGACCGCTAAACAATAATTTCAAAAAAACCGGCCGTTCCAAGGTCAACTTGGGCGCGGCCGATCGCCGACGCCCTGCAGCTTGCATATGGCGTCTTCTAGAACCGTCTTTGTTCAACTTTCGAACGTGTTGACTACAAAAGAAGGCCGAATCCGCCCAAGGCCGACAAAACTTTGTTCATCGTTTCGAATGAGCGACAAACTTAATCGAATGCTTTTGTTTCTGGTCACGTGATTCTTAATGAAGCGTTTAAGAACCGAGAAAAAGTCAATTTAGAAACTTTTTAACTTTTACATTTCACGGTTCAAGAATTTCTCGTTACGAAAGCTTTTCTGTATAGAGTTTGTCAGTTTCGTTATGTTTTCATATTGAAATGAGAGTTTCTTTTTAAAAATTAACAAAATTTATTGTTTATTATCTTCCAACTCGAAATACTAAACACTGTTAACGCTTTATGTGCTTGTATAAAGTCGATGATGTCATTGACAAATCTGTACAATAGTGATTGAACGCATATAATACATTAGTAAATTTTCAGTACGCACTTATTATGTCCACTTATATCGAACAGATGCGCCAAGTGTGTCAAACAATGTTGCCATTAATGTACCGAGAATTAGCAACTGTTATAGCTCCTATAGATATAGGATAGATAGCGCACGCGACGAGATGTTTATTGGGTGGTATTGAACGCCCGTCACCATTTTAGCTCCGCCTCTGGCGCGTGTGGTCTTGTCCAGCCCTGTGTACCACGTCAATCTTTGTGGAGATTTTAAGAGCGATGAGTGATTGCGAGATCGACGTGGGCTGCTCGCCTCAGAGCGATGCTGATTCAACGGAATTTAAACCAAAAGTAAGAAGATCAAGATTATCAACTAAAACATTGAACGATAAAGAATTACAGCAACTAAGATTAAAAGTGAACTCGAGAGAAAGGAAAAGGATGCACGACTTGAACAGCGCGCTTGATGGCTTAAGGGAGGTTATGCCATATGCTCATGGCCCGTCTGTAAGGAAACTATCAAAGATTGCTACTCTTCTACTTGCCAAGAACTATATTCTTATGCTGCAAAATTCATTAGCAGAGATGAAGAAGTTGGTATCTGATGTCAGTACTCAACGAATGAATTTTCCGCCTCTTCCTCAAGTACCTACGAGATTTCGTACAAATCATGGATTTTGCGCATGCGCCGATTGCTTAACACCGAAACTTCCATTGCCTTTGCTACCTAGTTCTAGTTTAATGTCTCCGTCATCATCATCAAGCTCAATATCGCCAAGTTCTTCCACGGCTAATATTTGAAACTGAACACATATACACTGAACTTGTATATATATATATATATATGCATTCTTTTTAGAGATGTTTTTTTACATGATTTTAATAAAGGAAATGTATTACTAAAAATTAAACTATAAGTGAATAAATTAAAAACTAAGTGCGAAAGTATATATAGAAGAAATTTGAATCTCAGCGTGACAAGAGACGGCCATCTGTCAGCTTGAATTAGGCCTTTCTTTTCGATTTTTAAGGGAACAGATGCGCGAACAAGGGTGAAAAATATTCGACTAATTACACCACTCGAAACGACTCGTTAGCGGCTACTTGATCGGCCGGTAGGAGTTTATATTTGACGGTAATGATCGTTGTCTATAGAAACTTTAGCGGAAAATGTATGAGCATTTGACTAATTAGGCAAATTGTACATATTTATATATACAACTTAAAAAATGTAGTTTTGTCTCTCCGCTATTCATTTGTATCTCTGGTACAGATGTTAAATATTTCCGTGAAATCACGCGACACTCTTCGACCCCCTCCGTTATCTAATACATCACGCATAATCCTACACTCCTCCCACCATTTAAGATTGATACACTTTTACCTTTACGGTAAGCTCAATACTTGCTATTTTTATATCTCGAATTTATATTTTAAAAAGAACTACGTAAATAATAGAAATAAGAAATACAGATTGCTTTGTTAAGCTTCATTAATGAAACCATGAAATGAGGAGGGTGTTAAACGGATTCCGAGTTACCTCAGATTCATTATATAATACATCTCCATCGTATTCAAGCAGCTGGTACAAAGTTTATTTTCATTCAAATAATGAATAGCCAGTCGCCTAATAAGTATATACATCTGTCCCTTGTCAAGAATGCCTCAAACCATTAATTAATTGAACGGGGAATATTTCTTTAGTAATTAGCCGCTGTTCAGATAATCAGTGCATCTGTTCGCAAAGGAATTTTTCTACCAGATTCACTGACACAATAAGATCTGTTCATAAATTAATTTATAACTATTTATATATCTATTAAAAAGATATTTGAACTGCAGAAATAGAAGTAGAGTGAAAGAGAGAGTATATATACTGTATATATATATATGTGTGTGTGGAAAGGCGGGGGAAGAGAGAGAGAGAGAGAGAGAGAGGGAGAAGAAAGAGAGGGAAAAAATTAAACGTTCCTTTCTATTAGAGTTTATGAACCCGTTAAATGTGAGAATTCAATGCTAAAAGGAACCTTATATAAAAAAACTAATTACAATGAAAAGATAATGATTTTTTTTTTTGCACTATTCGAACAACCAGCCTTTTATATGCAATACAATTTCCAGCTGTTCTCTTCCCGTACCCAATGATCCATGTATACATTTATTATTTACACTCATTGAATATTGTTGAAAAATCCGTTATACAAACACAAGGGTTCAATGTTCAAATCAAGAAAAATTATAAATAAAAATTAAAAAAAATGAACATTTTGTTGTTTGTCAAAACAAATTCTTCTTTGTTTTGTCACAAACATTAAATTTTCATGGTACATAGACTCGCTTGCATACTTCACATCATATATTATTACTACTTACGTAAGTTAAAGAAATTCATTACATAATCCAAGAGTGTCGGGACAAGGGGTGTTACAAAATTATCAATTATATATATACATATACACTTTAGTCAACAATGATTTGGAGTGGGTCAATCCGTTTCAAATCGAAATTTAAGTACATCGGATCACATGATAATTAGAGTTAAGATGGAAAGTGTTTCGAACCTGCGATTCGGTTGGTTTTTTTTTTTAAAACGATTCAACCGTATAGCGGGGGATTTGCCGGCGGGAAAAATAATCAGTACCCATCTGTTCACAGCCGGAAATCGACAGCGATCGACTTACCGCCCTTCGTAAGACGCCCGCCGCGATAAATTGCCGTCACGAGACCGTTTTGGGCGATTTAATACTCTATGTATTCAATTTCTACTTTTATTGAGCTGAAAATCTAAATAAATAAACAACTGAATTTACTTGCTTTTTTTTACCTATTGTTTTCAATAAATGGAATGGGCGTTTCCTATACAAAGAACAACTTTCATTCACGGTATTTTCTGCCCCCTACTGCTATGTTCCGCCACCCCACCCACTCCTATCCCACTTCTCGTAACCCACCCACTGAATTAGCCTTTCATCAACTACAGAAATCGTGCTCTGTGCCGGTTATTAACGAGTTTTCTACACTTAACAGTACTCGATTCGGCGGAGACTCCGTTGACGCGTGCAAAAGTTTTCCTTTCTTCTTTTTCAACCTCTTACACCCACTCCATTTTCTATCCCCTTTGCAAAAGTGTCTCGTGCAATTTCATACATATCGACTTACTAAGTTAATCTTCTTCCGCTGTGTTATGCGCTACTCTTAACCTTAAAGGTGTATGTTGTAATATGGAACACACTAGATGGCAGTAGACTATTTACTCCTTTGTATCTCAATTAAAAAGACTGTTGGTAAATGCCAATCAAAAAATGTCTCAGTTCATTCAATTATTTTAATATCATGGTATATTTAGAAACGTGACAATTCCGGTACAAACCTTTATATATATATATATATATATATATATATATATATATATATATACTAATATATATATTACCTAATCCTACAATTGTATAGAGTATATTATGGATCTTATATCAATTTATATAATAGCTATATTTGTATTAATAAAATAATTGTGGGAGTGTAAATTGTTTTCCCTTTTAATGTATAAAAAAAGACAATTTGCGGGAAAAAATTTATTGCGTAAGGTCATAAATTATTTATATAATTCAATTTAATGCCATTATAAATTTCATCATAGGCTTAATTAATTTTACAATCATTAAATTACCTCTGTCTAACATTTGTAATCATTTACAAGTATTTATCTGGTTTGGCTTTAATAAGTAAGTACTTCAACTAATTGCACAAGTTCTTGGAAATGATCGTGAATATAAATTTGAACTTCCCATAGCAAATTGATTAATTTATCGTCTTCCGTACAATTTAGAGGAATGTCTTCGCTTAAATTAGGACAAAATCTAAAAAATGGAACTTGAATGGAACTACACCATGCTCTAGCTCTTTCTACACTTCTTCCATTAGCCTCAGTAGCCTAAAAGCAAAAGTAGTCATGTCTAGTCGTTTCATCATTTGGTACTAACCGATTCAATTATCGTTTTAGCCAGATTGGAAGCTCCAATAGCTATTTTAGGCAGATCCAAAAATCCCTCAGGTTTAAACACATCGAACGCATTAGTTTGTTTAATAGGAGGAAGACCAGTACCAATCGAAACGACAACATGTAAAGACTTTATAGCATTACAAGAGCTTCTCTTTTCCTAAACGAAAAAAATGAACAAATTTAAAAAGAGTAGACATTTTATATAAAAAGATAATAATAATAATAATAATAATAATAGTAATAATAATAAACTAGCAAATTTGTATACTTAAATAATACTAAAAAATGAATATCTGTTTTATTGATTGAATTTTTCTATGTCGATTGAATGCAAGTTAAAAAAAAAGAAAAAAAAAGACGTAGGATGAATAAACGGTAGATGTTAAGGAGGCATACATTATTGTTTGTTTTAACATATAAATTGTAATATACTTTTATCTTGGCATCATAATAAATTGCGTCTTGCCAGATTTTTTAATATTATTAATGAAATACTTGCTTAACCAGCTCTCCAATTAAAGTAGATGGAAAAAATATCTTTCAATATTCTAGTTTTCATAAAAATAAATAAATAATGCCTATAAGACAATACTTATAGATTTATATTCAATGAAAACAATAAACGTAGATCTACCCATTCTTAGAAAATAGTTATTTAACTAATGTAATATTTAGTTTATGCAATTTAAAGGTTTTTTATTTATATTAACGTACTTGAATAGCTAATCCGCAATAATATTCATGAATTTCTGTTAATACGTCTAAAGTTGGATTATTAGCTATAATTCCACCATCCATAAATTGATCCATAGCACGGAAGTAGGTTGGCGCAGCCCCACTCGATCTAGCTGCTTTCCATATCGGAACGTCTATAAATTGAATAAAAAACCTCATTAAATTATGAGAAACCGTGAAAAACATTCTACCTACCTTGCGGTTTTGGAGGAACGAATAATTTACTCTCACGTTTAGCTCTGTTATAATCGTAACCGGGTTTCTCATAATTAGTGAATAAATGTAAATCAGCGGGAAAACGATCTACCAATGAAGCCGTCACGATGACTCTAATTTTAACAAACGGCATAAATCGGTTAATTAAAAGTGTGTATCCTGAAAACTAAATTTAGTTGTTTACTTTATTCCTGTTATTTCATTCATCGTTGTAAATTCTCCAAATTCGCGTTTCATAAAATCTTCCAATGGAGTTGCATCATAGGGGCGGCTACCCTTAAAAGTTTCATTTTTTAACCGAAAGTACATTGACTGCGCATCAAGGAGGGGTTTACCTAAGTATATTAATTTTAAATCAATAAATAGCTAATATAATGTATAACATATAATAATAATACAAAGCTCTGAAGATACATACCCATAGCTATATATAGTGCTAAAATTCCTCCCGTACTCGTTCCCGCAATCCAATCATAAAGTTCTCGAACAGGTTTTTTTGCTATTTTTTCTAACGCTAATAATAACTTAATTAGCACCAAACCTTTAATACCACCCCCATCCATACAAAGAACCTGTAAATTTAGAATTGACTAATTAATTGTTACTTTATTTAATTTAATAACTAATTGATTTTTCTTTCTTATTTTAAAAAAGTAAACAAAGAAACAGTCTAAGAACATTACTCTATCGCCAGATCTTCTCTGCTTAGCAGCATCTATTGTGTTGGTCATGACAGCGTCAAAGTACTCTGTTTTTTATCCCAAAAATAACTTATGAGGGTAAGCTTTTCTATTAAAGTTTTCATGAAAGGTAGACAAAAGACTAATTTATACCTCTTTTTAGTGTATCCTCAATTGGTGTTGAAGCCTCCTGCTCTGGTTCTTCTCCTTTTGAATTTGACCAATGCGCGCAGCCGTCCACACATCCTGGAGTGTCTGGAGAACATTTTTCTGCTCCAATCCTTTGCAGAAGATAGATAACTTTTTTTCTGTAAAAAATGGAACAAAATATAAGGAAACAAAGAATTTGTTAAGAATGGACGCATTAGTAGCCTCAATCATAAATAATAAGGGAAAGGTTATGGCAGGTATGAATTGTACGCCTACTTTTGTCCTAACCCACATTTGAAAAGGGGTGGAGGAAGGTTTCGAAATAATGCGTGACTTGTGAAGGGTCGAGGGAAGAAAGGGAAAAAATTGGGTGTTACTTACGCCTCGGGCAATTGGGAAACGGCTGCAAGGTGACGAGCAGAAACACCCGCATTGTTTCTAGTATTAACATCGGCTCCAAAAACCAGTAAAGCCTTTATCAATTGCAGGCTGCAGCTCTGTTTTAATGGTAAAAGTATATTAATGATAATAAATAAAAAAAACTAGACAATTTTAGCGGATAAAAAAAAAAGAGCAAAAGCCAAAGACAAGCTACACAAAAATAAGATGCTTCTTTGATCAGTATTAATAATATACTTTTAGCACCGTGAAAAATAAGAAACACAAGCGATAAATTTATAAATCATACGCAAGTAAACTCTAAAGATTCCCGTGCAAAAAATACGAAGAGAAAAAGCACACATATGAAATTTTTATCAATTTTTCTTTTCTATTTTTGAACCTTCTGAAAAAAAAAATTTTTTAAATCGCTATAATCAGATATAATAAACTCAAAGTATAAAAATCATAAAGATTGATACTAAGGCTGTTCCAAGCCAAAAAAAAAAAACAGTATGGTGACAAAATCTTGTAAAAGTAGATAGAAAGATAGCAACTCATAAAAGAAATGTAAATATCTCTAGTATTAATTAGAACTCTTTTTCTCTGTTTCTAGCTTTCTGGTCTACTTATACTCAATTATTACTTTTCAATTGCTTTATAAAATATTTTGTAGTTGAACTTTTATCTGATTACGTCAATGAATGAAAGAGGAAACCGCTGAATAAATAAGATGTTATTAGTCTTACTGATGAATTGAGACACAGGTGTACGCAAAAGTTACTTAATAAGATATTTTTGATCCTTTATTATACACATGTAGGAAATATTACTACTTGTAGAATAGCAAATGCATGAAATGATGTGGATGTTTATGAGTTATATCTATTTTTATTAGACTGAAAATTGTTGTGCTCTTAAAGGCATAAAATCGAAATCTTTCAATCAGCTAGGCAACACTCAAATGAAAGAGTTCAAAATATAATCAGAAAATTTCAATAGACCGTTTGAATATTCGATATTTCCTCATCTAAAGTCTAACAATACAGAAGAAAATATAAAATGGAAACGAAGGTGAGTTTTTTTGCTAGGGAAAAAGAAATTTTACATACTTTAATTGCCCAGTGCAAGGGATTATTACCATCCTTATCAGCTAACGAAGGATTGGCGGATCTTGATAATAAACTCATGACACAGTCAACCTTAAAAAAAACACCTGTTATTATGATTTTGCTGAAATGGAAAATTGTGACTTTTACCTTTTTTTCCTTTATGAATATTATTAAGGGTGTTTCGCTGTCCATATTAGATGCATTTACATCAGCATCTTTTCCGCATAACAGTGTCAGCATCTTATAAAATAAGTAAACATTATAAGATACTGTTATATAAAAAAGATATAAGAAACCTTATACCTCTAATGATCGGCAAAGATGCAAGGGTGTCGAACCATCGCTATGCCGAGTATGAACCTGTTTACTTTCCCAATTTAATATCTCTTCTACAGACCTAAAATGAAAGAGAATAGTAAATTGCTTTATATTTACAAATTAAGCATGTAACTACTTTACGGAATCCGAAATAACGGCACAATGTATCGGGTATCTCACAGATTTAGTCTCATCTAACCTTGCTCCAAATTGTAATAAAGGGCTAATCATTTTATCTAGCCCATTTTCACAAGCAGTATGTAAAGGACTTTCGCCAGTAATATTTAATTGATTTATCGCTTCGTTGTCTTTTGATGCTAAGACCTTGAAAAAATATTACTTAATTATAATAAACGTATACATTTACTTATAAGGTCTATAAACGTTAAAATATTTATGCGTATTGATGTCAGTTAACTCTAATATTAAGCTATTTTTAGACTAAATAAGTAATGTATACAACTAGAAGCTTTCTTATTTAAGCCTAATTTCTCGTAATAGAATCATTTAAAGATTTTTAAAACCTTTAAAATATTAATATCGTCTGATTTGGCACAATGGTGGAAGATATTGTCACCATGAACATCAGCCAATTTTAAAGATGCGTTACATTTTAACAATTCTTTTATTAGATCCATATTTCGAGCAACAACGGCAATCATGATTGGTGTCATTCGTGTAAATTCACAGGGTTCGTTAACATCACTAATTAGAGGAATAAAAATTAGTATAAAAAATTAAGTAATAGAAAAGATATTTAATTGTTTATTTTGTTTTACGATAACCAATAATTCAAAGACTGATTATCATAGAGATTATTAGAAAAGTAGTTATTTTCAAAGAATTATTTCATTGTTAATGAAAAGCTATTCTATAAAATAGTATATAAATGTAAAGTAATATGAGAATATTCTTACTATAAATTATTATGTTGAGTAAAGAATTCTTTTAAAGAAAACTGAGCAGCGAGATGACTAGACTTCCATCCTTGATTTTCCCTTAAGCAAGTGCAAAGTTTTTGTATCATTTCCTTAGTATGAACGCTTTTACAAACGTTTATAATAGGCTGAAAAAAGATCATTTTCTTTTTATATTAGTGTAAAATTTACGTTGTTTTTTTTTTTCTTCATCTTATTTTTAGAAATATAAGATGAGTTCTATTAACCCTATTTTATATTATCTTTACCTGAATTCTTTTGTGATAGAGTGTATACAAACGAACTGCTTCTTCATCGTCAGATAATTTAAATAGGCTGTGGAAATGTTACCAAACAATAATAGTGGTGAAATAGAAAATTAGAAAGCTATTTTTATAAAATAATTACAATATGAACAACTTGAATTACGTTTTAAGATTAATATAAATCTATATTTAATAATGTAAATGAAATCCGCTTTATAATTTTAGAAATAACTATTACCTATACACTTTATTTAGTAATAGAACGCACACGTTGATCCCATTTTCTCTATATAGATGAAAATTATCCAGTGAATCGGTTAAGGATAATCTGTAAATATAATAATTGAGCTAAATAGAATGGAATAGTTTATGGTAGAATTTTAATTTTTTATGTATGTAAATTATTTTGCACTTTTTTAAGGCATCTGGTTTAATTTCGTAAACAGAAAAAGGATCTCCTTTTATCGCTGCAGAGAGTATAGCTGCTGCGCTTGTTGTTAAATCAGAAAACGAAAATTTAAAATTCGGAAATCTTGACATCTTGTTGATTTGGGCGATAATACCATATAATTCCAAATAACTTGAAATAATTTGATTTACAGTTATTGATTGATCTTGAAACAAACAGCGATGTAAATTTTGATTAAAATTCAAGTTTTTTCTAGATCAAAGTTATTTTAATCCAAAGACAAATTGTTTGAAAGTTTGATAAGACAAATAGCAACTTGTGGCTTCATGTACCGAATATTGATTATTTTATCAAAACGGAGGTGAACATTAAATAAAATATTCTTTTTTGTATTCTCAGATCAAACTTTACACACAAAAAATGTAGAAATATTTTTAAATGCTTTCCTAAAAATATGCTTACGCATGGGAAAATTTCTACTCCCAATGGCCTTGACCCTCGCCATTTCTCATCAGTTGATTGCAAACACAGAAGCGGGTTACTTTCTCTTGATCCTTTTTTAAAGATTTACGGTAAATATGTATAAATTAGTAGTTTTTTGGTTTTTTTTAGCACTTATATAATGTAAAATTAATTTTATTGTATTAATATAAAACTTGTATAGAGTTTGATTGCCTATACTAGTGTTTTGTATTTTGTTCTTGTTTTGCTGACCTCACATTTGAGATTTTTTGCTGACTCATCATAAATTTCAATCTTCTGTATTTTATTAACTCATTCGTTAATCATTACACCAGGTCATTCGAAAGAGATATCATGACTGCCGGCGATTACCTAAGCGTGAGTATTTCTCTGTTTGAAAAATAGGTGGAGTTTTGAACGTCGCGGTAACGCTGACGTCATAAAGGCGTGTTGTTTAGACGCCGTTTTCCTATTGATCGTGACGTAGGAATGAGGTTTCCGTAGAAGTTAACCAGTAATTATTAAAGAGAGCGGATCTCTCAGAGAAAATGGAAAATTTTTTCCTCCAACTTTCGCCGTGTGTGAATTTATGTGTCTGTAAACAATTAATAGTGAGTAGGCAGTTTTCTAATTTTTCATTTAAATTTTTATTTTCATTTTTTAAAATTTTGTTCCAATTTTATTTTCTACAAATTTTGTTCTTTTTTTCTAAATGTTCTTTTTGGTTCTAAATGTTCTATAGTCGTTTTTTTAATTACGAAGAGAAACTTTATTTCTATATAATTTAACTATAAATAAATAGTTTAAAATTTTATGATGAAAAGAATATTACTAAATTATTCAAAAATTCTTCTTCATACATTCGTAACGTCAATTCTTGTTTGCCCGATACATCTGTTTCCTGTATATATTTATATATATATATTTTTTTATGTTTGTCTTTCATAGTACATAAAGAGTTATGTTAAACAAATTAATGAATAGCTTCTGACTAAACTTTGAATTTTAAACAAAAAAAAAGAGAATTTTTTTTTTGTTTTTATTTATTTAGATAAGTAAACTTGCAAATGTTGTCTTTTGACGTTGAAATCGAAAGCCATTCCGTTCAGAAATTAAAGAAAATTACATAAATATAGACCATTTTAGATAAGAAAAATGTACGCTAAAAAAATTCAATTTTGATATTCAACCTCATTTTTTTTATTTAATCGGAACAAAATTTCTTTGAATATATCCTTAAGACTTATACTGTCGAATGTTTGTTTAGGCATTTTCTTTAATCGCGATTCCCTAATATATGTGTCTATGTCCTATTAAATCTCTTTTACTTTATTCTAGGAAACAAGCGGAATGAGCGACGGGAGTCGTCCTACTTATGACGATGATTCAATTGATGAACCTCTGAATTTGGTAAGTCTTTTTTTCTTTTATTTTTTGTATGAAAGATATACTGTATATATATATATATATATACTGTCTTGCTATTCCTTATCATGTGAAATTTAGTCATGACCGTGACTGACTGACCTATTTATCCTAGAAACTGACTTAGTAAAACTGATATAAGTTATTTAAAATATTAGAACATTGTTAACTTACATTTTCTTACATTTTACCTCTTTATTGCCTATTTTATTTAGTTCACTTGTTTGATTATACTAAAACGGAAAAAAGGATTTTTCTCTATACAATCCAATTCATGCATTATTAACTGCCTTCCACATAAAATCTTTACGTTATGACTATTGACCCTTTATCCCTCTTTACCTTCATTCTACATCAATATAAAAACTGGCAAACAATTTTTTTTATAATTTTTCTTTTGTTTTAGGCAACAAAAGAAAAGCGTCTAGTGGAATTTACGGACGACGAACTAGTTCAACTATCCGTCAGAGATTTGAACAGACAGTTAAGGGGACTTCCTCGGGAGGACGTCCTCAAATTGAAACAAAGAAGAAGAACTTTAAAAAATCGTGGCTACGCTGCCAGCTGTCGCGAAAAGAGGTTAACTCAAAGAGAGAAATTGGAACTGGAGCGTGATCATTTAAAAGATGAAGTGTTCAGTTTGAAGGAGGAAAATGATGAAATGAGATCTCAATTGAGGTCGATGCAATGTAAATTGCAAGCCTTGGAACGTTTGGCCGTCTCGGCCAAACGTTTTGTTTAATTTGATTGTTTATAGAAAAAAATCAAACTATTCTACCTAGCCAAATAGCGATGGCGTCTTGCCGTCATTTTTTCGCGTCTTGCGAAAAAACCAAAACTTCCTATCATCAGTGCAATGTACAGTCGCCTTTCAATAGACGAATTCACGATGACCGTTTGCTGGTAATTCGAAAAAAGGGAGGGAATGTGTGCTGGTTACGTCTCAGTTTCCTTCTGTTATATCAAGCATTTAAAATTACAAAGAGCGTAAGAGCGAAATTTCTTAACAAGGAAGAAGATAAAAAAATGAATTTTGAAGACTTGTTTACATATTTGGAAACTCAGTATTTACTTTATCATCGTAGTTACAATTGTCGCTTTCAAACGCTTTTAGTAGCTGAAAGAGATTTAAAAAGAAACAAAAAACATCAGCGGCTGAAGGTCTCTTCATAGGAATTCCTAAACCTACATTCATTTGGACATTTCGAATTTGTCTATATGCATACTTTGTTAATCTGGGGCAGGCATTTCGTATGCTTTTTAACGAAATGCCTAGTTTTGTATGTCCCACAGCTGCCATTATTTAATCGTGTTTTATGATGCAGGTTTTGGCCCCTTTTTGGGCGTTCTACTCATTTTTGTCATATTCGTGCTTTTACACCACCTTCCAGGAGAAGGGGTAATTTTTGAAATTCACAAAAAAAACTAACGGTTCCAAACTTGTTGGCAAATGCTAGGAAGCATATTAAACATTCTTTTCATATAGAGTTGATGACAACCATCACATTTCATTCAATTTATTCGTGCTTCTTAAATGTTCACTATTTCATTCATGCATTGATTTCCAGCTCTATATGAACATTCAATCATTCTCGTTAAATATGGAAAAAACTTGAAATAAGGGAGAAATCTTAAACAAATCAGATTTTTTCTAGCATTTGTCAAGTAGGGCTTATTTTGTGCACTGAATTAGATTCAACCATTAACTTCCTGGAGAAGATTACGGTTGAAAAGAATTGATATAATTTGTTGCTTTTTTGTAAATCGTATTGGTGCGGGCTATTATGCGCATTGTATTTCTTTATTCGATTTCTGCATATTTAGCCTTTATTTCTGTGATTAGCGTTAATGTTTTTTTTTTTTGTATGTTATTCTTTTTATTAAATAAGTAAAAATATTAATGCATAGTTAGAGAGAGGGAGAGAGATAGACTGCTTTGTCAGAAGCAAGAATCTCCTTAAGAGGTTAATCTTTCTTTTTGTTTTGGGATATTGTGTACTAAATGAGTACATAAATATTAATCTGATTTATGACCGCCTAGAATTATTTGCAAATTTTGAATAAAGAAATTAAAAGCTGCTGGCACCAAATTATAATATACATAAAGAATTCTGTTATTTTCTTATTTAGTAGTATTTCTTTATAAATCTTTTAGAATAGAAATCTGGAATGGAAGGTAAGAGTCATATTATAGGATTTGATCAAGGAAGAAAATTATCAACATTTGAAAAAGATATTATGTTTTTTAAAGTTTGAATCTTCTTTTCTACATGAACATATATAAATAACTATAAGTGAAAGTAGAATGCTATTAAACTTTTATCTATATATTTCTTGTGGATTTTTAAGGAAATATTAGCTAATTTTGTCGATTTAACAGATGCTATCTGAAAGAAATGCTATCTTTGCACATTTTAAAATAAATAAATATAAAAACAATAGCGTATACGTTGGCAGTTTTCTAATTAATCCTATAAGTCATCCATCTATATTTATTTTTCGTTAGATATACTGTTTTCTCTTTTAACACAGACTACCCTTAATCAAGCTATGTCCTTTATAAGTTCATCGATTATCAGTTTTCGTTCTTTTCTTTATCTCTCTTTGATTCGTTTGAAAGATTTCGAATTTCTTCTAGATGTAAGCGTAGACCAATTAATCAATTATGTTTACACAGTCTTTTTTTTTTAAGTAAAAACTCGTTCACAAACGCAATCATTGGACAAATAAATGCATTGTGGAATGTTATCTTTCTACTGATCAACAGGCGATAAATATCTAAAAATATCACCTTTTTCATTCTTTCTTTTTAATATGATAAAATAAAAAAAGTGTCTATCTGTTGAAAATTCAAGCTTTGATATAAACGTATTACGCAAGAAACCTATCTAAGTTTATAATTGAATGTTCTAGAATATTGTATGCTTTTGTCTTTTTTAAGAGTTGAAGATTTTGTATCATCGCCCAATTCATTGTAAAGAGTGTTTTTATTAAATTGTCGAGCTAATTCTTCAAAGATATATTAATATACTTTTATTTTGTTGATAATTTAACCAATAGACAGCGTTGTTACATTACTCCTAGTCTATCCAATAAAATGGGATGAGACAAACTTAAATTCTAAATATAGTAGGCCTACATGTTGATAAAAATAACTGTATAGGAACATGTGTTCGACTTTTGGAATGTCATTGAAACATCTGCAAAATCTATGCTTTACTGGAAAATCCATAATGGCGTCGATTTCAAAATATAGTACAAAGGCCATGAGAACCGAACAATTACTCCTTTCAGTAGGAACGAAGGGAAATGTTTTCTACGAGAAAGACGATAATACAGGAATCGCAAAAATTACTTTGTCAAATCCTGAAATTCGTAACGCTTTAAGCGGTAGTATGATGATTGAATTAAAAGAAATAGTTCGTGATTTGGAAGAGTGGAAAGAGGGTCGAATTTGCATTCTACAGGGCGAAGGAGGGAATTTCTGTTCTGGAGGAGACCTGGTATATCAATCTCTATCTATGTTATTTACGAAATGATAACTATTTCAGAAAAATATTTTTTTTACTTAACTATCTGTTGCTCTGTTACTACTTTAAATTTGTAACATTTAGGTCACCACAGTGACCAGTCAGTAATTTTTCATTCGAACTGTTCTAGAATCTGATAAAAAAGCTAGCTGACTATGAAGATGGTGGAGAACGAATGTGTGCCTATATGCATGACGTAGTCAGAAGAATGAGGAAACTTCCGCTACTATCGATTGCTTATATCAATGGTTTGGCGCTTGGGGGCGGAGCCGAATTGACCTTGGCGTGTGATTTAAGAGTAGCTTCGGACAGAGCAAAAATTGGTTTTGTTCAAGGAGTTATGGGATTGACACCTGGCTGGGGAGCAGCCGATCGTTTAATACAAGTCTTAGGTTATCAGAGATCCTTGGAAGTATTGTTGGCGGCGCGTATATTGGAAACCGATAGGGCGTTAGGGTTAAAACTAATCGATCACGTAGCCACCACCGACGACGAGTTTCAAGAATATCTAAAACAATACCTAGACAATAGAATAAACGTCCAAGTGTTTAGGGAAATGAAGACTTTATTGTATAATTTAAACGAACAAACTCTTAATTATCAGCTGCAAAGAGAATCGTTTAAGAATGTTTGGGGTGGTGAAGCGTTAATGAAAGCAATAGCAACTAGACCAAAACATAAGTAATTTATTATAAAATAATATGTCTCCATTTCGTCTTAATTTTCAAGATTTTCTATATTAAAATAAATAATACTGACGTTCGTTCAGTTAATTATTCACCTATTAGAAAACTAAATTAGGTTTCTTTTTCTACTTTTTCATAAGAATTCAATTACATTTAGAGTAATATTGTCTTTTTTTTATCTCTTTTATTATATTTTCTTTCTTTTAAAAAAAAAATAGAAGGCATATATTACTATGGAATAAAAACATTTCATTAATGGAAATATCTCTATTTTTATATTAATATATATATATACTGTATATAAAGAATGATTCATTCATATAAAAATAGTCATACTTAAAATTTTTAATAAGCGTAAAACATTATAAAAAGCAAAAAGAAAAGTCTATTTAAGTAGGAGGCTATTCACCTGCTACTGCCATTTATTTCTCTCTAGAATTGTATATATCATTATTTCTAAGAACAGGAAAACTAGGTGATGATTCAAAGACGCTCTATTCTTACATAATTTATATTTTGTTACATATCATGGTTATCCTTATGAAGTTACATGCTTTTAAAACATACTTTATATATGTATTCTCTGAGTGTTGTGTAATTTACATATGTTTACATTTAGTTACATATTATAAACGATATATTTACATCCTCTACTCATTGAAGTGTATTACTGGGAAAGGTGAGGTAGAGGGAATGGCAGGAATAACATAAATAGTTTTTTTTATGTATTGCATTTGTTTTGTTTTTCAAGTTCTTCTTTCGTCCGTTTCTAACATTTTTCTTCGTTTACGACTAAACCAATAATATTCTGCTACAAATGCTATCCAGCCACTGATATAACCAAGTCCGATGACTAAGAAAACTCCTCCAATATTTTTTATACTTATGCCTTTACTCTCATCTGCCGATCCACTGCACTCAACTTTACCAAAGTTCCACCAGGCTAATTTTAATTCTTCCAATATCCTTAATTGTAATAATTCTAGAAGCGCGGCGGACAATCTTGCTTGTAGTTTAGAACCTTTGGCTACACCTATAGCGTACGGTTTCTTGCTAAATTCTTCGCCAACCTGAATATTGCAAATTATTGAGAATGATGTCATATTTACATATTTACTTTTTGATTTACCTGCCAAAGTTTACAATCTGTTAGAGCGGCGTATTTTATCATTGTAGCGTCTCCAATGAAGGCATAGTCTTCACCTCCTGGTCGATTTTTAATACGCTGAACTGCCTCCTTGAAATTGTGTGGAAAATTGGATTTTTCCATGGCTGACCATATATTAGTGTACTTGTCAGAGAGCGGATAATCCCAAACTGCCAATCTAGATCTTTCATACTCTGATAATTCCAAGTTTAAACTCATTTCTGTCCATATATCATAGAATTTCGACTCAATATCTCTCATACGTTCAAAATAGGATCTTGACGCCCCTGAAGCAAGTGTGGAATACTTAACTTTGAATTGTGCTGCCAAATCGTCGATAGATGAAATTGGTGATTCAAGACGAGATACAGTCAAAAAGGCTGCCAAATTTGCTGTATATGTAGAAATGACAATAAATCCAAAAATCCACCAAGTAGCTGCTATCAAACGTCCCGAAAGAGCTTTAGGAGCTTCACCACCGCCTTGCGGAGTCAACGAAGTCAAACAGAACCAGAAACCTTCTTGTATTGTAAATATACGTTTCTGATCTTTATAAGCATCCTTATTATTCTATTTAGAAAACATAAAATCAATTAACGTAAGACTCAAATGAATTTAAAAAATGGTTACTACTTGATAGCTAAACGGCGAATAATGGTCGAAGAGACAAAGAAAGATGCTAACAATAACAAATGCTGTTAATATACATCCCCAAACCGAACCTTCAAGGACATTAAGAAATTTTGTTATTGAATAGTCAAAGCCAGGATTTAAAATTAAAACATTCATTCCAACTGGATCATAATATGGTGTAGAAAAATCAATTGCAGCCTCTCTTTCAGACATCACACTAAAGGCTGTCAGAATCATATCCGCTCTTCCATCTAGAATTTCTTTTACAAGTCCATTCCAACTGTCATTTTCCTGTAAACTTCCAAATTTTCCATCTTCAGGTTCGTACAGTTCATAATCAAAATTGACTCGTTCTTTTACCTCTTCTATAAGATCAATACAATAGCCATAGTAATAATAATTCGTTGCTCTATCATAATAATAGTTTTTAACGGAATTAGGTAGTGTTTCAGACTTAAATATGAAAGGGCGAAACTCCAATGTTGCTATTCTGTAGATTATTTTAGGTGTACGACCGATAAGTGAAAGTTCAGTTGTGAAACCTTTATTTTTTTGCCATGAAGCAACTCTTCCCAAAGATGTTGATATATTTAAGATTACGTTATAATCGAAACTATTCGGAGAGTTCCTTTTAAATTCCAGATAACTTTCATTCAATTGCTTTTCGAATATATTATTTATTCTTCTTAAGATCGTTATGCCTTTGTAATTTGGAGGTGTGGAACAAGTACCAAATCTAGTAGCGTTCATATCGATTTCTTTTGCGGTTTCAATAGAAATAAATCAATTAGTGATAAAATTTCAATTAAAATGATACTAATTTACCTTTTATTGTTTTGTAAGATGAACTTAATACTAATGATATTAGTAATTGGTTGAAATTATTAAAGTTTTCAATATTTAATTGATTAAATGGAATAATTCTTAGAATATGGGTAAACTCCGTGCAATTCGTACATTTTTTAAATGTCAGAGACAGTACATACCAATTATACTTTATTTCTGCAAAACCATCATTCTTCGCTTTCCTTAATAAATTCTCTGCAGATTTATCGCTTGTTGCCAGGAAGATATGCATAACCTCAGCCAGTTTTAGAATATCAAGAACGTCGGAAGAGTATTTAACAAAAAAATGTTTACAATTTGTATTACTTAATAATAATTTAGGCATTTGATCAAAATCAAACGTTTCATCGTAAACAATGCCGATATTAGTTAAATTTTCTACCAAAACAATCTCTCTAATTATTTGAGTGAAGGAATAGCTAGCCCTATCCAAAAATATAATGGATTCTTTATCTCTTTTTCTAAAATAAGGATTAGCGAAAGAAACAATTGGCATATCAATATTTTGTATAAATGATGATACTTCTGCAGATGCAAAGTCAAGTATTAAACTAATATTATCGTCCTCCAAAATCCTGCATACATTCGATATTGCAGAGTAGTCGTAACCATTTAACTTGTATATAGCTTTATTATAATTTTCATCTGGAAATTTACTGTTATAAACATCTTGAACTGCTTCGTTTAGAATTTTATCATCATCTAGTAAAATTAAGATTCCTGATGAAGAGATAGTCGATATTAATCCAAAAATTATTGTTACAAGCAACAAATTACGCATGTTTCTGGCAAAAGATACAAATAAATTATGGGATAGAAATAATGTTTCCACACTATTATATAAAGAGTTACAAAATGAGCTGTATTGATTTTTTACCTATTCATCGATAATAGCGATATTACAATAAACAATTCACTCCATCTGTAGAATTTTTTATAATTTTGTGGATAATTTATTGTTTAATTGAAGGAGTACGAAAAAAAAAACAATTGTTTCCTTTATAATTATAATAAGAGAAGGAGATGAGCTTATTATTTAGTATTATTAGTAAGCTATATATCATAATTTATATATAATATGTCGTGTATAGGAAGCGCAATTTAGTCGTCTATTCTTCATCTTTATCCTTTTGTTTCATAAATTATTTTTATTAATAAGAACATTTTATTAAGCTACATTTGTTTTTTAAAAAAAAAATCTATAATTAATTTTCTTTTGCTTCCGTTTATCTTTTCTATCTTTATATTCGTTTTGCGTGAATGATGATGGGAATGCTACCCATAGTATACTTATTGTTATAGTAGCCAACATTCATAGTTTTAGGAGTGAAAACAATATACAAGATAACGTCTACCTTGGCGTCCACATAACCCTGATATGTTGTAAACAGAGAATGATGAATTGTATCTATACTATATTAAGTTATGTAATGGAAATGTAATTACTAATTTTATATTATCATAAAAAAACAGAGCTTAAAGCGCTTTCTAGGCTTAGACCTTGAACTAATCCAGAAACTAAAAGTAATAAAAGGTTTTACGTAAATTTATAAATATTTATTCTGTTCCTTTTATATTACGCTAAAAGATATATAATATTGAGAAAGAGTGGGAAGAGAAAGGAGGAGAAACAGATAGTGAGCAAATATATGATTTACAGCGGTGAGTGAACATATTAAAATACTCCTCAATCTAAGAGTGAACAGATAGCTGTAGTATCTAATACTATTTTTCTAACAACTTCCTCCATTCTGTTAAAGAACATATCAAGTATTTGAAAGCAATAACGTAAAATGAGTGTGATGGAAAATCTGCCAATTTCTTTCAAAAGAATCAATTAGTTGAGTGTATAAGATACAACTATTCATTAGACCTATATGAGATTGTTGATTTGAAATCAGATCCAATATTCCACCTCTTTCTTAAATTTAAACTTTATTTAACTATTCAATTGCATGATCTTCTTGTAATAGAACACTTATGGAAATTTTACAAGCAAAAAGAAAGTATATGGAAAAATACACTTTGAAATATATTTTACCTATTTCTTAGGCTTTAAATAATCTTTAGAACTAACTATTTAAGCTAAAAGTCTAGAAAAAAAATTATTTTTCAATCTGGAATTATGAATTATGGATTGAATTCTTTTTATCAAGAGATATAAGCTATTTGTTACCATTAATCATTAAAACCTTATCTGAAGAAAGGTCTTATTCTATATACAGTATATACTATATATATATATGATAATATATAAGAGAAGACTGACAAACTAAAATTTTTCGACAGGTAGAGTTTTACAACTCCATTTCTAAGAATAAGCTAACAGATAGGCCGATTGAAGTAATAAATATTAGAATAGAATTATTTATGTGTAAATGTTGCATGTATTAAGAAATGAGTGGGAAAAAATTGATATATTGTTTATTCAAATGAGAAAATTTCATTGAAGAATGAAAATTTTCTTTCTCTTTAAATAAAAGAATGACTATTTACTATCCTTTTTCCCATTTTTTTACCCTATTATAGTATTAACTTCCGGTAGTTTTCTTTTCAATTCTATTAATAGGGTATATCAATAAAATTTACAGTTTATTAATTATGAATAATTACTGTAAAAGTAATATTAAGAAGAGTAGAAAATATTTGCATATTGATTAAAATTAATTGGTTTAAAATATAGAATATACAAATATTCTGTTATATGTATATACAGGTATATATGTTTAAACATAGTATATAGGTAAGATATAGTTAAAGATTTTTATGTAGGAATGACTACCTTTTTCTAATTGAACTATTCTTAGAAATTTCTACATAAAAGCTATAAAGTTCATAGTGTATATAAATACACTTGTCCAGTTTCTATATCAATTGAAAATACTGTAACAATACATTCTTATTTACATAATCGATAAGGATCGAAATAATTCGAATGTTATAAATTGCTTTAAAACAAAGATATATGATCAAATATATTTTTGTATTAAAAGAACCAAAAGGAAATTTATTAATATAACAAATTGTCATAAAAGATATTGTATTAGACTAAAAATAACGTATAATCCTAAAGCTAATTAGTAATTGTAAACATCTTTATGGCAATAGAATCTATCTTATTTTAATATCTTCTTTCTCATCTACTCTAAAGATTGAAGAGAAAAGATAAAGTTATAACTGGGGAAATTTTAAGATATAGCTATCCGATATCTATGTTGAATATATCCTAGTTACAATACTATATAGGCAATAAACATGTAAGGTTTGTAATATCTATCATATATTCTATAAATAGAATGGCCTATTAAAAAAATTTCAATATATATAGATATATATAAAAAAAACATGAATGAATTAATTCGAAATAATTAAATATTATGTTATTATAGTTTTTTTATGAAGCTTTTAAATTGAAATTCAAGTCAATTCATTGTTTTTTTATTAAACGATTTTCCTTTTGCTGAACAAATTATCGAACCAGTATGACGTACATTATAAATATAGTTCTTACCTATTTCCTTTCGTTTCAGCTTATTGTTTTCATCTCTTCTCTCTATCTCTATCTTATTTCACATTAGTTCTCTATTTATTCGTACATTATGTATATTGAAATTGCTATATACTGTATATTTAATTAATTTCATATTTTGTGTAAATTGTGGATTAATAATAACTTATTGTCAAATAATTATTTACTCTATTATCGTTCATTAAGATTCTTATAAACAAACAAATAATTGAAAGAAATGGAATGAAAACCAAAAGTTCAAAATTCCTTTTGTATTGTATAAAGATATTTCTAAATATAACTTAGACTGGTATCCCCTTATGTTCAAATAGGGATTTCCTAAGTAAAAGTTTTTTGAAAAGATAGTATAAAATTTATTTCAATTCATAAAATTTGCTAAAAAAAATCATTTAGGACAAAAAGGTGTAATGTTTATTTTTAATTTTTGAAAAATATTTCCTAAATTCTCTGTTTGTGTTGTAATGAGTTTGTTTTTATTATGAATGAAAAGATCTATCAGACAATATTTTAATATTTGATACACGTGGACTATCAAATCTGATATACTTGAAATAATACTAGTCTAGTTTCTGTTTTCAAAAATTCCCATTAGTCATCGTTTAGACTGGTTCAGGTATGGTTAACAGAAACTGGAATCCAGAGTTGTAAAACCAACAGGCCAATATATAAATACATGTCGAAGCGTTAATTTTATAACCTGCGATAACATGGCAAGGCATAGCTTCAGAGATTTCCTCCATAAACATTTACGGAAAAACGATATCCCTCATTTGCAATGGATAGACGAAAATAAGCAAACCTTTCAGGTTCCATGGCCAAAGAAAGACTCTAAAGAAGTTCAAGGGAAAAATATATTTCACGTACAGTATATTTCGTATTTCGGGTAATCTTGATGGAATATAATATTTTTCTTTAGGAATGGGCGGTATTGAACAACAGAGATAGACCTTTCTCAGATCAGAAGCATAATGTTAGAGCTGCGTTCTCAAGCGCAATAAAAAAGTCAAAATATCTTGAGTTAGTTGAATCAACGCATGCTAATAGTGAAAACATTCAAGTTAAAATTTATAGATTCATAGGTAAGAAAGATTTGTAATAAAATTATATATATATATTAAATAAGTATTATACTTTAGGAAATGATGAACAAAGTCCTACTGAAGCAGCCAATATTACACCAGGTTCTTAGTTTATTATATTATGATTTCGCAATTTAATATATATCAATTTAAATATAAAAAGGTTATCTACTAAATGAGGTTATACCTCAAAACGAAGATTACAGTTATATCCCTGATCTAGGCGATATAGAACTTCAACCATTTTATGGTAATTTTCAACATTTCAATTCCCTTTATTCATATTATGCTTTCATTTTGACAGACACACCTATGTTGAGCGATTCAAAAACCGAATTGTCACAAGATCTTTTTAGTCAAACTGAAAATATGATAAGTCCGAGTTCGATTTCTGATAGTCCAACTCAAAATGAAAATTCAGACAATATTCGTCAAAATTGTAAATATCATTATATTCAATTTTATTTGTAATTTCTACAACTCCGACTATGTTATTAGGTCAATTAACAGAAGAACTCTGTCACTACATTGAAGATAGTTTTAGAGAGAGTTCTATGGAGATTGAACAACATGCGGAAGTTCCGGCTTTGACGATATTTCCACTAAGCAGCTCCGATAAATGCTTTGCTCTCTTAGGCAACTTGTACGAAACGGACAAATGTGAGAAATATATGCAAATAATAGTTTTCTAAATAATCATCATCAATGTACTACAGATAAGCTAAAATTAAATGTAAGGATAAAAGATAGCATGATATGTGAAACTTTAGAAACTGACACTGAACGTGGATTTGTAATATCTCCACAAACTACCAATTTTGAATCTAGGACTATGGCTATATGGCCTGGATCACAACCTGTTTACATTTCAGACAAAAACTTATATAATCTGAATGAAACTAGATATAAAAACTTTCAGAAAATTCATAACAACATGCTTCACAGCTTTGGATTTCGAGCCGAATACGGCAACATATTTTATTCTAGACGATGTCAAGTATCAGTTGTTTGTAGTGATCAGAATCAACGAGATGGAATTATACAGTTGAGACGACCGATGGGTTCAGTTCTACCTTTCAGTGATCCGGATGTTGATACAAAAATCTTTGATTTAGAAATTTTTCTCAATCAATTAACGGTAATGTTTGTTAAATTGATTCTATAGTAAAAATTTTTCATAAGAGCTGTATGCTTACAGGATTATATGAATAAAAGAGGGCAGGCTAAGCCCTTTCCAGGAGTAAAGTTTTGTGTAGGCGCAAAAGTAACTAGAGAGGGAGAAATAAGGGATCAGCTTATAAATGGTGAAGTTATAAGCCCTTTGGCAGAGGAATTATTTAAACTTGTAAGCTTTCTAAAAAAAATGATTTTGCAAACTTTTTAATTGAACCGTTCCTATTTTTACAGTGCAATAAATCACCTGACGGCGAAACTTCATCTATATATATATCTAAATCGAATGAAGGTGACGACGGCCTGGAAAATTACTTGAAAAGTTTGAATATTAACTAGCCTTAGGAAGCATCATAAATATAATTTGAAATGCAGGAAGACAAAATTGTTTCGCTATCATTCTATTCTAATGAAAAAAATAAAAATTAATATCTTAATAGTTCATTCATCATACAGTAGAATTTGTTTTGTTGATTATTTGCTTTTGTTGCTCGAATTTGGCCTTACGCTCGCTTGATCTTTCAATTGAGCAATCTCTGAAATTGTTAATATATGTAATGTATATTTCTAGTCTAATAATAACAATAGTCACCTTGACGTAACTTATTATTCTCCCCCATTAATTCCTCATTTCTTACGGACAGAAAAATTGCATCCTGCACAGAATCTTCAAGCAACTTACGAAATCTTTCCTCAATGACAGCTTTCTGTTTATCGTAAATTTCGCGATATTTTCTAAATGCTTGAAAATGTTGCAATTGTTGAAGTTCAAATTCCTCTTTTTGTCTCTTTTGCATCTGATGTAAGTCTTGTTCTATTTTAAGCTTCTCCTCTTGAAGATGTTGAATCTAGTTGAACAGATGTATCAAGATGAAATATTACAATTGATTAGATTGATGAAATAGAACAAAGATATATACTCTAAGAGACACAAGATGTTTCTCTGATTTGAGTCCCACTAATTCTTGCTCCAATCTTATTCCATCTTCGGTTGTGTAGTTCTTGTTTTGTGACTTAAAGAAAGATTATTAAAATAAAAATCTTTTTATGAAGATAAACAGAATCCTCTTACTTTTATTTCCATTTTACGTTGTTCAATTTCCATTCGAATCTTTTCCGTTTCATCATCTAAATGTGCCTTGTGATTATCCTCCAATCGTCTTCTTTCAATCTCTTGAACTTTGATTCTACTTTCCAAGTCTCCTTTTGCAACTATATATACGGAAGCATCCTATAAGATAAAATAAAGAGTAAAATAAATAAAAACTTTAAAAACTTTCTACATACATCATCAGTAGTTTTTAAATCATCTTGTACTTCTTTTAATCTCTTCTTTACATCTTTGAGAGCTTCACTCTCCGCTTTTAGCTTTTCCTTTGTTTCATGTATTATAGAAATTTTCTTCTTATTTTCGTTGCTGTTAACTTTACCAGATTCAGAATACTGAGAGTGCTCGCTGACTTTCATCTGAAGATCATTTTTAAGATCATCTACTGCTCTCCTTCTTTCTTTATATTCAAGAGTTAACTGATCTTTCTCCTTCTGTAATAATAGAGCACGTTCTTGCTTCTCCTTATTCCCTTTATTGGAGGACGTGTCAAGAACCCAATCTAAAACCCCTTTATTAGCTAGATTCTTCTGCCTCTCTTTGGAATATCTTTCTGATAATTTTTCCTTCTCGTCCCAATTCTGTTGTTTAGCAGTTTTCAAATCTTGAATTAATTGTTGCATTCTTGCAACATCTTCTTTACAGTTGTCTGGATTCTTTGAGATTTTCTCCCTTAATTTCGCTATCTCTTCTCTTAAGTCGTTAATGACGCTACTTGTCTCGTTCAAGTTGATTTTAAATTTGTTCTTTATTGATTTCAAAGTTTGTCCAACGCTAAGAGTATGCTGAGTATTTAAATAATCCGAATCCATTTGAGATAATGTTAGAAATGTATAGCATATAGAATTTCCACCAATAGCATCGGATAAAATTTTGGTTAATTTGGAATTTCCCTTTGGATTATTGCCTCCTTGCTTACCCGCAGTCACAACGCTAACGAACGTTTCAATACTCTTATCTTTATCCTTTTTATTAAAAGCCCCCTCTATACCAGCCATATCAGCGATAACCAACTTTGATTTAACTCCCAATTTCCCTGTACTCTTAAGATCCTTTTGTTCGATTTGTATTATAACAATACCGTTTGCCCTGTGATAAAGATAGTAGTAGATTTCTTTTTTCTACTTAAAATTAAGCTCGCACTTAGCTCTATGATTATGTATATCATTTGTTCCCATCTTCCTAGCTCTATTACCTTGTTCATAATAGCTCATCATATCATCTTCTTCTTTACAGATTAATTCAGATAATCTTTCCACATATCTGCATTTAAGGATTTAATTTCAATGATAGCTATGCAAAATAATCATCTATATTCTTACATTCCCAATTGATTGTGCTCTCTAATGCACATCTCATCATCATGAGGATTTAATAAATCTGTTAGTTCTTCATTCAAAATCTGTTAATGAACGTGAAGGGTATTTTTAAAATGTCATAACTTAAATTAATTAATCAAATCACCTCAACATAACTTATAGTTGAGAAAAATTGTTTTTGATTGCGTTGATTGGCCATCTCATTATTTACGGATTTAATCATTTGAGGGATTATTCCCTGATCTAGTTCAGTACCATTCATTAAATGACTCTTTCCCGATCCAGTCTAGTAGACAGAGTTAATCAATACTATTATATAAACTAAAAATGAAAGGGAATTAGAAAAACGCAACTTACTGCCCCAACAGCTAAAAGAGAAATGTTATATCCATTTAGCAAACGTTGAGCTAAACTATCGCATTCTTCCCGAAATATTTGAGTCTGTCGTGAATATTTTCAACATTTTCACATTATTGTTAAACGTTCAAAATACATAAATATCTGGAAAATTTACAGTATACTGTACTATTATTACTTACATTCTTTACATCTGCTCCGTATACTTTGTCAAATGAAAAGGTTTGATCCTTAAACAAAAAATGAATGATAAGAAGTTCATGTCACATAATTATTTACCTTTCCAGGAACGTCCAGTGATAGTTTATCGCCTTGGATTTTAGTAATCTTTTTACCAGCTTTATTTTGTTCATTTTTTATTGTAGGACGACATTTAGCGATTACTCGAATAGCTGATGTTTCGGTAGGCTTAAAGAATAGTGTACATTAACAGTAATTAGCTAAATTGAATCGTTAATTAGGTTCTAGTTAAATTAGAAATAACAAAAAAATACCATGGCGTAGTAAGATTAAAGTTGCTCTTTACTGCAATCTTTTTCTCAAATAAGACACAATTGCAAAGCCTAAGAAACTATTGATTAGTTTATATTCTATTTGCAATAAAATCCGTCTCCCTCTGGTTCCCCTCTCGCTTTGTACTATTATTATTTTTAATTGAAAATCGAGTATTTCTCTCTTTTTCGTTAAGAAAAAATTTATGTTAATTAATGAATGTAACAGTTCATTTTAGGTTCTTTTCTTTTACCCTCCCGTCAAAAGTTTACCTTTTTTTATTAATGTCAAAATAATAATAAATACTTCATAACACACCGTTCGTTTACTCGTAACTAGGCGACAGGTATTATCACGTGATAATATAATACTACTTTGATCTAAAATCTAGAGGCAAGGGACAGTTTATTTTGATAATCAATTAATATTTTTCATAGAAGTAGTTTAAGCAACCTAATTAATAAAAAAGAGTGTAATGGCTGAACTCCCCCGCTCTGAAAGCGGTGACACAGCGGAATATTTAGCTAAAAGGAGAATACCAGAGTTATTTCAGGTTTGTAATTGACATACAAACAAATTATACACTATAGGTTCATCTATCCACATATAAACAGTATATATTGTGTGTATTGTAGTACTTGACTGCTGCTCTGGTATTCAAAAAGCCAGACTCTCCAGTAGATTTTTTGATCAAATGCGTTGAAAAATTGAAAGCAATGGGTGATGATAATATTTTTTGGGATACATTTATTAAGGATGATAATTCTGAGACCATATCGAAACTACATAATGAAGAGAGTGGTGATGAAGAGATGAAAAATTTAAAGGAGACGAAGAAAACATCAGAAAAAAAGTATGATATCAATTAGATGACAAAAAAAGACTCATAATTTAATGTTATTGATGTTACTCTTTTGTATTTTTCTTCAATGCTTACTGCCTTCAAATTATAAAAAATAGCAAAAACATTTTCATATTCAAACTTTATTGATTTTGCTAAAATCAACATTTTAGATATTTACTATTTATGATTTTTTTCTTTATCCAACAGATTCCCACTGATCAATGAACCAGTTGAAGACATTATTGATAGTACAACTGTTGGTAAAAAACAAGAAGAACAACAAATTGAACTGTCGGTGACTGAACCGGAAATAACGCAAGCTACTGCAAAAAAATCGAAAAAAAAGAAAGAACTATCTAAATTAGTTATAACAGATGTAGATACAAGTAAGACACCGGTAGTGACACCTACAGAACCATTAACAGCAGGAACAACAGGATTTATGCTTAATATGGATGATAAAGTTTTAAATGACATCCAGAGTGATGAGGAGACTGAAGATACGTTTGATGATATGGAACCATACTCCCTAGATGTTATGAGAATTTTGAGAGGGGATGTTGACAGCCCACCATTTATGCCTTCAAATGTTGTCCGGATATTCCTTAGCTCAACATTTACTGATTTCAAGGCGGAGAGAAATATTCTTCCACAAAGAGCCTATCCTGAACTCCGAAACTACTGTTCAAACAACGGCCTCGACTTTCAAGTTGCCGATATGAGATGGGGAGTTACTCAAGATATGGTTGACGACCATCAAGTTACCGATTTGTGCCTAATGGAAATAGAAAATTGTCAAAAATTATCTGTCGGACCAGCATTTGTAGTAAGTCATTGCATTTTTACAATTACTATATACTATCTCTATCTTTTCAGACACTGATTGGAAATAGATATGGATTTCAACCTTTTCCCCATCATATAGAATCTACTGAGTTTTCAATCATAAAGGAAGAAGCTAAAATTTTATGTCCTGATGATGTTGGTCTCCTGGACGACTGGTTTAAGGAATGCACAAATACGATTCCACCAGTTTATGTACTTCAGCCGATTACTTCCAGACTCGAACACTATAACAACCTCGATTCTGACAAGGAAAAAGAGCGAGCGGAACATATTGCGAAGTGGCAGGAAGTATTTAAGAAATTACGGTCTATATTACGTCAAAGCGCACAAGCAGCTTTTGATAAAAAACTTTTAGATGAGAGTAACAGAATTAGGTATTTTCTCAGTGTTACGGAAAATGAAATTGAAAGGGGACTTCTTAACGTTGATAATGCCGATGAGAAATCTCTCTGCTATGTCAGAGAACTTCATGGACTAAAGGAGAATATTGATTTTTCAACAGCTTCCAGATTCATAGATATTGATTCTAATAAAAGAGTTCCGGATAATAGTTCTTTGCATTTTAGAACTAAATTAGCTACTGAAAGAATACCTCTCAAGCTCCAAGGAAAGAATATTCGTGAATATAAACTAGCTTGGGACAAGTGCTCTCTGGAAGATTGTCAACACGAAGAACACGGAAACTACCTGAAAGAATTCTCTGAGCATTTCATAAATGACCTCAAGACTCTCATAGAAAAGAAATTAAAGGATGAGAAAATTGCTAAATCCTATCCTGCAGTTTATCAAGAGGCTCTTCATCATTCTAAATTTGCCAATACCAAGTGCGAGGTATTCTTTGGAAGGGAAGAAGAGATTGAGGAAATTCGTGAATATATTCTTCGAAAAGGTCAATCTCAGCCTTTAGTTGTTTGTGCACCTTCAGGATTTGGCAAAACAGCTTTATTGGCCCATATAGTTCGTCTAATACCCAAATGGGAAAGTGTTTATCCCAAAACTTTCGTCATACACAGGTTTCTTGGAACATCAGCATCGAGTTCTTCCGTTTTGTCAACGTTAAAGAGTCTTGTTGAACAGATATGTGTAGTTTTCAAAATAATACAGCCTCCAGAAGATTCCTTACAAACTATGAGTGGCATAAGATTCGAATTTCAAAAACTGATTGCCTTCATAAAGAAGAGGAGATCAACAGTCAAATTGGTCATTATTTTAGATTCAATAGATCAGTTAAACAATTCGTATGGTGCACATTCAATGGCATGGTTGCCAAAAATGTTTCCAAAAAACGTCAAAGTAATAATATCGGTTCTGTCCGAAAATACGACTCTTGTTGAAAATGTCCGGAGAAGATTAAACTGTAAAGATTTCGTCTCATTAAGGCCTTTATCGGCCAATGTTGCTTCAGACATTATTACGGCCTATTTGGAAAAGAGGAAAAAGACATTGACTGAGCCACAGCGTAACCTTATTTTGAAAGCATTCGAGGGAAGCAAACAACCTCTTTTTCTCAAATTATCCTTAGATTATGCCAAAACCTGGCATTCTTATGATCCAATAGAATCAATCAAAATATCTGAAACAGCTAACGAAGCGATAAAATATTTATTTGATGGAGTTGAAAGGAAGAATGGAAAATTATTAGTGGCCAGGTCTATGGGCTATTTAACTTGTGGTAGACAAGGTTTGAGTCCTATTGAAGTCGAAGACGCTTTATCGTGCGATGATGAGGTTCTCAACGACGTCTACAGATATCACGATCCGCCCCTTGAAGATGTTGTTCGAATACCGTCTCTACTCTGGTCTAGAATTCAGCACGATCTTAGAGAATATCTTGCTGAAAGAATGACTGACGGAAAGACTGTTTTAGCTTGGTATCATAGGCAATTTTTAGAGACGGCTTTCAATCGATACGTTAAAGATAGGGAAATAGAACTTCATTCCAAATTATCTGAAATTTACATTGCTGAAAGTGGAATTAGAAGATCAATACAATTGGAATGGAGAAATAAAAAGTTACTTAAGGACGCTGACAGGCAAATTTCACACCAACCAACTTCGATTCATAATATTCGTAAATTAAACTCTTTACCGTATCATTTATTGAAATCTAATCAGTTGGAACAACTTAAAGAGAAATGTTTGTTAAATTTCAATTTCTTGAGCACAAAACTAAAATGTCAGCCACTTTATGATATATGTCAAACTTATGATACATTTCTCGATGTTCAGAAGGATATTGAGGTTAGCTATATGAAAGATTTCCTTCAGCTGTCCTACGGCGCCCTCCTTCTCGATCCCAGTTCTTTCCCGCATGAGATTTTAAAAAGACTGTATATTATATCTCAAACTCATCCTGGAATAGCAAGCATACTGCATAGCTGTAAAAACTTTATGCAGAACACTAGCGATCCAGTGTTGGTGCCTATAAACAACATCAGAGGTCAAGGTCCCGAGAGCCCATTAAAGTTCAGTCGACTTATTGGGAGTATTGGTAAAACAACTAGAGACTTTCAAACATTAGTTGCATTAAGAAGTGAAATAACTTCAACAGTAACTCAACTAACAATAGTAAATAGTAATAGAGAACAAGTGGCAACAATTGATTTAATGAAACAAACTCTATTTATAACAACAAACAATTGCCGTTATCTTATTTACGCAGAAATGAATAAGGTAAAAATTTATGAATTGGATACTGGCGATTCGTATAAAATTACAAAATATTGCGAACCTGCTCCGCAAGATAGAAAAATAACAGTAAGATGCATAACAATTACAAAGGACGATTCCAAATTAATCATGGGAATAAGACTATTCGAAGGCGGTCACACTAATAAATCTGGCAGTTATACATCAAGAATATTTGTAGTCGATTTGGAAGAAGATACCATATTGCATAATGTAAAATTTAAAGCAAGAAAACATATAGAAAAGTGCATACTAGTGAAAGAAGAGAAATGGCTATTAACTATTTCACATGACATGATTTATTTATATGATTTAGAAAAAATGGAAATTCTATATGAGAAACAAATGATCGATTTAAATGGATCTTTATTCGATGTCAATTTTTCTAACGATTCCCAAATTATTGGAGCTCTTGGAGGTTTCAAAAAATATGCTAAAATTCTTATATTCGATTGTGAAACTAAAACATTCACTAAAAGTGAATTAACCCAACCAAAGAATGTAGAAGAAGGAAATGATAAAAATAATATAGCTCAACCACTTGCTGTTAATTTTAATAATGATGCATCCACCATTCTAATAGTTAGTCAATTTAAATCCACTGAGAAAAAGCCATCTTACATTTGTAAATGGAATAGAAAGACTGATGAATACTCTATGGAATTGTTAAAAAATTTAGTTAAAAGTCCTACCAGTTTAATATCAGTAAAAGATTTTACTTATTGTTTAATTGGTTTTCAATACGGAGCAATTATTATTCTTTCTATTGAAAGTTTAGCTCATATTCGAAAGTTTAAGGCTCATAATCATACCATTACCAGTTTGTCACAGTTTGGTGATAATTCTATTCTAAGTATGGGACAAGATCAGTATATGAAAATATGGGATATTGATAATTTATTAGAGTCCTCACCCGCTAAAGGCAATATTGACAATCAAGATGAACTTAACTTGGATATAACAAGTATTAGTGCTGAAAATATTTTTCAGGATGGTAAGAAGGAAGAAGAATCAAAAGAAGTTCCAGAGGGGTCCAGTTCAAATGATGATAAAGATAATGATGATAAGGAGAAAGATGATAAGGAGAAAGATGATAAAGACAAAGAAGATAAAGACAAAGATTGTAATGACAAAGATGATAGACACAAAGATGATAAAGACCAAGATGATAAACACAAAGATGATAAAGATAAAGACGATAAAGATAAAGATGATAAAGATATTGCTGCTCCAGTCGAAAAAAAGCCTCTGGTTATAAGAGAAAAGTTAATTGATGTAAATGAAGATTTTCTTAAGTTAACCTCCACAAAAACACATATTATTTCTCTGCCAAGTTCTTTTCCAGCTGGTCTTCGCTTCTGGAACTTTGATGGGACTATCGATGAAAAGGTTTCGTATTCATTCACCGAAACGTATCAACAATCTCTTGAAAACAATAGTTCAATAAAATTCAAACGGAAGCCGGGAGCAAATGTAACAATTGTTGATAAATATTTTATTGTTAATCATTTTATAAGAGATGAGCAATCATTCTATATAAGTTTCTATGATACGGAGGCAAGTAAGTGGACAGTAACTGCTCATAAAATGCTGCAAGATTCATATTTTAATGTAAGTATTTCGTATATTTCATATTTTCAATATCAATCAGGCGTTTATAAATGATAATTAACAGATCATCTACAATGATAAAATCTATCTTATGAGAGAAGGTTTATTGGAAATATATTCCATACCGAACTTTGATTTAATAAAGTCGATAAACATTCATAGTTTAAAAATGGATCTACCAACATTTGACTCTTCTGGATCTAAGAGAAAATTATCCTTCTATAAGATTGGAATTACGGAAGACGAACGTTTTTTTATTATTTCCGTTCCCATGGGCCAAATTAAGAAATATTTCGATCTAATTGATATAGAAGAAGGACACTCAAAAAGATATCTTTATACACAAGGTGTAAATTACAGAAGTTTTGATAGTGGAACCTATTACCTCTGTTGTTTGTCAGGCGATAAAAGTTATGATACAATTTCGATTGGCCTAATGCGAATTAAAAAGGACAAAATGGATTATGTTTGTAAGATATATTCCGGAAGGCATAGCAATCATCACACCAAATTAGGTTCAGTAGCTCATAGAAACAACAAGCTTATTTTATACGAAACTGATAATTTCACAAAGAAAATTTCATTGAAAGGCCACGCAAGAGAAGTTACCGATACCATTATTTTCAATAATGGAAGAAATATAATTACATATTCTGTTGATAATACAGTGAGATTATGGAATATTGAAACAGGACAGCAAATATGTAGTTATAACGCCGCTGGTTCTGTTGAAAGTGTTGAAATTATTAATAATAATAAATACATTGTTGTTAGCAGCTACAATGGACCAATGAAAAAGAAAGCTACTATTCTAGAAATGAAAAATATTCTTTCAAAACAGTGTTGAAAACTCATAGCTGTTCTTTGTTTAAAATGAATGGTTTTACATAGCAATAAAAATGTTTTTTTTTTAATAAAATCGAATATCTTTTATTATTTATTATAAATTAAAAAGCTATTAATAGCATAACATATTTTCAACGATATTGTATAGTAATAGTTTCGAAAAAAAATTGGCCAATTGGAGGCCTTTTAATAGACGTGTTAGGAGAAATGTCCACAATTGTTACCGGGCCGATTTTACGTTTTCGCGCAATTTCGTACTTTTTCTAGAAACAGCTTATTAAATAATTTTTAATTTCAGCAGAGTGAAAAAAATCTATTCGAAGTATTTAAAATACGAAAAGAATTTTAAAACCACTTGGTATCACATGATTCATTGATGGCCGCTGATTGGGTAGTTTACAACACAGTGCAGACGTCATCGGTTTAGTAAGAGAAAATGGCATCTGGACCTTCTAAATCAGATATTCAAGCTGTATTCAAAAGATTAAAAAGTATTGGTTCTAATAAAGTAAGTATTGATATTTATCACAATTAAAATTTTAAAAATTCAAGAAAATTCATTATACAAACCGTACAATCTCCACCACATCTTTTATTGACAGTAAACACATGTGTTATCAAAGAAGATATTTGCAAAAAAATTTATTAACAAAGTACCTTTATAAGTATCTTGTTATATCCAAGAACTAGGAAAAATCATATCAAATATTATAAACTAAACTCAGTTGATGGCAATAAGAATTTCCTTCAGAAGATTCATTTGTTTTATAAAAAAAATTGTTCGCAATACAAACCTTATTACTTTCAGCAATGCTTTGATTGTGGTGCAAATAACCCAACATGGGCAAGTGTGACATATGGAGTATTTTTGTGTATAGACTGTTCTGCTGTACATAGAGGTCTTGGAGTTCACCTTACATTTATTCGCTCCACAAACTTGGACACTTCATGGACTTGGCAACAGCTTCGAGCAATGCAATGTGGTGGAAATGCAAATGCTGTAAGTGTAAAATTCAATCAATTGTTTATTTTCTTTGCTTTATCAACACTATTTTTCATGGTTGTATAACTTGTTTATGCTAAAACAATGAAGTTGATATAAACATACCGGACTTCTATTTTCATTTGATATATAATCTTAGCAGTACTAAGAGTACAACATAATTTAAGAAACAATACAAATCATAAAATTTTGAAAGAATAATTATTTAATATATTTCCTTTTTTAGTCTGAATTTTTCCGGAAACATGGTTGTAGTACATCAGATGCTCAAGTGAAGTACAACCACAGGGCTGCTACCTTATACAAAAATAAATTACAAGCTGACTCGGTTAAAGCGATGAAACTGTATGGAACGGATTTACATATTGAACACCAGGCTCACGTGCAATCGCCCGTTCAGAAAGACGTTGATTTCTTCCAGGAGCATGACAGCGAGGCAGTTAATTTGGCATCACATACTTTAGAAAGAGAAATGACTCAACCAATACCTGTTAAGAATGGTAACAATGAAAATGGTCCGGCGCCTGATGTCTCTGCTGCTCTAAGCATTTCGCCAACAGAAGCAGCTCAGAAAGTAGAAGTAAGAAAGTCAACAATAGGCACTAGGAAGCCAGTTGCAAATAAGAAAGCTTTAGGAGTTAAGAAAGGCGGTTTAGGTGCACAAAAAGTAAAAACTAACTTTAATCAATTAGAAGCGGAAGCTACCGCCAGAGATAAACAAAAGCAATTAGACGCCGTTGCATATGCCCAACAAGCTGCAATTTCCAAAGAGGAAGAAGAGAAAAGAATGGCTCAGGCGAGGTTGGCCTATCAAGATTTAGGTGCAAATCAGAAAGAAAAGGAATCTAAAGCTCTGAAAAATATGGATTCCAAAAAAGCTGCACAAGCTGAAAGGCTAGGTATGATAAAATTGAAAATTTAAATGAACATATTGAAAATTTTTAAATATTCAAATTTTTCTAGGAATGGGTCTAGGTTCCACTTCAGCTTCGAGAAATGTTAGTCATTCAGCATTCAGTGATATGCATTCTATTCAACAAGAACTGCCAAGTTCTTCGGTACGCTCCAAGTACAGCCGAGACCTGGACGATGAACTCGATTCAAAATTCGGCTTTACTGGTTATCACTCTCGCACTTTAGATGACTCTGTCAAAGGATCCTCTTGGGATACACCTGCAGACCGTTTTGAATCTAAGACTTCATCACATTTTGACTCAGACTTCAAGTCAGATTACAAATCAGATTTCATTCCATCTATGAAAGATAGCGATGATAAAGGACGTTCTAGAAAGGGAATTTCGTCGAGTTTTGAATCATCTGCATCGGAGAACGCGCAAAAGAAATTTGGAAATGCGAAATCTATTAGCTCAGCTCAATTTTTTGGTAATGAAGGACTCGATGTAAGTAATTGTAAAAAGAAAAAATTTCATTAAAGTCATTAAAGATATATACTAGGTTTTTCCTTAATTACAATATTGAACTAAGGCAACTTTGGGTTCCCATTCGAACTTAGTTCATGCACTCTCATGAAACTGTTACTCTTACTCGCCTATTAAAAGTATTTTAAAAAGAATTTCGTTCTAAGAGGCAATTAAATGTTACAATCTTTAGAAAGTAAATTCAATGTAATATACATATTATATAATCAACTTTATTCATTTATTTAATTCACTAAATGTAACAATTTTTGTGCTTTTTTCACCAATAGTTTGAAACAAAACAAAGTCTTAGCCGATTCGAAGGAAGTAATGCTATATCTAGTGCCGACTTTTTCGGTGAAAAAGAAACCAGGCGAGATTCTCCTTCAGGTCCCGACTTGGCTGATGTTAAAGAGAGCCTTAAACAGTCTGTTACTAATGTTGCTGGAAAATTATCAACTCTTGCTAATGGAGTGATGAATTCTTTTCAGGTTAGCTAGCTGTATATTTTTAAATTGTATGTATTTTGTAGGAAAATCTTGAAAACAACTAATTTTAAAGCAGCAGTCTTTTTAATTAAAAACCAAAATACTATATTTTCCTTGAGTAACACTTGACACCTGAAGAGCACTTTGTGTTTTATTTCCCTTTTTCAAAAAAAAAGATCGAAATCGAAAAAATAAAAGTTATGATAGCTACGCCACCTATTTGAATAAATTTAGAGTAAATTTAATAGAGATTCATTTGTTAGGTAAACACCGTAAATAAAGAGAGACTTGGGTGTTCACTTTTCGATGTCGATTCATAAATAAAACATATAATTCTAAGGTCTAAAAATCAATAACGTTCACTGTGTGTTCTATTACTGTTTGTGTATGTGGGTTGTTCTTTCCACCTAACAAGTTTAATTAAGGAGTTTAATTATCTCATTTAGAAAAGATAAACAGGAAAGGAAAAGATGGTAAGATATATCTGTCGCTTATGATTTTTCTTATTTTTTCAATTATTTTGTTTAACACCTAAATGCTCTTGGTCGGTTATAGATTTAAATACTCTTTCTTGATGTTTATCCCAAACATAATAAAACAAACTAAATCAATAATAATACCTAACTGTTATTTTCTTTGGGAATATCTTGTTAATGCCTGAATAATTTTAGGGTAAAAAGGCTTTTTTATTGTACCAGACGTTCTCTCTTTTCATGTAGTTTATATCACTGTTAACTAAACTCAAATGAAAATCAATAAATAATTTACATCTCTTCAAGTTGTTATTTATATATTTTTATGAGATATTAGTAAATGTAGAGGAGAGATGTTATAATTTTACGAATATTTATTGATTTTACAAAGATATATCAGCCTGAAAAACTATAACTAACAGTTTCCTTATTTCCTACAGGATTACTATTAAAATAAACGAGGAAATACATTGTTATAATTTAAAAAAATATGTGATATCAACTTCATTTTGGCGGAAAGAAAAAATAAAAGGAATTGCAACATCAATGAAAGAATAATTCGCCTTTATTATGCCTCTTTCAAACTTTTAGGATAATATGTTTCGCTTATGACACAAAAATAATATAGATATATACAGCATATATATATATTTAAATATATGAAGTGAATGTATAGTATATATTTATATTTTTTCATTAATTTTCCCTGGTTATAACTGGCGAATGTTAATCAGAGAGTTTATTTTCATTCTTATGATAATACAGTAAATAAATTTATAATCTATTGTTGAAATCAAATTTTTATAATAAATAATTAGGAACAATTGATAATATTTCAATGACTCACTATCATCTACATATCACTTCAAGTTATATAATCAGAGTAAAAATAATATATAGAATACGCAGAATGAATGACTAATACGAGAGAGTAACCCAGATTTTTTTTATGACTCATAGTTTGTCCCCAAAGTCCTTATTTAAATAACCTTGATCTTACCCCTTATTTCAATTAAGGATAATTTATTATTCTCACTTAACATTTATCGACGAAGTTTACCATGAATTTTTATCCCTATTCAGAGAAAATTGCAAATAAGCATAGGAATCGATAAGCCAGAGTCTGTAATCGAGTTATAATATATATTAATAAAATGACTGCGGGTTCTCACCTGATGAAAGGGGAGTTTGTTCACTTTCATATATATCAACCCCACAGACTTCAGAATGCATACCTTTCCCCGCACTTTGGGTTGCATTTATTCGAAAATCGCAATTGTAGTACGTGCATGATCTAGTATCGTTTGACATTCCTCAATGTAAGTGATTTTATTAGATAACGTTACAGTTTTAAAGCAGTAGTTAATATAGTAAACCGTTTTTCTATACATTTGATAAGACTTTTTTTGTATCTCATACAATAGATATTGTTTCTGCAATACTTTCCATTTTAACAAACTTAAAACTCAATGTTTAGGCCTATAGCGTGTTATTATATTGACAAAAAATACGAAGACTTTTCCAACAAAAACAAGTATTTTTAAAAGAAATGTATAGCCCTTAAAGTTTTAATACATGTTCTTATAAATTCTTTCATCAATATGCTTGTCTCGGTTTATTTCACCTTTGTACCTTTAATCATTAGGCTTGCGCAGCGAATGACTGATGAGTCATCGTCAATAGAGCTTGATCGGTGATAAGCATTAACTCGCCTGCCGTAGAGTAGAGAAGACGAAAGTTATACGTTATGTCGTTATTTCATCGTTTCGTCGAACTAAGCTATAAAGCGGCTAATGTTGACGAACCATGGCTATATGAAGAAGAACCCCACTCTGATAGAAGAAAAGAAATTCTCAGGTAAGCTTTTAAAGTTCTATCTAAATATATTTTTGTTGCTATCCTTCTTTCTCCTTATCAAATCGTAAGCTATACAAAGTAAAGAGAAAAGAAATGTCGTACTGCCATATGTGTACTCTATATAATAAATATGTAAGTATCGATCATTCAGACGTCTAATCCAGAAAAATAGGAAAAAAAAACAAACGTAGTTTTTTCATAGTATATTCAAAATTTAAATCCTAAATACAAACTATCGTCAATATCCTAACATACAGAATTTATACTAAGTAGAATTATTTCTACTCTTTACCTTTATTCTTAATTCTATTTTAGCATCGAAATTAAGATTAGACTTGTGTAAATTGATTTTTCCTGTCTTTTTCTCTTAGCCTTATCATTGATATAGATTTCTTTACAATGTATAAAAGTGTATATATATTTATTTATTTATTTTGCATTTTGCTAAACACCTATTAATAAAATAAATAGCCAATATAATAGTAAGATTAAATATAGATAGATTTTGTCACTAATTATTCGACGCCGTTACTTCTTTTACGCAATAAAAGCTATGGTTTACAATCAGTACAATCGGTCACTATGTTTTACCTATTCAAATGATAATAATGCTATAGCAAAATATCTCTCAATATAGAGTTTATCTGCTGTAGTATTAAACATTCCTTTTCTTTCGTAAATATGTAATATACACATATATATATATATATATTTACTTATTTCTGTTTGTACGCTTGTGTGTAGCTTTCCTGCCGGTAAGAAATAACAATAAATATAAAGGATTCAAGTAAAATCACTTTCATTCTCTTTTAGCTTTACCCTAATTTTGATATTTTTCGGCTCATTTCTCTTTCTCCCTTCATTATGAAAAATACGTTCCCGTCTTTTTCTGACTTCAATTGAATTTTCAATATTAATTCCTCAATAACAATACAACATTCTTTCTTTCATCGTTGATTTTTTCATTTGTTCTTACTCTTTGTATTTTTCACAATCATTTTACGTTGTCTTCCACTTATTTTAAAAGATAATCACTCAATACTATTTTCATTTGTCTTAGGTTGTTAACATTAATTAGGACAATAAGGTGATTTCTTACTCTTTCGAAGACATTAGGCCTAGTCATCAATTCTATAAAATACCTTATTTATTATAAATTTTGACAGAGTTTTCTATTGAAAAAAAATAGAAAAGGCATTTTTATCTTATATTTATCATTAAATGGGAATTCTATGGCATATAAGACATTTTCGACTATGACTATATGAATTAAAAAAATACAAGTTTTTAAACTGTTATCAAAAAACAATTCTTTTATGTATTTCATTGATTATTTCTCATCAATTGATGATAATGATTGATAGTTGAAAAAATTTTTATTATGTTGATATCTATTAACTGAAATTTTAATTAATTTATTAATATTTCTCCTTTAATAATGAATATTCATAATGGATAGACTTTCCCTTATTAATAAAGTTTTTCTTATTACTAGCATAAGACATTTCTACTTATTCTATGGAATTTAAATAATTTCATTCATTTATTTTCCAGGAAATATCCTCAAATTAAAAAATTAATGGGTCATGATCCTTGGATGGTCGTTTTTGTGACTATAGAAATAATTATTCAACTATTTATGTGCTATATTATCCAGGACGCTAATTGGCCAACTTTACTAATTTCGGCCTATGTTATAGGTATAGTAGCAAGTTTATTTAAAGGCTACTGCAAAAAATTATTGAGTTATAAAATATATATACAGTCTCTATACATATACTAATACATATGTATATATAAACAACGACTTCCTGTTTGTTATATAACTTATAAGGTGTTTTTTTTTCAAATCAGGTGGCACGATAAACCATTCCCTAGGTAGTGCTATACACGAAATTGGACATAATTTAGCGTTTGGTCATAAATATCCTTTATGGTTTGTATTTAATATTATTATATAAAGTATAACAAATTGAGTTGAGTATATGTGTGTTTATATAACTCTCCACAGGAATCGTGCATTGGGTTTCTGGACAAATTTACCTATGGGAATACCAATCAGTGTAACGTACAAACGATATCATTCCGATCATCATCGTTATTTGGGTCATGATGAAAAAGATGTCGATGTTCCAACTGTATTTGAATCTTGGCTATTCCGTCATCCACTACTTAAAATTATTTGGCTTATACTTCACCCTGTCATCCATGGTATTAGACCTTACGTTAAATCTCCAAAACCTCCAAATTGGTTGGAAATAACGAATTTAATTTGCCAATTTTCTTTCAATTTCTTTATCTTATACGTTTTCGGCTATAAAGCATTAGCCTATCTTATAATAGGTAATAAATGATAAATGACCAATTTGACATTTATAGACTTATATTTACATCTTCTAATTAATACAGGTACCCTTATGGCTCTTGGTTGTCATCCATTAGCTGGACATTTTATTAGCGAACATTATTTATTTAATAAGGGACAAGCAACTCATAGTTACTATGGTCCTCTGAACTTTATATTATATAATGTCGGATATCACAATGAACATCACGATTTCCCTTATATACCCTGGAGGAAGCTACCAGAAGTAAGTATAATGAACTTTACTAAAGCAAGAAGCGAATATTTAATATATTCCTATTAACGATATCCCACATTTCATTGATTATTCATTCATATGCTACGTCTTATTGAACAGGTCAGAAAAATAGCTCCAGAGTATTACGATAATATACCATGTCATACGAGTTGGTTTAAAGTCATATGGGATTTTATATGGGATGAAAATATGGGTCCACACGCTCATGGTTTAGGTTTTTTACCAGCTGACCATCCAGTATACGATCCAGTACGACATAATTGGGAAAAAAATTCCACAGATCTGAATAGCAATGGCTACAACAATTTACCAAAGAAAATTGAATAATAAATCTCTTTTCTTTCCACCTCTTCAAGACGAAATGTTTGAACTGTTAATTTTTTAGCTAAAAGAGTTTATTAATTTTTTTTAAAGTTTATAAAAATTTGTATCTTTCTTATAAATTAATAATAATTAAAAATAGTAAAAAAAGGACAAGAAAAGAAAAACTAGTACGTATTGGTTTCATTAATCAAATTAAATTGTCAATTAGTTTGTGAATTGTTGTACTGTTTCTATTATATTTTTTCAGAAACTCTGTGATAAACATATATTATCAATGTGATATTTATACTCTTGTTTATTTTTTTTAATATAAGAACTATATAGACAGAGTTATTAAATATCATCCTCCTCTGCACAGTCTCCAAGTTTCTTCTTGTTTTTACTATTTATAATTCGCAAAGTGCTTTAACATATTTGTTTTTTTTTTTTTTTGATATTGTAACAAACTTATACATCCATGATTAGATGAATAAGACGTTTAATGTTCAGTTCATTCTCGTCATTTAGGTATTTAATACTTTATCATGTTTGTCAATTTCTATTTTTTATTTTTTTTGCCTCAGCTGCTTGAATAAATTATTTTAAAATAGTTTTCATCTTTGATTGTTTATTGTTTTTTCTCTATGAATACAATGATAATAATGATTTGAATATAAAAATTTATTGAATGGTTTGTCAACATTTTTTACTGTATGTTTTAATTACAAGTACTGCTAAAAGCTTTGTAATATTCAAAACAATATAGGTATGCAATCTTAAAGTATTAAATTACACGTATCTTTTGTTTACAGCAATTAGCTGTAAAAACGATGTAATTAATACTTGTATATCTTATAAAATAAAAATCAAAACTGGTAAAACTATTTACCGATGGTTTTTAGTAATACCCAAAGCGACTTTTATGTAGAAACAAATCATGCCGCTTGTAAGATATGTTGGTCGAGATTATTTAAAGTATAAAGGAAAACGCCTTTTTGACATTTTATGTCGATTAAAAAATTTCGGAGTTGGTAGGATGGTCTATAGATACACATTCAATGAAAACTATCCCCAGCCCAGCTACTACATCATCACTAAAGTACAGCCAAATATGAAGGACCCCCAAAATTTCGTACGGTTCTTTTTAAAAATTTTCACTAATCTACCCAATAATTTGCAAATAAACTTGTAATTTAATATCATTCCTTCTTGGATAGACTCATAATATATTTAAGAGCATTCTTCTATAATTGCCTCTTTATTACAACTTTTATACCTTTATAGAAAGAAATTGACTCTTACGCATGGGGGTTAGCAACGTTTCGAGGAGAGCCGAAAGGTCAACTGAAAATAACTAAAGGCTATAAAGCAGATTGGCGATTAGTCCCAAGGCACGAAGAGGATAAGTTTAGATCATATACTGGAGAACTCCCGGCTCAAAATGTTATTCCGACCGAAATGAACTTACCACCTCTATTAGAATATCTCGAAATGAGCTCGGCGGCAAGGAAAGGAAATCCAATGACAGAAAGACCCAAAATACCTTTAATTAGAAATTATGGAAAAAATAATAGAGCAATTTCGGATAGTGAACAAAAAATTCTAGATGGAAATTTATAGATTTTACTTAAAAAACGATATGGGTTTTTAATAAGAACCTTTGATTTTTGCTTAGTTCTTTTGTTTACGTCAACTAAGACGTGTTAAATTTGTTTCTCATTAAAAGCTAATTTACAAGACTATTTTTCTGTTTTAGTAAAGAATTACTTAATTAATTAATCCTGAATCGACACAAGGATTATGCAGTATTTTTAAATTTAAATTTAAATAAAAAGAAAGTCTATATAGGCCGTTATCATGCTTACATTACAATATCTCTTTGCTTCGATAGGTTTAATTAACTACCAAGTTCTAACTTCCTTCAGTAGAGTAAGAGATATTTGCAAATGCTCTGTGAGTGAAACTAGACAAGAGATAGTTGTTAGCTATATATGTACAGAAAATACTTTGGGAGGAAGTGATGCAAATTGTAATAGGATATCTAAAAATTTCCTTCAAAAATCCCAAGTGAAAGTATATTATGATTTAATATGTGCGCAGGATAATACTGGCAAAGATCTAACATATAAGCCTATATTAATTGATATATTTACAAAAGTGGGAACAATAACGGCTAGAAACTGTTTGAATAGAAAATGGGCCATATATAGAACAAAAGGTATTGACATCTTATAGTTTTCTATCGTCCAATTGCTAAATAGCTAATTTGTATGTATCCAAAATCTATTCAATATACTTATAGAAATAGATAACTCATTACTCCAGTTAGTAATGGTTAATAGTAAACTTCCTTGTCGACTGGTATCACATCAGAAACTGAATCTTATATTTTCAATGATAGAACAGCCAAGTTTTGCTGATGATGCAAGAATTAATACAGAATACAAAATAATGTATGATTTTAACAAAATCATATCATTAGATCATTGCGACAAAGACATATCATGGAGTTTCCGAGTAAATCATTTATACATTGAAAACGATCTGGAACATGTTGCTTCATTAATGATAAGGAATATTCATAGAAAATTTTACGGTATGGTTTAAAAGAGTTCTTTCTCTTATCTTTTGTTCTTTTTTTCACTTATAAACATACAAAGGAAACCTAATTGTGAATAAAATGAATCTATTTTTAAATCCAACTTATAAGCACGAAGAGGAGAATATTATGAAAGCTTTTAATCAATTCTACGTAAACAACGTTCTCTTCTGCAATTGCAGTCAAAGATTATTATATAATTTAACAAGATCAAAGTTGTTTAGTATAGACAAAAATGAACATTCAGTAGACGTTCGGTTTATTTACGCTTGCCCAGAAAATCTCTACGTGACAAATTTACAACGAATTCAAGGGAGAATATTTAATTTATCAATAGGACAGAAAATTCTCTCTTGTTGTTATAAGAGTAATAAATTATGCTTTCCAAATGAAATAAAATGTAAGTTTATATGAATAATTCAAAAGTTAATTACTTTATAGATTATATTATAATTTTAACTAGACAATAACGTATTTAAGTCTGAAAATAGCATAGAAACTTTTCAGAAGAGAAATTTGTCCTCGGTAAATAGCTATAGGATGTTAATTCTAATACACCTTTTTATCTTTCAACGATCTTCTCTATAACCAGTCAAAGAAATATATGAAATCTTTTAACTATTAATTAACAAGCTAATTAAAATTTATCTATAATTAAATGCCACTGACTTTATTCCTTTAGTATTTCAATAAAGTTTTAAAATATATATATATATATACAACTTCCGGTAACATTTGACAAAAATAATGTCTCCTATTCAGTTTGTAAGAAATCTATACAAGATTGATTATCAAAGTAATTATTAATTTGCCACATTTTATAAAAGTATTAATCTATTTTAAGCAAGGAAAAAAAGACCAATGGTCTTTATGTTTTAATCAATATATGATGTTAATGGTATAAATAGACTTGGGTGAGTGTTTAGAAGGTATCTTCCAATGTATAAAATAACTACTATTCATAGCAATCTTTTCCTCTTCGCAAAGAAATAGATAAGTCAAAAATTTTTTCCTTTTATTTAAATAATGATTTGAGAAGATTTTATATAATTTATATAAATCTTAATATATTATAATCGACAACATTTTTTATGCCATCGATTGATTTGAATAATCTGCATATCTCGTAATACTAGCGAGTTCAAAACTTTCTGTTGACGATATTATTGCTGAAGACTTTTGAAAAGAAAATCAATGTTTCGAAGAAAATAAATAAGAAAAGAATGAATTAAAAGAATAATTTTAGATATAAATAGGGTTAAATATAATTCTTTTATTAGCAGAAACTTCTAAAGATTTCTATAGTAAATGTGACGATACGTCGATTAAGATTTAACTCTTATTAAGAATGAATTTATCTACCAACATTGAAATAATGCTGATTTTTATTTTTAATACCAGCTTGCAAATACTCAATATATGAACAGTGTACAGTACTCATATCACAACTATAAGAAGCCTTAAACATGAACATGAAACTATTAATAGAGACCTAGCTTTTCACATATGTTTACTTATATGATTTCAATTCTTTCTTAACTTTGCCGACAACAGTTGGTAAAAGGCTAAAAATGAACTGATAAAATAATGTATAAAATCGTCTAAAAAGTCTATAGTACACAAATAATCTATTCATCTTTTAATAAATAGTTTAAATCAATTGATAAACTGTTATAAAAAAACTCTGCTTTTTCTTATATTTTGACCTCTAATCCTGTCGTCTGCTTGAATAGAACTATTTGGAAAATACTTTTGTAAAATATGAATTTAATTGAAGACGAATCAATTTTAGAAGTATATTTAAAGAAAAAATATGATGTTATAGATCCTGTTACCATTCGTGTAAAAAACGTAGAGATGAAGATGGAACTGCTACGAAAATATTCGTCATTTCCATTAACTCTTGGAACGTTTTTGGGAGATGTCTTCCAGACTGATGTTCCCGACGGGTTTACAAATGCGTTAAGATGGAATAGTGGCAAAACTCTACTTTTTATAGCACAATGCGAAATACTTTTCCTGCCTGCATTTTATACGATGCTAAAGAGTAAAAAATCATTCGAGAATTTTGGAGGATATTTCCTTACACATAATATAAAATCCTCATCAGCATGGGAAAAATATATCATAAAAACATTAGACGGTCAAGATATCGTGTATTTTACAAGTAGATCAGTAATGGTTGATTCCAAGAAGAGAAAACCCATAACCGATTTTTTTGACAGAGACTTCTCAAGAGAAAAGATTTATACTAGGTGGTCTCATAGCTTACCTGATAGAATTGTCAAATTAATAAACCTAGGAAAGCCCGATGGAATAACAGAACATACCATAGATGATAATGATATAGATGCTAATAACCATACAAATTTTATGGTTTATATTCATCTAACGGAAAGGTGTATTAAGAAACTTTCACCGGAAAGAAATCAAGTAAAAAAGGCAAATATTTCTTATAAGGGTGAATGTCTACTTGGAGATGTTCTGATTGCAAACTGTTGGAAAATTAATGAATTCTATTTTTACTTTGAAATAGTGGTTAAAGACAGATTAGTTACTTTGGGTAATATTGAATATTTTAATAATGAATCCTCGTACCCTTCAAAATTATAAATATGATATATCTCCTAGAAATAACTCGGATCATCTTTAAATTGTTAGAAAAATATTATTTTATAATTCATAGCATTCTATAGGCTTCTTTAGTGAATTAATTAATTCTACGAAATTTTTTTTAGTGATTGATTTAAATCGTCAAATTTTCGTTTTTCTTTCTATCAATATAAATAGTGTTCTGGGAATAAAATAACTATTTCGCCAAATATTATTGAATTGTTAATAAAACTCAATAGAGTTAAATACAACTGTTACAGTTTTCATCATTCGATAACGGTAATTTGCTATTACGTGGTATAAAGTTCTTTCGAATACGAAAATGAGGGAAGCTACTGTCTAGTTAGGATATGGTATTTTTAAAATAATTTTAGCCGTGTTTGCTGAGGAAATTTGTCATGAGCTAAGAAGAAATTAGGATGAATAAAAAGATTTGGTCATTCATCGCCTTGATTCTGAAGTTTTCAATTAATTTGTTATCATCCTCTTATACACTTATTATCGCTCTTACTATCCTTTTTCTGATATTCTCAAAGCCTCATTATGAAAGTGTTGTGTGCCCTTCAGTATTCAAATCCAGAGTCCCGACTAAAAGATATTCAATCTACGATCCTCCTTTCGAAGTTGACTGCACTGCATTTTTTTCACAGTCTCCGACAAGAACTTCGGAACTCTTAAGGATGAGAGATTATAAATGGTGCTACCGACCTAATGCCATATCTGACAGTGAATATATCGACATGACGAAAGATTGTAAGAAGTTTAAAATGGACAGAGGTTATAACAAGTTCAAATCCTCAAAAGAAGAGAAGAAGTTCCCTATTGCATATTCAATTCTTGTTTATAAGTCAGCGGAGCAAACCGAACGTTTACTTAGAGCAATTTATCGCCCTCACAATGTTTATTGTATTCACGTTGACGCCAAAGCATCTGAAAGTATGCAAAGTGCCATCAAGTCAATAGGTAAGTGCTTTCAAAACGTTTTGACGATTGAAAATCCTATATCTGTCCGGTGGGCTGAAATAACTGTTGTTCAGGCTGAACTAATGTGTCTCAAGAAACTGTACAATTCAACAACAAAATGGAAATACCTTATAAATTTAACAGGACAAGATTTTCCATTAAAAACCAACAAACAATTGGTAAAAATCTTGCATGCTTTCAATGGGGGCAACGATGTTGATGGCACCCCCCACAAACGTCCTATCGCATGGACCGAATATTCTTGGAGAACAGAGTGGTGGAGAACTAACTCTCGAAAGGGTCCTGTACCGCACGAAGTTCTTATAACTAAAGGATCGGCTCATATGGCAGTATCTAGAAAATTCATAGGATATGTTCTAAACTCAAAAATCGCTCGTGATTTGTTGTATTGGATGGCTGACATTAGAGTTCCTGATGAACACTATTTCTCATCTCTTAATCATTCTCCTCATCTTAAAGTTCCTGGCTCTTACAAAGGTAATCCTGATTTAAAACCATTTGTTTCCAGATATAAAATTTGGTGGACCAAGGTTGAAAAATGCAGCGGAACATGGCAAAGGTTTATCTGCATTATCGGATTAGGGGATTTATATAGACTAGCAGATAGGTACGAATTGTTTGTAAACAAATTTGATATAGATCAAGATCCCTTAACTCTCAGCTGCATGGAAGAGTGGTTCTACAAGCGAAATGAAGAGAAAACTGATTTAAATGTTTCATTCTACAAAAATTTACCCTTTGTAAAAAATCATGTATAATTTTTGTTTTTTTTAGATTATTGAACAATAATATTGAATCCCACTAAAAGAATTTTCTTTTTGACAAAAATTTTATTCAATTTTCTATAATAAATATTCAGCTATTATCTTTTAAAAAAGTGAAGTCCCGGATTCCTTGATAAGACAATAAAAGGAAGGTTGATCTTTTTTACCTTTCCTGCTAAATTGACTAGTTTCCTTAGAAAATTGTCTATTTCCTTATTTTAGTGAAGCTTGAATCTCTTTTGGTCAATCCTTCTTTTTCTAACAATGTAAAGACTGATAAGAACTATAATAATGGGGATACTAATTAGAGTGTAGAAAAGAGTTCTTGATTTTTTTAGACGATCAACGACATATTCAACTAGTTTATCACTATTGAAAAATTAATATAAAACAATTAGTACATGTCTTGTATTTAATCTCATTAAAAACTTACAAGGGACTTTGAGGATTTGGAACTTTCTCGGCTTTACTATGTTTGTAGGTATTCTCTGCGAATTCGGTGAGACTTTGAAAGGTAAACTCTTTGAAAGAGTATTCGTACATATTACCATGTCGAAATCTGTTTTTGGGAAATTGAACAAATAACAACAGCTGATTATAGATGTTCAAGTATAAACTTACAAATATATTGAAGGACAACCCTCTATCTTGAATCTCTTTCTCAATTCTAATTGTCTTGTCAAATCTACTGTTGCCACGTTAATTTTCTGACGTAGGTGGTGGGCGACAGCCTCCAATAGAGGAGTAAATTGGTCACAACCGGACTTTTCACTGAAAATTTAAGTAGGTTATTAATATGTCTACAACTTCTAAATGGTTATTACAAGCTAATTAGCCAATCTCCTGTAGTAGCACCTGTTGATGCTTGAGTAAGGTGTTCAAAGTTATCATCGGTTAAGATCCTCATTACCACATTCTTATGTTGTTCTAGCCATATAATAACATCATTTTTCTCTATCATAGGTGAGGGATAGATCATGGGCATTGCTTTTCTAAAGAATATAAGCGACGGTTTATTGATGAATGATGGATAACTTAGAATTCTAACTCCATATAAGGTAGATATGTAAGATGAACCAATAATGTCTTTAACAAGTTTTTCCTGTTCTACACAATTTTCGCAATCTGTTGGAGCTGTTTATTCAAAATTGTGTTTTGTAGAAATTTGTTTTAACAGTTGTTTATAATTGATTTGTAAAAACTTTTATTGACTCTTATCCATTTCAACATGTAGAACATTTCTTTAGAGAATATTACCATTTTTTAAAAATTAATTTAGCCTAAATGACCAGTTAAAAAGTTGCATGTTAATTTTAAGAGAAGTATAATGTCTAAAACACACTTTTGCTTAATTTAATTTAATCTATAAAAAGAAAATTTTCAATTGACAGAAATTATTACTTTTATACTCTATAATAAATAAATAAAGTTAAATGCATACTAAAAGTGTTAAGCATATACTATCGCTCACCATAATAAGCAAGAACATATTCATGGTCTTGAACGAAGAGGTTAAGTTCAAGTGGCATCATTGTTGAGTAATTTATATCATCGTTAGCAGTTGTATACTGCGCAATGACAATTATTAAAAGCCCAGAAAATATACCGTTGAACATTTTAATTCAAATTGTAGTGAACACGACGGCACTGACAGATGGCGTTTATTACTAGGAAGAATGTTTTACATATTGAAAAACGGTAGAAGAGCTATTCAACTGAAAACAAAAAAACTTTATAAAACAAGTAGCATAGACATTGTTAGTCAAACGATGTCGATTTTAGAATTTCAATAGGAAATAATTAAATTTGAAAACCGTAAGAAACATACAATTTTAGAATACAGAGAGTCATTTTTTATGTATATTAACAAGTATTTTATATATAGATTTAAGTTTAAGATTACTTATTAATCGGGAAAACTAGATATATTATTTATATACTAATTATAATAATAACAATAATAAGTAATAATAATAATAAAAATATATATTTGTGAAACTGATCAATTGATAAAATTTAAGAATAGAAACTATTAACAAACTATCAACTTCTTTTCAAAAATAAATGTTTTAAAATTATCTATAAAAAGATTTTAGAGTAATATTTTTCTTTAAAAGTGATATTAAATCTGTTTAATGTCGCCATACAAAATTTTAATTATTTCAACAATGTTTTTCGTATTGATAAATTTTTATGAGCGATAATATATAGTTCTTAATTATGTTAATGTCGACAAAAAACCCTAATAAATAAGACATTTTTTAGAGTTTATTTAAAAAACATATGTTTTATAGATAAGACATGTTGAGAAATCATTAAAACTATAGTTTTTTTGAAATTTCGATGATCTATTATATTATATAGTGTGTCACTGAATCATACAACCGCGCTTTTCTTGGCTAAACCATTAAGTGGCGCATGCGTATTTAGCATATTCTACAATCTCTATTCTTCGATCAGTCAGGTCTGTCAAGGTCACTCGTTATTGACATTGCAAAACAAGGGCACGAAACAGAGTGGCGTGTGCTGATATTGAATATAGACCGGCCTTTGCATTTATACTGGTCACTTTGCGTTCGCGCCTTTCATTTTCGATTTCACCAAAGGAAATATGTCAGAGCAGACTGATAAAAAGAGAGTTGGACGATGGTATTTTGGTGGATTTGCAAGTGCTGGTGCAGCATGTTGTACACATCCCTTGGATTTACTAAAAGTAAGAAAATTAGCTTGATAAGGTTCGTCTGTATACTATCTCTTTTGTTCGATTGCGTGACAGGTTCATCTACAAACTCAACAGAAGTCTAATCTACGATTATCTGGCATGGCTGTTAAAGTTGTTAGAAATCATGGATTTTTCTCCCTTTATAATGGCCTATCAGCATCAATATTAAGACAGGTATTATTTTAAAACAATTCTTCTAGAAAAACAAAAAATTTCTAAAAATACTTTCTATTTAATCAGCTGACCTATTCTATGACAAGATTTGCTATCTACGAAGGAGTTAAAAATAATATTTTAGGATCGGATAAAGAAGTACCATTCTATCAAAAAGTACTCTTAGGTGGAGTAGCTGGAGCAGTTGGTGGTTTTGTTGGTACACCGGCTGATATGATAAACGTTAGGTAAATTTCAAGCAATACATTTATTTATAAATTAGATAAATGCCTTTATTCATTTAAATGTAGGATGCAAAATGATGTTAAACTGCCAGTCAACGAAAGAAGAAAGTAAGAAAAACTATAATAACCATATATATATATATATATATATATATATTAGTAAATTAATTCTTTTTCCAGCTATAAACATGCAATTGATGGTCTCCTTAAAGTTTATAGTAAAGAAGGAGCGTCCAAACTCTTTTCTGGAGCCACTATGGCAAGTTCAAGAGCAGTGCTTGTCACTATTGGTCAGCTATCATTTTACGATCAGATTAAAGTGGTTAGTATTATATCTCAGTTCTTTTTATAATTGCTTTATTATCGATGAATATATTGATATTTTTTTTAAATAAATAGATGTTGCTCATGACTGGAGTATTCAAGGATAATATAGTTTTGCATTTTTCCTCAAGCTTTGCAGCTGTAAGTAATATGCTATAAATCTATAATAACAAAACCGCTAAAAACTACGTTTTGTAATAATATTTAGGGTGCCATAGCAACTCTTTTAACAATGCCATTAGATGTTTTGAAAACTAGATTAATGAATGCCCCACCAGGAACATATTCGGTAAGTTCATTTTAAATAGGCAATACCATTTATTTATTATTAAATATACTATTTAATTATTGTCCATACTTTTAAAGAGCATTGGACATTGTGCTAAAGACATCTTAAAGGCAGGACCCAGTGGTTTTTTCAAGGGCTTCGTTCCGGCATTTGTTAGACTAGGACCACACACAATTATAACTTTCATATTTTTTGAACAGCTAAGAATGAACTTTGGCATGCTTAAGTGAAAAAACTGTTTAAGTTGCAAAAATATTACCTTTTTCCATATTTGTTTTTCCTTTTAGAATATTCTTTATGTTTATAATTCTAGAATTGAAAACCAGAAATCGCTCAGTGCTCAGTCAATAAAACTTGCCGTTTCGGTGTTGTTTGTTTTTTCACTGAAAAAAAAAATATTTCTTTCCAGTTATTACCTTTATTCTTGTTGCTTTTGTTACTTTATAATTACTAGGCGTGGTGTACAAAAGTATTAATGAATGTTGGATAAGATGTACTAAATATTTTTAGGCCTTTAAAAACTGTTTTCAGTTGATATTGTCTCAGTATGCCATAAGAATTTTCAGTTATTAGTGAAATTATTATATTATTTGAAATTTTATGAGTTTAATGAAATATATGTTTATTTACTGATAGAATAATTTTTCAAGTGTTTTTGCAACTGAAATATGAGGTATATTTAAGAAAAAATCCAGTCTGCAGAACAATTTGGGCATTTACCATTGTCTCCTCCAAATAATTTTTTAGCACATCTAAAGTGCATTTTGGTCTCACAATGTTGACAACTATCTCCTAAAACGCAGATTGTTTTACAACCGTTACAATCTGGAACATTTCTATCTTTCAAATCATCCTTTAGTTCTATAAGAGCTCTCGGGGATAGAACAACTCCGCAATTATCGTCATCAATAAGCCAACCAGATTTTATAAATTCTCTGCACAGTCCATCACACTCTCCTGCAGAGAGTTTATACTCATTAAACGAATTACCAATGTTACTTATCGCAATATTTCCTAATCTGCCATTATTATCCACTATTTGATTGATAATTGCTGTCAGGAACTGACGAAGTTCTGGCTTGATAGTGTCTTTGAAAGATTCCTTCTTACAACAGAATACATAACAGCTTCTACCAGTCTTTTCACAGACAGATCTCTCAATATCGTAATTTAACTTCATAATATTCAACTTTATAGCCTTGATAAATTCAAAAAGACCCTCTTTTAAATCGTCGGGTGGTTCAATATCTGAAAGAGAGAAGCAATCAATGTGAAAGAACTCGTTGAAAATAGGCAATCATTAAGCTAACTTGATGCATTTAGGCACTTTTCAAAATATTCTTTAACCTCTGAACCATACATAAAACTTTTGCTCATAATTTTTTGTAAAAATCGTACGTGAGCAACACCATATTGATTCATAATAATATATTTTAATAATAGTAAAGAGCGCCAAAATAATGTTTGAAAGTTTTTGGAGTAACATTAATATATAATCCTAAAATGATATAGGAAAAATTTCCTGATTCTTTTCTGTTTGTTACATAAAAATTTTTAGAAAAATAGTAATAACTATAAAAAAAATTATTATTATTTACACCAAAAAAAAGTATAGAACAAAAAGGATATTACGAAACAAAACTATAAATATATGTATATTAAGCTTACAAATCTTTTGGCATCACACTGAAGAGCGTAACTTAAAAATTTTTGAGACTACTTTATAACCCTAAACACAAGAATAAGCACAACACATTTTATGATCAATAATGAAAGACCTATAAAAAGATGAAAAAAATAAAAGTTCAATTTTTAGGTGAACAATTGCTTCGTTACTTTCTCGGGAGTCTTTCTTGCTTCGAACCAACTATGATCGATATTATCATCTTTTCCATTCTTACTCGGTGAACGATAATCGTGTATAAGCATAGCACTTTCAGTTAACGAAAAAGCGGCATTCAGAATTAAAAGAATATTTAAACCGCAATATAAGTAAAACACAGAATGTGATACATTTAAGTTGGAGAAGAAGCAGACGTAGGAGAAGAATAATATTTGCGTAATAGAGCTCTAGAAAAATTTAATAAAGAAATAATCAATTAAAATTTATTCTATTGATTTAAATATATGAAATAAATACTTTACCTGAATACGACAATACATTTTTATAGTTTTTTCACGTTCGTATAAGAATGTTCCAGCCTGTAGCGATATTAAGGAAGCTAGTATATCTTCGCTGGCAATAAATCTTAGTAGAGTATGAGACACAACATCTTGCTTGACATTCTGTTTTAAATATTATATTTTTTCAATTATAATTGTTATTAATATAACTGTAGATTTGTACTAACCAATGCTTTCATTGCCATAATTGGAAATGCATAAATTGCAATAGCTCTTGTACAAGAAATTAGAAAGTCTAGTCGTAAGTGCATATGAAATCTTATATGATAATTTGGAAAAGAACTGTAGTCTTTTGATAAGGCTAGATGATAAATATTTCCAAGGAGTGATAGTAAACAAGCCAAACCACTAAATGATAGAAATTGCTATTGTGGAACAAGAGAAAGGAAAAAAAGTTAATATTCTGTTTATAAAATTATATTGCAAAAACTCTTCACTACTTCTAGGCCTTATATTTACCTCATCGGTTAACCTGGGTTTGCTAGTGGCTTTTGTCCCATATACAGCATGTGCACCAGCCAATAGCATTAAGCAGAGACTCTGCGAGGAGGAAAACGTATAATACAATTAATAAATAATTCAATTGGCTAAAAGATAATAAGAATATTTTTTACCGCTGATTTAGAACTTAGATAAGATATATGAACGGTACCGTCCCTCGAGTTTGAAACCAAGTAACAATACAAGACATTAGATAGAATGACTACACCAAGTGCCCTTGCTAAGATATAATGATGACTATCCAATGTTCCAAATATCTATAAGGAAATAAATCAATTTAAACTATATTATTGTTGTTTTTTGGCAACAATGTTATAAATATTTTTATTCTCCCATTAGGCCTAGTTTTAAAAAAAAGATAGGCGCTATAAAAAACAATTTAATAATTCTAGTAGAAATATTCTAGTTGTTGTTTTTTTTCATTTTAATATTCTCTTTGATTATTCTCAAAAGAATATTCTTTGTTTTGCAAATTCTAGATAAACAATAGCAGTGTGTAAACATCCAGATTTTTGAGTTGTTCTGTGCAACATATAACAGAGAACTGATTAATGCTCTGTTTTTTTTATTGTAATTTTTACAGAAATAAGTTTTATTATCAAACTTGATGTACATTTTCAAATGAATTTTATGATATTTATATGATATTTTAATAATTTACTTGTTATAAGTATTATAGTACCTGAAATTGCAGCAAATGTTGTGGAACGATGAACAAAGCCAGACCGGTAATAAAGGAAATCAAGTAATCCATTCCCAGCCATACTGACCGATCAAAAAATACGGATAGGATAAATATAATAATTAAGGAGCCGCTTCTAACTCCATTTGGAATCACATCGCTACTTAATAAGTAAGCTAACATGTCTTTTGGCTTCAGTTATAGTTTCAGTTTGAGTGACAGTTTTATTTGTTGGGGGCAGCACCATAGACCGCCAACATTCATCGAGACTTTTATGTTTTCAGCGACATCTGGTTGCTGATTGTCTAAACTGAAAAATATTATTGAGAAGTAAGCATTCAGACTAATAGTGAGTATCTATATTTATATTTATTGGCTTATATATATAACTCATATTCTGTTTATCAAACAATGTAGTAATGTTATCTTACTGCAAATCTTAGAAATAGATCTAGTTGATGGACACCTGATATAAATATATTCAAAATTTCCTGCTCGATCCATCTATGATTTCCTTAAAACAATTTATAATGGTCGTATTTGGTATTGACCTTAATACAATTAATGTTTCTTAGAATTTCAACTCTTTAAACTTGTATAATATATTTTGTTGACTATTGCTAGACAGTTTTTCTCGTATTGATTGCAATTTTTTTTATGGTAATAAAACGCGAACAATAAACTGTCTGGAACCGGCTGGGTATGTCGAAAATATGTAGGCCTGATTTTTAAAAGAATTTTATCTGTATCTCTCTATGTACATACACGTTTATCTGTATATATAGATATATAAGTGAATTAGTTACTGATTCATATCTCTAACCCCGATATAATATAGATATAATTCATTTAAAATGTTTGCAACACCTGTTTACCAATTCATTTATCTGTAATTTACCCAGACTATCGTAAGTGAGGCCTATGAGTATTAGCAGTGTCCTTGTAAACGGAACACTTTTCTATAATGTTTATTCAAATGAGTGCATCACGTGACCAAACGATTGTAAACACATAAGCACATAAAGGTGGCCTCTTACTGTTTTTTTCTTGAACACCTACCGGTAAGCCTATATGAAAATAACTTATCAAAAACTTTATATATAGTTTAAACATAAAATGTTACATATAATCTGCTTTATATTTGCTTAAAAGTTGTATTTAACTGCTCTGCTTGTTTTTAAGTCAGACAAAAAGCAGGTATGGCGTATCTAACTACCTGACAAGGGGCAATCGAACAAAACCTGTTTACTGCAGTATAGAAGTTCTTGCAATATTGTTTATTTATTAACTTCTATTACAGATATTTGTGTGAACGTTATGAAGATAGTTTGGGTGATATGTAGCTTATTCACCTTAATTTTGGTAAGTAGCTATACTGAAATGATTTATGGCTAAATTACATTAACAATAGAATTATTGATTTTAAAACATGCAAATAAATTACAGGCGGATAGGAACAATATTACAATTGATCTGGACAATTGTGGAAGATATAAGAGTTGTTATAGACTTCCGTACGGATGCGATAAGAACTGCTCGACAATTGTTACTTGGAAGGATGACGATAACGGTTTCATTGAATTTGAAATGTACGAAAACGAAGAGCACTATATAGCTATTGGATTGTCAAATGACAAAAAAATGGTATATATTTACATTACTTATTACCTTCTATTTATATATGTATATACTGTATATAGTATCTATATATATAAATGCATATACTGTAAAAATTTAAAAATATAGTCGAAGAACTTTTTTTCACCCGTGGTAACTGCCACCAGAAAATAGCTATTTTAAGAAAGGCTCAATAAAGAGTCAAGGTTAACTTTATTTCTTATAATAGCATTCAGCATTTGGTTTTTATACGATTAATTATACGTAAAAAAAGTATGACTTATGACTATTTTAATGTAAAGGGTAGTCTGAAGTTTTTCATTTAATAATTTAATAGGAAATGAAGTATAATAAACTAATTGTTTAATTATACATAGCTTATTTATGGTATCACGATAAAAAGGTATTTCTATTCTGGAACTCTCGAATAATCGATTCTTGTATAAACAATTCTGTACCTTGTTTTTTTATGGTTAATAAATATAGACTGTCTGATTCATTTTTCATTCTTGTTTTTTGTTATTCTTAGGGGAAAGATTCTGTCTTGGCTTGCTTGAGAACAGGAGCTGATGATAAAAGAATTCAAATGTTGTATACAGCCGACCATGGAAAAGCACCGAAAAATATTGGAACTCCAGATATATTAAAATACAATATTAGAAACGCAAAGACTTGGGTGGTTGATGGTTCTGTTACTTGTAAATTTGGTAGAAGGATTAATACAAATTTTACTGAGATATATGACATTGATGAAAAAAAATATTATGCGCTCTTTGCCAGAGGAAAAATCGACAATAACGAAATAAAACAACACGATAAAGATAAGCGTTATATTATTAAAAATCGTAAAATAGATTTTATGAAAGTTGTACCAATAACCGATGGAAAAGTAAAAACAAGCGGTTATATTAAGGCGCATGGATGTTTAATGGCTATTGCTTGGATGTTTTTCGCCCCAGTTGGAATCTTTACGGCAAGATATCTTAAAACTTTTTTTAAAGAGGAAAAGAATCCAGACGAAGCGTGGTCCTTCGTGAGTAATGGTTCATTATTAATTTTTACTCAATTTCATGGAAAAAATTTTTACTTTTCGAACAACAGATACATTGGGCGTGTATGGCAACAACCGTTGTACTTACAGTAATTGCCTTCGCTTTGATATACATTGAAAATGGAGGTTACAAAAGCGTTAGTAATAAAATTTAAAAATTTATATCTATTTTTACTAATTAATTGTTATATCATCAATTGATTAATACATATAATTAATTATATATACAGTTGGATTCGTATCCTCATGCCGCCCATCCTCCTTTAGGAGTATTTATATTTGTTGTATGCTTAGTAAATGTAAGTTATTGATGATTAAAGTATTGTATTAATTAATTGAGTACATAATCTTGATTTTTGTAGCCTGTTGGTGGTCTTTTCTTAAGCAATATGGATAAGGATGATTCGAGACGTGTATTCATTCTATGGATTCACAGACTGTTTGGTATTCTTGCCGCAATTCTCTCTTGTAAGAAGTTATTTTGTGGTCTTTTAATTTTATTCAACTATTAATATACTTATACAATTTCTATAGTGGTCCAAGTAATGATTGGATTAGACCTTCCAAAGGCTAATTCCGGTAGTTCAACAGTAAAATGGTGGGTTCTTGTTATGTTGATTGTCAATACGATTTACGGTATTATATTGGATTTGGTTAAATGTGGAGAGGACAATGATAAAGATAATAGTATGTATCATAGTTAGATTCTAGTTTTTCTATTTCTGTTTATTGCATCCCTTTATTTGTTTTTAAGCGGAATTCAAAATAAGATAATATCTTGTTATTAATTTATACTTGTCGTTTTTAAACATTAGAATTTGTGTGCTTTTTTACTATCCGCTTCAAATTATTAAATTTGCATATATCTGCTTCCCTTCTTAAAAATATTAAAAAAGAAATTGAAAACACAGAAGATGGAGATCATGGTATGGATTCAGTTGTTACAAAACCAGACAGAGCAGACAAACCCGAACGTAAAGACGGTGAACCTGATGAAAGCACTAGAGAAGGACGTGACGAAAAGGTTTGTTATACACTTTATATACACGTATACATCGTAGAGAGAGAAATTATTTTCCCTATATATATACAACTTATTAATATAATATTATTAATAATAAGTAAGAGAAGATTATTCTTAATGTAGCTTAAGCTAGGCTAATATAAGTCTTTGGGTTAAGAGCAAAATAGCATCTCTATGATTTAGGAAGAAAGATTTCTATCCGAAAAGAGCACGACTAGATATATAAATATATGTATATAAACTTAAACACTACATAGATGTCATATGGGCCTACATGGATGAAATATACTAATATATTGCTTAACATAAAAAGTTCAATTTCGTTAATTAATATTAATTAAACATAATTATTGTTTATTAATTGAAAAATTGTTAGTATTTTTCTTTAATTACGATGAAAATTCGATATCTAGTTCAATTCCAGTCTTAATGGTTTTTACAAAAATAAGTAAAGGCCTTTTTTAAAGTCAATTGACCTTGAACTCACGTTTATTTTTAAATAGTAACTTGACAATTTTCTTATATTATACACTAGATGGCGTATCGATTTGCTTATAATGTATAGAACTATAAAGTGGAAAATCTGCTATTAATATTCTTTTTCACAGAGGTATAGAACAAGACAAGGAATCTACGGAGCAATTATTGTATCCGGTATTGGTCTGACAATTCGAGTTTTGGTTGCAGTTGGAACAGATTAAAACGCTACATGAAAAACAACATTTAGAAGCTTTTCAATATTTCTTTTCCAAACATGAACAATACTAAATACCTTTTGTGTACTCATTTACATTTAACTTACCTAAGAGTTTTATATATAAATATCTGTATTTTGTAATTATTTAATTTTTCATGAGTAGAGTGTTAATGTTTTTGTCTTTGCTTGAAATGCCAAAAGGCATTGTAGTTAAATGTCATTACTTATATTCTTACAAAGTAAAAGGTGTCACGTGTTACTGAGCATGAATGGATTTTATATGTCTTGAGGAAAGTGGGATAATACAATATTGGGCATTTTTTTGCCATGTCACGATTATACTTGTTAACATAGAGAGTGATCTGAATATAACCCATAGACGCAATAGTGGCCCTCGCCCATTCTAAAGCTTGACAGAAAAATGGATTTTTTCGTCTTGTTAACGCTTGGACTTGTGTTTTTAAGTTTTAAACAAGTTTTAACTTTCCCAGAGGGACCTGGTTGGCATGCTTGCCACGGACTTGTGCCTAATGTTTTTACGCACGGAGAGGGACAAAATTCGGTTTCCCCATATGAGATTATATTGTCGTCTTATTCATATACAGCTAATACTCCAAATATAACTGGTAACTACTAAAAGACTCTATTAAAATTTTAAAAATGTATTATATTTTCTATAGCAACAATACAAAAGAAACAATCGACAACAGTTGGTTTTAAGGGATTTATGGTTTCCGCGTATGATAGCAAGGGGCAACCAGTTGGTAAATTTCTTGCTGGGGCAGAGAATAGACCTATGTGCGATTATTACGTTCGTATTCCAATTGTTGATTGGTGTTTTCTCTGTATATATTGGTAGTTTTTATATTTTTATGCTTGTCTCTTCGCTTATAGACAGCTACAGGTCAAAGTAACGGAAAAATTAAAGATTCGGTTGATTTGAATTGGATACCACCTGCAACTCCAGTAGGAGATATTATATTCAAGTAAGAGATTTAATTAAAAATCAAGTAAATTGGACGATTATTTAAAAAAGAAGCCTTATAACTGTATAAAAAAGGAGCATACAAGATATTAAATAGTTAAAAAATCTGTTACTAGGTTCTAGGCGAGTAATCCTTTCTGTCAACTGTTTTCCTATTTTATTCTCTTTCTTCTATTTTCTATGAAAAATGAGAACTTTTGTTCATTTCAACAGAAACTCTTGAAACTAGTTATAACTATTATTGTATTATGTGTCACCTAATTATATTATTCACCTTATATTCTATTTTAATTTGAGTCGTGCTTAATTTTTAAGGGCTACAATTCTTCAGAGCTTCAATACCTTTTGGCTCAGGGTACCTGCTTTAACTTTAACTGGACCTGGAGTGGCTGATGATCAGAAACCACCTCCACCTGTGAATACAGGAAGTTCGACAGATCAATTTGATTTTACTAAATGTGGCAAAGAAAGAGGCTGTTTACGATTTCCCTCTTCGTGTAACTCTGAAAGTAGCTGTCAAGGCGTTGTATTCTGGAAAGATGCCGGCGATTATATTGAATTCGATGTATCTGTTAATGGCAGTTTTAGATCAGTTGGTATCGGCTTTTCTAAAGACAATCTAATGTCTGATGACAGTATATTCGGTTGTTTCATAAAAAACAACTTTGAGGAATTTAACGCTGATAACTATTATAGCCCAAAGAATCCACAAAATATCCTTTTCAGTAAGATTATTGAAAGAAAACCTATTCCTGATTCTGTTATCCTTGATGGAGCATCGTTCAATGCTTTACAGAGATTAAAATGCAAAATAAGAAGAAAGAAGTCTGTGGCTGGAGAGGAAGATAAATTTTTCGATATAAGTGCTGGCAACTCATATTACTTGATGATGTCTATTAGCGACTATAGCGTTAATTGGACACGTTATGAAGGATTATATTATCATGGTTTTACCAAAGTTATTACGAAATCTCCAGTGAGCATTAGTGACAATGAGGACATTAAATTGGATATAGGCAAGTTTTAACTTTTCTTTATCCTAAACTATTATTAACTTATGACTATCCTGTAGTTTATCCTCCTGCTCCTACGGAACCACCTAGTACCGGTCAGGGCCAGTTGAAGCTTCCAGGGGGTTGTGAAAAGTCAGAGTGCCAGGGAATGGTAACTTGGAGAGAAGCGGATGACAGCATGGAAATATCAATGAAAGCAGCAAAAGGATTTGACTACGTTGGTTTTGGATTATCACATGACAGAAATATGGGCGATGATTCAATCATAATTTGCTCAACGTTAGATCCAATTCCGAAAGCTGTAAATTACTATTCCAGAGGAGCTGGTCTACCAGATAAAATAGGCGAACAGGGAATCACAATGGGACAGTCCTCGTCAGAAAATGGTGTTCAGTGCGTTTTCAAAAGGAAGAAGATAGTGGATAATAATGAAATTTATGATATATCCAAAGATAAGAAATATCATCTATTCCTTGCTGTTGGTAAAATCAAAGATAATGTACCTCAGTATCACGGTCCAGATAAAAGAAGCACAGCTGAAAAGTTTACTTTACTCGAAAGTGTATCTATCCCACCGACACCACCTAAAACGACAAAAGCACCTAACAAACCATCGAATATAGACTTCGACGACTGCGGAATTAAAAAGAGTTGTTTTAGATCACCAGCTAATTGTAATCCAGAATCAGCATGTAAGTTTTCCGCAACTTGGAAGAAAGTTGATGACTCTTACGAATTTGAGATTTCTGGAGCAAGTGAATTTCAATATGTCGCCTTAGGTTTATCTTTCGATAAAAAGATGGGTGATGATAGTGTTCTCGTTTGTAATGATATATTGTCAGATCAACAAGTAGTTATTTACTACACTGAAGATAAAAGTCCTAAACGTCTTGGAAATGATGGAATAACAGTTTTGAATACAAAATTTGAAAATGGAATTTATTGTAAATTTAGGAAAACTATAAACAGTAATTCCAAAAATATTTATAGTTTGGAGGATGGACTTGAATATACACCTCTTCTTGCTGCTGGCCCTTCTAGAACGGCAAGGAATTCAAAAGACATAGCTTATCACGGCTCGAATAAAATCGCATCGATTGTACAAATTAAAATGGGAAAGTTAGTAAATATTGGAGGGGACACAGAAACTCAAAAACTCGTGATAGCTCACGGCGCTTTAATGACTGCTGCTTGGCTGATATTTGCAGTTTTTGGAATATTTAATGCAAGATATTTTAAAACTCTATACGCTAACAAGATCTGTGAATTAGATGCCTGGTTTGTCGTAAGTTTTAAAAAAAAGAAAAAGAAAATCCAAGGTTTTTTACCTGTTTCATTTAATTTCTCTTCCAAAATAGTTGCACAGGATTAGCATGTTAATGGCCACAATTGCAACAATTGCAGCGTTCGTAATCATTGTATATGACCTGGATGGAAAAATCGTTCGTGTGAGTAAATTTTTTTATACCAGTGAATCATTTTTTTTTGTTTGAAAGCATTCGTAAATGGTCGTTATTACCTTCTTTGCGTTTCGATACCCTTTGAATTATTACTCTTCCCAAGAGTTTTATCTTCGTTTTCCCTCATAACTTTTATATATTTGTTTCTTTATCAAAAAGGAACAAGGAGAGTTTAATTGTAAACTAGGAACGTCGCTTTCGTTTGGGATAAAAGGAGCAAATCTTAAGTTTCCTTATATTAGAAATCTTAAGATATCTTGTAATTTATTAACTGGAATTAAATTGTAGAGCATCTCGGAAAAATCGAGACGCTGAATTGATTTTATATTTGAAAAACATTTTTTGTTTTTTGTTGATGTTGTTGACTGTTGTGTTCGACTAGACAATAATGTCTTTTCCCAAGCGATTAATTTCATCGCGAACAAATTCCATATCTTCCTTTGTGGAGTTTAAGTGCGGTATAACAATGCGAAAGAAATTAACTCTGTGACCCAATGGCTGATAACCAATCATCATACTCCCTTTTCGCATCATTTTCTCTTTGATTTTTGGGGCGACTTTGCCTAGTCTTTGCCACCATTTATCATCTCTTTCGCCATTTCCCCGAAGACATGGAGGAATATACCAGAAACAAACATTGGTACATTGAGGCTGGAAAATTTTTGCTTTATATTAATATAATAGAACAGAATATAGAGGAGGACTAACCTCGTGAACTAGCTTAAATCCTTCAGTATCTCTGATCAAATCAGCAAAATATTCTGCTATACCAAATGCATGATCAATCATCAAATCAACTTGTTTCTTGCCCCTTGCTTTAAGGATAAACCAGGCTTTAAATGCATCAGCCTTACGACCGCATTGGATTGACATATCGCCACTGTCATAAGCAACATCATAGTAGCGATCGGGTTGGAATAAGTAGGAAGCAGCCTGACCATGAGCTTGTTTCAGGAGATCTTTATGTTTGGTAACAAATACTGCGCATTGCTGTGTTGCACCAAACATTTTATGGGCATCCCAAACAAAACTGTCAGCATGCTCAATACCCTTAAGCAAATGCCTTCTCTTCTCACTTAATAAAGCTGGACCTCCCCAGCATCCGTCAACGTGCATGTACATGCTAAATTCTTTGCAGACTTTAGCGATTCCCTCCAAGTCATCGAAAGCTCCCATGACTGTGGTACCACTAACAGCAACAACCATCAATGGAACTATACCCTCCTCGATGGTTTCCTTTACCTTCTCTCTTAGAGCTTCAACGGACATTCGACCACTTTCTTCGCAACGAATTCTTTTTACAGCATCAATTCCATAACCTAGAAAAGCGGCTCCCTTCCCGATTGAGTAGTGACATTGTTCAGAAGCAAAAATCGCCATCTTCTTTACTTCAGTCATGCCCTTTTCTTTAACTGAAGGGAAACGAAGATTTCGTGCCAAATTCAAGCCAAAAAAATTTCCCATTGAACCTCCCGGTACAAAAATACCATTATAACTTTCTCCGAATCCGGTAAGACTAGCAAGATAATTTATCACTGATTTTTCCGCCAACGTGAACACAGGTGCCATTTCGTAGGTATATAGGCTAGTATTACGACATTCAAGTAAACATCCAGCGGCAACGGCGTAAGGATCATGTCCTGTGAACATTTGATTAAAGAAATGTGGATGACCACTATTCACTGATAGTTTAATAGTCTTTTCAAAATCTTGAAGAAGTTCATCATCCCCATATTTTCGGCCATTTCCTTCGAGGTCGAAGTCGATTTCTTTAGCCATATCCTTTGGATCGCGATAGTCAACGACAAGCGCACTAAAAGAAGTAAACAAGTCAAGTATTTTATTTATTTAGCATATTAAAAGATAATAAAAAAATTATAATTTATATTATTAACTAACTTTTCCCGATCATAATTCTTTGCTGCCATAGACTTTTCCAGAAGATGGAAGGCTTTGTTTAAAAAATTCTGATTCTCCGCCATTTTATTCTCACCACTGTTTTTTTCAAATTGGGTTCAAGTTTTCTTTGTTTAAATTTATCTCTAATACGTTTCTTTTTAACGCGTCTGTAAGAAAGAGACAAGTAATATAAAAGAAACGTAGGACTAGACGGCTAAGACATCTTCAATATATCCAGTCTAATTGCTCTACATGTTCCCCCATATACGTGTCATATACATAGAGAGTCTTATTTATTTCTATTATTTTAATATTGCCTTGATTATTATCTCTATATTATCAGCATATGCCCCAGTTTTTCCTTTATTCTGAGGTTCAAGTGCAAAGTTTAAGTATTTTAAAAAGAACAAACCTTCAACTGCTCGGCTCCACGGCCAAATGAAAGTCGTCAAGTAGACACCTAGAGGATCCTAGTTGGATATGAATTGTAACCGTTATTAAGCAATAATTTTCTTTATATAGCGTGCTAGTATTTTAACACAACGACCTTGCGTGTTTTAGCTGTCTAGCAGTAGGTCACTGCTATTTTTTCTGACCTATTTTCAAAGTGAAACGTGACTTGCCGAGAAATGGGGCTTTCAACTCCTTAACACGTTTTTTTTAATTATTTACAAAAAATTTATTATTAATTAAAATTTATTTATCATTGGGAATATTTTCATCGTAGAATCATGCTTCACCGGCATGATAATGTCATTGATTTATCGATTGTTATACGAGCCGAACTTGGCAGTAATTTTCCATTCTGTACTATTTCTTGAACGAAGAACAATTGATTTTAACAATGTCGGCTGGCATATGGTTAAAACTTATAATAAATCATGCAAAACTATACATTTTTCTATATTTAAAAAAATTTAAATTTTTTCAAATGTTCCTTTTTCTCTATACAGAATGACAAAAAGCTACATGATGCTCATCCTTTTATAGGAATTGTTGTTTTAATTTTAGTCCTTATCAACGTAAGTCTTATCACAAGCATTCTTTTTTTGTCAGTATACTACTATTTTAACTGATTTTTAGCCTATAATGGCAATTTTTCGCCCTGCACCAACTCACTCAAAGCGTCCCATTTTCAATTGGTGCCACAGAATAGTTGGTCTGTCAGCACTGATTCTTGGAATTATCAATATTGTTATTGGACTTCGACTGGACAGAGTTGCTCTTGAATCATGGGTTTCTTGGGTCGCCGTCGGATTTTTCTTTTTCATAATTTTTGTCGGTTTAATACTTGACTTTGTTCCACTTTGCGTCAGTGATGCAGAGATAAAAAAATCCAATACATATGCATTACAACCTGCTGGTCAGTCTAACAATGAAGAGAAAAAAAGCCATTTTGCGGTAAGAAGCTACAAATCATATTTATGCACATTTAAATCAATAATTTATATTTCAGGTCAAATTTGTGAAGAGCTGTGCTCAAGTGCTGATTGTTTTAGCTTCTCTTACGGCGACAATAATAATTGTTGTTCAAGTTGCTGACAAGTAAAGAAATATTTTACTAACATGAAGAGCGCCTTTTTTTATTTTACAAACATTTTTAACGTACGAACCGTTGTCTAAAACTCCAAATAAACGACTTTTTAATAACAGTTGAAAAAACATTTAGAACAGACAAAGAGTAAACAAAGATTTTGTCAAAGACTGGTGGGGGTATGGAGGGACAGATAGTTAACCACAAAGGAATGATGTTCTAAAGACGTCGCCTTTTAAATGTATCTTCGTAATGTCCACCTATTCCTTGTGAATGCTGCCCAATATACCCAGTCTCTGGTACAGGTTCTTGCGTAGGAAGAAAAGATTGGAGGGAGCTTTTCGGTCTGTAACCCTGCTGTAAATAGCAAAATTATATTTTATGGGTATATAATTTCTGTCTTTACAAAATATTCTATCCTTAGTACCTGTACAAAATGCCCTTCGCTATCGCGTTTTACAGCTTTTGTTGAATCCTGTTGATAAAAATTAGAAGAGAAGGCTCTTGGTTCATCCTTGTCCAACTCTCTTTTGTCACTAGAAGAAGAAAATGACTGCAGGAGATTCATTAACTTTGACTTTTCTTTCTCATTATGTAAGGCGTTCTTTAGGTTTCCCAATAAATTATCTATTTCTTCATCCTTGTCCATATTTCGGTGAATGTCGGGTTGTCCATCTTTTTCCGGAAATCTATCAACAAGTGGCTTAGGGTTAAGGGGTTTTTGAGATCCCTGTAAAAAATTACGCAATTGTAATTAATCTTTGACATATATGTCGATGGTCGAATCTTACCTTGTTCCATTGTTCAAGGAAGCGTTTATTGTCTTCCTCCCATTTTCTTCGGGCTACATCGCTCTTTTTTTCCGAATGCTGTTTTGTGAGAGATTTCTAATTCGAAAAAGAAAGGAAGAATAACTTACATCAACGAAATCTGCCGGTTTTTCAACGTGAGGAACATCTTCCATATTTACCTAAATTAAATAAAAAATATATTTTTCTTCACTTGATTGACAAACAAATATTTTGACTGACCTTGGGATCTATGTAATCTTCCGTTGAATATTTTGTAGCCATTGCTGGAGTTGGCCATTCCTGCCATGTCTTACTTATGCCCTCACCCCTTAAAAGGTCAGATCTAGAACCACCCAATAAATTGGCATCTCTCTCTCTAGATCTTTGATCTGGTGCATCGTTATGCCTATCGCCTCTAAAATTGTTACATTCAGCGGTTCCTGATCTAGCATCCTCTGCTACAAAGTTAGGATCTGTGGGTACGGCAGTTCGACTTGTGGGAGATCGAGAACATTCACCGTCATCAAAAAATTCAAACATTCTCCTATGAGCTGTTTCTCTTCGATCCTCTGTGAAAAATTTTTTAACAATGCATGGTTAATTAAGATGCTTCATACTGAAATGCTTTACATAAGGAAGATGGAAGACCAAAGTTATTTCGAAAGTCAAGTCACTATATTGAACAGATTGCTAAATTTTGCTTTTTTTTACTAAATAAAAGAGAGAGAGAGAGAGAGAGAGATAGAAAGAAAGCATAAAAATAAATTAGAAATATTTAGAGTCTGGGGGAAGATAGAGATAGAATACACAACTATACAGTTTGAAGATATAAATGCATTGTAATTAGCTCTTTCATTCGTCTCCGGTGTTAAATTAGGCATCTGTGAATGTCTACAGAAAGTATGGTAAGGAGCTTTGAATGATAAGTGAAGAGCTCTAATTAAATGAATAAGAATGGACCCAGCCTCTTGTTATCTGTTATTGTTCGATTAAAATTGTTGCGGATAGCATAAAATTTCAGAAAGAAATAAAATAAAAGATAAGGAAGTAATTTCAAACAGATAATTGAACTTAATTTTTTAATTTCCAGTTAAGTTACCTTCGGTCTAACGGAAAAGGTATTCCACGATTAAAGAACTATAGGAAGCTCTACCGAAGGTTGAAGAAATAAAAATTAAGAAAGTGACAAAACTTTCAGTGAAATACCAAAGACTCACAACAAAGCGAAAATTGGCAGATCGCATTTTATAAGTTTAACTCAAATTTAGGAAAATTCGAACAGGTTTTAAATTGAAAAATCGAACGATATAAAAGATATCAAGTGTGCCTGCGGACATTCAAGAAAAAAGGCGGTTAAAGAATACAGGTAAACCTCACCAAAGATACTCGAAACTCGTTCATCAGTTGGAAAAGATTCTTTCAAGTCACCCGGCCCTGGTCTGCGTATTTGACTAAAATCCATCAAAGGTTTCACATTCTGAGTGCTCATAAGGGGGGGATCTTGCCAAATACGTCTATGATCTGCCATCTGCTCCAAAGAAGTTCTCTCTCGCATAAGACTTGCTCCACCGAATCTGTCGTCCACCTCATAAGCAGAAGCTCTTCTACCTTGAAAATTATCATCCAATCGACCTCGGGAATCTTCATAGAAACGTTCCCGGTCGGCCAATTCGTTGAATGCACGATTGACTCTTTCCCTGAAGAAGTCGTCGGAAGGTCTGCGTTCGCGTTCCAAAGATCTTGGCTCAGGAAGAATGCCGTTGTTAACAGGGCGTAAACGTATTACTATCTGACTATTGAAGATCTGAGGACCGGTTTTACCGGGAATAGCAAGATGGACTGTTGTTTTCGATTTATCGCCGAATAGCTTAGTTTCGTGGAATTTACGCCATGCAGCAAGAGCATCTGAACTTACTGAATATTCAATGACAGCGAAACCTAAGGGTTTTCCCTCATTCATTCCCAACTGTTAAGAAACTTTTAAGGCTAAGAAAACGAGAAGCAAAAAAGATCTTCGAAAAAAAAATGATTTATTCACCTGACAGTAAATAGGCTCTCCCATTGTTCTAGCCTCTTCTTCCAAAGCCTTTCTCTCTTTGAAATCGCTGGGTAGATTCTTCAATAAAATTACACATGAATTAAGTTGTTCAAATTTCGCTACTTCATACGGAAGAAAGTCACACGAGATTCTCATTTTGTCGAATACGACTTTGCTCATTACAAATTTCACATTCGACGTTTTTTCTAAATTGAGACCAAATTGTATAACTGCTAGACCCCGATTTCCTTTAATTGTAAGATCGTCAAACGTTGCTGTTATATACTTTGGAATAGGAATATAATATAAATCTTTTCTTACCGAATTGCTCATCAGGTAGAACAAAACATTTCTCTAGGCGTCCGTAATGTTTTAACTCTCTCCGTAACTTTTCACTATCCATTGAGAGAGGAAGACCACTTATGCATAAGGTATTATCGGGTTGTGAGACACAAGCGGTTATTTTATGTCCCTCCAATTCTGTCTCGTTGAGTTCTTTGGCGAACTGATCAGCCAAGTAGCCATCTGAGAGCGTAATTATAGCTGTTCAAAGAAAAAAAATTTTAATAACTAATTCTAGTACTTGCTCATAAAAACTAAATATAAAAACAGTTTAGTTTATATCTACTTCCGAACAGTAACATTTCATATTATTTTGAACCAAAACATATTAGTCATGAAAAGTTGCCTCCTAACACAGAGGTTTAATCTGCTTTTACATAAATATATAAACTTACTTAAAAGCCCAAACTTTAATTTAATATTATAAAATCGTTAAATATTAAAATTATATATAAATAACTTGCTTTACTAACATTTTAAGCGTTTCTTATTGATATGTATATGTTCAATTTTATCGCTCTTCACAAATTTTCTAATGGCCTGCAAAATATAAATAACAAATTAATATAATCAAAACTAGTAAATTTAACATAAACGCATGCTTACATCTGGCGTTACATTTTTAGGAAGGTTTAATAAAACCAGCCGTTGGTTCTTATAGAACTCGTATTCGCACTCTTTTCGTCTTTCCTCAAAAGTTTTCGAGGTAGATTTGTTCTCAATCTTTGCTTCGACGTTTTCCTCTTTCGATTCTTCGCAACTGGTCATAGTGCTTTTGATTCGCAAAAAAACGTCGAAGGTAACCTCCTAAAAACGGAAATGAAATCGAAGACTAAAATTATTTTGTATCCGGTTAGGAATAGCGTGGTACAGTTAGTAATGCCATCTATCAGACATTCTAACTTTACTTTCTCTGGAGAATAGATATTCTGTTATTAATGAGCTCAATTGTTCCTAGGAAAGTAAGATAGGTGAAAAGCTTAATTACAGACTTTTATTCAAATAATCTTCTTAAGTGTCTTGACGCATTAATTAATTTATTACAAGACTTTTCAATGGTTTGTATTTACATTCGATATTTTAGTTTTTAAAAAAATTGTATGTCTAAGAAGCATTCTCTCCCCATTCTTCAGGATTTATATCGTAATCTTCCATTGCTTTTTGAATCCACCACCATTTATTTAAGAATCCGATATCAATTACTCTTTCCCTAAACAATTCAACCCAACCAACTTTTAAATGTTTACATCTTGCTTCATAAACATCTACAATAGGATCATAATTATCATACCAAACTATTGAAAAAATACCAAAAGATGTCCGCTTTAAAACTCCTTCATTCCGTAAACCAGATATTCTTTGCATATGATTATTAGAGGTGGGATTTCTAATCGGGTCTCCAACTTGTAGAAGCTCGTTTGTATTAATAATCAAATTTTCTTCAAAATCCGTCATAGATGGATTATTTTTACCCATGTAGAGCAAACTTCCTAGAATTGTTAAATAAATTCCAGACTTTAGGGGTTTTTTTTTCATATCTTGACCAGTTTCGACAACAGCCGTTCGGTAATCATCCATTATTGTCATAAAGTAATTTTCTAGTTTAAAGGAAAATCATAATAAATATAAATATGTAACTTCAGAAATTGATTTTATTTATTCTTAATAACAATTAAGAAAAAATTATTGAATGACATTGTCTCGTCTTGATGTAAAGTTTTACCTAATATAACTCTTTAAATTTTTCTTAAAATAGTCAAGTTTTTTAATATATAAAATACTTATAAGTAAGTTGAATACCATTACAGTATCAAACTTATTTTGGGAAAAAAATTATGTATAAGTATGTAAAAAAAGATGGATGTTATTATGTGTTAAATATTATTCAAGAAAACGATTGATTTGACCAGAATAATCAACTCACTAATTTTTTCAATCCTTTTCCCCTTTTTATCAGATTTGATGTTTGCTGAATTGTTGATAAACCGCCTGAGCGAAGATAGTTGTTTTAAACGTGAGGTCGCCATGCTCTACTATAACGAAACTGGTAATTGGTGAAACATTCATAAAATGTTACTATTATATTATATATACTTTTGGCGCTTCTTCGAAATCAACCATTTTATTGACTAACAATTAATAGTATTTAAAATTCATACATAACAGATTTTCAATTGTATTTAATTAAAAAAAAATAAAACAAATAGATAATAGACAGTATTACAAAAAAAAGAAAGTGTTTCTAGCACATATGGCATATTTCTCTTTATTGGAGTCCAGCACCAAGGTAATATTTGGTATCTTAGAGACTACAGATTTAAAAATAAAACAAGAAGTAAACAATTAAAAGTTTTTGAGGATAAACGGTAGTTTTTCAGGATTTTTGCAATGGAATACAGATGTCACCTTTTCTCTTATAGCCTAGACAGCATTCATCGCACGGACTGAAAGAAAATATAAAATATAAAAGCTAATTTTCCAATTAAATACTTTAACTTACATCCAAAATAAACCTGCAGCATATATGAGACATTTTTCTTCTTTTGTGCAGGCATTAACATTGCATGGAAATTGTTCCCTGTGTCTGAAAAGCGTAAAGTAGATGTTTAAATAGGAGTTTGTTCAAACATTTTTAGCGAAAAAAACTTACTCTCGACGATATATACCATCGATGTAGCATTTATAAATAATAATCTTTCGACCACAACCCCCACACTTTCTAGAGCATTCGCCATCCGTCTTACTAGGATAGCAAGTTTCACCTTGGTACCAGCCTTTAATCGGAGCGTAAGTTGTTGTGGCTGGTTTAAGAGAACTCGAAAACGAATGTCTATTAAATAGCGGTGTAGTCGATCTACCCGAAGAAGGTTCGGTCGTAGGTAGTGTTTTTCTAGCTTTTACTGTTGTAATAAGACACAAATTTACTGTTAATAATAGATAATAAGTTCTTTTAAATGACTACCAACAAATCTTATTGATCCTTGTCAAAACATTTTCCAAAAATTGATGAAGTTCGCTAAAAGTTCTCATGAAAAATGTATTCTCTCTGCCTCCAGCTAAGTTTATAAGTAAGTCTTTGTTTATTTTATCGCCTATGCCTGCCATTAGAAAGGTCATATTTTCTCTTAATTTTTTTCCTTTTTCCATTAATTGATTAATAACTGTGGGATCGTTGAGAGGGCCAGAATTTATAACAATAGCTATTTTATTCGAGAAGGATCGTCCACCTTCAATAGGAGTATATACAAGATCTGTCAAAGTGTCCATAACTTCTAATAGATTTGTATCATCACTTTGATAATCCAAATTTAGAGTTGTAATAATTGTTGATAATTGAGAAGGTTGAAGATTTTGTCTCAAGTAGGCTGCAACATATGTATGTGCAGAGTATTTGCCAATGCTAATAAGATTTTGAGTTAGACCAATTTCAAATTTCTTGACAAATTCCATAAGAAAAAATTGCAATACATTGTATTTGGATTTAGAAACGTGACGATTTGTTTCAACCATAATTGCGATGTCAGAGACTTTTTCTTGAGGGCATAGAATAGCTTGAAGATTTTTACTGATAGTTAATAATTGCGCAAAATAATCAACTTTGAAGAATTCCTTCTTATTAGACAAACTTGAAATCTAGTTTAAAAAAAAAAGAGAGAAAATAAAACAACTAATATAATTAAAAAGAGTGAAATTACTAAGTTATGGGAATATTTCTTTCCAATTGTCACCGGTAAAATTTCAACTCCCATTTGTTGTAGAGTCCATGTTTCTTGTCGAATTACTGATAGATCTTTTGAACATTCTGATGATATGAGTAAAACAATAATACCAACAGCATTTATTCTGGTATTATCTTTTGCAAATATACTGGTTCGGAGAGATTTTAAAGTTCTATATAAATTACAATCGTCTCCGAGGAATGCTGAACGATCAATTGATGAGTAAATGCTATGAATTTCTTGACTGTCCGAAAATTTATGTTCAATTTTCGGAATTTCTGAGTAAGAGATTAAAGAAACTCTATTTCTATCAGGAGCCACATCGATATTTTCAACAATTGATTTAGCGAATTGTTTAACATTGTTCCAATTATTTAGGCCAACCTCATTGGATGAATCTAGGACCAAAGCAACGTCAACCAAAGCACTACAATACCCTGAAAAAGAGCACTAATGTTAAAAAAGAAGTTTTATTAGCATTTTAAAGATTTTTAATAGTTTATTTAACAAAGGAGAGAATGTAAGTGTATTTTATGCCTTTAACGTGAAAAGTTTTAGTAGGACACTTTCTTTAAACGATAAAAAATAGCCAATACACTGTTTTTCAAAACAAATATTAGTAGAAACTCTTAATCTATAGTGTTTTTATACAAAACATGGCAACAAAGTCAAATTTGTTAGCTTAGTTTTTAGTATTATTTCTGTTGAGAACATTAATGACAAGAAATATTTATAAAGCATTGATAATTTGACATTATTACAGTTAAATATTGCCTGAATACTGAATTACTATTTGAAAAAAAGGGGTTGTCTTTGTTCAAAAAATATTCTTCTAAATTTTCAATTATTGCTATTTATTTATTCTTATCAATAAAACTATATACTGTTTAAATTTAATGATATTCTTTCGTATGGGTGCATTTTCTTTATAGAATAAATAGATATTACGTCAATCTCTACTTTTTTTTCTAGAAAAAGATAAATTTAATTATCGATATCGTGTCAATAGAAAAGTGTGATAGAACTTTTTCTTTTTAAGACTTAAAATCAAATTACATAGAAATCTATCAAATATCTCTTTGAAATGATAGAAAGCAATTCCAGCTGTAAACACTGTGCAAAATGTATATAGATTCATCAAATATTACTATTATTGAATTACAACATATATATAAATATATACTATATATATATATATATATGTATATATAAAATCTTTTCGAGTAAAACAAGAGGCCTATATAAGGTGAAGTATACGAGAGAGAGGGGGAGAGGAAGACAAAAATAAAAAGAAAATAAGAGATGAGAGAAAGAATGATAGAGAGAAAATATCAAATATCCTAAAATAATATTATGACAGATAGTAAATATTTTATATTTAAATTCTTTTTAAATAATATTTAAAGTATAAAATATATAAATTAGCTGTTACTTACTTGGATTTCTTGTCGGTTTATAATATCTTTCGCATCTTGTACCAATATAGTATGGTGCACATTTACATTGATAATTATCTTTATCAATTACTATACAAGTACCATTTTTTAAACAAGGATTACTTTTACAAGGATCCTTCACTTCTGCTTCTGTTACAATTATAAAACGATATTCAATTCTTTGTCAATTGAAGCGATAGTTTCTCTATCTTTTTATTAAGAATAATAGTTGATAATAGAAAAAACAACAAATCTATTATTAATGTATCTTGTAATATTTAATAAAAGAGGATAGAAAAGATTTACGACCCTATGCGGGTGGCAAAAAAAATCCCTTTATTTTTTTTCCTCATTGTTAAAATTACCTTGGTTTCATTCATTATTTTTTTAAATAATATTTCCCGTTTTTTCTTCCAACTTATAGTTAGTTGTATAGTTAAAGTGTACTTTTCTTTTTATATTATATAGGGTAATAATAGAATAATTCTAACCTATTTCGCAGTCTTTCCCTGAAAATCCGTCTAGGCACTGACAAGTATAGTTGGATTGTAGATCTTTACATGTTGCACCATTCTTACAGGGATTTGGTTGACACTCATCGCCATCTAATCGATATTTAAGTTTTTAATAGACTATATAGAAATAGTGTTGAATGATGGCATAATTAGTTGTATAATACTAACCCATTCTTATTATCATTTTAAAACCTCTTCTATGTCGATTTTCAATAACGTGATTGATCGCTTTCATACTAACGACAAGTTCGTCACCCTCTGATTTAAACGTTTCTTTAGGCGTTTCATCGCAACAGTACCTTTATGAGTTTTAGTGAAAAGGAAAAAGGTATTAAATAATTTTACGATTAGATTTAATAGTAACCCCTTTGCCCTTCAATGCCCTTAGCTGATTATAATATTTTATTATATCGTATTTATATAATAGTTTCTTTTATATAAGAAAGTTTCTATTTTACCGAGGGCCGGTCAAGCCTAGATTCTTTTTGAATTTCACTTCAACCCAATGGTAGCAATTTACAAAGCAGTATAGGCCAAAATCCCCAGTAAACTGTACTGTAACCCTTTTTGTAGGATCTATAGATCTTATCCTCCAGCTGCATTGTTGTCCATTCAGATAATATCCCCTATCTGAGTAACCTGGTGAAGTTATAACTCTTTCCTTGCTCATCGCAATCAATCTTCCACCGCATTGTTCTAATAAACAAGAAAAAGAGCAAAACCAATTATAAAATCTATTTTAGATGAAATATAAAAAGAGTAAAAGATTATTTAACTATTACACCAAATTTGCAGATATATTAATATATATATACTATACAAATATATATATATATTCTAAACGTAATGACATCTACTACAGTGATACTTTTCTACTTGTTTATTTCTTATAAAACAAGCTAATTCCTCGAAAATAATAGAAAAGATAAATAATTATTAATAACAAATTGTTGAACTACAATATTGACATGATCTACAGTGTATAGACTAATATATACTAATATATATACATTATATATATATATATATATATATATAAATTTATATATATTAGTATATATAATTTATTAATGATTAGTAATCTTTCTTATTTCTATAAAATAATATAATGTTGTGTTGTTCTTATTTTTGGACAAAGTGAGCAAATAAACGGTTTTGATAGTCTGTCTTTTCTTGAAAATGTTCAACAACTTCGTCAAAGTGAACAAAATATCCGGCTAAAAATAATTCAAGGCTCCTTCTCTTATTATTACAATAATTATTGTCATAATAACAATAGTTATAGTGATATCCTTTTTTACCTATGTTATTGATACTGTTTTAAAAATGGCGATATATCAAAAAGTAGAGTTTAGGATGTGTAAACTTTAATATTATTTATCATTTCCTATTGTACTCTTTGAACTCAGCACTTAACTGTTTTTTTAAGGTTATTCTTTCCTCAGTTCCGGTTGATCTTTTTTTTTTACTTTTCTAATGGCTATGTAAATTTTTATTACGCAATTCTACAGAACAGGAATGCTATTAATAATTATTTACACTATTAGTAAGATTGAAAGTATTTTCCAAAAGTAATACCATTTTAGAGACACGTCGATTTACAATAACAAATAATCATTGATGAATAAGACGAGAGCAATTTCTACGTCTTACATATTTCCCTTACCTAATACTGGAGGAGCTACAAAATTGCACAGCTCTCCTCCAAGTCCATCTGGGCAGTGACAGTCATTACAGTTTAACGGATTCTGATAGCCACTATGTTGACAATTTGGAGCTTTAACTTTACACTTTTCTAAAAAAGAGCGTTGATATATTTATATTGTATATATGTAATAATAATAATAAATTAACTATAAACTAATATTTTACTATGTAAATTAATACAGAATTGTGAAAATTGATTACCAAAATCCAGAACATTATAAAAAATGAATAAAAGGAAAGAAAATAGAAATGAAAAGGGTCAACATACCTTGGCAGTATGCCAAATTAATAACTTTTATATCTGAAAAAGCTAGCTCGCTCCTCTGACCAATTGTTCTTTGATACCGCGAATCTTTCGTATCAATAGTCGTTTTGCCATTCACAGAAAAGGACTGAAAATAGAGGGTTAGGTTTTTGAATGGATAAATAATTCAATGCATATAATAATCTATTGTATGTTAATCAATGATACTAACTGTTTTATTACTTGATAAAACTTTTTATATTACTTATTTAAATTAAAACTTTTATATGAAGAAAATCTATAACTCGTATTTTACTTACAAACGAACGATAATGCATATCCGAGGCGTAATCGTAAGGTACTCCAAGATCTTCAGCAAATTTAGATTGAATTTTACTGAAATCCGAATGGTGACTGTCGTCGATATTGTCTTTATTTACAATGATATAATCATCCCTATCGGGTCTTTGATGTTCGTGCAATAAACCTAAAGTATGACCAATTTCATGAGCAACAACAGCAATAGCATTAAAACAAGATGATGATAGATAAATTGGCTGTGGAACGATTGCAACTTTTCCAACATAACTAAAACAACTATATTAAAAGAAAGAAAAGAACAGTATTTAAATTATTTTCGTAGAAAAGAATTAAGAATAACGTACGCTTGATCTGTTATCTTTAAGAACATAACATGTGAATCGTAGGTAAAGTGACTTAATTTCAATTCTTTAAATTCTAAACAAGTTCTATTTTGCCACATGTCAATAGCAGATTTAATAATGCCCTTCTCCCATTTACCTGTTTATATATATATATATAAATTGGGTGATAATTAATTAAAATTCGATATTGATTTTTAATTACCAAAAGAATTATCGATTTTATATAGAATTGGTAAAGACCATTTTTGTGAAGGAAATGATTTGAATGATCGAATTTTTCTCTTTTTCCTCCTTTTTCTCTCGTTCTTTTCCTCCTCGTTATCTTTTAATATTTGTATTATTTGTTCATTCGATAGGACCATATCTCCTATCTTACATGCTGACCGACAGGAAAACGTTGAATCCATCTGTTGAAAGATACTTTATTAGATTTTTTTTTCTTTATTGGATAATTTTATAGGAAATTTTACATCTTTTTCATCGCCCAAAAGTTGCCGGACCTGCCGGCATTTTTGTCCGAGATCCTTCCATTTATCAACGTCACAGGATCCGCAATGTTGTAGCCAAACATCTCTAGAACAATCTTTTGGTTGATATTGCAACTCTAATTCGAGTTTTTCAGCCTAAATGAAAACAAATAGATTAATAAAGATGAAAAAGCAATACAAGTTAAACATGAAAAGCTTTTTTTTCTCATGACTTAACCATGTACAAATAATATAGTTATTTTCATTATTATTCAAGATTGTATTAATTCAATAAATAAGTTTTTTAATGGAATAATAGCGACTTTTCAAGCGATACCTTTACTTGTTCGTGACAAGACCTAAGTCTTTTATATTTTATGTCATAACCGTTTTTTATCTCGTAATTTGCCTTTTATCGATGTGAAACCTATGAAAATTTCAGTCCATGGCTATTATTCACGTCATGTCTCATAAGTTTAGTTAAAATGTATTGGATAGGGCGGGGGTGGGATATTGTATGCAATAGTTTTGTTAATTTTTACTGAATGAATGACACTAATAGTCGAATGGTATACTAGTACATGCCCTGGGGGTTTACTACTATAATTTACACAGCTAATATCTATCATATAACAACTAGATTTCTATATATACTAATAAGTAAATAGCGTAATAAAAAGGAATTATATATCAGATGTTAATCTATTCGATCTCTTAATTTAGTAACACATATTAATAATTTTAACAAGCCTTTATAGAAAAATGTTTGTTAATTCACTATGTAAAGAAGGAAGAAGGCATATTTATGTCAAAGAAATACAATACTTTAAATCATAAGGCAATATCCAAAAGTATAAAAAAAAAATGTTTCTTTTTTTTTCTTTTTCAATTTAACTTTAGTCTTTTCTAGTTATTTTACTTTTAAGAAAAGAGTCTTCTTTTCTTTTAATAAAACTCAAGCAGTTTATATTCTTTTGACTTGAAGATTTAATTCAAACAACCCTACTTAAACGCACTAAATACACGAAACAAAAAAAGGGAATAGGTAGCTAAAAAAAATATTCAATAAGCCTAATAACGTCGATCACGAATCTTTCGATAGAAAAAAAAAAAGAAAACTATTATCAATCCTTTTGTATTTCCTTTGTTTTCTTATTATTGAATATTGATTCTCTCTCTGTCTCTCTCTAAATTCAATATATATGTATTAATATAATGTATATTCTTAATTTATCCTTGAAAGAGAAAGGACAGATAAAATAATACTCAATTTTAGGCCTATCATATTTTTGTGAATGATCTTCTAGCGTATAGTTAACAAATTTTTTCTCTTAAATAAAGATAGTATAATAGGTTAATTGTTAAAATATGAAATTATATACTGTCTAGACATTTTAATTCATTTTCTTGAACACAAAACGCTCAATAGTTGAAAAAGGGTCAAATCGATCAGGGTGTTAATCTGAACTTCTCTAGCTTCGAACAATTTCTAATGCTTAATTATTATATAATACTTAAATAAATAATACAATAGAATAACTTCAAGTTTAAGAAAACTAGATAGAAGAATATGCTTACTTGAGAAAAATAAAATAATCCAATTAAGAAACAGCAGGAATAAAACATTGTTTCGTTAAAGTTTTTGCACTTTTTTAATCACAATGGAATTGTTCAAAGTAATGCTTTTGAAGGCCTTACTTCAATGAATGAAAATTCTGCGATACGGCGATTATATTTTACTCTTTTTTTTTTACTCTATTTCTTTGTCGCTCCCGTCTCTTTGTCTCTTTTTCTTTCTTTTCCTATCCACTGTCTTTGCGTATCTGTCCTCTTAGAGTTCTCTACCGAAACTTAAATATCACTAGTCAGAGTACTCAAACGTAAAAATTGCTTATTTATGTATTTCGATTGTACTAGTATTTAAGGAAATCCGTGTACTTTACAAGCTTTTTGACGTTTCAACTGGTGCTATACACGTGGATTGAAAAGCGGAAGGTCTTTAATTATGTGTAAGATTCGTCAACTCATCGCCCTTCTTTTATATTTTCTATCCAATTTTTACATTTAATAAATTGTTTTATTATTTTGTGAAATACTTAAAAAAAATAAAAAATAGGAATAAATCAATATGTTAATATTTTTTTTACATAACTACAGGATATGAGATTTTCTTAGTGTTCAATAATACACCTTTATATAAGAGATTTTTTGTCGTACAGTATATTCTACATTCACTTTTTACGACATATATTTATTATATATATATATATATATATATATATATATATATATACTGTATATATATTTACATAATTATATTTATTACTCCTAATTATTATCTTAATAAAACAAACCATTCTTTTTAAAATTGCAGTAGGCCTACTAGATATGTAAGTAAACTAGAAAGTATTTAAGTATTTTTTTTCTATCTAAATATATTTATGTAAGGTTCTTTTTTTCTTTTTCAAACGACTTATGAATGATTTGGTCTGAAATAGAATATATAGGGAATTTTGACGAACTAAATTGACACGAAAAAAAGGCAAGTTGGTTTTCTTCGAAAACTAATATGGAGAGCAAGACTTGATGTGAATAGTGAATTTAAATGAATCAAATACCCATTTGACACTTGCTATTTTATCTCTTTTCATAATAATTTTAATACTTTCAATGCATCGTCTTTTGACATTTCTAGAATTTAATTCAAAAGAGAGGAGGAGGAGGAGCAGAAGATAGAGAAAGAAAGAGCGAGAGAGAGATAGAAGAAATAAATAAACAAATATATACAGTATATATTAATATATATATATATAAAGAATAGATGAAGAAAAGAGCAAAAAACCACCGTCCTTTTCGGTCACATTTACATAGCCCTCCTTATGATTTATTCTTTTGAAAAAGCGTAATAAAAAAACTAATATATTAGTCTAGTTTTTGATTTCTTTATCAGATGTTAAACTTGAATAGAAAAGGCTAAAAATAGGTTATAAATATAAAAATAAATATAATCTTTAATTTTTTAAATAAGGCTAAAGATACATAAGAAAAGTGATTTTAATCAGAAAATTATTCCTATAAATTCCGACTTGAATAGTATACTTTTAAAATTCTATTCTTTTGTATTTTGTTAAGAAATAATGCAAAAAATAGTATCATTTTCTGATTTCAATGCTACAATTCAAGTATATTCGACGGTTAATTTGAATTATTCAATAGAAGTTTTTAACTAACATTTAACATGAGTCAAAAAAAGTCATTCTTTTTTTTTTTTAAATTAAAAATATTTTAACATTTAAGTCAGTTTTTGTTAAATTATTGAATCTCTTGATTTCATCTTTTTATATCTCCTCTTATCCCATCTTTTTTTCTATAATAGAATAGAGTGTTAGGCCTAATGTGTAACAGGTTATTTAAAACGGAAGATGGCGTGATCGTACGCATGCGCATTCAAGTCGGCAACCAAAATCGAAAATAAAGTATTAGACAATTTTAATACCCGAGAAGTTTTAATTAAGGTAATAACGCTTTACTATTTGGTCTTAGAATTGAAATAAGTAAAATGTTACAAAATAACTGGAAATATTGTGTAATATTTCTATTGAACATGGCCGGTGAATGCTTTGTTCCACTAATCGCGCCAGATGATATGCGGCAAGAGTGAATCTTCTTGGGTTTTTCTGAACTGATAAGGTTTAGATTAAAATGATGAATACAAACTTTATCTCTAGATATAAAAATAAAAAATTACCTAGACAATTCTTTATCTAATAATTCAATAAGCCGGTGAAAGCTTACTTTATATATGAGAAACCCTTGAATATGAATACCAATAAAATCTGATCTGTCTATCAATCAATTAACTTTCAACACATTTTCGCAGTCTCACTGGAACACTATGTCTGTCCTGATCGTTTCTGCTGCAAGGACACCTATAGGGTCGTTCAACGGATCTCTAAGTTCCTTTACTGGCAGTCAACTTGGAACAATATCAATTCTAGAATGCATTAAAAGGAGCGGATTAGTGCCAGCTGATGTTCATGAAGTTATTATGGCTCATGTACTAACTGCTGGTGAAGGTCAAAATCCAGCCCGCCAGGCATCTGTTAACGCTGGTGTACCACACTCTGTTCCGGCATGGAGCGTGAACATGGTCTGTGGTGGAGGATTGAAAGCTGTAGCACTCGGTGCTCAAAGTATCATGTGTGGCAATTCTGCAATTGTTGTAGCAGGTGGTCAAGAAAGTATGAGCCAAGCACCTCACCTTATCCACTTAAGAAGCCCTCATAAAATGGGAGATACGAAGATGGTGGACTCTGCTCTAAATGACGGTCTAGTTGATGCATTCGGCAAAATGCCTATGGGCATAACAGCAGAAAATATCGCGGAAAGGTGGTCCATCTCTAGAAAAGAACAAGACGAATTTGCTCTTCAATCTCAATTAAAGTGCGAAACAGCTCAAAAATCTGGAGCATTTGACGCAGAGATAGTTCCCGTGCATATTAAAACTCGTAAAGAAACAATCGTTGTTGACAAAGATGAATTCCCAAGATCCGGTTGCACGATAGAAGGATTCGAAAAACTACGCCCAGCTTTTAAACCAACTGGAACTGTAACTGCTGGAAATTCTTCTGGAATAAATGATGGTTCAGCCGCTGTTCTTCTAATGAACGCTGAAGAGGCAGGAAAGAGGAATATCAAGGGTTTAGCAAAAATTGTTTCTTGGGGTCAGACTGGTGTTGATCCTGCCATAATGGGTATTGGACCTATCTCAGCTGTAACCCAAGCTCTAGCAAAAGCAAATTGGACGAAAGATGAAGTTGACTTATACGAACTAAACGAAGCTTTCGCTGCCCAATCAATTTGTGTTATTCGTGAATTAGGTATTGATATCAACAAAGTTAATGTTAATGGGGGTGCTATTGCTCTTGGACATCCTATTGGAGCATCTGGATCTAGAGTTTTGGTAACTTTATTATACGCTCTTAAATCTAGGGGCCTCCGTAAAGGTGTCTGTGCATTATGCATAGGTGGTGGAATGGGAATAGCACTTTGCGTTGAAATGTGTTAAAATTGAATAGCAAAAATAATTTTCTATATCAAAGCATAAACTAAAAATTGATTTAAAACTAACTAAATAAATGTTCTCTTTATTGTTTCAAGATTCTGTAAAAATTCTACTTATAAAAAAACAGAACGTTAAAGATAATATTATAAACTACATGCAAGACTTTTCTAATAAAGATAGGCCTATCTTCTTCCTTCCTGAATACAACGCTCTAATTATCAGGGTCCTCCGCATTCTTTTCATCATCAAATGATTTTAAATTCACTGTTTCACAGTTGTCAGTTCCATTGCAGAATTGTACTGCTTCATCAAAATCAGAAGGAGTTTCCCAATAGTGACCGTCATCGAAAAGGTGTCGTTCTTTAACTGGATCAAGTGGCGACATCTTCATAATAAAACCTGTTATTGCACCGGCAACTAAAGCTACAATTAATGTAACTGCCATTGCTAAAAATTGATATCCTCCTTGTTGAACAGCGCTTCTATCATCACCGGCAGAAATAGTGAAATTAGCCTGAATTTCTAAAAGCTTTGTTGAATTTTCCATTGGAGCTCTTGCAGGGAAAATTTCGTACAGGCCATTGCCGTATCTGTCAACTGAAGCAAATGAGGCAAAAATGGCTCCAAATAAACCAGCTAATATTCCAGGCATTCCATGAAGATTGTTAACGCCACATGTGTCATGTGCTTTCCACCTACGTGCCAAATAAGGCTATGGAAAAAAAAAACAGAGCAAATCACAAACACGCTTTTATTTGTTTTCAATTGTAACTTTCAACTAACCGTTATATATTTATAGCCAACAACGGAAATAGCACCGGCGACAGATCCTATAAGGAGAGCTCCCCAAGGTCCTATCATAAAATTAGCACTAGTTCCAACAGCAACACCACCGGCTAGAGTAGCATTTTGAACATGAACCATATCGAATTTAGCTTCCTTTGAATTTGAACTAATCGCAAACGCAACAATAACGCAAGAAGCTGTATAGAAAAGAAAAGAGGCTAAAATATCTTCCTTTGGTTGCTTGTTTAAAGATCTATCTTAAAGATCTCTCAATACGTTGTATTGTGTTATTTTGTATCCTGATTTGAATGCTTTTGTTTATAAATAGAGGAAAAAAAGTAGTATGTATATATATACAATATACTGTATATATATATGTGTGTGTGTCTTGGAAAAGCGGTAACTTTGCTTAAACGATTAAACTTTTACAAACCAAGTGCGAGGTACGTATTTATAACTGCACGATGTTGGTCATCTCCAGGAGCTAGGGCACTATTAAAGCTTGGCCAATATAACCAAAGGAAAATTGTACCTAGATAGAAAGGTCGTTGGCATTGTTAATTCAATAGAAAGAAAATATAGTCGAATGTATAATTTTTACCAATCATTGCAAATAAATCAGAATGGTAATTGGAACCCTCCTTCTTACTGTCTTCTACTTTAGAATTATACAAGATTCTAGCTGCAGCAATACCAAAATATGCTCCAAATATATGAACAAACATTGAACCTCCAACATCAGAGGCCTATAGGTTTTTTAAAAAATTTTCAAAAATGACTTAATACTCTGACGAATATATATATACTGTATATATATATATATAGTACGACCTTGAAAAAGTATAAACCTATATATTCATTACAAACGAATACTATAATTTCAATAAAAGCCATAACGATCAACTGCAAAGGACTAGTTTTGCCCAAAACAGCACCAAAAGAAATAAGTACGGCAGCAGCAGCAAAATCAGCTGTTAATAATCTATGCAACAAAAAAATCATTATTTTTTTAAAAGCTTTGAATAAATATAATTTTTAAACTAACGATTCAATGTCTATTTTAAAACTTGACGAATGTTCAGTAGCCATATGTAATAAACCTGTTGATAGTATTAAAGTGATTGTAGACTGTATACTTCATCGTAAACTATTCTTATACTATTTATCTATTCTTTTCATATTCAATTACGCTAAACTATTTGATTAACTTTAAGAATTTACCGTGAGTTATCATGTGCCATTGTATTACAAATGCTGCAATTAGCATATTAAAACCAACCGAACTAAAACCATATCTTCTTAAGAAAGTCATTAAAAAACCGAAACCGATAAAAATCATTACGTGAACGTGCTGGAACACTATTTTTCGTAAAGAAATTCAATTAGATTATACTATATATTTCCATTTACAATACTTACTATCGTAAAGGCTATGCAATTTATTCTTGCTAGGATCAGCTCCTCCTTTATCAGCATCTTTTGAATTTTCTGGATATTTGGCATTAGCACTCGGTGCATAATCTGCAAATATTGCGAAAAAGACGATGAACAAAACTTGAACGATAACTAATATCGTCGGTAATTTTGCGACTTTCATGTCTCCTTATCAAATACTAAATGCGGAAACTAAAATGATTAGGTATAGGTGGCGCTTGCCTCTTTTTTTTTTTTTATAAAAAAAGAATTTGATGTCTATAGCTCTATATTAATTCTTTAAACTAAATTGTCTTATAATTGTTTTCATTGTGATACAAAAACTGCATAATTCTGAAATGCGTAGTCAATATTAATTAAAACTTTTATCAGACTATTAATATAAGAATTCTTATCGCATGTAAAACATCTATTGTAAGCGATTTAAGGAATATAATTCTTAAGAAGACGTACCATTCGTTTATAATTACTACATAGAAAAGTGTAATATGCAATCTTTATATTGTGTTTATTGAATAGTGAAATTCATAACGTTTACATTGATCGTATCAAGGTAGATTAAGAGAAAAAAAGATAAAGTTTCAAAAGATAAAAGAAAACACTTTGAACCAATATTCTTCCAAAATTAAATGCTCTTCAAAACCTTTTCTAAATAACTTTAGGTATTCTATTACTAGAAATCGTACGATTTTACTTGAAATAGATAATACATGGTATGATCGGGAAAAAAAAACTTAAAAGATCGCTAGAAAACAAGGATTAATTTTCAGACAATGAAATTCAATTGTATAGAAAGGGAATTTGTATTATTATTTTGCCATTTTGAGGGAAAAAAAATCAAGTTTTATTATTAAATTAACTAAATTAAAGAGACTAATCAAGAAAAAAATTTGCTTATTTTGATAATTTTTTTTATTATTATTTATAAAATCTTAATGATTCTTCTTCTAAATTCAATATTTCATTACTTTTATCATCCGTCTCATTCTCTGTCCACCTCTCTTTTTATTTGTTTCTAGACAGAGTATTTCATTTAATATTTGGCATATTGGTCAATCGATAATCCAGTAGCATTTGAGCGAAGGCTTTACCCTTTTATCCGTAAGGAAAGATATTAAATATAATCTTCAATGAACCTGGTTGTAAAGAACTGTAAATTATTATATTGGCCTACCTGAGGATCGCTTCTTAAAGAGGCTATACCACCGCCACCTAAGCTATTCTTCAAAAGAAAATTCAATGCTTTTATTCCAGGTAGTTCATACCTAAAAAAAGACATTTAAAGAGTTGTAATTGGTATTTTCAAAAAAAGTTAGGTAGGTGTATATCAGTTGATTGTTAGATTATACATAGGCTGCAAATCAACTGCTACGCCCCTTGTAGTGTAGAACTAGTGTTATGGTTTAGGGTATAATAAAATTTCCTCTGCAACTCTTCAATTTTGCATTGAAATGAAGCATTTTGTGCGTTGTTTTTACTTCGTACCTTACGACTTTACCCTCCCAATTTCTGTCTTCAAAGACATGACTGAAGTATTTACCAATGGCCTCTTCAGTTAGTTGGTCCTTCAAATACTCGTAATATTCGTCTTTTCTTGCCACAATACCTGCAAGACAGATCAACATTCTTATGATAGTCTCACAAGTGATTTCAAAGAAATCAGTTTATATAAACCTATGTTACAATGGTTTCCCTTGTCCCCGCTTCTGGCGAAAGCTAATTCATCAAGACTGTAAGAAGAATTGCCGGTTGTCAAAGAGACCTTTTCATTTTTAATTTCTGTAGATGGTCGTTCTTGTTTAAAAGTTTCACCAACAGGTTGAGGATTTTCGAACGCCTCAGTAGATGAATTACAGCCGACTGATACCTAATCAGTTAAACTTTAGCGCATAGTTCATAAAAAAGATTATCATAGGTTTACATTAAATTTGTCCTTGGGATAGAGAAAGGAAAATAATCTGAGAAGTGGTGATCTGCAAATCATCAGTGTTGGAAAAAATTAAACAATACTGAATAGACTATTTTACACTTTAGGCCTTCCTCCTACGATTGCTGTTAGCCCAGGAGCTAAAAGTTTTGTATAGGAATTAGTACAATTCGGTAATAGAGTAGTCCTTGTGTCAAAAATAATTACCCATTCCAGTTCCAGCTGCAGCTATCTCTCGAGAGAATATCTCCAGCGCCATCTTTTGATTGTGGTGAACACTCATCCAGACAACTCCTTCTCGTAAGTTCTAAAAGTATTTTATCTTTTTCAAGTTTAAACCAATAACCTATTTTATTAATCTAAATTATACCAAAGACGAATTAGCGTGTTCGCCGTAAGTATCTTCATTTCCTAGAATTTGAACATGTGTTCTCCTAAAGTCTTCCAATTTTAAGCTCTTAAATATATTACGAACTCTATATAAAGTAAACATTTGTTTAGATTTCAAAACATAAAACACGATTACAAGAATATTGATAAATAATTGACCTGTTTAAAATTGCATTTGCCGTTTTTCTACCTTTTTCAGCTGAATTTTTTCCACCTAGACAACAAACAGCGGTAGCCTTATAACCATCCATATAGGTAGCACAAACCTACAAGATTAGATTAGATTTAATCGCCAACTAAATAAATTTTACGTCCTAACTTACTTTATAAGAATCAGGTGCCCGTTTACCGATAGCTCCTTGGACGAGTACGGCTTCATTCTCCGATCCTTTAATTTCTTGAATTTTAACTTGACTAAAATCACATACTACATCAGGAAGTATATAGTTCTGGGGATCTCCAATTTCATATACCAATTGTTCAGATGCTGTACCACGACTAACTAATCCTCCAGTTTTATCTGGTTTTAAGAGAACAAAAGGTCCATCTTGTGAACATTCGACAATTGGAAATCCAATGTTATGCCTAATGTTAATAACTGGAATTAGTTGTTATCGTAAAGAAGATTTTAAGATATATCACCAATCTTCAACTTGTTGCCAATCGGTAAATATTCCTCCTGTGGATTGAGCACCGCATTCGATAAGATGTCCAGCCAAACTACCCATTGCCAATTTATCTAAATCGGCTGGATTCCATTTATACTGATAAAATAAAGAAAATATACATTTTATTTACAAGTTATGTATAATTTTCAAAAGAAAAACTACCTCGTGAACTAGAGGACCCAATGCAAGAGCGCTATCGACGCATCTTCCAGTGATAACTACATCAGCACCTTTGTCAAGAGCTCTGGCAATCGGAAATGCTCTAAAGAAAGTATTTAAATTCGATTTCATTAAAGGCTAATCACTGTGTAAATATATTGAATCTTTACCCAAAATATGCGTTCATGCTGGTTAGACTTTTCGGTAATGCTAAACTATCATTCATATCTGTAATATTTTCTTTTGATAATTCATCTGTCTATATTAATAAGGAACAATGTTAAATATCTAGGGCAAGACAAAATAGACTAATTTAAATAATGATTTTCTACCTTGGACATTAAATCATCACCAGTTATTACAGCAACATTTAAATTTATTCCATTTTTCTTTGCTATCTCTTCCAAAGCATTCGCACATGAATGAGGATTTACCCCACCGGCATTGCTTATGACTTTTATACCTTTTATATAAGAAAAAAAGATCATTTCATTAGTATTTACTAGCTTTTGTTATTTTTTTTTTTTTTTTAAAAATGTTTTGATAATTAATATCTTACCAGAATTCTTAATATCTTTAAGTAATGGGCCAACTGCAAAATGTACAAAATCGGGGGCATAGCCAAATTTCTGAAATATAATAATATAATTAAAAATCAGTCATATCATTAGGGCTATGAAGTTCGATAATAGCCATAGCGTATTTTGAATGACTGTAATTCCCGCCAGAGTAACTTAGCAACGGGGAAATAAAAGCAGACGATCGAAAAATTACACCATGGAGGCTATAAAGGAACAATGTAAAAACTATATGTCAGAAAAAGAAATAATTCCTTTGTTAGAAGCGATAACTTCAGGAATTTTACATTATACACCAGAAGATCCTGCACAGTTTGTACAAGACGCTATATGTTTCTTAAAGAGACATCCTGAAACAGTGATAAGTTGGGATATGTTTATAAAAAGACATCCCGCCAAACCAGATTCTGGACCTCCATCAGTATCAACACCTACTCTGGATGATCCTTTAGAAGATGTTTTACAAGACTTATAACTTTCTCGCACCGGGCTTGTGTTCTAATTGTTTCTGCACGGAAGCTGATTTTGATTGAAGTGTGCCAAGAATATAAGATCATAACTACTCAAAAACATTTCCTTTTTTACATACTACTAATAAAAAAGGTTTCTCTATTGTTCAAATTAACTCACACTGTCCTTTTTTTTTGCCGCTGTTAAAAGTGACATTGTAATTTCCGATAGATAATCAAAAACTAAATAATTGATTTGTCCCTTTTGTACCAATTGCCGAGCTAATAAAAAAGTAGCTAATTAGTTCAGTCATGACATAGTTATGTTTATCCAGTTTTGAACCTGATGTGGCTGTATCACCCCAGAATCCGCTGGCACAGCCGATTCGAACTGTGTCACCTCCCAATTCTTTATTGAATCGTCCATTTGACGAATAGTGCTTATAACCACAAATAATAGGAATGCATTTCTGACTTTTTGTTCTTAAAACTTGATGAGCTAAGGTTAACATATTTAGCCGAATTATTGAACTTTAGCGCTGACTTACAACATAATATGGTTAATGTATCCGCGCCGAAAGTATGGCTACCGTTTTAGAATTGGAAAGCTTACCTGACAAAAATAACCCACTGTCAAGGTTATATATCGTTAAGATGGCTGCAGCAAGACAAGTTGCCTGTAAGTTTAGATGTTATTACTACGATCACTAAGTAGATTATATATAAAAATTATTTGGATCATATAAAACTAGCGATATCTTGTCTTTTCTTTAATTTTTTCTGCCAACGTTGTCAGAAAATTACAAAAACAGTATAGGCTAAGTTTTTTTAAATGTGACATTGCCAAAAAGCGTTCATAATTACTTCCTACAGCTTCTGGACTTCGGCAAACATTAAGTAAATTTCTCTTCAACCGAGCCTACTACCCTCAGCTTGGTAAGAAATTAGCCATTTTTATGGAGAACTATAAATTAATTTCATAACTAAAAACACTCATAGGTTTGTTGACCGATGATACCTTGAGGGAAACTGAAGTTGTTACGGAAGCAATTCGCCGACTTCCCGACAATTTGTATGATGAGAGAATGTTTAGGATAACTAGAGCGCTTCATTTGTCCCTGAAAAAAGAAACTCTTCCTAAGGCAGAATGGACCACCTTTGAAACAGACGTCAAGTATCTAACTCCGTTCGTTGAAGAAGTTGAAAGGGAATTTCAAGAAAAAAGAGAATGGGCCGCAAAATAAATAGAGTCAACACTAGAACACTGATAATTTTTTGTCTTTGACGAAGGAAATAGCTGAAATTCTAAATGTACAGTGTGCTGTTGAGCTCTTAATAATTTACAAACTATTAATAAAGCTATCAGCTGCATTATGTTCGTATTTAATATACAAAAAAAACACAACCGAACTTGTAGTAAATTGCCTTTTAATTAAAGAAACAAACGCAAAAACCAAATGAATTATGGGTTGAGAAACATTGGTAATTCGGGCTCCAGATGTCACTATAATCGCAATCTATGCGTTATTTTTATGTAGCAGACCGCTGAATAATGCCCCTGTAGTAGCTCTTCTGGTAAAACGGTTATTTTATGCACAAAGAGCAAAATTCAATTGTAAATTTATCCATCTTATAAGAAGAGAAAAATATACGCTGAGCATAATTATACCTTTTTGATACTTTAAAAAGAATTATGATGCTCATATCTTGCCTCTTTTTGACAATCTTCATCGGATCGGTAAGAAAACTATTGACCTTTAAGATCGCTCTATATATTTGAATAAATAAATCTTTACATAGGCTTCAAGTATCAACTATGATGACTGCGGAAGAAAAATATCATGTTATCGAGATCCATCCGATTGCAAAGATAATTGTGAAGTCGCCATATCTTGGAAAACAAGCGGCGATCAGATTCAGTTTGAAATGTATACGAAAAAGGATGACTATGTAGCCATTGGATTTTCGACAGATAAGAAAATGGTACGGTTTGCCGCATTGCTTTAGCGCTTAGTTTATTTAATCGATGTATAAAATCCTTACTTAAAGACAAAGAAGAAAACGACACCATATTAGAATGTACATATATATATGTATATATGATGTTTTCCGTACATAATTTTTAATGCATACGCCCTCTTGTTTTTTAAATTGATTAGGAAAACTACTTAATGACCAGCTGGCCTATTCGAAAATCTCAATTACATCTGCTTATAATTTGTTACTTTACAGGGACAGGATTCGGTAATTGCTTGTCAAAAGTCTGAAAATGGCCTTGTCGAAGTTCAATTGTACCGTAATATTGACGTTGGAAAAATTGAAAAATTAGAACTCTCCGGAATCACAAACATAACTGGAAAAGCCGAATCCGATGAATTATCTTGCACCTTTAGCCGCAACCAAGTTTATAATAATTCTAAAATTTATGATTTAACTAAAAAGAAAAAATATTACTTATTGGTTGCCCAAGGAAGTGTTAAAAAGGATACAATTGAAAAACATAGAAAAGTTGGAATACTAAAATCCCAAATTCCATTTACGAAACTAGTCAATGTTATTGGTTCAAAGGTGAGAGCTAGTGGAATGGTAAAAGCTCACGGTATCCTTATGGTTATGGCATGGATGATCTTAGTTCCAATTGGAGCAATTACAGCTAGATATTATAGAACTTTCTTTCGAAGTGAAAAGACACCCGGTGAAACTTGGTTTTTCGTAAGTGTAATGCCTTAAACTTGCCACCTTGTCTATAAAAAAACATTTTTTTTTCCAGATTCATTGGTTTTGTATGGGATCTGCAGCTATTTTAACAATTATTGGCGCTGTTCTCATTTTTGTTCATGCTGGAGGATTTATTACAGTAATTTATCTAGCACAATATGATGTAACATGTTTAATAATTTTAATAATTTTAGTATGATACTATGCCGATGAAATTGCATCCAATTCTTGGAGTAGTAACCATCGCCCTAGCTGTTTTGAATGTAACTATTATTATTGACACTTATTTCCATTATCACTTCTTTATTCTTCTAAACAGCCGATTATGGGAATAATTAAACCAGACGAAAGTAGTTCACTAAGACCGATATTCAATTGGCTTCACCGACTTGGGGGCATGTCTGCGGGAATTCTTGGATGTAAATATTCATACTTTTCTATTTCACAAAGATATTAACGATGTTCTGATATATTTCCTTCCATATTCCTATTTATAGTTGTGAATGTCATGATTGGTACTCGGATGCCGGCAGCTAATGTAAGGAGAACTATGCTGTGGTGGATCCTCTCCCTCCTTATCCTACTTATTTTATTTGGAATCATTTTGGAACTCTTGGGTTGTGAAGAGGAGGATGACGATGGCAAAGATGGTTTGATAATTGCTTACATATTTACATCTGTTACCTAAAATATTACGCTTGTAATTCAGATGAAGAAACTGGAATGAAAAAGTTAGGCAGCGAAAAAGATGAGGAAAAACAACTCAAAGGAGAAGAGAAAGAGAAATATTCTGGAAAAGACGATGATCAAGATTCAAACTCCGATAATGAAGATACTCCCAAATCAAAATCGGATAATGTAAGTGAATAAATTAGAATTTCGAAATAAAATACAAATATTACGTATTAATTTACAGAGAAGAAAAACGAGACAAACTTTATATGCTGCTTTGCATCCTGCTTGTATAAGTATTGGTATAATTATAATGGTGGCTATCGGAAAGAATTGATTGTACCTTCATTGTAATATTTCCTGCTTATGTCTTTCTTTTTTTTCAACTTGATACACTAGGTAGCAGCTTAGTATGCGTAAAATGGATTTTTGACCTTGCTTAACGCTTAAGTATATATATGGTTATTATTATAGTACATGCAAATATAAAGTTGATATTGAAAAATAGTTGACTTTCTTATTCAAAATAAAGTTGGGGTTAGGTTTCACGAAAGCGCCATCTACTATGTTGAAAAATTATTGCGCTGAACGATAATGAAGCATTTTACTTGATTTTCATTTTATATGAGCTTTTAATAAAATATGCTATCTTTACATCTACGTGCAAGAGTTTTTAGGGGAAGGCGCTTGAAGAATCTTATCGTATTCACTCTTATTGCCGGCTCAGTTTATCTTACGTTTCAATTGTTGTCGATGGAATTGATGCAAACTTCACCTGCAAATAATATCTTATATAAAAGGAAAGATTTGTTAGAAAAACAACCGTGCTCCTCTAATAATTGTTCAGAACCAAAAATCAATATTGAAGATCAAAGTGACCTTAATCGTTGGAAGGAGAGATTAAAGTCAAAAATGGATACTATCAGAAAAGAGCAAGAAAAATTACAGAATATGTTAAAAAATGACTTTGCAATTACTAATAAACCACAATCTAATAATATACCTGCAGAGCGTAATGAAAAAGCAAATAGAGAAATGTTTAAAGTTGTTGGTGTCCATAAAGATGATATCCACCAATATAGGCCTGATGAGAATAACATGTTCAAATGTATTTCATCTAATGTACTTTCCTTTTTTTTACATATACAGTATATATATATATATACTAATTTATGAACTTCATAATTTACAGGTTAAAATTCCTTTTAAAAACGTTAATGATGATTATTGCGACTGTCCAGACCAAAGTGACGAGCCTGGAACATCTGCTTGTCCTAATTCAAGGTAAAAATCAGGGCAATAAAAATCTAATATTTCAATTCGAATAGAAAATAAGTATTTTATTTAGAGAAATAAGATTTCTCAGTATCTTCTCATGACCTTATCCGATAGTTGGCATATCTAACATAGTTCTGGTATTTTAGGTTCTACTGCACTTTTCAATTAAGTATGTCTAAACGTTCCGCGAAATGGGTACCCTCTGGCTCCGTTGGCGATTCTATTTGTGATTGTTGTGATGGGTCTGATGAATGGCAGAGATTTAATGATATCAAAAATCCTAAGAATGGTCTATTTTTTTATAAAAAGGTTTTACTTATATATAAATAGGCTATTTCCATTGCAGATGTTTATAATAAATTACAAGTCTATCATACGCCCTGTGTAGATCTTTGCACAGAGTTACGAAATCAAAAGCAACAAGAAGAAGAGATACGAATTCTTGCTGCATCTACTAGGATGAAATATGTCAAACAGGGAAAAGATGCGCCTTCAGGAGAGGTTCGTAAATTATCTGTTGACAACTGAATGTATGTTTTATTAATGTATACATTTACAAAACATAGGACTACGGGCCACAAAATGTTTTCTATCCACTAAGTAAAAAATGCTTTACATTCAAGTCAAATGAATATGAATATTCAATTTGTCCGTTCAAGTGAGTGTTATGCAATATAATTTTATTACAGGAAATTATACTTAATGCACATTTCTTCTTTTCTACGTTTATACAGAGAAATTAAGCAAACGAATAGTAATTCTCATAGCGTATCAGCAGGTTCACAATTCAAATGGCTTTCAAGAACTCCTTATGATTTTAGTATTATTATGACCGGTGGGGAAGGGAAAAATTGTCCTGATTTGGAAAGATCAACAGTGGTATAACGTTAATTACAAATTAAAAATTAGCTCTTTTATATCAACTTGCCTACTTTTTAGATAAAATGGGAGTGTGGCTTAAAAGATTCTGTTCTAAAAGTTAGTGAAAGTGAAAGATGTCGGTATAAAGTTTTAATGAATAGTCCTGCAGCCTGTTAATTATGTTGAACAATATAGTTTTGTTGTTTTGTGATAATTTTCATATCTTAAATGGACTTCTTAACTCGTAATTCCAATAAATAAAGAAGATTAGTAGTTTTTCTTGCTCTCTTCAACGCGCTTTATTTTCCAATGTTGACGAAATAGTCCGGCCGGATGTAGTTTGTGAGTTTTGGATCCGGATCAAAATAATACTGTTCTCGTGAATTTATTTATAATCTAAACTGCTTTACTGAGTTTATTCGGTTTGTATATAAATTCTTTATTGCAAACAAAATCAAATACATTTTTCATCTTTCATGTATTCAGCGTCTATTTTTATATACATTTCGAACTATTCTCTTATTATCACTCAATAAATTAATGCAGGTCCTTGTCGAAATAAAGCAGTATGAATAAGCGAGCTTCGCAATCCACTATAACACCTGCACCGGCAAAGCGTGGTCGTCCAAAAACTTCTAAAAATTCTTCTCAGTTGTCAGATGCCAATAAATCGTTAAACGAATATAAAGGACGATATAAGAAATTAAGAAAAACACTAAAGCATGTGGTAGAAGAACAAGTGTTTTTTGAGCAATCTCTTACAAATGCAGAAACAGAATTATTAGAAATAGAACGGGATAATGCTTTCATATTAGATCAATTATCAAACTTTATAAAAGTATCGGATGATTCTTCTAACGAAACGGACAGCTCGGAAGATGAAAGGGATGAAGAGAAATCATCAAAAAAGAGTACATTTACCTTACCTTCGATGAGTTCTATTTCCAGTTCGAATAGTTTATTAAATCCGTCAACAAGTTTACTTGCGTCTACCATTAGTAATTCAGTTCCTACTGTAAAACGAAACTCTCTACCGAAATCTCCAACAAAAGGTGTTAGCGAAGCTGTGAAGCGGCACGTGGAAGAAAAATTAAATAGCAAAAGCAATGACGATAAACTAACTCTTTTAGAATATATTCCAGATGATATTTTTAGCCAGGACGATGACGACGATGAAGCAACAGCAAGTAGTAATAATGACGAAGATTTGGTAATAGACGAATTCAACAAATAGTACGTTGTAGTACGTTGTCTAACTTTATAGTATCTATTCTCAGCTGAGTAAACTATACTTTCGATACGAACTCATTTAATTAACTGTATGTATATATTATATATTTATAAATTTATAAAGTTTTTTTTCGTTTTGAACAAATAAAATAATCTGAGTTATTGTACCAGCTATTTTAGCGGGCAAATAATTTTCGAATTTTGCCCGCTATTATCCTGCGTTCAGTTTACCAGTTTTACTTTACTATGTGAGCGAAATAGTCCTTCACATTCAGCGAGGACACTTGACTGATATATTACGCCATTAGTAGATTACCGATTTGCTTCGAAGAATTGAATTGAAATTTTTTTCTGGTATTTTAGTAATAAAATATGATTTGATATTTCAATGTTAACAATTTAAATATTTTTTTACAGTTTGTCTTTGCGCACTTTGAACGTAAATCACTCTCTTAACAATGAATTTAGCAAAATCTTTAAGAATAAACTCTTCTTTTCTCCCAATTTTAAATCGTTCCTTTTCTGTAACTTCTGCTCGATCTGAAAAATTAACTTTGAATTATAAAGATGCTTTAAATATTGATGGACAATTAGAAGAAGATGAAATATTAATTAGAGATCAATTCAAAGGTTACTGTCAAGAACAGCTCATGCCAAGGATACTCGAAGCAAACAGACATGAGAGTGAGTTCACCGTTAGATATGTCAATACTTTCAAGTCTTATTTTCTCTTTCTTTTAGAATTTGATAAAGGAATTATGAAAGAAATGGGTGAAATGGGTACTCTGGGATGTACAATTAAGGGATACGGATGCGCAGGAGTATCATATGTTGCCTACGGATTATTAGCTAGAGAAGTTGAAAGGTACATCTTTTCACTTAGCATTTCAATGGAGAATTAACACTTTCTCTGATAAAATAGAGTTGATAGTGGATATCGTTCAGCAATGAGTGTTCAATCATCACTTGTTATGCATCCTATAAATGCTTATGGCACAGAAGAACAAAAAGAAAAATATCTTGCTAAATTAGGTAAATAAGGAAGAAGGTTTTTTAACTGTAATGTACTGTATAATATTTACAGCAAGAGGTGAATTAATTGGTGCTTTTGGATTAACTGAACCCAATCATGGAAGTAATCCTGGTGGAATGGAAACAAGAGCTAAATACGATTCTAAAACTAAAGAATTTATATTAAATGGATCTAAAACATGGTATTTAGTCAAATTTTAAAAAGCTATATCTCTTATTTCGTTTTCTTGCTATTCTTCACTAAGGATTACTAATTCTCCCGTTGCTGATGTATTCATTATTTGGGCTAAATCAGAAGAGCATGGAGGAGATATTAAAGGTTTCATTCTTGACAGATCAATGAAAGGATTAACTACCCCAAAACTTGAGGGTAAATTCTCTTTAAGAGCAAGTGAAACAGGACAAATAATTATGGAAGATGTTAGAATTCCTGAGGCAAATCTTCTGCCAAAAGTTAGAGGTTTAGCTGTAAGTAAAAAAAGTTTAACACTTAAATGTGTAGAGATGAGTTTCATTGACTTTAACTTCATTTAGGGACCATTTGGATGTTTAAACAATGCTAGATACGGAATTGCTTGGGGAGCACTTGGTGCCGCTGAATTTTGCTATGAAACTGCAAGACAATACACGCTTGATAGGTGATTGTTTTATTTATTTATTTATTCGATAGTTTATGCTGATCATACACTACTCTTAAATAGAATACAATTTGACCGGCCTTTGGCAGCCAATCAGTTAATACAAAAGAAATTGGCTGATATGCTTACTGAAATTTCTTTGGGATTGCAAGGATGCTTGAGAGTTGGAAGACTTAAGGATCAGGGAAAGTAGGTGTTCATATAGAGTAGACGCAAATGAATATCTCCTCTTATATTACTTCTTTTCCAGAGCTGCACCAGACATGATTAGCTTAATAAAGAGGAATTCTTGTGGAAAGTCACTTGACATAGCAAGACAGGCTAGGGATATGTTAGGAGGCAATGGAATTGCTGATGAATATCACGTAATTCGTCATGTTATGAATCTTGAATCTGTCAACACATACGAGGGAACACATGATATTCACGCCCTCATCCTTGGTCGAGCGATAACAGGATTACAATCATTTTTTTGAAGTTTTACGAATATTGTTATCAATCAGTATTTGTTTCTTGAAAAATAATTGTTTAGTGAATTCTCTAAATTTAACAAATTATTAATCAAACTAATATTTACTGATCAGTTAAAAAGTATGAATATTAATTAGGTGCACATTAGTCATTAATTGGAGGATCTTCTCCATAAATAGTTATCTCTCTTTAAAGAAGCTACAGTGAAAGTTATTAATGCCATTAGCAAATCACCAATTTCTATTATAGTAATGACGCTCATTCCAATCCACAATCCTATAAGTCCACCAAAATCTGATAGAAATTGAGAGGTGTCGTATTCCAGATTCTCTTCTATAAATTGATTATTAAGATCCTTAAAATATAATCGAAGTCGAATGAAATTCTCCCTTAATATCTTCTCTCTTTTACTGATATCCTTACCCTCTTTTTTTAAATACTCACACCCTATAGGATTTCTTTGACAAACTTTATTTACAAGTTCATACCATAGACCAACTGGTGGAAAATTACTGGAAGATAATTCCAAATCATAATCTATAGAATGGCACGCCGCTTCGCAAGAACAGTTCAAAGCTCCGTTTAGAACCTTCTTCTTTAATTGTTTTTGACAATTTTCAAGATTATAATCAAAAGCACAGCTAGGTTTGGTCGTCTGTTCATAGTTGTAATTTTCAATATTCTCGGGTCTATAACAGTTACATTTTTCAGCTATCAATTGATCTAAACAAATTGAATTACAGGTTGTCTGTGTATATTTATAACCAAGATCCTTGTAATTGTCCTTTTTAAAACATGAATGACTATGGCCTTTATACCTTGTTAACTCTTTCATCTGTATTGAAACGTAAGCTTCCATCCCAGGATTTAGAGATTGTCCATGGTCAAGGACATTCGATTTGGTTCCAAATGGATGAATATCAAAGGTAGCTCCTTCGCCTTTATGCAATCCTTCAACATATTCATTTCTCTCAATATAAATGAGAAGATTAAGACCATAAGTCGTACCACTTCCACGAATTTGTAGTGGAGGTTGTCCTGATTTGAAATCATTAAATGTAAAACAATTTCCAAACGATTTTGAAAGATGACTGGAAAAATTTCTATTTTCAAAGAAACAAAATCTAATTAATATATTTAAATGATATTTATTTAAATAAAGTCATACTTCTCTGAACATTCAATACCATTTACTGAACAATCAACCACCAAAGACTTAATATCATGACCAATAGTTATTCTTTGTTTAACTGTTAGATTTCTTAGGTTTGAAGCATATTCTTCCTCTCTTCTATACGCTTCGGAGATATTTCCACTTCCAAAGAAACTTTTATCATTTTCAGTGAATTGTTCCAGAGAAATAATAGAAGGATTGTAAACGTCTGTATAGTTTTCAGCGGTCGTTGCCTACAATTGATATAAAATAAATAAGAAAAATTTATTTCTTAATAGGTCATATATAACCTTATTAGTTGTTACTTCAAAAGTAACAGTTTCCGTAGAAAAGTTGGAATTATAATGATTATTTGTTGTATCATTTGATGAATTTATTTGTGAAGAATGAGTATCATCTGAGATAGTTGATGATTTTGTTGTAAATGATGGAAGTTTGGTTGTTTCATTAGCTTTTCCTCCATTGTCACCAATCTCATCCAAAAGGGATACAGAGGGGGAAGTTTTTGGAATATTGCGGGTCGCAATAATAGAATCTTGATATATTCTATCTTGGTATGTCTGCGATGTTCTAGGAGGCTTTCTTTCATGAAGATTACGCTGAATGGGAATTTCTCTCTTCTTTCTCCTCTTGCTCTTATTATTGCCTTTGTCTGTTTGATAACTGGTATCATATTTTCTACTTTCAACGAACATTAAAAAATCTCTTGGAACGTTATCCTCGGTTAGCAAAGAATTTCTAAAAGGATTGTTATTGCAAACCGTGACGCTAGGAATGATAAGATTTTCATATTTAATGGTAAGCCTGGAATTTATATTATAGTCTAGATATTTCTGTGTTAGAGTTACTAAATGCCAAATCATAACTCCTGATCCTGCTAGAAATACAACAGTCTATGGAAAAGAGAAAGATTAATAACGTACAAAAAGGATGGGTTAGAAAACGTAAAAAATTCTTACCCAAAGCACTCTAGCAACTAATGTTTTAGCTCGTAATATATATGGAATAGCATGCATGGAGGTATGATTCGCAAATGAAGCAAAAATGTCACCTAAACGAATATCTTTTTCATGCCTTAGAGAGGAAGAGAAAAAGTAATAAAAATCAGATGCAGGACTAACATCATGATAGATTTTACGATTTTTGTTCTGGTAATTCATTCGACTTATCCTGCTTTTCTTCTAAAGATGCTTGACCATCTCCGTTCTCTTGTAGTTTTTCAGTAGTCGGCCACGATTGAAGATCCAAAGAGTTTCTCATGATCTAGTTGAAAAAGTAAATATAGCGAAGACAATGAAAAAAACTAATGGTAAAGATAATAATAAACTTTCTTCATTTTCTATAAGATAGATCATTACCATGTGGTCGTAACGATGATGAAAATATGGATTATTATATTCATAATCAGAAGTTTTAGAGTTCATAACTAGATCGAAAGTATCCCCTAGTTGAAAAGTTCAACTATAGCAATTGTAATAAAAGTATGACCCTTTTTAGACCCTCTCCTATAGATAGTTCATTGAATAGAAATACTATTGTGAATCGGTAGGGTTGAAAAAGAGGCTTAGAAAAAACTTTTTCCATTTTATCGGCCTATAAAATAATTTTTTAGTTATTTTTATGAAGGAAAAAGGGAAACAAGGGAAAGAGATTTGTTCATATTCCTCAATCTTAAACATAATAGGAAATATAACCCTGTAAAAATTGAACTTTGCCTTTTATTTCTTTGTTCTAAAAACAGTAGGCCTACAATTAACGAAAACAACTTGAAATTCCTATTTTTATGAATTTTTAAAAAAATTTTTTACTACTTTTATATATTTTTTCATATCATTTCACTTGATATTAAACAGTTATTCACTCTCTATAATATGCCTCTAGGCCTATAAGCTTCCGCATGCTAGGCCCAAGAGTCGGAATATACCCTATTCATAAACAAGTGTTATTCAGAAAGGACAGGCCGGAACGATGATCGAAACTTGATAATTTTTGTCTGGTAACAATTTAGAACGAAAATTATGAATTATTATAATTATTGACGATTTCACGTTGGTTATTCATCTCGTTGGTGATCAGCTAGTACTATAAATGTTTAACCGTTTAAGATAAGCTTTGTTCGGTTCGTTCTTATCTGTAGACTGCTAAAGTATAGCTAAAGAGAGGAGAAAAATATAGAAATATACGTCTTATCTCCCCTAACTAAGATTTATTAGAAGTATCTAAAATATAAGAAAGATGATGGGGAAGATAAATTCTTCAATTGTTCTACTTATCGTCATCTTACCGATTGCTTTAACTACGGATGTTATTCATTCTCAGTTACCTGAACCTATTCAAAATTTCGTTGAGTACGATAATAGGATATTCGTTGGAGCTGGAAGCAAATTGTACAAGTTATATTTCAACTTGACAATAGAAGAATCTGTTCGATTAACTGAAGAGTCTGAATGTTCTAATGAGAAGAAAGTTCAAGTATTAGAACTCTTTAATAACCGATTACTAGTCTGTACAACCCAGAGATGCGGATTGTGTTCATTCTATGATTTTTCTCTAAATCTCTTACAACACTTGTCGGATAAGAAGAGAGATCGCTGGCAAATATTATCTGGCAAGAAATCAACTCAAATCATTACAGAGAGTGAAGAAGGTAAGATGTTTTGAATATCAATTATTTTAATAATAATCTTATATATTTATGAATAGATAACAAAATAGTTGTGATGAAATCATTAGAGAGTACCAAAAGTCTTTCTCTTCCTTATTTAAGTTATCTTGAATTAAAAGATGGACATTTTTCTCAAATATCATCAATTCAATTGAAAACTGATACTAATCTCTCTAAATCTTTCCCTGAAATTGATGTGATTACCAGTTATGAATATAAAGGACAAATGTTTTTCGTAATAGTAGTTACTGACAATAACGGTGAAGTTTTCACTAAAGTTGTCCGCTGGTGTCAAAATATGGGAATTGCAGGATATACGGAAATTATTGTCACCTGTAGCGGAAAAATCTCAACGCCAACAACAACTAGTAACGTTGTCTATAATAAAGCAGTTTCGGCGTTTTTTGGTAAAGTTGCTAGTGAAGACGAGAAAGCTATCTTCCTAACAATGACTGAATTTAAACGATTTAGTAATCCAGTAGTATTGAAATCATATTCGATATGCGCTTTTCGGATGGAGGAAATTCGAGAAAAGATGACAAATGTTCAATCAAATTGCTATAGGAATGGAGTATTATCCACTAGGCCTTATTGGTTAGTCGGTGTTGATTATGAAACTTGTCAAAGTACTATGGATCAACAAAAAATCCTTAGTGATATTTATGAGCAGAGATCTAGCTTTTGCGGACATAAGGCGAATGGTGGAGTTGGGCCGAAGAAACTTGATACTGAAATCTTACCCATGAAGATAGGAAAATCTCAAACTCAAATCACTTCAAGATTTCCTCCAATAGTTGCTTCTTATAATTATGAATTGAAGACTTTAGCTATAGTTGTAACAATTGAGGGAGAAATTTATAGGATTCTTTGTGATTTTAGGAAAAAAGCTTACGGTACAGCCTTAATGATGAGTAGCATGGCTGAAACATCTACATTGCAACCTTATTTTTCCGGTATTATCATCGATAGTAGTCAGAAATTTGCATTTGTCGCCGAGAGCGATTCATCATCTGGCTTTGGAAGACTTATGCGTTTTAAGACTACCTCTTGTAATACCGAAACAAATAGAAACAGTTGTCAAAACTGTCTTAGCGACCCTATATGCGGTTGGTGTGGAACAAGATGCAGTACGGAAAAATCATGTACAAATGGGCAGTGGAGTAGTCAAACTTGCCAACCAGTAATAAATGAGGTCAGTTTCTAGCTATTTAACGAAAATGTGTATTATTAATTCTTTATTATGTAGGTTTCACCTTTGGATGGTCCTATAAGTGGAGGTACAATTTTAACATTGAAAGGTTCCTTCACTTCGAAGCATGATACTCATGATATTAAAATTTTTATTGGAGATGTGCCTTGTAAGGTCGTTAGTGTAAATAGAAGAACGATTAATTGTAAAACTCCTAAAACGCCTTCTCCATTTGCCGGTCAAATTCTTTTAAGTCTAAACGAAGGAGACGATAATCCATCCTCTCTCGTTTCCGGTTCTGCAAAATATCATGAAAAGTTCCAATACAAGGTAAATTTAGATAAGTTTAGCTAAAAAAATATTGTGTGCTCAATGTTCCGTTCTTTTATTCCCAATTAGAGATTGGACATTATCTCTATCAAGCCAAATGCTTCTTCAATTGCTCATTCAAATGATAAGAATATTCAAATAGAGACCAATATTCAGGGAAGCGATAGACGGATACAAATATGCGATGAGGAATGTAAAATACAAATGATTAACAATGAGATGTTAACATGTAAAATTCCTCCAATTAAGGCGATAACCAAGTGTAATGTTAAATTAATTGTTGATGATGGTTTAGTCAATAGAAAAGATGGATTTTCGTACGTAAAAGAGCCAGTTATTTTTGGAGTAAAACCGAATATAACAGCGTCAAATATTGTCTTTCCTTTTCAACTTTTGGGGAATAATCTTAACTATTTAGGTGATAATATAAGTTTAATTACATCTGTGAATGATCAAAAGTTAATATCGATATGTGAAAAAGCATCTTTGGATGGTACCTCAATTGAATGTTTTAACTCTAAATTAGATGTAACTGATGAAACTGACGCTGTTATCTACGTAAAAGAGATTCCCATTAATTTGATTATTAAAGATAGCTTAAAGATTACTTATCAAACATTTCCAAAATTTAAGAAGCCACAATTTAAAGATAACAAAATTGTCTTCTCATTCGACAATTCAGAATTACCTATGTCCTATAAAGATAGTATAAGAATCTCTATTGACGGAAGAATATGCCAAAATGTTTATATCGCCCTAACTGAAATGATTTGCACCTATCCAAATGTTACTTCAGACGTTCCAATACTTTTACAAATTGGCGATGAGAGCCAATTATTTTCATCGAAGGAAACACAACTTATATTTTATAAGGAAAGATGGAAAATTCTATTATATATTATCGTTGGAATTCTTGGTTTTGCTATCTGTGCTGGTACAATTGTTTTTATAGTTAAGAAGAAGAAGGATAATAAGAGGAGAAAATTAAAATCGAAAGATGATTGCGATTTTACTAAAGTTCCATCAGATGAATATATAGGTAAGATTAATGATTCTTTTGCCCGCCATTGTAACTTGTTCTCTTTTAATTAATAGAGATGATTGGCTCAGTTCAAACTCTTAACCAAGATGGAAAAAGTTTTCTTCGAAAGCCACTTTCTCAATACGAAGTTTTTAAGAATTCTAATATGCTATTACCCGAAAAAAATCTCATACTTTTAGACGTTCTTGGTCAAGGACATTTCGGAACTGTTCGCAAAGGGATACTTGTAAAAGACGGTGAAGAAATTCCAGTGGCGGTTAAAACTTTAACAGAGATGGAGGAAGAAGTTCTACCGGATAACTTGCGCATAAAGAGAACAACAGAATTTCTGGAGGAAGCTCTAAGAATGAAAAACTTTCATCATAAGAACGTTTTATCATTGATTGGAGTTTCATTAAGTTTACAACCGAATTTGGTACTTCCTTTCATGGCTAAAGGGGATTTATTAACTTTTTTAAGGGATCCAATAAATGATCTATGCGTTAAGAATATTCTAGATTTTGCTATCGGTATTGCCGATGGAATGACTTATTTAAGTTCTATCAACTTTGTTCACCGCGACCTTGCCGCCAGAAATTGTATGTTAGATCTTGACTTGACAATAAAAGTTAGCGACTTTGGATTAAGTCGAGAAGTCTGCGCCTACACTGCCTACTATAGTCAGCAAAAGAAAGCACTTCCTGTTCGATGGATGGCTCCAGAAGCTTTACAAAAAGGACGATTTACACTTGAAAGCGATGTGTGGTCATTTGGTGTAGTTGTGTGGGAATTATTTACAAGAGGAGCTGTACCATATGAAACAGTACAAAACTGGGATATAATAGGCTTCCTTCAGAATAAAAGGAGATTAAGCAGACCACAATATTGTCCAGAACAAATATGGAATGTTATACTGGCATGTTGGAATGAATTACCAGTAGATAGGCCAAAATTTTCCTATTTGAAAACAAAACTTGAAAAGAATCTCAAAGATTTAGAAAATCAAAGTCTATCTGAAGAAACAAGGAACCATCTAAGTTTGTACTCGTCTTACGGCTATTCAGACTGGGGTAGGTTGGATTCAAGAATGTCTCAGGAAGAAATTTCCGATGCTTATCTTGTATGATAAGCAAATTAGTTTGTTCTCAATCCCTTCTTATATTATCCTTGTATGTAACTTTTATTGAGTCATTTCAAAGGATTAAATATGACAGGAATATTTTTTTTATTATCAAGATTGCAATAATAAATTTATATTTATTTAGTAGAATAAAAACTATAAATAATGCTTAGATAATAGATTTACTTCATCTATCGGTGCTATGAGCATTTTTCTAATTTCTTCCTAATTTATCACTTTGTACTTGGCCACTTTATTTTATTAAAATCAGTAAGTAAATTTTCTAAAAAAGCCAACCAATTGAACTTAGTTTGCTTTCTGAACTTTTGAACCAGCAACAACAACAGTATTTTTTGGAGTAAATCCACAAAATTGTATTTCTACACCATCATTTTCTAACGTCTCGTCGCATTTATCTTCGAGAATATCCCATACTTTCACTACTGAATCTTTTGACGCGGAAATAAGTTTTAAACTATCGAGTGAAAAACCTACGGTTTCTACCCAGGTTTGATGGCCTTCAATACTTCTTATTAATGAACCAGTTCTCGGATTCCATAATTTCACTGTATTATCCCATGAACCTGATGCTAGCATACCTTCTCTTGAGAACGCAAGAGCTGATACGGTTTTAGTATGACCTTTTAAAAGCTTTAACGAGCCATCTTCTTCCTTTCGATTCTTCTTTAGCGTCCACAATCTAACAACACCATCTGTGCAGGCAGTCGCTAACCAGGTATCTTCATAACTAAATGACGATGTCTTAACAGCTCCTTCATGACCTTCGAGAATTTTCATTAAACCTCCATCTTGAACCTTTTATAATTTATTATAAAATTCATGACATATTTAATATATACTATAAATTTGTTTATATACACTTATTCTAGTATAAAAGTGATTTTCCAATCAAGTGGAGCTCTTGATAGCTACGAAGCTTCTTACTTTATTTACTCTACCACCTAAGGAGGAGTATTATATACCTCAGGCCTACAATTTTCAATTGAATTATTTCTCCAAGCCTTTTAGAATAAATATACAAGAAATTTTTAGAAATTACTTAATTATTGACTGATTACATGCTATATGAAAGAAGAAAGATAGGAATCGCTACCTTCCATATCATTGCAGATCTATCAAAAGATGTTGTGGCTAATAAGGCTGAATTTGATGAAAACGTAACACTTTCGACGCTTTTTCGATGGCCTTCTAGAGTATATAATAAGCTAGCATCTCTAGTCCTCCATATAATGGCGGTTGAGTCCTGTGAACAACTAGCTATGTATTTAGAATCTGGTGAAACGGCGACACTTTTTATCCAAGAAGTATGACCACTTAACAGAGTGACTAGCTTTTTTGTTGCTGCGTTGAAGATCCTAACGTTAGTATCGTCCGATCCTGTTAGAAAGATATGGAAATCTGTTGAAAAGGCAACACAAGTAACTTCATCTTCATGTTCAGAAAATTCGGAAATGTTAATATTCGTATATAATCCCTTTTCCATACTGAATGACTATTGATCAAAAAAAAACTCGTTGGTATTGCTTAGATACAATAGGCCTAGTTCATTTTGCCAAAGACTTGTAAATTAATAGCATATATCCTATAGTTTGCAGTCAGGATTGGCAATTGCTTTCATACGGATATTAGTGTCAAACTTAAACAATTTACCACTTTTCAAACAACGTTTATTTTGTCATCCGTGCCAAAAAGTTTGCAAATATATCTATATACTTAAACTTGATAATGATAATTGATATGCTAATAAAGAAAAGTATAAATGAAAGAATTGTTTTTTCTTTTAAAAAAATTCAGTTTTATTGTCATACTTCGCAGCTTTTTGTTCTTTTTTTCAGATTTTTGAATAATAAACAAAAATAGATAAATGAAAAACAGTTGGAAAAAAAATCATCTGTAAAACTATTGGTTAAATGTTTTTATTATTCTATCGGAAGCCCGATTTCCATTTGATATCCGTCATGCCCTGGAACTGCCTTTTTAAGGCGTTGTTATCGCACCAGTCTGAGTTTAGATATTCGTCATCACTCTCCTTCTCCAGTTTTTTGAACTCTTCCTGTTTTTTGTAATAGTAGGACATCATAGCTTTTCTTTCATCTTCATTAACAACTGGTTCTCTAGCTGGTGGTCCTCCTCCACGTTTTTGTAGTTTGCATAATATTTTTGTCTTTTCGTTCTTTCCCACGTAGTCTTGAAGATTTTTGCCTCGTTGAAATTCTTTGCCCGCCCACCAGATTGCGGAATCTTCGATATTTAAAATTTCCAGGGAAGCTTGTGTTCCGGCCAAATCCTCAACGTTCTCAAATTCCATACGTATGGGATCATGAGGAGGTAGATTCATTGGATAAACAATAGTGACCGCTCCCCTTAAAATTGACAGAGCCTCATCTACAGTATTCTGAGTTACGAACACACCTTCACCGATTTTCTTCTTGCTAATCATTTCTTTAGCTTCTTTAACTGTTTTTAATAAAACATCTTTCATTTTTTGACTTGGAGATCTTCCATTTCTCCTTCCCATCACATCCCTCTTAAAATCATAACCACCGCTCGGTGAACACTTTTCGGTCCATTCATCGACTAGTCTCAATTCTTCTACTTGCTCTTCGGTCAAACCTTGCATGTTTGGAGGCAGAGATGCACCGCTTTCAGCAAGCATTTCGATCTCCGAACAGATTCGATTAACTTTTAAGCGACCATTATAGATTGGTATCAAAAGTTTCATAAGATCTTCAACACTAATTTGAACAGTTGTTTCGATGAGGAATTGGTCCTCATCTCCTTTTTTTATATGTAATTTCACCATATTCTCGTGGTTCTGTTGTTGCTATGCTATTCGAAGTGAGCGGAAATAGTTTACTAGAGTGGTTCATGGAATATTTGGAAAATATTCTTTCCCTTATTGTGAACCATTTGCATAAATATTTTTAATCATTTATTTATAATAAGACTAATAATTAGGAATTTCCTTCGAGTATTGTTAAATACGAAAATCACGACTACTCGGAACTCGGCAGCTCACGATATTACAGCATCTACTTGTGTCTGGATATGTCGAACAAAAACTCAGCTAAAGCAGAGAAACCGAAGGAAGAGAAGGACAAACCAGAACACCAATTCAGTTTGCTTGAAGAAGATGATGAGTTCGAAGAATTCCCAGCTGAAAGTAAGCGGCGATATTTAACTTTATACTGTTTGAGCGAAAATACAATGATATGAATTATCATTTCAGCTTGGGCCAGCGATCAGGAAGATAAAGATGATTTAAACGCCTGGGAAGATAACTGGGATGATGATAATGTGGACGATGATTTTACTCAGCAATTAAGGCATGTTTGTTATAAAACAATCACACGTATGACTAATGTTTTTTATTTAATAGGGAAACTTTGGAAAGCAAGGGATATAAGATCGAACCTATGCAAACTTAAATTAATTCATGTTTTAATATGTACATAATACATATATTTGATAATAATTAAAAAAAATTATTACAAAAATTGTTTGAACAAAAACCAAATATATTAGACCGAAATCAAAGGACATAAATTTATTTTCGGCGGATTAGCATTCATCACATCGTTAATTCCTGAAACAGAAAAAATGATTGTTCATTGTTTCTAAATACGTGATTTTCAAACTTACCATTATGGCATTAACGATGTCATTATCATTGTTCTTCAATGCCTTGATGGCTTTAGTTTTAGACACATTCGCTTGGGTCATAACTAATTCAATATCCTTCTGCTCGATTCCTTCAGGAGATACCTCTTCTTCATCTGATTCTTCAGGGATCGTTTCTACTTTGGTTTGAGCCGGATTGATACCTGTAGACACTTCAGCCTGTTTCAATTTCTCAGCTGCCAAAGTTTGGGCGGTGGCGTTAGGATCTTCAACCTGATTGAGAAAATTTTTTTTAACATCGCTTAGATTTATTATTAACTTCTTTTACCTTTGCTTCTCCGAAGACAATGTACATATCAGAGGCAGGGCTTTTGTACACGTCTGGTCGGCTAATAATGAAAAGTATGTTCTTCGATTTTCTAATACTGACGCGTGAGACGCCAGTGATTTGCTTTAGACCCAATTTAGTTATAGCTTTTCTTGCCTTTTTCTCGCTTCTGCTTTGTTTTGCCTTGCTGGTGAGAGGTTCATCACCCAAACCCGCAGCTTCAGCCACCTGTATAAAATATAGGTTTAACATTTTGTTTTAACAATAGTGAAATATACATCTGTTCGATGGTAATTTCAGTAAAAGGGTTGTCAAGCATGTTGAATATGCCCCGAAAGATGATAAGCATCATATAATTGGATATTTCTAAAACATCACGTTTGTAACTCATTTAATGGCACTTTTTCAAATTTAATCTTATTTAAGACAGCTAACTAAACTACCCTTTAAGTAGTATAATTTTATGTTTCAATGACATTTTACGCATGCGCCAAAATTTTGCCATTTCTAAGAATACTCAGGTCTCAAGAACTAAATCGCTAAAAACGACACTCACACACATATATATATATATATACTAATATATATATATATATATATATATATATATATATAATTTACATATATGTGTGTTTCAAACGTCGAAAATTTGTTGGAAATTATCACGTGATGTCCTAGTAATATCTAAAGTTGCCCAAAGGGCGAATTAGAAAATATATCATGCTTACTCCGCTTTGTCCATCGTTTTTGTCGTCAATTAATTCTGGTGCTTCTTCATCAGAGTCGGTGTTCTCAGAAGAAAGCTCGGCATGTTCTTCGGTAACTTTCTGTTCTATACCTTGCGTTTCGGTTGCGGCCATGTTCTGGCAAATACGATATAAAGACAAAATGATTAATTAAAATTTAAGAAGGATATTAATAACAAGTATCACTTTTGTTGTATTTTATGAGAAAACTTGTTAAATTACTCACGATTTACTTGATTTCGGAAGATATTTCTTACCGCTATGTCCGGCTAAAAACACGCCAATTACACGTGAAGTTCAAGAAAGAATCGGTGGTGGCGCTTTAATAAAACAACTCTTTACCATTTACGATTTACGAATTATTATCTCGAAAGCTCAGAGAGATGGTTCAAATAAACTACAATGTCCATGATCGAATTTTAGAATAATCTAGAAAGTAAGGGGAAATTATATTAAAGTTTAACAAAAATTATAAAAAGTATTAACTTTTCTATCTTTTAAGTTAAGTTTCGAAAATAAGGAGAATTCACTTTTATTTGAAGATTTTCGATTTGATACATTCTCCTAACAAGTATTTGCATATTATATTTCTACCTCAGATTAAATAATTTTAATTCTTTTTTAAGGAGTTTTAACAGTTTAATAATTTACTGACTAAGTTGTTTGTAAATTGATAAATTCGATTCAAACTGCTCTTGTCCGCCTTTTTATAATTAGATAATATCTGCGAGGCTGTTGTTTCCGGTGGCCATGTTGATTTTGTTATAAAATAATATTTTTGTTAGGAAACTGCAACAGATGTCGTAGCTCAAATAATCGGATACAATCAACGCTTTTTATCAACACTCAACTTATAATATACAAGATGCCGTTCGCTTTTCTTGGACAAACAATACCCGTACCTAGTTTGAGAACTTACACAGTGATATCAATCAGTTTAATAGCTTTGGCAATGTATTATTCGTATGATACAGCTATTGAGTTCAGAGACTCTATAGAGAAAAAGGCTAACAAAAGTATAAGTCCCTCGGACTTACCGTTTGTCAATCAGAGATGGCCCATTGATAAATCCAAAAATACCAGTGATTTATCCGGTGAAGGTATTTATCATTCTTCAATATTTTTGTTTCTTTCAATGAATTTGGAGATTATAATTTAACAAGATATAGAAAATAGTACGATATTTTAAAGTATTAGTATTCCAATTATTACGTGACTACTCCTGTATTACGAAACCGGTAAATGATTAACCTCTGAATTTAAGATTAAGCAGTTTCTCACTAAAAAAACTAGAAATATCTGTATTTAGTCAATCATTATTAGTTATCCTGGGATATCTGTTTTTAATATTAACATATTAATATATACAAACGAAAAATTCAGAGTTTTGTCATTGATTTATCTCCTCGAAATTCTTAGAATACTTTATATACCTACTACGAATTGGTAAATACTTCTCCCACTAACCTTTTCAGAGAAGTCTCTTGAAGATGACGGAAAAGATTTAAACAATACAGGTATTGTTTTAAAAGGAGAAAGTCTATCCGTAGACATGGCTCTTGTACTACTCCAGGAAGGATGGTGCACTATAATTGTCATTAACATGTGTTATTGTATGTTACTATTGCTTGGAAAGTGTTTACAAGTGGTTTTTTTTGGTAAACTGCGTGTGAGTGAAAGGCAACAGATAAAGGAGAAGGTTATGAATTTCATTTTCTACAAATTCATTTTTGTCTTTGGGGTACTTAACGTACAAAGAGCTGAAGACGTCGTCTTGTGGATAGTATGGTTTTCTGTTCTTCTCTTCTTAACAGTATTCTGCCTCCTTTGCCGGGAGCGTTTTGACTATGTAAGTTTAAACAATTTTATTTATAGCGAGCAAAAACAAATATTCCTTGTAATAAATATTAGGAAAAATTATGCCAAAAGTTGAATCATTACAATTTGTTATCTGATTAGTTCCTTAAAGTCATTCGATGTAGAACAAAGTATCGCCAGATATGTTGAATCGTCTGATTTCTATTAAGATCTTTTTACAGATTTACCTTCGACTCTGAACTAATAAAAATAAATTTATAGATAAAATAATTTTTTTAAACGATAGAATTTTAATAAAATGGTATCGATTTTTTTTTAAACTGTAAATATTTTGGAACGTAGTTTCAAGCCGTAACTGATGAGTCATGTTCTAAAACATATCAACTACGTGTGAGAAAGCACATCTCATAGGTGAAGCATCTTAGAAAAACTAGTCTGTAAAGAATATTCTATTGCCCATCATATCATTTAATTATTGGCAATAACTTTATTTATATTTATTAAAATTATCATGATTTTTATTTATTAGTTTAATATTAGTAGATTGATTTTTTTATTATTAATAAATGCTAGTTAGAATAAAGTGATTAATGCATTTATCTATACTATTAAACCCTTTCTTTTTTAAACAGTTAGCATCATCGCCAACAACCCGGCTAAGGCTACATCTAAAAGTGTTATTATTGTTGTCATGTATATTTCTTCTATCTCTCTCTATGATTTATGCTGCCTATTATCTAGGCTCAGCAACGGACTGGAATACTTTAGCATTTTTAGCGGCAGAAGCTTTATTATTATTTTGCAAGTGTACGTTAGGTTTAGTAAAATATGGTATTCACCTGTATGACACATTTGGAGCCAGTGTTTGGGAAAGACGTCATTCAGCTAATTATTACGCCGACTTTATCTTAGAAATGGCATACTCACTCATAGATTTCCTTCACCACTTTCATATGCTTGTAAGTACAATTTATAGAATTCCCGAAATAGCTTTTTTCTAATTCTTATTAATGATTATTCCAATTTAAATAATTTATAGTTCTGGGGAAACGTCTTTTTATCTATGGCCTCTCTCGTAATATTTATGCAAATCCGATATCTATTTAGTGAGATTCTTAGAAGATGGAATCGGCATAGCAATTACATGAGAGTTGTCAGAAGTATAGACTCTAAATTCCCAATCGTTACTGATATTGATGAATCAGATTGTCAATGCGCTATATGTTGGGACAAAATGGAATCTGCTCGTAAACTACCTTGTAAGCATCTTTTCCATAGAACATGTTTGGGATTATGGCTAGAGCAGGATACCTCTTGTCCAACATGTAGACTGTCAATCATTGACGAATCGGCAAGAAACAATACTAATGCAGCTCCAGAAGTTGCTGGTAGTAGACTTTTCTCTTTCGACTTTATGAATTCTGGAGCCAACCACGCATTTCGATTTGATGGGTCAAGATATATTAGCTGGCTTCCAAGTTTGTCGGTAGAAGTTACTCACACTCATATGAGAGGACCAGTTTTGCGAAGAGGAAATGTGAATAGACCTAGATACAGCTCGCATTTACAAAATATGGCAAGACAAGTCATGACTATATTTCCAGATTCTGATATTAATGCAGTTCTGGAAGATTTGAGCGAAACTCATTCGATGGAGACAACTGTCGGTAATATTGTGGAAGGTCGATTAAGAATGGTAAATTTATATTTTTCCTAATTTATAAAGTTAATGTATGCTTTTAAAAATGTAGAACTCATCAAGCCCCGAAGAAGAACATCTTGAACAGACAATGCTTACTGAAGAATCTGAAGACAAACCATCCGATACTGTATGTTGTAAAGATGTATTTTAATAAATTTACAAATATCTAATTGCAATGAAATTTACAGGTAAACGATACTGTCGAAGTCAGCGAACCAGTTGACCAACAGGTACCCAGTACAAGTCTATATAGCGAACCAAAGTAAGTAAAATTTCTCTCGTCCTACTTGGTTACTCTAATAAATACTTTTACTTCTTAAAGTTATAGAGTGGAGACACCAACTTGCGGTCATCGATTTTCCAAATCTGCTAGTGAAAGACAAGAAATTTTAAGACGTAATAAAATGGTTATGCTAGAAAAGGCTAGAAGAAACTACATGCAGAAACTGGGACAAAGAGTTTCAACCAGTACGGAGGGATTAATTAAACGCAAATGAAGAGACGATTAAACTACACATCTGTACAGTATCTGAAATATCTCTTATGTTATAAAACATATGGTAAAAAAGTGTATTATTTTTAATATTATTTCAAAATACTTTGAAAATGAATATAAGTTAAATATTAATATATATAAATGTTGACAATAAACACAAAAGTTTTTTAATTTCCATCACTGACTCATTTTAAAAGCAATCTTTATTGAAGGGTACAAGGTAACACTCTCACCCTCATCGAAAAACAATAGTTGAAGTTTATCGATCAGTCATTTATAAAAAATTATTTTAGTGAATAATCAATTCATAGAAGCTATTAAGCGTTCCCTTATTAAGTATTAACGGAGAGAAATATTACTCTTGGTTAGTTACTTTCATATTTGATGGTAAACAATATAAAATATTCTCGCTTGCTTGAGTTATTAATACGATGGTCACGGATTTATAATAAAATCAATAGATGCTTATAAGTTCTCCTAATGATTCATTTCTTACCTTCAACCGTTGAAGTTGATTTTGCGTATTCTTAGAAAAAAGAATTTGAAGAAAGAAAGCAAATTATAGCTTTTGCCACAAGACTTTTAGCATCGTGGGAGGATAGCTATTGTGGAATGACCCATTCATCTCTTATACGATATATCAGACTATTATTCTTTTTCATATAAATTTTTTAGTTCCGGAAATGATTTAGTAACGTCTACCGTATATTTATATTCCTTGTAAAGAAATATGGTTACCAGATATAGTTTTTACAAAAGCAGCTGAGCATTTTAGCCAACGACATAAATAGCTTTAGAAACTTGCATTTAGATAAGAATTGAAGACGAGTTTTACAAGTATTGAGGTAAACAAATTAATCCTCACTTATTTAGAAAGCGAAAAGTCAAATACCATTAGTAAATTTTTTTGAAATATATTGGTAGGCTTCAATCTTATCATTGATAACTTTGAGAGCCTATCTATCTTTTAAGAAAGCTTCGAAATATCTGAAAAGTTTCATTCTGTGAAGTCTTCAGTTTGAACAGAACATCAGATAGGATAAGAAGATAATTAAAAAGAGGAAGAAACCTTACATATATTATTTTTTTTTCTTACGCTAACAACCTTAGTTTATATTGTACAAACATTGAGAAGTACTTACCAAATTGTAACTTAAAAATGGGGAAAACAAAAGCAAAATAGTGATAAAGCGAGGTGATAAAGAGATGAAATTATTATCATTGCATTAGTATTGAAGGTGTAAAAAGAAAGTAAAAAGCTGTTAGGAATTTAAGGAAAACCGAAATATAAATAAATTTGAGATAAACTCTGATATAGACGATCAGAAGTGTTATATAATGAAATTTACAGATATATATACTAATATACATATATCTATTAACCTTTGTAATAGATTCTATTCGTACATTCAATCTTTTCATTTTTACTTTGCTATTTTATCCTTGTTAATAAAAAAAATAATCTTAATATGGCCTAATTATTTACCATATCTGGTAGCACGTGTACCTCCAATATATTTGAAATATCAGTATAGATACATATATTTATAAAGGCCTATATTCCCTAAGAGTAACTATTATTTTAATCTTACATCCTATATCCTATTTTCAGTCGGAATTTTCTCTTGAAAAAGTATTTTATTAAAAAAAAATATCGAAATGGTGATTTAGTGTTTAACTAGTTAAAAATTATTTTCAATTTGTAATGCTTTTTTAAGTAATATATTTGATTAATTATAATATTTTTAATATTCTGTCATAAAAAAGTGAAAGTATGAAAGTATGAAAGTTTCGATTTTTTTCTCACTCTCTTTCCAAAATATCGTCCAAACTTTTTATAACTTTATCAATTGGAAGAAAGTGTAGACCATTTTAGTAGTACCTGTCATAGGCTTATGAAAACATGGCGGGAGAGGCAGTGGAAGTATCCCTTAACCTAAAAGAGGCTCTTATTGAGAGTTTAAATGCAGTTTTATCCCCTGATGAATCAATTAGAAAAGCAGCCGAACAGCGTATTGAAGCTATTGAAGTTACTGATGGTAAATATAAGCTTTTTTGTCCAACTTCTTATATTTTCGCTCATTGATATATTTTCAATTATACGTAGAATTTGGCATCTACTTAACCGAATTTGCCATGGACCAAAGCTTTCCGCTTCAAATTCGCCAACTTGCCTCTGTGCTTTTAAAACGGTATGTTGAGGCTCATTGGTCAGCCAATAATGAAAAATTTAAGAAACCAGAAACACCGGCCCAAGTAAGAGTCTTAACCATCCATTGTACTTCTTTATCATTAATATACATTAAACTGTAAACTAAAAAGATTTTATATAAGTTTTCTTCTAATTGAATAATATATCTTCAAACTACAGACTAAGAAAATGATCCGAGATAATCTTCCACGTGGTCTGAGTGAGCCTGTAAGTAAAGTTCGTAGTAGTATTGCTTATGCTATTAGTAGCATCGCGAGGACGGATTGGCCTGAGGATTGGCCCGAATTATTCGATATACTTATGCAAGCCGTGAGGAGTAACGATATCAATGCAGTTCATGGTGCTATGAAAGTCATGGCAGAGTTTTGTGCTGAAATTACAGACATTCAAATGCCAACAGTCGCACCTAAACTCTTCCCAGAACTCTACAGAATATTTACTAGCGTTGAACTATACAGTGTTGGAACACGTTCAAGAGCTGTGGCCATTTTTCGTACCTGCAGTGATTTAATTGGAGCTATGGCTCAAGTAGATAAAGATGCAGCAAAAAATCTTCTTTATCCCTTCTTACCTAAATTCCTTGAAGCTTTCATTCATTCTCTTGAGTTACCAACTGATGGAGTTATTAGCGATTACGGTTTGAAAACTCAAGTGGTAGAAACTTTTATTTCTTTTGTAAATCAATTCACTCGAAAAATCCTTCCCAGTTTAAACGAAATTCTGGTAAGATTATGGAAAACCCTGACAGAAACCAGCACTTATTATGTTCAGAATATAGTAAATGATGGATGCGAAGAGCAAACGACAGACTCTGATGGCCAAGATGTTGGTGTCGGAAGCCTGTTAAAGTCGATATTCGAGTTTATCGAATTGGTTATTGATCACTCAAAACTAAAGAATAACATAAGAAATACCCTAACTGATTTGATGTATTATTTAGAAACTTATATGATGATAACTGTCGATGAAGTTGACAAATGGAACAAAAGCCCAGATCAATTTCTTGAGGATGAGGATGACGATACCTTTTCATTTTCAGTTAGAATTTCAGCTAAGGCTTTATTGTTAAAACTTTGCGAAGAATTTCCTAACGAGTGTACAAATTCAGTAAACGAATCTGTTTTAAAACATATTGGAGAATCTACAGCCCTGAGAGAGAATGGAGATGAAATATGGTGGAAGAAACACGAGGCTGTCATGCTTACTGTTGGATTAGTTCATGAATGTGTTAAAGTTGAGCATTTGTATCTAGAACGTTTTATGAATGAGGTTGTCTTAAATGACTTAGGCTTGAATGTATCACCTTATCTACTTGGAAGATGCCTGTGGGTTTCCTCCCGCTACTCAAAATTCATACCAGACCATTTACTGTCTAAACTCCTTGAAGCAACTGTAACAGCTCTTGCTCAGGAGCAAGTTAGTATTGTTCGTGTAATGGCAGCAAGAGCAGTGTACTACTTTGCCCTCGATGAGAGATGGAAAGAAAAACGTTTAGAAGTAATGAAACCATATTTACTACCTTTAATTGAAGGTCTGCGAAGTGTAGCCTTAACGATTTCTTCAAACGAAACACTTGCACTTGTGTTAGATGTCTTTGGGGTTGTTTTGGACTTAGATAAAGACCTTACCGCTACCACAGAGGAAAAGGTTACGCCTTTTGTTTTGGCTGTTCTTTTGAAATATGCTAAAGATTTCATGATTGTCTCACTTTGCCAAGATACTTTAAGAGTTCTTTTAGCAAATGAAAAATGTTCCGCAAAAGTTGAAGCTCGCCTGTTGCCTACTCTTACATCTATCATGGAAGCGAATGCATCTGATGATGGAAATTCCTCAATTTCAACTGGGCTTCAGGCTGTTGCAATAGATATTTTAAATGATCTTGTTAGGAATATTACTAAGCCCTTAAGTGAAATGGCTATGAACCGAGCCTTTCCAGGATGTATTAAATGTGCAATGTCAACTGATGACAATGCTACTCTGCAGAACGTTGGCGAGTGTTTAAGGGCCTACTTATCCGAGGCGTATGATCAAGTCATTTGTTGGCAAGATGGAGAAGGAAGAAATGGAATATATTACATTGTTCAAGTAATTACAAAGTTATTGGATCCCAAAAACGGTGAATCGAGTGCAAGTTTCGTTGGAAAACTTTTATCATTATTAATAACAAAGAGTGGAGGAGAACTCGGTGAACACTTGGATATGATGCTCAGAGCTGTTCTGTTAAAATTACAACAAGCAGAAACGCTTACAGTAGTACAGAGTTTAGTTTTAGTATTTGCTGTGCTAATGCATAAGCATTTAAATGCTATTTTGGAGTTTCTGTCTTCTGTACCTGGGCCAATGGGTGAATCAGCTTTAGAGTTTGTTTTAAACGAATGGTGCGCAAAACAACATTATTTTGTAGGTGCTTACGAAAGAAAAGTAAGCATTCTTGCCTTGTGCAGCCTACTAGAGCATGCAATCACAACCGATGATAAACGACTGCAACGACTTAGTGTTAAAGGAGATAGAATTGATTCAGGCGAAGGAATAAGAACTAGATCAAGAAGTTCTAACGGTACTAAAAACACAAATACTTAAGAATTTATTTTGATATTTCTCTTTTCAAATAGAGCAATGGACACAGATTCCAGTTCTAGTCAAAATTTATAAATTACTAATAAACGAGCTATCCAATATTTTAGAAACCAAAGACGCAAATAATGATGATGTATGTTTCACTTTTCCATAGATAATCTTTTTTTAATAAATTTAATTCTTTTGATACATCAGGACTGGGATGATGAAGATGAGGAGGATTTAGATTCATCAAAGGCTTCCAAAGATTTTGAGGATGATATTCTGGCTTACGCTGAGAGTAAGTAGCAGTCTAATGTTGAACAGTTTTTCTATTTATTTCTTTTAATATCGTTGTAATAGAATATAATAGAGATCTTGCTGATGCTGATGAGGATGATCCTGATGCTAAAAATGATCCCTTATATTCGGTGGATCTCCAGGAATATTTGACAAGGTTATCCCATATTTAATTTTGACTTATTAGGCTTATATCTAACTTCTCGTTTTTGTTACATAGATATTTACAAACTTTATCAGCTAACTCGTGTTATCCTGTATTTGCTGAACATCACACTCAACTTGAAGTCAACGTATTAAAAGAAATTGGTATTCAGGTGTAGATTTAAAAAAAAATTCTTTTAGAATTGGACAGGTTTCGTGCAGTTAGCCATTCTTTTCTTGTACTGAACACTGAGACCGGTTTTCCAAAAGTTTAACACTTCCATGTCGTGTGTTGTTGCTTTAACAACGGTTAATAGTCTGGAAAAATTTTAACCAAAATAAGTATCATACATGAACAGTTTCTTATTTAAATACACTTACTTTTTATGGACTTCATCTGTTCCTACTCCTCCCGAAATTTTATATTTAAACAATACTTTGACCTTTGAAAGCCATTCTTCTCTAAGCATAATTACAGATTGCTCTATGGCCAACTCGTTTAAACTTGTGTTCAATAAAATCCTTTCTATTTGGGTTAAAATTCGCGGTGCTGTGTCGAAGAAAATAAAAGATTACAATTTTTTTATAATAGGCCTAAACTACACAAAAGAAAAGTTCAAGTAAAATTGTGACGTAAACTAGAACAAATTAAGTTTCGTGATTTTAGGCTTAAGTTCGCTAACAAAAAAAAGAAAGTAAAATATTTACGTGTATCTGATAGATTTATAGAAGATTTTATATTAACTTCTTTGTCCTTTAATTGTATACTTTTCGGAATATGCATGTTTTTTGTAGACTCCTGACAATGATAAATTAATTAGTATTTTAAATTAGATTATAAAGAAATAACAGTATACTTACGGATATGTTTAACAAAAGGAAAGGAGTTTTCGAAGTTTGACGTAATTGAGCAGATATGGGCATACCAAGTAGATTACATTTGGATCTCTCCTCGTATTTATTACTAAAATATATGATTCTACAACAACCTTGTGGTAGTAATATTTTTAAGCAGTCTATTGCAGATTTAACTAATCTACGATCCTGAGCTCTTATAACAACTTGTTTCCCAATTAGTATGTGATGGGCAAGTGAATGAAAATTTGGCAGTCCAATAAATTTTAAAAAATGTCTTAAACTTTTAAAAACTTCTACTGGTCCATTATCTTCCTCCTCCTCTGAAGAGTTCTGAGCTGAACCTTCTTCAATTTGTTCGCCAGTTAACTTTTTTTCACTGAAAAGTTTTATGAATCCTTCCTCCGTAACTGACAGAAGAATTGGTAATAATTTATATATATATAAAAACAAAATAAAATTATACAACATACCTTCTTGCTTTTCCAAATCTAAAATAGAGTCTTCCGTTGGTGGACCCTCTAATATGGTTTCCGTTAAGCGATTGCCACCCGTCTGCAATATCCACAAGAACGCTTGATGAGTTTTCCTAAAGATATTCGGATCATTCGTGATCTCAACAAAAGCTCTAACTCTTTTTTTGGACGTATCACCAGATTTTTGAATTTCTTGGAATGACTGTCGATATAAAAATCAATATATTTTGATTTTTTTGTTAAAACATTTAACTATACTTTTTCGCCTTTCATTATAACTTCTTCAATGAAATGTTTGATATTTTTTACTAAAAATGACCATGAATTCAACAAGTAAATTTTATCCATCATCAATACAATTATGCTATATTGCCTAAAAAATATAATAGACATATGCGATATAACGATTTTCATATATAAATAATTACCTTTTGCTGCCTCTTGCCCCACTGTCTTTTAAGTGAAACGTATAGCTTAGTGTATGTCCGCTTTGACTATCTCCATAAAAATTTATTGATGTTGGTCCTAAAGAATCATCGCCAGTTAAACTCCGCATACACGACTGCTTTAGCATTTCGTACACTTGAGTTTTAGGTGGATGTTGACTGCTTATATACGATACATTTGCTTCGTTATCTTTGCTGACGTATCCTGGTAACAATGGATCTAGAGATGAACACCCCTTTGAAAGATAAACGTTTTATTATTAATCTGGAATAACCAAATCTCCAATCGAGTTTAGTGGTCATTTCAGAATGAGTCATTAAATAATTTTAGTAATTTCTACATTTTCATTTGAAAGTTAATTGAAAAATGATCTAGAAAAAGATATAATTGTAATACTTCGCAAGTTTGTACTGTCTTTGATGGAGTATTGTTTTCACATTTTATTTCATTGGTTGAAGATTCTACAAAACATCGATTCTCGTGCTTATTTCCTCTTTTCTCGAAGAAATGGTTAAGGAAATCACTCCTATATTGCGCCTCATCACCTTCCGTAACATATAGCTCCTGAGCATGAAAGGCTTGGGTCGTAAAAATTACTTGGGGGCCGTGATTATCACAAAAATGGCACAATGATATCACCGCGTTCATCGTCTGTTCTGATCATGTGATTGTTTATCACCAGCACGTGACTCACCGGAAGTTGTAGGGCAACTTCAAAAGTACGAATCACCTTTAAATTCTATTGGTCACCAAATTAATAAGACGTAGATTTTGCACCAACTTTCAACTTTTGACTGTTTAATGGTCAACCTGCATAACGATCTAAATGGTATACAAGGCCTGTAGTATAATAAACATTTAAGACAAAAAAATACAAAACTACTGTACAATAAACAACTAGACATAATTTCGAATATAAAATACTTATTTACGAATGAATAAGTCATAATTTTAATTAAAAAGAATTCTTTAAATTTACTATTTCTTAAGAAAGTTTAACCATCTCAACTGTAAAATACAACCGTTGGTAGGTCTATAGCAGAACTTCTTATTTAACTCTACCAGTTTTCTTGGAAAATGAAAATATATAGTGTAACAGGAAGATACAAAAGAAATTTGATAATAATTAGACCACTAAAAATACTTTTATAATTTTTATAATTAAATTATAGGATAAAGAATTGTTTACTTTCTTGAAAAGTTTGTATATCACATAGTAACACGATACTTTATTAGACAACACAACTTCTTTTCCACGTTTCATTTATAAAGTTAATTTGAAAATTGTTATTGGTTGTAAAGTATTATAAGTAATAAGCTAATATGGTTCCTGGTGCCCTTAGAAATAACTTAAGACAAAATATATATAAGAAGGATGCGAAACTATGATACTTTAGATTTCGTATTACAAGTTTAAAAGTGTAGAACATATTATGTGTTGTTTAAAGAAATTCTTTATTTTACTCTTATCGGTAAATGGAACATTATGTCTTTTTGACGAAATGCCGAGGCATTTAGCTTACTATGATGATAAAACACCCGTTACTTTCAATTTTAGTGTTACTCTCTACCGTAAATTTAATCATTTCCATCTAACTTTCTTCTATATGCTCAATGATAGATATCACGAAATCGTGTTGAATTCATCTCTTGTAACATTGATTAAGAGAAGACCTTTTTATCATGTATCTATGAAATTTCCTCCTCAACATTTCGAATTTCGAAGTCTCACAAATACTCGAATAATTGTCGCGGTTCTAAGTAAGTTTTTTTTTTGTATACCAACTGAATAACGTAGAAATATCAATCAATTCTATCTTATAGGATTTATTCAATGCCCTAAATATTTTTCTTCTCTGAGCGATGAACTTGATAATAGGATAATTGTTTATTATGAAAGTTTCGCTCCTCGTGTTGTCTGTTCTTTGAGATCTTTCAATCGACATGAAGATTCATCTAAATATGTAAAAAGGATTTTAAAAGGAAAAATATTTATACAATTTCTAAAGAAGGATATCGCAAGCGGCGTTAAGTCTATTATGTGTAAAGTGAACTATACTGATGAAGGATGGAGTAGCCCTGAAGAAACTTCAGCTATTAGAAACTTAGTGGGAAGACATTATCATTTGAGCCAAAAAAAACCAATATTATTGAATGAAATGATATGTTCAGCACCAGTTGTGAGTAAGTCTATGCTATTAAATATAATAATCTTTTTTGGTCTATTTTAATCAATCATTTAAAAATAGTTGCAAATACGACTGCAGAGATTTTTAGACGTGGGAATAAGCTATTATGTACTTCTGATCATAATGGTGAAAACGCAAAAGTAGCATTTCTTAAAATCTACGATAGCGATATAATTGTTGTGGAAAGAGATGAATACGAGTTGAAATCATGCAATAGAGAAACACATTTTTTGATAAGATGCAGAATTAAGATAGAATTTTTCGATGGAACAATAAAATACGCCCGTAGCGGATTCTATAGTGGTTTTACTTGTTTACGTTAGTTCTAAGTGTTGATTAAATTGATATATTTTAAATATATTTCTCTTTAGTTGGCGAAGATGAAGATCTTATTAGACTTGATAAAAAGATAGAAAGTAAGCATACAATAATATATAAAATATGAAGGAAAAATATGAACAATTTCCCACCTTTTCTTCTCTTAACATTTTATTTAGAAAGAAGGATTTTATTGACCTAAATACTTTGATTGTAAATTTATTAATGTGTTTCCTTTTTTTTCACAGAACTGTACTTAACATTTATCATTGAAACAGCAGTTGTTGTAATATTTATCATTTTCGGACTAATACTTTCTATCAAGTATCTATATACAACTAGATGCTCGACCAAGTAAAATTATTACATTCTTATATATTGGACAAACAACTTTACTATATAAGTTTTGTTTTATATAGAGAAAACGAATAACATGCAAGGGGACAGAGGCATAATAAAAAAATATTATTTAAAAAGGAAAGAGAAGAGAGATTTGTCAATATTAAGATAAACACTCATTTGTTAAAGTAGATATTTGTTTATTTTGAAAGTGAAGAGGATGAGATAAAATGGAAAGAGTGAAAAACTATTTATCCTGTGAATATCTTATATATTATTTTCTGTTTTATATCCATTTAAAAAGATTGTAAATCTATATCCATAAACTTTTTTAAATATATTCTTAATAAGGATATAATACACTGTAAAAGAAATATGTTATTTATCAACGAAAGTGATGAAAGTAAAATTCGATAACTAGATACTTTAGTTTAAAAATTTGAAAGGGTTTTAAAGTTGTCGTTTTATCTATTGACACAATTGAATCATTGTTTTCATAGTAGCATAAACACTAGATTTATCAGAGACAATGCACAGAAAAGAGCTATTTACGAAATGTGGTTTCTTTTAAACTTTTTCAGATGCAAAATATTGTTTTAAACCTTTTTTCAATAGGATGTTGAATATTCTCTTTTTGTATAATTACCTTATTATATAAGATAGAGAGATTGGTTTATTATGTTGATTTGAATTGTATTCTCTTAATTAATATTATATTAAGTATGCTTTAGATATTTTTTCTACATTGAAGTTGAAAGTTCTGATACTATTATTGTTTTGGAAGCTTTGCAAAGGCATCGATTTGACATTTTCATTTGATTATCTATAGAAAGTTATCCCATCAGATTCGTAGGAGTGTCGTCTGCTACAAATCATCAATAATACGTTATTTTTTTTTAAAGCTTCTCCACTTGCTAACAACTTTATTTTTAATAATCTTTTCAAATTATATTTTTTGACATTTCTCTGACTAAGCTAATCCACAAAATGCATAATTAAACAAAGAACTTCCTCATCATTAGGCTGCCTATGAATACCAGTTTATTTTGCCGTTTAATGGAATATTTTAGAAAGTATTTTATAAACATTAACCAAAATATTTAAAACCTTTTCATTATTAACTTTAGACTTTAAATAAACTTATTGGGCATTTTTACAAAATTTACAATTTATTTATTTTCCAATATTACGAGCGCCATCTGTCACCCATCGTTGTCAAGAAGATAGAGACAACTTGAAAAGTATGCATCTTTATTTTTTTTATGAATATTTAATTTTTACCTGCTGTATAGGTTTATGATTAAAACTGCTCTTGATACAGTAACTTAACATCTCTTTTTTTTAAAGGAAAGGTACAAAATAATTGTAAGTGGTGAACGATAAAACGCGAAGAATCAATGGAAACATCTAAAACTCCAAGGTCGAGTAATTTCACAAAAACTGGCTTTGGGGATGAATATACACACCAGATTTATAAATACTTTAAAGAAAAACCTGAAAATTTTGAAAAATTCATAACAGAAATGACAGATTTAAAGACGAAGAAAAAGCCATTACTCGAATCTTTGAAAAGACTTTGCTTTCTGCTTCAAAAATCACCTTCTCTGCTCACGAAACTTAACGATTATCTGCCAAAAGGATATCGAATTTATAAAGAAGAGTTTTTAATAAAAATTACAGTGGACGATACTCCTGTTTATTGTCTTATAGACGAACAAAAACAGGAAAATGTATACGATAATCTAAGTGAGAATCGAATTAGCAATTTATTGAATAAAGTGCAGCGTAGATTTGCTGGACAAATAGACTCCCTTCAAGAGATTAAGGAATGTATTGAACGGTACGCATCCAGTAACGAATATACACCGGAAGAACTCTTTAGCGACATGAAACGTCATCTGGGTGCGGAAATAGATTTGCTGCTAGAATTTGCTGAAATTTTGCCAAATTCGCGAAATCATATGGAAAATCTCAAAAGGGATAGAGATATTGATATTCAACGCTTGCTTGGTAAGCGAAAAAGGGAACTAAATGAATCAACGAATGAATATCCGTCGAAACGTGTAAAATTATCTCGCAAGGAAAACGGAAGGACAAGACTTCTAAACGTCGTTCACAGAATAAAAAACAGCCTGAAGAATGATAAAATGTCAACAGAATTCCATAAATGCATGTACCTTTTTATTAATGGAGAAATATCAAGAGAAGAAGTAATTGAACTAATTAGAACTATGCTATGTAATGGTCACAAAGAACTCTATGAGGAATTTCTAGCTGCAATGGAAGTTCGTACAGATGGTACCGTTAGGCTCGGCAATAATTCCCTCCCACTACCTAAAGCAAACGGTGACCACTCGACTTATTTTATCATTAGTTATTGTTAACCTTTGTCTTTTATTTAGGTCTGTCAAGGAATAGAGTTTCATCCTCAAATCAATGTGGAGCAAGTTATAAGTTCGTTTTCAGTATATTTATCTTTTTTATTCAGTTTAAATTATTTAATCACATAATATAGGACTCTACCATCTAATACTCCACTGCCTAAATGCTCAGGACGAACAAAGCTGGACCGGAAAGTCTTGAATGATTATTATATATCTGTATCATCATTAAGCGAAGACTCCTATTCCGAAAATTATAAAAAATCTACATTAGAAGAAACTATGTTTCAATGCGAAGACGAAAGGTATTTCTTTTTTTTGTAAATTTAATCTTTTAAGTAGATTTATAGAAGGAATTTTAATCTTTTGCGTTTTTCCATACCAGATTTGAATTGGATATTCTTCGAGAACAAAATAAAAGTGCCATGGAATTATTTCAAAAGCTTGAAGTAGAATTTAAACAAATGTCTCGCGAGGAAAAAGCTAAAGTACGATTGGACGAAAATTTTGGCGGTTCTTCTATTCTAATTAGAAAAGCTTATGAAAAGATATATGGAAAAGATGAGTCTAACAAGATCCTAAACGGATTTAAAAAAAATCCTTTATCATCTATATCATCCATATTAAATAAATTAAAACATAGGAATGAAGACTTGAAAGAATTGAAGAAAAACTTGGAAAAACAACTATCTGAACGAATTGAAAGAGCTAGAATTAAAACAATGGAGCAAACTACTACAATTTTTAAGCAAAGTGAAAGCAAGAGATTAAGGGCAAGAGTGTTTATCAATGAAATTTTTAGAAAACGAGACATTGCTATTGCTGAAGGAAGCAATAATTCACATATTTTGCTCTCATTTAATTCATTACAATCGATATCTGACGCTGTCTATCTTATATGGCATGAAGTTAAACGTCAATATCAAATTACTACGACTGATAAGTCGTTTTGTAGGGAAGTTCTTATGAAGTTTCTTGCTCGTTTTATGCACGAAAAAGAAGGGTTTCAAGAGTTTAGTATACCAGAAAAGAACCTAGAAGAAGAGAATGAATATGACAGTGACAGTAGCGACAATGAAGAAACTTTATTTGCAGATCCACCTTTACGCTTTCCTTCATTAAATAGAGAAGAATCGTGTGAAAGATATTTCTCCTTATTCGTTGGAACTGAAATATGGTATATATTAACGAGATTACTACATGCGTTAAGTGATAGATTATTCGAAATCAAAAAACTTTCCGACGAAGCAGAAAAGGAGAGGAGAGAAGAACAGAACAAAAGCGAAAGTTCTAAATCAACGTCAAAACAAAAATCAAGAAATACAATTCCATCTGATGCTTTTTATATTCATTTCTTGGAGTTACAATACTCTTTATTAAGCGGTAATGTTGATGATACAACGTTCGAAAATCATATTCGTAGCATGTTTAATACTTCATCTCATATAGCCTTAACAGTGGCCGATATGGTTAGAACATCAGTAAAATATTTGTTACAAGTAATTCGTGACGAAAGTTCGGTGATGACGTTAAAATTTTGGAACAATCAGGAAGGTATTAACATTGTAAATGGTAGATATGCTGAACGAAATGAAAAGCTAAGTCTTCAATCAAGATATGCAAGAAACGCCTGTAATATGACTGAAAATGGCAATTGCTACAAGTTTTTCTTTAGTACACAAGGTAAAAGTTATTCGAGTATTAAAATTGACCTATTAGACGTACCTAAGCGAGTCAACTTTACAAGTTTGGAGTTGTATAATCCTAAATTTTTGGAAAATCGTAAAGAACGGGAAGATAAACCAAAGGAAGAAAGAATTTTCCTTATTAGAAATCTTAAAAAGTGCTATCTAAAAAGAAGGGAAGAAAATATCCTTTGTTGCCAGTCTATTACACCAAAATCCGCCAAAGTAAAAGAATTACGAAATAAAATGATTTTTTCCTCTGTGACAAGATGTGAAAAATTCTCAAAACTATTAGAAACCTTCCGAAGAAAGAACATTTCAGAAAATCAGTTAATGTCTTATAAAAATTGGATAGAATTTCAAATGAATATAGAAACTATTGATCCACAATGGACAGCTCCTTTTCATCGTTATAAAAAATACCACTTTACGAAATTCAACACTTAGGTTAACTTTATTTAAACAAACAGACTACATTTAAAAAAAAGGATACAGAGAGATTTTTTTATATTTGTTTATTTTTGATTTTTTTTCAAAAGATTAATATATGTTTTTTCCCGAAAAACTTTACTACAAAAATATATTATTTGTTGTTTTTGTACTACCACCTGAAGATGGCGCAATCGATTCACTTATAAAACAAAGTCACATGATCATTTTTAAGCGCCATCTTGAACTGTTGGCAATCTGTTACAGAAACGTTAAGCAATTGATTTACTTTCCTATGATTTTTAGTAGGTCTCTGTCTATTTGACATAGCCGTTTGGAACGTAAATACTGTCCATCTAATACTTCAACTAGGCTCGGTAACTGTCCTGTTATCTTATCTTACGTTAGATCTGTTTAAAAATCCTTCAGGGAAGATAGACGTTTGGAAGAGGATGCAGGGCAACTCTTAAGTAATGGAATGCCAAAACGGAGATGTAGAGGATCATCTACAAAAGGAGGTTTCGAAATCGACAGAAGAGGAAAATCTGCCAACACAAGATAACTCTTTAAATGCCGATGCCTCTGATATTAATTCTTGCTGTGATAATGACGTAATAGATCAAGAAGAGAAAATCTATAAAATTTCCAGTGATCTTGAAAATAAAGATTCTAACCTAACTGATAACATTCCAGAAAATGATTCTCTGATCAATTCAAAAGATCAAGATCAGTCTTCAATTGATTCTTCAGATTTACCGGAAGATAAAACCAACGGTATAAATGAAGAAGTCAAAACTTTTTCAACTTTAGAAAATATTGTTGATGATAACTCTAAAAATCCGTCTATAGAAACTACCATAAAAGATAACGAAATTAATCCTGTAACAAGTGATTCGTCAATGGAAAAGAGTGATCTTCCTGAACAAAATTGCGCCAAAGAAGAATCAATAGACACACAACTTGATAGTACAGGATTTGATAAATCTATAAAAAAAAATGGTGAAATTACAAGTGAACACACGAAAACTGATCTAACTGATAATGTAAGTGATTCCTCAGAGGATATCTCAGAAGATAAATTGGTAAGTACTCAAGAGGAAAAACCAACCGCCATTTGTGTGAAGAACGAAAATCCTGAGGTTGATAACGAAAAGTTAAATTGTTCAAATCATCTGACAAAACCAATTGCCAAATCTGTCAATACAAATGGAAAAGGAACAAAAGATGATGAGTTATTAGAAGAACTTGATCGTACTCTTCCTACTGTTGATATATCTGTTTACGAAGCTCAAATTCGTTCATTAGAGTTAACGTTAGCTGAGGAACAAAACAAGAAAAAACAGCTAGCCGAAAAGCTGTCCTCTCATGATGCAGCCGCTAAAAGAGCAATTAGCAAACTGCAAAATGAAATTAAAGTCAGAGTTGACCAAGTTACAAAGATGTACGATGAGGCTAGACGTGAAAAGGATTCCATGGTAGTAAAATACGCTCAAGCAGAACAGAAACAAATGGAAACTCAACAAAAATTTCAAAATGCTGCCAGACACGCACAAGAGCTAAGTAAAGAAAAAGAAACCCTTCTTAATCGATTAAGAGGTTTAAAGAATGAAAAGCAAAAGATATTGGAGACTACCGAGGCCAAAAACAATGAAATACGTAAATTAGAGCAAAAAATTGAGGCTCATAAAGATGCTAATGCGTCTAGTGATGTTAAAGTTAAATGGGCTCAAAATAAATTAAAATTAGAGATGGAAGCTCATAAAGATACGAAAGAAAAGGTGGAAGAACTTCAAAAAAAACTCAAGGTTGCTAAAGAAGAAACAGAACAAATTCGAAGAGATTGTCAATCGATGATTAAGACTTATCAGGTATTTAATTAAACTTAACATAAGATGTAATTACGTTTAATGCACACTGTACACGAACGATAATCCTTATTAAACAATAGACAAGTAGGTAGTATATATATTCACAATCTAAAGAAATAGAATAAAGATATTCCTCTTTTCTCCTTTCTCTTTAGCTGATTAACTATCAATAAAAATACATCTACGTATAACATATGTATAAATTTACTCCTATAGCCAAACATCCCCAACTCCTATTGACGTATTTTATTTCAATCACTATCTCGCAATACTTGATAAATTTTTTTATTTAACCAATAATACAATTTACATATCTATAGGCCTAATTTTATAGATTTTTTTTTTTCTTAGATATTTTGTTTATATATAATTTGGTTTTTTGACGTTTTTAGGAAAGTGAAGAAATTAGATCGAATAAATTAGATGCTGAACTACAACAAAAAGTTCATGAATTACGTCATCAAACTGCCGAAAAGGCCGGAGCGACTGAATTACATGCTACTACTGTTAAAGAGTTGGAACAACTACAAGGTCAACATAGTAAATTGAAAGAGGAATTTTTAACTTGCTCTCAAAATTTAAAATCAGCCGACACAGAATTAACAGCTTTAAAAGCTAATGTTGAATCAATTAAAGCTGATAATAAAGTTCTTAGAGAAGAGGTGGAACGCCTTAGAGAAGCTGGTATCAGTCTCGAGAGGGAGCAACAAGAAAAAGAAACTCTATTAGAACGGGTAAATGAGCTAGAAAGCTTAGAAAAAGAACTGAAAACCGAATTAGATAATTGTAAAACAAGGGAAAATGGGCAATTATCTTTCGCTGCCGCAATGTCAGAAGATAATGCAAGGTTACAATCAGCAAATTCAGATTTGGGATCAAGAGTTTCCTCATTAGCTGCGGAATTATTAACGATTAAAGCAGAGTATGACAATTATAAAAAGTCTAATGAAACAACAGTAAGATCTACTTATTATTTATTATTAATTTGCCGACATAATTTAACTTTTGTTGTTTTGTTTTTAAAGAATAAAGATTTAAATGTTTCACTCAATGCTCTTCAAGTGGATAAGGACCAACTGTCAACATCTTTAGCTGAGAAAACGAAGAAAGGTAAGATATTTTCGTTTTATATTATTTACTAAGAGAGAGAGAGAGAGAGAGAGAGAGAGAGATTACGGTAAAAGGTTAACATATCAATTGGTAAATTCGTATTTATTTACTTTTAATCTAATCTTATCTATATTTGCAAAAAAAAAGAAATCTTATATTTAGTTCTTCTTTCTTAAACGAATACTATGTATCTGTTATTTTAATATTAAAAATTTGATGTAACAGTCAATTTTGTTTGTTAAGTTCAATACGATAGATATACTGTATCAATTGAAAGTTTGTTTTAGTTGTTTAGAGTTTATTAACAATCTTATTTCTCTCTTTTTTTTTTATTAGTTGAAGAACTTTTGCGCGAGTTGTCGGAAATCGAAGATGAAAAAAAATCTATGAAACGTAAACATCAAGCTAACGTTAAGGAGCTTACAAGACAATTACAGCAAGCTCGTAAACGATTAGAATCTGTTGATACGAGAAATAATACGGAAAGCGGTGTTGGTGGACTAGGTTCAAGAGCCAGTTCGAAATCAAATTCTAATCAATCTTTGGATACAGCCGGCGTTGAACCGTCTAATCCAACTCCTGTACCTCCAGTAGAGGAGGAAGTTATCCTACCGAATGGTCCAGTTGATCAACGTGCTCTATTCTCTAAAATAATTAAATTGCAAAAGAAAGTTGCTAGATACAGTGATAAAGTTGAATTTCTAGAAGATCATAATGCCCAATTAACGAATGATATTCGAAGGAAAAGTAGAATAATACAAAAATATATTTTAAGAGAAGAAAGCGGAACATTAACACCAGCTAGCGCCGATGTGTCAAAGGTAAGTTTGTCAAAAATAGATGTTTTTCTAAAGCGTATATGTATATATATATATATCTATTTTTTATTAAACAACATAAATTTATTGAATAATCTACCAGTTTCAAAAGAAACAAATACGTCATCATTAAAAAAAACTATAACGTAATCAATTGAAATATTATCCTATAATGTAAATTCTTCTCTAGTTATATAATTTAATAAGCAATTCAATTTACTAATATACTGTATATATACTGTAGATAATAATTAGTAATTGGTATTTTAACTATAATATACCCCCACCTATAGTAATAGCAGTGAAGTAATAAAAGAAATATGGATTATTAGATTATTATATAATTTTTTTTAATTTTAGATAATTTTTTTATTAAAACTTTGATTAGAATATTTATTATTTATATTATTAATAATAATAATTCTATCTATTCTTTCTTTCTCTCTCTCTCTCTCTCTCTTATTTTTTATTTTTCTTTTCTACAAATACTAGTCGATATTTAGACGTTGTGTAAGTTTATTTAGTGTAAAAAAAATAGAAAAAGAAAAGTTTATAGATTAATTTAAGTTTGTTTTGCGCCAGTCTTCGTCTCAAGAAGCTCGAAAGGTTTGCCTTAACATATTCTTTTCTCTATCCAACTATCTGTCTTTAAATCTTTAAAAAATCTCTTTTTAAATATATACAATCTTGAAAAGAGAAAAGAAATAAAAATCTTCTTTTGACCGAAATTATGTTTTTTTTTCTACTTTCTTTTTATTTTATTGTAATAATATAAGTTGTTTATTATCTAGAATATAAAAACTCCCTCTAAATTAATACAACTGTTGTTGTTTTTTTATGTTGTCGATTGACTATTTTATTTGGATTTTTAAGAATTCCCTTTTTTTTTTTGTTTTTTCCAAATCTCCCTTCCTTGTTTAAATATTTAGGCCAAATTGTTTGTTTATCCTATGTTGAACACACCCCGAAAGGAATTTATAAAGGAAAAAAATATATTGTTATTTTTTTTTTGACCTATTTTCAACAAACGTATACATTTATGGATTAATAATTTAGTAATTTTTATTTATAACTATTATACAGGCGGCTATTGCAAAACGAGGAGGTATAATGGCTTCCGTATATAGTTCAGTACCGCAAGACGGTAATATGACGTTAGAGCTTTCACTCGATATTAATAGGAAACTGCAAGCTGTTTTAGAAGACACTCTACTAAAAAATATTACGCTCAAAGTTTGTAGAAATTATATATTTATAAACAAATCACAAAATCTAACGCTCTTTTCTTTTACATTTTGCAGGATAATCTTGAGACGTTAGGTGAGGAAATATCGAAATTATCTCAAGAAAACCGAAACCTTCATCTTAATATGAAGAGAAGTTGAACAAAGCTTAAAAAAATATTAAAAAAAAAATAAATAAACAAACAAACAACTTTAAAAAGAGTGAATTCTTTCCCATATTCTACTAGTCAAAGAAAAATGAAAAAAAAATAAATCAGACTTTTATAACTATACTTATAAAAATACATATCAGGATAATTATCATCTGTTTTGTTGATTAAAGTCATTTGGAAAAGATTGTAATGATTAATTTATTATTTCTTTAATTTGTACTTTAAAAAATTCTCCTATTCTATTTCTAATGTATGCAATGGATAGAGGGAAAGTGAGTGAGTAAGTGGATCAGTAAGAGAGAGAAAGTTGTGAAAAATGTTACTTTTGCCATTTTATTCTTTTATTAATAATTCATAAAGAAAGCTATGTACAGTTTACATATATTAAATATCTAATCGGTTCAAGTCTAATAATGCTACCTTGTTAAGCGAAGGAGGAAAGCGTTTCTGCATTGAGGGCTGTCTATAGGCAGATACCTATCGTAAAAATCAAGAATTAGTTTATCCACTTTAAAGCCGAACTTTTGATAAAGTATCATTGCCGTATTTGTTGCTGAAACATGCAGAGTCACTTCTTGTCCGGAAACACTTTGAATTAAATGGTAAAGCATAAAAGTTCCTATTGATGACTTTTGCCATCCAGGCCTTGTTACAATAAAAGATATGTATGATTCATTTACGTTGACACTTGGAACGATAAAGGCGCATCCTATTACGACCTTCTTGTATAGTGCGACAACAGAGTATTCCGGATAATCTAACGCTTCACTAACATCTATTCCCGGCCAGAAAAATTCTCTTAAGAGATTGTTTACTTCCTTTAAGCAATCTTCGGAAAAATATTGATAATCTATCGAGGATTTAACTGATGGCTTCCAGTGAGGATCATTACGATGGCCATAAGCAATAATGTCTTCTAACAAGGCCAAACGTGGAGGACGGCTATGTTCATCTCTGAATATATATGGTTTAAGTAGATGACCCCTTGAGCTCCGAACACGCTTAGGCCTATCTTCCCCAATTAACTTCGATATAAATGATGTTTCTTCGTGTCCTTCTTTTCTTCCTGCCATAGTTTGATATCGATCAAGTACTCTTTTCTCAGGGGTAGGCTTATTGCTCTTCCTAGCCTCATTCTCTATCATAGAATCTATATCAAAAATTGGCAAACCACGTTCCCTTTTAAGCTGCCTAAGCCTAAGTTTAGCACGAAGACGACGTGCTACGGGTAAACTTTCAACGCTTCCATTATTCTCTTCCAAAGAATTTAATAATTGTTTTTCATCATAAGGTGTCATGGCAACGCAGCGTTCAGTTTTTTTCGAAATTACCTCTGAACTCTTAACTTCGTCTGGAACTGAAATTTTTGCAGATTTTTGTTCAATTCTTTCGCTCCCCAAAACAGCTCCAGTGACTGAAAGTGAATTGGAAGGCTCCATAACATCGCAAATCTCTTGTTCATCGTTATCACTATCGTCTTTAAATAATTTATCAGGAAGTTCTATAAAAAGCGATATTATTTTCTTAAAATAAGCAATTGTAAACTATCTATAAATACCCGAATTGAAGATATCTTTTTCGCTGAGATATGTGTCCGATCCAAACGATGAAATACTTTGATGGTCTGGTGTATCAATTTCTGTCTTGATATTCTGATTGGTAGCAGGTCTATTTTTACGGCGTTTTCCTAAAACCGATTCAATTTCCTTTTCTTTCCTTTCCATGGCAGCTTTCAAGCCTCCTTTATTTCTTCTTCGTCTAAATGAATCCATCAATTAGAGGTTGAAAAATAAAGTAATAGCAGTATTTCTACTACCTTACTGTTTCCTCTAAAATATTATTTGTATCGAATAACTGCGCTCGTCTACGTCCTTTGGTAGCTAAAAACATTTTCAAAATATAGATTTTATTCTATTAAAAGTGCAATATCTCACGGATTTTTTGAGGTGGATCCACTAGCTTGGTTAGCCTCCACCATCCTGAATTTCCAGAAGTAAAGTGAGTGGGGGCTTGACTAGACAGAATTCCTGATACAGTTCCTTGCCAATTTTTACTCTTACTTCTCCTGAAATCATTTAGATTTCACAATAAAATAGAAAATTGTAATATCTATATAATATTTGATATCTGACTTTTCTCCGTCGAAGAATAAACACCAATGCTGTTCAATGAAAGGGCAAATGTCATCCTTCCAGGAAAACCACTCACGATAAGGCCATTGTATTGTCATATTGTATAAGGCAATGAACGTCACTTGTAACCTATTTTGAAGAACGATTTTATTAGTTAATAATACGGGCAAAAAATTTAAATAATAAAACCATGGCAGAGGGACCCTCTTAAATATTTCTGTCCCATCAGCTGAGCACTTTGAGCAAGTGAAATCAAAAAACGTGTCTCCAAATAGCTGATTTGGTCTCTGAGTTTTCAGACAACCTGAAAATAAATGTTATTTCCAGGCACATGTGAGCGATAAAGGCGTACTTACAGGCGTGAATAAATCTATGGCATGATTTGCATTTAAATTCATCCTCCTTTTGTTGAGAGTTTGAATTTATAAGCATTTTAGTAGGTTTTTCGCAATGACAAGCTCCCGAAGATGAACTCATTGTTCTTGCGGTGGTAATTTATTTGCGCGCCGCAGGCAGAGACATCATTCGGATTCAGGAAATGAAGTGAATTCGACAGAAATCTGAGAATAACCTGGTTTTCAGAAAGAGAATTTCGCCTATCTTCCAGAACTAATAGACGATTTGTAGACGTTTGAATTTCTCCAATTTAAATAATGAGCTCAGATGAGGACTATCGCGACTCAAATAATCGACAAAAGTATAAATCATCAAAGGTAAGATTCTTTTTTAAACTCTTTTAAATTTGGAAACGCGTATTATTGCCATAATGTTAAAATTTACGATACCACTTCAAAACAATTGTTGTTGTATTAACTGTTAAATACTGATTATCTTACAATAAAAACACTACAGTATACAAATGTATTCAATATCTTCTTATGATTAAAAATAATATCCGATGTAAATTTTGTTAGTGAATAATATTGGCAGCTTGCTTCTAAATTACAGTACAAGAGGAGATATAAAGATGTTGAGGATGATGAGCCGATCGATGACAACTATGAACCCTATGTACCAATAAAAGATAGAAAGAAAGAACAGGTTAGCATATCTTTACGTACATTTACCAATAGCTTTTGCTAACTTCTTTTTGTTACTTTTACAACAGATGTTAAAATATTCTCAACTTGGAAAAAATCGTAAATTTCAACGGACAGATGATAAAAGAGAGAGTAATCAAGAATCTTCAGAAAATGAGGCTGATAAGTTAATTGGTCCAAATGCAACAATAAGTTTATTGGATCAACATTCAAGATTGGTTAAAGAAGCTGAAGGTATAAATTTTTTAAAAAATGTTCTGGGGTTTTGATTTTATGCATTGATTAATCTAATTCTTGCCGATTGTAGTTATTCGTGAAACGGCTAGAGAGAAACAACTTAAGGAGGAAGAGAAAATTTTAGAAAGTATTGCTGAAAAAAAAGGTAACTCATTTATTCCTTGCAAACATCTATTGCTTTAAAACAAATGTCACAAAACTTTATTCTAAGAATAAAAATTATTGTTTTACAGCTTTAATGGCAGCGGCTGAATTAGCTAAAGGTGTCCAGTACAGCAAATCCATTCAAACAGGGTAAGGAGACTTTGCAAAAGTATAAAGGCAAAAAAAAAAATCATTACTTTTTCAAATTTATTCAGATGGCAACCTCCTAGTTATATTCGGAAAAGAAGCATTCAGCATGATGAAATGTTGCGCAAAAAGTATCACATTTTAGTAGAAGGAGATAACTTACCTCCACCTATAACTAGTTTTAAAAGTATGAAATTTCCAAAGCCAATTATTGATGGATTAAAAGAGAAAGGCATTAGAAAACCTACGCCAATTCAAATTCAGGGTTTACCGGCAGTGTTAGTGTAGTATACTTTTCACATAGTCACAATTTTTAAAATTCTGTACTTTATTAGGCTAACTGGGAGAGATATTATTGGAATAGCCTTTACAGGTAGTGGAAAAACTCTTGTTTTCACACTACCGATAATTATGTTTGTTTTGGAGCAAGAAGAAGGATTACCTTTTCGTAAACATGAAGGCCCATATGGCCTTATTGTTTGTCCATCTGTATGTTTTATAGAACTTTTATCAAAAATTTACTAATATCTATTATATTTTTCTTCTTTAGAGAGAATTGGCTAGACAAACTTTTGACATTATAGAGTTTTTTAACGAACGTCTAAGAAATTGGGGAATGCCGAACATAAGAACCATGCTGTGCATAGGAGGGTTACCTCTGAAAGATCAAATGGAAACTGCGGCAAGGTAACAATACTGTAATGAAATAATGTTCTCTCTGTGAATTATATTTTCATCGATAGAGGTGTTCACATTATGGTTGCAACTCCTGGACGATTAATGGATATGTTAAATAAGAAGGTGATTAATTTTGACGTTTGCCGCTACCTAGTACTAGATGAAGCTGATCGTATGATTGATATGGGATTTGAAGAGGATGTAAGAACAATATTTTCATATTTCAAGGTAATGCTATTTATACATGGAAAAAGTATCCAAATTCTAATCACTAACAATATTCTAGGCTCAGCGACAAACTCTATTATTCTCTGCAACAATGCCGAAAAAAATTCAGAATTTTGCTAAATCAGCTCTGGTTCAACCAGTAACGGTCAACGTAGGAAGAGCTGGAGCTGCTAGTCAGGAAATTCAACAAGACGTAGAGTTTGTTAAACAAGAAGCCAAGATTGTGAAAATTTTAGAATTTCTCCAAAAGACCGAACCTCCTGTTTTGATTTTTGCCGAAAGGAAGCAAGATGTAGATGCTATACATGAATACTTATTATTAAAAGGAGTTGAAGCTGTCGCTATACATGGGGGGAAAGATCAGGAAGATAGAAATCGAAGTGTAGAACAGTTTCGACATAAGAAGAAAGATGTTCTTGTAGCGACTGATGTAGCTTCTAAGGGACTCGATTTTCCACAAATCCAGCATGTAATCAACTACGATATGCCTGAAGATATTGAAAATTACGTTCACCGAATAGGAAGAACGGGGAGATCAGGAAAGAAGGGCGTTGCGACTACGTTAATCAATAAGCTTATAGGTATTTCTTCTTCATACAATATTTGTAAAATGAATAATCTCATTGCATGTTGTCAGATGCGTCTATATTACTCGATCTGAAGCATTTGCTGATGGAGGCTAGGCAAAAGATTCCACCATTCTTGGCTGAGCTTGAAAATCAGAATGAAAAATTCTTGGAAATTGATGGAGAAGTTGGTTGCTCTTATTGCGGTGGTCTTGGACACAGAATCACAGAATGTCCAAAATTGGAAGCAGTTCAAAACAAAAAAGTCAGCGACATTGGAAGGAAAGATTATTTGGCAAGTTCATCTGCAGATTGGTAAACAGGACTATGAGAGTTTCGCAGATGGTATGACTCACAAAAAAATTATAAATTACATTATTTTTATAATACAGCAGATTGTATTAAGTTTCTGACGTTATTCTATTAAAAAGTATAACGGATGCTAAAAAATTTAGCATATAAGATGCATTATTTTTAAAAGTAATATTTTATCATTTTTCGAACTCCCTAGAAGCTCACTAACTTTGATATTTTTTTCGCTAATTCTCAATTTAAGTTGAAACATAGCAACGATGAAACAATTTTAAGTTAATGAACAATAAAACTTTAATTTATCACTGCATAACAAAACTTTTTATAAGAACATTTATACTAAAAATCTTCCACAGATAAGTCAACAGAAGTTTTGAGAAAAAGCTTTTAGGCTTCGCTTTCTTCTTCTGGTATTTTTTCATCATTTAAGTCCATAATTGGTACAATAAGAATATCCTTTGATAATAGCTGGTACTTAGTGACAAACATTGTGAATCTCTTGCATAACGCCGTCTTTTCCTGAAATATATATAATATTATAAGTAAATTGAGGGGATTTAATTATACATATATCACCTCATAGTCATCAAAAATGGCCCTATGATGAAAGTATGCATGAGAAAAAATTCTGTAAACTCTTCTACAAACCGAACCAAGTTTTCCGACAGAGGTATCTGATATGGTTACTCTAAAATAAGAAGTTTGTGATATTGAGGAAAATTAAAACAGTTAAAAAGAAAACTACCTGCTAGGAAAGTATTTATTACTGTTTAACAGACAAGCTGCACCATCTAATGTGTGTCTTGTATAATCAATAGCTGGACATTCTTTTGGCGTTTTATGAGCTGCACATAGAAAAATCCATTGTTCTGTTGCTGTCATTTGACTGCACTTTTCCGGATGACATTCTTCCTGATATAGATTTTTGTAAATATTAGAACAACTTAATTGACCAGTAAATTATATTAAACAAGGCTTCCTATTTGCAAAGGCATATAATCTTTTTTACATTCTCTGAAAGATGTCAATGCAACTTCTCTGCTTTTAATTTAAAAAAAAAAACTGGCTTAAGAATTACTTGTAAGTAGACGGCTAAACCATTTAGCTCCATGCAAAATTGTCTAAGATGTTCGTATTTCCAAACTCCTTCATCTTGATTTTCAGGTTGAGCTAAAATTGCCTCACAATCGGAATAATCCCGCCGAATCATTTGTTGAATATACTAATTGTGATCAGAAGTTAGCTATTTATTGTTGCAATTAATAAAATTTGTTATGCTTACTTGTTGGACTGCCAAAGTGCTGTCCATGTCTTGAAACGATTGCTCCGGCCATTGACACCAGTCCTGTAAAGATCGGTTTTAATGGTTAACTATTTGAGAAAACTTTTAGGGTATTTTTTCATATTACTTTAAATTTAGTGCCAGGAAGATTTCTTCTGTAGATTCTTTCTTCGGTTTCCGCCATCTTGAAAATAAATTACGAAAACTGGTAACTTAATTTTTATCGAAACTTCCTGTTTTAAAGCTTCATATTATCGTTTAGTTGTACCGTGAGTTTTTTGTTATTTTTGATACTAATAAATAGTTTATGAATAATCCCAGTTTATACCTATTGAAGTAAACCTAGGTAAACTAAATAAAGTTATTTTTATAGATATAAGATCAAGATTCTAAGTAAACGGAGTCCAATTGATCAATTCGTTACCTATTCGTTTGCGGTGCGTTCTTTATGCTAACTTGATATATGTGTTTCAGCTATTGTAATACAATGGGGTACACAAGAGTTATTCAAGTCGCAAATCTGTCTCCCTCCGTGACAAGAGAGCATATGCGCAATTTGTTTTATCCAATTGGTCGAATATCTGACATGAAGCTATTTCCGGAGCGGGATAATCCTGTTATACCGGTTGCAACAAAAATTTTGTTTATAAAGTTCGATAGTTCTGAAACAGTTTCAGTTGCATTACATTTAAACAATACTGTATTTCTTGATCGAATGATAGATGTGAGGGCTTATGAACCAGGTAAGAAGATCGCTGCTTTCTAATAATACTAGATAATAGACAAAAATAATGCACTATCAAACTTGACCATCTTAACAGGTAAAATTCCCGATGAAACAACAGCTTTACAGGCTGCAAATGCTCTTATGATGAGCCATCAGGCTACAATGTCTCATTTACCTATGAGAGAGGATGAAGTAATGAAGACCATTATCAATGTAAGTAATATTTCTATTTTGAGAGAATTTTCTAAGTTACATGTACTTTGTTATAGCCTAATCAAAAAAAGAGAGAGGATCAGATAGCAAGAACAGTTGTAGCTTCTAATTTGCCTGATGTAAGTATTGATCAAGTTATGAACTTTTTCTCCCAAGCGGGAGATGTCAAGTTTTTGAGAGCTGCTACTGGAATAGATGAAAATGGAATAGAAGTTCGAGGGGCTTTTATTGAATACGCTGCTCTGAATTCCGTTTCCGTTGCACTAAGCTTGAATTCAGCATTTTTTGAGAAAGAAACGATTATGTAAATATTCTTTTAATTTGTCTAAAAAAAATCTATTATTTACACTCAACTTTTTCGTTTGTTAAAGCGTTCGGCAATCGACAATTTCAATTAAAGATGACAATATGGAGCAGAACAAAGAATATGAAGAGTCCTTGAAGAGGGTAACTGAAGCTCAAATTATCATTGCCAAGGCAGCTGGCACAGGTGTTGAATCTGCTGTAACTCCAGGGACAATGGGAAAAAAACGTCCAAAGTCCAGAAGCCACTCCAGAAGTCCAAGGCGATCTGTATCTCCTGGACATCACTCCAGGGTCAGGCGTTCTTATAGTCCAGCTCCAAGGTAGGTGTTTCATACAATTTAATTTTAATTTCTTTAAAGTCATTAAAATTGAACAATAAGATGTAGTTAGATAGAATATATAATATTAAAAAGCGATTTTAATACAACTTTAAGGTCGTCGAGACGCCGATCTCGTTCGAGAAGTAGAAGAAGGCGATCGAGAAGTAGATCGGCAAGACGTCGTCGTTCAAGATCACGAACTCGCCGACGCAGAAAGTCAAGGTCGAAGTCTCGTGAACGCAAATCAAAGCGTCGCGAGAAGGAGGACAGAAAAAGCACTGATGAGCTAACAGAGGAAAAAGATGAGGCAGAAACAAGATCTAAAGAAGACGCAAAAGATACAAAGGATGAAAGAGAAATCGAAAAGTCTAAGGTAAATTTCTTTTTAAATATTTCAATTCCCAAATTGAATTTTTTAAACTAGGAAAGTGAATGCGAGGAAACGGAACCAGTAACAAAGAAGAAACGACACGATAGCGACGAAGAAAAGAAGCCAAAAGCTTATAAGAGATCACGTTCAAGATCGAAAAGACGCCACAGATCAAAATCAAGGCACAGGAGATCCAGGTCTAAAAGAAGGCATTCTCGTTCCCGACGAAAATCTAGATCAAGGAGCCGAAAGAGAAGATCCAGAAGATCTCGTTCGATTAGGCACAGAGACCGACGAGACAAGAGCAAAGAACGGCGAAGACGACGTAGTAAATCTAATGACGTTAAAGTTAAGAGGGACTACGATGAAGAAGATAAAATCTTAGTTGAAAGCACAATAAAAGCGATGAAGAGTGAAACGGATTCAGAGAGCGATTGAGATTTACAATTTTTCACTTTAGTTATAAATGTAGTACAGATTCAAGTGTTATATATGCTTATTTTATCAAATATCTGTAATAGATATTGTTATATGTCCGAAAGCTTTATATTGAGGTGTTTTGTCAGAATAAATCTATTACCTAGGCATGTTGTTATGCTATTTAAATCGCTATTCCGCCAAATTAAGCTACAAGTTTTCAGATATTTTCAAGATACTAAATGTATTATTAATACATTCTCCACAACGCACATAAGCCGTGAAGTCTACTTGAGAGGAATAAAACGAGAGCTGTGGGTAGCACCGATACCAGGTCTACCGTGCTTCACAGGTTTGTATGTGATGCTGAATTCACCCAAGTAATGGCCAATCATTTCGGGCTGTTTATAAATATTTCTCAATAAAAACATTTCACCACATTACGATATTGCACGTACCTTGATTTCAACTTGATTGAAAGTTTTACCGTTGTATACACCAACAACACTGCCGATCATTTCTGGAAGAATGATCATATTACGTAAGTGGGTCTTAACGCACTCTGGCTTTTCCAAAGCAGGAGCTTCCTTCTTGGCTTTGCGGAGACGCTTGATTAGAGCCATTGGTTTTCTCTTCATTCCTCTCATGAATTTTCGGCGTCCACGACAGTCAAGCAATTGCATTAATTGCTCTCTAGATAAATAAAAATAGTCATTTGTTTTTGCTGATTCTGTCAACCCAATGTTGTATTGAATTAATCCGGCTAATGTTCCCCGGTGTAAATACCGAGATATACACGATAACGGCGAAAAAATACTTACGGTGACATATCCAAGAGTCTCTCCAAGTCTACACCACGGTAGAAAAATTTCTTGAAGGTTCTCTTCTTCTTCTTTTCAAGGAGCTCTTGTACATTCTGAGCATCAGTCTGAAAATACCATATTCTTCTTAAGACATTGAAAATTCTACAAAAATTAACGCGATACTCAAGATAGAGATTTTATATCAGATTTAACGGCAAAAACGCTCGCCGATTACATGTTATATTATAGATATTCAGAGATGTTTAAAAAAATATTGGCATACCATCTTGCTGTTCTGTAGTTGCAGACGAAAAGGAAGAGGAAATCGGCGACACCCGACTAATCCACTTAAACGGAAGCGGAAACTCAAATACATGTGCGATTTTCGAAGAATGGACGGCTTAACAGAGGTTGGTTTTCAAAATTTACTGCTTATTTGCCAAATTTAATTATAAAAAAAAGAATGATTCTGTTAAAAATAATATTTGTACAGTCTTCTTCATCGTCAAACTTGTTAGATTCTGTTTACTTTCCATGCAATAAGCATATGTTTTCGGCCGACTCATCAAGACTGTGGGAGCCTATATTTTCCATATAGTTCACCTGCAGATAATATTAAGAAAAAAATTAAGAAATAATTTACAAAATTATTTTTCTCTTTAGAACAACTCCACCAAAGGGAAAAATATGGCTCTTTCCGAAATGACGTCGAAAGACTATTATTTTGACTCCTATGCCCATTTCGGAATCCATGAGGTAATTTTTTTTTTTTCGTTTTAGTAAAAATGTATAGCCATGATATTAACACTGCAATGAGTTTATGATAAAATTTTTTAATAATATTCCATAATTTTTCGGATTATTTTAAAATTATATTTCGATTTCGAATATGTTGAATAACCAATATTTCTCAATAGGAAATGTTGAAAGATGAAATAAGAACGATCACATACAGAACAGCTATGCTTCAAAATAAGCATTTATTTAAAGACAAAGTTGTTCTAGATGTTGGCTGTGGAACTGGTATACTAAGTATTTTTGCTGCCCAAGCTGGGGCAAAAAAAGTAATTGGCATCGAATATTCAAATGTTATTGAATCTGCCCAAAAGATCGTCGATGCGAATAAATTTCAAGATAAAATTATCCTTATCAAAGGAAAAGTTGAAGAAGTTGAATTACCAGAAGAATTCAAGCAAGTTGACATAATCGTTAGTGAATGGATGGGTTACTCATTATTCTACGAGTCAATGCTGAACACTGTTATATTTGCTAGAGATAAATGGCTAAAACCCGGCGGTCTTATTTTCCCTGATAAAGCTTGTCTCTACCTCACTTCTATTGAAGATCAACAATATAAAGATGAGAAAATAAATTGGTGGTCCAATGTATATGGAGTGGATATGTCGTGCATCAGAAAATTAGCCATGGCAGAACCTCTAGTGGACGTTGTTGAAGCTAGACAAATAGTAACAAGTCCTATGCTTATCAAAGAAATCGATATCCATACAGTTAAGGAGGAGGACTTGGAATTTACTTCCAACTTTGTGCTGAAAGCAAGAAGGAATGATTATATACACGCTCTCGTTACCTACTTCACTATTGAATTCACCCACTGTCACAAGAGAGTACGATTCAGTACCTCCCCTGAAGCCAGATATACTCACTGGAAGCAGACCGTCTTGTATTTGGATGACTACATTACAATTAAGGAGGCTGAAGAAGTCTATGGCACCTTCCATGTTAAGCCGAACAAAAATAATCACGTATGTACAAAGGTGTATCATTTTAAATTTATCTTAATATAATATACTTTCAGCGTGACTTAGACTTCACTGTTAGTGTCGACTTTCAAGGCGAGTTGTCAACGATGCAAACTAAACAAGACTATAAGATGCGTTGATAAATTACTTTAAGAATGTTGGCAGAGCAAAGTATTTAAGTAAGCGTTTTACAGAGAATAAATTTGTATCGTTTGTGTTCGCTTGTGGATTATATGATGGAACACTTCATTTATGAAACAATTATTTTCAACATTCTGTAAGTCTGTACTGTTTCTTTTGAAACTGAGTCTCCGCTTAATTTGTTAATACAAATTACAAACATTCAAAACAATTTCTGTGACTACTGTGAAAATTAATGATTTTTGATTGAATCTTTAATATATTTCAGTTACATGTACTTGGATGAAATCTTTTAAAAAAATTTATTTAAAATCTGAATTTTATTGGAATATATATTTCGTGACGAATTATTTTCCATGATGGGTCGCAACAGAAAACACTGAATTTTCCATTTTACCCTCAGCCAGCCTTAGCTCTTCTATTCTTCTTAACCTTTAATTGAAATTCATTTAAATAAAAATCAATAGTTACTTTATTATTTTTTATGGGTTAGTTACTTTGACCCATTATCATTCAAAATTTTAATCTCATAATTTTTCAGCATTAGACATTTTTTGTCGAACCCCTCTGCATGCTGCCATTGTTTCTATCAAAGCGGCTGGTACTTAATATTTGCGCCATTTCTAAGGTCAAGGTAAAAAAGAGACTGGTTCGTGTCTGAATAAGAGTCAGCAACCATATTTCAGTTAGATTAATTTCCGTTATATGGTTGTTTTTTAAAAGAACTGATAATATAATTGCTAATTTTATGCAGATTATACCGCTGACTTTCGGGCAGGTAATTAATTTAATAGCTATAGAATTTTTTATTTTATATTGAAATGATAGTATGCAATTTCCTCTCTTCTTAATCAGAAATTTCAAATTAATGGAAAGTGGATTCTTTACATCCTCGTGTGTTAAACTTTAAAACAATTGATTTTCAGTAATGGATACCAGGTCGCGACTGGCGAAAGCTAGAAAATTCGACCCTATGGTCGAAAATTCTTCTCCAAAGCGTACAAGATCCTCCACTCCGTTAGGACGAAGTTCCAAATCTGTAAGATTTAACAAACACACGTTAGAAACCACAGTAGGAGGAAGTAGGAAGGAAGGATATACCAAACTTAATAATGCGGAATGCTCTATTTTTGATAACACGGGTATAACTGGCTCCCCGGAAATTCGACGATCGGCTCCTTACGAAAATCCCTCTGCATTGTTCCATATTGTCCCCTCCCCAAGTCGCAGATATACCCTAGACTCGTCAATGAAACGTAAGCTATAATTACCTTTTTCTTTCCTGTTTATAAAGCACTCGAATACTCTGAAAAAGAATTTGATTGCTAAGTTTGAAGTATAATTGATTTAATTAGAAAGTAAATACCCTGGATTTTTCAAATGGAATTCTATAAAGACTCTTGAATAACCTTTGTTTTTCACAATAACATGGATTTTTTACCTCTTATCATCAATTGAATAAATATTTTCAGTCGTTTTTATTTTTACTTTAGAGTTGGAAACCATGAAATCTGATAGTCAAGAAGATTGTCGAATAGTAGTTGCTGTTCGTTGTAGACCTCTCTTGGAACGTGAAAAAGAACACGATGCAAAAATCGTTGTTAGTATGCAAGATAATGAAACAACAATCAGCCATAATTCGACAGTACACAAATTTGTATATGAGCATTCATTTTGGTCATGCGAACCGAATCACTCTAACTTTTCTGACCAGCAAAGAGTCTACGAAGTTCTAGCCAAGCCTTTAATTGATGTTGCATTTAGAGGCTTCAACACTTGCCTTTTAGCTTACGGTCAAACGTCAAGCGGAAAGAGTCATTCTATGATGGGAGATGAGAAAAGTCAAGGAATAATACCAAGATTTTGCATAGACTTTTTCAAACGAATTTCTAATTTAAGCGACGATATCAGAACCAAAGTTGAATTAAGCTTTTACGAAATTTATAATGAGAAAATTCATGATTTATATGACGACGGATACTCCTGTGGAAGAGTGTCTAATACAGGAAACACACCATCTAGAAAGAATGTATGTGGTTTTCTTTTTCGTTTATCACTTAAACTATTTATGATCAGGCTTATAATTCAAATTCTCTTAAATTAGCTGAAAGTGAGGGAACACCAGACCTTCGGACCTTACGTTGAAGGATTAACTTGTTATAGTATTGACTCAGCCGATGAGGCTTTAAATTGGATAAATGTAGGATTGAGAAATAGGGCTACAGCCAGTACAGGGATGAATGATAAATCATCAAGATCACACGCAGTTTTCACTTTGGTATTAACGCAATCGAAGGGTGAAACTATTGAAGGGACTGTGCAAGAACATAACGTTACTTCGAGAATAAATATGGTAGATTTAGCTGGATCAGAGAGAGCCGCGGCATCCGGTAGTACAGGTGAACGTCTTCAGGAGGGAAAGTCTATAAATCTTAGTCTGATGACATTGGGAAAAGTCATCACACAGCTCTCCCAAAACCCTGATAATCAGAAATCGCAGTCTATATATATACCTTACCGAGAGTCTCAGTTGACATTTTTGCTAAAAGATAGTCTTGGAGGTAATAGTAAGACAGCAATGTTAGCTACAATTAGTCCGGCTAGTTCAAATTACGAAGAAACCATTTCTACACTACGATATGCACAAAAAGCAAGAAATATCGTGAATGTTGTGAGAGTTAACGAAGACCATCGAGTGTCTATTATTCGTAAACTCATTCACGAGGTATTAATTTCACATAGATCTTATAAGAAGAAATTTTATACATTTGACATTTTTTAGAATAACATGTTAAAGAAGGCAATGGACCCTGAGACGAGAAGAAAGCTTACTGAGAAAACCAACAATGAAATACAAGCAAATGTGTAAGTAATGTTTTTTTTATAGTATAACAATAAAGACATACAAATCAGTTATTTGTTATTTCTTTGATATTTTTAGCTTACAGAAAGAAATCGATGATATGAAGGCTAAGTACGAAAGGAAAATTAGTGATTTAACCGCGTATTATGAAAATCGATTGGAAGAAAAACAAAAAAAGAACTCGAAAGTCGATTCGTATGAAAAATTGATAGAAAGTCTAAAAGAGGAATATGAAACGAGGTTTAAACGTTTGGAAGAAGAAAGTAAATTGCATAAAAGAAAGTTTGAAGACGAAAAGCATAACTTAAAAAATCAACAAAATGACTTTGAGAGGAAGATTAAAGAGTATGAACTCAAATTAGAAGTTTCGGAGGAAGATAAGAAAGTTTACCAAAAGAGATTTGATGTTGAGTTGGATGATCATGAAAAGAGGATAAAAAGATATCAAATGAACGAGAGCGAATTGGAAGGTAAATTGAAGGAACTCAATGAAAAATTAAGTAAGATTGAAGAGGAGAAACGTCTATATGAAGATCAAGTGCGGGAGGAGAGAAGACGATATCAGCGGAAATTGGAGGAAGAAAGAGATTTACAAAGACTTAAGAGAGGAGAAGAAGAGATTCGAGAAATTTATGAAAGAAAAGTTCAAAAGTTAGAGGAAGATAGACGTGTCTGCGATGAAAAACTTGAAGATCAGAGAAAACGTTATCAAAGAAAGTTGGAAGAGGAAGAGAAAGAGATAGAAAGATTGAAAAAAAGAGAATTGGAGACAGAAGAGAGTAGGAGAAAACTTTTTGAAGAGAAGCTAAAACAAGAGAAGGAAATATATCAGACGAGAGTAAAGGAATATGAAGAAAAAATTGTTTTATTAAAAAACGAGATAAAAAATCAAGAGAGTAGTCGAGAAAGGATAAAACAAGAGAGTGAAGAAGGAAAGGAACAGCTAAACCGTAAAATAAATAGTCTTGAAAGGGAGTTAAAAAAAGTAACCACTAAATTTCTCGAAGTAATAGAACTACTGAAAGCCGAACGTAAGTGTATCTTCGACAAAGCCGAAGAATGTAGGAGGGCAAGAGAACAAAAGCAAGGAGTAAGGTAAACTGACAGGACAATAATCGGTTTTTATTTATGATCGCCGTAGTAACGAAGTAATTGACGAACAGGTCTGAACACTTTGCAAAATTTTTTGATTCTTATTTTTTTTTTAATACTCACCCTAATAGAAATAAAAATTATGTTTATATTTTTTCTTATTTTTAACAGTTTTTTTTTATATCATTCCATATAAATTCCGTAAACGGATGCAGTTGCAAATAAAGAGCCGTTGGTAAATTCATAAGTAGCGAAAGTGTCGTTAGTGGGATCCCACAGACATCTTGAACTCATCTTTACCCCTTGATTTTTAACTTCACCTATATTTACCAAACAGACAATTTTATAGCGTGGCAATTGTAATTCCTTCACTCGTGCTTTAACAACCTGATTGATGAACGATTTTTCAAGAATTAATTATATACATATTTTATTTACATACGTCACTAAGCGTTTTCGTCATGTTTCTACATAATTCCACTTCGTAGCGTTCATCCATCAAGTAACTTTGTAATACATCGCTTATAATTTGAGTTATTTGACCAACGGGAAACTTTTTTGTCGGTCCCAACTGATAAGTATTTTCCATTTTGACAGCCGGCTTATGATGGTGCTCTTGATTTGTATGATCCTCCATAAAGGATATTGTAGATATGGAACTGTTCATATATTTCCAATCAGTTTCTTTTAGATTTCTTAAACATTTTAAATATATTTCCAAGATTACTTACCCTTGCTTCCTGTGAGCGTGTAGATTGTATTCATTGCTGGTTCCTTGAGAAGAGAGACTACCTCTCTTCTTCAATAGTTTGGCCGCTCGGTCCCTGGCTAAGTCCGTTGATGACATAGTTTTTCAATAAAGGCACTGTTTTTAATTCCTTATTTAAAATTCTAATAAAGGATATTTTCAATTATATCAAAGTCTTAATAAGTTTTCTCTGAATGAATTCGGATTAGAATGTATACCTACCGTATCGGTGATCCCTATGACGACAATCAATATTGGTCACGTGGTATGCGATTCATTACAAATCGACTTGACTATAAATGAAATGATGAAAGGATTTGCAAACTATCAAAAAACCATTCACCTTAGAATAGCAATAGTCAAATTATGTTTTTCGTAGACTTTTTTAGACTACTAGACTCATAAATTGCTATTTCTATTCAAACTTAATCAAATTTTTGCCACTTTTAATCCTTTCTATTGCTATATATTAATTATCTGTTACCACCCACACCGTTTCCATATGAATAAAATTTTTCTATCCCAAACACCTACGTAGCAGAGGCTTTATTCATCAATGCATTATAGGCCTAAGTTAGACTATTAATTATCTGTTTAAAAATAATCTTTCATAGGTTTAAGTATAAGCTGGTCGCGTTGTATTTGAAGGATATGTACTAGTATATACAAGAACCATTTTTTGCTTAAATGCACTATATCTACTGTTTAGGGTATACTAACAAAATCAAGAAAGAAAAAGAAAGAAAGATGAAACTATGCATAATCCTTACAAACAAATGGATAAAAAGAGTCATGAAAAATTGATTCCTATTAATAATATTTATGAATAACTGTATTAAATTATATAAGAGAATAATTAGCATACTTTTAGATTTTCTATTTGAATTAATATTGATATAAGATACGTTATTATTTAGTTATTGACATAATTATTTTATTCCATTTGTATTTTAATAGTTTGTATTATTTAATTAGAGGAGAAGGGGACGAAAAATATGAAATATAATGTTCTCAGTTAAAGATATATAATATAAAGAACAAACAATATGAAATTATTAAACTAGTGCCCTATTAAAATACTTTTTATATTAAAGATAAATAGTTGAATTACAACCTATTTTAACCTTTGAACTAATGTTTTTCTAATTTTTATTATGTATATATATATATATATTTATATTATTTATGCATATATTAAAAAACCAATAAAGACAGATTAGATATAAATTTTATGGTTTTTAACATATTTCAAAAGATTATTCTTTTGTATAAAACAAAGTAAAAAAGAAGATTTTTTTTTGAATTATACACGAATAAAGAAAGGAAGAAGAAAAAAGTGAATTAATAAACCATTAGGGATTGGCTATTTTATACTTTGTGAACATGTTGTATTGATTGCCTATATATATATATATATATATATTAAATAAATTTTTCCTAAGCTTAAGGAATTTGGGAAAATTTGTTAGCTAAATGAACTTTACATTCGACATTGTTCAATGGCTTTTGTCTGTTGATTTTAAACAAAAAATTTTAATCTCTCTACTAGAGGAGGTTAAAACTTTGCTGTTTGTGTTTCTCTATTCGTTGGCTGGTGACCGTGTTCTTAATTTTGTGTTTTTTTAGTAATGAACGATATTTGAGTCGAATTCGAATATTCTACTTATCAATATCGCGTAATCAAATTCAACAACTGAAAATAGGACACTTAAGATAAATTTAAAGAGTGTTGATAAACATTAATTTCAAAAGGTCGATTCAGATTGGGCATGCGCAATCCACCATTTTAGTGTTACCAAATGTCTAAGATCGGGATTCAAAGTACTAATAACATTTAAACTTAGCAACTTGATTTATCGCTCATTTGTATCGATATAAACAATAGATTGTAAGACTTCGTAATATTAATTGGGACCGACAATATAAACAAAACCCATTAGTTGTGAAAAAAAGAGGGTTTGTTCGGACCATTTTTCAAGGAAAGATTACACAAGTTTAGAGAAAAATCGACTTTTACCTTTAGCTTTACCATCAATTATAGATAGAGATGTTCCTAGTTCATCACGTCCCGCAGCAATCAAAAGAAAGCTGCTAAATAATATTCCCTCTGAGACTAACCGCGAAATCAATAAGTGTAAGGTTGAAACTATTGAAACATACAGTGTTAAAAGTCAATAAGAATTGTATTCAAACTGTCAAACATTATGCAACATTATAAAGCCCAAAATAGAGAAATTGACAGGCTTTTGGAACAAAGGAAAATACAAGAAATGTTTAAAGAGGTGTTGGATGAAAAGAATTATCTCAAACCTAGTAAAACCAACGAAAAAAGTCTTCACGACTTAAAAAGTTTTCCTATATGGAAGAAATTTAAATCTAGCTACGAATTTGGAATTGGCTTGCATCTTAACAACAAACCAACTCTCTGATCATCTCCTTATTGAGCTTTAAGAGTGTGAAATAAAAAATATTGGTATAATATCACTTCTAAAAAAATAAGTCCCTTTCTTCGTTCAATTAGAGGATATATTCAGAAAGTTCTAATTGTAGGTTTTAAAATATCTTTTAATGGTTAAAATTGTTCAATCATTGGAGCTTAATTGCTTGATTATCATCTTCTTACTGTGAGGTTCAACAGTTTATAAAACGTTGAGTTTTTTTAAGTTAAATGCAAAACATAAAAAACAATAAAGATGCTTTATTAATATTAACCTAAGATTTTTATAGATTTTTAAAAATTTATTTTTTATATTGTTCGTTTTCTTATTATCTCTTTTTAAAATGTAATATAAGCTGTTATTATATAATAATACGTAATAAGTCTCACCACTAAAATGGCGCTGATCACGTGACAGATTTCTAAAAGGGAGCCATTCGGCATTTCGTTTATTTTCGTGGATTTCTTAAATATCTGTATATTTTTATTATAAAATTTACAAAAAAAGCATTTAACGTTTGAAAAATACATTTAGTTTTCAAAGAGGTATGATAATCTGTGTATTTTATAAATGTCCATTAATAAATGGGCTTGAACGTTTGTTTTACTTATTTATTTAATACTTGTAGATATTTCTCATTAGAAATGAGTGATTATCTACAAATTTCACTACGTTAATTATTAAATTGTTTAAGTGTAATGCTGTTGAATAGGATATTTTATATTATTTAATTATAAAAACCTTAGGATTTTGAACAAAGAAGAATTGCTAATCATTTTTTAAAAAAAATCCGATGAGAACGTTTCTGACAGTGAGTGAGTATCTATTAATGTTCTAGTATGTATTGAAATGTATGAATTATGAATGTACAAGCATATTCAACGGAAGTTGTAAAGATTGAATATTACTCATAATATTATAACATCTGTTCTTATTGTTCATATTTGAAAGTTATCAAATCATCTGTGAAAGTAATTCAGGACAGAGCTCATAGTTAAATACCGTTAATGACAATATTTTTAGAGACTAGTTAGTTTCCTTTTGTATTTAAATAATGGTGGCAACGGAACCCGGCATAATTATCTTAATTCTACTCTCTTTTTTTGTAAATTGTGCAATAAATTACATCTGTTTACATATAAAAAGTATCAAAAAAATTTCATTTATTACTCGAATATCCCGCCAGCCGGATCAAGATTGTAAAGTAAATACAGTATATATATATATATATATATATATACGTGAAATTTTATTAACTATCACTTGTAATAATTAAAGAAGTGTTCTTTAACTAAGCCGGTACGTAAAAAAAATATAACTCAAATATAGGAAAGAGATTAATTACTTTTATATTTAATAAGTACTGGCTTAAGTGTTCATGAAAATTGGTATTTAACAATTAATACTTTAGTAATTGTTTTATGATTTGATTAGTTTGAGCTGCTTATTAAGGTCGATTTCGATGTATTTTATTATATTTTAATTGTGTTTTTTATTCTTTTTTTTTAGTAAGAATGCCATCGCTTCTAAGAAGGTTTAGTCTTAGGAGACCAAGATCCAAAAAGGATAATAACGATACCACAGACGCAGCAGTTGATTCCTCGAAAAAAAATAACGAAGATAACAGCTCAGAAGCGAATGAAATTTGTCGAAGACCCTTATCAAAAAGGGAAAGACAAGTACAAAAACGAGAAATTCTCAAACCAGGTATGTAAATTACTTAATAAATAAATCAATATTTAGTAAAGATTTTGTGATATGTTAATTTTAGCTAAAATTTATTCACCCGTTGTGTATTTTTTCCCTCTTAAAAAGCTAATAATTTTAAGTAAAACGTGAACTGAATAAAACTAAAACTCTCTTTAATTTGGTACTTCTTCCTCGTAACATAGTTCCAAGACAGAATTAATAGACTAGACTTAACATTAATGCTTTTTATATTGAAAGATTCTGTGAAATATTCATATATGCAAGTTATTTTTATATTCCGTCTCGTAAACAGGTCAGAAAGTGAATTTATCATTTGCGGGATGTGGATTTTTGGGTCTATATCATTTGGGAGTTGCTCAATGTTTGGTTACACACGGTAAACGCTTCTTACAAGAAAATGTTGAATTTTTCGCTGGGGCATCCGCAGGATCACTAGTTGCTGCCATTTTAAGTGTAGATTCAACGAAAATTGATAAAGGTATAGAAGTAGCTTATGAATTGGCTAGAATGGTTCACAGAAAGAAACTCGGTGTTTTAACACCAGGAGTCAGTTTATTGGACCCACTAAAGGAGACTTTGCACAGCCTTATACCTGACGAAGGTTACGAGGTCGCTTCTAAAAAGTTACATATTTCCATTACAACACATCGTAGACCAAGACGAAATAAATTAATAAGCACTTTTCATGATAACAACGACTTGGTTCAGTGCCTTTTGGCAAGTTCATATGTACCTCATTTAACGGGTACAGAACCAGTTGATTTTAGAGGGTCTAAGTACATCGACGGAGGAATGACAGATAATCTTCCTATTTTGGACAATGGTTTAAGAACGGTTACAGTTTCCCCATTCAGTGGCACCCAAGATATTTGCCCAGAAGACGGGTCTTCGCTTAACATGCATTGGAACATCAAGAAACAAGACTTTCGTGTAAGTAATGAAAAATTTATTCAGAATTTAAACAAATATTAACTACAATTGCATGTAACATTACTTATTTACTCAGTGCAATTTTTCTCCATTATTTTCTAAGCTTTTTCCCATAAGAGAGAAATTTACTGATCGTACTTATAAAAATGTAAAATATGTATCTATTTTTTCTTCAATATTAACAAAACAAATTAGGTCTCTGCTAAAAACATTCGTCGAGCAAAACACACTCTTTTTCCACCAACAAAGAGAAATTTATTCAAGTATTTCGATAAAGGAGCTAGAGATGCACGTAGGTTCTTGAAATATCATAACCTATACGAAGAATCAAATGATGGATTGGAGATAGATAATTCAAATAAATCAGGGTATTTTCTTTATGGAGCTAAGCTTTTTTTTACCTATTAATAAAATGCAAATTAAAAAAAAAACAACAGTTTCTACAGTGTTTTTTGATTAATTACTCTTTCTTGGAATTTTTAATATCCGTATTTATGTGAAGCAATTGTAAAAGGGAAAAGGCTGATTATTACTCTGTTCTGACAGTTGTATAGAAAAACATTCCATCTCTCTTTTTTGAAAAAAACTTGTCTTTTTAATTTTTATCAATAGTTATTAATGCTAATTAATTTAATGGAAATTAATTGCACTTTCTTCACTCTTTTCTACAACGCTGTCAGTGTGATGATGATAGCAGCTGCTAATTTCTTTTTCAGATGCTGTATTCATTTAAAAGTAAAAAAAAATGCGGCAACGAAATAATATATAAAGTTGAAAAGTGTTGGTTTCTAGTTTTAAACGATTACGTTATTTGCTAATCTATTCCAGTTGATTGCTTCTTTTTTCTCTCTTTTTATTATCGTTCAATGAACATTTTTATTTACACTTTAATAATTATTATTAATGTATTTTCCTTTTAAAACAGGTTAGCATCCGCAACATTAAAAGAGGCAAACATGCTCTCTTCCCACCAAATAACCTCTCAAATTATATCGAGCGGGGAAAACGAGACGCAGAACGATTTTTAAGATTTATGGGATTGTACGAAGAGAACAATACTGAACTTGTCGACTAGAGTTAAAATTTTTTTCAAATATGGTGCACAATTTAATAATAAATCGCTTGATTTTGGCCTACAATAACTCATTAACATACATACATCTGAAAGCATTAGTGTACCATATATGATAAAAGTGTCAAAAAAAAAACAAAAAAACAAATTCATAGTTCAAAGTCTACACTTTTGTCCTGTTTTGGTTCTTTTTCTCATTTTAACATTAATATATTGAATTTGATGCTGTGCCTTTTTTCGAGAACTATTTATGAAATTTTCGAAAAATTAGTATTATATTTGATTCTCTAGAGCAAATGTTCTCTTGCTATTAGACCAAAAATACGATGAATAAATATCTCAATAAAAGATAGTGCTGTGTTGTTTTCATATAGGCTTAAATTTGTCTATATAAAATAAACTTGAGCGACATCTAGTTTCAGTTTTTGTATATGTTGATTCGCTGTTCCATTTATATTCTTGGAGATATTTCATCAAGTGGAGTAATAATACGAATATAATTAAGTAAGCATAAAAATATTGCGTTTATTCTTTAAAAGTTTACCTTAGAATATAGCATTTTTGTGGAAAATTTAAATCTGCACTTACTACGTCGTAGTTTTGTCGGGAGTATAATCAGAACGGCCATAAACACTGTCCAGAAAAATTGTAAATACCTTTTTATTCAAATCATACAGAAACTATTGAACATGTCAGTTGAAGAAAGAGTACCATTCAAGACCAGAAGAAGTTTTGGTTTGTTTTTTTCTAAATTTTGAATTCTGTCAGCTGATAAAGTCATATACATACATTTTCTTTGTTGTAATTGCGAAATACAATATTTTCAGCTGAACGCAAAGAAGAGGTAGAGCGTGTTCGCGAAAATCACCCTGACAAGATACCAGTAAGATATTTCTAAGGTACTAAAAAGTGTAAATCATAGTTTTTGCTTTATTTTCAATTCAGGTCATCATAGAACGTCTATCTACGGAGCGACATCTACCGCTTCTCGACAAGACAAAGTATTTGGTACCCAACTCTGTAACCATGTCGGAACTTGTCACTCTCTTGAGGTAATTATTACTAAATTTAAAGCTTTTATTTAGCATGTATAACATTATTTATTAATATAGACGTCGTCTGCAACTACAACCACATCAGACATTTTTTCTCTTGGCTAACGAAAGGAATATTCCTAACATGTCAACGACTATTGCTGAAGTCTACCACCAAGAGAGTTCAGCCGATGGTTTTCTGTACTTTGTTTATGCTTCGCAAGATACCTTTGGAAATTAGATATACTCAAGGCTGATTTAAAATGAAAAAAACTGTCTATCTTTATTTAGTGTAGAGGCATATTACACATTATCTTAATGTTTTCTTTTGTCTACCTAAGACTATATATCAGAAAAAATACATTATATATATTAAATGTATATTAACAAAAATATTATCATTAAACAAGTTTTCTAATCCGAATCATCACTGTCCTTTTTCTGCTTTTTCTTCTTTTTCTTTTTCTCTTTTTTCGGCTGCAAGAAATTATGTTTACTTTCCAATAAATGAGTACATTAGAATTAATTTACCGTTTCATCCTCATCAGAAGATTTATCAAGCTTAATTTTCTTCTTTTTCTTTTTCTTTTTCTTCTCCTCTTCCGAACTAGACGATGAGCTACTTGATGGAGCCGCTCTCTGTTAACAAAACATTTTAATCTTCCATTAACCTATTTATTTATTGAAACCTTGGCCGATTCTGTAGAAACGGGCGTTTCTTTCTCATCTTTTTTGCTGTCTCCCTGATATTGATGATAGGCACTAATCCAATCTTTTGGAGTTTTTTCATTTTTTTTCCCATACTTATCTAATAAACCATCTTTTATCATCATTTTTTTCTTTGAAGCCTGAATTGAGGATAATAGAGATTAATTGAATACAAATCATTACTTAGAACAGCAATTTATAGCATACAATTGGACCAAGTCCCCATTTTCTTGGATAGGTGTCTCTTTCCATTATAACCCGCTTGATTTTAGCAACGATTCCATGATCAACTGTTATCATGACAGCAGTGGTCATCAAAGCGATAGCTAACGCCACAGCTTCTCCCTTTGTTGTGACGATAACGATTTGCTCATTGAGCTCAATGTTATCGTCAAAACGTAGAACACCAGGTAAAAGGATTTTTGCACCGTAACATACTGCATTAACCTATAAAATATTTGCTCAATGTAATTGAAATAATATTAACACATAAATACACTTACGGCACTATCCTTAATAATAATTCTTTTGTGTCCAACTAATAAACACTCCAATGGTTTTATAACTCTTCGTAGATAATTTTCGTCTCTTCGGTTATCATGTAACCATTGAGCATCCAGTACATCGTGCATAGTCACCAAGTTGTCCTAAAATACGTTGAAAATAGATATTTTATTTAACTTCATATTTAACAATAAACCTGTTCCGTTTGAATGCCGGATCTTATTCTTCGCAATTCAACCATTTGTCCACCAACTCCCAATAACAAGCCAAGGTGAACACATAGTGTACGAATGTAGGTTCCCGCTTCACAATTTACCCACAAAATTCCTATTAAAAATGAGCACACTAATAATATCGTAGTCTAAGGTTTAATCAAGGATTTTACCAATTCTTTTCTCTTTATCATATTCGATAAGTTTACTTTCGTAAATAGTTCTTACTCTTAATTGACGCTTAACAGCAGAAATTAATGGAGGTCTCTGAAAGAGGGCTCCTGTCAAAGTTTCTACTGCCTACAAGAACAATTCTTTTAGATGTTATTTACCCAAAATGTAAATTATTTTATTTACCCTGGCTACTTTCTTCACACTATCGACCGCGCTATGTAAACTAAAAACAGCTATATATTCTTTCCCTGCACTTTGTTGAGATTTAACAAGACGAGTTGCCTTATCGATGCATACAATTAAGCAGCCCGTAACCTTAAAAAGTAAACGTATTACTGTTTTATCGAAATATATTAAAATTTACCTTAGGATCAAGAGTTCCGCTGTGCCCTGTTTTCTCTACTCTAAGTATTCTCTTTATCCAAGCAACAACCTCATGTGATGAAGGATTTGACGGTTTATCCAAGTTAATAATGCCACTCCTTCAAATGATATAACTGGATAGTTAAATAACAGTTAATGATTAGTTTTGTTAACCTACTTTACATATTCATCGATTGGTCTTTGTAATGGTGAGCAGCCTGCTGCAATGGGTGTGTAATGATGTGTTCTTATATTCATTTTATCAAAGTTCTGCGAGAAGAATGAGTTTAGTTAGATGTTTCAATTTAACAATATGATATAGCACAAAACTGCTATTCTAAAAATTGCTAAGAGGTCATAATTTTAGCAAGTCTTGATAGAATCGCGATATAAATCGAAACTCCTGATTTTCTTGCTTAAATACTACAAATATGATTTACATATCTGTAGAGTCTATTGTTTTGAAATAATAAAATTAATCAATTTAAGGTTGACTGACTTTAAGCAAAAGTGGCCATTGAGAAGTATCTAACTTTTCCTTCTTGTCTGATGGTTCAACAAGAAATGAAGAACTCTGCTGGATTTCCTGTTTGAAACAAGAATATTTGAAAACAGACGTAGTTAATTCGTAGCAGCATAAAACTTACGCCAACATCAGTCTTCTTTTTCTTCTTCTTTTCTGTAAGAGCGATAATAGATAAATCGGTGACGAGTAACACGTGATAACTAGAAAATTGTTTTTAACTCCTAAATACTCTAAATATTTTGAGAAAAGCAAGCATTTTTAGTTGCTTCATTTCGATATTAAATACTACATGTAAACTCATAACTTAAAGATCCATTATTATTTAAAAAAACTTAAAAGACTACCTTTGCGTTCTGCAACATCCGCCATGATTGTTGTAAGTTTCTGCTAGCCAATTAGAAGAGAGCTCACCAAAAAAGAAATTTTGAAAAATAAATTTTTTCTGATAAAAGCATTTATCTAAAAAATTACTCATACGACAGAAATAAATTTTTAATTTAAAATTTCTAATTTAAAGAATTTTTTATTCTTCTCATGTAAAAAGATTAATAGTTTTTATTAAGAGTTTACTTGAAATAGCCAAGACTTTTATAACTATGAATTATATAAAACTAAAAATTTTGTGGAAATATTGCTGAACAGAGTGTACCTAATATTAAACTATACATTAGACTTTTTTTAGTTGGGACTTAAACGTCTGCCTTATTAAATTTAAACTATAAATATGGATGGTTAATGTAATACTAAATATGCTTTATTTATAATTATTTTTATCAATAATATTAAATATCATATAGCTCAGAAAATTGTCTAAGCACAACTACCGCTCTGTCGGAAACGGAAATATCTCTTTGCAGATTAAGAACATGTCGGATGTTGATGTTAACTTTATCCCTCTGGTTTATGAAATTCTGAAGAGGTAAATAATACATTCAGCTTAATTTATTACTTGAATTATAATACTTACCGCTATATTATTATTTTATTGAAAGTTTATGCGATTATCAATACAATATTATATTATCGCTCACAGCGTTGATAAGGATTCCGGAGATGTTACAAATAGGGTCACAGATTTGAAAAATAAAATTCAGCGAGCCAAGGAACAAGTTGAGAAACTTCCCGGTATTGATCAGTGCCCAGAAGAGCAGGCAAAACAGGTAGTTTTCTAACAAATTTAATAAACAAGTTGTTCAATTCGAATTTCAATTGTATTTTAGCTGGAAGTTATAAGAAAACAACTAGATTTGAAAGTTGAGCTCTTGAAAAAGCTGAGAAATTTCTCGATAACACCTCTGAGTAATGATCAACTTCGGTTTGGTGGGTACGATCATCAATCTTATCAACAATGATGTCACAAATGTGGTTTTAGGCTAAAGAATTTTACTTTTTTACCAATATTTCTTAAAAAGATCAAGCTATCTAAAGCTGCGATTCGAAAGTGAGTGTACTTTAAATTTGCGATAGGGTCAGCAAATTATATTTTTGATGTTAAGTCTGCTGGAAATAATTTCTTGCTGTTAACAATAGTATCAGATGAAGAGAATAATGTAAACGTTGAATGTTTCGGGTTTTTTTTGTATAAATTTTTATTCGAATAAAGATATAAAAGTCAACAGTACAGCTATCTTTATGCATCACCACGAACCATTATTCTGGTAATCAATAAATAACGAGATCTTAATGAGAAAAGTTTTTAAAATCTAACTCTTGCTTCAACACTCCTGAAAGAATCCACTCAACGTCAACAATGTCCACAGAATTCTTTTTTGCTCTAACTACAAGACGACTGGAAACATCCTCTTTTTTACATACAAGAACAGTTCGAATAGATTCTTCACTTTTTCCCGTTGGAAAATCAGTTAAAATTTTCCCACCACCAGATTCTACTATTTCTGTACACTTTTCGGGTTCTGGAATAATTCCTTTCATAAGGTAAATTCCCATTCCGTCAAATACTTTTCTCTTGATAGCTCTTTTCAAGGAGTCTTGTAGATTGAATCCAAACCTACTCTCTCCTTCAATATCTTTGACTTGAAATTTCTCGCAATCTAAAATAATTTAAATTAGTCAGCAGAGTACTCATTGAATGAATCAGCTTACCAAGAAATCTTCCAACAGTCTTTGATTGATGAATCCAATCATTTGATATAATTGGAATTCCCTTGGCGACAGCACATAAAAATTTAGGTGTTCGACGTATCTTATCTGTAATTAAATGGGTGAAGTCGCCATTCGAAGATGCAATAATTCCTCCCAACCGATCAATTATCTGTAGATAATGAAATTAACCTCATTTCTACTTGAGAAAGCTAACTATACTTTTTCAGCAGAGAGATCTTTAATTCCCGTGTATAGAATTCTATACTGTTTTGTGATACTACGTCGGAGATCTAAATGAAAAATGGCCATTTAAAATTATCACAATATATATGTCGATATACTGTATGAATCAGATCCAGCTTCTGATCTCCCACTAGATTCTTCGTCTCTGTTCAATAGATTTTTTCTTAAAGAATACTTTCGATTTTCTTTTCTTACATCTTCTCCAGAATAGCTGGCACCAAATCTTGTACCAACTGTGGTGGTTATAATACCTTAAATTAAGAATAATATAAACCACGGAAAATATTTAACCTTTTGGTTTTGTATCTTTCTTTTTAATGACTTTTCTTGAAGAAGACAAATGCTCTAATGTGGATTCTTCAGATTCTGTTGACGTTGTTTCGCAAACATTTTTTTTTCTTTTCGAACCTCTCTTTGTTTTAATGGGATCAATCTTTAGAGATTCTGATGACTGATCAACATTCTTTCCTGGTCTACGACTGCGTCTACTCGGGTTAACTGTAGCTTGTTCCACTTCGCTGGCAACTCTGGAATTTCTAACTCTTTTCGATCTTCGAACGGATATATCAGATAAATCTTCAGATAACTGATCATTGCTAAGCAAAGCTTTTTTCCTAGAAGATCTTGTTCGTTCACCAATAGTAGACTGGCTGAATGAAACAGAATCCTGTTTTTCTGAAGGCGCTTTGATTGTTTTTTTGATTGACGCCTGTTTAGAGCATCCAGGTAGTCCGTGATCTCCCTCATGTTCTTTTTGATTTACAAGATTTTCATTTAATAATTCTGGAAAATCCCCTGCCATGCTTTCACACTCGGTATCACTTTCCTCATGATAATTGACATTTCTGGTTTTATCTTCTTTACTTTCTAGATGAAATATCAATACTGAGTTACACAAGAACCATATAAGATGTTACTAACCTTTAAGAGTTAAATTATGATCAGGCTCATCAATTTCGGTTGCAGAATCTGTAGCAAAGATGGAATAATACTTAGGTATGAAAACTGAAATTAAAATAGTACCATCTTCATTTGCAGGACAACTTCCATTACTTTCTATTTCAGTATCACTATCGTTCTCTTCTCTTGGTTCTTTCGTTTTTGGGGTTATACTCTCAACAAAAGCTTTGCTCTCTTCTTTATAATCTTCATCGTCACTATCCAAAATTCTAAACAATTTTTGCGTATTGGACTCTGAACTGGTTATGGAATTTTCGGATAGAGCTGATTTTTCATTCACATTTGGTTCATCAGTTGCGGTGAACAGCGCACTTTTGACAGACTGTAAAGAAATTTAAAAGTCGCAAGTTAACATGAACTCTTCCAATTCCGAGTCAGAATCAAAATTAACCTGTTGACTTGAAATCAGTGTATCCGCTGGTTTACTAGCATTTTGAAGAGATTCTCCAAGCTGCTTTTCGTATCGAGTAGTATTCCTGATTCCTCCAATTTCGGGTGATGAGCCATCAAAGTCTGAATAAGAGAGGAATTGAGTTTCCTCCAGCTCTGTGCTGCTTCCTGACTTTGGTGAGTTATCGGCTCTTACTGTTTGTGGAATTTCAGAATCATTTTGCTTTATGATTTGCGTTTCCATCAGAGGGTTTAACAGTTGGGAACTTTCCTTTTCATGATCAATTAATTGAGTAGCCTGAGTTTCAGTAGGGACTGTCTCCATTTCATGTGGAGGCAGCCGATTGATAATTTGAGTGCTTTCTAGATGTTCACTGGTAAATTTTTTATGAGGTCTTTGTCTGTTTATAAGTTCTGTTTTAGCATTTGGGTCAATCCTATCCTCAAAATCTAGAAGAACTGTCGAATCATTTGGATTGACAGTAACTGATGATTTACTTTTTATATTTCGTGTTTCGTCGTGGGTAAACTCTAATTCAGCGAATAAATCAAGTCTTGAATCATTAGCTGAAGCAGTATCTTCCTCAAAGGCAACTGTATCTTCAAGTTGATCATTTTCTTCAGAATTGTCGCAGTTATTTCTTTGACTGCCTGAGAGCTTATTTGTGTTCGAAACAACTTGAGTTGCAGCATTTAAATCTACAGAAGGGCTAGGAGAATTCTCCGAAACCAGCTGTGTTGGGGCAATCAAGTCAACAGGCCGGGAGGGAGGTTCATCTGATATAATTTGCGTTGCAGCATTATTGTCCAATGAACGACTGGGGGAATTTCCTGATATCAGCTGGGTAGCCATATATTTTTCTTTTCTTGAAGTTCTACTTATAGCTTGAGTAGGAGCAAATGGATCTACCTCATTAGAAGTTTCAGGGCAAAGAGGTAGAGTATCATCTGAAAATGCCGCCAATTTACTTTTCGGACGATTGTTATTAGAAATTAATTGCGTACAAGCAAGAGGATCAAAGAGTTCAGGTGACGGAGTGTTATCAAATGGTAAAGTATCAGCCGATGAATTGGACGAATTTTGTTGCACTGTGGGGTCGGCAGATATAATTTGTGTAGAAGCAAATGGTTCGATGTTAATGCTAGAATTGATTAATTGAGTACTCGCAACTAAATCAACTTTCTGTTTTGTCTTAATGGGAGTACTTTCAAAAACTTGCGTACAAGCAAGAGGATCACAAAATTTAGTGTCTTTCCTGTCTTGCTTCATAGGTGTGTCCTCTATTATTTGAGTTGATGCAAAAATATCTACATTTTGAGAACTTTTCTGGCCTTCACTTGGAATTTTTGGATTGTCTTCATCATCAAATTCTCCAGGAATTTCTAAAGTATTTGCGCAGAAATCAAATTGAATATTTTTATCATTATCAGATTCAATAGGGGTGCTTGTAAAATTGTCGTTTTGGGATGACTTGAAAGATTTGTCTTTAAAAAAAAATGTTTGAGACTCTCTCATTTTCTTATTGGGGTTAGGCTGTGAAGAACGAATAATATCCTCGTCAGATGAGTATGGATCGGTAGAGTCATTAAAATTATCTGCAATATCAAACAGAATTTCATGTAGCTTTGTAAAAAGTCAATAAAGCAAAATTGCATACTAGTTTCTGGTTTCAGTGTTTTAGCATTTCTCTCAGTATAAATTGTTTCGTTTTCACTCGATCTCTTCAGTACTTGAGACTGAAAGCTTAAAGTTAGTTTCTAAACGTTTATTTATATTGAAATTACTGTTTGTTTGATTTCATAGATGCATTCAACGTTTCCAAATTTCAATAGATCTTTATGTTGTACTTCGAAAGAGTAATTGGATGGCAGATATTTTCTGTTCCTTTGCGTTTTGTTAGTTGAAGATAGATCAGTTACGAGATGAAAATTGTCAATTATTATAATTTCAGCATGTCTTTTGGAGATGAACTGAAAAATTCAGTATACAGTTTGGTGAACTTCGAAAATATTATGTTCTTACTTCATTATCAATACAAACATCGCAATCGGGTGATCTGCCGACTAAAAGTTTTTCTGAAAAAGTAAAGTTTATCAGTTTTAATTTTTTCAAGTTAAAAACTAACTATTTTTCGATATATAATAACTTGAATTTCCTTTCGGCAGTTTCACAGTCAAACATCCATGCTAAAATAGTGAAATCGAATGAAAAAGTAAAATCTTAAGAAGATTATTAAAGATGTACTGTATTATCACTCTCGTCCTCTAAATCCTCAGTATCAGAATCATTTTCAGAAAGAATCACGGTTCTGGAATCATCATCTTCCCTTGAAGTAATCATTTTAAGGAACGCTACGGAAATCGATTAATTCCAATGTTATTGATTTCAAAAATGTATTCTTCTTGAGTAGAAATCAGTAAATTATCTTTTTTGTATTTTTTGATTTTTATTTTAGCAAGAATCAAGGAGAATTTAACTCAAAAAATCATGTGAAAGTCTTAAAAACTTAGTAAAATAAAGCATGAACCCCGATTGGCAAAATAGTCATCTGTAGATTTTGAAAATTCTTATTTTTTTGTCCGCCAGGTGGTGACAGAACGATAAAATTTAGAGCTACCCGTTTAAGGGCACCATCCCTATGACGGCGGGTAAACATTTATATGGAAGTGGTTCATTGTCAGAAAAATAAAATGATTTATGTAGTTTAGCTAAAGTTTATGCAGGAAAAGAATCTTGTTAAGTTTATTAAGGATATTTAAAAAAAAAATTGAACCTAGGCTTAAGAAAAATGGTTTCTTTGCCGGTTACCTCTATTATTATTCTGGGTTCGACCATTTTCTGGACAATCTTATATAAAAATTTGAAAAAGCTGCAGACAGACAAACCCATTGAATGGCACTGTCGTATGGTCACACTTTTTCACGCTGTTCTCATATGCTGCTTGACCGGTTACTCTGTCTTTATTGAAGGTATGATTTATTTATCTTACTTGTACTCCTATCATTTAGGCAAAAGAATGGTGCAGTCAATATGTATATATTCAGAGTTTTAACTATAACAGTATTATGTACAATTAGCACACGATTCAATAATTCTTTGTTTCTCTAACAGGTCCATGGCCATTCACCGATCCAGGTGGTCCTAGTACAGTTCTGCAACATGTGTCTTGCTCAATAGTTATATCTTACTTCCTTTTCGATTTGATATGGATGATGATAAATACACCAAGCGCTTGGTTTATGATGCTTCATCATCTTTTAAGCATTATTGGAAACCTTGTCGTTGTTTGCAGATGTACTCAAGGAACAGAGATGGTCGCAACTATTCTAGGATCAGAAATTACTAATCCTCTGCTGCAGCTTCGATATTTTTTCAAACACACTAAAATGGATAAATCCTTTGTGGCAGAAATAAACAACTTATTATTTATACTCACCTTTGGAGGAATTAGAATCGGCATGGGATCTTATTTATTATATTGTTATTATCTCCATCCAAAGCCAGATATATTTGGACGAATTGGAGGTACAACTATGTATTCAATTAGTTGGATATTCTGGATACAAATTTGCATATTTAGCTATCGAAAATATTCGAAAATGTGGAAAAATTATAGAAAGAGTGGAGTGTTTTTTTATAAAAGTGAAGCAAATGGACATGTTCAAAATGGGCACAATGGAATCAAAAAGAGCAATTGAATTGATAATTTTTTTTGAATAAATAATAACACTGTTGAATTTCAATTTAATGAATGAGTGACATTTTCAAAAAGACCACTTTTTTAGAATTTTCATTTTTAATGTGATAGATGCTGGTATTTTCTTTACGCGGCAGATGGCGTTTTAATTCAATGGCGATTCGCTTGTGACGTCATTATAGCTAGGGGGTTATTCTCAGATTAATTCAATATGGTTGCACTCGATCCAGTTTGCGCAATATCTTCAGTAACTGGCCAATAGGTAAATATTTTCTCCTTCTTTTCGTTTATAAATGAAACTACAAACTGTTAACTTTCTATTTCAGTTTATAAAAAATGCCTAATCATTACCAAAAGAAAGCTTTTGAAGGTTCCGAAGTTGTAATCGCTAATCGGGATTACGGATTCGAATTCTTAGATAAATTAAATGCTTTTCGAAGTGAAGGTATATTAGCCGATTGCATTATTTGTGTCGGCAATAATGAATATAAATGCCACAAGAATGTATTAGCTGTTTCATCTCCTTATTTTCGAACAATGTTTTCATCAAATCTGAGGGAGAGCACAGAAACAAAAATTACATTCAACGAAATGTGTGCGGAAATCATGAATAAAATTATTGACTACGCATATACTGGAAGAATAGAGATTAATGAATCGAATGCAGAAGAAATTTTATCCACAGCTCATTTCTTTGATTATCCAAAAATTGTGGAAGGAGCATGTGAAATCTTGAAAGACCACTTGGACGAGTCAAATTGCATAGGCGTGTTAAAACTCGCAAAATTTTATAACTGCTCACAATTAGAAGAATCTGCTAGAAACTTTACCCAGTCTCACTTTGGAAATGTTTTGGAAAATAATGAATTTGTATTATTGGACGTTGAAGATGTTGTCGAAATGATTTCTTCAGATGACTTGGATGTGTCTCAGGAGCAGGTAATTTGTTATTGATTGAATAGAAAGCCTATAGTTATCGTGTATTGTAGGAAAATTTGTTCGATAATTAATCTCCGTTAATTTTCTAAATTCTTTTTATCTGAATTTTTTTTATTGTGTTTTTTCTTCAGATTTTATTCTTACTCTTTTCCTTTTCATAGGCTTATTGTAAAAATGTTAGCTGTAGATAAACAAGGTGTAACTTTCCTAACGACTTAGTCAAAGCGTTGACAGGTTATTTACTTCGTACTTAGGAGGTGATCTTTAATTTTCTTACAGAAAATAAGATTATATTATCCTAGGCTTAAAAGAAAAATGGACTAATTACAAAGCCAAAGGCGAAAATAGAACAAATGAAAAAAATTTTATTCAAAAAAATACGTTCGATCACTGATAAAAATTAATACCTTTTTGAAACGTAATATCGAAAAAACTGAAAGCGGAGCCATATCACTTAAATATTCCATAATTCAGATAATAAATCAATTCTCAGATTCCGTTCTATTTCCTTTATGAAATGAAATAGGGAAATAACTGTTCGATCTGTCCGACAAGTTTTAATCTCTAATATTTATATTATTCTTTCCCATAGATCGTTTACGAAGCCGTCATAAAGTGGATCAATTATGATTCAGAAAAGAGAGAACAGTATTTTGGTAGATTGTTAAAATGTGTCAGATTGAATTATGTAAACGACAAAGAGTTTAGAGAACGCATTTCTGAAGATAGCGAGATCTTCCAGTTAAAATCGAATTATGTTGAAGAACTGCTGATGGAGAAGAAACCAGCTAGGCCTTCGACAATGGCTCGTGATTTATTACTTATGATTTGTCAAAATTCTGAACTATGCACTTACGACCCGCTGAAGCGCAAATGGGCCTCAATTGGATCATCCGGTGAAAATCTTAAAGATTTTGGTTTATCAGTGTTAGATAATCGTATATATGTCAGTGGTGGGATATCAAAATCTCGTATTGTCAACACCTGTCATAGATTCGATTGCATTGAACATAAATGGAGTAGGATTGCGGACGCAAGATCACCAAGATCAAATCATGCAAGTACGGCTTGTAAAGGAAATATTTACATTATAGGTGGTTATACGTATAATGAAGAATATAACAAGATTTTATGTGAGACTATTGAATGCTATAATCCAAATTCCAAACAATGGACTGAAGTTGGACGAAATGAATTTTCTCGTGTTAACTCTCAAGTTGTTCCCTTCGATGACATACTGTTTGAAATAGGAGGTTCATTACACAATTCTTATTGCCGTCAGTTAGGTAGTTATGAATTAAGACCAGACGGCTGTGTAGTATATAAAAAAGAACAGCTTATTTTACCTGATATTGTTGAATGCATCATGATGTTAAGATTAAACGAACTATTTTATGTTTTTTGTAAGGGGGATAGAACTGTTTATGTGATGAACCCAAAGAGAAGAACAATGAAAAGATTGGTAGACATGACCAATGATTATAACAGGATGGGAGCGGCTGTATCCGAAGGAAAATTATACGTTAGCGGAATTTTAAATAACGAACTCTTTATTGATTGTTTCGATCCTGTGACTTGTACATGGGAGAACATTGAAAGAATACCAAAAAACAAATTTCCTTGCCAGGCTTGTGCCACTGTTCGTGCGTGCTAGTTTTTTTTCTTTTTAAAGAATACAAGAGAGATTGTTCAAGAAATGTGCTGGCTGAGTGCCTGATTATGCTATGCAAATACTCTTGAATTTACAATAGCAGTGACGTCACTTTCAATATGTAAGATTTTTCAATAGGTGCAAGTCTGATATGCATAATAGAATAGATGAAAGCCGTAGGTAATCTTTTAGCTGAACCGTCACTAATAGAGATTATTGAATCATTTTCTATATTTTATTGGCATTTACTGAGATATTACTCGAGGAGGTTCCAGCTACAAATAGAACTTCTTTAAGTCATCTGTAACCAACAGATCATGCCTGCAGTTACGTGAAAATCATTTTCCCTACTAAGACATGTCCTTGAAAGGACGAATAGTAAATTAACCATTTTTTTTTTCATTACTTGTTATTCCTATATTATATTCCGTAAAGCGGGTTGATTAAATTATTACTAAGATCTGACAAGACTTCTTTTTCAGTTTTCAGCCAATTGTTAGAATTATTCATTCCAAGAATTTTCAAATTTATATTAGTCTGTAATGAAAATTTCATTTTTTGATATTATATTAAAATTTACTAGTGTCTAAAGGTTGTTTATATCTATATTCGTTTGTTTCTTAAGGCGGAAATAGTTTCTTGGAAGGTAACTTCCTAGAATATTTCTTATGGAAAATGAATAGAAAATTTTATAAAAGCATATCCGCAATTACCGTCAATAATCAACTAAAAACGGAAATAAGCGCGACAAACGTCAAAAATTTCAATTTCGAAGTCATATTTATGTCCGTTTGTCTTTCTTCCATTTTGCTCTGACGTTTGTAGACAGAGAAATAAAGTATACTTTGAATGTATGAGAAAATAAATGGTTAATATTTTTATAAAATGCTATTTGACATTAAACAATAAAGCTTTGACTTGGTGTAATTAGTTTATAGGAAGAAAAACGAAGCATTATCTCCCTTTCGAACAAATATACTAATATATGATATTTAGAAGAAATAACTCAAAAAAGTGTGCTTGCACAGAATGTCGTTACTAAGCAACAGCAATTTATAGCAGTTTCCTACGTAAGGGACTCCTCCTCAACAGATTATCTATAAACATAACCAAATAGGATGGTATTCTCAAAAGAGTGGGTGGCTATAAAAAAAGGGTCGCTAAATACATTTTTAGTAAAATTTACTCAGAACAAATATAAAAAATCTTTAGCTCCTCTTTTTCATCATCCGATAAGTAAACTTTTGAAGAATTTGATCCAACTATAGGATAATTTTTTTTCTAAATCTTAGCCTATTGTATTTGTGTATACTGTTTTAAATCGAGAATAAGTAGAATAAAAAAAATGAATATTAAAGTTTTGTTAGTCTAGTTCGTAATCTTGTTTCATTTTTTATGCTACTTCAACGGAAGTCCTGGAATCCAATTTCACTTAAGTTTCTAGAGAAGAGAATAGACCTTTTCAAATTGCTTTTTTTTTCTTATTATATTATAAATTTAACAAACACTTAAAAAGTTGTTTACTCTTAAAATAACAGCATATTACACTTGTAACAGTAATAATAGGCTTGTGGGAAAAAAAGTAATAAAGGAAAGTGTAAATTTTCTGAGAACAAAACATTCTGCTCAAAAAAAGATAATAAATGTCAGATAAATGATGTTTAAGTATCATGCAAAGACTGCTATTCTTTCTATAATTATCGATGGAAGATGTTTTCTTATCGTTCTCAAGGACAACTTTATTCACCGAGATAAACTTTTTCTTAAACTACAGACTGATACTCCTCTCACTCACTCTCTTTCCCTTTCTCTGATATTCCTTTAATTTATATGCAAATTATATACTTTAATATGTGTTAGATACTTTTATACTTATACGATTACATCTCCAGTTTTATAGAAGATTGAAAATAGATTTTTCCAGGTCGCTAACTTCGATAGGTATAATCTATCTCATAATCTCCTATATGACCAACCTTCTGTCGTTATATCAAGGGTAAAATTGTGTTATACTCTATTCTCATACTCGATAAAATAATGAAAAAGAGTATAATTAATTTTTCACAATTATATATATATTTGACACCTGCACACAAATTGGATACAATTGCTATTAAGTGCTTCAAAGGGTAAATTATCAATTGAAAATATTCTAGTGTCATACTCATAAAAGAAACAGTGAGCTAGATATTCACTGTATTTTATTGCCATTGTATACAAGTTTTATCTTACATTAGAATTTTTATTGGGGGAGAGAAATTCAAGAAAAGTAAAAGAAAAGATAAATCACATTCCAGATTATTATTGATTATTGATTATACTAGTGCAAATAATAATAATTATTATTATTATTGCCAATAGTTTTTTAGTCGATATATTAATTTATTCATCAGTACGAATACGATGAATAAAGAATGCTTCCTTTACCTTTTACTCCTATCAATATTTTACCATTTAGTGATGTTTGTATGTAATCGACGTCTTCGTTTAGGTCTTCAATCTCAATAGTAGAAATTAGTATAAAATTATCATTAAAATGCTTTATTTTGTTACTTTCTTTTTCGAGCAGTAAAAAGCCACCGAAAGACCAACTAGAGATATTTCCGAATAGGCTGATATTTTCTGAAGTTTGCTGCAGCTGATTTCCCGTCTCTGCACAATATCTCTCAATTGTTTTAGAATTAGTTAAACATAGTAAGTCACCGATGTTTAAAATACAGAAACTAAGAATCTCTAAACCGCTTTCTAAGGTTCTCAACCATCTGATTTCATCGTCCATTAATAAAGCCAACGTCTGCTGAGTGCTATCGTCTTCGCCAGCGCATAAAACTCCTAGTATATCTGTTTCATCGTTTATCTTATTACCCGTTATCTTAACAACGTCGATCAACCCATTAATTATCTCTCTGTCAGATGAATCTAATTGAAATTTAGATATTACGCTATTGGATACGAAATAAAATGTCGATGAATGAATTATAAATATGTCGATTATTTCGTTTTTCTCCTCATGTAAAATTGTTCCTGTGAGAACGTCCTTAATTACGTATTTCTCCTTATCTTCATGTGATGTAACATCAACCAACAAGTCATCATTGTAATATGTTAAAAGATTGCTCTGCGCCTGAAACTCTTTCTCTTTCCAGAATTTAACGGCCGTAAATCTCGATTCTGCAACGTTAATTCGGCCTAGATAAGAAGTATTAAAGCTTGGATCAAATAATTCTACGAATTCTATAGATCTGTTGCAAATTTCTGATAATCGATTGCCTAATAATTCATTAGTAAGGAATTCCTTTTTTAAGCATTCCCTAAATGCTTTTAATAGATTAGCATTTAAACGGAAATGTTGATCGATATCTTTAAGAATGTCATTCGACTGATGACGTATTATATCAATCACAGAAGCCGTTACTTCCTCTACACGATTCACAAGAATCGACCTATTTTCTTTAAATCTTTTCTCCAGATCATCAGCCTTGCGGCTATATTTGTCGACAATCGCAGTCTGTTCCACTATATGATCATCGTGGGATGCCAGATCACAAGTTCTGTGTTCTAATAAGCACTCAAGGCAAAGACGCTTCTGTTTACAATCTTTGCAGACAATAGGTCTTTCGATCGACTTGTTAAGCGGATGCCTCGAACAATAGAATATCGTATTCTCTTCGAGGGCAGTCGCAAATCTATTCTTGGGAAATCCACTGGTTCCTTCATCTGGCCAAGGATATTTGGCCCTGCAAGCGGGGCATTGAAGAATTTTTGTCGACATCGAATTTTCCTGTAATTCATCTAGACAGTGATAACAAAAAGTATGCTGGCAAGGCAACATTCGAGGATCATTATCAACCCAAGACTTTGTACAAATTGTACACTCCACTTCGGCATTTTTAATAGTATAGCCAATTTTAACAATTTTTTCCATATCTAACTTATAAGCTAAGCTCTGGGAAATAAATAGTAAGCCGATAAGAAATTTTAGGATAATAAAAGGTCTGTTTTATTACTTGAGGTAACTTTGCCTAATCTCTAAAAAGAATTTGTTGAGGATGAAGGAAAGAAAGTTGACTAAATGTAGGCCAATTAATAAATTTCCTAAACTTTATTTCATAAAAAATAGGATAAACTCAGTTCAAAAGTCATTTTTTAAAGAAACTTTGTCGTCTTTGTATAATACTGTTACGATAGTGGTAAAATCCATTAAGTAGTCAACTAACAATGGCATGTATATGCCTTAAACGCAGTTGAAAATGAAAACTTAATTATAATGTATATGTGTTTTTCAAGGTAAAATGTATGTAAATACAAGAATATAAAGGAGTAGTGATTTAAAAAAATAGGTAAGAAGGTGATTACTTAAGATTAGAAATCTTATTTGCCTTCGTATTGATTTACTAAGTTGAAGTAGGTTAAAATTTCATATAAGCAGTTTCTAGTCACTTCTAAACAGCTAATCAAACAGCGTAAATGATCTTTTCTTTCTCTTAAACACGATTTTACCCAAATGCAAGCTCCCTGTGCAGCTAAAACGTCCTTGTCTTTCGTAGCTAATAAAGGAGACGACAAAAGATACTTGACGCCTTCAAAAGAGAGTTCCTTAAAATAAAAGAGAATATAGATTTTTAGATTTTCTATGTAATTACTATAAAATATAATCAAAAAGAATATGAGTATTGAATGATAACTGAAACCCCATATTACATAGAACTGAAATTATCAACACAATATAATCTCTAGTGTTATAGATTAAATCATAAAGGCTGTTAAGTATATAATAAGTGAAATCCTTTTTTTTAACCTTAAATGCTTCACTATGAATAAAATTTTCCAACCCTTCCTCGCATAAATTTAGCATCTCGGGTAACTTTGATTCTAACTTCCATGATAAATCATTAATTTTTAGTTGTCTTGCAACTTTAACTACTTCTATCCAACAAGATGGCGTCACTTTCATACAATGACCATACATCCATGATACAGTTTTCTTAACAGCATCTGCAGTAACATTAAGCTTATTCAGAGATATACATTTAGGATTTTTATCAACAGTTAGAAATAAATTTTCTAATTTTTCGCTATGAGCAGCTAGAACCAATTTATGAGCATATATTTTCCAATTTTCAACTATAAGTGCGACATCCATGAGGCAATTATGATATGCTAATTTTCTTTCATAAAAAGTTATATTATAATTATGAATTAAATTAAAAATTTAGAAATTTAGAAGTTTTTTCACTCACCTTGCCTCTTTTCCAATTTTACAAAAACGTGATTGGTTGGTTCTTATAACTTTTTTTTCTTCATTTAAAGAGCAATAGGAATATGTGGACTCTGAACTACTACATATCGTTATTGGTGGAGGAGATTGACAAGAATCACTGAAATTATTCATTTTTATTTCCTTTTCATTAAACTGTTTTTGAAAATATGGTAATGATGTCACATGTCTATGAAAAAAAAGTAATATTTTCTTCGATTTTTAATAGAATAAAGTTTGGATAATATCTTTAAAATAATTTTCAATTTAGGAAAAGTTTAATGATAATACTAATGCTTTTTAATAAATTCAATTTACGAAACTGAATTGTCATTTCTTCAAAATAGTGACAAACGCTCCTCACATTTGAAAAGTTTCGCAATGAACCGCTACACCTCATTATACAGCGGTAAGTTATTCTTTCAAAAATTACCGAGCGCACCTGTAATTGAATTTATAGAAACTAACTAATACCAGTTATCGAAAGTTCTAATAATATTTAATACTCTTTTAAGAGTATAAGAGAGATTTAAGACTTTCCAGTATATGTGACCTTGACCTTACTTCGGCGCTTCACAATTCCATTTCTTTCGAAACATTCGAAAATTCGATTGTACATCGTGTTGATAGGATCTAATTGATTATGAGGAAGAGTAGTCGACTTGAAAGTCATTCTAAAGAGAAAAGTGTGTTTAATTATTTTGTCTTAACGTTACACGAAGCGTATAAAAGTAAATGTATCTAATATCGCCAGTCTGAGAAAAAATCCGCCATCTTTGTTTGTAAAGTAAGGGTTGAAAAATTCCCATTTTTGAATGGACTATTACTCGCCCCGATTTATATAGAGATGTAAAATCTTAAAATTGGCTTCGTATAGTTTTAGCAGATTATTTTTGCCTGGACATTAATTATTATCCCTCTTTACTTTTCAGATGATCTGTCAAGTGCCACTGAAAGTGACGAATCATCCCCGAAACGTAAAAAAACTCGTTCTCCTTTTAAACTCAAATTAAGATCAGTAAGTGTATTATTAAATAAAATCTTGATTTTTGTCAATATATTTATATTTTACTCATTTAGAGTGCAAATACAAGTGCTAAACCAATGTCAGATGAATATTCAGAAGATGACAATTGTTCAAGCGTAAGACGTATATTAAAGAAAAATACTCATATAGAATTCTAATTTTAAAACAGGCTTCAAACGATGCCATATATCTAGATTCTGACAGTGACAGTTACTCTCCTGCGAAGAAAAGAAAGCCTGTAAAGACGAGTGTAAGTTTTTGAATAGATCTATAATCAAGTTTTAGTAAGGAATAGGCGATTATAAGGTATTTTTAATTATTGTAATAAGTTGCGTGTTTTGCCTCTTATCATTGTTACTATTTATTGTAAATTTTAGTTTTTTTATAGTATGCAATTGAAAGTTTGGTAGAATTATGGTCTTTAGTTAACCTCGATTTTCTTGTCTGACATTTTAAAACGATATAACAGGGCATGAAAGTAAAATTCAATATTGAAAATTTTTTTGCTAGTGACTGTAATCTGGATTTGTAGAAGGATCGAACTTTCCGAAATACTTAAATTTATTAAATTAAATGTATCATTTTGACCATTTCAATTTAAAAAAATAATAATTTCTTAAGTTTAATTTGATTTTTTTCTAAATACTTGATGATACTTGTTTTATTATTTTAGTTAGAAAATTATGGTGAGAGAAGAAGTGATAGACAAAAGAAAGGAGAAGCAGTAAACGTTTGTAAAAAAAAAAAAATAACGACTTTCTTATCGTTCTGTTTTTCAGACAAGGGAGCTAACTGATAAAGAGTTCAATAGACTCTTAAGGGTAAGTGATGATCAGCCAGAAAAAAGAAAATCTAAAAGAGATCGCAAAAAGAAACATGTACAAAAAAACTTTGACGGTTCAGTACGTATTTTGTAAAATTATATTCACTATAAATCTTAAAATTTTTGTTATCCAGATGGATCACATCTATTGGTGTGCTATTTGTAATGATGGTGGTGATCTTTTACTATGTGATACTTGTCCAAAAACTTATCATAAAGACTGTATTAATTTAGAAGAAGTTCCAGAGGGAGATTGGAAATGTCCGAAATGTGTAAGTGAAAATTGGTTCTGATTTTTAATAGTATCAATCCTTAGGATAAAGTAGACGAATAACTTTATGCAATGTTTTTTACATAGAATGGTGAAGACTTGAAAGAAAAATATGGATCAATAGTGAATTCGGATGGGGAAACAGAATCTGAGCAACATGAAATCTTCTGCAAAGTAATGTCGATTTTAATAAACAAAGATAGTAGTTTTTGATTTCAACACTATTAGATTTGTAAAGATGGAGGTGAAGTTATTCTATGTGAAAACTGCCCTTTTGTTTATCACTTATCTTGCTTGAATCCACCCTTGAAGAATATACCCGAAGGAAGATGGTTCTGCGCCAGATGCTTGGTCTGTCTTCAATATTTTTCTCAGTACCAAAAATAATAATATTTCTCTTTTAGACTAAACCACCAAAGAAGAAAATCAAAACTGTCCTCTGGTGGAAATGGGATAAACAGCCATCAGGAGTCGATGAAATGGACCATAGTCCTAAAAAGAAACTGCCATCCATTTCTTCCACAACTGGAGATGCTGATAAAGAAGTAAACAAATTTAATTACCGAATTGATATATATTTACAGTATATATATATATATATAAATTATACAGTTCGAAAGGAAACCTGAGAGGCTTTTGTTTGTCCGATACTTAGATTCAAGTTACTGGGAATGTGAATGGATAAATGAATTACAGGTATTAAAAAAAATTATGATATAACTTTACTAATAATACATGCTAATTTACAGTTAAAAGTTCACCAAAGTCTTCTTCATACTATGTTTATGCGAAAATTTGATCTCACTGTTCCTCCATCAGCAGATGATGGTGCAAGCTTTGTTGTAGGTTTAATTTATTTAATTATTACAGTTGAATTATAATTATAGCGTGCTTTGTCAATGCTAATTTTAGTCCTCCCGACACAAAGTGAAGCAGAAAGAAAATGATGAGGGAAGTTTAGAAGAAAGATTTTACCGTTATGGAATTAGACCTGGTTGGCTTCAAGTTCAAAGGATTGTCGCACATAGGTAATTGGTTTTTAAAGTAGTCTATTGCTAAATCTAATTTGACAACAGAAAAGTAAAAAAGAACTTTGAATATCTTGTTAAATGGAGAGAACTATCTTATGAAGATGCTACTTGGGAAATACCTGATATTCTTTCAAAAAATGTAGAAGGCCTACAGGCTAAAATTGACGATTATTGGGATAGGCTTAATGATAGAGCAGATTTAACAGTAAAGAATTATAACCTGACAGTTAAACCGTCGAAAATGTTATCAGTAAGTCAAAATCGTTTCTCTTAAAATAAAACTACAATCAAAGATAAATTTGTACAGCTTCAAAAAAAGCTACCAAAGCAACCGTCCTATCTTGATGAAACAGGTCGAACTCTACATCCTTACCAACTTGAGGGATTAAACTGGTTGAGATATTCCTATGGCAGAAATGTTAATACGATTCTTGCAGACGAAATGGGTCTAGGAAAAACTATTCAAGCAATTAGTTTCATCTACAGTCTTTGGAAAGAAGTTTGTACTATTATTATATATCTAAAAATACCAAAGAAATGAATATTTCAACAGGGTTTTACTCGTGGGCCTTTTATTGTTAGTGCTCCCCTCTCTACAGTTCCGAATTGGGAGAGAGAATTTGAGTATTGGGCTCCTGAGCTGTATGTTGTTACATACACTGGTTCTAAATTTAATCGAATTATCATACGGGACCATGAATTTTCGTATAAAAGCGACGCATTTTCGTCGACAGCTAGACCGACAAAATTTCGTTCAACTCATATTCCTAAATTCGATGTTCTCTTAACTTCATACGAAATGGTTAATGTGGACAATGCAGTTCTTTCAAGTCTCAATTGGTCCGTGTTAGTTATTGACGAAGCTCATAGACTTAAATGCAGCCAATCTTTAGTAAGCTTGTGAAATAGAGAAAAGATCAATTAATAAGTAATAAATTTTGTACAGTACTTTCAAACAATGTCAAGATTCAAGATTAATTATAAACTCTTACTAACTGGAACACCTCTACAAAATAATCTTGAAGAGTTGTTTAACTTATTAAATTTTTTGGAACCCGGAGAATTCAAGTAAACTTTCTTTCTTCAAACTGTAAAATAAAAGCTAACTATTTAAAATGTATACAGTGATATGGAAACGTTTTTGAAAGAGTTCGACGAAATTTCAAAGGATGAGCAAATATCAAGATTACATGAAATGTTAGCTCCTTACCTGCTACGTCGAATGAAAGTAGATGTTCTTAAAGATATACCTGCTAAAGCAGAGTTCATTGTCAGAGTTGAATTGAGTGAGATGCAAAAGTAAAATATCGTTACATTTTTATTTTCTTGGAAATGAATGACCTTATATTTTTTCGAAAACATTTACAGAAAATACTATAAATATATACTCACAAAAAATTATGAAGGGCTCAATGTCCGAGGATCTGGATCTCAAACTTCATTAATGAACATAATGATGGACTTGCGAAAGTGTTGTTGTCATCCCTATCTTTTTCCAACGGCTGAACTGGTAATATAGAATGAATAAATTGAAAATATTAAATAAACTATCATTTTTACCTCAGGAAGCACCTATTACCAGAGAAGGAATTTACGAAATTTCGAGTTTGAGAAATGCTAGTGGAAAAATGATTCTTATGTCCAAAATGCTTTCCAAGCTGAAAGAAAAGGGCAATAGAGTTTTAATATTTAGCCAGGTATAATAAATAGGCTGTCAAAGTAATATTATAAACAGTTGACAATCGACCAGATGACCAGGGTTCTCGATTTAATTGAAGATTTCGTTATTGGAGAAAAATACGCTTATGAAAGAATTGATGGAAATGTATCAACAGAAAATCGACAGCAGGCAATTGATAGATTTAATGGTGAAATGTTCGCATTGTTTCAAAGATATGATATTTATAAATAATATTTATTATAGACAAAACTTCCGATTCATTCTGTTTTTTACTATCTACTCGGGCTGGTGGCCTTGGTATCAATCTTGCTAGCGCTGATACTGTTATAATATACGATATGGATTGGAATCCTCATAATGACATTCAAGCTCTCTCTCGAGCTCATAGAATAGGACAAAAAAACAAAGTGATGATTTACCGTTTTGTTTGTCGAAACACTGTAGAAGAAAAGATGGCTAGAGTGGCGAAGAAAAAACTTATGCTGAGTGAATTAATCGTTCATAAAAATTTAGGAAATAAGGAAAGCAACGGTAAAGCTGAAAGCTTGAGCAAGTTGGAAATGAAAGCAATTTTAAAATTCGGAGCAGAGGATTTGTTCAAAGATGATAAAGAAGGAATAGTTGAGTATACAGATGAAATTATTGAAGAAATGTTAAACAGAGATCAAGTTGGGGAAGAAGAAGTTAAAGAGGGAATGAATGATTTCTTGAGATCATTCAGAGTGGCATCATATCAGATGAGGGATACTACTGATGTTGAAAAAGAAATAGAAGCTCTCGAGCTAGAAGAAGAAGAGGAGAAGAAAACAGAAGAAGAAGACCCAAACTATTGGGCTAGGCTATTGGAAGATGGACATCTTCAACAAGTACAGGTATGTAATCTTGTATCAAGTCGAAACTACGAAATGAAATGAAAAACATTAATTAATAGATCGAAAAACAAGCAAAAATAGAAAAAGATTTGATGATGGGTCGAGGAAAGAGAACTCGTAGAAAAGTAAATTATAGCGACACCACATATCCAAAACCAGATGCTGAAGATCCAGATTTTAAGCCCTATCATGATAGATTTGTGAAAAGGCGAGATGAAGAAGATGAAGAGTATAAGCCAAACGAAGAGGAAGTGCGTCTGGATTGTATGTCAGACTATGTCGATTCTAGTGATAGCGACGGAGCAAAAGATGGCTTAGAGAATAACGAAGCAAACAAAGGTCTATTTTTTTTGGAATATAGGATAAATATTGAATTTAAATTTTAACGTATATTTTAGAATCAAATACAAAAGTGAAACTACCACCAGTTTTGAGTACCTACAAAGGACAAACCTATGTAAGCTATCTGTCATTTTTTCGATCTAAAATAATACTCTTGAACTGTAGGTGCTGGGATTCAATAAGAGAGAACGATATCTATTTATAGAATTGGTTATGAAGTATGGTTTACCCCCAGAATCTATCAAGGGATCCATTTGGTAAGTTTCTAATCGTTTTCCTCTTAAAGAAGTCCTATATTGTAGATAAACTTGACAGGTGTGTTAAGGATTTTACAAGAAAACCTGAGAAGCACCTACGGGCTTATACTTATCTGTTTCTAAAGCATCTTAATGAACCAGTTGGAAAAGATCAGAAGAAATATTCTGATGACACTCCGATTGAAGGATTAAGCGCCCAAACAATATTCTTGCGCTTAGGAATGTTAGCCTTAATAAAAAGAAAAGTATTTGAATTTCAAGAAAACTTCGGTAGAGATTCTCTCGAATTTAAAGAAAAAATCGTAGAAGAAGTTGTTAAAATGGATAATGAAGCCAAACTTTCATCTAAACTTTTGTCTGTGCCTAAGGAGAATTCTATTAATGAGAATAAAGAAAAGGAGGTAGTTAATAAAAATACTAACAAAACAACTGAGAATATGGAAACTGATGACGGTGGAAAAGAGGGAAATGCTGAAACTACTGATGTTAAATCTCAATCTGCAGGATCCGACAATGATGAGGACCTAAAAATAATTGATGAAGTGATTCCAATCAAACTTAACTGTAAGATAAAAATTTACAATATTTTCTAATATTAATTACATGATAAAGCTTGGTTTTTTTTTTAGTGAAACTGCTTAAAAAATATTTCTTTATTGCTGATGGAAGTTTCAGCGATATTTCAAAAGTCTGGCATGTAGAGGATGGGATTTTAACGACAGAAAATTTTTTCACAACATGGAATCGATTCCATGACTATTGGCTTTTAAATGGATTTATTGTGTAAGTATCTCGCTGTGAAATGAATTTAGTTCATCTAGATCTAGAGTCGAATTCTTTACATGATCTAATACAATTGTAGACACGGATATCGAGCGTGGAATGACATTTTGGTAGATCCTCGATTTAGTATTCTCAAAGCTGCCATAGACAAGCAATGTGATCGTCAAAATATAGCAACATACCTAAATAGGCGATATCAGTGTCTACAACAAGCTCTAATCTCAGAAAACCATCTAAGGTTGGTTCTTCAGGAATATCGAGAGCATTTACTGAATATTCCTAGATGTGCTAAAGTGCTAGCACCAAACGATGAAAAAGTTGAGGAGTTAGTATACATAGTATATTTAATTTTTGTAAATAATCAGTATACATAAACTATAACATATTTAAGGTATGTGGAACTTGAGCGGCTGGCTGATTTATTGCGATCTATGGCTCGCCATCAAATTCCCATTGACGGAAATCCTGTTCTCTTAGATATCTTACAATCAGTAGATTCTATGGTTGCCGACATTAACTCTTGGAGTGTAAGTAACTAGTTAGCTTTCGTTTTTATTTAGCACGCTATATAGAATCATTGTTACAGGCGAGTACAAAAATATCTCCTACTTTAACGAGATTGCAGTCTAAGTAACTCAGAGAAAAAATGTACCAAGGGCTTTCTGTACTTGATTGTGTTCAAAATTATTATATTCTATACTATCCCAAAAATTTGTGAATTATTTTGTAGACTTTGTAAAGTAATAAATATTAAGGGAAAAAGTAAAATATTTCTATTTGAAATTTATTTAAATATTCACCAAACACATAGATATTTATATTCATAAGTTTTATTTCACAATTTAAAAATAATAAAATTAATAAATTTTAGATAACAAGAGACATTTGACTAATCAGTTTCTCAAAATTTTTATAATGTCACCAAAAGGGTGAAAAAAATTTAAATATTAGATTTCTTAGATAAAAAAAATATCTAATTCATAAACGAATCTTGGAAATAAACAAGTAAATTTTTAAAATTTAAAACTAAAAGACATGCATTAAACAGTACATCTCGTTGTTCATTCAAGAAGCTGTTCAATATTATTAATTAAACACCAATTCTGTTCCTTGTAATCAACCGGCTTGGCTCCAATGCAAACTGTTTTCAATCTAACTTCATCCTGTAAGATAAATGATTTGTTAAAGCTTTTTAGTATTATTATAGAAAGTATATCTTACATGATAGTGTTCCATTTTAGACCTCAGTCTTAAGTTTTTATGTTGAAAAGATAGATCAGAAAAGACATCTGCATAGGCAACTTTATCCTAGAAAACGTTAGAAGTAATGTTAAGCGATATTAAATTAACTTTAGAAAATATACTACCGTTTCGTATAAGTAGGCTAGTTCTGAAACAGTTTTTCCAAGGATGACTTCTGCTGTGTCATGAAATACTGTAACCCAAATCTGGTGAGTATCATCTGCAATATTCATTTGCAGCATAAGTCGATATTTATACTGATTAGTTGTTTGTTGGCATTTTTCACATTTATATTTATCACCTCCTTGGTCAATTAACTTTTTAATACACGATTCTTTAGGACATGCCTTATAAATGGAATTGTCAATTTTAACTTGTAAGATAAAGACGATGCTATTGAAATATTCAGCCTTGTCTCTACCAACATTTCCGCTCTTAAGAAATTTTAATGGCTTTAAATTCAAAGACTCATTCGTCTGGAAATCTTTTTCAGCTCTATACTCTTTAAGCTGAGTCTGTTCAGAACAATTGATATACCATCCTCTGAGATCATGCGCTTCAGCAATATCTGGATTCTTAAAAATTTGTGAAGAACTTATACAAGATAAGGATCTTCCTCCAAAATCAGAAACTTTAACGTATTTTATTGCAAAAATTGGATTATCTTTAAAATCATCTTTTTCGGCATCTTCCCGCCAAAATGTAACTGTTGAACACGTCCCAGTATCATCAACTATCACAACAGTCCTCTTGTGAATTTGTCTGCTGGTTTTCCTGCTCACAACAGATGAAATATCAGAGGCTTCTTTCACTATTCCTATAACATCGATTATTGAATCGGGCTCCTTAGTAATTAACTTTGACAGCTTAACAAAATTAAACGAAACGGATGGTAGATCCTTAATATCTTCATTATTGCATGGTTCTACAATAGAGTCTGACAGGAAGACTAGCTCATAATCATGAGATAAGTTATTGTATCGTTTATCGGATGTTTTAATTTGACATCTCGATATATAAAAACATTTGTCCTGTTCCAGAATATCAAATAATCGGTCAACTTCTGATCTAAAACCTGTTGCTTTTATTTCACCTGACTTGTCTCCGAGTACGCATGAAAAAAATTTACCCTCTCCCTTAGAATTACTCCAAGTTTTTATGCTTGTCTTTGATAGAACTCTTGCCACTATCTGCCATCTATTTAAAAATGGAAGTAATGCATCAATATTCATAACTTTAGCTGGAGAAGATTTTATCAAAGGTGAGCTAGATGATGCAGACGATTTCGCAATATTTCTATTTTCCATGAAATTTGGTTCTGATCGCATTTTTTTCGGTGATGGTTTATTATCATCAGAAGCTCCACTAGGTCCTGGTTGTGGATCTGTTGAGTGTCTCTTCATCGGGAGTTTGTAGGGCTCAGGATCCCCCAGAATGCATCCCACAGTTTCACCTGTTTGAATAATGTCTAAACTAAATATAACCAAGACTTTTTTTTCATTTCCTTGTGACGATCCAAGAGTATTACATACATAATTATTTAGCTGGACAATGCAATTGTCGGTTATTTCATTATTCTCTACTTTGTCACAGATTTGAGTTGCAAGCATTGCAGAAGAAGTGGAAATTTGGCCATCAGAAACAACTACTCTATAACGACTTGCAGATCCATTGGCAGCTGGTATTAGTTTGTAACCAATAATCTGTAATATTGGTTTTTCTGGTTTTTTCGTGCCTTGTATTATATCGATGAGAGATCCCTTTGTTAAATTCATTTAGTTTTGTTGTATTGAACTTGCGGGATCAAACAAAGACAACATTTTTTTATTTTCGTAAAAGTTTTATAAAATTATAAAAGAATACAAAAAATTTATTTTATATTAATTAATTTACGATTTTCTGAAAAAAAATTTTTAATGCGTAACAGCATTTCCGTTTCCGCTTCAACCGGATTTGTTTGTCTCAACGTGTTAAGATGTTTTGTTAAGATGTAATCTATTAGGAAATTTAACACTGTCAATAGGATATTTGTTAATGAAACATAATGTCAACATTCCAAGAATATATTCAGTCAAATGAAGATAGAGATGGAGTTCGATCAAGTTGGAATCTATGGCCTTCGAACAAAGTTGAAGCTGCAAAGATCGTAGTACCTGTCAGCTGTTTGTACTCTCCCCTTAAGGAACGACAGGACCTTCCGCCTATACAATACGAACCAGTTCTTTGTTCTAAGCAACAATGTCGAGCAGTTTTAAATCCTTATTGGTAAGAGCTATTAAGAATTTATAGAGATTGTACTTGAGAAAATTTCAATTGGTTCAAATTCTTATCAGTTAAGAGCAAATTGGAAAAAACTGTGACACAATTAGAAAAATAATACCCTAGTAGTAAATATATATACACATATATATATGTATATTTAAAATTCTCAAAAGCTAAAAATATTATTGAATATTTTATTTAAATAGAAATTCAAACGTGGTAGCATATGATTCATTCATTCATATGCTACGTGTTTATTTATAGCGTGGACAACGTCATTCTGATTAGTTCTCATATTCGTTCTTTATTTTATTTTTTAGCCCAGTGGACTACAAAAGCAAAACATGGATATGTATTTTCTGCTCTCAAAGAAATACGGTAAGAAGTTATATTTTTTAATAAAAATTACTTTATATTTGCATCGATTTTTAATTAATGTTTACAGTTTCCATCCCAGTACGCTGGCATTTCGGAACAACAGCAACCGGCTGAAATAATTCCGCAATATACAACTTTAGAGTACACTCTAGCAGTTTGTTGACCTTGTAATGTTTTATTAAATAATTGTCTAATATTTATGAACTTTATAGCGTTCTGCCGTAAAACCTCCTGTATACATCATTGTGTTGGATACATGTATGGATACAAGTGATTTGCAATCTGTAAAAGAATCATTACAGATGTCATTGTCATTACTTCCACCTAATTCTTTAGTTGGTTTGATTACTTATGGAAAGATGATTCAAGTTCACGAATTAGACGCTATAGACGGCTTCTGTAAAAGCTATGTTTTTAGAGGAACAAAAGAGTTGACCTCCAAGCAAATTCAAAGTATGTTAGGTTTACGCTCGGGAAACGTAAACTTTAAAAATGCGTCAGATGCCGCACCAGTTGGTCCAGAAGGATATCAGACATTACCTATTAATAAATTTGTTCAACCAATTGGTAAAGTAGAAATGTTATTAACGGATATTATTGGACAATTGCAACCGGATCCTTGGCCAGTATTGCAGGGTAAACGATCCCTGCGTTGCTCTGGAGCTGCCCTTTCGATAGCAGTCGGCCTTTTAGAAAGCACTTATTTAAATACAGGGGCGAGGGTTTTGTTTTTCGCTGCTGGACCATGTACCACTGGTCCTGGTGCTGTTGTTGGAGATGATTTGAAGCACCCAATTAGGTCTCATCACGATATTGAATCGGATAACGCAAAGTTTATGAGAAAAGCCATAAAATTTTACGATACTCTGGCACAAAGAGCTGCGACAAATGGACATTGCATTGATATTTATAGCTGCGCTCTTGACCAAACGGGTCTTTTAGAAATGAAAAACCTATCTAATTTTACTGGTGGGCATATGGTCATGGGAGATTCTTTTACAACGTCATTGTTTAAGCAGTCATTTCAGAAAGTTTTTGGTAGGAATGCTGCAAATGATTTAAAAATGGCTTTCAACGCAACGATAGATATTAAAACATCGAAAGAAATAAAAGTACAAGGTTGCATTGGATTATGTACATCATCAAAAGTGGCCGGAAATAATGTGTCAGATAATGAGTTAGGAATGGGTGGTACCAATCAATGGCGAACGGGTTCTCTTTATCCAAATTCAAGCTTTGCATTTTATTTGGATATTGTTAATACTCAGGCTGTACCCCAAGGTGCCCGAGGATATGTTCAATTTATAACGCAATTTCAAAATTCCCAAGGCCAAAAGAAGATAAGAGTAACAACAATAGCTAGAAATTTTGTGGACGGAACTGGAAACTCTCTGCATTTGGCGTCTAGTTTTGATCAAGAAGCAGCCGCAGTACTTATGGCACGTATCGCTGTCTTTAAAGGGCAAAATGATCAAGGAGCTGATATTATTAAGTGGACTGATAGAACCCTTATTAGATTATGCCAGCGTTTCGGACAATTTAACAAGGACGATGCGGTCAGCTTTAAACTATTGGATCAGTTTACTCTTTATCCCCAATTTATTTTTCATTTGAGAAGATCGCAATTTCTTCAAGTCTTTAATAATTCTCCTGATGAGACATCATATTATAGACATTGTCTTCTGGCAGAAGATACTTCTCAAAGTTTAACGATGATTCAGCCGATTCTATACGCTTATTCGTTTAATGGTCCTCCCGAACCGGTCCTCCTCGATACATCTTCCATAACTCCAGATCGAATTTTACTTATGGATACTTTCTTTCAACTATTAATCTATCATGGTGAGACAATTCATGCTTGGAGAAAAGCAAACTATCAAGAGAAGCCTGAATATGACAACTTTAAGCAGCTATTAGAAGCTCCAGTCAATGACGCACAGGAAATTCTACAAACTAGATTTCCAATGCCTCGTTATATTGACACTGAAGCAGGAGGATCCCAAGCAAGATTTCTATTGTCGAAAGTTAATCCATCTAACACACATAAAAACGCTTTCGGATATCAGCAGGTTAGTTGATAATTTAAGATCTTTCACACTTTAAATATACAAAATTTGTATTTATTCTTATTAGGATGGCGGTCAAGTTTTAACAGACGATGTAAGTCTTCAAGTTTTCATGGATCATTTAAAGAAGTTAACAGTCTCCTCTTCTTGAGTGTAAAAAGAAAAAACACAGACAAGCATAGGAATTTATCATTGAATTTTATTTTTTCTGCAAAAAAAGATTTTATTCCCATAATCATTCGATATAAAAGAGGTTTAAAGCATATAATTTGCAAAATTTGATGTAAGCCATAATCAACATTATATGATTCCAGGTGTAATGTTCAATAATACTAACAATACATAATAATTCATTAATGCACTTATATCTGCTATATTTATTAACTCGTATTAATTCATTTTATTTTTTCTCTTTAGTTCTAATCTTTCGAATTCTAACTTATTATTATATTTAAGCATTTCTTGTTATTTTCCGTTAATCTCTTCTCTCTAATACTCAGTTTGTTCTGAGTTATTTATTAATATCATTTTTCAATACAATAAAATAATTATGTAATGAATTTGAATAAAACAGTGTTTTGCCGTGTATAGATCAGAGGAAAGGAAGAGAGAAAGAGAGAGTGTGTGAATGAGAATACTAAAAAAAAATTAAAAACGTTTTAGAGTATAACCATTTCTTTATTCATTCGCATTTCTCTATGATTTCTAAGTGATTCATAACTCGGAATTAAAGAAGAGCCACACTAAATCAGATAAAAACTTAATAAATGTAGTTGAGGCAAACATGATGACTAGATGAAGGGCTTGGTCTTTTCATCCCAATACGCTTTTTCCAATTGATTTAAATTCTCTTCCAACATATGAACTTCGTCCCACTTACATTGTTGTTTAGCTTGTTTGATATAACTCTTTATAATGTTTATCTGTTGAAGCATCGGATCGTCGTTATCGCTTACTTGGGTTTCCGGCTTCCATCCATTCTCATCCTGCATACTAAGGTAAACGAAAGAGAAAAATTTATTAGTAGGAGTTTCATTTTATTATGAGCTTACTTTTTTGTATTAGGAAGCGACGCTTTTCTAACAACGATTTCAACCTTTTTGGAAGCATTATCTTTTTCTAGTTTCTTAGTCATTGCATCTTTTTCAATTGCAATTCTTTTTTCCAATTCGAGGTTCTTTCTTCTCTGAATTTCGTCCAATTCTTCTCGAGTTGGTAGAGACTGAAGACCTAGCATATTATCCTGCAGCCACGTAGCAGCTGCTTGTCTAATAGCTCTTCTTAATTGCATCGTCTTCTGGCCTAAATAGTATTACCAGGTCTAATTAGTCTTTCCCTTATTTAATAATAGGAAAAAAGTCTAAGTTGTGAAAATATCTCACCTGCATTTTGTTCATCAATCATGGTGGCTATGCGCTTACTGGTTTTGTCAATGCTATCAAAAATCATAATAAGCTTTTGCCTCTCACTCTCAGCCGATTGTAGACTGTACGTTTCGTCTCCGTCTCTCAGCGATTGAGCCATTGTTAGAACTTGTGGTATTTGGCGCTCAGCATCCATTTTATATTGACATAGTCTGGAATATAAGAAGTTCTCCATTGGAGTGGAATTACGAGTTTCCATTTGATCATGTCTCCTTTCTAGTAAATGGCTACAACGTTGGCAGGTTCTTAAATGGCTTTCGCCCTCAGAAGAAAATAGAGAATTCAAGGAGCCTGAGCTATTTGAGCGTCGGAAGCCCAACATTTCACCTTCCGGTTCGAAAGATGGATTAGTTAACTTTTCTGTAGTGGAATAAATAGATATTTCGATAAAAAAAGAATTAAGTCCATAGTTAATCTTTTATGACTTTTACAAGATAATTACGTCAGTTGCTTTTCTTCATTAAGATAAATTGAGTTGATAAATGTTTTTTAACAAGAAGTCTATTTGTATCATTTATCAATAGTTATTTCGCATAAGGTTTAATATATAAATAATATTGAAGATGAAAATAGACTGTTTATCAGTGAAAACTTCCTTGTTTTCTTCATTTTGCATTAAACAAATATTTGTTAAAGGAAATTTGGTACTTGCTTGCGAAACTAAAGGATAGGAATAATGAGCATTTTCCACAAAGAATTGTTCCACAAAGTCGGCAATGATGTCGGCGTCTAGCTAAAGTGAAGATACGTCCACAGCTTATGCATTTCGAAGCCTCACTGTCTTTTGTCCAGGGAACAACTGATTTTTCATAATTTTTCCTTTTAGAAGGCTCCATCGGCGCTTTGTCATCTATGAGTTTGTCTAATCTCAAGAGTAATTTGTTAGTTTCTAATGCATAGGCGTCTATCCTCTTTTCTCTAAGATTTTTAAAGAATGTAGTATGACTTGTTATTCTTCCTACAAAAGAAAAAAACCATAAAAGACATCTTAATTATTTACAATCTTGACATCATCTTCTGATGTTACTTTGCACTTGGTTTGTTACGTTCTTAATAGGCTTTGGTAAAACATACTTATTAAATTACTAATATAGACATATTTAATATTTTACAGAAGAAATGAGAGGATTATTAGCTAAATAGCAAGCCAAAAGTTCAATATAAAATATTACCTATTTCTTGGGGTTTCTCATTTACAATCCGTTTAGGTGATAAATTTATCGGTGTTTGTAAGTTATCCTTTACAATCTCTTCATTCAAAAATTTCTTCTTTGCTTTTTCAAATAGTCCTATAGAGTTTTGTACAAAATATTGCACACATTTCAAGCGATCACTTTCTCATCAATATTTATGTAAAATACCTTTTAGATGTTGTATGACAGCTACATCTTCCGATTTGTGTGCCTCTTCAAAGTGATTTTGTAATTGGGTTATTGTTCCTAAATCTTTTAGGCAAATCGGACACAAAAATCCTTCCAATACTTCTCCATTCATTTTTGCATAAAATAATTGAAAACGCCTCCAGTATGTAAAATCTGTAAGCACGCAATCCAACTCATATAAACTTAATTTTTTTTAATTTATCTAACTTTAAAAATCAGAATTTTTCAAAACCAAACATATTTATTCAACAGCTAAAACATTAAATATGAAATATTCTTAGTTATATCGACTGATTTGTTGTGGTGACATATTTATATTTTCGTAGTAAAAATTTTAAATTATATTTTATAATAATTTTTATTGTTTGAAAAACAATTAAGAATTCTTTTTAAGATTTTTAAGAAATCCTCCAAAATCATACGAAAATAATCCTTCCTCATGTGATACTGACGTCATTCAGAATTTTAACGATATCAACAATGTCTCTGAATACATCTCATAGCGGTTCTGGGGTTGTCCTTTATTTTGGAGAGAGGTATTTAATATATAAAAGAAATTGGACAATTAGTGATCGTTAATTTTGTACCCTTAGAATTCTACTTTTCTATGATGGAGCTGAATTGAAACTAGAAGGTCCTAGTAACGTTGTTCCGTTCAAAGGAACTAAGAAAGGCAGGATTTTTTTAACAACCCATCGAGTAAGTATATATTATTATTAATAAAAAAATAATCACATGATTTTTATTACTTTTAAAGATTATCTTCACTAATAACAATGCCAAAGATACATTACAATCGTTCTCAGCAGCTTTCTTGTCACTTAGCGAACTAGAATTGGAACAACCCATCTTTGGAGCTAATTTTATCAAAGGTTCAGTTAAAGCAGAAGCGAATGGCAATTGGGAAGGTAGAAGTAAACTTAAACTATGGTTCAACAAGGGTGGAGCTATCGAATTTGGAAGAGCAATGCTTGAATGTGGAAGACGAGGTAATAATTATTAAATATAACATGAAATAGCTAATATTTTCCCTATTATTTTGCAGCTTGTCGCGTAGCTCAGCAAATGCCTCCTCCCCCACCTTACACTCCACCAACAGACTTTTACCCGGCAGAATTTAACCAATACGCACCGCCACAGAATTCCGAGTATGGTTTTGTACCTTACAATCATTTCCCCGATCAACCTCCAGGTAAACAAAATTTAGAAATTGTTCTATTTTCCGAATTATAATTAACTTTTCCGAAAATATGCAACAGCTAACTCAGTTTACATGGCTACTGCACCACCACCATACCCAGGAATAGCTCCTATATCGCCAGCAGGTACTTTCTAAATTTTGAGCAAAACCTTTGCCTACTTCTGATCAAAAAAGCAGCAAGAAAAAGTTAAAATTAACTTAAAAATTTTCAATTGAAAAATAGTAGCGTCGACAAAAAGAGACAAAATTATTCGTATTAGTAAACAAGTAATATAACAATAAGTATTTATTCCAGTTAGTTATTCAGTTAAAAAAGTATATACATAGTACTAATTCTATATTTTCCTTTAAAGAAAACTATAACGATTTTATTTAATAGATGCTAAAGCCCAAGAAGCACATCAAGGACAAGCCTACTATCAAAATGGAGATGGGCATAATATGTATATGCAGAATGCATCTGCTCCAGCATATCCTGATGCACCTCCTGCCTATAATGATATTAATAAGAAAGATAATTAAAAACTTGCATTTGAATATTATTGTCATCTTGTGTGAAATACTATCTTGAAGTCATTTTTGATTCTAAAACAACACATAATAATTATTCATATATATATATATGTTCATACTTTATTGGATTGTAAATGTATTACTTGAATCTTACTGTGCTTTTCATGTCAAAAATAATATTGCCGAAAGTATATTATATAGATACTTGTAACGAACTTATTTATTAATAAAATCGTAGTATTTTCATCTTACCTTCATTTAATATTTTAGATTAACCATTTGCTGAATATACATGTCGAAAAAATTGCTTGAATTTTCAATCGTAAAAATTTTTATGATGTTGATCTATAAGCAATATTAAGCTAAATATTTAGTGTAAGGGGATGTAGCACAGTGGTAGTGCGTTCGCTTTGCATGTGAAAGGTCCCGGGTTCGATCCCCGGCATCTCCAATAGTTTTTGCATTTTTTTCCTGTTCTTTTTTATACTGTTACTTGTTTTTTTTATCTTATCTCTCTGGGTCAGTACAGAATTTTGAATAAGATGCGTGTTTAGTGTAAGGGGATGTAGCACAGTGGTAGTGCGTTCGCTTTGCATGTGAAAGGTCCCGGGTTCGATCCCCGGCATCTCCAATAACTTTTTGCATATTCCATGACTTTTAGCCCACCTTATCGTCCTTTTTTAAGGAAAACAATGTCGATCAATTACAGAACTTACAGGGAGAATCTGTATCGTTGTAAGGGGATGTAGCACAGTGGTAGTGCGTTCGCTTTGCATGTGAAAGGTCCCGGGTTCGATCCCCGGCATCTCCAATAATTTTTTGAATCTGTAATCTACGTGAAAATGTTTATCTTTAATAATTCAATCTTTAAGATTATAGTATACTATGCATTATAAAGCATTAATTTCTCAGTTAGGGGATGTAGCACAGTGGTAGTGCGTTCGCTTTGCATGTGAAAGGTCCCGGGTTCGATCCCCGGCATCTCCATAATTTTTTTCTGTATTGTTCAATATTTTTTATTTTTGTTTTCCGAGATTATACCGAGATTATTCAAGAGCGATTAATCTGCATTGAAGTTTCTGTAAGGGGATGTAGCACAGTGGTAGTGCGTTCGCTTTGCATGTGAAAGGTCCCGGGTTCGATCCCCGGCATCTCCAACAGTTTTTTTTGTAAATTTTCCCAAAAAAGATGACAACTATTTCAAAATTAACATTTTAAATCCCCTCTCATTTGTATGGTGCAAATGTAGAATCTAATATTCTATTAGTCTAATAACTATAACTCTTTTTGTTACATCTGTAAGGTCAAGCTGTAAAGTTCGGCAAAAACAAGATTTTTTTAAAGCTATATTCTCGGTATAAAAAGTTTACTTGTTACAGTAGAAAAACCATATTTTTTATCTAGAAAAGTAATAAAATTCTACATTTTACAACAAAATATTTCAAAAAAGGAGGTGTAATGACATTAATTTTAAATTAAGTGCTCTATTATAAAAACGACCTGACACGTGACAATGAATATGGCTGCTAGAATATTATTTTTATTATTAATTATTTTATGTTCTCAAGTTCAAGTTGTTTTGGCATTAGATGGAGGAGATGTTTTGGCAATTTTAGTTGGTTGTTCAATAGGTGTAGTCTTGCTATGTGCCGGTTTGGGGTGGTATGCTAGAAGAAGGGAACAATATTAAAGAGTTTCGTTTGTTACTTTAAATTCGCTGGTAAAAGTTAACTTGATGTTTATACTCATTCTTTCGCTCATACAATCCAGTTACAAAAATTTATAATAAAATTACGAATTGTATTTCAGTTTATTGATTGAATATATTTTGAAAAATTACACAATAAATAACATTCGAAATAAATACTTATCCATTTATCAATTTTTCCTGTATTTATTTTTCCTTGTTATACAGAACAAAAATAATCATATCGGACATCATAGTTTGGAACAATATAATGCCACAGGCGGTAATTGTTTGATATTTAGACTATGATTATGAATATGTCGAATGGGAAAAAACAATCATTTTAACAATAAAACAATGTGACAATGGAATAGATTTTAAAGAAAAAATTCGGATCTCACAAATTAAAAGCGCAGCAATTCGCTTTATTCTCTGAATTTTAAACGAGGCGTGTCGAACGAATAGAATCTTTAAGTTATATGAATAAATTATCTTTCAGTGCACACTGATTTTGCATATTTCGGCAATTTATCATGATAATAAACTTATGTGTACAAAAAAACCATGTAAAATGAAGAGCATTGTTAAGCGAATAGAACTTTTTTTGCTTCACATTTCATATTTAACCTAAATTTCAGTGTCAAGAACAACATGGCTTCTTATCTTCTGTATGTGTTTGCGTTGGTCCGACATGAATCGGCTCCATGCGATTAGTTTGCATATCGTCTTCGACGTTGTCTTTCAACTGCTTTTGTGATACAATTTTGTAGATCTCTGTATGAACAATGAAATAAGGATATAGTAAGGAAAAATGAAAAAAATCCTTCAAAACAATATTTAAATAATTTGCATTCACTAAAACTAAAATTTAATTCCCCGAAGCATGTTATTGACGAATAAATTGAATAAACGATTGTTTTTCTTTAGCGTCTTCCCTAAGGATTGAATTTCAGTATAAATTTACAACCAAATTGCACATTCGTTAAACTTAACCAGATGCAGACGGTCAGCTTATCTTTTGAATATTAGCGATTCCAGTGTAGGTTAAAACTATGGCTAGTAGCCTTACAAAAATTTTTACTAACCAGTGAGAATCTGCTGGAAAGCAGTTTCGACATTTGTTGAATCCAAAGCAGAAGTTTCGATGAAGCTAAGCGAATTTTTCTCTGCAAACGACTTGGCTTCGTCAGTCGGTACAGCTCTCAAATGGCGAAGGTCACTTTTATTGCCGACTAACATAATAACAATGTTATTGTCTGCATGATCGCGTAATTCTTTCAACCATCTTTCAACATTTTCGTAAGTCAGGTGTTTAGCAATGTCATACACTAACAAGGCGCCCACAGCTCCTCTGTAATAGGCCGATGTAATAGCTCGATATCGTTCTTGGCCTGCAGTGTCCCATATCTGAGCTTTTATAATTTTCCTGTCGACTTCAATTGATCTGGAAAAAGAGGATAATAACATAAGAAATAATTTATATCGTTGGTAATAATGTTCGGTTAATATTAATAATCATTAAGTGCTTTACCTGGTGGCAAATTCTACACCGATAGTACTCTTGCTTTCCAAATTAAATTCGTTTCGGGTGAACCTCGATAACAAGTTAGATTTACCTACTCCAGAATCTCCAATTAGTACAACTGTAAAAGAAAATATTTTTTATTATTCGCAGTCATACTATTTAACGACATGTCTAATAGTACGTGCTCAGAGCTAAATTCATGCATTTCTACTTTTAGCTACTTCACTCACAATCCTGACTTAAAAAATTGATTTCGTCTTGAAGCTGAATGCTTTTTGCATTCGCAGACATTTCATAATTTACTTAACAGGGTATTATAATAGAGTTAGGCTATTTTACAAATCAACACCAAGATATCTGATAAAGTATTTGTGAAACATTAGAACTTAGAACAAAGAGTTGATAAATGAAATTATAAAATGTCAAAGGCTAGATTGTTAATGGTCGAGTGGTTACTTTCTGAATGATGTCTCTGCATTTATGATTTGCGAGGAATTTTAAAACATATCAACCTTTCCAGAGTTCGTCATACTTGAAAGGATCCGAGTGGACTTCGGCCAAATTCGAGCATAAGACAATTTGATTGTAGGCGGTCATATCTCGTTTAACATTAATAATTGCACTAAACTATTTCTTGGACGTAAGCTTTTTATACACTGTCGCATTGAATTTCCCTTCCAACTTGGCAGATGTGACGAAATGCTTGTAAATACACCACTGAGTCACTGTATTGATCGTATGACTCACACCTTAACTAAGATTTGCTTTAAATTTAAACTAATTATAACTATGAAATAACTTTTAAAGGATAGTTGGTTGAATTTGTCATTACTAAGTTGTTATTGTATTTTGGTATCCCAAAATATGCAAATAAAACAAACAATCAGCTGACTAAGATTCGACTAGGTAATACGCAACTAAACTTAATCATTAATAAAAGTAAATTAGTACTATATTGGAAAATTTCTCGACTCACCCTTAAATAAATAATCGTATTCATCATCTTTGGAAGTCATAATTGCTAAGTAAAATCAACCAAAACAGTTTTTCACAGTAAAAACCGTTGCTATTAACCGTCTACGGCAACTTAAGAATTATACACCGGAATGTTCCAAAAGACTATTAACGTCTCGAAAAAATACGCCACTCTTTTTCGGTTCCGAAGGCTGATTAATTGGATATTTACTGATTTCGTCAGATGTATAATCGTTTTATCGCAAAATCAGTATGGCGAATCGTCATAACGCCCCACAGTCATAAGCGCATGCGCAGAGCAGTACTTCGAATACGTTTTCAAGTCGTTAAAACTCAGCTGAACTCGAGCCACACTATTGAAACCTATCTTACAGTATCCGCAATTAAAATTCGAAAAGGTCTGTACCACTGGACTTTCTTTGTAAAAGCATTTAAAAAATCTATTTCTAAGAAAGGTAAACTATATTGAGTTCATTTATGACTTGTATTTACTTAAATTTACTTCATATTTTTGAAACCGGGTTCTGAGCGAAAATACATTCTTAACGGACAAGCCTGATATATTACAAGGATTTTCTGTTACTATATCACTATCCAATACTTTGCAGATAGACCTATAGAATGGAGATTAATCAAACTACTGTACAAAGTCTTGTTGAGTGCTTAACAAAAACACTTTCACCAGAACGCTCCATAAGACAACCAGGTATCATGCCTTTTTTCAAATCTTGTTGAACATCAATTAACTAAATATCATATTTTATTTAGCTGAGAGCTTCTTGGAATCAATTGAAGGAAATGAGAATTTTTCTGTTATCTTATTGAACGTCATAGACTGCGATAGTATTGAATTTCATGTGAGAGTTAGCGCTGCTGTAACATTTAAAAACTTTGTCAAAAGAAATTGGCGAATTGTACGTAATATATCACATTGAATATCATAATTAATAACAAGTTTTCATCACCAATTAGGTTGAAGATGTTAACAAAATATGCGATAAAGATAGAAATTTTGTCAAGACCAGTATAGTTAATTTGATGTTGAAAAACCCTGAACAAATTCAAAAACAGGTAACTACAATTGACAGACTGTCAAATATTAGGCAATAATAACATGTTTTATCTTAAGTTAAGTGACGCTATTAGTGTTATTGGGAAAGAAGATTTTCCTATGAAATGGACGGATCTTTTGAAAGAGTTTTCCACTAAATTTCTTTCACAAGATATACACATCATTAATGGTGTTTTAAGAACAGCACACTCATTATTCAAGAGGTAAGTCAATCTAAAGTGACTGAAATTTTACTAAATTATGAAACATCTTCAAGATATCGCCATGAGTTTAAAAGTCAAGAACTATGGACCGAAATTAAATATGTATTGGACAATTTTGCAGAGCCTTTTACTAAATTATTTATCGTAAGATCAAAATTAAAAATAATGCTATAAATCAATTTAATCGATATCAATTGATAGGATATGATGAATATTGCCAATGAAAATGCAAGCAATCCGGAAAATTTAAAAATCATTTTCAGCTCTCTTGTATTGATTTGCAAAGTATTTTATTCTCTCAATTATCAAGTAAGTTTTTACCTCCTGACGAATAAAATTAAACAACTTAACAAATTATATAAAAAAAGGATTTACCGGAGCATTTTGAGGACAATATGAACATTTGGATGGGTCATTTTCATACCTTATTGACAATTGATAATAAAATTTTACAAACTCAAGATGATGAAGAAGCTGGTTTACTTGAACAAGTTAAATCACAGATTTGTGACAATGTTGCGTTATATGCACAAAAATATGACGAAGAATTTAGTTCTCATCTACCTGGATTTGTTGATGCAATTTGGAACTTATTAGTTGGAACTGGTCAACAAGTGAAATACGATCTCGTAATTAGATTTTAATAACTTATTTCGCATTATTTTGAACAACTTAAATTTTTTTCAGCTCGTATCGAATGCTATTCAATTTCTTGCCTCTGTGGCTGACAGAAATTCATATAGAAATGTTTTTGAGGCTCCAGGAACCTTGCAATCAATATGTGAAAAAGTTATTGTTCCCAATATGCATTTTAGAGGTAAGAAATTGATTAATATATACCATTTTATTCTAGTTATTGAACTTTACAACATCGTTTATTTTTTATCCGCTTGTAGAAGCAGATGAGGAAATGTTTGAAGATAATCCGGAAGAGTACATTAGAAGAGATATTGAAGGTAAATTCCTAAAATGAAAGTGCAGTAAACATCTAAAAAACATTTAAATTATCAGGCTCTGACGTTGATACAAGAAGGCGTGCTGCGTGCGACCTTGTCAGATCTTTGTGTCGAATGTTTGAAGGTCCTGTAATTGAGAATTTCTCCAGCTATATTCAGGCAATGTTACAGGAGTACAGTGTTAATCCGAAGGGAAATTGGAAATCGAAAGATGCTGCAATCTATTTAGTTACATCGTTGGCTGCGAAAGGAGCCACACAGAGACATGGTATTACTCAAACTAGTGAACTTGTTAACATAATAGATTTTATGAAGACTCATGTTTATCCTGATATTGAAAATCCGAATGGTTAATATCTAATTTACTTTTATAACGATTTTGCTACTTATTACATTGCTTTATTTGTTGTATTTAGTCAATGAAAATCCAGTTCTAAAAGCAGATGCAATCAAATACGTGATGGTGTTTAGAAGTCAACTTCGTCGTGAAGCTCTTGTAAGCTGTATACCTGGTCTTATACGTTTATTAACAGCGGAAACTCAAGTCGTTCATACTTATGCAGCCCACGCTCTTGAAAGAATTTTTACCGTTAAATTGGAAGATGGGCCAGCGTATGTGAAAATTGCTAATTTACTATTTATTTCTCATTTGTTTTTCATTCAGTGTGACCAAAGAAACGCTAAGTGTGTTTGTAGAACCGCTGTTGACGAATTTATTTGCTTTACTTGAAACTACTAAGTCAGCGGAAAATGAATATGTTATGAAAGGTTATATCTGTTAGATATTATGTAACACTATTCAAATTTCTGTTTTATCTACAGCAATCATGAGAAGCTTCAGTCTTTTACAAGAAAAGATAGCACCTTACTTATCTGGCTTGCTCCAAAAATTAATCGAGAAACTTATGCAAGTAGCCAAGGTAATAATGATCAATAAAATGTAATGAAAAATTATAATAACAATTCTTAACTAACAGTGGCCCAAGAAACCTCACTTTAATCATTATATATTTGAAACAATATGTGTGGCTATTAGAGCAATGTGTAAAGCTGATACAGCTGCCGTTGAAGTATTCGAGAAAGGACTAATGCCAAGTTTTCAAGAAATTCTTCAACAAGATGTCCTTGAATTTATTCCCTATGTGTTTCAAATTTTATCACTGCTCCTCGAATTGCACCCAGCAGGGGGTGGTGTGCCTGATTTATACATTGCTCTTTTCCCTCACTTATTACAACCTGTCCTTTGGGAGAGATCTGGAAATATTCCAGCCTTAGTTAGGCTCTTACAGGCGTTTATATCTGTTGCTAGTTCGCAAATTGAGGGTAGCAAGTTGGTGAGTTCGATGCATGAATTTATTAAATAAGATAAAAATAAATTGAAATTTATTTGTTACAGGAAGGATTACTTGGAATATTCCAAAAGCTAGTTGCTTCGAAAACAAATGATCATGAAGGATTTTACATTTTAAATACTTTGATCAACACAATGTCAAAGTGAGTATAATAAAAATGTTTACATTTATCAGTTTGCTTTAATGCTGTGTGAAAATAGGGAGCGAATGGAACCATTCATTCAGCAGATATTTGTGTTATGCTTTAGAAGATTAACAAGTTCCAAGACTACGAAATTTATAAAAAGTATGATATTTTAAACTAAGATTAATGTTTACTGTAAACATATATATATATATATATATATATTAATTCTTTAGGTTTCCTTATCTTTATGTGTGTTTTCACCATAAAATATGGAGCAAATGTCTTGATTCAAACAGTTGAATCTATTCAAGAGAAGTATGTAATTTTTTTCATCATTGAATCACCTAAATTTAAACGTATACCATTCATTTTTTAAAGGATGTTTGGTATGGTATTAGAGAAATTATTTGTGCCAAATGTGCAAAAATTGACAGACACAAAGGAAAAGAAAATTTGCGCAATTGGAATTACAAATATATTAACTGATGCTCCTATTATGCTTACGAATTTTCAAGCTTTCTGGTAGGTTGATTGTTGTAATATTTAGTAAATAACTAATTTTAAATGTCCGTATGCTTTTAGGGGTCAACTACTTCAGTCTTTAATCGGGCTTTTTGAATTGCCTGAAGATAGCAGTATACCAGATGATGAACATTTTATAGATATTGAAGATACACCAGGCTATCAGGCTGCCTATTCTAAATTGGCTTTTTCTGGGAAATCTGAGTTTGATCCATGTGCTAACGTAGAAAATCCAAGAATATACTTGGTAAAAGGCCTGCAAAAAGTTTCTCAAGCCAACCCTGGAAAACTACAACCACTCATCACTGCAAGTTTACCGCCTCAGGCTACTGATTTTCTACAACAATACTTGAATCAAGCAGGCGTTATGCTATCTTAAAATTTTGTTTCCTAAAACACCGAGAGTCATCTGGTTTTTTGAAAATCAAGGCGCAGCTGCCATTTTATTTATATCTGCAAGAAAGCGATTTTTATAAATAAAAAGTTCTCTAGTGTATTTTTAATTTATTGTATTTTTAATCGTTCAATCACAAACAAAATCAGTTTCTTCCAGTTATCGTTTGGATGGCGCTTACTTCTTCCTTTTCAGATGCTTCACTCTGTAGAAACTAATTTATTATCAAAAAAATTTATTGTCACTAAGTTTACCTCAAAACTAGTATCTTTTATATCTTCATCCTCCATCTTTATAGCCATATTTTCTGATTCATCAGTCTGACTGTCCCTAAGTGTGTCTTCCTGATCTTTTGTGTCTTCTTCTTCTTTTATTTTAGTTCGCCTTTCTTCTTCCAACTTTTGCTGATAAATTTTCTCCTGTTCAGCTATTCGTTCTTGTTCTTGCTTTTTAGCCAATTCGGCCAGCCTTTGCTCTTCTGCCGGATCCTTTTCAAGAACTTGCATCATAGCTCTGGCTATTCTGGCTTTCTGATGTGGGGGAAATTGTTTAACATGTTCCAATAATTTTTCTCTCAGCTCTCCAGCCACTTCAAATATTGATTTTAATTGAGGAGGAGGTAGCTGTAGTAATATACCAAAGCATTGGGGTTTCGTTCTTTGGCAACATACGATAAATCCTTCCCAGACCCGCTTATTTTTCCAAACACTTTTTTGTACTAGCTTCTGCATCAGTTGCATAGTGAATCCTGCTAATTTCGGATGTAAATTTAAGGCTTGTAATGCTGTTCGCATTAGTAGTGTAGGTAAAGGTGTTTGCTCGACCAATTCCTGCAGAGCAGCAATAATAGATTCCTGAGTGCAAACAGCTTTTTCTTGCAGAAGGAGACTTATTGATCGAATGACAATTTTTACATCAACGGTTTTTGAAGATTCTATATTATGCAATGCGACAAGCAGTTCCGACGCACTTAAGGGTCCAGTCTGACCATGAGACGCACCTAAAGCTCTGTTAAAAACTTCTTTTAGTACAATAGGGGCCAGTTGCATAAATTTTGGCAGAGCGTCTAATACTTCTTTTCTCTTTAAACCGGCCAGAACAGGTACAAGAAATCGAACATCTGATACTTTCTTTTCATATAAATCCCTTACTCTTTCAACAAGAGCTGGGGATGGAGCAACCCTTTCTGTTAGAACGTGAATAACGCGCGTAACCAGAGTCTCAGTGCCTTGGGGACATTGTTCAACAAATTGAAGAAGGTATGGGGAATCCATACCCATACTACGAATTGGTATCTCAAGGCTCCTTAACACTGTTCGTTTCATTTCGGCTGGAATCTTGGGATATATGTTCTCTACCCTAAAAGAATAAATCAATTAATTTTTCATACTTGAGATTTAGTCCCATAATATCTTACTCGTGAATTAGAGAATGTTTCAACGGTAGCAACAAAGCATACAAATTTAGGCACAATTTAATTAAATCCTCATTCCACGTTGGTGATTCAGTATAGGCGACCACTGAACTAAACACTTCTTTGGGAGGGTGTTCATCAAGTAAATAATTAGTAATTTTTAACGCTTCGGTTTCCATTTCTTGGCGAAATTCTTCATTAGAGATAAATAATTCTTTAATTATGTTTAAAGCTTTCGAGCGGATTTCATTATGAGGATTCATGGAAAACGCCAAAAGGTTGTGAAGCAAATTTGCTTTTGGTCTATAGAGAACTAATGTTTTCAATGTATTCAATCCAACACCAATACGGTCAGGATCTTGACAAAACCGCTGTAAAACTTGTGTAGCTTCGTTTGTAAGCAGAGGAGCTTCAAGAAGAATTCTTGTAAATAAACTGAAAAATATCAAATTTTTATACAACAAAGCTGATAATTAGTGAATATTACGTACGACTCTCCAGCATCAAATTCTTCTTGTAGTTGATTGAGTAACAGTGTAAGTAAGTTACCATATTTGCTTGTTTCAATGTCCTCTTCATCCGATTTAATAGCTCCATAGCCTTTAAAATTGGCATATTCCTGGTAGAGCCATAAAAGAGCCAAGTCACTTTGTTGTTTTATATCTTTTAGTATATAATCTAATAGAGTTGTTTTCATAGATCCTCCAAAAGTACAAACAAGAGATACAATAATTTTATTGATAGCTGTTTTCGCACCAAACTTTTCCAGGTTGTTTGTTTCTAAAACACGTTTAAAGGCCTCCAATGCTGTTTCATCCCTGGCACTATCGTCTAATTTAACAGTAACTTCGTGCAATTTAAATTTCTTGGCTCGGCGAACAGGTGGTTTGGGTTGCAACTTAGATTTATCGGCAGACTCCTGATTTACAGGTTTTTTGGAATCTGAAAAAAATATATTCCCTACAAGGATCTAAAATTATGAGAATATACATACCGTTAGCTGAAGTAGCGGGCTTTACGGGAGCTACTTGATCATCAACATTTTTGACTTCCTCTGACTTTTCTTTTCTTACTTTGCCATATTTACTTAAACCAGCACCAATGAACTGGCTAGCTAAGAGTTTTGAAACATGTTCAATCTGTTGAGGTGTTCCAGCAGCAGATATTGGTGTAAACGAAGACTGGAAGTGAGGAGGTATAGTATCTGGTAGAGCTACCATTGATAGTAAGACTAAGTCAGTGACGTTCTGTGGGATAAGACGAGGTAGAAGATCGCGTGCTAATTGTTCAACAGCGTCAAACTTTGAGTCTTCTCCCAAGGATATTTTATTTACATTGCCAGACATTTCATAATCATCCGATAAATCTTCCATATTCGCCTCCAAACGCGGTCTCTTTTCGCCAATGGCCATTTGCCTTGCTTTCTCATCACCTAACTTCCTTTTTCCTCTTCGTTCGTCGACTTTCGGCTGATTTTTAACAATTTCAGTTTGCGTTGCACCCAACCCCGATAACAATGTGGTTATTTGAGTATGATAATCTATGGAACAAGGGTGCCTCAACAGTGAAAGAAGTTGAATCTTTAAATCCTTGCGTACGCTGGAAACTTGAGATTTAGCAAGTGTAGGAGGTAAATTAACTATTATGAAATAAAAGAATACGTAAAAAAAATGGAATTAGCTTCTACTAATACGAAATCAAACCGTGAAGAGCTTCAAAAGCTTTTACAACTCTATCCATAAATTGCGGTCTTTGTCTGGCGATATTTGTCAACGATGCTATACAAGTCATTAGATTTACGCTATTTTGATGAAAATTAAAAGCGGTTACACGAAAAAAATATATATGTAAAACTTCAAACCTTGATATGTGTGATAGTGCTAAGAATCCTAGAAGAGAATCTAAAGCTTGCTTGCCTTCATCTTCTAATTTTGTCCATTTTAAGAATGAATGATTATTTGGAATACTGTCTAAAGTAGTATAATTTGCCGTTCGGCTTGTTAAAATAGAATCCTGTTTAAATAATAAAAAAATAATTAAACTTGAATAAGTTTTTCAAAAGAAAAATATAAATTTACTTCTGTTTTTTCAGATAAAACGATAGATAAGCCTTCTGTAAATTTTACAGCGTGGGTCCTTATGCTATTTTATTAAGAATATCATATATTATTAAATTATTAAACGAAGAGAATTTAGAATACAAACCCATCATTGACTGAATCTAGCTCATCAATTATTTTCCTTTGCATTTGATTTAAGAACTGCCAGGTATTTTCCATTTCTGTGCTGATACTTCTAGCAGATAAAATCCACTGCAAAAAACAAGTTTCTTCCATTGAATTCTTTCTTATAAAATTATATTATAAATATAATTACCCTTAAACAATTGCTATACACTGAAGGTAGAACAAGCATAACTTTTTTTCGAACATCGTTAACTTCGTCTTCTAACAATAGTGTTAAATGATTTATAACTTTAGGCAACATTTCTAAATCTTTGTCGCTGAAAAACATAAAAAGAATGACGAATTTAAAAAAAAAGAATATTAAATACATACCAAGCTGCTTCTAAAAAATTTAGAACGCCTTTTTTTACAAGAATGTAATTATCCGTTTGGAAAGCAACGAATTCCTACATATTATCAAATTGAAGAATTAAGATAAGGTAGAAAAAATATTAAAGAGCGGCAACTCACGTCAAAAAAGTTATCCAAATATTGAGGACATCGATTTACCAATAAGTCATGAACCTGATATTAATGTTATTATTTGGTATAATTAATGCTACCTTGTCATATTAAATAATGTAGTTTTGTTTATAAAATAACTCTGATTGAATATTTAAATTTTTTTGGTATATGAACGCATTTTGTTAAGAGTTTATGTTGTTTAAAAAAAATTTAAGCAGGTAGAAAACCTCTTACCATGTTCAAGTTTGCACATCTTTCATCACCGCTATGTAGAGATGATGCTTCGTTAATTAATTCCACGATCTAAAGGAAGGTCGTTATAAGATCCTAACGAAAATTGGACAATGTAAATGTTATTACCTTGTCATATAGAGCTTGGGAATCCTGTTCTCCATCAGGATAGAGAGCCATTAAATCATCTTCCATTGTACAAATAATGATTTTAGATGAAAAATTGAACACAAAATTAAATTAATAAACAATTGTGTACGTTTAGCAAAGACCGAAAACTCGGTGTTGCTAAATTTAGCTAGCGATTACTATTGAAGATTAGAGAAAAGAACAGTAACGCCATCTATAAATTTAAATTTGAAGAAAGTTCAAACGGTTCTATTTCTTTGCGGTATTTAGTCAAATTAGTTAGTTGCTAGGTCGCCATTTGTTTTGAAACAGTTGAATTTTTAGTACTCTCTTAAGTTGGATAGAAACAATTAAACTTATCATTAAAATATTGGAAACGTAATGAAAATAATACTTTTGGTTAGCTTAACATTCTAAGAGGGAAATGGCTACAGCTTTACCTGCAATTGGAACTCATGGCCAAAAAGTTGTTGCTTCACCTCCACCTTCTGCACCTGGAGGAGGAGAAAGACGATTAACTGCAAGTCCAATTTCTGTAGCCAATAAATTAGGCAAAAATCGAGTGCATGGTAAAAGAGACAAAGGTATAATTGTTAAAAAACACATATTTTTTATTAACTAAGTGTACCCTTATAGAAATTGTTCATCGTCTACACACACTACGAGCAGAACAACCCCTCCTAACTAAACCTGAAACAAGCGAATATAGAAATGAATATTATCAACAATTATGTATAGAGATTTTGGAAGAAGGTTATCATGAGGCTTTTGCAGAAATTTACGCGCTTGTTGAAAGGCAAGAAGAAACGAGAAGACTAGCCGGGCCTGAATCTACAATCTGGTCTCTCCCTAGACTACCAGAACAAACAGATCAACTAGAGGTTCTTCGCGAACATCTCTCTAGAGCAGAAAACTATAAGAGAGAAGAAAATTTAGAAGCAGTTTATGACGAGCAAGTGTGCTTGGCCGAGTTTTTCCAGAACTCTGTTCCCCATAGTCAATGGCTTGCAGAACATTTCTTTGTTTCAAGTTTAAAGACAGCATCTTACAAAGGCGGCTTAATCCAGGCTAAAGCTCATAGGGACGTTGGTCTTATCCTTGAGGAAAGTGGTAATGATAAAGAATCAATGATCCACCTGCAAAATTCCTACAGTATTTTAAACACTAGTGAATCGTCTGAATCCATAAACTTAAAAATTAAAGTATGTGAAGATTTAACAAGAGTTTTTACAAAAGTTGGAGATATTTACGCAAAGGAGGGTGACTTAAAGGCTCAGATTCAATATCTAAAGTTAGCTCACGAAAAAGCACAAGAAAGTTGTAATGCTACTTTGGAGGGAACGGCAGCTTATAGATTAGGTGTTTCCTATAACAAAAACAGACAGCCTGAAGAAGCACTGGGATATCTCAAATCATATTTAAATAGCAGTGAATCGAATAACGATGAGGCAGGAATTGGTTTGTATTTATCTTCGATTGGCTATTTTATAGGTAACAATTTATTCTATACCACATAGGTGAAGCTTGCCAGGAATTAGCAAAATCACACGAATTATCGGGAAATGTTGAACAGGCTATAGCTCTATTACAAAGACGCGTTGAGGTTGCTGAAAAGGCGAATGATGACGTCGCTATTGCCCAGTCGTGCTCGGCTCTTGGAGCTATTTTTAATTCCCTTGGTAGATATGCAGACGCCGTTGACTATTTCAACAAAGCCTACACAACAGCTAGGGCAGCTACATCGAGCAACCTAGATACCATCAGTTCTTCAAGAGTTCTATACGGCGTCGCCGCAGCACATAAAATGCTACCAAATGTACAAACACATGTAGATACTGCGTCTAAAGCAACATTATTAAAACTATTAGAATGGAAAGATCAGAGGATAGATTCTTTTGCTAATAAAGATGGTAAGTAAATTTCATTGACTTGCGTTTTTTCGTTGCTTTTCTTTGTCAATAATCCATATTGATATTTTTATTATCCATAGTCTTTATGCAATAAACTTATTCTAAACAACTCTCTGATAACTCTTTAAAATTTCTCTTCTTCAAATTTAATAGTAATAATGGATATCATATAACAAACGAACTATCTTTCAGATTAAAATTCCGTTGAAGAAGACGAATATCGATTAGAATATATCAACAACATATTTGAAAACTTTTACTAATGTATTCAAATTATTCAATATAGTTTTTTAAATATATAATAATTTCTTCCAACACTATATAATATGTATTTAATACTTTTTTTACTCTTAAGAGAAACAATTGAAAAGTCGATAATTTACCCGCCATATTTCATATATATATATATATATATGTCCTACGCGCATGCGCAATGTATATGATTCGATCGAAAATTAAAAATATTCTCTTTCTTTTCCACGAGAAAAAATATAATTAATAGAAATAAAAAGCAAAAAGTTAAGATATATTGTTTTTTATTAAAGAGTGTAAAAATTTCCTTAGACGCAAATAAAATACACCTAGATGTCAGTAGTTAGACGCCGTATAAAATAAGGGGCAGCGAAGCCAAACTAGTTTGACAAAATGGCAGTTGATGGCACATCAATTATGAATAACGCATTCAAGAAAAGCAAATGTTCGTTTGTTCGCGCGGATCATAGTGTATTAGTTAGTGAACTATTATCCCAAAGGAGACGAGGAGAATTTTGCGATGTTAAAATTTTAGTAAATGGAACTGCCTTTCCTGCTCATCGAGCAATTTTAGCTAGTTCATGCTTGTATTTTCGCTCCATGTTTACTGATGATGATAAACTAGGTTGGAGGGAACATCGTGACAATGAAATCAATCTATCCGATTCGTTAAATCTCAACTCTATCGAATCGTTCGAAGAAGTTTTGGATTATTTTTACACTTCAAGAATAGTGATTTATCCTGCCAATGTAGAAGATTTAATGAGACTGTCAGATTTTTTCCTCTTAGAAGAGTTAAAGGACTTTATAACCTGCTATTTTTTAAACCATGGAAATATTTCTTTAAGTAATTGTTTGTATCTTTGTATCATGGCAGATCGATACCAATTTTTAAAATTATATAAAACAACCAGGAAAATAGTAGAATGCAGATTTGCTGATTATTTCATCTTTAGCGAACACATTCTTGAATTACCAATTAACTATTTTCAAATGTTGCTAAGCGATAAAACACTAATGAAGTTCGTAAATACATCGAATGCTGCTCAGTGCGTGATAAACTGGGCGAATTTTGCATCTACAAGAGTTGATTCAGATAGTCTAAATTCTCTTCTGGAATGCTTAAATCTACAATCTTGGACAATTGCTGATATAAAACTGCTGAAAAATAGTTTAGTCTTTTCAAAACTTAATAATGTTAATGAAAAAATTACACTTTATCTCAATAATTCCACTAACTGCAATATTCCTAAAAAGCGACCTATAAGGCCTAATTCGTTAATGCTGCAGAGAACTTTCTCACCTGCTCTTCCAGTAAAACGACCAAGAAGTTTTCCTGGAGACAAGCTTTGTATATCATGTCAGAAGAAGTGTACCTATAAGCAATTGCTCCCTGTCCTACCAATCTTAGCTCAGAATGTTTTCTATAAGCAGGTACTCTTTCTATTTTATGACGTTACTAACCATAAATGGCTGGAATTAAAGATACAAACGGACATATCAAAGCTTATACCCGATAATGTTGGTATTGCTAGTTTATGTCTACAAAAAAATAAACTTTACTGCCTGTTATTGCCAACTGCTCAGCCTTATCCTATGCTCTTAGACTCCTTCGATATATTAATTATTGATATTGCTTCTTCTAGAGCGGACATCATGCTTTATAAGTAAGAAATGTATTATTTATCGGTCTATTATTTTTATATTTAATTATCCTATGTTATTCGTTTTTCAGAATCGGTCCGGCTTACTCCAGAGAATTAACGAAAGTATTCGTTCATCCTTCTGACTTGAGACCTGCCGTCGTTACTTGCCGAGGCTATGTAATAACGACACTATCGACTTGCGAACAAGATTGTCTAGCTTTATGCGATACAACATTGTTACGACGGCGAATATTGCTATATAATTTCCCCCGAAGATTACGCATTAGTGCCGCAAGAGCTGTAACATTTAAAGACAAACAAGTTTTCCTTTGGTCAAGATGCGAGGTTTCCGATTCCCCTATATCGTTTTTCTCGTTTGATATGGATTCGCGAACATTTATAGAATATGATCCACCGGCAGTTTCCTGTGATGAATTTCTTCAAAAATCTTATCTCCTTTGGACAGATAATGATGACATATGCGTTGGATGTCCTAATGAGGAAATATTAAAATTCGATGTAAATACTAGTAGTTGGAGATTGACTGAGGAACATTTGGGTGATATAGAAATGACACCGGGACACGAAATGACAAAGTTACAAGTTTTAGATGGAAAAATCTATGTTTTACAAACATGGACCGTCCACGCAACCAGTCTGTGTTTTTTGAATAATAATCAACCAGAAATGTGTAAAGCAGTTCCGACGGATGCAATTAGTGTTATAACATCGGGTTACTTGGAGAAGGATATCATCAAAACACTCTCAGAAAAGACAGCTTATGATGAATCTCTTGCTAACATGTTCTTTTCATCAGGATTTGCATCACAAACTCCAACGGCAACTCCGGGTTCTTGCGGAGATAGCGAGATAAGTGACACGTATTTTTATGATGAAGAGCTGGATTTCTGAGAAAAGATAGATAATTCTTCAATTCGTCTTCCAAAAAGAAATAATAATAAAAAAAGGGAGAAAGAAGGAGAGGAAATCCACTTATTGAACAGAAAGAGAAGATGACATCGATTAGATAGAGGCGGAGTTAATCTAAGAAGAGAAGGATATACTTATAGGGTAAAATATAGATCATAGAGACACGATAAAATTGCCCTTTTCTTCCTTTTTTTTCTTGTTTCTATAAACTTTCTTGGTTACAAATAAATATTTTAAAAAGACAGGACAAAGTGCTGAGTTAGAAATATCTGAAGCATATTTAATTTTGTCTTATCATCTGATTCTTTTCATTGTTTTGTTCTGTTTTACCCAAAATTTAATAAAAGAATAGAAATTTTCTAACAATTGAGCTTACTTCAAGCTTGACAATTCATTAATACGAATGAATGACAATCATTGAAAGTCAAATATATAGATTTTTATCTCAGTTCTTTTTTAAATATAATAAAAAGATAGACATAATACATTTCAATATTCATCAATCATTTCAATAAATTTATAATAAGCTTATTAAACTTTTCCTTAACAATTCTCAATATAAAGGTTTTAGTTATTTTTTTCTTAATAAAACCCTTCCAATTTGAACATTTTTGTCATTTTTTTCATTGTGGCCTTGTCATATATCAGAAAAACATCTATCGTGTGCTTTACCTATACATAATACGTAAGAAAACGTGGCCTAACTTAGAGCCTGTATGCTATGAAAACTTTAATAGAGGTGGTTGTCCCGTAAGCCCAAAACGTGACAAGAGAATACTAAGTTATAGGGAGGCAATAAGTCTGTATAGATGAAGAGGACATGTTTTATGGCTGCACTTTGGAATACTATTGGTATATTCATGCCTTAATTGTTGCTGGATGTTGGATATTGGGCTTAATAATCATACTACTTACCAGGGGACTCTTTTATTCATTTAGAAGAGCTGGGGAAGTTTTTGAATCACAGAATGGAGAATTTGTAATTCGATCTACGCCATCTGGTATTGAGGCAACAGGATCGAAAATACGATCGTTTTCTGCTCAAATAATTAGAGGATCTACAATCTTATCAAAGATTTATGTACGTCAGGAAAATATTCTGATTATCTTCAATCTTGCGTATCTTAACTCAATAATACAATAACTAAAACTTACTTTTCTATTATTAGATTGGATTTTCGTTAGTGATGTATTCCATATCAATTTGTATTTATTTTATTGACGCTACAAGGTTTATATACTTTAATATAACAATCATAATATAATGGTATTATACTTTTCGAATTAGTTTTGAAAGGGAGAATTGCGGAACCGTCGTGGATAATCCAAAGCAAGTAACGGATATAATATTAAATGTTTTCTTTATTATATTTTTTACAATAAGGGTAGGTACGATATTAATATTTATATATTGATTATATACAGTATATTGTATGTACTTTTGTTTTTTTTCCCATCTATTAAACAAATATCAGCTAATAGCAGCCAGTGATAAATTACAATTTTGGTTCGATTTATATACTTTTGTCGACTTTGTGACAATCATTCCTACCTTATTGTCGCTGTATTTCAATAGAAATTGGTTGGGATTTCGATGTATGAGAATGCTTTACTTTTTACAACTACCAGAAATTCTCATCTTAACACATATCCTTAAAACAAGGGCAAAAATACGAATTATTCAAGTATTTACAACATTCATTACGTTATGGTTTATTTGTGCTGGATTTTTTCATCTAGTAAGATTAGATTTCCTTATGATTATTCATAATCAAAAACATTATTTAAACAGTTGGAAAATAACGGTGATCCTATGGAAAGATATGCCAATTTTCAGAAAATTCACTATTGGCAATGCGTTTATTGGCTTTTGGTAACAATGTCTACAGTTGGATTTGGTGATGTTCATCCATCTACTATACTGGGACGAGCTTTGATGGTTTTATTTATTATTGGATCTTTTGTTATGTTTACGAAATCCATTCCGGAAATTGTAAAATATTTAGGAGAATCGATGAATAGAAGACAACCCTACGTAAGATATTATGGTCGGCGTCACATTCTTATTTGTGGCCAAGTAACGACGGGAAACGTTCCTAATACTGCATATTTATTTCATGATAAGGAAAATGCAAAAGATATTGATTTAGTCTTTTTAGGAAAGTAAGTTTAAGAAAAAACTGAAAGTTTGTCTACTCTTTCTGTTATATCTATTTCCTAAAAGGAACAAAATAGATTGCGAAATTGACGCCTTCTTTAAGAGGTGTTACCGAGACGTCGCGTTCTTTATTGGGACTCCATTTGAAACTTCCGATCTAAAAGACGTTAAGGCATCTGAGATTAGCATTATCCGTTTTATATTCTAATGCCAGTTTTTTGTTAATTAGCTCCACTACGCGGATAGTATAATCATTTTGGCAGACAGACAATCTAAAACTCCCTATCAAGATGATAAAGAAAACATTCTGCAAGCCATCGCTATAAAAAGCTTTTATTCCGAAGCAAGAATAATTCTACAGTTATTAAAAGAGGAGAGTAGGGTACTTATTCGAACATTCAACTATTAAAAGAAACAACTACAATATCAATTTTACAATTGTTACTAACAGCTTTATTATGTTCTTTTCAGTTAAAAGTTCTCAATATTGCCTCATGGAGATGGCAGGGAGACAATAAAGATCAAATAATATGCTTCTCAGAATTGAGAAATGGTATTTTAGCTCAAAATTGCATGATTCCTGGGTTTATTTCATTATATTTGAATTTATTTATTCATAGAAATCAGGTTTTTATTATGTTCCTATATATACAATTATATATACTGTATCATAAGCGTACTAGTTTATGGACATTTTTTCTTTTAGGTTTATTGCAAAACGTTAAAGACTTGGCAAAATTTATATCTTAATGGAGCGAATCATAAGATAAAAGTCATTCAGAATCCACCAAACAGTTTATTGAACCGTCTATTTTTCAGTGCTGTTGAGTAAATACATTAAAAATTATTAAATATTATTACACTTTGCTAAAATGTATTGCTTTAAAAATATTGAATAGATTATGCTGGCAAAAGTTAAATATTATACTATTTGCTGTTGAAGAATCAACAAAAGATGGTTCCTTTACAATCTTAAATCCGGGAGCCCATTATAAAATAACTGGAGAGATTAAATTATTCTTTATAACACCAAAAGATTTCAGCTTAAGAGAAGGGTTCACATATGGCAATTTCTTAAATATATTAGTTTTTTATTATCAATCATAATTTCAATTTTACAGATTATCAACACTTGATGGAGGTATTCATTCTATTTTAGTAAAATATGCTACTAATGACGAGACGGAGACTTTAATTAGCTCTCATTTCCTAAGTAAATTTGGCGAGAGGTTTGATATTATATTAATAATTATGAAATTACTAACTAATTTATTCTTTTTCCTTCCTTCCTTCTTTCCTTCTTTTCTTTCCTCCCATCTGCAATTATAGACGATCTTCGTTATCTAAGAAATTATCGAGAATGACTTCTATTGTTGACTATGAAAAATATCATATTGATTATGGAAAATCTATGGATAAATGTACAATAAGAGGCAAAGTTTGTAAAATAATACGATTTTTAATCCAAAAACGAATTGTTTAATTAATTGAATTTAATTGCAAATTAGAATAAACTTAAGTTACAAGATCACGTGATTGTTTATATATCAGCTGTTTCTACGAAATTAAATCTCCTACAATTCATTGTACCGATGAGATATTCCTCTATACCCGAACAGGATTTAATTGATATTGTATTGGTTTGTGATTTAAAAACAATTGAAGACGAATGGGACGATATTTGCTACTTTAAGAATATACATATTGTTCAGGTAATTTAATTTGATAGGCCTGTAAACGTCGTGTAATAGATTATTTAGCATTTTTTATTTCATTTCAGTTAACTAATGGGATACAGCATGATTTTAGCACAGCTAGTATAACAACTTGCAGAAGTTGTCTTGTATTTACAGCACCGGAAGTAGATGATGCCGATGTGACTTTGGCAACTCTGGCGATAAAAAGTATGTTAACAGAGTTGCATGCAGATGTTAAGATTTGCTTGCTAACAAGAGCTGGACATACTCCAAACTCTTGGACACATAGATTTCTTTCGGAATCTTTTATACCCGTTATATCATCTCTCGGTTCGACTATTTCTTTTAGATGTATACAATTAAATAATAATTTTCTTATCAATTTCAACGTAGATACCACGTCAAACATTCAATTCTTAGAGGAAGATCGAAATGATTCTTCTTCCATAGTTACAACAGCATCATTTGCCGGGGGTAATGTCTTACCAGGATGCGAGCTAGATGCTTTCATAGCCTCGGTATATAGTACATAAATTATTGTTTGTTTGCTTATTTTGGATTCTTTCGAATAATTCTACCGTTTTATCTGTTTCATCTCGAAAAGGCCTATACAGACTCATCTTTGATGACTATTGCCAAGGTTTTAGCAACAGGACGAAGTGGTGAAGAATTACATGAATTAATAACAAGGCAATTAGATATCAAACTAATCGATCCTGATCAAGGAAGAGTAGTAAATATGCCAATAAATGCTCCACCTCTATCACTTGCATATGAAAATGTTTGTATAGTTTATCAACTAATTGAGAATGAGTAAAATCTTATTAAATTAATAGACGGAAACGAAAGATTTTGGGTCGTTTTTTACCAAAGTTCTTAGAGACTTAAAGATTATTTGTCTGGCACTTTACAGAAGAATCTCGGAAAGTAGTAAAGCCCGCGTAACACTAACCATGCCAAAATCGACTCTTCCTATTCAGAAAGATGATCACGTAAGAAATATCTTATACAAAGAGGGAGACCTCTTTCCTCAATCCAAACAGTCTTTTCTCCTTAAGGAATAATCAACCTAAATAATGAGTGAATATTTAATTAAATACTAAAGATTATTTACTTTTATGCTTAGATTAACAGAGAATGACTTGGATTGGAGAGGTTTCTTTGAAAACTGAATAAATAAATTGAATCTTTTTCCATTAACTTTTTTCAGGTTATTTGTCTTCTTCCATGTAAAGAAGGTGACGAAAATCTTAATTTTATAAACAAGGAAAGACAATAATGGATATAAATAAATAAAAGGATACTCTTTTCATGATTTTCTTGACATTCAATAGTTTTCTAACCGATTAACTGGAAAGAAAAAAACCTATCTTATTCTGATTATTCATTCTCCTGTGAAAGATAAACTAGTTTACTTTTACTAATAACGGTAAATTTTGTTGTAACACTTCTCTATACCACTATGAATATGGTTGATTATATACTAATAGAAGTGACAGTACTGTCACTTTTCTTGACAACTTGTTCTTCAGTCATATATATATATATATATATATATATATATATGAAATTTTGAAGCCTATAATTAGATATAGGAATTTTTATAAGTGTAGAAAGTGATAAAGAGGAAAGTCAATTATTGAATTATATTTAAATTTCCCGCCATATTAAGTAAACGGATGTTTTTTAGTACAGTCTACAAGAGGCTTTAGATTATCAATTGGCTTGTTTCATATCATTTGGTTTATTTAAACATGTCTACCAAAACGTGGAGAGCCATAAAATTTAAGAATACGGCTTTGAATAGCCTACCATTCGATAAATCAAAAGAATATAGAACTCATAGACAAGTTAAAGGCTTCTGCTACACTAAGGCTGACATCACGCGTGTCAAAGATCCTCAGCTTGTAGCAGTTTCTCCAAACGCACTGAAAACTCTCGGTTTAGACGAATCTTGCGTTAAAGATCCCGATTTCGTAGAATACTTTTCAGGGAACAAACTTCTAACTGGTTCCGAAATTGCTGCTCATAGTTATTGTGGACACCAATATGGTTTTTTCTCAGGTCAACTAGGCGATGGGGCAACAGTCTATGTTGGGGAGATTGACAACAATGGACAAACGGTGGAATTGCAATTAAAAGGATGTGGTCGAACACCCTTTAGTAGAGCTGGTGCTGATGGCAGGAAGGTACTAAGAAGTACTGTAAGAGAGTTCCTTGCAAGTGAGGTAACATACAAAATTAGTGTAACGAACAACGGTAACAACAACAGAATAAAATTTTAATTAGGCAATGCACTTTCTCGGTATACCAACAACTAGAGCTGCAACTTGCATCACATCTGGAACGTTTGTTGATAGAGATGTAAGCTACGATGGTAATCCTATTAAGGAAAGAGTATCTATTTTGGGAAGATTTGCTCCAACGTTTCTTAGGTAGTTCGTCAAAAATTTCATGAATAATAATGAGAAAAGAATTTAATGGTTTTAGAATTGGTTCCTTACAAATTTGCGATCCAGCAGATGAGGAAACGAAAGCACATGGACCATCTTGGGAAACCCCTCACTTAATTGAAAACATTTGCAATTATACAATTGATAATTTTTACCCCCAGGTACTTTAGTTTGTTTCAATGGTACTTTATCTTTTTGCACTCTGTAGATGAATTTTTTCTCTAGTTAGCTGGTCCAACTATTGATCAACGATATAAGGAATTTTTTAATGCCGTTCTTTATTCTTCTGCCAAATTGGTCTCTCAATGGCAATCAGTAGGGTTTTGTCACGGGTAATACTTTGGAATTCTCTTCGGCTTTAATTTAATGAAATCATTCGCAATTTTTAGAACTAATAATACGGATAACGTCAGTCTGGTCGGAGTAACACTTGATTATGGTCCTTTCGCTTTCCTAGAAGAATATGATCCAGATCATATATGCAATGCTTCAGGTATATTATTAAAGCAATCTATACATTAAGAGTATCTTATATACTTAACAGATCACTGGGCTTTGTTTAAATTTGATAAGCAGCCAGAAATGATGAAGTGGTCAATACAGAAATTAGCTAATTCCATGTCATCACTCTTTACTACTGAAAACTCTTCAATTAAGATTGATATGTTTGATGAAGTATATAAAGCAGAATATAGGAAAATCATGTTTAAAAAGGTTTAAATATATCTTCTTCACCTGAAAGAAATTTTTTCAACTATATTAAAATTTCCTGTTATTTTTTCAGCTGGGTCTTTTCAAAAATGAATCAAAGGATGATGAATTATTGGAAAGTTTATTAAAAGTTATGTATATTACAGGAGCAGATTATTCAAAAACTTTCAGAATTCTCTGTGAAATTTCGGCATCGTCTAGCAAAGATGAAGAAGTTAATTTAATTGACAGAATTTTATCTCTCTGCGCTGATTCAACAACAATGAAACACATATATAGAAAGAAAGAAACATCGAGTTCTGAGTTAGTTTTATTAAGTGTTCATAATTCTTTCTAAATATAAGATATTAAATCGTTTCGTTTTACCTCAGGGCTATTGTTCGATCTATGTGGATACTTCAAACTCGTCCTGATCTTGTTGATAAATATGTAAAAAAGGCTGAACAAGCAACGCTACAACTTAATAACAGACAGATTGTTAGAGACGTTCACAACATAGCGAATGATTCCAAAAAACAACGTGACCTTATCATGTGGAAAGAATGGGTGTCAAATTATAGAGAGAGACTGAAGAGTGAGACTGTGTCTTCAGAAGAAAGGTCAATATTGATGAAAAACATAAACCCCAGATTTATTCTAAAGAATTATATTCTTCAACGTGTGATTGAAGAGACTGAAAAAGGAAACTATGATGACGTTAATACGGTTCTGGAGCTAATTTCTCATCCGTATGACGATTATCCTCACAATTTCTGCAGCAATAAGAGTCTTGGACAGAAGTACGTTGCTTTATACGACAAGGGAAGACCACGTATTGAACTAAAAAGAAAAATTACGTGATCTTCGTAGAGACTTAATATAATGAATGTGATCAATTCCAATCTCAAGGAGAAATAATGACTGTTTTAACAGAAAGTCACAAAAGACATGTTAATTCAAGATAAGGAATATCTATCACATTCTCATAGTTTATATCATTCTTTTTTCCCAAAAATCATTTATTTTGTAAGAGAAAAATAACTGGAAGGAGTAACAATTCAAAAATTTTGTAAACTTAAATTTCTTATAAACAAACAGAGCAATTGATCCCCTGAACACCAATTTTTGTAATATAAACTCTGCAATCCATTTGTTCTATTTGAGAACTAAGCTCTTTTAATTCTTTCTCTGAAAATGTAAATAATAATAAATAATAAGATTTCGGTTTTTAATAGTTAACAATAAAATACCTGGGAACTTTTCGGGTATTAGAACGAAGAGACAACCACCTCCTCCTGCTCCAGTTAGTTTCCCTGTTATCTTAAACATTCCAGCTGCCTTTAAAACCTTAGTTATTTTTTCGTGACCCACACCAATTCTATCCAGAGCACACTGATTTTCAATAATACATTGTTCAAATTCTTTAAACTTATCGTAGGACATATTATCTTCAAAAATATTTTTTGCTTTTAAAGTAATTTGATCAAAGACATGCATTTCTTTTTCATATTTAGATTTGTTGGTCTCATATCTTTCTCGAACACCTTCAACTATTTCCCTAGTGCTTCTGTTAACTTTTGTATCGATTAGTACAATTCGAAAAGTGGGCATTCGGACTCTAGTAAAATGACCAGATTTAAAGAGCATAGCACCTCCATAAACTGTTGTTGCATTATCAACTCCAGATGGATTTCCGTGTAAAAGCTTTTCGCTAATAAAAGCCCATTCATTTACTAAAGATAAATTTATGTTTTCTGGATTGAATGGCTCTTGACCACTCTTGGAATGTAGGAGGAAGGCATAACTTAAGCAGGATCCAAAAGAAGCGGATGAACCCAATCCAGCTCCTATAGGCAATTCCGTCGTAAAGGCTAATGATAATCCTGAGTTCATTCTACAATAGAAGGTTGAGTCATGAAAGAGGACAATATGAAATAATTTTTTATGTATGTTACCTGTATCTACATATACAAAGAAATAGCCAAACGGCTGATATTTTTGCTAGATCAAGGGCTTTCCATGTATCTGATCTGCTGATATTTAACAACTGGCACAAAATCGTGAAGTCATCGTCGGACGGCTCCTGAGGTGTGTTGGGTAAATGTAAACGGTGACTAAAAGACACCAAATCAGATAGTTGTAAATCGATAAGCCAATCACGATTGAGAAACACTGCTTGAAAGTTAGGTTTTTCAGATATTTCAATTGTTAAGTTTGTCCTTAAGTCCACAGCGGCTGCTAAAGCATGCTATGAGAAGAAACTCTGCTATTATCGCTCATGGAAACAATTTAAGACAAACCTTTCCATAAACGACAGCATGTTCACCGTGTAGTATTACTTTACCGGGAGAAGATATCAAATATTTCATAGTTATGATTTAAAGAGTGGCGTATAACAACAACAGACGAGACATGAAGAACAGCTCAATCGAAAACAATGAAGTTTTGCTTAATTTCGCAATAGAAACTGGTATGACTCAATATTGCGAAGGCTTTTACTATACTATCTCAACAAGTTGGTAGTTTTATTTGGGAGGCACAGAAAATTTATTCACATTAAATTTTTAAAAACACGAAAAACTAATAAAATTGAATTATTACAAAATTTTATTTTAAAAGTAAAATACATTAAAAAAAGGAAATTCCTTATATTAATAAATATAAAATATAAGTAATTAAAACAACAAAATGACTCGCATAATTAAGTTTTGACCATTTAGAGAGTGTGTAAGTCATACTGTAGCCCTGTAAAGTAATAAAACAGGTAATGATAGTGAATAGTGAATATAAGAAAATATTGAGTGAAAGAGCAAAACACTTACGCTTTCAGCTTGCTCTGGATCACTACTATCAAACATCAAACCAAGATAAGCAAGATGGAAAATGGCTAGACAACCAAAAAACACGTTCGCACTTAAAACGTAAGATTTCCACTGAATAAGAATAAAACATAAACTTGATAAAAATGTAAATGAAAAAAAAAGGCAGGATAGTTTACATATTTGTTTTGATGATTTGGACAGTCAGATTGTTTGCATCTCTTAGCCATTATACATGAATTGAATAGATTTGCAAGTTTTCTTCTTAATGCTGTTAAAAAGAATAATGAAATTTTTCTTAATTTGAAAGAGAAGTATTTTAATTACCATATTCAACATAACTATAGAATCCCAAGGATAGTAGAACAGCGGAAAGTTGAAAATTTAATCCATGAAGTAAGGAACTAGCTGCATACGTTATTAGTATAGCAAAGAAGTATCCGAAATGTTTAACTTGATTGAATACATCTGTTGGGTTTCATTAAGATATTAAACATATTTATACAGAAAGCTTCTACAAACATTTTCTTAACCAAGTGTGCATTGGGAGATTCCAAGAAGTGACCACTTCAACTAAAGATCTAGGAAGTTCTATATTCAGCGGTTTTACAACTGTAATATCCCTAGAGGCGAGTAAAAGCACAATAACATAACTTCAGATAAATTTTACAATTACCTTCCTATACCGGAAGTAAGTAGAGTACATTCCGAGAAAAAGCAAACGAAGTAATGGCTAAATCTGAATGACTGCGCATCTCGATAAGCTAATAACCATCTGGAAAGATAAATGTTGAAGTAAAATATTCATTATGTATTTACAATAGAAGAATAATTTATACTTATTTGTATCATCAGGTATAATCCATTGGAGTAAACATGTCGATATTGCAAGAAAAATTTGAGATAGAGTTAGACTTTTAAATAGTTTAAAAACCCATTCTCTGTCAGATTTTTTCTCCCTTGTTGATATATTTGAAGTATACTGTTGAAAGGAGATCCATGGACCAAATATTACACTTCCGGTGTGAAGAGTGTATCCAAGAAAGCTTATAAACTTTGGCAAGATAATTTGATTATTGTCAAGGTCGATAGATAATGAGATTAGTTTCATAGAAAGGATCATTTGAGAACCTCGAACTTGATGCCACTTTTGAGGTGAAACCATATAAAGTTCGCTACAGGAAACGTTCTTTAAAACTTGAGTTAAAATTAGAAATTAAGATATCCTTACCAAGTTATTAAATATAGGAATATTACACATGAAAGTACTAAACCAGTGTATCCTTTACAAAGACACACGGCAGTTCTTATAACGAAATAGGCAAGAAATGTTAATATGATGATGTATGTAAGATTTTCTTTGAAAAATTTATGTAAAGCGATAATACCACATACAGCAGAAGTTGAATGGATTAGGAAGTCCGTAAGGTTGCTTTTATCTAAATCTATTTAAGAATAAGAATGTTCCATAAGAAAAAAAAGCAACTTGTTTTTTGTTGAAGATCAAATATTTTAAATATTAATATTATAAAGATTTAAAAGTTTCTAATATAGTTATTACTTACGTTTTATTAAAAGTCTAACAGTTATTTTCTGGATAAAACAGAGGCCTAAAAGAGGACCAATATCAGACCATATTTGTTGTAGAGTAACTAGAACACATTGAGAAACTAGATCAGAAAATGATAAACTATCAAAAAGTTCATTTTCATTTTGAAATTCATCAAACAAGTAGTAATTATCCAAAGCGTCGTTCGGATTATCAGTATCTATTCCTTCATAATAACTATTATCCACCTCAAAGGAGTTGTCGAAATGCATATTATTTATCATAGAAGTTTACTTGAAGATTTAATAATAACGATAAAAAAGGTTAGAAGCTATTTAATACTTCAGAAATCAAGTGAATATGAATATCTCTCTCACAGAATGTGATTGATTCTTGTTTTCTTTGGCTAACTTACTAATAAAGTTAAGTTTTATCGCTTGAGCGCCATTTTTTAATCTTTATTTTGTTTAACATGGAATACTATTCCGAGTAAAGGTTTAGCAAACAACTCTCATAACTTTCCTTGTAACCAAACAGCGATAAGATAGGAGAAATTTTGTTTCCGGTGTATAAAGACCACGTGACAACCAGTTGCGAGATTTCTGCACTTTTTTGTTTCCCGCCAAAAAAATAGCTTTTTAAAACGCTTATTGACAGAAATACGACACTAATATTCTGTTTTTAATAAAAGATCACCTCTGATAACTCAAATGGTTCATTATTTATTGATTTTAAATGAACAATTCAATAAAAGCACATAAAATATTGTCATCTGAAGTTGAATGTAAAATCGAAATGGTATAAACTTATAGATAAGTCGAAAACCTTCTAACAATATATGTGGAATATTATATGACTTAATCAAATTTTTCATGAACCTCCTGTTCAGTTAAGCCACAAGGATATGTAAATTCTTGTCCTACTGAACGGAACCATTTATTAGCCACTATAAATGACAGAGCAAAAGTTTTAGTTTGTTAACATTATACGAAAATTATTGTTACCCCATTTTGTTCCGTAAATAACTGGACAGCCTCCATGTAGTAGTCTTGTGTCAGCAGAGCCAGCCTTGTTCATGTTGAACCAAACTGCAGCAGCATTTCTAATCGGTTCAAGATTCACCTTAGAATTAGGGAAAATGGTACTTCCGCCTTTTTCAACATCACTTAGATAAATCATCAAAGTATATATCCTATCTCCAGGTAAATCCCCCGGCCTAGTTGTATTATTGCCGAAGGCATCCTCATGTAATTCATACTGTCCCCCTAAGCCATAATTAGCTACCTGTAAAGGTTCGGCTGACTTATGAGCATCTAAGCCAGTCGCAGCCGTAAGTCTGTCTGATATTTTATTGATAAAGGGATCAAGGTCGTCATACAGCCAGGCTCTGAAATGTTTAAATTAGTTCATCAATTCATTAATAAGTTTTCATTTTGTTCTTGAAAAGCTTACATTTGAGAAATACGTATCTCAGAAAATTGATTATTTGTATTTCCTCCAACTTTAGATCTTTTCAGCTTTACATTGTTTGAACAGAGTTAAAAATTTGAAGAATTTTTTAAATAATAAACTTACGTATGGTTTTGAAAGTTGGATTATCTTCTCGGCTTCTTTATCGGTAACTATATCGTGTATTATAGCTATCCATGGGTCATACGATTTAATTTCAATTTTGTAAACTTCAAACGGATTATTTTTTAATTTCTTAAATCTACACTGCAATTTGGATGCTTGTTTTGGATCGACTGATGGTCCTTTTTGACAATAATGTCTATATTGATTCAATTTAGTATTGTTATTTAACTCTAAGAATTTTTCATATTTTTCATTATCAATCTTATTCTTTGATGAAAGTTCTCTATATAAGCCCAATTCCGAATATAGGGGTAAATTCATAGAATCTTGGTTATATGCAATCAATGCCTCTTTCTTTGCTTCTTCAATCATTCCCATCTGTTTATCGAAAAATCAAAATTATAATAACTGCAAATGTATATACAGTATATCTAAAAAGTTAACACTCTTACATGATAATAAGCTTGAGCTATTAATCTTCTAGTATCTTTTGGTGGGTCTTCATCATCTTCTTCAGCTTTTTCAAGACTTTTTTTAAGCCATCTAATTGTTTGTTCATATTTCTGTATTTATTTAAAAAAAAAGTTTTTAATGAAAATGTAAATGTATGTTAGAAAAAAATGTTACTCCAGTTTGAAGCCCTGAAACTCCTAGTTCAAAACAATCTAAAGCTGACAGATCCCCAACAGTTTGACCCATGATGCTACCGTTTACAATTTCGTCAATAGGAATGTTATAAATGTCTTGTAATCTTAAAATTGCCCTTGCAGCTCCGTAATAATCGTTAATCGTAGGTTTGCGAGATTCGTCAGCAAGATTTGCCCAAACCCAGCTATTTTCCAAAATGTGAGCGTTAGCTGGAACGGCGGAATCTTTACTAATTGAATCCCAAAACTTTGTAAAATGCCGAATAACGTGGAAAGCATTGATTGGATGACCTACAAATTGAAGAGCGTCTCCAGTGAACTTTTTAGCAAACCCTTTCGTCTTCATATCGTCGATTTGACTATTAAAAAGTAATTGATTTATAATGAAAGTTTTTCTAAAATTATAACATTTTGAATAGAAAATATAACATTACTAATATTTACTTTCTCAATACTTTCAGGCGTTCTTGCTCCACTTTAATATATTCTTTCAATCCAATAAAGAGTTTACCCTCGCTTTTAGATAAAGCTTGAAGTCCCGCATTGGCTGTAAATAAATCAGCGCTAAGATAAGAAAGAGATGAGAATGTCAGTATAAAAATGAAGACTTTCATGATTTAGATTGGAATGTGCGTTCAGACAAGTATAAGAGTATCTGTTCATGAGATTAATTCTCATTGTAAGGAGATTAGCGAAATATCCGTTAGGTGGCGGCTAAATTAAGTTGAGATTAATTTAACAATCATGCAATTCAACTGTTTATATATGTACCGCAATATTTATATGTATAAATCTGTAAAAGGAGAAGTAAAAGATGTTTATTGAATAAAATTCATGACTTGGTATGTGTTGATAATGGAGTAAGTCATTTGGAAAAAGGAGTGTCGATAGTACACGTGTAAGATATACAGTATATGGTAGCAATAAATCACCCAGGGTAGAATGGTAAAAATAGTTTCTAGTTTCAGCATTTATATTGAAACAACAAACATTATTCTATTTGTGTTTATAGCTACTGATACAACTATGTTAAAAGTTGTTCGTAAATAGTTCATTATAAAATAAACTTTGCATTTTAGCGCTCTCTGTAGAATATTCTACAACCTCAAACAAAAAAAAACTTAAAAGAATGGTTCGATTTCAATTTTTTAGGTTACAATCGACTCAGCCGAGGTGGAATAGGTAACCGAAGGGCAATTCCGATTTTCGTGCAGCTCTTAGTCAAACCCACTGTTTTAAAACTATCTAATTATTATTTTATATCAAATAATGAGGATAGGCTTAAATACGATAATACTCTTTTTAATTGTACTCTTTATATCTTATGCAACGTGCTCTGATTATCAAGAGCCAAGTGTTCTTATCTGCATTTTAGTCCGTAATAAGGAGCACAGTTTACCGTATTTTTTAAAATATTTGGAAAAGTTAGATTATCCAAAAAGGCGAATTTCATTATGGTAAGAATAAACATTTTACATTCAATTATATTTATTCTAACATCTACTAATTCGTTACATCTTTTTAAGGATTCGGTCCGATCACAATATCGATTATTCAATAGAACTTTTGTCCAATTGGATATCGAACGTAAATGATATGTATCATTCAATCGATTTTCAAAATTCGAGAGAATCACAATGTTTGTATCAAAAATTCTATTAATTATCATGTAAAATATACTACATAACCCCAAACTTCAGCTTTCCCTAATGAATCATCTCCACTTGACTGGACTGAAGAGAGGTTTAAACATGTTATGCAACTAAAACAAGAAGCTATTGATGTTGCTAGAAATAAATGGGCAGATTTCTTCATGGTATAAGACACAAGAATATATTATTCTTTATAATATATCTATTTTATTTTAATAGGTTACTGATGCGGATGCTATTTTATCAAATCCTAATACGTTAAAAATACTCATATCACAACAGAGGTAATAAAAAACAGCATGTGGAAATGCACTACCAAACCTAATGTGTTTTATTTATTATTCTCAAATCCTTCTAGAACCATAGTTTCTCCAATGCTGAATATTACAGGATCCAATACATACAGTAATTTTTGGTGTGGTATGGACGAAAATGTAGGAAAATATTTTATCTATTATTTTATAGCAATTAAAATATTATTTTAACCTTTCTGTAAAGGGTTATTATCAAAGAACGCCGGATTATCTTCCGATATTATTCAGACATCACCAAGGTTGCTTTGATGTATGTATACTTTTATAAATGTCCTTAAAATAACATTGTCTGCTCATAAAGATTCTTTTAAAGTGTAAAGTTACAATCTGTCAAATTTAAAGACAAACACAATAGTGACTTTTAAAAAATTGAATTTCACATCAAATTTTCTCAAACACAAATGATTTTTAGGTTCCAATGGTCCATTCAGTTGTTTTAATTGATTTAAGAAGAAAAGAAAGCAATTTTATCAATTTCCTACCAAAGAGATTGGATCTTTTTTCCGATCAAATTGATGACATTATTTATTTTGCACAAAATAATCAAAGGAACAGAATTAAGATGCATATTGTCAATACTGACTACTTTGGATGGATGACTGCGCCACTCGACGCTCGTCATCAGTTTGTTCTTAAATTAGTTTCAAATTCAAGTTATTCAATAAAAAATTTATAGGCTGACAACAGAGCGTCTCCGATTTGAAGAAATGCTACTTCAAGTGGCTGCTTACACAGACTCTCCTTTAGAAGGATTAAGTTATCTTGCTCCTGAACGAGGTCCAAGAGAGCTCTTAAATTTCGATAAAGTATAACATATAACTTATCTTTTATTTAAATATACTCTATGTGTTATAATCAACTATAGATTTATATTATCAATCTAAAACGTCGTCCAGATAGAATGAAAAGAATGAAAGCTTGCATGGATATTCTTAATATAAATTATACTCGCATTGAAGCATTTGATGGGAGGTAAAATGAAAAAACTACAACAGTCAAACTCATGAAGTATACAATTTTTTCTTTGAATAAATAGGGAACTGTCTGAAAGCCGACTCAAGGAACTTGGTGTCCAAATGTTAGATGGATACAAAGATCCTTACGGAGAAAGACCATTAACTTTAGGCGAAATCGGTTGTTTTCTTTCCCATTATGTTATTTGGAAGGATGTAAGTGTATTTTTTTTAACTCAATTTACTTGTATTGTTATAACGAAACAAGATTTCTTTCTTTCTTCAAGATTGTTGAAAAAGGATACGAACGAGTATTAATATTCGAGGATGATGTTAGATTTAAGAACGGATTTAAGCAGAATCTTTTTAGAGCAATTAAAGCAGCTGACAGTTTGTCGCAACCATGGGATTTAATATATCTCGGCAGAAAGAGATTACAAAATGCCAATGAATATACTGTATCAGACGACATACCAAACTTGGTTTGGGTCGACTACACGTATTGGACAATCAGCTATGCTTTATCAGAGTCTGGAGCCAGAAAATTAATTGGTCAAAACCCATTATCAAAGATGATAGCTGTTGACGAATATCTTCCTATAATGTATGATAAACACCCTAATGAAGAGTGGAAGTCTCATTTTGAGCCTCGCGACTTGGTAGCATTAAGTGCAGAACCTTTACTGCTGGAACCAACTCACTACACAGGCGAAATGGGTTATATAACAGACACAGAAAATTCAAGAGTTGTTGATGATGAAGAACTCAAAGCCGAAACGCTGAAGGAGGAGGAAGAGCGCTTAGCTCAACAGACTAGGGGAGAAAATACGAACGTAAGAGATGCTTTAGGTTCAAAATCACGTCTTTTTGGTGATTTGTAACAGTGCTTTACATTTAGTAGACAAGTGAATTCTATAATAACTTTTTTTTTACAAAAAATGTTCAATATTTTAGTTTTCCAGCAACATTAATACAATTTAGCAGTATTTTCTCATAAGTTTTTATTAATGTGATATTTATCAATTTTTCCTTATATTTCATCCTGACTATCCTCTTTAAAAATATGTTTCTCATCAATAAACTGAAATGATGAACTCTCTTGGTACGATAAAAATTCTATTTCGATATAGTGATAACAATTTCATCAGTAAAAAAGTTTTTTTGGACATGTTTGAAGGATAACTTTGAGTATTACTTGGGAGAATGCTGTCGTGAACGCTTTCTATCATAACTTCTACTTCGATCACGATTCCCTTGGTTATAGTCTCTTTTTCGCGTATAGTCTCTTCGGTCATCTCGTCGTTCACCTCCGTGATAGTCTCTTCTTTCATCTCGTCGTTCACCTCCGTGATAGTCTCTTCTTTCATCTCGTCGTTCACCTCCGTGATAGTCTCTTCTTTCATCTCGTCGTTCACCTCCGTGATAGTCTCTTCTTTCATCTCGTCGTTCACCTCCGTGATAGTCTCTTCGGTCATCTCCGCTATATCTTCTTCCAGTGTGGTAGACCCGGTTACCATCTCGTCCACCTCTCCTATAGTTCAATAGCTAAATTAGAAAACGACATTTAACACGAGTTTTATATCTGTACCTCATGTAATCGAATGATCGCTTCGGTTTCGTAGTCCAACCCTGAACGCAAGGAGGAGTCTCATCCTCTGCAGCTAGGTTTTTAATATACTCTTCATCCATGTCAGTAAAGCGATGAGCAAACAGTCTTTCTAAATCTTGTTCTGAGAAACCTTTTTTCGATATTTTCGGGATTGGCTCATCCATATTTACACGATGTAGTAAAAGCGAACAGTATTGAAGTATAGGCGGTACGCGCTAATTGGTAAATTTGTATTGCGACGCGATGCTTTACCGGAAATCAGGAATTTAGCAAGACCCTTGATGAAATACATTCTAAGTAATAACATAGTCCTTAATAGGACATAAACGCTGAGATTCAGAAAACGTGGATTGATAAATTCATAAAATGGAAAGGCAAGAAGATACCTTACCAGAAGATGTTATCAGCAAAACCCAAGAGTTTCACGACAACTTGACAAATGTAGCTACCGTCATTGAAGAAATGCAGGCCAAAACTCACAAAGTTTACGATGAGGCATGTTCTTTTAAAAAGTATTCATTATATCAAACAAAATTAATCCTTATCAAAATAATGTAAACAATTGTTGACGTAATCCTAGTGTTAATGTTACTTTTACGTAACGAAAACTAAATCGGTTTAATTAGCCTTAGTTATGACCAGTATATTCATTTAAATAAACATTTTCAGTTGTCAGCACTAGATAAGGCAAAATTAGACCTGGCTGGTATATATTCAATGAATGCCTTGTTTCGTGGTAAGTCTACAGTTTATGAAAGTAATCATTAGACTATCATCTGGTTCTCGTTACAGTTTATCTCATTACCAAGGGAATTGATCCAAAGGAACACGAAATAGGGCAAGAACTGGTAAACCTCTTGAAATTGATTAAGAAAAGTTTACAAAAGTCTACTGTTCTCTTTCTTTACAGAATAGAATAAAAAAGACAATGAATAGAGTTAAAGATATCGAAGAGAAGCTATCTCGTGCTAAAGTCAATACAGGCGCAGCTAAGAGACTCATAAGAAATGCAATGTGGGACAAAGCCCATAAAAAATCTGACAAAGACCCTAAAAAAGATTCTGCAAACGATAGAAAAACGAATAAAGTAAGTAAAGAAAAGAAATGATAAGAATAATTTAAATAGCTAATTCAATGAAGTTAATTTGTTGCTTTACTATAGTTGTTATTGTTTGTCTCTAAGAGAAATGAGTTGTTTTTTTATGTATTATTTAATTTAGGCAGTGTATTTTTTTTGAATAAAAGTAGTGTTGAAAAAAGTTCTATATCTAATTTTATATAAACTCTTTGAAATGTTCTCATGGTTTGTCACGTAGAAAAATTCAATGCAAAAAGTGATAAAACGTTATAATATTAAAAAAAATCACTAAGAAATATTAAGTATTCACGTTTGTTTTTAAAGAAATAACTACCATAAAAAAAGAATGCTCATTATAAACACGGCAAAAAGGGTAAAAACTAACCAAAAAAACAAATGTATAAAACTTAAAGAACTGAGATTCTCAAAGATGTTTCCTTTCTTTTAATCCATTGCTGATTTTTGAAGTGTGCTTAAAAATGAATTTTGTCCATCATTCTCTCGGCTTCGAGGAGCTAATGCTACAGCCTCAGAATTTATTTGGCTAAATTCTATCTCTTCTCCTCTTTCGTCTGATTGTTCATCTTCGGGTAAATTTGGATTTTTCTTTGATGGAGCGTATAAAAATAGTAAAGATCCCGCGTATATGTTCCACATACAAAATACTCCCGTAAAGAAAGCGCTCGTATATTCAAGAGGTTGAGTTTCGTCCAAGTCAAGATTTTCACTATCATCATCTTCAGAGGCATGCCAGGAGCCAGTACCCCACTTCCAATTACCTTCTTTAACCTGAAACAAATCAGAACCAGTTAATGTGAATAACCTTCCATCATCAATAAATTAAACCTGGCTGATAATGAAGAAGATAATTGTCATAGCAGCAAATACTAGAGTTGAAAGAATAAGAAAATTAAATCTGTAGATAAGCCCTTTAAAATAGCTTCTCCTCTTCTTATTCATTCCGGGTAAAGCACTCTTCTTTGCATTGATATTCCTTACAGCTTTGAATACAACAAACATGAGAAGGAAGAAATAAATACAGGCTGAAATCCCGGCTAAAATTATAAAAGCTAACTAAAATATAAAGAAAAGGGAAAAGAAAGAAACTTTTAGTTTATTACGCAAAAACCAGAAAATATTTTAAAAACCCACAGCAACTCTCTTTCCAATGTTATCAGCCCAGATAGTAAAGAATGGATTGGTTAATTGAACTCCTCTGTAATAGATAAATAATTCATAAAATTCGGTAATTATTTAAAGTTATAAGAACCTCTCGCAAATTTCAAAGATAAAAAGACATAGGGATCCAATACCAACAGCCGTAAGTTCTTTCCAATAGACAGAAACTCTAAACAAGATTTAATTTAGTTGTTGTTTGATTTTTATACTAGAAATAATATTTAAAATTTAATTAATTAAAATACCGATTTCTGATGACTTTATCCATCATATGCTCTCCACAAAAAACAATCCAAAAGCTTAGCAATGCGCAATAGAAAATACCTTGACGAATATCGTTCAACAATAACATAAATGGAATTTTCATTCCTAGAGTTAACCATTCAATTGGACCTAAAAGACAAATAGAGATATTTACATATAGTATGTTATAATTGTAATTTTCTTATTAATTATATAAAACTTACAGTCAAGAAATGCCAATGTTAGTCCCATTCCAAATATGATTCTAAAAGTAAAGGGTGGATTTTAATATAGACTCTTTCTATTAATAATAAAATGTTTCTTACTTTTCCAATAAATTAGCAGATCTAGATAACTTTCTTATACGATTCCAAAAAAATATTACAAGACCAATAATCAATGGAAATGTGACAGTTTTCAAAGATAGCCAAACTCTGGTAAAACCTCCCGTTTGTAGAATTACGTGCAAGTATATACTGTCTATTTGTAGATCTCGAACTTTTGTTGTATTGTACATTAAATTCAAGAGATAGAAATCGTGATGAACACTTCCAATTTCGTATAGAGGAATGATATCGCATTCATAATAATCCTTTTCCTAAGAATATGTAAAACGCAAGACAAGCTTGAATTATTATTTTGTTATTAAATGACAATATACTATACTTTAACGCAATCTAATGATCGTTTTTCTGTTGATTGAGCCATAACTGTCCAATTTGTTCTTTCATCTCTGTAGCCTAATTTAACATTCAACGCCAATTCTGAATTTGAAAGTGATGCTTGTTTTCCAGTAGTAGGTTTCCAATCAATGTGAATCACGCCAACCATATATTGAAACCATCGAGACATTTTTAGATCAATACTATCTCTTGGTAAGGGCATTTGGAAGACAAAGACTATATGTTGAGGAAAATCTTCTGCATGGTCGGTAGGCTAATAATAGAAAGAACACTTTGACAATGAAGGAGTAAACTAAGGGATAATATTGGCGTATAACTGGCTCTACGTAGTCTTAGGGAAAGATAGTTGTACAAAAATACTATTAAGGTAACTTTCTTTAAAGGAAAGCAGTGCATGTTTCCCATATGCTAGATAAATACAAATTAGCTTGTTACAGGTACAACAGCGCCATCTATAGTTATTGATAACAGATTATCCTTACAACATGACATTTCTCTCCAGTACTTGAATTGTACTTCAATTGTCTCGTATAAACTATTTCATTGCTGTATGGATTCTTCCAACACGGTGTACCCAATATAGAAACTACGTGAGATGGCTTCGCCTCTGCAATATTAAACAAAACATGTAGGCCTATTTGCACAGTGCTACCTCGTACAGATTTTATTGCTTCTAAATTGAATTCTTAGTGCAATGGGTTCTTACCTATTAATCCACCGAGTAGAAATCCGGCTATTTGACAAACCAATAAGAATAGACCGAAGCCAATTAGTTTTTTATTACTTATTGTTTCCAAAATTACGCCCGCCATAAAGATGATTGTTGGGGAAAAGCAATGTATCTGTAATTCCCGATTGTATTCATTATTTTTCGAATAATTACAAATAGACTTACCACGAATTTACAACTTTCTTAAATAAACGAAGAAAACTTTACAGCTCCACTCACCCGGATGTATTAGCCTGGTCTGTGGTAGAAAACTTTTAGCCTATGGCTATGGGTATACCTAAATTTCTTTCTAAAGTATTTTAATTAGTTTGATATTTTCGTTCAATAGTTTTATATGAGTCATATTTGGACTCATTAAATAAATTTAATTTTTGCTCTCCTAGAGTTTTTACTCTACGAAAAAGAATTAAAACTAAGAAAGTTATTCTTTACCTATTGAAATTGCGAAAGATTATTAAAAAAGTTACAAATTGTACAATTCTATTGTTTTATTTGTGAATACATCAAACAAAGAAGCCTTTAGTAACATCATGTGACTGATCGTTTCTAACCAATACTTCGTAACAGACTTTAGTAATTCCCGAAAAATTTTCCAATAGCATAAACTTTACAGAGCGAGCCATCATAGAGGTTAAATCTCTGATCAAGGATGCATTTCTCCATTCCTGATACAGAAGAAAAAGTGGATGAAAAAGGAGTACCTTATACAGTTAGACATTTATGTATTTTCTATTTTTTTTGTTATATATATTTATTTCGCACAAATCTTTAATATCGGTAGGCGTTTCATCTCATACTTTTCTCCCTCTCTTTACAGGTCTATAGAATTAACGTTAACGGTGCTCACCATTGTACAGTTAGATATAGGCAATTACATTTACTTCATGAACACGTAAGTCACATTCTCCTGCATGATTCTTCTATTTGATTATTTGTTTTACAAATGTTTACGTAGTTAAAAAAGGAATTTGGGTCAGGGCAACTTCCATCTTTTCCACCAAAGAGATTATTAGCCCTTAGTAAAACTCAGGTCGAATCAAGAAGAATGGGCTTAGAGAGTTACATTCAAGGAGGTTAGAGAACTAAAATATCTACAAGTAGGCAACAAGTATTATTTTACGTAGAGAGATTCTTATCGAAATTCTACTTGTCGCTTAGTTTACAAAGAAAATAATTATTTAATATAACATTTCTTAACAGTCAGCCAGACAACAGAAGTTCTAAATTCTAGCATATTCAGCAATTTTATGATTCAAGCTCAACAGGTTGTTCTTTCTTTAATTACTTAATTGAGTCTAATTTCCTGATATTTATTTTAACTGAAAAACTAATAATAGGGTAATTTACAAGAAGAAAGTTGCAATATAAACATTGATATTTATTTGGTAAATGGCCAAAAAGTAACAATAGAATGTAGTAACATGGCCCAAACGGAACAAGTGATGAGTGTAAGTATTTAAGATAGAATTTTAACAGTTACTTGAATTTCTCGAGTCTTAATCTCTTATAGGCGGCGGCAAACGAAATCGGATTAGCGGAAGAGTATATGGCTTATTTTGGATTGTTTTTAGTAAAGTTAGTGGATGATAGACAAATTCGTAAGTAATTTTTGTTTCTTTGAATTATTAATACTATCTAAAATTGCATTAAGTTTATTAATTTCAATTGAATATCTTTTCAACAGTTGTAAGGCCGTTACAAGAATTTGAATCTCCTTATATTTCACTAAGAAATGCCTCTGAAAAATACTCCCACAGAATTATCTTTCGTAAAAGGTTGTTTGCTTAGCAGTTATTATTCTAGATCAAATATGTTTACTATTCTTTTCACGTTTAGCTTCTGGGATGCAAGCTATGAAGATGCTTTAATGGAAGATAGGATTTGTCTTAATTTACTTTTTTGTCAGGTACAATTTAAACATTTTTAAGCCTCATCTGAATAATTTTTATTAATATTTATTAAAGGCTGTCAGTGACTTGAAACAAGGTTGGATTGAAGGATCAGCGGACCAAATCGCTCAGCTTAAAACGCTGCAACAAAAAAATAGTAAAAAAGAAGTTGGTAAAAAAAAGAGAGAATACATTCTTAATCCATACAACATCATATAAATCCTTTCACTTTTCAGTATTTGAGATTAATTAAGACTTTGAAGTTTTATGGTTATATAAAATTCGAACCTTGTGTCACAAATTATCCTCATGATAATTGTAATGTTATAATTGCGGCTGGGAATAAAGAAATGATTTTCAGAATCGAAATTGCACCTGTAAATGAACAATTATTCAAATATTTCAATTTTTAATTAACGTAATAAAATTCCTATAGAATACGTTCAAAGGAGGAGTTTTCAAAATTACCAGAATACGATGTTGGAGGATAACTACAGCCGTAAGTAACATAAAAACTAAAAGAATGTATTACATACTCTTATCATGCTCTTTCCTTTCAATCATTTAAGGTTTTAAATAAAGATACTGACGAAGAAGATGAAAAACTGCAAACCGAATTGGCTTTCGAATATCTGATTGCAAAAAATACTTTACAATGGATAACAGTCACTTCAAATCAAGCAATTTTAATGAGTATGCTTCTGCAGTCTATGGTTGATGAACTTTTACTTAAAAGAGAAGGAGAAAGAGTTAAAAAAGTAAATGAAAATTTTCTTTTTCATTCGAAGACATTAACTAATTGGTTTTCCCCCTTTTCCCTCCCTCTTTTTTATATTTTAGACAACAGAAAAGAAAAAACAAGCTTACATAGCAAAAACTGTAAGTATAGTATTTTCCTACTGATAAAATATAATTTGTTTCTTATCAATGCGATTTGTAATAGTAAATAATATTGTTATATTAATAGGCTAATAACATCTTCTATTCGAAGTGGCCTATTTAATTGGTATTAATTTAATATTTATAGGTTTCTTCACCCACAAAATCACCACTTGAAACATCCTATTCCAATTCTGATATTCAAAATAGTATTTCGGTTTGTATTGTAAATAAAGAATTGAAGGATCTCTAACGAAAATTTTACTGATATAGGAAACGGCACCACTTTCAAAGAGTAGATCTTATAATGAAAAGTTGCAAACTAACACAGCCTTTGAGGATATAGGAGACGATGATCTGTGATAGCCTTTGGGAAAAAGGAGAATAGGGAGAAAAATTATAAAGAATAACGAAGCTATTGTATTAATTTTCATTTTAATATGCCTTCGTTTTTTTAACTTTCCCGCCAATTCAATTTATTTACTTTACATTTCTTTTTTTTTAAAAAAAAAAGTTTAAGTCTGAATTAGTTATTTAAAAATTAAGCCTCTTTTTTTTAGACGAAACTGAAACGTTTCTTTTGCCATAAATAAATTTCAGTGATATCCTAAAAATTCAGTATTTATGTATCTACGTATTTCTGGCTTATCGACCTCTTTCTGAATTAATTTTAAAACAATTACCTTGACATTGAATGTTATCTATATTTTTTTAAGTTTTGTTAGTAAATATTTTTCTCCTTACGGTGATTCAGGGAATTACTGTAGCTTAGAAAGCAATCAGTGACTTTATGATTAATTAATACAATTATTATAGGCTTGAAACGACAAAATGAAATATAAATTATCAGGAATACGCATATTTAGATAAGAATTTGCATATTTTAATCAAATTAATCTCTTGAATAAATGTAATTTAAATTTTTATTTACTGTAATAAACAAGATAGAAAAGAAACATGGACTACCTGCTTTTTTTTTCTTTCAAGTTCAACAAAAAATTCAAAACAAATTTTATCAGTTCGAAAGATAATAAATAAAAAATTGAATTATCTTCAGAAAGATTTTATTCAAGAAATTATAAAAATATTTCTAAATATCTCTTTTAAAATCAAAGTGAAAAATTTTTATTAATTGAAGCCTGTTCCTCTTTTTTTCTGTAAATTTTAGCCATCATTTATAATATTAAATAATATTAAGATTTTTGAGTAAAACTGACAATATTTCATTAAACTAGTGGATTGAACATTAATTTTACTCTCCTATGAAATATGCAGACATAGTACAATAGCATATAGTGTTTTAATTTAATGAATTATTTAATCACACAGTATTTCGAGAGATGCCAAAAAATATATCCAAACCATTTAAAAGATAGAATTGACAGTAATTAAATATAGTATTGGATTTTGTTATTTAATCATCTTTCTTGCTGGCTCCTTCACTTCCTTTGTTCTGTCATTGAAAAAAGGTTTATATTAAAGTTAGCAGCAACTGATGGTACCTTCTTGACTTACTTGAGAATTTTGGAGTTCACTCAAAACTCTATCATATTCTATGTTAGCGTTCTCCGCCTGAGATTTTAAAGCGTCAAAATCCACTTTAATCTTTCGTAATTCTTCGTTTTTCTTAGCTAACTCTTTTTTCACGTCGTCTAGCTCCTCCAGCATCGTCTCGTCAATGGCATTTTTATGAGCTCCTTTTTCTGCTGTCTTCATAAATTGCTTAGCAGTTGCCGAAGCACTTTCAGCTTGTTTGAGAGCAGCAGAACATTTAGCTTCTAGATTAGCCTGATTAGAGATCAAGCTTACGATTCGCCTAATTACCCTAGATAATCAATTAATTTGTTACAAGTTACAAAGAGTTTTGTTTATCATTTTCCCACTTACAAACACAGGAAAAGAGCAAATCCAGCAATATAGAGATTTCTCTGAGCGCGAAATAATTTCATATGCTGATGAATTTCTGCATCTGGTCTTGCTTTCACATCCTCTTCACCTCTGTATTTACGAACGTCTCTTACGCCATCTATAAGAATAGAGATATATTTAGATATGATGAAATCGAAGCAATTTTGTTAACATACCAGCAAATAACAAAGCTAAAAGTGCGACAAATACGTAAAAATACAAATTCACGTAATTTTTGACAAATTTAAACAGTCTCGATCGAAATAGCTTTTGCCATCTAAAAATTAAAACTCATTAATTTTTCAAGTTGTTTAAATGAGTATGATTCAACTTACGCAGCTGACGAAATGCCTGGTATCATCAACAAGATCACCGTAGCTATTTCAACGTACAAGAACGTTGCTACAACGGTCCATTGAAAGCTCATCTTCAACAATTACGTAATTCTATCACTTGTCTGCTCCAATGAAAATAAAAAGATACTAATAAAATTGTAAAATGCAATGGCAATTAATATAAACGTATAGCAATATATCCACGTTATTTCCGGAAAGTCTCAAACAATTTTTGCGAACTGAGTCATAAAACAAACCTTGATATTTGGCAAAAACTAACTGGACTATCACCAACTATCGGAAGCGGAATCTGACGATGACTGTAAATCGAAAGCAGAAATCGTATCAAATCGATTCCAAAATTTGCGCGATAAATGTATTCGATTTTGGTTTACTAAAAGTAACATTTAGAGATAGTACGCTACTATTACCAAAAAAATATCTATGTACCAAAGGTTATTTAAAGTATAATTCTTTCACTCTTCATCCACCTTCTTTACAAAATTGAATACCCATTTTCATACTATGTGATACAGATTTCGTTTAGTTCAGCTAATTTTCTTTATCCCTTACTTTAATTATTGCAATTCATCTGACGAAAAGTTGATCTATAAGAAATATTGTTTACAAACGTAATAAAATAGTTTAAAGCACAGTTCGAGTTATTCCAAATTAATTAATTAATTAACTATCTAAACTATTAAAAGAACTGAAAACTTTTTCATAGCTTAGATATAAAAAAGACTATATAGTTCACATTGAAAACTGGTAATTAAAGCTGAATGACCTTTCTATAAACAATAAATTGTTACAATACTGTAAAGTATTAATTAAGGATTAATGACTTGTAGTTTATTGAATAATTTTGTTGGAATTTCATTTAATTAATGCACACCTGTTCATATTAACCCCCCTTTACCCACTTTTAAAATGATTAAACAAGATTTACTGTATAAAACAAATCAATGTTCAACTTTACTAGTAGAAATAATCTACATTTAGTTAGTTAACTTCCAAATATCATCGGATAAATTCAATATATCATTACTACACTTTCAATGGTATTTATACAATTTTTTCACTTTCTAGTCAATAAGACAAGTTATTGTTTTTTGTTTTAAGCGATATTTATTGAAATAATCTACTATCTATACACTAGTACATATCACACATGACAAACTTTTTAATTTAAATATTTACTGTACAAATATGACTTTTGAGTTAGTTTGTAGTTAATAGATATCTCTTGTTGGTTTGTGCCAGGCGTAATCAAATCTGCCATTCAATTCATCTATTATTTGAGGTCCGCTTTTGGATGAAGATCTTAACGATTTTGTCGTTAGAGGAAGAGGTGCCCTCCTGATAAATATTTTGTAGCCTTTTTGAACTGCATCAGCTATTTTTTCATTAAATCCACTTGTTTTCTTTATCAAGTTATTCTTCCAAAGTTTTGGGTTTGTCCATTTGGAGCATAGACAAGCAACTCCCATCTTTCTCTTATTTGGAAGTTGGATAGCAATTTCATAGAGAGCCCTGGCTTTGCAATTTGTCCAAAGTTGGTTTCGAGCCAAAGTCGTTTTTCCAATAAGGGACCAACTGTACTTTGCAAATTTTTTAACACTTCGTTTTGGTGCCATAGCTAATCGCCAATTTCCAAAAGCTAGTCCGTCTTCTGTTGAGAATTTATCTGTTTTCAAATCCTCTCGATTTAGACGAACATTTTTGTCTTTTTTAGCCTCGGATTTCTTAACTTTCTTATCAGCTTTTTTATCATCAGATTTCTTAGCTTTCTTGACGACTACTTCATCTTCAGATTCTGATTTAGATTCAGAATCAGAATCGGAATGGCTATCCGATTCAAAAATTAACTTCCTTTTTGATCTAAGTTTAGCAGCAGATGGTTTAGCTGCACCAACTTTTGCAGCTCCAGCTTTTCTTACAGTTCTTCTTACTGATTTTGGTTTGACCTTTTTTAAGCAATCAGTTTTTGCCAATTTTGACGAAGAAGCCTTTCTAAACATGGATGGCTTTGTAGGAGTTCCATCACTGGTTACATCTCCCATTACAGCAGCATCCGCTTCAACATCATCATCACGAAGATCTTTGAACATTTTGTCTAAATCAGCTTTAAGAGCGGCACCTTCCCTTTCACGAACTTCAAGTTCGAAAGCATCATACATTTCAGCTCCTCTTTCTCTATAGCAAATAGCCATCAACATGTCAACAATTGAGCCCAAGTTGTTCAAATCTAAATGCTTTCCACCTGTAGCCTTTGCAATTTTCTCATAAAATGGCTTTGCTTTGGGGTTTGTACCACATTGAATACCATAAATCTTAACGCCCAAGTCCTCGTACAAACTTAATGTTTCTTTACGCCAATTTAGTTTCTTTGTGTTCAAGCTATAATTTGGCTCATGGGGAATTGCGTCTCCGATCATAATCAAAGCTCTGTCGGCTTCCCCTTTAACCCAATTAACTTTTGTTCTGGCTTCGTGGAGGACTAATTCATAGCACTCTTCCCAATCACCACCACCAGTAGTTCCAACTTTGTTGACGAAATCCACTAAATCAGCTACATTATTCGATAGTTCGTGATGCTTGGTGATGTAAGTTCTTTTGTCACAGTAGTCACCATGGGCGATGACACCGATTCTCAAAGTTGGGAGGTCAGTGAATAGACGTTCAATGATTTCTGACATTTTGGCCCTGACTTCAGCCAAGTAACTAGACATGGATCCAGTAGTATCAAAGGAAATAACTACATCCATAGGCATAATTCCCGCTGCTGCGGCACCACTAGGGCCATCTACTGCAGATGCAGAAGGAGAGCCACAATCATCAGATTTCGACATAATTTTTGAATTAGAGTTTTGTAAAGTATTTAGGAATAAGGAATAAAAGTTTTCTTTTATTAGTTATCAAGCTGTCTTTAGCTTTTTTTTCCTTTTTAAGCTGTGTTCTGTTAGAACTGTTTGATATTTCTGAGCGAACGGCGAGCTTATATACTATATGCATGATGTAAGCCTATAGCTGAAAATAATACAGACTGCTGACGTAGGTCGTATCGACTCGCCTGGTGCTCAAACTTGTCTCAGACTGCCTAAGCGCATGCGTGATCTAGTATTTTCTCGTTCGAGCGCATGCGTTCTAGCTACCTTTACGCAATATCTATTTTCGTACACGGCAACTCAGCGAAATGTTTTGGACCTACTCGTAGAAAATCAGTTATAGATTTATTGACAAAAAGCTAGGTTAAAAAAGACCTAAAAAACAGACTTAGTTCCTAACAACAGTGACTTAGTTTTTTGATTTTTTCTATAATCTCCTCAAAGATATTCATACTTTGGAAAAAGTTTTAGCACTTTACCGCTCAAAAGTTCGCTGGATATAGTTAAATGTATTTTTTCGTTTCTATTTAGAATCTATTGAATATTTCATGGAATATCAACAAAAAAAGGTATATTTTTTTAATTAAGTTAGAAATGGTACTAATGAAATACTAATAAATGACTATTGATATTAAAAGTATATCATTATTAATTTTTTCATAGAATCAGGTCCTTTTCTTTTGTTTAAACGTAATATTTTGTCAAAACAAAATATGTCCTGTGGCCAATTAAAGAACATTTACTTAGAAGACTACGCCATCTATATTCTAATAACTTTAATTTTTATCGTTTGTTGAGTCTGCTGGTTAATGTATGCTAATAAAGTATATAAAACTTTATTAAATAGTATTGTAGTCTTTGCTCTAAAAGTTATAAATGTGAAACCTGAAAATAAGATTTTATAGCTAAAAAAGATACCTCAAAATATATATTACAATTCTTTTTATGCAGTTATGAAAGAATGCTTTTTATTTAAATATTAAGGCAAAAAATATAGCATATATTATGCAATAAGAGGGAACAAAAATCTTTATATCATGTCCAACTATGACTAGCATTAAGTCGGCGAATATTTTATACTTGAATCAATTGCAAAAAATATTTCACATTCCTTTGAATAAGCCATAAAATTATCAAAGACATTTATAATAATAAAACACATATAGTGGCCAGATCTATTGTCTTAGATACTCTTTAAAGCACACGGAAGAGACTGTCACAGACAGAGAAATATTTATGGACGTAATTAGATATATTATATATATATATATATAAATATTTTTTTTTTTTATTATAAATAGCGTATATAAAACTATAGCTTTGCCGAAGTTATATTAAAGCAAAGAAGGCGTGTCGCTTTCTTATCTACAAAAAAAGGTTGATTGAGAATATCTTTTTACTCTAAAAGAATTCTGATTAAGGAATTCTTTTTGTTGTTGCAGAATTGAGAGTATCGTATAAATAAATAGCCGCTAAAAACTTCCTCCAGCGACAACCGATTTAACGAAATCTGAAACAATTAAGATATTATTTAATAGATAATATAATCTATCAGCTTGTAATATCATCAATAAATAAATTTTGATGTCTTACTCTCGTAATGTACATTCCCTTGAGGATCCTCGTGGCCAGTTAAGAGTTGTTCAACCTCATCGTCGCTAAGTTTATCGCCTAAAGAGGTCAATAAGTATCGTAATTCGGCTGAATTGATAGTCCCGTTTTGTTCCTTATCGAAAACCTGTACATTATATTTACAAAGATAGATAAAAAAGTGTTTATTGTAATACTCAATTGCTCGTAGATAACAAACAGTAATAAATGGCTTTTGGAAAATTTAACTAGTAGTTTATAGAGAGAGAAAAAAGTTTAGTAGTATTTACTCATTAAAACTGTAATTATACCATTTCGGTAAAAAGATAAAAGTTTCTTTTTTAAGTGAAATTTTATCATTTCTTATGCAAAAAGTGTATGTGTAATTAAATCCTTTTAGAGACTTCCAAACCAGTCTATAGCTGATTGTTTTTTATGGTTTATGTATGAAAACGTTTATTGTTCTTACCTTGAAACCTTCAGTAAAATCTTCCAAAGTATTACTTGGTTTACTTTTAGCGATGCCTGTTAAGATGGGTAGAAATTGCTCAAAACTTAAGCGCACATTACCATCTTTTAGACATTTCTTCACATCGTTCTCTGTTGGATTTTGTCCCATAGCTCTTAAAACATCTCCTAGTTGACTGGCTGCAATTTTGTTATCCCCAACAGTATCAAAAAGTAGAAAGGTCTCATGGTATTCTGATATAAATATGACAAAGACAATTAGTACTTTTACAAGTATTACTATATTTAATATTTACCATTCATTTGTTCATCTGTTAATGTGGACTAAAAGAGGGTTTATATTAGGTATAGTGTTTTGTGAAAGTTTCTCAAAGTTTAAATTAACTTACCATTGTTCCTAAAGAAGTTTCTAGTTTGTTGAATATGTCTATGTCTAACCGACTCTGAGTAACTAAATGACCAATATAGTAAAATATATCATCTACCAGTTATATTTATAAATTTGGTATTACTAAACTCTATAATTCATCAGATATACTTGAACAATATATGTTTACTTCAATTATTTTATTCTTTCATAATCACAGAGGTAAAAAGCATTTATGTCAATTGTATCACATGTGTTTGATAGAAACACGATAAAAAAATGTGCTGCAAATCTATTCCCCCTTCATAAAACATTTACGATTTAGTGAAATTATAAATTAATTAAATAAAAGAATATAAACAATTATTAGAGGCAAATCCTTTTTCCTTAGTAGTGGTAATCTGTAGCTATATAAAAAATGTATAATTTCAAGGAGATATTTCAAGGAGATATTTGATCTAAATGAGGTTTAAAAAAGTTTCTTTCTTGATGTTTTGACCTAACCAGTTCACTGCGGAAAAAATCAATTGTTTTGTTAATTCCTGCTATCATATCAACTTTAGGCATCCAATTTAATTCTTTCCTAGCCAATGAAATATCTGGTTTACGCTTTCTTGGATCATCAGTCATTGCTTTTTTATGGACAATCTCTGAAGTACCCCCAACGAGTGATTTGATTATTTGAGCAAAATTCAGAATCGTATGCTCATCAGGATTTCCAATGTTTACAGGAAAAGAGTAATTACTATTCATTAGTGATATTAAACCTGCCACTAGATCGCTAACATATTGAAAAGATCTGCGAAAAATTTAAATAATTGGTAAAACTATTAACAAAATATAACCTAATCAAATTCCAACCTTGTTTGAGTACCATTGCCATATATAGTAATATCATTATTTTGCAAGGCTTGTAGAATAAAATTTGAAACTACTCTTCCATCATTCATGTGCATTCTTGGACCGAATGTATTGAAAATTCTTGCTACTCTAATCTCAACATTTTCCTGTTTTTTATAAGCAAAGCACATAGTTTCAGCAACTCGTTTCCCTTCATCGTAACAAGCTCGTGGTCCTATTGGATTAACGTGACCCCAATAGTCTTCTCGTTGAGGGTGAACTTCGGGGTCACCGTACACTTCCGACGTGGAGGCCAAGAGTAGTCTTGCTTTAACCCTTTTGGCTAGACCTTTAGTTTGCATGTGAAAAAGAAAAACAAACACGGTCACTAATGACAATTGAGAAAATATGTAAACTTATACCAAGCATATTAATAGTGCCAACAGCATTTGTTTTAATTGTTTTTATTGGATTATACATATAATTAGGAGGTGAAGCAGGTGACGCCAAATGATATATTTGATCAACCTTATAAAGGGGAAAAATATGATAATTAGATGTCCTTTTAATTGTTCTAAATACAGTATATATGATGGATAGTACCCTTACCTCAATAAATAATGGATTAACTACGTCATGATGTATTAACTCAAAGTTTTCATGCCCTATCCAGTGTTCAACGTTTCTTCGTCTTCCAGTAAAAAAATTATCGGCAACAATAACTTCATGACCGGCTAACATTAGTTGATCAACCAAATGTGAACCAACAAATCCCGCACCACCGGTTATTAATATTCTCTTTCTATCTTTATAATTTAAAAATTTTACTTCGGGATATCTTTTGTGCCTGTATAAGATATTCTAAATTATTTCCAATATATAACATATTGACGGTTGTTAGAGATTTTTTGAAAATAATTCGTTTCGGATAAAAGTAATAAGAAAAAGATAATTATTACGAACAGTCATCTAACAATCAACTGCCTGTAATGATATGGAAGAACATTAAAAAACTACACAACAGCCTAATAAAAAAAATTTAAAATATGATTGAAAATGAAAGAAAAGCCACATAATCAATAATATAATTATACAAAAAGGCAGTTAATAAGAATTGCGTTTAATATTTATTTTAAGTGAATTATTTAAAGATGATAAACTCATTGCAAGGTTGTAACTTACACATTATCTGGTTTTAAGCTGAAGCATTTAATATACAAGTTATCATATCGTTTTGGGAAGTAATATCTTTGTTTTTAAATGACTGAGTTTATTATAACTTTTCAGCCAAATAGCATATCAAATATATAAAGTTATATATTATTATATATTGGAAAGTCGTCATAAATTCTAGTTTTTATATTTATTAGAATAATTGTACATACCCTGATTCAAGTAGATGTACTTGAGCTTTTAGTTCTGCGATGGTATTTTTCAATTCTTCAATTTCTGTTTTTTGACTATATCTATTTGGATAAAAATAAGAAATCTATACTGTATATTTCAATTTACCAAATTCTATTGAAATCTTAGTTAATTAATTTTACTTACCCTGTTTCAAATTTTAGAAATTTCTCTTTTATTTCTGCTAGGTCTTTTTTTAATTCTTCAGTATCTTTAGGGGTACTTTCCTTGTTAGCACTATATGAGTATAAAGAACTTATCACTATATCATATATATTCAAAGCTGTACCATTGTGATAATATGCACAACTGTAAATGTAATATTGACATCTTATTGGTTTTTACTTACGCCGACTCAAATTTTTGTATTTTTGCTGTTAAGGCTGCTACGTTATCTTTGAACTCTCTTAAGTCTCTGTTGGACCCTCTGTCTCTAATTCTATATAAAATGAATAGATAAAGTAAACTTATGAAGAATTACCTTTCAAAACTAAGTTTGTTTATACTTACGATGATAATGGGGATACTGCAGTATATCCAACAGCTGTCCAAAACAAAAGGCGAATTTATTTATTCAGGATTCGTTTAAAAATAAAAGTAATGTATCTCTTAATTGTCTATTATTAAATAGTAGAATTAATTTCTCTAACAACAAAATAAATTACCAAAAATAATCGCCAAAACAACAATGCTCAAAAAGACTAGCTTCATATTTTTGGTACTGAAAAGATTATGTGCTTCTTCGGTTAATAATCTGGACATTACAGGTAGTTGAGTTATTAAAACCCAGCCACAAGTTGTGAGCGGAAATGGTATGGCTAAATAACGTACAGCTTGGATGAGAACCGAAAAATCTGGTTCTATTGACATATTTTTGTATTTTATTTAAAAAACTAATGCATATTATAGGTTTTTATATTTTATTAAGTATCTTTACTTCTTATATAAATTTGAAAATAATATATATATAATGTTGTATAACAGCTGTTTAGCATATGAAAAACGTATATGCTTTGTTTGTCTCATAATCTCCTTTCTCTCACTTTTCATCAATCAATAATTCGTAGGATAAATAATTCTCTATCTGGCTGTTTGTTTTTAAATAATACTATAAGTTCATTTTTTGCGAGCATTAAAAATCAACTTACTGGATGTCTTCATTTATAATATTATTGAATTTGAAAACATAAAATCCAGCTTTATGAACATTTAACTTTCCTGTAAAGATTTTTTTTGAACAACCGTAAACTGTTGGTTCTATAACTTGTTGAGTAATATTCTCTTTATCAAATTCTTTTATATTTCTATAAAATTCTAAGGATAATTGTATATCTTTTGGATTTGAGTGAAATTTCCAGATTAATTTTGTACCTATTTTATCAATATAAATAGGTACAACATGTTCTTCGTATCTACCAAGAGAAAGTCCCTCCATATGCAATTTTTTGTCAACCATTCGAGATGGGTAGATAATGTGATCTCTAAAAGATACATAGATAATGTCAGCTCTTCATGATATTTATGTCTACTTATATTATTACTTACGATGCCTTATTTGAAGCGCAAGTGATTTTAGATGAATTTTGATTTATATTATCGGCATCCTTTCGTCTCAATGAGTAACATTCATCGCAAAATCTAGATGTTATACTAAATATAGTAGAATTGTTAAGTTGATATGAAGAGAAGGGAATCAATGTATTACTTGGTTGTTGATATTTCACTTTGACTGCAGCATTCTGAACAAAGTTCTCTACAGCATATAGCGCATGTCAACTGGAGATTTTTAACATTGCATAAACAAATGATTACTTAGTAAAATAAATGCAAAGTATAATGTCTATTATATTTACCTTATCATTACTATCAATATGAGTTTGGCATATTTGACAATTTACCTAGACAAAGGAATGAGAATCACTTTATTTGGTGTATTTATCTTTTATTAATAATACTATACTTGTACTAAATAACTTAATTTCCTTGTAATTTCATGAGTTGAAACTGTCTGACTATTATCATTTTCTTCAATTAAATTTTGTTTTTTCAAATCTTCTATCGTACTCTTTAAAAGTCCTTTTTCCTTAATTAAATCTTGTATTAATAAATCCAGTTTTCTTTTATCATTTTCAAGTTGACATTTAAATTGCCTCTCTAATTCGAGTTGTTTATATAATTTACTGATTAAAAAGAAACGTTTTTATCTTTAATTGTTAGTTAAAGAAAGGTATCTTACTCATATTCAGATATTTTATTTTGCAATTCCTGTTGAACATTCAGCAGAGATGAATTTAATTCTTGTTGCTCTTCAAATTTTTTGTTAATTTCTGCATCATATTTCTAGAATGGGAAAGAGATAATAAGGATAACAATAATTGTTAACAATCCTCTATTTCAATGAAAATAATATGAATGATAATAAATAGTTTTACCTTATTAATTGAATTAATTTTCGTTTCTAATTCTTTAAGCTTTTCAATTAATTTTAATTCATTCGTTTCATTCTGTTTTAGTTTAAGTTTAAGCTCAAAGTTTACGTTTGTTAATTCTTCCAATTCTTGCTGACTTCTATACAGAGTCTCGTCTAAATTAGTTTTACTATTATAAGCAGTAAGACTTTCGTTTTTCAAACATTCATTTTCACTTTTAATTTCCTCTAAAGTTTTTATTAATTCAATATTTATTTCTTCTTTTTTCTTTAATTCTATTCCATTTTCAGCAACTTTAGTTTTAAAATGATCTAATTCTTGATATATCATTTCTAATTCTTTCTCAAGAACGTCTAATTGTTTATCTTTATTTTGACCATTTTGCTCTAATAAGGCTATCCTATTTTCTAGAGTATGAGAATTTTCAATGGAAATTGACAGATTTTTTTTAACGTTATCCAACTCGCCTTCAACTTTGTCCCTTTCTGATAATTCTTCTTCGAGTTTTTTAGATATCTTCTCTACCTCATTCTTGAGTTCATTGTTCCAATTCTCTAAATTTTGATTTACCTTATTAGAGTTAGCAATCTCCGTTTCATAGCGTCTAATATCCTCGTCCAAACTCTTTATTTTGTCATGCAACTTGTTAATAACTTGAACCTGTGTTTTTTTTTCCTCTGTCAAATCTTTAACGATCTCTTTTATTTCCTTATCATCGAAATTACCACCATTTGACATAAATTCTTTCATTTCTAGTGCAGCGTGATAAACGCAATTGTGCAAATCGGTAATATCTTTTTGCATTTCATCGTTTAAATGTTTATATTGTTTATGAACATCTTTATGCTTGTTCTTTATATCCATTGCAGATCTCTCTAAGTCCTTTCCCTTGTTTTCGAGATGTTGAATATCTTCTCTAACCGCTTGTAGACTTTGATTACTCTCTTTCAGAACTATATTCTCTTGTTTGATTTTTTCATTCTGCCTACTTAATATCCTAATTTCCTTTTCCAAAGAGAGCTCAGTAAGTTTAGCTTTATTTGACCTTTGCTCTTCTAAAGTTAATTTTTTTTCGGCACTTTTTAATTTATTTTCCAAAGTCTCAATTTTTTTAGTATATCTCACTCTCTCATCGGTGAACCCCTGTGATAGATTTATATGATCATTTAAACAATTCTTTCTTTTTGTCATATCCTCTTGAGTTGTTCTCAGTTTTTGCAAAGTATCTGATAATTCTAACATTTTATCATTAAGCATATTTCTGTCTTTAGTAACTTCTTCAAGCTCATTCTCTATATCTTTTCTATTCCTTTTATTTTCCTCATTTTTTTCACTCTCCTTCAGAGTTGATAATTGATCTTCTACAGTTTGTCTTAATTTCTTTTCTTTTTCAAGCTCTAACTGAAGTTCTTTTATAAATTTCACTTCGTTTTCTAATTGATTGGCTTTCTCCTCTAATAAATTTTTTTCACAAGACAGTTTCTCCTTCTCAGATTCGATTTGAATGAGTTTATATTGCATATCATCCGTATTTATCTTGGAACTCTGTTCAGTTAGAGAGGCTATATCTGCTCTTAGAGAATTTATTCTCAGTTCTGCCTGTTTATTGAGTTTTTCAAGGTCAAAGTTTCTAATGAGAGAATGGAAATTTTTTAATTAATTTGGTGTAAAAGGATATTTTCTAAATTATTGTTTTAATACCTTTCCTTCAGGTTGTCAATAGTTAAATGTAAACGCTTAATTTCGTTCTTTGTACTATTCTCAGAATTACAATCATCAGAAGAGTCGGATGATTGAAAACTGCTTAATTCATCTTGCAATTTTTCATTCTGTAATTTTTGTTCCATTAGCTCTTGGGTCAATTTGTAGATTTTCCTTTCCAAGAGTTTCTCACGATCATCAGGATTATTGATTGGCTATGTAACGAACAAGTTAATTGAAGAAAGTTTCTTTTTACAAAAAAAAAAGTTCTAATAGAGTAAAATATACTTTTTCTATAAGAGATTGTAAATTATCTTTCAATTCTTGGCATTGAACTTCTATCCTTTTCTTTTCAGAGATTAAATTAGATATTCTCATTTGGTAAGTAACTAACTTTTGTCTTTCTGAATTCTCATATTTCTTAAAAAGGTTTAGAAAAAATCATCGATAGTTATTTAGTAATTAATAAATAATTTGATTTAATGCTTACTTCTCTAAGATTTACTTGTTCTTTCAAACCTTTTATAATTTGAAGTAATTGATCTCTTTCTTTAAATGATTCACTTGAATTAGATTTACTTTCTGTTTTACTATATTGATGATATAAAAGCACTCTTAATTCAGAAGAGGTAGCTTTTAAGGCAGCATTATCCAATTTTAAAGTTTTATTCTTTAAAAGTAGATTTTGAACAGGGTCATGGCCAGTTTTTAACTATAATTAATTAATATTTTGTTATAAAAAAGCATTTAACTATTCAATACAGTTGGTTACAATCTTTCAATTCTACCTCTTTGTTCATAGATCGGATTATTCTTTCATATTCTTTGTGTTTCTTATTCATACTTGCAATCTTTCCAATCAGTGTTTGTTTTTGAGCTAATTGAATTTCAACAATTTGAATAAGATCATTCTTAATCTCTTTATCCTATATTGTAAAGAATTTTTAATTAATCTAGATTATTAATATAACAACGAATATTTATGTTAATTACAGTCTTCTGGTTGCCTTTTTGAATGCTTTTTACCATATTATTATAATATTTGTTGTCTTTTTGAACACTAAGTAAACTTTTTTGAGAGTCTATTATATTTTCCTCCAGTTTATCTATTTCATCTAATAGATCATGTTTATTAGCACTTAGTTCTTCTAGTTTATGTAGAGTTCCTGAATAGTCGATCTGCATTTGACGAATTTTATCTTCAGCATCCATAAATCTTTCTTCCAAGTTACTTTCATTAAGCCTTCGCCCTAAACAGATATTCGGTAAATTGACTGTTGTTAATATCTTAGTTATCGTAGCATCTCCCATAGCATGGCGAAGAATTCGAAATTGTCCCTCACGTGTACGTAACCTAATCTGAAGATTTCGAAATATCTCTCTTTCTTTTTCTCTTTGCTTTAAAATCTCCATATACTTTGTACTTAATTCATTCAGTCCCATAGGGCTACTTACACTAGTTTCTAGATGATAGCAATATAAACTTATAGCTGCAGAAAATATTTTATATAATAACCTCGTTCATAATTTTCACTAATCAATTCATGTTCAGCAGGAGATCTTTCTAATTCAGCTCTTGAGCGTAGATCATGATAATCTTTTAGCGATGGTGAATTGACTGCATTCCTGTTCATTGTTTTATATAGGATTACATCAAAATTTCACTCTTCCGTAAGTAGTGTTTTTTCTCTTCCGATGAAATTATACTTGCAATTAAAATAAATATATTTAAAGATTAATGATGACGAAATCTTCATTTAAACATATGAAATTTAATAAGATTGAAACATAATGAGAGCCATATGAAATTGAATTCATGACAGGTTTTATCAAATGATTGTTAAATGAAATAGAAGACGTGTTCGGGATATTATATAGGACTGTTTCTCATTCAAATCTAATCTTCCTCGTTATCAATTTTCCTCTACAATTTAAATCTGAAATATGATCCCCGTGTACAAAGAAATCTGTTTTCAACCCCATAATTTATCACAACAAGGATAAACAAAGCTGCCAAAGTTGGGTAACAATACCCTGACCACTGCTGGATAATATCTTCCACGTTTGCCTTAAACCATTTTTTAAATTAGGTGATTCTTTCTTTAGTATAAATGGAATAGTCGACTAGCCCTTCTAGACTATTCAGACTATACAATTTAGATTCCTTTGAAAATAAATCGATAGACAATTTCAAATTCGTCGTTAATTAACAAATTGATTTGATTGATGCCAGCATTTCTTTTTGTTTCTATTCTTTTTACCTCTTTTATTCTCCGCTTCAGAAAAATTACAGTTCTTTGATTGACATTATGCTGATAACATATCGATCTTAAAGTTTCTTTAAAATTTCTCTTTTCATGCGTACCTTAAGGGCAAAGGGTGAAAGTAAAACTTTTTAGTGATTTTGTCTTTAAATTCTCTTATTGTGAGAGCTTTTTCATGTTTAGACGATTAGTTTATTGACAATTTTTTACTTTTGTTTCGTAAATTGCTAAAATATGTGTCTATAATAATATATTTTCCCACTACGATCGATTAAAAAAATCGGATTATCTCTTCGTCAAATGATCCACAATAAATTATCACGTGGTTATTAAAAAAAATCATTTTATCTACTATTCTTGTGACTTTTTTCTTCGGTGTTATTTACATTTTATCGTTTTCTAAGTATTAAATTTCACATTATTTTCTTTTCTCTTCCAAGTCATTAGTAATCAATTCCCTTCTTGCTCTAATCAAATTATCTTCTTGGTTGGATGGAGGATAGGCTAAATTGTTTTTATAACTATTAGTTTGAGATTGATTGATTAAAGTAAAGGGAAAATTCTATTAAAATCAAAATACAGAATTCTTTGTAAAATTCTTAATTACTTTAACTGATTTTTAATTCCATTTCAGAGTAAAACAAATTTATAAGTAAAGTCTTACATCTATAAGAAAAAAATAATAATGCATTTAACCTACTTTTAATAATAAATATTGGATTTTTAATACAAAAAGAAAACAAATTATTAGGATGAATGTACAAACCGCCTGCATTCTATAAATAACAAAAAAAGAACCAATTAATTTAAAAAATTATCTAAAAATGGCTTTGCCCTGCCCAATACAATATATAGTCTAATTATATAGTAATACCCTGGTGTTTTATCACCTTTGCATCTTAATATGGGTTTACTGGACTTATATTCGTATAAAATATTTCTCTAATTCTTTTCTTAAAAACTAAACAGAAACGTTACAAATAGACATTTTAATAGCTGAAAACTTTATTTTCCATTTATTTTCCTTCTTTTTTGTGAATTTTTTATACTACTTTCTGGAACTTCCGCTATGTGAGATCATGAGTAATATAACTTGCTAACCTTGACCTTGTAAATATCAATTACTCTCTTTCCCTTTTTGGTCAAGAAAGAATTACTCGAATCAATTGGTTAGCTTACTTTGCGACGAGCATTGCAAAATAGTACGGTACCATCATTTTTCAAAATGGCCGACAAACAAATGGATTTGTATCGGGTTTCGTGAAAACCATCATATTACAGTGATTAAGCATGCAGAAATGTCTATAATTGACAGCCTGTCAAACTGTTGGCTATTTTTTGATGCACCATTGACTTTTTCGACTAAAACTTGGATATTTTAGTAAAAGTAATTGATAAGAGAAGAAACTATGAACTCACTAAGTCGAAGAACGCCGGTGCGAGAAGAAAACTATGAGCATATATTAATGTGCTTAATATGCCGGAATCTATTTGATCAACATGAGCATAGACCTCTCTTTCTAAATTGTCATCACACTTTCTGCAAAATGTGTTTGACGGAGTATTCGAAACATGCAAATACCGACGAGATTGAATGTCCGTCATGCAGAAGTTTTACTGTCCTGCCATGCGCAGGAATTACAGCTCTACAGCCAAATTTCTACATTAAATATATACAGCAACTAGTCTACGGTTCTAGTTTTGTAGAATCGCCCCAGAGTTTTCTTTGCAAAGAACATAAGAAAGAATTGCTACAGTATTGTTCATCTTGCGCCCAGGCTGTATGCGACGAGTGCCTAGAGGATATGCTATACTGCAAAGAAAGACATGAAAAGAAGAGGGCTCCTATAGCAGGTAATACAAAAATTGCTTTTAAACATAAGTGTATAGTAATATATTTTATATGTAAATTCATAAAATATTTAGGGGCTGTAGCTGAATTAAAAACAACGTTAGATACGACAACTGACCGGGCAACGAATTCTATTTTATCAAAGCAAAGAGATCTTGAAGCCGAGAGACAAAAATTTTCTGATGAAAAAGATGAGGCTCTAATAAAAATTGATTCCGTATTTGAGCAACATGTCCATTTTCTAACAAAAAGAGCGACCATTTTAAAACAGATGGTTGTCAGTTTATACACCGAAAAATCGAACAAGATCAATTCGGAATTGGAAGAAATTAATTTGGCCAAGACATGTCTTATTTCGTTGAAGGAGTATCATGAAAATTTAATAAAAAATGCGGATTTTTCTCGTGCCAAAGATGCAATAGTTGAAGTTAAAAGCGTTCAAGCGAATATTGCTAACAAGATGAAAACTAGACAAACAAGCATTGTTTTTGATGAGAAACGAGAACTAGATAAATTTCGAAGCAGTGTGAAAGAGCTGGGTAAAGTTTATTCCACGGGGGATCGGAGATACTCTCAAATTGTGGAAAAAGAGAAGGAAATTTCGGAAGAAAAACCCAAGTTGACATTAATGTCTCAGAGTTTTCATTTTGATGATGATTTGAATCCGTTATTTGAGGAAGATAGCTCTAGGAAAGAAGATAGTAAAGCCCTTTGTTCGGAAAATAGTTCTTCTAGACAGAAAATTCCTGTGCCTCCTAGTACTCTGCCCATATTGGCAAAATACAAACTATCTAATATGATTGAACTTTCGAATGAACCTGAAGAGAAAGTAGTGAAAAGTAAAACTCCTTCTTTACACAGTTCGTCTGATAGTTTGGCTGGCATAACGACTATCAACGGTGATGAAGTAGCTTGATTCAGTACTCTCTAGTATTATTTTTCTTTTTTTTTGGCTATATGATTTTATTATTGAATCGGCAATCGCCATAACCAATGTTAGAGGTCAAAGGGTAATGATTTATAATTTAGAAGAAGGGAAAGATTTACTGATACTAACCCTTAAAGTTTTTTTTAAAAGGATTTCTTTGGTTACCATGACCACCAGACTTTTTTTATACAATTTTCTTTAAGGATGGAAAAAGTTTCTCTATATTTAATATTATAATATAGTTATTAAGAAATAAGATACGACGTAGATAAATGACGAAAGTATCGTATATATCTTTGCTTAAAATCCCATCTTATATGCTATTATAAAAAGTATCCTTGATTGTCGTTTCACCCGGCGCTTTTGAGACATTAATACAGGACATGAATTTATTGTTTTTTATGAAAAATAAATGATAAACATATTTTTCATGAACACGATATGAAAGTTATCTTGAACAAAATGTTACACATTTTCATCTGAGAAAAATATGTACACACTAGACAGCAGTATCGTTCTCTTCTTTATTATTTGTTATGTTCGTTGCGTCTTTCATCTCCGCATCAGTGCTCTTGGTTCTATTAGAAAAGATCGAGATATAGATTTGTGAAAAGCTATCAAGTGTAAAAATATTGGACTTACTCTTCCTCCTTGCTTTCTACGTCATTTTCTACCATCTTATCATCGACTGGACTCTTTGGTAATTTTTTAACATCTTCGTCCAATCTAGGTCTTTTAGATTTAAAATTTTCCTGATCTTTTCTACCTTCACCTTCGTCCTCTGAATCTTCAAGATCTTCATCTCTTTCAATTCTTTTGTCACTAGCCCGAACTTAAGAACGAACGATTATTAATGAACGATTTGTATGATAAAAATAACTTACTTGATATTCTTTGATCTGAATTATTTAGATCATTATGGGATTCTGTATTAATAGCATCGTCTGGAACGTCTAAAAAAAATAAATTGTTATGCAATTGTTTTCCTAACAGTTTATTTAAAATAAAAGAAAACAAATAATACCTTGCATTTGAATACTCGGAGCATGGGGTAGCATGCGTAAATTTTCAAACAATCGTGTCTTAATCTTATCCAAATATTCAGGCGTATTCTGATTAGCCATATTACTTGGGCTAATATTTAGCTTGAAATCTGGTCCGTAATATTCAAAATAGTCATTGTACGGTAACTCATTAGCAATATCTATATCAAGAGCTATGGCTGTCTCTTGTGTCCAACATCTTGCTACATTTCTAATAGTGTATCCTCCACCACCCAGCATTAGAAGTGGAAGATTGAACTTCTTCATAAACTCAACGCATTTTCCATGTCCTGTTAAAGTATTTTAATGTTAAGCAATATGTCTCTATTTAATAGTTAAATGCTTACCTTTTAGCGTTAGATTGAAGCACCCCAATCTGTCTCCAGATAAAGAATCTGCACCGCACTGCAACACAATAGCAGTTGGCTGATACATTTCCATTACTTTATTGATAACAGGTTGAAAAATCATTTCGTAATTGTCATCATCGATACCATCTCGCAGTGGAAAGTTTACGGCATAGTATTTTCCTCGGCCCGCTCCAATATCTCTCAAATCTCCAGTTCCTGGAAAATATTCTCCGTACTTATGAAAGGAGACAGTCATTACTCTATCAGTAGTATAGAAGGCTTCTTCAACTCCATCACCGTGATGAATGTCAATGTCAATGTACAGAACTCTAGGATGATATCTAAAATTTTGGGAAGAAAATGATAACGTTAATTAAATTAAACTGTAAAGCCCTACAGGAGATTTAAGCATACTTTAGCAATTCCAAAATTGCCAGGACGATATCATTAACATAACAAAAACCAGATGCTTCGGATTTTTTGGCGTGATGCAAACCTCCACCCCAGTTAATTGCGATGTCAGTTGCTTGTTTGTTTAACTTTACCGCTCCGGCTAGAAACAAACGGAAGCAAATTTTTTATAAAAAGACTCCAAAAATGTTAAAGCGCCATCTATAACACAGGGTCATAAATTAAAAGCATAAAATCACGCGAAGGTTTTTGTTTGTTTAAAAAAGAATTAAATTTATTTAAAACGCCAATTCTATAATCTCCTTTAAGTAGAGAATTACAAACCAACAGATCCTCCGGCAGAAAGTTGGCAGAATTCATACATTCCATCAAAAACTGGGCAATCTTCACCGACGTTAACTATTGTTAAAGAAATATCAATTATATATATATGTAATGTTTTTGTAAGTAAATCGTACATTTCTGCATCTGCTTATTGTATTCGGACATATTATCCGGTTTAATATTTCTCAGAAATTTGATGTACTCATCACTATGGAACTTTGTCATCTCCTCAGCAATGGCCTTATGAGGACGCTGTAAATGTTAATAAAATCATTAAACTGGATCATTGTACACCGTCTTTTAAATTATTGCAAAATATTACTTACGTAGATTTCCATTTTTCGATATAAACCATAATTAAGTAATAAGTTATGGGTCATTCGAATCCTATGTGGTTTCATTGGATGTCCTTGACCATAATAGTAATTTCCAATATCCCCTGAAGCATTTAAAACTCATTGTTAAAAATTTGCTCCTTGGTTAAAAATTCAAAGAGTTGCGCAGTTATAGATTTTTATTTCGCCGGTATCCTGACTAGGAATTCCACTGTCTACGCAGTTATAGTTTTTTGAAAACTTTATATTTAATAAAACTCCTGAACGATATCTTTATTCACTGATATTTAACATAATTTATAAAGAAATTCTTTTAGGTGAAAATATTACAATTTAAACAATTTTTAAATGCAATGAATTTAATAACAGAAATTTATTTTCTAGGTATTATCGCTCTTGGGTATAAATCAAACTAATCGTATAATATTTTGACTTCTGCTTATTCCTAATTTTCTTACCATCATAGTAGTAGCATATCTTCTTTTTGCTGTGAGGTTGCGTCATTTTTCATTAATTTTAATCCTTAGCACCGGCAAAACGCTTTCCTGTATGCGCATGCGCAAAGGTGTCTAAATACGATAGATGGGGCTGAATTAATGTTAATATTTTTTATTTTTAAATAAAAGAATAGAGCTATTGTTTCAAAATAATTAAGAAAAAGGTATTAATTATCTATTTGCGTGTACTAATATGCGAAAGATTTTAGCAGACAAAAAAATGGCGACCTAGAAACAAATAAACAAGACCTCTTAAGTAAAAAAGTGATGAAATCAAATGTCAAAGGCATTTAAGAACTTTCATTTCTTAAAGAATATATTGCTGATAGTTTAATTTTTAAGTGAAACTGCTAAAGAATGGCTAATTCAGAACTTAAATTGAATTTAGATAGTGGTATGAGTTCTCCTGAATTTTCAAATCCGGTTGGTTATCAACCACCTCAGAGCGTTTGGAAACTGATTGAAGAGCGAGTACCTGAATTTGAAAGAGAAGAAATTAAGCGAATGCTTGGATTTTCCAAGGTCGAGGAAAGTTTAGATTTGCAACGAGAGGTATAAATAGCAAATTAATTAAATTTTGAACATATTTTTTAGTAATTTAGACTAAAATATGTTGCATTCTTTAAAAAAATGTTTTAGCACAGATTTTACAACAATGATAAATTTCACACAGGTGGAAATTTTGTTAGATATTTGGAGAGAGGTTCGGGTAGGATTTAATGGTAATGGGGAAACATCACTTCCAGAACCACCAGCCGTCAGGGATCGCTTGAAAAACGAGATAGAATTTTTTATTAAAGCTTTAAAAGATCGAGCTGAAAGAGATGGAGTTGACCCCAACAAAGCCATAAATACTAATTCACCTGTAATAGACTATGTTATCACAGCTCGAGGTGAAAAATACTAAATCTAATTTAGTGTGATTTAAACTACATGACTATATTTAATATCAATATCAGATCGAACACGCCCACAAACTGCACAAAGCGGAGGGAAGGAAACACCTCTTCTACCGCTTACGTCTAGCGATAGAGATAGGATGTCATTAGCGTCAAGTGTTAGCGATGACTTTGATAGCATGAATGATAAATTAAATTATTTGCAATTCGATGTCGTCGTTGAAAGCTTAAGGTAAGCATGATAAATTTCGGAATACTATATTGGTTATTCATACGATATCAACTCCAGACAAAGATTAACCGATGAAATTCAACAATTAATCAATGATGTTTCCTTTCTACAAAACTGCATAGATGACGAATATTCTTTTCAGTCTAAGACTGACAATTTTAGAGAACCATCAATAGCCGAACTTCGAGAGGAAAGAACTAAATTGGAAAAAGATTTATTGAATAGCAGGGCATCTTCAGCAGCATCTATAAGCAAAATTGATGTCAACTTGAGTCGTCCGTCAAGTACAAAAAAGCCTGCACCATTGGAAAGGCTGACTCCAAGACCGCCTCTATGTCCAAAGGAGCATGTTGTTGTAAGAACAGTCAATTATAAAAAAGGAGCGTCCTGTTTAAAGCCAGCCTCTGCGACTTCCTTTGATATAGACAACAGAATTCTTAAAAATGAAGAAAAAAATTTAGATAGGCCTAGTAGTGCTCAAAGATTCAGACAGATGGTCTATTCAGAGAGGAATTAAAATAATACTTGGACATTCAGCTTTATCACGCAGCACAGTATTAAAAGAGTTCGAATATTTTTCGGACATAAATCCGGTCTTAACAAAAAGAAGATAAAAATGTTAATTGAATCGTTATTCAAAAACTTCCGTTTTGCATATTAAAGTTATACAATAAGCCAAGAACTATATTTATGCAAAGGTTGGTTCAAAGATCTTGTTGTTATATTTGTTTACATTTGTTTTTTATTCTTACGAAACCATATTAATAAAGAAAAAAATTGTAAAGGACTATCGTTTGCCTTTTTTACCCAATTTCTTTCTAGAAGGTTCAGCTTTATCTTCGCCTTCTAACCGTAATGCATGACCTGTTTCTTTTAAATGTGAAAAAAGTTTGTTTTTTGATGAAAATTCCCTTGAGCAGGTATTGCAAAAATGAGCTTGATTAGTCGTTATGCTATCTTCATCACCTTGTTGTTTCTTTTCTTTTCTTTTATTTTTTTTTTGACTTTTACTTTTAGTATTTTCATTTTTGCTTTCTTCTGAGGAAACAGAATTCAATATAGGAATTTCTTGAACGTTTTCAGGTTCCGAGTTATTACACAAGATATCTACAACAGCCGCTTTCTTCTTTCTTCTCTGCTTTTTATTCTTCTTAGAACTAAATAAATAATTGCTAATTACAATGCATGGATGTGAAAATAATTATATTTAAATGTAAAATAGTTGTTAACATTGTTCAGTATGCTAACCTTGAATCATTCGGTTCACTTAGGTGATTATCCTCGAATCGACAACCATCGTTTGCTTGTTCTTTTTTATCGTTATTTTCGTTTTCATTTGCTTCTGTAAAATTAACTCCATCATTTGATGAATTATTGTCAACGACGTCTAATTCATCATCCTCCTCTAATAGGCCATTGTACGTTTGAAACTTTTTCTGTTTCTTTTTCTGTTTTTTATTTTTTTTCGGCCTGGAAAAGAAGAGTAACTTTAATTTCATTATTATTTCTATTAAAAGGCATACTTTTTTTCAACTATTTCTTCTTCCTCTTCTTCTTCTTCTTCTATTTCTTCTCCTTCTAACTCTTCATCTAATAGAATATCGTCCTGAAGATGTTTATCTTCTTCAACTAGTTCTTCTTTTAAGAGTGCAACGTTTTCCTTATGCTTTTTGGAATTTTCGTGATTTTGTTTTCTGTTAAATAAGAAACTATTGATTTTTTTTTATTACAATATCATTATTTTTTCTTACGCTTTTGGAGTTTTAAACATTCTATCACAAGCAGGACAGTAAAGAGCATCTAATAGTTCATCAATGTTTTCTTCGTTAGATATGTCACTTGATGATTCATCTTCGTCATGAAATTGAGCGCTAACGTTCTTTTCCAGCATCTCTAATTCTTTCTCTAAAGTAGACATAGAAGACCAATCAGCTTCTTTGAAATCTTCCATTCGTTTTTGCCTTTCTTGACGATCTTTTAACATTTTCTCTTGTGTTTGCCTTGCAATTTCTACTTTTCTTTCCTCTAATTTTTTCCTATAGGCTATCATTCTTTTGTCTCTCTTTTTCACATAAGCAACTAATGCTTGAACTTCTTCATTCCTTTCTTTTTTAGCTTTGTCTCGGTGCTTTTTATTTTCTCTCTCTATTTGGCGTCTGACATATCTGTTCGGTGCTTCTCGAATATCATATTCATCTACCCATACAAACGACTTTCTAGTTGAGTATGCTTCCCAGCGACCGTAAAAAATTTTGACATCTTCGCTAGTTGATTCAGAATTGCCAAAACAAGGATAAAGTAATAAAAGGTCATCAGGATCGTCAAGATATTCAATATCTTCCGCTGCAATTTTTTCAAATATTTTCCTATATATTGTATAGAATCCGTTATCACTATCATCGAATCCCGAATAACAAGCACTATTAAAATATTCGTATACGTTCAGACAGTCATCTTTATAATCACCACCCTTACCAAGCCCTTAAAGTATTGAATAAAAATAAATGAACATTTGAAAATTTGAAAAAAAATATCAATATAAGAAACTTTACCTCCTTTCAAGATCTCTTCTCTATGTTTGTCATAAAATGCTTTTTCCTGAGGATCTGTTAATACTTCATAAGCTTGCTGAATCAGATGGAATTGTTTTGTGCACTCTTCTATACAGTCAGGATTTTTGTCTGTCAATAAAAACGTGGTATATACAGACGATGGACGATAATAAATAATTTGTGATTTATGTACCTGGATGATATTTAAGGGCTAATTTCCTATAAGATTTTGTTATATCTTTTTCGTCAGCTGTTCGCTCCACATTTAGTACCTCGTAATGGCATTTCATTTTGTTAAATTCTCACGATAGACTAAATTTTCACAATAAATTGCAACAAAGCAAAACATTATGCTGTGATTTTACCAGTTTTCAAATTACTTTTACTTTGAAAAATTGCTGATTTTTTTATAATAATAGAAATTTCATTCTGTAATACCAACTAAAAATATATTAGTATCTTTTTTCAATTGAGCTTACTAGACATGATCGTGTATAATTGTTCGTTATCTTTTCTTAAGATATGATCATTAAGAGAAGACTTTTTTCCAATGTTAATTATATGACTAATATAATCAGACTTAAGTATATGAATATCCATAATTTTCTATAATTTACATACAAAGATATAGGGCACTAGAATAAAAATTTAGATGAAGGAAAAATACAAGGTGTATTTTTGTTTTTCAGTTGATTGTTTTGCAATTGAATAAAATGCCGTATACTCTTGAATTCGGTCAAGGGCGCGTACTATTGACCTCTTGTTTCTTCACGTATCAAAGTGCGATGTGACGTTTTTTCTGTCTCGAAACTAGAATTATAGAGGTAGTACCAAAGGAGAGCAGACAAGGGTTACTGACCGAACGTATATCTGTCTTCTGGTTTTGCATAATATAAATATTATTATTACTTAGTGACGTAAGCATGAAGAAAATGTTTAATTTTTGTACAACCAGGTTACGAATACTTTATTCAAAGTGAATAGAAAAATCCACAGACACGAGGTTCGCACATGCACTTTTAACCTTCACCCTCATTAATATGCATAATATGATAATTTATGCGGAACTCTGTGCAATTTATCCTATAATATTCCATCCAAAATATTCATTAAACAAATTTTTAATGTTGAAACAAGCAGAAAAAGGTGCGTGTTGATTATATATACCGCTAACATTGAAAAAAAACCCAAACTTTGCCAATATCTATGTCACTGCTTTTCAATAAAAACTAGTGGAATTCTCTGGGAATTCTCCATTGTAAGCACGTGACTCTACTCTATAAAAGGCTCTACAACTGTACAATTATTCTCGCTCGCTTCTGCCACTGAAGTATTCGAATGCTAAATAGTACTAATTGCTGCTGTTGCAAAGTTTGTTGTCTATTACTAATATACACCTCAATATGGCTTCAAGAAAAGTGATAAATTTTGCTCCTGGTCCGGCTAAATTACCCGAACAGGTAATTATATATAAGATTTGCAAGTTGTTATAGATTTTGTTATAATATTGCATTCGTGTTAACAAAAATAGGTTATGAAACAAGCACAGGATGAATTTGTAAGCTTTGGTGAAAGTGGAATTAGCGTCCTCGGTAAGAAATATCATTTACTGGCATTTCTTTTTAGGGGTTTTTAATTTTAATATTTCTCATACAGAAATGAGCCATAGAGGTTCAGATTTTCTCGATATAATCAACACGGCAGAGAACAATCTTCGCGACTTAATGTAAGATTTTTAATATTTTTAAAAGAAAAAGATTTACTTTCCATAGCTGGCAATTTAAAATATCTAGATGGCGCTGTTGATTTAATATTCTCATGAATATTCTCTTTTCATTTATAGGAATATTCCGGACAATTATAAAGTATTATTTTTACAAGGAGGCGGAAATGGTCAATTTGCAGCTGTGCCTTTAAATCTTATGAATTTTAAACCTGGCTGTAAAGCAGACTATATAGTAACTGGAAGTTGGTCAGCTAAGGCAGCAAAAGAAGCAGAAAAATATGGTCAAGTTAACTATGTACTACCAAATATGAAAGACTATACTTCAATCCCAGACGTCTCAGAGTGGAAGCTTGATCCAGAAGCTTCATATGTATATTATTGCGACAATGAAACAGTTCACGGTGTTGAGTTCCATTTTATACCAGACACAAATGAGGTTCCCCTGGTTGTTGACATGTCTTCTAATATTTTATCAAGGCCTATAGATGTTACTAAATTCGGCCTAATTTATGGTGGCGCCCAGAAAAATATTGGCTGCGCTGGTGTTACAGTTGTTATTGTCAGGGAAGACCTTTTGGGTCATGCTCAACCCATTTGTCCAACAATTTTTGACTATCGTGTTCAAGCAGGAAACAGTAGTTTATATAATACCCCACCAACGTTCAGTATTTATATGATGGGATTGGTCTTCAAGTGGTTGGTACAACAAGGGGGGGCTCACGCAATGAAAGATCTCTCAAATGAAAAATCCTCTATCATTTATGAAGTTATTGATCAAAGCAACGGCTTTTATTGGTAAGTTTAAAATTAATGTGTATTATATGATAGTGTCTATCCATGGTTTTTTTTCTAGTGTCCCAGTTGAACCAACTGCTAGAAGTCGAATGAATATCTGCTTCCGTATTGGATCGAAAGATGGAAATGCAACTTTGGAAAAATTATTTATAGAGGGAGCTGCTAAGAAAGGAATGCAATCTCTAAAAGGTCATCGTTCAGTAGGAGGAATTAGAGCATCCGTTTACAATGCTATAACTATAGAAGAGACTCAAGCTTTGGCAACTTATATGAAAGAATTTAAAAGACAAAACCATTTAAACTAGGCGATTAAGACTATAGGTCGAATGTTTTTAGAAACTATTACTTATATAAATGTATATATATTGAATTACACACGTTTTAGTTGAATAACACAGAAGTGTTTTATATTACTCTGAAGTTTAAAAAATATATCTTAATCTTATCAAATTAAAACGAGTTAATCAATTTTGTTGTAGTTTAAAGATTTGAAGGTTGCAGTTGCAAATCACAGATTGCTGTTTAAACCATACTGTTTGTATAAAGTAACAACACAAGCACTGCCAATTCCATAGTTGTGTTGCAAACCAACTCGTGCTCCATCTACTTGTCTTTTTCCAGCATCACCTCTCAATTGCCAACATAGTTCGGCGCATTGACCCAATCCAGTTGCACCAATAGGATGCCCTTTTGATTCTAAGCCACCGGATGGATTGACAACAATATTGTTCATTTTGTAAATTTCGCCTCCACTTTTGTTCTTTATCCAAGAGCCCATTCTGAATAAGTCCATTCCATGACCTTCTTTAGCAAAGCCAAGAGCCTCGTACATGAAGAGCTCATTACATGAGAAGCAATCATGCAACTCAACCACATCAACGTCACTAGGACTTATGTTAGAATCATTGTAGCATCGTTGAGCAGCTTCCTTTGCTAATTTATACCCACACAAATCCATAAATGTTTTGTCAAAAGTAGACTGCAAGTCGGTCAACATATGTTGAGCTATAAAAATATCATATTTTAATAAATACAAAAGGCTATTATTGTTATGTTTACCTGCAATTTCAACAGATTGCATTTGCAAATTATTCTTTCGAACGAATTCTTCACTGCAAACAAGAGCGGCTGCACCTCCATCGGCAGTTGGTGCTGCCATGTGAAGTGTGATTGGTTCACACAACGTTCTTTTTAGGATATCATCTATAGATGGAATGGGTGAGGAACGTTTTGTAGCTCTATCATTTTGTGATCCATGTTTTCGATTTTTCAACGATATTTCACTCAGATCACGCTTAGTTACGGAATTATACTTTTTAATATATTCTCTTGCTGAATAGGCAAATATTTTAATAACTTCGGATGTCATTTCGTTCAACCCAGGTAAAAGATCCGAATCAGCTCCCAAATCGTACATTTTGTCAAAGTGTATCTTTGTAGGAGCAACTTTTTCTTTATATCTTGATGACAATCCAGCTTCCATTTGCTCGAAGCCTTCGTTTTTTATGAATAAACATAGTATAAAAAATATGGTAGCTTTTGTATAATAATATGACTTTACCAACGGCTAAAACGCAGTCTTTCCCGCCCTTTATTAGTTCTCCAGCCAACATCAGGGCGCTGGAGGCTGATGAGCAATTGTTATTAACGTTGAAGATTGGAATTCCAGTTAAACCTAGTTCGTAGAGAGCTCTTTGACCTATCAGAATTTGTAAGTAGTACATTTTTGAACATTAAAATTGATAATAGGTCAAAATGTACCGCAAGTGGGTTCGCCATAACAATAACTAACAACAGCAGCCTCTACTTTATCGTAAGGAACCCCTGCGTCCTGTAAAGCTTGATGAGCTACAAAATTTGTTTGTATAGTTTAAATAAAAGATATTAGAATTGACTGAGATAAGTAAAAGAAACAGAAAGTTTTTCATATAAATATAATCTACCAGCTTCTCGTCCCATATCGTAATAATTCCACTCTTTCGTTTTTGGTTTTTCAAACTGCGTCATTCCAACCCCTGTAATAAGGACACGTCGTTTGCTTCTATGATCCATAGCTTACAAGCACTTATTTATTTATTAGATTTTGTAAACTTTTATTTTCTCAATCGGACTTTTGATATTGCCTATTATACACATCGTCTGCTAATCAATATATTATAGATGGCGAAAAAAATCAAACTTGAACGCCATCTAACGTAATATGTTTATTACTTATAAATAATATCATGCAAATTATTTCATCAGTGGCGAAACTGTTATTTAAATGACAAAAAGAGATAAGATTTATATAATGTAATAACTTTATTTCAAAATAAACTTCAAGATGAAAAAGTAATTAAGTTAAAAATGTTCTTTGGTCACAAGTGATTAACTTCTGGAGAAAAAAAAAGAGGAAGAAAAATCTTGTAAAGTTTTCATTGGCAAACAGTAGTGGTTGGCACACTAGATATAGGAGGTAAATAATGCGTAGAGGGAGCTGCTCTCTTCGATGCAGGTTCAGGGTAAATAGCTGGAGGAGCAGATTTTATGGAGGACTCAATTAAAGGTTTAGGTTCTACATTTTCTGTAGGCAATGTACGCCTTTCTTGTGCTGAATTTCTAACTTCATAACCATTGGCACGAATTAATCTTTCAGCTTCGTTATCGCTGAATTTATCCCAAATGAAAGCTCCGTGTCTCTAAATAGGGAAATGGATACTTAATAAAATATTCGTTTGGGAGCAATTTTCTAAAGTACATCTGATATCTCGACCGAGAGTTTATATCAGATGCGTTTGATATGATTTCCAAATGTCAAAGTATGACTTCTTACCTTAGCCCTTATGGGATAATTTGGATCTGCCCTAGAATCGTATTGATGTTCGTAAGAGATTCCTTCTTTCCAAAATCTCTGCTTTTGCGGTTTAACAAATGTTACGGGTACAATACCACTGGCAGCAGTTTTATTCGGATTAGAAGAATGGCGGGTTGGTTTTTGAAAGCAAGTATCACTCTTGTCAACAAAATCCGATCGAACTGTAGTATTTAAGGGCCTTTGCGGCTTCATAAAATCGTACGATTCATCACTTCCCTTTGTGTAAACACTACATACTGGATCCATTAACGTTTTAACGTTCGATAATAGAAATCCACAATGTGTGGGATTAGGTCGATTTCTCGATCCATGCCTGGCTTTATATCGAGGATGTTCTATAGTAGAGCCTGGTTGCCCCAAAACGTTTGAATCAGATAGGGGATGCAATGGAACTGAAACGTTGGAAGGTCTCAAAGGATATTGATGAGCTATTTCTTCTCCAAATATCCGATAAGTATTGATCCTAGGAAATTAATTAATTATTTAAAGTTTGTATTGAGTAATGTTGTCGATTCATGCATTTATTTCTAAAAGCTAAATCTTCTAATTTAATTTGCTTTTGCCTTTTTTTGACTATATAAGCAAAAAATGTTGACTTGGGATACAAAAGTTTTTCATGCTATTTTTACCTCTCATATTTATTTTTATAGGCCATCGTAAATAAAAATTTCCAATTAGCAGCTTAATCAAAATTATTTTTTAAGTAGGAGATTAATAGAAAAGAACATAAAATTGTTCGAATTATCTTACTTTGGTGTGTCTTCAACTCGTTTCTTTCGAGCCATAGCACTTGGAAATAATGAGGATGGATCACACATCTTTGAATATAGCTTTTTCTCGTTTCTTATAACTTAAAATTTCTAAATATTTAAGCAAAACTAAACATTAACTTTCATCGTTTGAACGTCGTTACCCGCCATATTGATCTGTTGCTAACGACAAACAGTTCTTTGTTGAAAAGTAAAACATTACTCAGGCTTGTTCTTTTTTTTTAAAGAGCTATATCTTATACCAGTTTACACGAGATATTCATTTTATTCTTTTGGCGCTCAAATACTTTTATATTCTTTTATCACGACCACTAAACTTGTTTATTCAATAGTAAACTATAGAAGCCTAAAAGCCCACGGTAAAAATCGATTGAAATTTCATCAAGTGTAGTTAATAAGGAAATGCTAATAAGAAGAGACATGGCGTTTGAAGACAAAAATAATAATACTATAGATTCATCAAAGGACTACCATTTCATATTTGTTTTAACAGTATGACAAAAGCTACTTTAGTTGATCTTTGAACTATGTAAAATTACTTTTCTAGCTATACATTTAAGCTAGAATAAATGTAGATAATTGATTACTCTATTAATGAGATGAAATTACTGATTAAAAACAAAAAAGCTAAAGGCTAAAAGAAAATTGGGGCAAAAGACACTTGTTTTTTTACTATAAAGTATACTAATATTAATGAACATATATGTTTTTTGAGGATTTTCCCGGGGAACATCAAAGGAGATAAAATGGGAAGCTTTTAAATTGGGTGGTAAAATTCTAGTTCCCCTTGTTTCGTCAACTACCATAAGAAAATAATGTTTTACCAGTAGGAGATTTGGGAAAACACTTTTATCTAGGCTTAACACACAAAAAAGACGGTTTTATTAACATCAATTATAGGATAAAATTCTTTTTATCATTTAAGAAATGGAAGATAGCATTTCAATTATTTAAAATTAGATTAGCCATTTTAATGGACAATGAATAAGGAAGAGAGACAGTGGGTTAGATAGGAAGAGAGCTGTAGAGAAAGAGAGAGAGAGAGATAGAGAAGTGTCAGAGTGAGAGATACGCAGGGAAAAATTTAGCTCCAGCGTCGAAAGACAATAAGCACTGACATAATTAGGGAGGGACTGCTTCTTTGTTTGCTATTCTAGTCGACACTCTATTGAGCTGTAAAAATATTCTGCTTTCTAGTTAAACACGCTATTTTAACGAACATCTTTTCGATTAGTAAAAGGAATAGAGTAATTTGCCGACCATTCTCGTATATAACAATAGCCGATTTAGTCGGTCTATTTCCTTTTGTTTGTAGGGGAGTTCATTTCACTTTTTAGTCCTACAGTACGTAAGTATGCTAATGCGAACAGGAATTGCTGCTTGTTACTCGACCACTTTACCGTATAATCGTTAATCAATGCGTTTTTTCCCATTTTATTCTAGCTCGTCTGTAAATTTCAATATAAAAATTATAGGAATAAAGCGTATGCAATCTGTATATTTATATAGTAGAGGAGGAATTATCGTCGTTTATTTAATAACCGCAGTACGTCTGCAGACGCGACAAACCGGCTCAGCATTTTATTTCTTATTCATATCCTTTTTTTCTCTTGTTTCTTCATCAAATTTTTGAGACAAGAGTGTAAATTGATAATAAGATATCGTTGATCTTCTGAGCTCAATCACAGATATATCTCTTTTGAGGGAAGAGTTACTTTGTAAAAAGAGATGTTTTCTGAGTAGAAATTAAACCTGAGGGCATGTGATGCATGTGGATACCTTGTTCTATAAATATGAAATGATTCTGTGATATTTTATGAAACTTACTAAAAGCATAACTCTCGTAAATTGTTTATAAACGTAGAAGGTAATATTATAAGTATTATATATACAATACAGTAGCCTTGTTGGTGTCTCTGAGTGTAGTGTACAGAGATATTGTTGAGAGTTAGATATGTATAAAAGCTAGGTTTTGTATAGATACAGCGTAAAAGTACAATTGTCGTTTCTTTTTCTCAAAAATACGTAAAATACTTAGTCCATAGAATACATAGATATATAATGCATATAATTGAAGTTCATACAGCAGTCTTCACTGTATGACATATATACGACACTGAAATGTTAACTTACATAAATCTTTCTTTTGGCAAGAGTATCAAAATTTTATCCGCTAAAAAAATTCCCTATACCTACTACACAGACGTAATAGAAAAATGTAAAGTGGAACGCTGCGCTGGATGATCGTTGGGAAGATCTGTGGAAGTCAGAAGAGGATCAGCGGCTGGTTGTCTGAGGTGATTGGCGGTCGAGGAGATTGGCGGGGGAGGTGGTGGCGGGGGTGTTCGATTAGGACAGCAGCAAGTCAATACATTGACCACTTCCACTCGGAAGCGTATGGAAGAGATGGAATAAACAAAAAATTTCAGCGCTAAAAAGGAGTACATACAAAGCGACGATACGGTTTTGGCTAGTTTTTTCTTCCCTTTCCAAGCACTCTCAATTGGTACTTTGCTATTATCCCCTGAAGTTTTCCACAATTTAAGATTGCCTTCGAGAAAAGCAAATATGTCATAGGATAATTTTGGTAAAACCAGCAGTAAGTGGCAGATAGCCAAAGCAATAATAGCAGTATGAAGTTGCTTTGCGGTTGAGGCGTCTAATGTATGTAACTTCCATAATTGAGCCGAATGTCTGAGCGTGTCGGAGCGTCGTATTCTACGAGTTACTACAATTACAGAAGCCGAGAATAAGACGAAATAAGGAGCGAGATCAGCTATTACGAAATCAATTACTGGCCACGCTATCCTTCTGAACTCCTCCGAGTCTATGTTTCCCTGTTTAACGTTGCTGCAAGTCATATACGATTCTCCTCCAGATTTCTCTTGTCTGACTAAAGCGTAAGTCCAGAAAGAGTGAGCGTTTACGCAAACAAGAAGGACAAACAGCAGCAAGGTTGCAGCTCTCGCCCTTTCTTTTGTGCAAATTCGAGCTAATTGACTTGGTTTAAGCGTTACCGCTGCAGTTTCGATGCAAGCAGCCGATAGGAGCCACACAGAGAGATGAACTAGAACATTTTCAACGAACGGGTACATTTTGCACAGACTATTTGTATGATGTTGAGCTTCGTGGCGAATGTCTGTTCCATGAAGGACATCTATCCAAGCGTTACCTGCCAAAATGCAAAGGACTAAAGCATCAACCGCTCCCGCCAATGTGAGATAGAGACACGTTGATAGGATAGAGCAGAATCTTCTCATCACCATCATAACGAATATATTTGAGAGAACACCAACACCCAGTGTTACCGGGATGGCATACAGCTCAAGAGCACGAGAGACCGACTCTTCCGACATGTTCGAATCGATCTGCAATGAAATACGCCGACGCCAACGCCTTCTGCAGCACATTTAAAAAATTTTTTTGCAGTAGACCGTTATAAATAGGCCTACATGTTCCTCCTCCTCCTCTCATTTTTTTTTATTTGCCGTTGTGGCAGACTGTTGTATCAATTCTTAATTTGCTTTTTTCCCTGACCGTAGTTAATCCAGAGTAAAAGATGCTGAAATATTTCATCCTATAGAGGCACTTTTACCGTATTGGCTTTTACTTTCCTCCTTTCTAGCAGCCAAAAGATCTTAAGTATTGTTGTTTTTTCCTTTAAAGAAATCAAAAAGAAGCTCATATATAAAAGCCAATGTTTAAAAGAGAAAAAAAGAAAAAGAAGAACGGCCCAGTAAAAGTGAATTGAAATTAATAGGAGTACGGTAGAAACTTTCTATGGCATCCGTTGTACATTCCAGTTAGCGTTTTTCGGGTACGGAAGGTGAAAACGGCAAGATAGGCCTATTTGATATTTCCCAACTTTTGCTGTGGAGCAGTTATACGCTTCGTTTATTTCCCCTTTTTACTTAATAAACGTAATTCGATCTTATCGATCCACTCGACTTCTCCTTTTCTCATAGCCTCGAAGAACTAGTGCCCATTTCCGGTCCCGCCGGACGAATATATCGCCGCGCTAAATGTACCCGTCGTTCGACGCCTCTACCGCATCGTAAGAGGCTGATGACAGCTCTTCGAAAATCTCTATTTAGTAATGTATAGATACAAGGATTGACCCCGGAACTAGCATAACCTAACCATGTGAAAACTGTTACCAGTCTGGGCGGAATTTGGCAAGAAGAACATAATCCGTAAACTAAATTTGTCGTAAAAAATGGCATCCATAAACACACAAAACACCCAAATACCCAAATTAAAGTATTTTCAGCTCTTCTTTCTTTTGAGTTCCATTTAGCTGAAGTGTTTTCCTCCAGGAACCGGTTGTCTTCCTGTATGATTGATTGGATGGAAAATGGTGGTCTGTCGTATAAAGTTCTCTTGGCTGCTACCCTTAAAAGGTAAACGCTTCTTACATCTACAATTATCATCACTAATAAAGGTATGAAAAAAGAAACAGCCGATGAATAAACAACAAACGTCCTATCGAATATTCCGCATCGGTTATCGACTATTACTAAACTCTCGTGAAACGCTCCACGGACTAGTAATGGAAGAGAAATTGCCGCTCCGAGAATCCAGACGGGTACAAGAAGAACGACGACGTGCTTCTTCGTTTGCGTATGACGAACTAGGAGAGGATGAGCAATGGCTAAATGACGATGAATTGCTATTGCAGCCAGATGAAGGATGGAAGTAGTTGAAAGGAAGACGTCGGAACCGGTCCAGAGCAAGCAAAATCCTAGGCCTATTTTCCAAGTTCCTAGAACCTGGTAATCGAATCGAGAAAAAAGAAAAAGAGTATGTAATTAAAGAGATTAGACGCCTTTGACCATATCGTAAAATTGGAAAAGAGTAAAGTATATAAGAAAGAAAAATATTTACCAACTGATAGACGCCCAAGGGAACGACGATTAGTGCGAGTAGGAAATCTGTAACGGCCAACGACGCGATAACTAAATTCGGTAAAGTGCGTAGACGTCTAGTAAAAAGCACTGTAAGTAGAACTAGAAAATTTCCCGCCAAAATCCACAAAGGTACGACGGCAAGAGCGGCGAAATAGAGACGTCTCTCCAGAGGCGTCGAAACGTTCATAGTTCTAGAACCAACTTCGACATCCAACTCAATTTGCGTCTCATTCATTCCGATTAGACGTTTCTCGCTCGTCTCGTCCAATTCGATACGGGCATGCACTTCGCTCATTCGTTCCGCTAATCTGTGTAAAGGCGTTTGTACTGCCATCTTGAGGCGGGCGTCTAAAAACAAACGTTCAATAGATTCCACAACAAATAATTATAGTGAAGCTATGGGTCTGTGTAATTCAAAATATTCAACTTCATCTTCATCTCAGAGCTGGCACTTGCAGACGCTAGATGACCATGAAGGAGGAATCAATTGTATGTGCTTATCAGAGGACGGTTCAGTATTACTTACTGGTTCGGAAGATCGGACAGCCAGATTATGGACAGTTAAAACAGAAACAAGTGAATGTATAGGTTTGCTAAAGGGCCATGAAGATTACATAAACGCTGTAGCTATAGACGACAACTTTGCCATTACTGCTTCAGCCGATAAGACACTACGGAAATGGGATATGACGACCTGTGAATGTTTATTGATAATGACAGGTCATAAGTCACTAATTAACAGGATATTATGCACGGGCGATTTTGTATTTTCATCATCCTATGATAGAACAGCAAGATGTTGGGATCTGGAAACGGGTGATTGTATAAGAGTATTTTCCGGTCACAAACGAGGCGTCTATCCTCTGATCTTTATACCGGCTGACTATGATGACGTGACGCCCGAAGCGTTTAATTGGGATGGTAATAAAGATCTGTTGATTACGGCCAGTGCGGATTTTACGGCCAGAAGTTGGAGTTTTGAAACAGGAAAATGTTTAAGAGTGTTTAAGGAACATGAGGGAGCCGTTAGTATAATATATTTCCATGAATTTGTGAAAAGAAAAACATCGATCTTATATACTATATAACCAAAGCAAACTTATTGATTAAGTAAATATTTAGATAAAATATGGCAGTTGAATATCTTGACGTGTCTATTACTTAATAAGTACCTGTTTTTTCCTAATGACTTTAAAACGGGACTCTTATCGGCACCACAACATTATTGTTACTTTTAGTATAATAAAGGCAAATTATGTCAATGTAAATTTATCAATTTTGTTTGTATTGATACAGGTGACATGTATGTCGACGAACCAGAGTGGTCGGACCTTGTTTACTGGTTCGACGGATCAAACAATCAGAAGTTGGGATATTATTAGTGGAGAACGATTAAAGATTTTTGAAGGCCACCAATCTTCGGTTATTTGTATGACAGTCGTTAATAAAATAATGTACACCGGAAGTTCAGATATGACGGCAAAGGCGTGGGTTACAGAGTTTGCAGACTGTACAAGAAACTTTAAGGGTCATAAGCATACAATCAGCTGCATAAAGTACTACGATGGATTGCGTGAGTATTTATGATAATAAAAATTTTTACGTCAAAAAATATTATTATTTATTATTATTCTTCATAATACTATCATAAAATTACGAAAATAAGCTTAGAAACGGAGAATATACAGTCTTTTCTCTTATTGACTTAAGCTAGAAAAATCATTAAGACTTAATTAAATTCTCTTTTCAAGTAATAACTGGTTCCGGAGATGGGATGACAAGGGTCTTTCACGCCAAATCTGCAACCCTAAAACGAGTTTTAGTAGGACATGATAGTATCGTAAATGCTGTTGAGGTGATGAAACACTTCATTTCATGCTTATGTTTATTATAATATTTACTATATGTGTAGTATGTTTCTCCCTAGAGTCTATAGTATACCATATGCATACAATATATACAATATGTTCAATGTATTGTATGTATTGTATATATATACTGTATAAAATTTATACTATATACATTAGTCTATGTAGAATATATCAATTAGCATTGATATATCCTGTACACAGACAGTACAAATATTAATATATATATATATATATATATATATATATTGTATTGTATTGTTCAATTAGAGAAGAATGATAATCTAGCAATTGATTGTCGATAGATTCACCTTTGAACAATTATTGAAATGCTATTTGTCTTCGATCTGGGAATAAACAGTCTACTTTCAGACTCAACCCCGCATTTGCTATGAGAAAAGTCACTTGGCTTTCCCCCCTTGTCCTTTAGTATTATTTACCATTAGAATTATTAATTATAAATTTACTAGTGTCACTATCATTTATCACCTTTTCTTTAAGACGGAGCGCATGCTATATCACCTTTTTTTTTCTTTCTATTCAACAGTGTTCACCTCCTGTGGCGACGGTGTCGTTAGAGCGTTCGATGCTAAGGGCGGTGCCCTGAAGAGAACGTTTTTAGGCCATCAATTTGCAATAAATTGTATGCAGGTGACGGATGGCAGATTACTGACTGGTTCACACGATGGCGACATTCGAGTTTGGGATATATCTGACATTCAATCTCAAAATAACAACACCGGGGTGGTTAATGACAAGTTTAAAGTAAGTGTATAGTAAAGTATAGCTATATCATAAAATGAAAGCAATTGAAAAAAAGGAAAATGTTCAATTTTCCTACGCCATCTACCGAGCAATTTTATTTTTAATCTAAAGTTAAAAAAAAGAAAACATTTACTCAATTTAAACTTATTTAATATTAACCAAAGAGCTAACCAAGTTTATGCCAATGTAATTTTACAAAATGTTTAATCAGGTCATAAATAATAAACTAATTAAGTCGAAAACTATTCTTACAGAGTGAGAGAATAGACGCTGGGGAGAAGAAGGAACAGACCCGCTTGAAAGTTGACGACGAAGACGACTTGAATTAATTAAACAATTATTTATTTCTACTATATTCTGTTTTTCATAAGTGAATTTCACAATTTTCTGAATTGACATATTTTTTTCAAAAAAACAAAAAAGATAAAACCAAACTCGGAAGACGGACCGACGTATTTCCTTAATCTTCTCTTCAGTATTATTAATCAGATCGTGGAGATTTTGATGTTTGACTCTTTTTTTTTGAGAACAAAGCTAATTCAACTAATCGTCATTCTAAATGTTCTATATATCAATTTTATTAATACAGCTTTCTTAGTTCTAATTCAATTTAAGGACTAAATAATGAAAGAAGGCGTCAAGACATTTAATAAATTGATTTATTGGAAATAAGAGCCCAAGGCTAAAGCTTACAGTGTCGTATTCTTTCAATTTATATAGTCATAATTGGAAATCAATATATCATAGGACAGACTTTCGATCACTCCTACAATCTTTCCAATATATTTTACGCGAGTTTGAGTGCTTATCATAAATATTAAAGCTAATTTCCCGCCACGTTGCTGAATATTCAATTTATAATAATATCTTGCGTACGATTGGCTGCAAACTCTTTGTAGCGCCCTCTACTATTTTGTGGAGAAAAAAGGTAGGAATTTTTGTAAACATCCCTAATATTTCATTTAACAGCTTTTAATTTACAATTCTAATAAAAGATTTATATACATAAAAATATTATATTTGTAATAATATTTTATTTGCAGTTCCTTCTTTAAGATTTTTGGAGTAAAGATGAAAATAAATTTAATCTGAGCCGCCATTTTGGTTTGTAGGCCATCAATGAGGTAAATTGATCTGGAAATATTTGTCAATAAATGAGCTTTATGGAATAATTGTACACAGATACGTAGAATTCCTTTAAACTCAAAACATGCAACAAAGACGTCTCTTTTTCCATATTCCTCAGGTTTGTTGAAATTAATATTTTTCAACAAAACCAAAATCAATAAGTTTATTTACAGTCTCCCACGACATTTTTACGAGTACTGGGCGTTACCATGGCATTGGGAACTCCGTATGCCAAACAACTGATGAATTAATTAAAGAAAAATGGCAATTAAATATGTCCGTTTGAAGCATGGTCGATAACATCTGGTACACCATTGCCAAAACCAGTAAAATTGTTCGTATTGACGCGATTGAAAAGTTTTCTGTATACCGCAAACTCCAATTTATCAGCCGTTTACTGTGGAACGCAACAAAAAATTCCTTTTTTCAAAATATATGGCTTATTTAATTTGGTCGTATATAAATCGTGACAACTGTTACCTGGTACGTCACTGATCAAACAGAAGAATCAAGATTAAAATTCTTTTTCATTAGTGAGTTTACGTTATCAGTGCTCCTATTTTGTTCCTTTCTTTTCCTTTCGCTTTGGTCAATTTTATATTAGTATAAAAGTCCGTGTTTGAAGTTGAAAGAGATGTCTTATTTCGCTTCATTCAATACATTTGTGACAAGTGCAATTTTTGTTTTCAATCTCATTATGAACTGTGCGAAACTGTCGAATACTGCAAAAATTAAAAAAAGAAAAACAGAAAATTAATTTTGAGCTTTGAGATATTATCTGATGGCCAACTAAAATGAGAATACATTTTGAAATTTTTTTTTTCCCTTTATTACTGGTCTACTGTTATCAATGAAAGTATTATTTCTTAAGATTTACGAGATTTTCGCTACAGATAAATGCTAATGCTGCGCGCTTTGATAATAATGAAAAAGAAATTTTCTTCTATTATACTACGACGATTACGGGAATTTTCATTTTAGTTATAAAAGCTTTGTTAAAGTGAGGTAGAGAGGAGACGTATTGATATAGTCGAGTTACTGCAGCAGTAATACGTAATTCCATATTTGCTTTTAAGGAAACGAACGTGATAAGCATGCTAAATGCACCCTAAAAATCTCTAAAATCCTTGGCAAAATATTAAAAAATCCTTTTTTTTATATATTATTCAAGCTCTTTTTATGAGCTGAGGAAATGCTTGAAAGGCCTAAATTTCGATACGTACGTATGCAAACAAAGCGAGCTTTAATAGCAGAGGTTTTCAAAAGAAAAAAAATTTGCTTTGTGTCGCGGTCTTTTAAATAAATAAAGGCAACTTGACTTTTGTTCAACAGATTACTGTTAGTTTATATAGGGCAAATCTTTAATTTTCACAGTTAAAAAAAGTTAAACAACGTGCCTACAAACTGTTTACTTGAAATTTAAGGCATTAAGATTATTAAACCTGGGCAATAAAAACTTTAACCACTACTCTAACAGAAAAGGGCAACAAATGCATGAACCATAACTTTCAGCAACATAAAAAAATGAAAGCAGTTTTTCTATACTCTTTAATATTTTTACTTGTACAACAAACTATCTTCACTTCTTTTAAGGCTTGTTTTGGTGTCCATGCACTCTAAATCTATATATACAGGTATAAGATGGTTGTCCATGGTTTGATAAGATCTTCAACAGGACGTATTTTGTGTTGTTGACAAAAACTTTGGCAGCGAAATTTTGTAAAGTTTCGCCATTGTCTGAGTAAGTGAAATTACCCAGATTCTCTCCAAATTTATCGTTTGGTTTTTCCAGAGCTATTACACTAAAATCTTTGGGAGCTGACGCAATTGTTCCGTCCATAGATAATTTTCGAGAAATATGTTCTAACGAAAAAGAAGTAGGAGATATCTTCGTCGCTAGGGAAATTACTACACTGCCCTTCGATCCTTTCATAGCCCAGCAATTTCCTGGTTGCATTTCAGGCTGTATTATAGCTCTTGGGCTTGTTATAACATACCAGATAGGCATACCGAATAATCTGTATAGCGACTTTTTTTCTGTATAAGTAACAGAGCATCGTGTGTCAACAATAGATCCCCCAGCAGATTCTAAAGCATAATCTGGCAATCCAGTCTTATCTGCCAAGTGAATTTCAAATGCTCTCTTTACTAGTACGTTAACTTCACCTCTTGTCATACAGTTTTTCGAGTTTAACTTTGTTGCATCATTCAATTTAAGATTTTCTGACGAATCCCTATAAAGTTCATGCCCACCAGATTTTAATTCTCTCCTAATTAAACTCAATATCTTTTCCTCATCACAGCAATTCTTTTGTAAAGCGTCAATTTTCAAAGAATTGATTGCTTTTCTTAATTCAATCAGGGATTTATCTGTTTCTCTTTTAGAATTTTTGCAATCATTGACAGCCGACTCTAGGACGTGTATCTTCTCAGAGATATCCTGAAATCGCTCTCCAAACATGTTCAGCGTGTCTAACGACTTATTAAAATTGAGGATATCATTTTGTATATTTGTCAGTGCTATTTTTAGTTCCTGATTAGTGACATATGTTTCCATTTTGCTGTTTACTTCATTAAAACTTCCACTAATTTCGTTAGAATGCGATGTAAAGTCTCGTCTCAAATTTTCAACAGCTTGTTTCAAATATGGGAACTCTTTTTCATATGCACTTTCACCAGACTTTGAGTAAATTTTTTCCTTGAGGATTATTATATCTTTATCGTATTTGTCATGCATTTCACTCATTTTGTCATTATTGATTTTAAGGTTTTTCTTCAGCTTGGCTATTTCTTCTATCATCAAAGACTCGTCTTTTTCAACTGAACTTTTTGCTTTCAGGCTTTCTTCGATCGTCTCTAGCCTGATCTCTAGGCTCCTTAATGAGTTCAAGTCTCTCTGTATAGTTGTAAGATATAAATTTATTTTCTCAAGGTTGGCAAGTTCGTCTTTTTTCCCCTGATCACTTAAGGTTTGAACATTTTTGTCTTTCAAGTGTATCTCTTTGTCAATTTGCGGTGCTTCAAAACCTGCGAAGCCAGTATCTGATACCGAGCGAAGTAGTTGAGGCAAACACATGAACAATGCTAAAGCGAGTACACTAAACAGGAAGAAACCGAGAAAATAGCAAAGCGTTAGTGTCAATCCCGCGCCACTTCGTTGCTTCTGTCGTTCATGTACTATAAAGGAAGGTGTTACGATTGTTTTAACTATGTTTAAAACAGATCTCCATGTAGTAACATTATGAAATGTTCTTTCATTGGTGCTAGATCTCATATGTTCTTTTTGAGTGCTTTTAACCGACTTGGTTGACCAATATCTGGCCCAATGAGATTTAAGGAATTCACTACTTGCTATTCGTTTTGAAATGCGGGCAATTACTGAAAAATATGACACACAAGTTGACCAGATTGTAAAAAAGGAGCTAACAGCGTAAACGATTGTGACTTGGGAAACGCGCGACCTGAGTTCCGCGATTGAGGCAGTGTCAATATAACTTGAATTATTCGAGGCTGTAGAATCAAAGTCCTTCTCCGACCCAAAATCTTTAAAATTTTCATCTAAACTGATGTCATATTGAGAATTATTGGTCTTATTATTATATACAGTTCCTGCTCTTGTATGATTCGGAGACGTTCTATCAAGGGTTGTAGAGAGATTAAGACTCCTGCTTGATCCTTGTTTTAAACCTCTTCTTGATAAGTTTGGTGGGGGGGACCTAATTAGATAATAAAATATTCTAGAACTAGTTAAAAGACAAGATTATATTTTTAACCCTACAGTTAAAAAGTTTTCAGAAAACTGTAAGAGTAAAGATATATTTACCTTTTCAAACCACTAGCCTGATAAGACGTTGTGTGCGAATAGGTATAATCGGTTTTTGGTTCCACCTCAAACCAATTCGAAACTAGACTATTTTTGCTCCCGTTAAACTTTTCGGAAGACTTCGTCGAACTTGTCGACTTTCTAATCTCGGTATTGATAGAGTGTTTAAAAGAAGGTGTATGGTCTTGGTCGTCCCTAAACTGGGAGCTTATCTTGCGGGTTTTTATTGAATTTCTTTGATACTTTACTTGACTAACTGTTTCAGCTCCGTGATGTTCAACTGTACTCGAACGGTACATGCTTTGCGAGGTCGTAGAGCGCTTGGACCGAGGAGTTGAGTCCATTTTAAAATGAGATAGTGCAGAAAAGTATTTCAAGCTTTATTAGTCTTCGAACATATATCGCATGTATGACTGACTAGCATAATAAGTGGCGTATTAGTAAATATTTTCGGGTCACATAGGTCAGCAGCTCAATGCTCATTGGTTGTAACAAAATGGGTAGTATAACCGGTTAGTTTTTATTTCCTGTCATTGTTCATTACCGTTCTTGATCTGCATACTTTCAATCAGGAATACGAAACCTCATTAATAAGCGTTCGGACGATTTCATTTCAAGAGTTCGGGGTGGTTACTATCAATACTTCTGTTATTTTTTTTCTAGATTTAACAGTAGGTAGAAATAAAAACCTAGTCAATTTAATTTTCCAATTTGTATTAGCGTCAAATTTACAAAATGAAAAATTAAGTTTTTTTATTATTGCTAAAGAGTCCTCCTTCACCAAATTAACAGATAAGATCCTCCATTTTGGGAGCTGATATTTTAGGTTAAATTTATTAAAATTTACTTGTTAACTTAGGAAACTAGAAAATCTTTTCAAAAAAGAAGATAATTTGTTTAATATTTTACTTAATTCTTGGAATTTTTAGAGCTCTAGTTTCTCTGAAATAATTCATGCTTGGAAAATTTCTACATTTTGGATTCGCCTAATAACTTTTGGGTCTATTAATTGCCTATAAACGACCCTTAAAGAAATACCATAAATGTTATAGGTCAGTTTCACAAAGGAAGTATAGAGATATTAACGTATTTAATCACATTAAGTTTAAATCATTTTTAATATGATATAACTGAAAACTGTATTTAATCCACTGTGTTCTTTATATTCGTGTGTAAACCTTAATGTTTTTTTAAGATAAATTCTAGTAGTAGTCCTTTAGTTCATGATAAAATAAAGGGTTTGAACTTTCTAAAACTAGTTTTCACACTGATATGAAATATTTTTTTCCAGAAAATCAACAATTCTGACTATGGAAAGGAACGGCTCAGGCACTCTTAAAGAGGTATTGCTTTTCAGACATTATCTAGTTATAAATCATTTAAATAACCATAGAAGTTAAATCTCGTGAAATATACGATTTATATCTCTTAAAAGGAAGTAAAATTTTTTAAGGGGTTTTCTTTGTGATTTATAATCGCGATACTAATGAGTGTATTGCTATGATGTTAATATTACAGGGGCTGCAAAATAGCAATGAGGACTTGCAAAATGTGCCTGAAGAGAAAACGAATAAATTAACATTTAGCACTTCAGATGGAACACAATTTCAGTTAGCTCTTGCTCTTGATATGGATGTTAACCAAGCGATGGAAGCTTGCCAAGCAGTCGCACAGTCAGTGGGAAAAGGGAATCAAGCTATTACACTAATTCTTGACGATGATTCACCATATAAGGATCATGTTCATGAAGAAACCCAAAATAATTCTGTTTGTGACAGTTCAGAAAAAGTTAACCTTCTAGTAGATTATGGAAATAAAGAAGTAGTCGTCGAATGTCCAGTTCAGAATCAAGAGGTTGTTATTGCATTGTTAAATAGTGGTTTAAATAACTTCGCTGAATTAACTAAATATGGGGCAATTGTTCATGAAAATAAAGACCAAACAAAACCTATAGCTGGGGAATCAGAAGCAAATGCAGCAGCTGATAATCTGCAATATGAGTTCTCAAATGTTGCAAATACCAGTTCTGAAAAAAATCTTAGAAATCCAACTGAAATAACAAATTCAGCAACTGTTGAAGAAATTGATGGTAAAAAGACATATATGACTGTTCCTGGTATGAAAAAACGGATAGAAGTCGATGGAGATATTATGTCCTTGAAGGGAAACAATAAAACTAAAGAAGTCGTCTTGTACTCTTGCCCTTTCTGTTTTGAGTTACTGTTCACCGCACCATCACAACTGTACGATCATGTTCAAGCGAAACACAAGAATCATCCTAAATTTAAGTAAGTTGTTTAATTTGCATATAGGTGCAAACATATTATCAATACTCTGAAATATTTATGTTTTTTAATGTAATTTGAGTGAAGGTAGAAAAAACCTAATGGATTATCAAACTTTCTTTGGAAATTCTCTCTCATCCTTTCGGATATGTTTTAAATTTATGAATTTTTGCTTTCAGAAACATGCAACGATCAGAATTTATAACTAGAACAGAAAGGGGATCATTACAGTCAGGTATTCGTGGACCAGGACGTCCAAGAGGTTCAAAAACAACAACAATTCAACGAGTCAATTCAAATGTTTCTTATTCTGAAAATACAACTTCAATGCTTTCTGGACTTTTATATAGACCAAGTCCAGTTGATCCGATAGAATGTCGAAGAGTGTTTTGCTCACCTTGGATGTACTATCTGTCTAACGAAGCGTATGAGTGCGGGGCCCGACTGCCTGACGAGAAAAGAAACTTAAAGACATTACCTTTACCTAATTACGCAGAAATTGAAAAAGAAATTATGCATTATGATCCTCAAACAGATGCGGAGCCTGAGGGGGGCCTCGATCAATACTTAGAAGATATTGAAAAGAAAGTAGAAAAACAAACGTTAACAATAGCAGATATGGAAATGGCAGAACATGAGAGAATGCTTAAAGATATGAGAAAAAGTGAAGAAACGACAAAAGTAGACAATAATCAATCGTGGGTAACTGGTTATTTACCTGCTAAAAGAGGGAGACCTCCAAAAAGGAAAATGGAAAATTCTGAAAAACCAGCTAATGAAAGTACAATTGTTTTAGAGGACGTTACTGTAGGTACAGGAATCGAAATTCAAGTTGAAAATGCGCCGAAGCAATTTAAAAGAACACCTAGAAAAGAACGCCAAGAGGAACGTAAAGAAATTCAACAAATCGTTATTGAATCTATACCAAAAAAAGAAAGCAAGATAAAACCCATAAATACAGAAATTCGCGTGATTGAAGTACCAAACAATCCATGAAAGTACTGTTTTGTATATAGTCGTTTATTATATTTTTTATACGTTTATTATTATTATTGGATGATATAGAAAGACTGTATTTTTTTGTTTCTAACTTCCCATAGACAAGTGTCGTTCATCAAATGTTTGATCTCTCAGCGCCAATTTTAGCACGCAAAATTATTCAAGAGTTCATCATGCACGACAAAATGATCACAAAACGTTGATCTTAAACCAGCCTGTTTTTGATGGAGTCAGTTAATACTGTATATTTTATCTTTTAATTATTGCCTTTACGACTCTATTAAACACAGACGGCGCTAGCGGAAGTCAGATAGTGTACGACGTCCTATTTATAGTACTTGTATAATAAATGCAATTTTGTGCAACAACAAACAATTATCACAAGCACCGATAAAGTGCATAGTTTCTTTTAATCACTTGAGCAAACCAACATTATACATTTGATTCTTCTCTATTTTCGACCAGAACAAACTCTCTAGAAGACAACGAATCAGATCTTTGTGCAGAGGTGTGTAAACCAAGAATTTTCTGGGCCCGTTTTAGGAGGAAGTCACATTTTACATCTTGAAATAATTCTTGTATGAAACGACGAGCATTTATTCTATAATTATAGTTTGCCAACAGATAGCAAACATCAGAGAATAAGCAAGCATTCTCAAACGTTGATTTAAATTTTTGTTTTAATCTATAAAGTTTTAATAATTTAGCAATAATTGCATCAAAAATCTCAATAATAAACTACTTACTGTAAAAGTCCCGGTTCTGAAACTTTTTTGGCACCAACGGAACTACTTAAATTGACAATTAATCGTAAGCACTCTTTCCTTATTAAAAATCGTCCTTCAGGAGTTTCTTCATTCATTTGAGTTGAATTTGTTATATTATATATTGTATCCTCCTTCGGCTCCCCTAAACATTCCAGGCAAAATTTTTCTTGATGTTTATGAATTTCGGCTGATGCATCAGCAATCGTTTTTCCATTAGGATAATGTGTTTCTTCATTTCGCGGAGGGTCGTCACTTTCCAATAACAGGTTAATCTCTGCTGGTAGAGCGATTCCAATATATTCGGCCCTACCGGATGTCGTAGAGGAATTGGTTCTAACATTCGTATCAAGAGTTGTCTGCGAATAATTATGAGGGACGTCTATATCAAACGAAGTAACACTAACAGCAGCGCTCGGTAATCCTCCTGAACTATATTTGTTGATAAACAGGATTAAAAAAGCAATTAATGATATGTTGATATTCAAAAAATAATACAAATTAAAAAAAAAGAAGCAGATCTTAAGACCAAAACTATTCATGCACTAGAGAATGAAACTACAAGAAATACAACTACGAGGACTAAGCAATTTGATAACGAAAATAATTGGGATAGATAAGGAACATTTGATCAGTTAGTAAAATAATAAAGCTTACTAAATTAAGCTCATAACAGAATTTAAAAAAAAAGAAACGAAAAAAAGCGGCTGGGTGTTAGAGGAGAATCTTCAAACTGCACCAACCATGATAATAAACTACTCTTTCTTATACTTGAAATCAATTTTCGAGCTGTGAACGAATTTGTTGAGCGCGATCGAACAGGCGATCTGAATCAGTTTAGCTTGTTTTTTTTCACAATCAACATGAAGGTGTAACTTATATAAATATAGACTGGAATTCTACTCTCTCTAGTGCTTAAATTAATATTTATTCTGTATTCTCTGAGGAGAATACTATGTTCTTTTTTTAGAAATCCAGTCCTTAGTTATGATTAAATATCTTTTATTTGCTGATTAAAATTTTAAGTATACTTATTAAATACCTTAATCTTTTTGTTCGAACGTCAGATACCAAAGGGTTCATATCATCCCAGAATAAAGGTGAACTCGAATTAGAGTCTTGTATATCAAACGATGAACGCAATTGACGTAGTTGACGGATTGTTGCATAGCCTTCTTCATCGTTTTCCGGTGAATGCACAATCTTTTTCTTTGTTCTATGTTTAATAAAGGATGCCTGAGGAGAAAGATTGGGCGATTCATCTTGAGATGAAAAACCTGATGTATTATGAGATAGGGAAGGGGCTGCAGGAGCGCTACCGCGATTAGGTAACTCTGTTGTTGGAGAACTTTCTAATATTTTAACTTCCACAGGAACGCTATGGCTGTGTTGCTCTGTATCCAAATAAAACGAAGCTGGTTTAGACGATCCATGGCCCGAATCTCGCTCAGTTCTCTTCTTTTCTAACTTTTCTTCTAAATTTGGTATTGGAGTTTGTTCAACGCTTATACCAGATTTCTCTGAGCAAACACTTAGACTACTAACTGAACGGTCATCGCCGTGACTTTCAAGAATTGCTCTAGGCCGTTTCTCGACAACGGGCCAAACATCTGAACCCTTATGTCTTACAGTTAACCAATTTTCCAATTGCAATAGCATGGCACCTTTTGAAGTTGAACCAACTAAACCTAAAACATAGAAAGCAGTTCCACGAACAGAATAAACGGGACATTCTTCTGCAAGTCTTACAATATCGGAAACGCTTCCTTGTGTCTTAACAATATTTACACCCCAGACAGACGTGCATATATGACCAACGACCCATAGTGATGCCTTTAAGCGAAGTATTTCATCTTCACTATCAACGCAACCTCTTCTGACAGCACTAAAATAGTCTCTTATATATGATTGTCTATTCAAAAGGTCAAACCCCACTTTATGCTGAACCAATTCCCCATATAAATGAACGGGAACGTACGCGTCCATTCTTGGCTTTCTTCTTTGGCTCCGCCTAGCGAAAGTTCCATCTGGTCCCTTTTCAAATACCATTAAAGCATCATTCAAACACTCTTCAACGATATGAACATACTTTAAGTTGAAGTTTGCATGCCATTTATCTAGTTCGTTTTGTACGTAATTCATTTCACTAAGATATTGAAAGCCAGCAGGAACAGATAAAAATCTTGCGAGCAGTAATTCTCCTTTGGCCCCTAAATGTAACACGGCTGGTTTATGAGAAACAAGATTATTAATGTTCACTTGTTCTTCACAAGCCTCATTTAAAACGCTAAGGGCCTCCATAACAACTGGTTTACTTTGATCGCATAATTGCTGAACGAGTTTCTCTATACCCCAACTACTAAAAAATGGCGAACGTGCTCTTAGCAAAACTCTCATAAATGTTGTTATATATAATCTTGCTGATTCAGATGTAGCTGTTAATCCTCTGGACAAAATGACTCTAGTAAAGCCATCTCTAGAATAATCGAGAGTTGAAACTATTAATTTAACGTAGGTATCGTGCTGAGAAATTGTCATTAAATCCAATAAACAATGAAAAACTCCTTGTTCTTTAAGTAATTTCTCTCCTTTTAAACTTGCGGAAAATCGTCCAATAAATAGAAAATAATATTGACTTAAATTTTTTCGAACATTATCTGGTGAAAAAAGTAAATTTGCAGTTGCTCTGGGAACTTTTATCTCCTCGATACAAGCTGCAATATCGTCTAACCAATCTTCAGCGAATCTTCTACCTTCCAATTCATCGCAATCCAATAGAAAATCAACTAAATGACAACCGGCTAGAGCTAACGTTCTTCCCCCTTCGTAAAAGTAACTGATTGTTGAAAATTGGCGAGAGGTTGGTTTAAAAAAATTAACAATCCTTCTTATGAACTTTTTATTGGCTTCATCCTCTAATTTCCTCAATTCCTCATCTGGCCATTTTAAAATTGAACATATTATGTGCCAATTCCAACTGACCACTTCCTTGTAGGACAAGACACCGCTTTCTCTTATTGCTTGGCTAATAACGTCATGATCAGCATTTTTATCTACGCAAAATAACAATTTTTCGGTGTTCAAGTGCAAAGGCTTATACATTTGTTCGTATCCTTCAGATGATCTTTGTACAATAGCATCTAAATAAAGGCTGTATGGAACTGGTCCCCGTCTCTTCATAGAATGTAATCGATCTAAACATTTAACGGCCCTATTGGCCCGGTCCCTTTGTTGTGGATCAACGTCTGGAGATGACGTCATTTTCACAAGTGTTGGTAAACAATGACTATATTGAGCAATTTCAACAGGTAATAAGGAATTAGCTAAATGTAAAATTTGACCCAACAGAATGGTTGCTCGGACAGATACTTCATCCTTACTGGTCGTAATGACCACTACCAAAGTCTGAAAAATTAAAACTTAATTAAAACGGACAAAACCTTTCCAAATACGCCAAGTTTCCATTACCTCTAATAAACCTGACTTTAAAAAGGCTACCAAAAGGGCTGCAACGTGATTATCAACTAGATTAGGTCTAGTTTTTGCTAAATGGGGGAGTATTGCTTTTCCTTCTTCGCCGACGAATCCCTCTGATAATTTCCAAGTTTCTTTAGTAGCCGAACTATCAATACTGGATAGTGCAATTGAAAAATCTGGCGTCCATATAGGCGTTTGCAGGCGGAAGACATCAAAAAGAATATCAATTATTTCTTTGCGAACTCCTGATAGTGGTAATCTTAGCACTCCTAATAAAGATTGTAAACCTGACCCATTTGGCCGACATAATCTAACTAAGCCTGGCCATGACTTGAAAATAGTACAAATCGCTAATTTGCTGCCATTAAAGCGATTATCCCAAGAATCCCTATAAAACAGAGATTATAAATCTGTGAAAATGCATATGTTTTCAAAATATTCACCCTAAATGCTCGTTTTGACTAGATCCAGCAACAGTATGATCCGTGAATGCTGCGAGTAAAAATTCCAAATCAACATCATTCATTATGAACTTGCGAGTAGAAGGCCTATTTAATAAGTAGAGGACAGTCGAAATAAGTGCCTCATTCCGCGAAGGATCAGTACAATCTAGTGCAGCTTTAAGGATAGTCCCGATTGCGTAATGAGAAGCTGCTAATTGAGAATTTAAATAGCATAATTCACACACTGTCGCTAAGCACACATTTATAAATTTGTCCCGATTTTGGCTTGGCACACCCTCGTAATTAGCAATAGATATTAGGCAACGGACAAAGGACGAAGGCATAGATGTTGGAGCGGTAAGCATAATCTTCCTTATAAGCCTTAAAGCGTGCATTCTTTCCATATCATTATCAAGACAAATGTCTAAACTGCGTACTATTAAAAAGTCTATATTTAATTCCATTATGACATATACTGTCTCTGGATTACGGCATAGGAATCTTATTGCCCTAAGACATGCTGTTCGAACTTCTTTCGAATCTTGACATAGTGCCACCTGCAGGCTGTAACAATCAAAGATGGAATATAATATAAATAAAATTAGTTTATAGAAATTTTTAATTCAAGTAAAGTAAAATCTATTAGACGAATCTGTTAGGTAATATCCGACCAGAAACAAGCCCGTAAGATAGTTAGTTTCCTTTAAATTTGCTTTGCACGGTCGAACCGTTTGCCTAAAGCATTCTTAAAGCAATCGAATATCAAATATATATATATATATATATTTTATGTAGCATCAGAAAATATATGGAAAAAAATATTAACCATGTTAATATATCATGCAAAGAATATCCCAAACAAGCGTAAACAGGTAATCTTGCAATAAATCTTGCCAAAGCATTTAAACTTCCCAATTTCTTAACTTTGCCGGTATTTGGTTTAACTATAGACTCTAAAAGTTCTCTTATATTCTCTATCGGTGCTGGAATAAAAAAACGAACTATATATATATAAACTAACCATCGATTCGTACCCAACCAAAACAGAGGTCAGGCGGTACAAAGCGTCGATTTGAGAACGCCGTTTAAAATCCATTTTTATTCATATAAGTAATAATCTATTAAAATCATCAAGTTGTGATTATGTTTAAAAAATAAAAACTTATTCTCAGATCGATTCATGTACCAATTTTCGGGTTAATTGCAATTCAATTTTATATCTTACGTCGTTTATAATCCAATGATACATAATCTTCTGAACTGTCGCGTCGATCTGGTTATTTAAATTTTTTTTCACTATATCACATACAGTTTAAAAGTAATTAAACACTTACTCCGTCGAAATCTTTTAAAGTTACGACTACCGCGACCTACTAGAGACGACATTTTGTTTCGTCTGCTACCGTGTTTACCAGTTTCAATTTATCACATGATACTAGATCACGTGCTGTATCAGACGACAAACTGACTGATTGTAAGGGCTTTCTGTAGTGAGTAAATAATCATAGATAAATGTTTAGTAATTCGAAAGACCATTGTTGTAGAAAATAAAAATGTTTCATTATACTGTCATTCAATCGAATGAGCCTAAAAAGCTAACTTTTTCAAAGTTTTAAACTATTCACATTTTTTAGATAGCTGAAACGATAAGATATATTTCAGTAATACCTGACAAATAATCAATAAACTAACTCCTTCAGGAAAAGAAACATAACCAAAAAGTAAAAACAAATACTACATTGAGTGCAACTAATCCCTCATTTTTTCTTCTTATAGTCTACACAATCTCGATAATCAATTCAATTAAAATAATAAGAAACACCAAATAAATACACTTGGAAAAATATGTCAATTACATATTGATTACCTTTCTCTCAAATAATCTCAATAAATTTTGAGGACTATCATACCTTAGATAAACAATGAACGAACCAACAAACCAACAGTTGCCAAATCAGTATCTTCAATCGTATTGTATTAGTAAATGATAGGAAAAGTATCGATTTTATTCTCTTCAAATGTTTTACAACACTTTCTAGCTTTAAAAAAACCGATTATTATATAGGTGTAAAGCTGCTTATGGCTTTGTCTTATCTCAACGGATTATATTGTGATAGTATTTTTAATATTTGTAATACCTAAGTATCAAAACTTATTATTGATGAAAAAATTCGACGCCTACTTTCCATTGGGATTTAATAGCCTAATTAATATTTAAATACCTGAAAAATATTCTGTATTACGGTTATCCGTGTTTGTTGTGATATAAATTAGAAAAAAAATTGAATTAATGTGGATACTATTCAATTCATAAGAAAAATTGAATAATTTGTATTTGAAACTCCTCCCAGATTATACGTTTTGTTCTTAGTATTGTGCCAGGATTTAAATCAATAACAATATGAATGAAACGCCCATCGTTGAAGCTGAATTCACAAAACTTACCGATTTGCTACCAGGAGCTGAGGGGCCGATATTCACCCCCCAAGGTCGATTTTTTGCTGTAAGTCCTGAACGTATGGTTGATGATCAACATGCAGGCCAGATTGTAGAAATAAACCTTGCTAATGGAGAAGTAGGCAGATTATTTTTGCTATATCTTTAGCTAATGATGAAAATTTTACAGCAAAGCGTTATTTGCACACCAAATGTTGATGGATATGGAGGAGTTCCAGCAGGATGCCAAATTGACCAGGAAGGGTATCTATGGGTTTCTGATATGCGCCTTGGCCTCTTAAGAATTGATATCAATTCCAAAACTTTTGAACAATATTGTAAAACAGATAAAGATGGCGAAACAATGCAGGGATGCAATGACTTGATTTTTGATTATAATGGTTTTTTGTGGATAACGGCCCCCGCGGGAAAGATTGCACCCAACCCCTACGAAAGATCGATAGATAAAAATGATGGATCACCTTTCAAATTTGGATCAGTGTACCGTTTGAATACCAAATCTAAAGAAATAATCAAATTTGATGAAGGACTTGCTTTCCCCAATGGTATTGCGGTAAGTCATTCAAGTAAAGGGACACCAGAATTCGTTATTGTAGCTGAAACTGGAACGAAAACGTTGTGGTCTTACGAAATCCAGGACAATGGCAATATTGGAAAAAGGAAGGAATGGGGTAAAGTTCCCGGAAATCACTTAGGGGGACCTGATGGTATGGACTGGGATAGTGATGGAAAACTACTCGTCGCTAACTGGGGAGCAGGATTTATTGAAGTTTTCAACAAGGAAGGTATTCTAGAGAAAAGATTACGTCTACCCTTTGAAAGGGTAAGCAACGTTCACTTCAAGCCAGATTCCAGCGAATTATATGTAACCGAGCATACTAATCATGCAGTTTGGAAAACTTCCTGGTCATGTAAAGGAGCAAAACAATTTTGCGATTTGTAGATGATGAAAATTTTACGTCTATTATATTAGTTTTGCTTTGAAAATATACAATACATGCAAAAAATAAACAACAAAGAAAAAAATATTCATGACAATACAGGAAAGAGTTCGGGAAGGTATGAGTCAACATCTGTGAAATTACTATCCAGAAACTGATCACTTAAAAATCCAGAGTCGTCCGACGAGAGATCATTAGATCCTATTGATTGGGGAGAGGGAACAGACGTAACATTATCATCATCTTGCAGTAACTTCAATCCGATTTTCTGTAATTCTTGTAAGCTTTCCTCTAATGTCAGGTCTTCGACTTGAGTAGCTGAAACTGAAGGTTCAGATCTAATCTTGCTGTATTTGTGATCCAACTCAGCTGTCTTTCTTGCTCCGACATCTTCATCTGGAATGATTTCGATTTGATCAATGAGCTGCTGCAGCAGATCAGGTTGACTGTCATGATCGTCGTGAATAAGTGAGCTATTAGCTGAAGAAGAGGAAGAGATCTTTCCTTCGGCAGAGGAAAAATGAGTTCAGCTGACTCGGTGATCTCATCCTTACATCTTCTGGTAATAGTACCACCCATTTGACATTTCAATTGCTCCTTTTCTTCGTTAGCAGCTTTAACTTCTTTCTTTAGATTATAATTTTCACTTTGTAACTTGCGATTCTGCTCTTCTAACTTGGCTATCATTTCTTCTAACTCAGACATTTTTGCCTTCTTCTTATCTCTGGCTATTTGCGCAGCAACTCGATTTTTCAACTTTCTCCTTAATAATCTCTCTTCTGGGCTTAGATAGGTTAACCTTCGGCGTTTTTTACTAGGGTTTCCGCTATTGATCTCATCTTGATCGAGAATATAATCTTGATGGGCGAGAGTGTCCGCTGCCGCGTGATAGCCTCCGATCACTTCAACAATGGGGCGTTTAACAACTTGAGGCTTGACCATAATTGTTTTCTGCGTAGAAGTCATCACGTTTGTTGTTAGTTATGGTTTTTAAATAATTAAGCTGTGATAAATCACGCTAAAATTAGAAAATCGTCGAAATTATTGCTTAGCACATTGTTTATCCCAGGAACAATGAGTCACTAATCACGTGGTAAAAAATTAACCAACGTGGTCAATTCTGATTGGTTAACTGAAACTCATTTATATGTGAATTTATTTATTATTAGTACTAAAAATTAACAAATATTTATGATGACACTATTACACTGTTGACGGAAATAAAACATTTGGGCAACGAAAATTATAGATAATATGATAGCGCTTTTACTAGGATTCTTTCGAGTAGAATATTATTAATCACTTTTGTCGTGTTACCATAAAATAAAATTATATTTTTTTAATACAGCTGTTAAGTAATTGAATAAATTTGTACAAATAATAAAAATTAGACTTTTCTGTAAGAAAGTTTATTACCAGTTATATTTTTCTTAAACAGCGAAACATTTCTACACTTATCGTCTGCTAGTCGACTGTAAACTAGTAACAAACTTTTATCCTTGACAATGTTACGTATTCTACGTCAAATAGTTAGTTTTCAAATATGTTCATCTTAAAGATTAAAGGTCTAAGCAATTCAAATTAAAATGTTCCCATAGCCTAAAGTAACTAAAGTAAATGGATTGTTGTTCCATACAAGTTCCAATTGCTCTAAACCTCTGGTGCCATTTGTTATCGAACAAACTGGACGAGGAGAAAGATCTTACGATATCTACTCCCGCTTGTTAAAAGATAGAATAATTTGCTTAATGGGACCAATAGACGATTCACTATCAAGCGTGGTTGTGGCACAATTGCTCTTTTTGCAAGCCGAAAGTAATAAGAAGCCGATACATATGTACATAAATAGTCCAGGAGGTTCAGTCACAGCTGGTTTGGCAATTTACGATACTATGCAGTACGTCTTACCTCCAGTTTCTACTTGGTGTGTTGGACAAGCTTGCAGTATGGGATCTCTACTTTTAACTGCCGGCGAAAAAGGTTGTAAATGTGTTTTATTTAAGTCTGCAAGCGTAATGGTGAAATAATTTTTTTTATCAAAGGTATGAGATACTGTCTACCCAATTCAAGAGTAATGGTTCACCAACCATCCGGTGCTGCTCAGGGTCAGGCCACCGATATTCAAATTCAAGCAGAAGAAATTATCAAAATGAAGAGACAGATAAATAACATATACGTAAAACATACGGGAAAAGAGTTAGACAAAATTGAAGATGTTATGGAAAGAGATAGGTATTATTCACCCACGGAAGCTGTGGAATTTGGATTAGTTGATATTGTTCTAGAGCACCCTCCCTCATCTTGCGATTAGAGGTCTTTTTTTAAGCAAAAAGTTCAACTTTTTAAATCAGATTGGTCAATTAAAAATATACATATAGTAAAAAAACTTTATAAACATGTATTGTTTCAAGTTTTTATTCTTTATAAAGAATGTCAATTACAGTTTTTTTACTTTTCAAATAGGAGTTTTGTATTGTTTCGTAAAACGGCGCAAGCGAAATGACAAAAGAGGCATAGCGAAAGTGAAAATTCTAGCAAGCTTTCTTTTCTATTGGATTCGATTATATGAGTTGGTATATTCAACCAGAATATCACAAAATATTATAATATCGTTACAACGGCTAATATTTTTTGTAAATTTTCTTCCCGTTATTTATCATATTTTAAATATATAAAGATTAAATAAGGAAGAATATCGAAAAAAATATCAGATACGAAAGTAACTTTATAGCGGAAGTGTCTAATTCAGCTTCCGGATTTTGTTAGAAACGGTAAAATGGTAAGTTTTCCTGTTTTCTATTTGAGTAAGTGGGACATTTCCCATATAGTTTTGAATTTAACTTTTATAATAAGTATAAGATATATTTTTCCTAATATAACTAAAAAAATCTGCTGGATAGGGAGAAAAAACCAAGTAATTTTGAAGCGCAAAAAAATTACAATGAATTGTAAAATTTCGTTGAAAATGCCGGATTTTTTTCTGTACATTTTTAGTCATTAGGTTTCTATAAAATGTCTTTTATTGGTAACTTGTCATTTAAATTTTAACAGGATGTATTTTTCGTGATCCGCCGTCATAAAATGAGCATCTTTGTCGATGCTAAAGAGAATGATAGAGTGAGTGACCTAAAGAATATGATATCGGGTATTACTGGAAAGTCAGCTGAACACATGAAACTCTTTGACTTAACGAAAGACGCCCAAAAAACCGAACTAGAAGATGGCAAAACGTTATCTGATAGTGGACTCACTGCAACAGTTGCCAAGGCTCAGCAGCCTGCAAAATTAGGTGTAGTTTATATGAAAGAAAACGGAGATTTTGAAGAAGTTGCAGTTGAATCTTATTCGGAACCGCCTGAGCTACCTGATGTAATGAAACACACGAATGAAAACAAAGGAGAATAAGAATTTAACATTTTACAAATTGATTTAATTTTATAAAATCTTGCGTAAATACAAGAGATACATGTTGTAATAAGATTTTAAAATTAAACACAATAGATGTTTTCAAGATCTGAAATGAACTAAAATATATCATTTATTCAGTAATAATTGATGTAACAAATGTTTAGTTCAAGTAAAAACAAGAAAGTATATATCTATTAACTTTTTCAAAATACTTCCAAGATTAAATCTCACCAAAAGTCGTTGATGTTAAATTTTCACAAAAACAGTTGAACATATACTTTTTATTAAGATGAAGAGTTCTTTTGTATTTTTTGTTCCCAAAGAAAATAGCAATTGTGTAACAGTAGCTGTTAGCCTAAATGAAGTAATCAGCTTCCATAACTCATTTTTTACCTGACTTTAATTGAGATAAGAAAATTCCATAAGAGTACAATTGAATGAGCTAACTTAACTTCATTGAGTGTTTGTATTTCGTTATATGATTTCAGAGGAATGGCGAATGTTAACTAAGTTGAAAAGTTATAAATTCACTGTTTCTTGAACTTCCGGGCCGCGAATTGAGACAGCACTAACTCTCTCATTCGGTAGTTGAGGATTGAATCTTCTCAGTAACGCACTCCTTACAGCAGTATTGGTTAGAACGCATACCAAAGGATTTGCTATAGAATTGGAAAATGATAAAAAGAGGATAACAAGATCCATGCTATTCGGCAACCTCTCTTTGAATATCAATATATAAGTAAATGATAAAATATGCGGAAGCCAACAAACTAGAAACAATCCTATAATTATGGAAACTGTCCTTAAGCCTTTTTGACTATGGCTACTAAAAGATCTACGGAATAAGCCATTTTTTATTTGTCTAAATTCTTTTGATTGAAGTAAGGTTTTCTCGATGTTCTTTGCCTGTTTTAGAGCAATTCTCAAAACTATGATATAGCTTATTATAATTAATAAGCTTATTGGTATAATGCACATTGATATGATGACAATACCATAATTCTTACAGGATATTACGTCCATTGAACAAACGAGAAAAATATCATCCATTCCATAACAATCGTGAGTAATACCAGAGAGAAAGATTGTTAAAACCCATGAACAAACTATTGCAAAACATATTCGACGTCTAGTTACCTGGAGGGTGATTCCAGTTTTATTTCAGTGTAAAAATATCTCAAGAAGTTTATAATTTATTCATATTTGTACTGTTTACTTTCCCTCTATTTACGAAATGTTTAGAGACGAAATATCATTTTAATAAATAATAGATTAATTTACTTGAATAATAAGACTCTTAAAGTCACTAGATATGCTTCTTATATGTTCTTTTTACCCCTTAAAACAACGAATGAATTCGTCTATACAGTATATTGTAGTTTTGCTTTTGTTCACAGTTGCAAAAATTATATGAAAAACATTCAACATTTCATAAAATTGTACTTGAAAAAGTCGTGCAAAATTTATAAAAAACATTTATTATAAAATATATCATCCCTACGTATTATTCTACTTTATCTAATCATATTATCGTTCAGAGGACCAATCGTAAATGAAAGGTTATGACAATAGTATCCCGATGTCACTGGGGAAGTCGATTGGAAGATTTGTTTTATTATACTAGTCTCTCTTTACATAAGATCTTTTTTTCTTCTTTTCTCTATCTCGTTCTTTTTTTCCTTAAGGGATAAAGTCATTTAAATTATTTAAAATATTTTTTCTACGAAAATCTTTAATAGATAAATTAAGAAGATGCGAAGCAAAGAGGAGAATTATCATCGCCTACTTTGATCCTTAATTTTTCTACTGCAATTGATTAGAATTTTTTTCACCAGCTACAATAATAATCCCACCCTTTCAAAGGTTGTTTTCAATAAAAAAGATAAGATAAGCAATACTTAAAGGTTTTACCACTCTGTAATTAAATTTAAAATAAAGAGGAGTATAGAAAGGTTGTAAAAATGATGATAATTTCTTCAATTTAGATAGATTGAGGTAAGAAGATTAATAGGAAAAGTGAGATAATCGGTTGGAAGAATAGAGAAAATTAAATTTTTGACTTAGAATCACTCTCCAGCTTTGTATATTCGAAAGTACAAGATATGCATATGCATCTATCCACTGCTATTAGGGCCATAGTCAGTAGTGTCTCTAGAAAATGTAAATGGGTAACAGCAGCTATAAACTTACATACTTTAGCATTCATATTACCAAACCAGAAAGAATAGTTCCAGCTAGGCAGAATGAGAAAACCAACCAATAAATCAGCAATTATCAAATTTAAGATGATATAGTTGGATATAGAACGAAGTCTTCTATAAGCAGCAATTGTTATCAGTAGAGTTAGATTAGCGACGACGTTAACGATGCAGAAGAGAGATATAAAAGTGATCCTAATGATTCGTTGCTCCTCCGACGTCTGATTCATGTCAAACTTAAAAATGAGGACGATGAGGCTGCAGGAGTGGGAGCTAGGATGAAAAGAAAATGCAGAGCAGTCAAGGCCAGACAAAAATAAATGAGAAGTAAAATAAAATAAGGAGAGAAAAAAATTCCAATGTCAATTAATAGGAGTTTAAACAGAATCACTTAAATATTTTCACACAATGCACTTAGACTTTTTAATACCAACTTTTTACTTTTTTCGTGAAAGTCTTACTTATATATATATATATATATATCTAGATTTAACAATCCTAAAGTAGGATAGTAGTTTGCTTCGTTTACCCTCAAGCTCGAAGGTCGAGTCACTTAAAAGCTAGGTTTTGATAATAAGACTGATTTATATAACAACAACCAAAACTAGGTGGCGTTGTTACAAAATACATATACATATATTTTTATCTTTTGTTTTTCTTACTGAATTTCATTGTACTTGGTTTGAAAAACAAAGATTCTATTATATAAACAAAACCACCCGCTAAATATTTAATAAACATCCTGCATATCCACTTAATTCCCTAAAGCTCTCTAATACTACATATGTATTTCCTTGTACTTTTTATTCTTTACCCTCATTCGTATCTTCATTCTTTTCTTCTCAATTTTCCCGCATAGAGAAGAGAAGATAATATAAATGAATGCAAAAATTAAAATATTCAAAATATTGGCAAGAAAAAATAAAAAAAAAGAAACAATAAAGAATCTTTTCTGCATTTTCACTTATCCTTTATTGATTGAAAATCTTCAACTTTTTCTCATTCTTCTCCTTTCTTCTTCCATCTTTAAGGAAACAAATACGATATATAAATAAATAAATAAATAAAATTTTAGATATTCTTTACATTTTACTTTTATTTTTTTTATATAACAAAAACAAAATCATCTGAAAAATCTTTCAACACTTACCTAACTGTTTCGTGATGAATGATAGTAAAATTGGCGAATACCCAACGTAGGCCTAACTAATATAATACTCTTGTAAATATCATAGACGATTAGTACTAGGAATGCTACAACTTCTTTTTATTAAAAGTAGCACTTTGTATAAAAACAACAAAATACTAGAAGGAAACTTGAAAAAAAAAAAAAATCCTATAAAAAAAATGTTCCTGGAAATTTGGCCTCTAATTACGTAATATTTCTTAATAGAGCTCAATTTATTAGAACAATATCATTATTCATGATAAAATTGTGGCATTTATGATGTATTGCTTAAATAACCTTCAAGTGAAAGTTGACCTGAAGGTCATTTCTAATTCATTTATGTCGATTTAATAAATAAATAGGCCTATTCACAAACTAATTAATTGCATAATAAGAATAACTTGGAAAAATTGCAAAAATATAAAGAAAATTTGTATTTCGTTATCCTATTGAAAACTAAATTATAGATCGAAAGAATAAATAAGCCTATATTGTTCAATAATCTCAAACACATTTGTCGATAACGCGTTTAAAAGTCCGACTACCGGTATAAAGAGATTGTTGCAGGCCTAACTTCCCGAGTATTGGCCTTTGTTGACGATCGTCCTTAGTGACAGCTAACAAGACTGTGTCGTTAATTATTTTTTGTTTTTTTTTTGATAATTTTTCGAATATTTATTCGAATTTGGTTAGATACGAAACGAAGTTTATCTTTTAACTTCAACTTTAGGAAGAAGAGAAAAGATTTCTTTTCATTTAGCTATCTAACAAGCAGAAAGTATTAGGAACAAATATGGCTTGTAGATCTTATCCTGCTGATACCAGACTCCAAAGCTTCTTTGCCGAAGGTTACGAGAGGGAGCGTGATGCAAGAATGAAATATTACTTAGAAACGAAACGAGGAGCTGGCGGAGCCAAAGATCAATCAGAGGTAGTAAAATTTCACCTAAAACACGCTTCTCTATATTGTTTATTAATAGGCCTGAATCGCTCAATGCAGACATTATCTTCCCTTAATTGTTTTATTAATAAAACGCCAAAAGAGTTATATATTTGAATTGTACTCAGCGTAACACGCGCCTGATAATCAATAATTGAAATGTATTTTCTGTTAGATGCAAATCAGAGGAACCTTTGGAGGAAAAGGATTACCTCAAATTGATCCTAGACAATTCGCTATTGCCAAATTTAAGAAAGAAAAAGAAGAATTGGAAAAATACGTGGCGGAAAATCGACTAGATGCCTCCCAAATGATGTATAAGCCTCGCGAGCAAGTTAAAGGACTACTCTACGAGGGATTCTCCAAAGAAGGAAAAGGAAGGGCATCCTACCTAAAAGAGAGGAAATTACAGATACCTGAGAAGAAGTATGAATTTCCCGTCACTTCCTCTTGGAATTATGGTTGGAAATTGGACGAATGCTTTGCCTTGAAAAGACCAACACACGCAAGATCTAGTATGATAAGGGACAATTTCTTTACAAGAAACGGAATTCCAACAATGCGAGAACCAAATGTCCCTCCACCCCATGGAATGGAGAGATCAGTAACTTGTGCAAATATTAACATGTGTTAATTTATGTTGATTATCATATTTGTCCCTCACTTTTTATTATAAAGATAAAGAAATACTGCATGCAATTTCAGTTTTATAAGTCATAGACTCCACCATCTTGCTCTCTCTCTCTCTCTTGCCCTCTGTCAATCTTTCTTTCACTCTGCTCTCTTATCCACAGCAACATATAATTTTTTTTCGCCTTTTCACATTGGTCCTCTTTTCTTCTATTCTTTAGCTTTATCCATTAGATATCCTTTTTTTTATTTCTTTTTTTTGTAAAGGAAAAAGGAAAGAAAAGCAGCCGCAATATTGTAATAGCATTCATTTATAAATAAAAAGCTAACCTTTCCGAAGAATACAATGATAAATTCAATCGAAAAAATACCCTAAAGTAGTTTTACTCTTCACTTACGGAAATTATTGGATGAAATAAAATAGATTCTATCATTCTTTAATCGTTGGCTTAGTTAGGCCTATAAAAACTGAAGTAGTGTAGCTTTGCAACTTGAAATGAAACTGAATTTTATTATTTTTCCTTAGTATAATCAATCATGTAAAATTTTATTGAGTAATGTTTGACTATATCTTGATAGCAAGTGGCTGTGATCGATAAAAAATATAGTAAGAAAACGACAAGAGAAAATAAAAAGAGGAAGGAGGGGAAGAAGAGGAAAGAGAGAATTAAGTAAAGAATAGACGCGGTGAATATAAACAATTTGGTATCTTTTTTACTGGTCGTTCTTTTACTCTAAGATATATTGAGGAGAGGAGTAACAATTTACATCTTCTTATCCTTTAAAGTTCTTCTTATTCGTCTTCTTCTTTGGGGAAATTTTAGTTATAATACAATCTTGGGTTCAAATATCTTGAGATAAACAGACTTTGGTTTAACGATAGAGATCCTATTGTTTTTGCCACCGTTTACGCAATGAGATTACAATCGTTAAGTTTAGCTATAATTATTCTATATCCGTCTAAAAGTATGTCATACAAATATCTACATATTTGTGATAAGTATTGTGCATGCAAGGAAAGGAAGGATAATGAGTTTGTTAGGAGAGGAATCGAAGTTATATTGATTATACAAACTACGAAGTAAAAACCTATAAAACCTTTGGTATAATTTACACCGAAATTCCCTTTTCTTTTCATTCTTTTCAGTATCTCTGGATAAGGAAATTGAAAAGAGAAAGTTGAATTTAATAGCTAATTTATTAATATTTGATTGGTAGATATTTCTTTCTCAGCGTTCATTAACCTCTCTACTCGACTAATCAAGTGGAGCATTTAAGATTGTGGGCCTATTATTTTATAGAAGATATACTGTATATATATATATATATATATATATATATAATTGAGTTTTTTTTTACTTTGTACGTCATTCAGAAGAAAACTCTTTAAAGATTAAACTAACCTTAAATTGATTCGACCCAATTTCCAGACAATACGAAAAGTATTTGTAGTGTGATTATACAATATATTCATTATTAAAGACATCTACAACAACAACTGAAGTTACAGAAGAGTAATGAATATTTGAAAAATACAATATTAATGAGTTTTCAAATATAATTTCAATATCGCTCATATCACTTTAAATCTTTATAATCTCTATTCTATTTGATCTTTTAATGTTTTTATAAAAACTTTTTAAAACTAAGTAAATTTCATGCCTAACAGATTTTCTTGAATAACCATATACAATTGGATCGAATAACGATGTTGTTAATACAAAGGATCCAGTAAGTTCAAATGACAGATCTTCTTTCAGAAGTTTTGCAATTTCATTAACATTTAGATACCTTAACCGAAAAAAGTTTGCAATATGTGTTATCCATGTTATTGTATTATATAAAAGAATAACTATTAAAAAATATACTGCTTTCGAGTCGGCTGATGATGGTTCCACAGTAAAATTGGAAATATCAACACCATGAAATCTCTTCTTCTTTTGAATTACACATATTATAGGAATGTACATACTTATTGTTAGAGAAAGGCAAAATATGGATAATGATATCCACGAAAGGGATTGTTTAAATGTTTGATAAGTAAAAAAGTTGCACAGTTCTGGCATGAAAGTATTTTTGTTAAAGTAACTATCCTCAAAGGCATTTGTTATGACTGGTATGACATTGAAAAAGATACCCACTAGCCAACAAATCACCAATATTGCTGATGCTCGCTTTGTTGAGGATATAAGATAATATCGAAAGGGAAATACTACTGCTACAAGTCTCTCAAACGTCATATACAAAAGACTTAATATAGAAACAGAAATTGAACATAATAGTACTTGATGAACGAAAATGCATATACTGAACGAAGTATTCCATATTCGTTGAGGTAAAATATTCAAAGTAGGAAAGCCTACCAAAGCATATGTAGCATCTGCCATACACAATGAAAATAAACCATAGTTTGGCAAAGTTTGTAGTTTCTTTCGAAATAGAATTAAAATACCAAGTACTATGTTGAGAAATACAGCCAAACCTAGCAAACCTGGTGTCAAAATTGAAGAAATAAAACCTTCGTTATCTTTTAATACGGAGCTGTCGTTTGTTCTCTTTGACGTGTCCATGGTATGTGAATAGATACTTTGACATCATCTTTTACGCCTTAACACAAATCTATACTATTTAATATGTAATTACATGTATTACAAGGAGTTTTTTTACGAAAATAGAATTATATTGATATCAACAAAAAGTAAGAATGAATATTAAATGAAAAAATAATCGACTTTTTAACGACTTAGAAACATGTTCGTGGTTCTTTATAGCAAAGTATACTGTAATAAGTAATAGTCTTTCATAAATAATTCATGAGATGAAACAACAGATGCTATCTAGACAACATCAAACAATATCTTAATTGTGGCTAGTCGATGAAAGCAACAATCAAACGAGCAGGTACATTATATATATATATATATATATATATACTGTATATCCAGTATATATCAATATACCTATACAGTATATTGCATATTTATATTTATTTATTAAAAGCCTAATGTATAGCTATAACTTATAATTTCTTTTATGCTATTATTTAAGATTCATTAATTGTAACTCTTTCGTTTTCTTATTTGTTGTTACGAATATCTTAACCCACTTTTTTTTTATATAAGCCTACTTCCCCTCTCTTAAATATTTTAAACTACAATCTTGTGTTTATTTTATCCTCTTCTGCTCTCCTCTATAGACCAACTAATTCGTTTAGTATAATTAATAGCTTATCATCTCATAGGTTTATGATTCAACTTGACATATTTATATAAATAAGTTTACAACTTTATAAATATACCTCAGAATCTATTTGATAAGTTGTGTTTCTTTTAAACTTCTCACAAAATAACATTATACTATTATCATAATATTTAAATGAAATATTAGAAAAAAATCAAACAAGCGAACATACAAACAAACAAACAAATAAACAAATAAACTACAGAATTGGGCTGCAATTGTTATGTAGGCGAAACAACTTTCTTAGGACCAATTCTACTCATTATCACAACCAATCCTCTACGAATAGATTTTCTGCTAAAGCCATAGATAATAGGATTTAAAAGAGGAGATGATAGTAGAACCATTGGTGCTATTAACAAATGCTCGTCAGATACAACTAGATTCAGTCTATCTCTTAAATTAGATTTAAATACTTTGAAATAAGTACTACATTGATAAATCCATGTAGCCTGATTGAAAAGTAATAATATTATTAGAAGGAAAATTCCTTTTATATCGGAATAATTCATTCCATGATTGGATCTTTGACGAAAAACTTCTCTTATTGTAGGTATGTATAGAACAACTTGCATCAGGGCGATAAAAAGTACAATAGTCATCCATAGGTAAACATAAGGATCCGATTGATATGTATAGAAATTACAATAACTTATTTTATAGTTATTACGTAATTCAGCAAAGGTAAAATATTTAAATATCGGTAAAATTGATATAAAAAAACTAAGAGCCCATATTATAATTATAGAGATATATGAAGACTTCATAGTAACTATTGAAGTATATTTAAAAGGAAGAGTCACGGCAATAAATCTTTCGACTGACAAGTAGAAGAGCGACAAAGTTGATATTAATAAAGTTAATATTAAACCTTGATTGACCATAACGCATTTTAGATAATTATCCAACAAGTGATCAGCATTCCCAACTTTCATAATAAAGACTATAGAAGCAGAAGAAATAGCATCTGAAACTGCGAGACAGATTAGTCCATTATTTTGTACATTTCTCAAATCTTTGTTACACAGAATTATAACTAACAAAGATATATTTAACGAAAGACCCAATGCAGTTACTATAGGCGCGATAACTTCTTTATATTTTCCAATCACAGTACTCATCTGTACTGAAGATTAACGAAGACCTCTGCAAAGTTATCTAAAAGTGTTCTACACAATTAGAGCGAATTTATGACAATCACCTTGCTTGATGTTATTCGCATAATGAGAAACCATTAGCACCTAATGGTTTTGTAATCTTTGGTTAGTCGGCTTCAAGATTATTTTACATATTAGTTTTTTTTTCTATATTTTCATTTGGGACCTAACTTTATCAAAATGTAATAGAATTTATCAGTCGTATATCATATTAGTCTACTAAGACGGTTTGTTGATCAATTCTTGAAATTTGCTTGGATAATTAACGTCAATCGTCTTTTGACATTTACCCTCTTCTTCAATGATTTATTTTTAACCTTGATCTTCTGTTTTTAATCATTTTCATCCTATTTTTAATACAGATATATAAACAAAGCAAACTGTAATTTAAAAAAATATCTAATTAGTAAAAGCAGCAGGGTTCTAGAATATAATAAGCTTACTTTTTCTACATATTTAGCTATAGATAGCAAACGTAAAATTAAAATATATCACATATTAAATATGTGTTTGTCTGAAAGAGATATATGCTTATTTTTTATTTTACCCAAGATTTAGTAACTATACTATTTAAAAGAGAACTACTCTTCTAGGGTAACAGTGTTTTTAGTTAAATATTCATGATCTAATTGCTAAATGTATTGTTGATGCTATCGTTGAATATTCTCTCATCGTTTTAAACTGTTCGTACGGGAAAAGATTCTTATTACGTCATAGAAAAACTGGTGCAATTTCTGTTGCAAGAGGTCACCAGTGTCTGTTTCTCCTCAAATAATCAAGGTCAAGGACATTTTGAACCGCCTATAAATATTAAAAGTGATAAAAGTATCAAGATGAGTAAGTATTTTAGGGAGAAAATTAAAAAGATATCTTAAATTATACTGTACTTTTAACAGTTGAACTTGAATGTGCTGTCCAAAAATATGCATGGGGGAAAATCGGTCAAGACAGTGCTGTGGCCTCATTAACTGGTAAAAGGAATACAAATTTTTCAATAGATGATCATCCCTATGCCGAAGTATGACAGCAAAAACAATTATTAAAATACTCCCTACAGCTAAATTTACTATTTTATAGTTATGGATGGGAACTCATCCGAAAGGACCTTCTGTTATAAAGCAAACAAAACAGACACTTTCTGACTATCTTAAGGAAAACCCGGAAGCTAATGTACAATCTTCGAAAGCTGGTCAATTAACCTTCCTCTTTAAAGTTTTATCTGTCAACAAAGCTCTATCAATCCAAGCCCATCCTAATAAAGTAAACATAAAAATTTTTTAAAAACACAATAATAAATCTACTCTAACTGTAAATAAATAGGATCACGCAATTATTCTACACGAAAAGGATCCAGAACATTATCCAGACGATAATCATAAACCGGAAATGGCTATAGCTCTAACGAAATTCGAAGGACTATGCGGTTTTAGGCCTAAGAACGAAATTATTGACTTTATGAGTGGTTGGTAAAGAAAGAATTAATATTAATTATAGTAAAAAAATTCCTAAATCGATGTTATTATTAAATTTTTTTTTAAAAATCGAATTGTGCAGAAATTGAAGAATTAAGAGAAATAGTATCTAATGAATCATATCAGAAATTGAAAACTGCTTCTAATGACGATAGCATAAAAGCTGCTGTGAAAGAATGCTTTTCAGCGTTAATGAATTACGATGCTGATCAAATAAAAGTTCTTTTAAAAAGAACGTTGGACAATTTGAGTAAATTTGGTAAGAGAGAATAAATCTTAAATAATTATTCATATTTCTTTATCTATTCTAAAAACGAAAAAATTATATGCAGATGAACGTAATCGTAAAGAAAAGCTGGCCGAACTATTTGAGAGAATTCATTCTCAATTTCCTGGAGATGTCGGTTGCTATTGCGTGTATTTCTTAAATTTCATGAAGCTTGAACCAGGCGAGGCAATGTTCTTAAGAGCCAATCTTCCACACGCTTATTTGAGTGGAGGTTTGTACAATATTCACAAGCAGAGTGACTAAATCATAGTTCAATCGACAATCATATAGTTTAAGATTATTGATCAAATATTACAAAAAGTATGACAGACATTTACAAAAATGCCCTTAGTACATCTTAGTTTCGGCCTCCATTGTAGAAGTACCAGGTTCTTCTTCACGTAATCGGTTGTTCTCTTCAACCATAAAGTGATTAATGGCTGTAGGATTATTTGTATTCAATGGTGTCCTCTTAGTTTCAGATTTCAGCATTACATAATAAGATACGAGTACAACCAAAACAAGAATTCCAACACCAATCCAAGCTCCTAGAATTATAAAAATTACCTGAGCTATCTCCATATTTAAAAAAATGTCTCTCTTCTTTAATTTCTTTCAAGAATACCTAGTTGGTGCGAACGGCACGCCCGAATGACTTTAAATAACAGTGATATTGTATAATGGAAAAGGCCTTAAAATAAATTTATTATTATTAACCGTGAAATATAAAAAATGAGAACCTTTCTTGGGTATTATTTACTTTCTAAATCATTTAACGAAATTAACGATTTGGGAAGTCTGTTAGATCTTTTCAAGCAATGCAATCCCTTATTTACTCTTTTATCAATCCACATATCATCTATATAGTTTATATTGTTAAACAAATTATTTTAGTTATTTCAACAACATAATTAGAGTTTTTTTCATAATAAAGAAAAAATGTTATTAATATGGACTAAATTCTCATTTTTTTCACTTTATAAGATTGCGTTGAATGTATGGCCTGTTCAGACAATGTTGTTAGAGCAGGACTCACTCCAAAATTCAAAGACGTCGAAGTTCTAACGCAAATGCTGGACTATTCTTGTAAGAGTGCTCAAGATAATTTATTTCAACACAATGAACAGGATAGCTTTTGTAAAGTTTATAGTCCTCCCGTTCTAGATTTTGCAGTTGATAAAATTACGGTAATATTTTATTCAATAAATAGATGAAAGAACTGTTCAATACATATAATCACTACTGCAGATTCCGGCTAATCAGAATTATACACTACCAGAAAAGGTTAGTGCAAGTATAATATTGGTTGTAGACGGCTGTGCTGAAGCCCAGGAATCGAATATAGAAAATGGTATCAGTGAGGGTGGCATATATTTGTTGCCAGCTAAAAAGAGTGTTAACCTATTCTCAAAAAAAGATCTACTATTGTTTCGTTCCTACACACCACTATAAATTCAAAAGTGAAATTTTATAATAATTATATTGTTTGGAATGAATGAAATTGGAGTAAATAGATAATACTGAACAATGCAGTTGATAGATAATAATTAATTTAGCAGCCAGGATTTGTTACTAATAAAGAAACAATTCTGGATATTCAATTTCATTTACGCGAGTTCGATCTACCTCCATCTTTCGACAAGCTGAACCATTAGGAGCGTTATCAATAATTTCTAAAATGTCTAGAAGCTTTTTATGAGCATCATCTGTTTCCTGTTTGAGATACATGTAACATATAAAAATGAAAGGAAATCTATTAAACAAAACGCCTACGAACCACGTTCTTACTCCGCATCATTATACTTTCAAAGTCGTCATTTTTAAAAGATTCGAATATCTTCCTTTGTTCTTTCTCTTTTATTTCTCTCTCCTTATCAGTTGTTACTATTCGTAAATCAAAAACAGTTAAAACTCTTTTAAATTGAAAAAACAAGCCTACCAAGAACTTTCTTCAGTTGATCAACGGTTATAGAGTCTAATGACGGTGCCTAAAATTAAATAAATATGATAAATTATATATTATATTACGTAGATTTATAACAATTTGAAAACAACAAATGCAAAGCAAACTAGAACCAATTAGCCATTCTATTATAACTCACCCTTGATCCAAAGGGAGTTGAAGCAATTGATAGCGTGCTTAGTGATCGAATATCACTCAAGCTTCGGCACATATCAATGGAATCTGCATTAAGAAAGCGTTACAACTAGTAAAGCGAATTAGATTTGAATAAATTTAAGCAATCAATGCTACATAAAATTATTCAGTAAATTGAAAAGCAGTTACAGATATAGTATAAACGAATAGTATAGATATGAGATGATTATATCATATTTATATACCACAGTGCTTCATAATAATAGATATATTAATTATAATGCTATGACTAGTCAGCAGTGATCAGAATTGGCTATACATTTCTGCTGTCGTTTTGAAAATCTCACCGATAAATTAGTCTCTGATTGCAGTAGGCTCTCATCATCACATAAAACAGCGTCTTCAATAAAACTGGTTCGATCCAAGACATCTATGCCGTCTAATTCACAATTTATGTTTTTACACCCTTATACATATACATTATACTGTATATATATACTATATATACAGTATATTATTATATATATATTGAGATATATACAGTACAATCTGCACTTCAATCATATACTATATAGTATAGTAATAGTAACTTAATAGAAAATAATGAAAATCAACTATTACCCTAACAAATTTGTTATTAATAGTTGCTTTTAAGATTTCAGGTTAATTAATTTAGATAAAAATGTCGTATAAACTATGAATAGTCTCTTTTGTAAAGATTTTCAAATTTATCATCATTTCTAATTAATTAACTACTAACCATTCATAGTTACAGAATCTGGTACTTCTATGGGCTTGAAGAGAAGAGATTCGTCGTATTGATCGCAATCTTTTAAAATCTCGCTTATTCGTCCCTTGTTAAATTTCCATTCTTCGTTAAAAGTATCACTCGTTGGATAGCTTTATAAATAAAAAAAATTAATCTCATTAATCATTCTCTAAAAGTATTAAACATGCTATTAAAGCAGGGATTTATGCTTGAAACCTAAAAAAAAAAAACACTTGTTTTCTAGACGTGCATTTAATAGTTTTTTCTTTTCATTAACATTGACTTCACACACTATAATATATTCATGATTATCTTGCACAAAAAATACTGTAAAATCACCTGCAAAAATTATATTCTGTACAAGAAAAAGCAAGAAAACCGAAAGCTCAATAGAAAACAAATACTAATTTTTCAATTGTTTTTCTTTAGTTCTAAGTTTTTAAATCTCAAATTTAAGGTTGAAAACACAAATTTACTAATAACTCAGGGCAAACACAAAACTTAACGTACTTTATTTTATAATCTAAAAATTGACTGTTTTTGAAAGAAAAGTAAGTAAAGGAAAAAGTATTGCAACAGAAACGAAATTATTATAAAAATATCCTTTAACTAAATAAGAAACTACTTAATTCACTTTTGTTTAAGCTACTTTTAGATATTTAATGATACATCAAATACACTTACTCTTTAGCCTTGTTTAAACGATTAAAAGCAAAGTCGGGCAAGTAGCATTGTCCTATGAGAGAATTCTCTCTTTCCTTAATAACACCATGCACATATTGAACCAATTCTTCAATATCAGCAATTTGAGCCAATATATTAAATAGAGCGGCAATGAGGGCGTGTATTGCACATTTATGTGTCATGAACATTGTAGCTGATGGTGTACTTAAGGCAACATCCTGCATTTCTAAACCAACTTTGAAAACATCAATAAAAACATCAGCGACTGGAACTTCCAGACAGATTAATACGAGTGTTCTATAGATTGCAACGAAATTATCAACCGTATTATTTGCTGGCAAAGAACCATCTTTAATAATCTGCAACAACATTTGACCCCCATCTGCCTGTTATTGATATATATTTTTGTTAACATTAAATTATTCAATAAATTGGAATTAAAAAAAATTGATAACTAACTCTTTTCATAAAATAAGTGTCTTCCTTCATTATATGATGAGGAGTAACCAAATCCAGAGATGATACATCCAACGCTATTTTAATTTGCTTAATCTTTTTCAAATTTTTATGTCTATCTAGCAGACATTGAAATATTTCCTGAATCGTCTGTCTAATATCAGCATCGCCTGATTTACTTAATTTAACGGCGAAACTGCAAAATGTCTTAGTAAATGTTGTCTGTAAAAGCAAATTAAAAAAATTATGTACTCAATACTTCTAATTATTATAGAATACAAACTTCTATATGCGTTGTTTTACTTGTGTTAGATGTCATTCGTAGAATAGACTTCAAAAGCATACTTTGAAATTGAACTATTTTAGTTTTCTCTCTAAAATCATGATCAAAATATAATATTTTTTATATACATTCAGTGGAAATCACGAACATTTCAGTCCTTTCAACTCGTCCAGCACTACAAACATGCTCCATTATAATATTTAGAATATCAGATTTCTGGTAATCAGGTGCACAACTAGCGAATTCACCTGAAAATTTTAATTAATATAGAGTATTTATGTTTTCTAAAAAATAGATTTTCAAATTACCAATCATTTTAACTATAGACTCGTGAAAACGTTTCTCATCAACATCGTGTTTAACCGGCATGAACATAAATTCTTTTAGACAATTAACTATCTTCTTTGTTATCTGAAAAAATATAAGAGTTAACAAATCTAAACAAATATATATATAACGTTTATTACTGTATTAATATGTGGTGAAGCATTCTTAGCAACAATCGTTGCAGTCTCTGTAAGTACATCCACTACATAGCTCCTTAACTGTATATCAGAGTTTTTTACATTGTCGGAAGTCAAGTAGCCAACTAATTCTTCTACAACAATATAACTAAACTGGTTCTGAAAAAAAAAACAAAAATAAAATATTAATTCCATCATCATTTTAATTTAAATGGCAATCAATTTTATAAGATATAATGAAAGTCTCAAGTAAATTAATTCAGTTTTTACACTTGAACAAAAACTATTTATTGACGGCCAAAAATTTGAAATATTTGTTAGAGTTTTTCAATATATTAGACATTCATCATACGCAATCTTTAAATGGTAATTTTAATGTAACTTTGCAAACAAACGAGTATAACTAAATAACCTCCAAAAGATATTCAGTTTAATACTTTTATGGAAAATGTTACAAATGTTAAAAACTATCAAGCTTATAAAATCTTTGATTCATTTGATGTTGATGGATCAGGAGAATTGGATTTTGACGAGTTTTATTTACTTATCGGTATTCTTATATCTATAAAAGTAGGCTTACTTAAGTAGCACATAGGTTAGAAATAAAACGAACATTTATTATATAGGATGGAGAGGAGAAAGAGTTTATATATAGACATTGCGATACAGTTTTTGAGCTCATGGACGTTGACGGTTCAGGTAATCTATCAGTAAAAGAATTCGAGAATTTTGGTCTATTGTTTGATTTCGATGCTAAAGCTGTTCGGGATCTTTTCAATGAATTCGACCTTTCAGGAGATCAAGTAAATACCATAATTATTTCTCTTTTTAAGACTTTGCATTGCAATTTTATAGAAATTGGAAAAAAGTGAATTTCGCATGTTTGCAATGGCTTGTGTTGATAAGAAAAATAGTCAGAACGTGCACCGTCGCAAAAAGAGTTCTAAACAGCTGGTGTAATCTGTCTACCTTTCATATACTTTAGTAGGTGTAATTGAAATTAATTGCTTCATGCTTCCTATAGCGAAAGAAAAGCTTCTACGAATATTAAAATTATTCAACAAATAAAACGATTAGATAGTGACATTGGGGACGAAGTAGAAGTATGATCATTCTAAATTGACAGCTTAGATATCCGATTTAGAGTAGCTAAGAGACTACTATTTCAATAAGAAATAAATTATTTATCTATAAGATATATAGAGAGGAAACTTTTATTATTTAATATTAAATAAATCATTTAATAATTCAATTACTGAAAAGCAAGCTTGAAAAATACAATTGAATATCTATCTGTTCATTGCTACCTCATTATAAATTATTTAAAGTTTTAAAATTGACAGTATTATTTTGAATATAATTATTTATAATTACAGGAAGAGCTTCAAAGAGAACTAAAGAATCGACAAGAAAGTATTCAGACTAGCTTTTGGTGTTCGATTTTGTAAATTAGACAAATTCTAAACGCAGAAAAAATAAAAAATATATACCTGAACAGAAAACATTATAATTCTAAACCATGTAATACCAAAATCCTTCCATAATTTGTGCTTTTCTATATGCCTGTATAATAACTCAATATTTAATAAAAAAAAATGATATTAAAAGTTATGCGATTTCATCCAGCAAGCCAAATCGGATAAGAGGCAGAAAATCATTGTTAAAAAGAGTGATGAAAAGGCTAAGCGTGTCAAAAGAAAATAAGTTCCCCCACCCAATACCAATCCTTAATCTAGAATTAGGAATCGAAAGTCTATCATTGTTGGATGACATCTTTTTTAAAATTTAAACCCAGTTTTTTTTTAATAATTATATCAGATTCTCAAATTGTGGTCATCCAGCAGTGCTATCTGATTTTCGATACCTAATACCTACATTAGAGTGGGCCGAACAAATGCCCTAGTCCATGTCTCCATTTCGGTATGACCAACCAATTCCCTGAGTACGTCGGCAGCTACAATACAAGCGTTTCCCGCCTCTTGTCCGTCTTCTGAAGGCCTAATAGATAAAATCATTAAACTTTTGTAGAAACGTACCGAACCACAGGCGTGACTACACTTTGTATACTGCCGAATGCCGCGCGTGAAATCACGTCACGGAAAACATATTCAGATACGATTAGAGGATTCCCGCAATTTTCAGGGTTATTAGATTCACTTCGACTGACTAGAGATTCGATCAACTGTGTTGTTCTAAATATACTCATATATTAAAATCCTATTATAAAGAAAGGTTTAATACATATCAATGTGAAAATAAGAAACTATATTGAAAGATTAAAGATTATATTACTCTCCTATTATTTTAAATTGATTTGTATAATTACTCATGCGTTATAAAATAGAAAGCAACTGACTTATTCCTAAACACTTACTCTTCATCCTGCATGTTAAAAAGGAGTGATGGAATTATTTTATCCATGTATTCTTTATCCCAAATATTCATTTGCAAGTTATCAGATACTGTCTTTCTAACAACTCCTTGGAGACCTCTTATTCCGGACACTCTAATTCTATTAATAAGATTGAATACTTAATTAAAACATTACATTAAGTTATATTACATTAAACATTATTAAGCTAAGGTTTAGAAAATAAAGAAATATATTTACAGATTTCTTTTATCCTGATCATTATTGTTTGAATGACACATCTGCGAAAATTTTTCAACAAAAAATCGATAGTTTCTATCGTAGCAAGGAGCTTCTTCTTCTTTCCTCGAAAAGGCTATGAACTATAGACATATTTTTTCAATTAGCAAGTGAAATCTTAAAATTTATGTATATATTTCTATACCAAGTCGGTGGCGCGCAGCATCACTTCTTCATTGGGGCATTGAAGAAGGTCTTCCAGTATCCTCAGTAAACTGCTTACAAACATGTTTACGCATTGACTGTTGCATGCGTCGAGCAATGCATTGAGAATCTCTAGTGCTACAATTAACTGTCTGTTTGAAGAAAAAAAGCCAATAAAAACCTCTCAAAAAACAGTATTTTGCACAAATAAAAAAATTACTCATGTCGTTGTCTACTAAGATCTCTCTGGACGCGTAGGGCTATATACTCTCCAATACGGTCCAACTTCTCAGGATGTTGAATCGCATAATGCATCAACTTATCAAGACTAGATTTTCCAATACCAAGCTATAATTTAAAAAACAAATAAACCTAGAACTATACAAAGATTTTTTTATACTAACTTCTGGATAAGCTGGATAAACTGCATCAACATTTCGCTTATACCTCGGTTTGACACGTTGACAACACCCACAGCAATCTGTAAATTTATTTCAGATTAGTTTATTTAGAAATAATAGAATATATTTTTATTTTTTAAGTAATTTTTGCGAATGTTTCTGTCACATCTCGTCAGTAGTACAATAATAAATTTAGAGGTCACATGTTTAAAAATTGAGAGTTTCAGAAGAAATTTACATATAATTATATGAAATAAAAAAATTATAAGTACCAACCTCTCATTTTCTTTTGTCAGTAACAATTAATCGAACGCTTAACAAGTTTTTGATCTATTATCGCTCAATAGTGTTACTATGTCAACCATTAAGTTAAATTCTTTTTTGAAACTATTTGGACGTGATATTTGAAATGTTATTGTCGTTTTATTCATAAAATATCTAGCGACCAAGTCAATGGAGAGTCGAAATTAACCCAAAAAAGGCGAAAGAAAATCGAAATCTATAAGCATAGCCGGATCTCGCCACTTCACGCGGACGAGATAATCCAGAGAAAAAGTAGTTCATGGAGAATTTTGAAGGGGCTCCCAATTTGTTTGAATTAAGGTTTCCTCGTGTTATTAAGATTGTCTTTTACTCAAACAAAATGAATTGCTTTGTAATATTCATATAAATTCTAATATTTTGACGTTAAGTAAACGCGCAGTAATACATTAGAATTTGCTCGGCCATTATTGACCCGCATCGTCTTAAAACGACAACGTTTTTTTGATATTCCGCATGAAATAAAATGGCTACAGTTGTAACTTATGAAATCGTTCAAGATACGTTAGTAAATTAATCTATTGAAATAGAAATAGACCAGAGTGACAAGTGGGAAGGGTCGCATTTCCGTTCAGACGATAACTTCCGTAATAAATAAAGCCACTTCCTGTTAAGTTTTGATTCGGATAGTTTGTCTTAAGAGCTAAATTTCATATGTATGAGGATTGTATTAAATCCTCGATAAATATTTTGCTGTTATTTGATTGGATCGTTAATTTTTGACCGATTTCATTCAATAATTATGGCTGATTGAGAACTTTATAAAGCATGTTCCAAGTCTCATATCGAATATTTTACCTTCCAGAGAAACCGAAGAAGCATCAGCAGCTATTTCTAACATTCCAAGGTTGTCATCAGGCTCACCTTCAACCAGTACACCGGTCGCAACTATTGGCCGCCCTTCAGGGAGTACCTTTGGTTTATCCCTTGTAGATCTTGGTAAGAGACTTATTGAGGCATCAAAGAGAGGAGATGTCAATGAAGCACGAATGCTTATGTCCAATGGAGCACCTTTTACAACAGACTGGGTAAGATTATGATCGATTATAAATACCCTAGCAGTCTTGTAGCATTTTCAAAAAAAAGATGGATTCAAGACCTCGACTCAAAATGTATTTCAAATATATGACAAATTCAACGTGGTATGGATTAGACTAAACTACAAATATGCTTGTAGGCTCAAAAATTTTATTACTACTACTGATTCTGTAATACTCTCTTTATTTACAAGAAAAATATATCATTTTCAGCTAGGAACATCTCCACTCCATTTTGCGGCACAGGCTGGCCATCTAGATATGTGCGAAGCTCTCCTCAGAGCAGGCATAAGCAGAGATGCTAGAACTAAAGTCGATCGAACCCCCCTCCATTGTGCTGCTCAAGAAGGGCATTACGACGTTGTGGAACTTCTACTAAAAAACAGTGCTGACATTGAAGCCAAAGATATGGTGAGTTTAAAGCAAAAAAGAGTCTGTTGTGTTTTTTAAAGTGTTAAATTAAATTCAGCTTCAAATGACACCTTTACATTGGGCAGTTGAAAGAGGTCACCTATTAGTTGTTCATTTATTACTAAGACATCAAGCCAATACGAATGTACTTAATAAATTCGATAAAACACCTATGGAAATTGCCTTAACCAATTCAAGAAATGATTTAGCGGAATTATTGCATAGTGCCCAGGTAACTTTTAAAAGAAACTATAGTAAAGATTTAATCATGAAACACAATTTGTTATGATAAAATACGTTCAACACAGCAAAATAATATTGTTGAAGTAACCACAACAGAAGAAATTGTAACAACAACTACAGACAATGAAATAGAAGCTGCTGTCGCTTCAACACAGGTTTGTAGTCCATCAAAATTTATTTCTTTTCTAGATAATTGTATAATTGTGGCTTTAATATCTTACAGAGCGATACTGAAACGAATGATTTAGTTTTACAAGCAGACGACCATCATATTATAGAAACTGTAAGATCGTCTCGAGATGACAGAAAAAGTAAAATTTATTTTATTTAGTTGTAATACATTTAATTGAATTAAACAATTTTTTTAAAACAATAAATGTGTTTTATTTTTATATTATATACTATTGTTCAGTTGTAAATTGTATTTCAGATGGTAAAAAAAGTAAAAGAGATAAAAGTGAACAAAGTACAGCTGTTCTAGCAACTTTAGCAGCTTTGGCAGAAGCATCTAAACCTCTTGATGCTTCTGGTGAAAATGCTGCGGAGACATTGACGTGGCTTGAAACTCATGGAATTGTAACATCTTCTTCTGACAATCCAACAGTCGTATCCGCCATTGAGAGTGGAGGAACAGTAACATTATCTGGTCTGTTGAATATACATAACAATTTAATACAACTTGTTTCATGAGATGTGTAATAATCTTTCACAGAAGCAGGAAAATTAGCGTTACAATACACAAGGACGGACGAAGAAGATGAAGACGCCAGTATAGTTCTCCAAGAAGATGAAGAGCCAACTATCGAAGTAACCGAAGAAATAGCTCGTTCGTAAAAAAAAAAACAAAAAAAAAACAAACTATTTTAATTTTGCGATTCTTTAACGTTTCGCTTTGTTTTAATAGCACGGAAAAAACGACGCGTCTTGACCTCGAGCATTCGACATTGAATTAACAACTGTTTTTGTATTGTACATACGGAAGACCTTTGTTATATATAAAAAAAGTAGAAATATGACTTTTTTTTTTACGTTTGCATAAAAGTAGTTAAAATTTGTTATGAAACAGAAGGAACATTATAAAATTATCATACCCTGAAAATACACTTTACGTTTATATTATAACAGGTGGACTTTTTTATTATCAAAAGCTATTCCAATAGGATTTCACATAAGAACGGTCCATTGCTTATATCATGTTGTGCCCATTTTACACTAATATTGTATAGGCCAGGATGATTGACAACATAGCTTATCTCGTAAATTCCATCTCCTGTGTAGGTTATTATTGATTCTTGAACACTATGGCGTTTGGGCCCTTGTATTCCCACTGATAACCACCCATTGCCAGAAAATTCACTTGTGTGTACCTGGAACCTATTCCTTTCACCTATTATTCCGCTGGCTAGCCCACTGCCTGAGGCAAATACTTTTTTCGGATTCGGAACATTGAGCATATGAACACTTCGTGGAAGCTCCTTTTTCTCTTCCTCATCAATTTTTGCAAAGAGATTGTCGAGGGATTCCAGCATTTCCTGATTGGCCGTAGGTTTTATTTTTCTTTCGGGAGATGTTGATTCAATAATATCAAGATGAAGCTGAGCCTTTAAATTTTCCATTCTATCATTTATTATTCGTTCGATCTCCTCCATAGTTTTCTCTGATTTAATCTGCGTTGCTGAAGGTATGAGAGTAAAGCTGCGACGTTTGATGCCATTTTCCTTTCCTAATGTTGAAGGTTTAGCTTCCTCCCTATTTACGGATCTTCGGCGGTTCATTTGATTATTCAGCATCATCTCCAAGGGCATTATCGAATAAAGACACTATAGTATTAAAATTAATAGAAGGACAATCTAAAATTCTCCCGTTAAAACCACGTCGCCTGATTGATGAACACAAGTAGAACTCTTTAATAGTATTGCATTTCTAATATAGGTCTATATTAACATACCACAGTAAGATGACATACGCCACCTATAGGGCTGTAATTAATGTATTTCCAAATTATATCCGGGTTTTGAACGTATTTTATACTATAAGTAATATTATGAAAAAAGTGCTTTCTGACCGGATGTAATCATTGCAAAATTTAAAAGTTAATTTTAAAGATAATTCCAATAGTTAGCAGGAAAAAACTAATACAAGAGACAAAAAGTTTATAGTACTTTCGCTAAATTGAAAGCATAAAAGCGAAATTTGATTCGGTAATCGGTCATTTGTTTAAACTGAAGAAAAAAATTTCTCTCTACATTATGTAATTGTTAAGGGAGTTTTGATAGAAAAGATATGCTTAATTACAGAAATGATTATATAGAGAGAGAGTAGGACATTTAACAAGTACATTACTTGCATTATTCATTTATTTATTAAAAATTAAGAATTAACTGTAATTTTCTTAATTAATATCTACTTAATTTTTCATTACAAACATCCCGAAGCTTATTCATCACTTGGCGTGGGTCGTCGGCGTAGACAACGGCTGTTCCCGACACTATCATATTCGCTCCGGCCTATTTAGACAGAAAGCATATATATTTAGAATATTCTAAGGACGGACCTGCTTAATATACAAACATTTGCACATTGGTCTATGGTGTTTGGACTAACGCCACCATCCACTTCAATATCTAATTCCTGATACTTTTTTCGCAAGTATTCTATTTTAGGCATCATATCTCCCATAAATTTTTGCCCACCGAAGCCAGGTTCTACAGTCATAATTAGAGCCATATCGATTTTTTCAATATACTGGTCAAATACTTCAACAGGAGTACCAGGTTTTATACCCATACCAACCTGTTGCATTTGATAAAGTTAGTTAAAATAAGTGAATGAAAAAGTGTTTTACTTTCATTCCAGCTTCTCTAATTTTACGAATACAGCCATCGACGTCCTCGGTTGCCTCATAATGAAACGTATATTGCGTAGCCCCCGACGAAGCCATATCTTCTACCCACTGCAAAATTTGAACATAAAACCGATCAACCAATATGTAGGATTATCCTACAAACATTTTGAGGGTTATCAACCATCATGTGCATATCGAAGAAAGCGTTCGGAACATGTTTTCGTAAACATTTAACAATAGGGTGCCCAAAAGTCATATTAGGAACAAAATGTCCATCCATGACATCTAAATGGAGGAAATCAGCTCCATTATCCATCATATTATTACAGACATCAGCTAATTGAGATAAATCTGCACTAAGAATCGAGGGACCTATTTTACAGGTGGCTTTGGTATTCTGGGACATGCCTAATTCTTAAAATTAATATTACTGTCTGCTAAACACGCTTTGAATCCAGAACGATAAAGTTATTACATTAATAATCTGGTTTCTAGTTCTACTTTTTCCCCCAATTGCCAGAGTATACCACATTATTAAATGCACGGTTGATATTTTTTATTTTCGCGCTCTAGTTTGAAAATATCGGCGCAATAAAACTAATTTAAATATTTAGATAAAGTTCTTAATTAATTAACAAAAGAATTTATGATTTGTAAAACATCAAGTTGTATTTGATACAAATTTTTTAAATATGCAAATGAACAAAAATAAATTATTTTGAGTACAATGGAGAAGATGTCTTGTTTTTAAGGTAACCATCGTTTTTACATATCACGCAACAGCACCAATACAGTTTATAGTATAGTTAAAGAGGCTTTAGCTACAAGTTGTTTTAGGTAAAGTATCGAGTAGAATATTCTTTTGACGTTGAGAAAGATTTGTTGGGAAGATTATATCAAATTCTACAATTAAATCTCCTCTTTTACCACCTTCTTTGGGAATTGGTAATCCTTGCCCTTGAATTCTTCTGATTGTTTTTGGAGTTATAACGTCTCTCACTTCAAGTTTTATATTACTTGCGTCAAGTGTTGGTACGTTGAGATTTGCTCCTGTCAAAGCTTCTCTAAGACCAACTTTTGCCTTAAAACGTATATCCGATCCGTCTCTTTGAAAATGTAAATGTTGTCTGTCTTTTATAATGAACACTATATCGGCAGGAACTCTTCCAGGATTTTGATCTCCCTCTTTCGGAAAGGTTATTTTTGTACCTTCCTTCCAACCTGGTTTAATATCTATGGTTAACACCTTTTCCTCCGGTCGCAAGCTACGCCCGTCTGGCGATGGGACTTTTTTGGTAATCTTCATCTTTTTCGTTACTCCTTTATAAATATCTTCAAGACTAACTAGTAAGTCTTTGACAATCGGTGTATCTTGCTCTCTTTTGCTTCGAGTTTTAAAATGTTGATGTGGTCCGAACATACTGTCGTCAACATCCATAAATTGAAAACCTCGAGAACCACTAAACATACTAGAGAAAGGATTTTCTCCGTCAAAAGCCGTTCGGAAAACTTCAAAAGGATCTGTTCCAGAGAAGTTGTAAGTGAAAGAAGTGCCTCCAGTTGAGGGTCCGCCTCCCCCAAAGCCACCGGATTTTAAGCCTTCTTCTCCATATTGGTCATAGAGTTTTCGCTTCTCCTTGTTTGACAATACGTCATAAGCTTCAGATATCTCTTTAAATTTTTCCTCAGCTCCTGGAGATTTATTCTTATCCGGATGAAATTTTAAAGCCAATTTCCTATAGGACTTTTTAAGAGAGTCGTCATCAGCGTCTTTTGAAACTCCAAGGATTTTGTAGTAATCTTTGCCCATGTTTAATGCTCGGATATCTTTAAATTCAGATTACAATATAACGTTGACACGAACTTTAAATATGTTTTTTTGAAGAATTCTCTACTAGATTCTCGAAAATTCTAAGCGGAAAAACTGGCTTTTGGCGTAAACAACACGATCGGTTGTTATTCGTTCAGCATTTATTATCAACCTGAACTGGGAACCAGTCAGAAACTCCCAAAAACATTTCTTTTTGTTGATGATATTGTCCAATAAGATTTCTTGTCACAAAATTTTAATATTTATTAAGCCTACAAAAACCAGTTTTGATTGGTTACCTTGTAAAGTCACGGTCATTGTTTAGACTTTAGACTAAATCAGCATGTCTCAGGTAAAATTTTGCTAAAAACTGTATATTTATTATGCAATAAGTGATTGAAAAACACTACACAAATAAAAATAATATTAAAAGTTCAGATACTACAAAAAGATTTAAATATATTAAATGATTATAAGCCTAGATTCTTAATTTTCCAACCGGCTCAATGTTCAAATCTAAGCCTATTCATTCAAGATCAAATATTTTCAGACCATAAGCGTGCAAATCCTGAATCGTAATGACAAAATTCTGGCAACATTGGATAACGTAAGTATGATTTTGTTGCTCTACTAATATTCATGTTTCTATACTTTGAAATATTACTAAATCAGTTGTCAGGATCATCTACCATTAAAGATGTCAAAGTCGCCTATGAAAGGATGTGTAAGTTACATTTGCACGTATATACCTTTACTAAACATACAATATGCTAAGAAGATGTTAATTTTAAAAGTCAAAATAACTAACGCTTTATCGAGATACTTGATTTTCGTACAGACATTGAGAAAAGTAACATTACTTTTTTCCTAACAGTTTCTAAATATTATCAAGATCGTCAATCCTACCGTTTGGAGCCCAGTTAGTTGATTAAATTGATACTGAGAACCAATAACCTTAAAACTTAAAATACTTTCAGGAGGGAAAATGTTGAAAGACAATGAAACTCTCGGAAATGTTGGAAATCCTAAACAATTATATTTTAAAGATTTAGGACCACAAGTTGGGTGGACAACTGTGAGTTCTAATTAAAATTAAAATTAAAATTCTGACTAACCTATTCAAATTGAAATAGGTCTTCCTGACAGAATATAGTGGACCTCTTTTCGCATACCTATTGTTCTATTTGAGACCTTCGTTGATTTATGCAGATAGCAATGCTCCCACTCATCCAGTAGTAGAGTAAGTTCTTTTTAATTCTCAACCGCAACGCAAATAACACAGTACTCTCAACTTTTAAAAAAGTATTGCAATGTTCTGTTGGATTGGTCATTACGCGAAAAGATTGTTTGAAACTGTTTTTGTTCATCGATTTTCTCATGGAACTATGCCAATTAGAAATATCTTCAAAGTATTATTCCATATTTGACTTTGCTTTTTTCTAATTTATAAATTTTAACTCTCTTAGAACTCGTTCTATTATTGGGGATTTGCCGCATACGTAGCCTATTACATTAATCACCCATTGTACACGCCGCCAGGTAAGAAAACTTCCTTTTCTTTTAATACAATATAGTAAAGATCGTTTTTCTCTTTTTAAGTTTTCGGCACAACTCAAATTTACATTGGATTAGCTGGATTTATTGTAAGAAACATAATTCAATTTCTGATACAATAGTATTTTTTATTCTGTTCCAGATATGCGAACTGGGTAACCTGTCCATCCACATTGCTCTTCGAAATTTGAGACCAGCCGGTTCGTATAAGTAGAATTGACAGTCATACAAAAAAACATTTTTTTTTCTTCATATAGGATCAAAAGAAAGAAAAATTCCTTATCCCACATCAAATCCCTTTACGATTCTCTTTAATTTTGTTTCCTGCCCCAACTACACATACGAAGTTGGATCTTGGTTTTTCTTCACAATTATGACCCAATCCATACCTTCTGGTTTATTCATGTTCGCCGGTTTCTACCAAATGGCTGTATGGGCTGCTGGTAAACACAGAAATTACAAGAGAGAATTTAAGAATTATCCCAAAGGACGAAAACCAATAATACCATTTCTTATGTGAAAATCTTAATTTTCGAAATAGTAAATTTGCAATTTAAATAAAATTGAACAAAGTCTAAATCAATACACAAAATGAAACTTGGTATTTGTAAAATATTTCAAATTTTTTAAAAACTAAATAGGTGTCGTTAGTAGTCTCATAAGGATTTTTTCGGATACCGTTGTGTTATCTAAAGTTTATGATTAATTTACAAGTAAAAATTGCTCTTTAATTTTACATTTGGAAATTTTTGATTAGGTATGTTTGAAGAGTTACGAAATAGTTTTTGTATCTCAGCAAAATGGCGGCTGCGCCGTCGAATGCCGTCCAAAATTTAATTCATGATTTCGAGGATTTTCACAAGAACCATGATGGGGTTCCAATATTTTTATTGGAGGTATGTGTACGATTTAATGTTACAGTCGTTGCATTTCGCATCCTTAATTAATTAATTATACGTTTGTCAATTTCATTCAATATATTAATCCATCGAATATCACTAAATATCTCCTATGATAAACATTCTTTCAGGCGGGACCGATTGAAGAAAATAAGGAAGAAACAAATAACAAACTAACACTCATGATAGATAATGAATACGAAGTAGAATTACAGTGTCCACCGGATTATCCCTCTCATACTGATGCTTTTTATTTAAACACAAAGAGCACATCGCTATCTATGTGGGCCAATTCGGTTAATGAGTTCCTTCTTGATTCTCCTCAACCTCTTCGTATTCAAAATATTCTAAAGAAGGCGGCTGAACTTTATCACAATGATCGGGTAAGCACGGAGGATGAAATGGACGTGGACGATGAATGTGGTATGGATGACGACTCAGCATTTACAACAGATTGGGAGCTGAAGATAGCGAGGTTAAAGAAGAGATGGAGTCACAAAGAAAAAATGATTCGAGAAGAAAAAGAATCAGGAAAAATGATGCACACAATGGGTCGAGCAACTGCAGCTGATAATATTCAACAAATTTTCACATCATCAGCAGCAAGTGGAATTTTAACCAACGATCTAATTGATATAATGGCAACTTGTGAGGAAACAGGAATTTCTGCCGAACCTATAGACGACAACATTTACAATTGGCGAGTAAAACTATCATCATTCGTTGACGTTTTGGGACAAGAATTAGAGGAGGGAATGAAGCGTTGGGGTTACAACTACATTGAATTAGAGTTGGACTTTGCATTAGACCTATATCCGTTTTATCCTCCATTACTGCGAGTTGTCAGACCAAGATTAGCATCATCTCTCAACCAACGAGTAACTAATTTGGATATGCTTAAATTGACTTACTGGGAACCAACTAGATCAATGAGAGACGTTCTAACAGACGTTCACAAAGTTCTTCAGAAAGTGGCAAGGATCGACGTCGTATCACCTCGAAACGACCCCGTGAAATATAGATATGGTGCTTATCATGACATTGAACATCACTTGCTGAAATTGGCAATTGTGACTGAGGTAAATCCCAGAGCTTCTGCTGCCGTAAATGATTTACCTCAAGCTACACCGAAATTATCTCATTCGAAGCAGTCGAATGGAGGTACTAAAAGAGAAGAGTACTGGGCTGCTGGTACGGGATATGGACACAACAAACGGCCAGCTTGGGATATTCAAGCCCATGTCGCAGCCCAAAAAGAAAAGGATCGGCAAATAGAATCCGTTTTAATTTCAATTCTTAAGGAGTTGAAACTACTGTACGCAAATCATGCACCACAGTTAAAACCAAAGAATGCAGCGAAAGAGAAAGATTCTTCCGTGGATCCAGTTGAAGACATGTTGCACGTTCTTGAAGGATCAGCCTTAATTCCTTTTCTGGAGCAACAGCTTACTGCCGCTAAATCTGTTTTGGAAATGGGACGTCACACAGCAGTATACAAGGCCATAGTTGACGTTCTAAAAGAAATTTCTTTACAACCAGCCCTAGTCCCTTTATTAGCCAAACTACCTAATCAGACACAATCAATCTATGAGTTGTTGAAAGAGTTAGAGGAAAAGGCAAATGTTATGCTTACACATATTTGTAAAGCAGGTAATGGTTCTATACCTAAGCTAAAGAATGTCCCAAAAAGTAATTCGCCTTCTTTGAGTAATTCTCGACGGCCGAAAAAGATGAAAACTAGTCAAAGAAAAGTCAGTTCCTCTGAGACAAAAGGAGAAGATGAAAATACCTCAGAAGATCAGACTCTAGATGAGGAGAAGTTAGCAAGAGATTTTGCTGCCTTATTTAATGATGTGAAAGAAGCATTTGAAAGAGTTGGTATAGAAACTACTATAACTCGTTCGTCATCTTCCGAAGAAAGTGATAAAGGAGAGCAAAATTGTGAGGAACTTTACAAAAGTGCATTGAAAGATTGCATCTTTTCCTCAAACGATATCGAATTGGGTGAGTACAAGACAGTTAATATCAGTTAACACGAAAGTTACAGACTTTATATTTCGCAAGTGTATATGTCTAAAAAAGAAATTAATGTAACTTTTATTTAAAACAGATGGACCTAATGTGCATTACAATGCGAAAGACTTTAATAGAAATCCATCACCATCTTCTTCGCAGGTTGTTCGAATTGCTCAAGAACTGACGACGCTAGCTACTAGCTTACCCCTTGAATTGTCCTCGTCAATATTTGTTCGTTCGGATGAAGAGAAGATGAGTTTGATGAGGGCGCTTATTACAGGTCCAGAAAATACTCCATATGCCCACGGCTGTTTTCTGTTCGATATCTATTTGCCTCATAGATATCCCAAAGTGCCGCCTGTCGTAACTCTTCAGACAACTGGTGGAGGAACTGTACGCTTTAATCCAAATTTGTATCAATGTGGTAAGGTTTGTCTATCTTTATTGGGAACTTGGGAGGGTCAAGCAGGTGAACAGTGGAATGAGACAACGTCCACTGTCCTTCAAGTTCTCGTATCGATACAATCTCTTATACTTGTCCCGGAACCATATTTCAATGAACCCGGATACGAACAGGAAATCGGAACTGAAGCCGGAAAGAAGCATTCGGCTGATTATAATCTGGATGTCCGAGTTAACACTATAAAGTATGCCATGTTGGCTCATTTAGCCCACCCTCCATCAGGATTTGAAGATGTTATTCGAGCACATTTCTACTTGAAGAAAAAGAGAATATTAAAAGAAGTAGAGAATTGGTGCCAGGCTTCACCTAAATCTGGAAAATTGGAAAGAGCTGTTGCTTCGCTCAGGACCGAATTAGAAAAACTGAAAGCACCTGCATCATGTAAACGTTAAATGTGGTTCGATGTGTAATAGTATTTGTTATACGACAGTCGTAATATTTTTTTATAAGATACGAAAAATAATTTAATATGCATGTGAACTTCTAATTTGAAAATTCGCGCCTTTTCTTGTGAACCAATCACTGAGCTACGAATATTAAATGCGGCAGTCGCAAATATAATATGGACGACCTGAAGTTACTAAACGAAGAATAACATTTTTTCACGTTCTCATCATCTGTCCACTCTTTAGAACTGAATTAAAATATAGTTAACTAACTAAAGAAGAAATCAGCCATACTGGATCTTCAAAGCGTCGTTCACATAGATTATAAACCGGCGAAAAAGATGAAAAAGAGACGCGACTTAGACGCTCTCGTTCAGAACAAGAAGACGAGAAAGAAGAGAGGTCAACATTCCCTTCTACGAGATGCATCGGAATCTTCAGACAACGAAGAGTTTAGTGTCTGCGAAAAATCTATTCGAAGCAGGTAAATTGGACTTTGCTCAGCGATCTTAAGATATAGCGTCTTTCGTGACATTTTCTAATTAAGCAATTTCCTAGAAAATAACGAACACGAACGAAAACGGATCTGTAGAACGTAAAATTTTAGCTTAAAATCAAATTTATTTTTAGTTAGATCAGTTATATTGTAAATTTTGGTAATTCTGAGTAATATGTTAAATATTGATAGAGTATTAAATAAAATTTTATACTTTCAATTCCCAAATAGCAGGAAAAGCAGCGGACGAACATGCGGCTATTGCGCCTTGGGACTGGCGAGCATTTCACTGATCTTTTTTGCTGTTCTTTTGTGGTTTACTATGAAACTTAGTTACGATATTTCTACCTTACAAAAAGAACTAAAAGAGCGTGAGTTATTAATTGAGAGAAACATAATTAATTATTCAAACGTTTGACGCATTTATTAATTTTTTAGATCAGAGACTACCAAAGCCTACTGAACAACCAGTGCAAAGGACATTTAAAATGTTGACTGACCGCATTTCGAGTATTGAAAGACTAACAAACAAAACAATTTCTGGACTTGCTCATAGAACTGATCGTCTAAATTCCTCTATTCTTAGCGTTAACACTGCACTAAAAAGGCAATCGGCACCGAAAATCGATGATTTGACGAAAGAACTCACAAATTTGGGTAGCAAGTTGAAGAGTGTAGAAAATGATCTTCACGCTGCTCACTCAGAAATTCAAAAAATTTCTCATAGGCTAGTGGTAATGAATAATTCATATCACGATGGTCTTCTATCAGTCAATCAAGATATAGAATTGCTCAAGCTAAAATTTGGGAAAGATGAATCTCAGGATATAAGAAATGTTAGTGAAATTGTGGCAAAAGCATTAGAAAATCACTTTGTAAGCAGCGATGAATTTGCGAACGAGGTAAACGTCAAAGTATATTTAGATTATTCCGAAGAAAAAGTCATTGGCTTTTTCTTATGAATATAATTTTGATTTCGCTTGCAGATAGAATAATAAGAATGTTATAATTATATTGTTTGTAACTGACAGATTAATCAATTGCGAGAAAATCTAAGAAATTTATCAGATTTGAGTGCACCAGATATAAACCAAAGGACAAAAAGTGATATAAAAGAATCAGCATATACAGAAGACAAAAAATCTTCTGGTAAATTGTTATTTTCATACATGTCTTGAATTTAATTTTCACTATAGAATATTTTATATGTAATAATGCAATTTGCAATCTCTGCTATCTAGAGTGCATTTGTTATGTATCGTCTCATCTATTTTTCGTATAATTAAACGATTTTATATCTACAGATGCAACCGATGATAATTTCACTTCACTTCCGATAACCACTGTTTTGCATCCTACAGGTTTGATATATAATTACTGTTGTCATCAGATACAAACTAAAAATTACTTTTTTATACAGGCTCAGAAAAATTGAGGGAATTTCTTTCATCTTTAAAATCTTCAAAGAACAACCTCAACAAAAATAATTTTGCAGTTAAACTTGATGATCTCGTTCAGTATTCTGGCACCACAAAGGAACATATTACTCCCTACGACACTAATCATGATGAGACATTAGACAAAGAGGAACTTTACAAATATTTTCAGATTAAGACGTGAAAGTTTGGTCACATTTTTATATTAGTGAGGAGAAATCTAATGATTCGTGCTTAGGCTGTTGTAAAATTGTTTCTTCAGAAGATTCCCTTAGTTAATTGTTGACATTATGATATGTCATATTTAAGAGAAATCCGTTTTTTTTTCGTGTTAGAGGATAAATTAAAAAACATTTATTATAAACGGTATGTTTATATTAGAAAATATATAAATTATACACGTTATCTTTGACCTCGGCCTCTCTGATTTTTCGGTCCTCCGCCTCCGCCACCACC